CCCCTCCGCCGCCCCAGTCCCCTCACAGCAAGACTTGTCCGCCCTGGGCGGGGTCAAACTCCCCCTCCAAACCGCCGGCCATCAGCTCGGCCACTATCTTACGGCGCAGCAAAGGAGTGTCTGCCGCACCGTAAGACAGTGGCTCAAGGCCGATGGCCACTGCCTTGGCGGTGGAGAGGAGAAAGACCCCGCAGTCCGAACCGTTGTCTTGCTGGGGGGACCGGGACGGCAACACCCGCCACTCCTCCTCGACATACTGGGGGCCCAGCTCGCCGCGGAGCCAAGTTTTGACCACCGCAACGTGGCGGCGAGACAGGGCCCCCAGCGAATCGAAGTGCTCGATTGAGCGCTCCCCCGGTCGCACAACAACCAGCGTCCAATGCTGGCTGTTGTGGACCGGGATGTAGACCGTGTCTACGTCGAGGAGGAGTGGCCCCCCGATCTTCGCCCGCTTCGCCCACCGGGCCACCGACTCGTACCCCTTGTCGCGGAGGTTTGAAAAGAAGAACGAGTTGAACGCGTGGAAGCGGGGTTTGTCATGACGCCCCGCGTTGTGGTTTGTGCGGCGCAAATAGTCGACGATGAGCGCCAGGTACGAGTTGATGATCTCGTCGTTCAACCACTCGCCCCGAGTGTAGCACGTCGCGAGGTCTTTCTTCGTCAATGGGTCACCGGAGAGGGTAGTGGCGACCTTTCTTGCGACGGGTACGCTCCTATTTTCCAAGTTTTTAATGCGAGCCTCCCATTCAGAAGAGAGGGGCCGTACGGCTGGACCATCAGGTTTGACCCGAGCTGGGAGCTCCTTTTTCTTCTGTTCCTCTTCGATTTCTTTCCAACGCGCGGCATATACAGACTCGGTTCGGCCGTCGGGAATGGGTTGCTGGACAGGATAGAATAGACGGACAGCCGAAACCGGTCTTCCCAGGGGGTATTCGAATGGCTGAGACCAAGGGTCAAGACTGGGCTCGTTGATGGCATCAAGCCCGGACGTGGGCGGCACGTTTTCTTTCTGATCGGGTTTCGTTTCGATAGCCGAGATTTTGTTGGTAGGGGTTTCTTCGAGATCAAGCGCTTCGTTGAGATGGGGTGCCAAGTCAGGTTCCAGCTCACTCCAGTCTCGTGTATCGTCAATGTACTCGGCCACCACAGGCTCGCGGAAGCGAACATTGCGCTTGAACTTCGGCTTCTTCGGGACGCTGCGCGGCAAGGCGTCAGTCGTCTGACGGGGACTCTTCAATTCGTTATCATCTTCAATATCCGCTCGGGTCGTGGCATTGGTATCCTTCGATTTCAAGATCTTCTTCGGTTTCAGGTACTTCTTCGGTTCGTTATCAATTGCAATAGGCGATGGCACTTTCAAGGTGGTATGCTCGTTCAGTTCGATAGATTTCTTCGTTTCAATCTGATCAGCTGCGGTAGGGGAACGAGACTTGAGATTCGCAAGCTGTATCAACTTTGTCGATTCATTTGATTCATTGTTGGTATTGAGAATAAAAGGTTCATTCGGCTGCTGACTCTGGCCGGAAGCTTCACGTTCACGCGATGCAATCAATTCGTCGCCGACCTTCTTAATCTTTTCTTTGTCGCCAGACAAGAGCGCTCTCCACACGAGAGAATTTTCTCTCGCACGCTTGGCACGCTCGGCACGTTTACTAGGCGAAGGCAACCGCTTGCGAATACCAACAGGTCCAGCCTCTTTGGGTCTCGACTGTTTGGTAGGGGACCGTGGAGCCTTGGACGACTTTTCTTGCTGAGCGGGATGGTCACGTCGCTTGGACGCTCGGTTTTTCTTTGACGATGCAGAAGCCCTTGGCTTCGAAGTCACGGAGTCACGGGGCTCCTTAATAGCGAGCTCATTTGACTGTTTATGATGTTCGGTAGCAGATGAGGACTTGGTAGGAAAATCGGGGATGTGGGATAAATCAGGGAAAGGGAAATGAGGGGGTGGACTGTTTCCTCGGGATCTTAGCCTCTGGTCGCGTCTCACACGCTGCTGCTGTTCGGGAGACAGACTACGGAGGTTCGCACGCGTAGGAGATCCACGTGGAGAAGATGGTTGGCGATGTCCAGGCTGAAGGCGGCGCTGACGCCAAACCTCGCACATGCGTCGTTTGGCGTCGCCAACAACAGTAACGGCAGTCCTGACCACACGAGAGACAGTTTGAGTGAATCCGGTCGGAACAGTAGTGAAAACTCTCCGGAAATTATATTGCCACATTGTCCAGTAGGCGTTCCAAGGCGAGGGAGGCTCTTGAATAGCAGGATCAATGGCCATCAGGTCTTCAACATCGGTTAATTGCTTGTTGACGGGTAGCATCAATGCACCGGACATCGATACGATATTTGGGCTCCCTGCATGAGCGGTGACAATGAAAGAATCATGAGGCGGTACTGAGCCTGGCCATGTACCGGGCATAAGGTAGGGGGAAGAGCTGCTCGGATAATCACGAGTGCCTTCCATGTCGTCCATAGGACACGACTTATGAGAAATGGGACTGTCTGGTTCAATCACACCAAAAGATGTATGAACATTTGGCTGGGGATCTTTGTGCTCAGGTGTGTCAATATCCATAGGGGATCCTGGAGGGAGATCACTCTCAGCAGTGCTAGCAACACGTGCGAAGCTGCCTGGCTTCATACGACGAAATTTTGCAACGACGGCTTTGTCAATCTGCGGGATAGTGCGTTGAGCAGAAGCACTGTCATCATCCTCCAAAGATCTCTTGCGTGGAAGAGTAGAGTTCTTCGAGATTCTCGTGAGGCTAGAAGTTGTACGGGACGGTTTCGCATCTGGAATCGACTTGCGAGGAAGGTTGGAGTGAAGGGGGAAATGCACAAAGCTCGAAGTGGTACGGAAAAGGTTCATGTCTGTGGTAGACTTGCCTCCCAGAAGACTGTTCGCACCAGTAGCGTATCCACCGCGCGACGGGCCAGTGAGGGGTCTGTTGTTCAGAGACCATGTGCTGCGGTCAAAGCCGGCAGATCGAAAGCTACCGGTACCCAGGTTGTTTGTATAAAACACCGACTGCGAGACGTATTTAGTTTCAGGTCGCGGGAGGCGATAGCTCGAGGGCTGGCCATCCGTGCCGCTAGAGGTCGAGGTGCGAGATTTCGGGGAGAATCGGTGGTCAGGTCGGATGGAGGGAGTACGGAGGGGAATGGACGATTTGACATTGTTGTCATGTCCGTCAACTCTCATCGCAATTGGCTTGCCCGAGAGCTTGACTGAGCGGAGTTGATAGGGGGGAGAACCGGGGTTCTGCGCGGACTGGGTGTGGCTAGAATGCTTTTCGGTGTCAGACACGAGAAAATCCGGAGTACAATCCATGGGGTCTTCGAAGGGGTCGACGGCCTCGAAACGCGAAGCGTTCGATGGAAGCATGCTCACGTCCTGCAATTTGAGGTCCTCCATGCTGGGTTGCTGTGTCGAAACGACGCCAGACATGTTGGATAAAGAAGATTGGTAGAAAAGCGCTTTGTAGTAAAGACTTGAAACGAGTTCGATCGCTGACGACGAGTATTCGCAGAAGCTGCTGTGAAGCTCGACGGAAACGGGGGAACGATGGGTGGTGAGAAAGAGGAGAAAGAGGAGGGGGAAGAGAAGGAAGGGAAAGATGAGAAGACTGGCGACGGGGTGGGCGAAAGGGAAGGTGAAATCAAAACAAAGGCATTCACTGAAGGCCATGGGCGGCTGCCATGGTGCTGGTGAAGATCGCGCTGGTCGCCGCAGTGAATTGAAGCTCCATGGGAAGGCGCGAGCGGGGGCGGGGGACGAGGGGGGAGGCAGGCGCAATGGAGGGGAGAAAGTGAAGCCGCGGGCGATGGGGAAAGGCAAGAAGAGGAAGGGACGAGGACAATAGTAGTGATGAACGATCCTCGGAAGCTTGGCTGCCACTTTCCCCCATCGGGGGCATCACGTGCCGTGCGCGTCTCAGTCGATCGCCCCTTCACCTCCGCTGGTGCGTCCCCTCCAGCTGGAACGCTAATCCCAGGGAACTACTTATGGGACCCCGGTACAGGCTGCACGATTAGCTATGGACGGTGTCGCCCCGGTCCCATTGGTTCTTTTGCATACTATCCCGGGTTCACGGTACAGGTAGGTAGATTTTATATACCCCGTACCTGCGGAGACGGCAGCCCGCCCGCGGTGATTTTCTCTTATCGCAGGGCGATAACCCAACTATCTACTCCGTAGTATCTCCAGTTCTACACGACGTGGCTAGAGACGATCCATGGCTGAGGAACTCCACGTTTATAAACGATCATCAACAGTCTATGTACAAGAACGGCAGCTATGTTACACCAAGGACCTGTTGAGTCCAGCCCGCTGAACCGTAGAAACAAGAGAAAGAGGTTACAGAATCAAAATGGTCGTAGTCGGACCCACCCTGCGACTATGCCGCCAGCCCTATCCGATCAAAGAGTAGGGGCGCTCCCTCCATTACAATCCACGCAATTCCTATCCAGACATCGTCAGCATCTATACCTCGTGGTCTCAGCAAGGATCACCTACCAGAATATACAACGAGCTTCGTAACGACCTCGACGTCATACCGCACCCGGGGCCGTTTGATCTGCGAAAACACATCCTTCTCGTCGGCCTCGATTCCCGAATCAAACTCGGGGAAGGGCACCGTGGAAGAGGCTTCCCGCGAGCCAACATCGACGGATGTCGCCGCACCAGAAGCACCGGTACCCATCATATTCTCGTACTCGTGCAGCTTGGATTGCTTCCGTGACAGTTTAGGGGACTCGTGTCCGGAGACGAGCGGATTGTAACCTCCCGCATCCGTGACAGGTGATGCTCGGTTGCCCGCTGAAAGACTTTCCCGTCTGCGCTTCTCACGGTATGCCAAGGTCTCATAGGCATCGGCTTCCGATTGTGGGCCTATCGAAATAGCTCGCCGTCTGGGGTGACGAATTGTGGTGATAATCGAGGGGATTTCTGAGAAGCCCGGCAGCACTTCGTGGTCCCTAAGTTGGGACGGGACTTTCGTGTATTGTCTGTTTATCCGGTATGTTAGTATGCGGATCGACCCCAAAACTACCTCCCGCCTCCTCTCCTGATCGGTGATGCAAAGCAGGACGACTTACGAAGCATTCCTAAAGAATCTCCGGGGCAGGATTAGACCCAGCTTTTCCAGGCCCCGAAAGACAGGGGGCAGAACCCGGAGCAAAAATGGCTTCGTCAGTGCTCGCCACGTGAAGAGCACAAGCACGCCAATAATGAGTCGCAAAGCCGTTTTCACCACACCCACACGCTCGAATCCATATGGCACAGTGGCCGGCACAGGTCCACCCAACGCCATACTTGACTTTGCGATGTGCCAGTAAGCAACTTGTGCGCCAACCATCACTCCCGCAAAAGCCACACTATCATCGAAACAAGGACAATCATCCGCAGGCTCCGGATGCACACGAACTAGCGCCAGTATCAACAGGACCACTAGTGTGACCCCTTTCCCGGTTGCCGCAAGGACATACTCGTCAATAGCAGGTCCAAACGTATACTGTAGGTAGGCGAGGAAGGCACCAAGTAAACAACCCGTGATGACATCGGAAAATCCGTGCATTCCACAGTACAGACGGCCAAGTACTATCGAAATGACGTAGAGGTACGTTATGGCTTGGAGGATAATATTGGCCTGAGGGCTCAGAGTCGATTCGGGAGAGTTCAACAATGAGAGCGCATACACCGCGACCGAGACTGCATTTGTAGAGTGGGTCGAAGGAAATCCGTATTCTAACGCTGCGGAGCCGGACATTGTTATGCGCTGAAGAGGAGGGGACAGAGGCCGCGGTAGGCACAGCAAGTCTTTGATAAAACCGCTGAAGAATACACCCGAAGCCAGAAGGTGCACCATCCTAAGTAAATTGCAGTCGTCAGCAGATTCCCTCCTCGTTTTTGGTTCATCTCAACACCTACCCGCGTCCCAAGCTCGCATACCCGCACCAGAACAGGATCGGCAGAAAGACCATGAAAAAGGTGTGTGTTCCCAGATTGGCTGTAAAGGCAAAGTAGGAGTCAAGGGTCGGAGTGCGGATCCTCTCCTGGAACCAGGCTAAATACGGTGTCTCATAGCGAATCAACGGGAGAAGCTTTTGTCGTGGCCAGTAACGCCAGGAGGGGAGCTGATTCCGATCTGATGCCGGACGATCGCAGGTCGACGTTAGTCTTCTAGAATGGTATGCTCTCCGACAACATCCACCACGTACAATGATCAAGGCTTCTCAGCCCAGCATCCGGCTGGCCATTCTTCCCATTGACCATCCTGATGTCTTTATCCGGTGAAGGCAGCCGTTTCAATTAGCGTGATGGAGTCGCTGCGACTTCCCCATAAGATTCCCAACAGTTGGAAGGATCAACGCCGACAACGCGCCGAGAGGATCATTGAGGAGTGAGCCGGGCGGAAATCAGGCAATGGGACTTGGGACTTGCAGAGGCTGCTGGCGAGACGGGAAAAGGAACGCGAGGAGTAGATCAGGGTGGACTAAGTCATGTTTGTCCGGCGTTATCGCAAAAAAGGTCGTGATCTTGGCGGTCGATGCGGCCGTGGTTAGTTCAACCACTCAGCATTCGGGAAGCCGCTGCGGCTGAGGTAAGAATTTAGTCACCAATGATGGAGGGTACAACAATTGTTTGCAGATGCATTCCACAAAGGGTCCCGATCTTGATCCTGTGAAAGATCCAAAGCATGATTTTTGGAGTGCTTTGATGCAGGGCGACATGGAAGGCTTTGGCTGTGTGAGGGGCATGAGCCTCAAATGGCTAAGCTTTCCCCACCGTTGTTCATCTCGGTACGGAGTAGACAAGTGCTAGATGGAGCACGATACCCTTTTTGAATCCGAAGACATAACATTGTGGGCAGCTGTGGCTGCTTAGGATAACGATGACTACTTACATCTTGATCCGATCTACTCTGTACTCCGCTTTCATCCAGGAAACATTGGGACCCTCAGCGCCGAGGAACTGCACTGCTGAGGTAATGGCTTAGTCACCGGGAATGAGTAAACGAGCAGTACTCTACAGCTTCGCTTATAGTCTAATTTGATTGACCATTATAGATATTTCAGACATAGTGAGCTGTCTAGCGCTCTAATGGCTCAGCTCAGGGATGCAGAGTGGTGAACAATTTGAGCAAACATTGGTTGATTCCTTTATTCATATATACTGGACATGGGTGGCAGAATATATATTAATGATTGCGGCTAGCGAACATGTCTTGATAGAGATGTCTATTGACGAATTATTACTAACAAGGGATCACATAAGACAGTCTTGTCAAAGGTGTCCAAGTACCCATATTTTCACTCCACTCTGCCTGTCAGTAGTCTGCGTAGGCTACACTCCCGGATGTCGGCAGAAACAAGAACCAGCTCGAAAACAAGTGTGAGGATAATTACGTCAAGCGTGGCTCGTGGCTGTGTTTCAGGGACCTGGACAGTGGACAAAGACTGTCTAGCACGGGCCTGCAAGGGATCGTATCAAAAGGAAACCTTGTTCGCTCACCAGATTGATTCTCGATCATGGAGACCAGCCCTGGCCCCCAACACACCATTCTGATTCGGTGATCGGGCCGATTTCAGGGAGGACGGCGATTGGCGATGGAGGCTAGCCCGGTTCTGGGCCGACCAGCGGCCAGGCAGTGGCATTCCAGGCGAGCCAGCCGGTGAGGTAAACAACCAAGGAACGGCTTGGATTCTGGCAATTTGGGCGAATCTGATGAATCTGCTAAAAATAAAACCGAACGACCCAGCAGAAAGACGAATGAGAGTGGAGGAGGTCCAATGTGCGTCGGAACGTTCAGCTGAACTGAAGTGACAAGCGGAGCTCGTGCGTCATTTGTCCCGCGGCGTTGCCATGGCAGCCCACCGGCCGGTAAACATCGGTCTTGCGGTTTCATGTCAGCCACGACGGCCTCGTTGTTGGAGCAGCCATGGGGCTGGCGGGCTCATCGTGGAGAAACTAGTATCTCGAGCCTGACATCCCTTCCTTGGACTTCTTCGTGCTGGTTTCGCGTGTTGTTTTTCTATTCCCCTCATATCTCCCTTCCCCCCCCGAAACCTCTGTACAACAACCGACTTTACATCGACATTCCGAACAGAAAGAGGAAATCGCTGAGGACTGATCGATCGAGAACCTTCCGCCACCCTTTTGACAAGACTGTGGATCGCTGAGCAGCAATTATTACCCGCCCGCATTGCTTGACCGACAATTCCCACCCCCTTCCGGAATTGTTGTATACCACATTCCTCGAAATTCTCCTACTCCGGCATCATGTCAGGTACCATGTACGACGAGCACGTTTATGCACCCTCACGGCGTCATTCAGTTGCTACTCCCCCTCCGTCTATGACACCGCGACATAGCCGGACACGCAGTCAAAGTGTTAGAGTCAGCAACGGCACGGTGAGCACCAATACAAGTGTGTCGAGTGGAAGAATGTCGGAGGCTACCAACATCACCCATCCACCCGCCTATTCCAAAAAGTTCGTGGTGGTGGGCGACGGCGGATGTGGAAAGACCTGCCTTTTGATCAGTTATTCCCAAGGCTATTTCCCTGAGGTAGGTGATCGACCAGTGCAGTGGTATTGTTTGTGATGAGGGCTAAACTCGCTCCTTCTCTTCAGAAATATGTCCCGACGGTATTCGAGAACTACATCACGCAAACTACACACCGAGCCTCGGGTAAAACGGTCGAATTAGCCCTTTGGGATACTGCTGGTCAGGAAGAATACGACCGACTGCGTCCACTGTCATATCCCGAGACGGACCTGTTGTTCGTTTGTTTTGCTATAGACTGTCCGGCGTCGTTGGAGAACGTTATGGACAAGGTATGTCGCCCTACCCCGCAACGACATGCAGTAGCTGATGCCTGCGCAGTGGTATCCCGAAGTCTTACATTTTTGTCCGACCACTCCACTTATTTTGGTTGGGTTGAAGTCAGATCTGCGTTCCAAGAGAACGTGTATTGAGCTTCTCAAGACCCAGGGCCTGACGCCCGTGACACCCGAGCAAGGTGAGGCAGTGGCGCGCAGGATGAACGCATCCTATGTTGAGTGTAGTAGCAAAGAAATGCGCGGTGTCGACGGGGTATTTGCACTCGCAGTCGATACTGTTGTCTCTGCCGAGGAACAAGACTGGAACGACCGCCAAACAACTAGTACTCCTGGAAGCAAACCTCGAGTCACTGGTGGTGGTGGCGGCGGCAAGAAGGTCAAAAAGCGTACCTGCAAGATTTTGTAGACGCTGGTTTCATAGTCGATGTTTGTCTGGTCATGATCATCTGCCCTTTTGGTTCCCCTCTTATCTTTGAGATGCCTGCTTTTTCTTTCCACCCCTGTTATACCGAGTGAAGAGCCTGGTTGCTTTGACGGTTCCCCGATTCCCTTGTATGTGACATGACATGACATGACAACGTGGCCATGAACGTGAAGAGCACCGACACGCTCCGCCCATGTCGGTTATGTTGTCCTTATCCCCTTCTATACATGCTGGCGGCTTTCTGATTATTTGCTTCTTTATGTTGCTATACCTGTTTGGCCTTGATGATGTTTCTCAATTACCATTACCTTCACCATCTCGCCCCTAGCCCTTGATTTGGCGATTTGCCCTTGTCTCAATGCTTGATGTCTGTCACGAATTTGGCCATTCTTTACCATGCATGGGATGGGTGTTTACTGGCGCAAGCGAAAATCCCGTGTACTTGATTATTGAATTTGCCAACCTTATTTTGTATTGCTCATTTGGTATCCTGATTCCGATAGCAGTAAAGTGTAGAGATAAACAATGAAAGACCCCTCTAACGTACGCCAAACCCAGCCCAGACAGCCTTGAATGTAGATACTTGATAGATTATCTATCCTCGACATCTCCCACCTCCTGCTCATGCAGCTGACTGTGGTCTTCCTCCTGCTGACCACCCTTTTGCTGGTCCTGAGCCTCGGTCTCGTCCGCCGGCCGACCCATAAAATTCTCGAACTGCGACCACAGAGCCTCAACGGAGCCGAACTCATTTCCCACCTGCCGGAGATCACATTAATCGACCCGGACGGTAGCGGAGAGTGGGGTACTTACAGCGATAATACTCTCTAAGTTCCGATTCAGCCGGTTGATGTTCTGGAGAACTTCCTCCATGCCCTATGATATTACCAGTTCAATGAGAAATCTTTGCGCAAAACGCACTTGATGGACAGCAACTAACCCCCGCAATCTCTCTCACCAATTCCGCCCGTTGCTGCTCGAACACCGTTGGGCTGGAGGCTCGGTTTTTGGGGCCGGGTGTGGTCGACATGGTGATGCTGATGTAGCTGAGACCTAGTAAGCATCAACTAGAAAGATCGACTAAACGAGTTAATTGAGTATGAGATGTAAGTCTGTTGGGTTAAACCCTCTTTGTATTGGATGGTTGGCACGCGCGTTGATAGTTGCTTTTGATTGTTGCTGTTGGAGGCGGGGCGGTACGTGCCTGGGATGTCTTGATTCGGTATGGGCGGGAATTGTGCCGGGGTTGGAGGTTGACCGCTTTTGGTGCCGCCGGGTTGGTTATCGATAGCGGTGTTTCTAGTCTACATGTAGGTATCGGGCAAGGGAGAGGGGTTATGCGTGTTGTGTGGATGGGATATGAATTTTGACACTAGAATGGGATTAATCTCATTGAGACTATGATAATGGTACCCACTTATGTATGGGTTGAGTTTGATTGATCCTGCCGGAAATTATCTGCCCAGGATGCTCCTTGCTGCAGGCTGGCAGTGAGGTCGGACGGAGCAATGCCTCACCGTTGTGCAGAGCTTACCTTCTGCCTGGCTCTACTCTCTCCATCCTTAAACTTACAGTTGATACCAAATAAAGGCATGGAGATGTTTCAAAATCCACTTCTGAAACTCCATCGACCTGACGTTCAGGTGACGTAAGTCGCTGCCGGATGTCTATTTAACACGGGCGTTTATCAACCTGCCATGTCTAATATAAGTGAACTCTTTGCCTATAGATATTAGCCGCGCGGGTAGAAGAATATACTTGCATCAGGATCACTTACGATCAGACAATTCTCCACGACCATCAAGAATGAAGGCTATCGGGGTTGAGTATTACGGCCCCGTCGACCGTCTTGAATCTCGGGAGGTCCCCAAGCCAACGGATCTCCAACCTCGAGATATCCTGGTTCGGTGCGAGTGTTCTGCCACCTGTATCAAAAAAACGGTTACTGAGAGCTCTGGATAGGATCAAAGGGGTCTCCGTGAACCCCGTGGACACAAAAGTACGGAATGGGACATACGATGATTATCCGGGTAAGACGCGTCTAGCATAGGAGCGCCCGCTTATTGACTCTATCTCCAGACTACTACGACCGCGTTCCACGACCATTCCAAATCCCTGGGTACGACGCAGCAGGCACTGTGGAAGCTGTTGGATCAGAATGCTCGCTTTTCAAAGCCGGAGACGATGTATTCTACTCCGGAAGCCCCATTCAACAAGGATCAAATGCCGAGTATCAGCTGGTAGATGAGAGGAGCGTTGGTCACAAACCGAAGACTCTTGATTTTGTCAAATCAGCTGCAATGCCTCTGACGTACGTCACGGCATATGAGGCCCTCGTTGAACGACTGGAGATTAAGAAAGGCGAACAAGCAGCACTTCTCATTATCAATGGCGCCGGTGGAGTGGGTGCTATGGCTACGCAGATTGCGCGCGTTGTACTTGGTCTTCCAGTGGTTATTACGACAGCATCAAGACCGGAGACGATTCAGTTTACGAAAGATATGGGTGCAACTCATGTTGTCAATCATCGAGAGGATGTCCCTAGTCAGATTGAGAAGCTGAACCTCGATTTACCACTGAAGTAAGATACTTTCTGCTGGAAAGGACCCCGCTAACTGTATGTCAGGTACATTTTCATCACACATTCCACCGACCAATATATGGACACATGCGCTCAGGTTTGCGCGCCGTTCGGCAAAGTCTGCTCGATCGTCCAAGGCCAGGCTAAGATGTATGGCACGGCGTTCATGTCCAAGTCCTTGACATTCACCTGGTGTCTGCTTGGAACAAAGCCATACCATCAAATCGATGTTGAATCGCATCACCGCATCCTGGAAGAGCTTGCGGCCTTGATCGATGCAGGCAAGATCAAGTGTCATCTGACAAAGCGACTGAGATTGACCCTCGAAGGTGTCAAGGAAGGACATGAGATTCTTCAATCCGGCGGAAGCATCGGCAAAGTGGGGTTAGGCGTGGACGAGGCAGGATCTCGAGAGCTTTTTGCCTAGATTGATGGCCAGGGCTATTTGTTTTAACACTTTGCGGGGCATACTTGGCTGCTACGGTTCTCGACGCTTCGAATGATGTTTAAATATGACAACACGTGAATTTTGCCTTCGATTATTCTGATGATGGCTTGGGTAATTGCTATGGTGGAGATGTGCTAACACTGCGACGAGGCGTGGACGTTGGAAGCAAGACAGAAGTCACTCACTTGCTTCAGATACCCCAATAAAGACACATTTCTCCAAGGTCGAGCAACCTGATACTCGATACCTTGAGAAGCATTATGCATTTCCTCATGCCGGCTTGCCGCCATATTACCTGGAGACCCACCTGAGCTAATCCTACTGGAGCCAGATACCAGTTTTCTACGCAGAGAAGATCGCTGTACAAGTCACGATGAGCATCACATCGTCCGTGTCAGTCAGATCGCTGATAACCGCTCACTGGGCATTGCGCCGCGCGTACAATGCCAGATACAAGGAATAGACAATGATATGTACGTCCGATAGCGATAGCACAGACTATCCCTTCATCATGAAATATGCCTGAAAACGTCAGCTTGCCACACGAAGCAGATACTTTCACGTTCTCTGTACAGCAAGATCATCACTGCTCTCCAACATCAGCAGGTATCCGGCCACATGATCGATCATCCACTCTAATCGGCGAATCAAACTGCTCTTATCAAGAATATGACAATCCAACCACGTGCTAGCAATCTACGTCAACGGCAGAGATCTACCTACACCTAGTCACCTCCCCACTCAGCCAACGAACCAGATAGAGAGCAACCCCTCACCCCCCTCACCCCTCACACCCGACTTCAACCGAATCGCAACTCCCCCATCCCTTACTATCACCAGTCAAGTGTGGTCTACATTTTTCTCCCAAGTATACCAGACTCAGCAAATCCTCCTCCCACCAGGAAGATTTGCGCCACTTCTCACGGATCAGCTAACTTACAAGTCAATAGTATAGTTCAGTAGATAGCAAACAGCAGACCTAAAACCCAAGCCAGTATACCAAATCACTATCTCCCAAACCAGAATCCAGAAACCTATCATCCAAAGAAAGAAGACACAACCCACTTCTCCACCCCTCCACCAACCAAATCCAACAACAAATAAAGTGACTTGACTCATAGCTTCCAACCGACCTACATCCACCCATCAAACCAAATACTTCACTACATACAAAGTAAACAACCCTTGAAATAAAAAAAATAGATAAGCATCTCCATACCCAACACCCTGCCCCTACTTTCCCACCAATCTACACAGTACTCTATATTCCTGAGGCAAGGAGGTAACTGACTAGCCCGTTACGCCATCACTTGCGTAAGCACCCAAATCGAGACCTAGGACCAATCACAATCTTAATTCTAATAGGTAGATAGATAGATAGACTGTTAACACGTAAGGCTAATAACGGGTAGCTACTATGTACCCACTAAGTAAGTAAGTAAGTAGTTAGCTTGCTTCCCGAGCGATGATGTCAGTTCAGGCATCAAAGTAAGAAAAATGATGGGTGGATAGATGTTGGGCGGAGGCATGGATGAGGTCAATTCCGCGTAGGAAGCTGTCGTCATCATCATCATCATCATCTTCGTCTTCATTATACTGGTGGGTATGATTGGGTATCATGCATATGATTTGGTTGGTTCTAGGTATAGGAAATAGGATTAACCAGGGTATTGCAATTGATTCTGCCTACTCCGTCGCTAATGACGACTAAACCATACCATACCATACCAATTCCAACTAGTTCAGTCCAGCTAACAAGTGTAAGGGTTTATCCGTATCTAATCCAACTCCCGAATCATCTCGTGTCGTCGTGTCGTTCGTGGCGGTGTATCGTGTCTTTTGTATATATTGTGTGTGTGAGTGTCGGACGGTCGCCAGGACCGTGTGTATGCAAGGAGGGAGAAAGAAGGATCAAGCGGAGCCTCGACGGGCGGGAACGAGCATCGTGCTGAATCGTTTCCAGCGCTGCGTCGGAGAGGTGGGTTGCTCGCGGTCGAGACGGTCTTTGTCTAGACTCGGCTTGGAGGAGGATTGAGTGGAGGATCGCGGTCGGGTCACGAAGGCTTCATGGTCGGCCAGGACGTCTTCGAGACGTACATCGCAGTGTGAGATGCGGGGACGAGTATCGTTGGGGTCGAGGATCTCAATGAATTTGGAGGACATGTCGCGCATGTTGATGTGGTGACGAGTCTTTGTTGGTGGTTGATCTTTTGTTGGGCGGAGTGTTCGGTGCGTCCGCTTTCTTTTGCGGCGGCGATCACGAGGATGATCGGGAAACTTTGTTCATCAAATAGTCGGCTAGGAAAAGTAAACACAGCCGAGGTCGGTTGACGATCCGTGAGGGAGGACACTGAAGCCCGTCGCCAGAAGGATTCGATAGCCGCTGGCGGATATATCTTCCGTAAGAACGAAGAGTGGAAGAAGCAGAGGGGTAAACGGTGGGGATAAAAGGGACAAAGGAGGAGAGGAACGAGAGGAAGATGAAAAGGCACGGATGGTGCAGTAGCGGGTGATGCCGATTCGCTGGGCACGGTTTCAAGTATGCGCCAGGCAGGGATGTCAAGCGGTGTTCTGCGGATGAGCTGACTGCGAGAGGCCCTCAAAGAAAAATATTGTGACTGAACGAAAGAAGACTTTGGCGCCGCTGACGTCCGGGGAAGATGGTAGTATTTATTGGGGATTTTGAGTTTGAAAAGTCTCTCTGAGGAGCCTAGTTCTCCTCCACCGGCCAGTCGCAATGCCGCCAGTTCCGCATCACAGCCAAAAGGAAAAGCCAAATTATTTGCCAGAACACGCGGGGGTTGGGAAGGGATCAATTGAGGGACTGGGACGGTGGCGCACCAGCCCGTGTACGAGGAGTAAGGGCAGGGTGGCCATATACGCCGTGTGCCCGGGAGCAGGCTGTTGTGATGGGCTGTCGGACCTCTGACGGGGTTGGCGGAGGGGAAATCGCTAGGAGGGAGGGCGGAGTGCCTGCCATGGTTCGTCCGTCCTACCGAAGGGTGGGAGTGTGATGCCAGTGCTGATGAAGCGGATGATGCGGTGGATGCGTGGCGCAGGTGAAGCTGGCCCGATCCGAGTCATCGATATCATGTCGCGAGAATGATTGTATCCTATCCCGGCTCCACTACGGAGTCCCTTCGGACCCTCCCGCCCGTCCCGGTGGGCGCGGAAAGGGAGAGAACATGACGTCGGTCGAATGCGATCCATGGGTCGTTTCTGCAGCGCATCCGTTAAGAAGGGCGAGGAATGAGGTGCAGTGGCGGTTCTCCAGTAAGCTGATGTGGCCGACTCCATCGTTCTAGGCTCAGTCCATACACAGCGCGGGGGGACGGCAGATCAGCTTATCAATGGGGACGGGTCTCGGACGATCCATGTGCAACGCGACAAGCGCATCGATCCGATTATAAATAGAAGCGATAGTGGATGAGCCGAGTTGATACTGTGTACAGTACTACGAGATGGATGGATATTGAGTATTGATGCTGGCGGTCACGAGCTGGTCACGAGCTGGTCACGAGCTCTCGAGCATGTGCTTGCCATGACGTCATCAATTACTTTGCCGCGCCCCAGGATTGTCCCCACGATTCTTCCAACCCCAGCCATTGCGTCTTCTCATGGCTATCTGACAGACACAATGTCTATCCATCATCATCAAAATGCCGATCAAACGTGCCAAAAAGAACCCATCGGCGGAACAGAAGCCCCCGTCGCCTCCACTGTCCGAGAAGAATGTCGCGACAGAGGTGCCTAGTGCGGAATATGTGACCCACGAGGAATCAATGCCTCCCTGGCTGTTGGATGAAGATGAAGAAATGCCCGAAGAGACAGAAAATACAGTTGCTCCTGATACCGCCCCAAAGCCAGCTGAATACGCAGTAGGAGGGGGAGGGTACAACGCGCTCAAGTCGTACAAAGGCCAGATGTACTCGGGCATGGCGGTAGGAGGATCACACACCTGGAGGTACGACCAAGGGACGTGGAAGGAGACCAAAGAGGAACCAGATCTCTGGCGGATCGATTACCAGACGAACAAACGACGAGCGAGGAACGCGCCCGCGGGGAGTGGTGCCCCCGTGGGCACTGAATACCATTGGCTCATTGTCGGCCATCAGGTAGGTTGCGCGAGGGTCGTGGAATGACTGGCTGATGATCGCAGCATGTCAAGAAGATCGATGCCAACACATACGAGACACATCTGACGGGTTCCAAGTACAAACTGGCGTACAAGTCCGCTTCGTCCAACTCGTGGTCGCTGCCAACTGTCAAGAAACAACGGGATCGGGAGGTGGAATTGTTGGAGGATGCCAAACAGCGGGTCCAGGGACTGCCGCCGGTGCTGGGGTCGGAGAAGATCAAGGTGGAGAAACATGAAAAGGGACAGAAGAAGCTGGACAGTATGTTTGGCAAGAAACGAAAAGCGGATGAGCATGCTGCCTGATGCTGGACCGTAGCTGTTCGGAGTGCACAGCAGTTCCAACCATGGCCTTAATAATCGGGTATATCTTGCAGATGCAGCAATATGGCCAACTCTATTTCTCTTCCTACAGACTATAAGATAACATGGAGCATGCAGTCAAGCACGTAAAATGAACCACCCTTCATGGAACCTCTACCTACCATGATTAGCGACCTGGCTGCAGCACAGGCTTCTCCACAATCAGTGGCTGGACGACCCATGAAGTTAAAACGTGCTTGAAAGTAACAGCAATGCCGCAATGATCCGAACAGCGGAAATGATCACAGATCCAAGCAAACCCACCCAGGAAAAGACACGATCTAGACCGGAACAAATAACCTCACCTCTACCAGCATCCAAAGTCAATCGAGACCCACAACCTTATACCATGGATACCATAGATACCATACTACTACATAGTATGTAAAAAGTGACATCATCCACCCACCTCAAGATAAGCTTAACTTTGGCTTCTTCCCATCTTCTCCATCTACCTGACCGTTCAATTCGCCACCCAACCACCACCACCACCACCAGCACACCAGCAGCACCACCACCATGAAACGAATCAACACCTTCTTCCCCCCCCTTCCCTCCAAAAAACCCAAACCCGACCCATCCTCCGCAACATACACCCACCACCCCAGCTACCCCCTCCCCATCCGCAACCTCCCCAGCACCATCGCCACCCCTCTCTCCCAACTCCCCTCCACCCCCTCCAAAGCCATCACCATCACCAACCACCCACACCTCGACCTCCTCTACTACCAACCGTTCCTCCCCGCCCCGCTCGCCCGCGACCTCTTCCATTTCCTCCGCGCCGAACTCCCCTTCTACCGCGTCCAATACACCATTCATCGTAACGGGACCCCGACTAATATCACTACGCCACGGTACACGACTGTGTTTGGGGTCGATGATACTTCCATCTTTATTCCGGATCCTACAACTACTGCCTCTGATGACTCCTCCGTTCAATCGCAAATATTAGTCGATTCGAAAACGCGTATCCCTGTTCCTGATACCAAGTATCATAACAACAACAGTACCAACAAGGAAAAACAAAAGGGAAAGGGAAAGGGGAAGATATACCCCCGTCCCATCCCCCCCTGCCTCAACCACCTCCGCCAAGCCATCGAGGCCCTTACCACCACCACCACCACCCCCCCCAACAACAACAACGACACAGCATACAACTTCATCCTCGTAAACTACTACGCCACCACCGAAGACAGCATCGCCTACCACTCCGACGACGAACGCTTCCTGGGCCCGAATCCCACCATCGCGTCGTTGTCGCTTGGCGCGCGGAGAGATTTCCTCTTAAAGCATAAGCCAATACCACAGCAACAGCAACAACAACCGCAGCAAGGGAGGGGTACCGGTCCTGGTACTGGTAGTGTTGGAAACACAACCAGAGGAGTAGGAGGGGAGAAGCCCCTCAAATTTACCCTGCAGGAAGGCGATCTGTTGATTATGAGGGGCGAGACGCAGGCGAATTGGTTGCATAGTGTGCCGAAGAGGAGGGGGGGTGCTGCTGCTGCTGCTGCTGCTGCTGCTGGGGGAGGGACGGGCCGGATTAATATTACGTTTCGGAGGGCGGTGGGACCCGCTGGCACGGAGAATTATTATCGGTATAATGTGGGGGATGGGGGGGTGTATCGGTGGAGGGAGGGGGAGGGGAGGATGGTTCTTGTTGAGTAGGCTGTTGAGGAGTATATACTGTAGGTAGAACTCATTGCATTGATAAAAGATGGAGATAGAGGGAGATAGAGGATCAAACAAACGGATCCCGATAAGTTCTGAAACCATCCAACGGCCGCGCACAGTCCAAAATGCGGTGCAACAACATCCCATACTCCCACCCGAGCGCAGCGGCCGCCAACCCCGTTAGACTGGTCTGGTCTTCGCGACCTGGACGACCTGGACCGGTCATGTTCTAGATGCCAGCTATTAGTTCTGTATTCCGCATACACATATCACAACATATCAAGAGAGGGGAAGAAGGAGGAATGGTACCGGTTTCATATTCACATCAAAGATCGCAAACTCCCCCCCCTCAGTCACCCTCCTCACATCCACCCGAATCGGCGCCGTCGCACCAATTAATCTCGCTACGTTCTCACACTGTCGCATTACATTCCCGTACGACGGATCCTGCATCTCGGCTTTGGTGACCGCGCGCGAGTTGGCACTCACCGCTACGACACCATTATATGGCGCAACGCCGTTGATGTGATTGAACCGGGTGATTGGGGGAAGAGCCCAGTATTCTGGGATCTCGGGGGACGGGGGCATCACGGTGATGGTTGCTTCTTCGCCGGTGAGGAATTGCTCGATCATGACGATGGGGGATTCGGATAGGAGGGTTGTAATGTGTTCGGATAGTTGGGTGCGGTTGTGGCAGACTTTGACGCCGTGGCTGCCGCGGCCGCAGACGGGTTTGCCGACGACGGGATAGGTAGGGATGGAGTTGAGGATGGTGGGGATGGGGTCGGTGCTGCGGAGGAGCCAGGATTGGGGCAGGGTGAAGGAGCCGTGGAGACGGAGGTGGTGGTTGAGGTAGGCTTTGTCGTCGAAGGATTCGACGAGGGTGGGGGGTTGGCCGATAATGGAGATAGGGGTGGATGTAGTGGTAAGGGATTGGGAGGTTTGCAACGGGTGGGAGGAGAAGAGGATGGTGTTGGCCCAGAGGTGGGTTGCGCCTTGGTGGATGGCGGAGAGGATCCCGGTTTCGGTGTCGGGGAAGCACCAGCCTTCGTGGGATTTGGGGTTGGGGGAGGCGGTTGGCGTGAGGACCCGGATGCCTTGGTTGCGAAGGGTGTAGGCGATATCTGCACCGGAGTCTTGGTAGCCTGCGTGCTGTTAGTATTATGAGTGGGATATGGGTTGGGTGTGATACCGCCGGGCTTGCGGGGCTTGCGAGCGCCGTTGATGATGGGGGGCTCGAGGGCTTGATAGAGGACTGCGACGACCGGTGAGGTGCGAGCCATGCTATGCAGGGACCGGCTTATCTGGGGTATTGATGGACTCATGGTGGTGTTTGGGTTGATGTTGGGATGACTGGCGAAATCTGTTTATAGTTGTGGAGAAGCGGGAAGAGCCCGGCATCGGACCCATCCAGCTCGTGTTCGGAACGATCCGAGATTCGGAGTAGTCCGATGCTTTGACCTCATGCAAGAGGCATGTGGATCACTGACTTGATTGGAGGCTTATGTTGCATACTTAGAATGGTTGAATTGAAGGAATCTGAGTAAGCAGTTTGTCTGCGCAGACGTGCCCTCTGCTAGACAGCTCAGACAATGGACGGCGATGAATGTCTTGTGATTAGGCGCTGAACGGATTTGCATGCTGGCAAGGAATTACTTAGGCATAGAAGGCTACATTGTCTCCTTTCTAGAGACTCCCGGTCTCCGATATCTGTAGAGTAAGAAGAGTACGTGGAGAGATAGTGTGAATGTTATTATTGCGACCCAGATGCATAGATCATGAAAGGGAAGACCAAGTGCCAGGCTGGATTCATTCGAAGGCCAAAATGGACGGCCTATGCTTAATGATAAACACAACTCCGACAACAGAGCACAGAGTCGAGAGTCTATCAGCCGTGCCAGTGGCCTTCAGCGACATTATTTCACGAGTAGTATGTGTCCGAGCAGTAAGTGCCCAATGCCGGCTATGGACGCGCATGTGCCGTTCCTACGCCCATACATCTGATATACTGTACGTCCAAGCTACAGTCGGTAGCAGCTTCGTCGGGTCTGTCTATCCACCATATGTCTGCCTTGCGGCGTATCTTCGAAACACCCCTAAAGTATGGGTTATGTGATGCAATCGATGTATGGCTCTAGATGAGCAGGTCCTTGTATCGAGTGAGCTCTGTTCACGCAGTGCCTTCTGATTAGCTAGGTTTACGAAGGAAAAAGGACTGGCATGAGCTAAATAGGGGTAAGACTTGGCGATACTATTACCGACGGTTGGATATCGTTCTCAAGGCACGCATTCAATGCAGTGCCTCAGACAACTATACAGTTGTGTAGACAACATCGGGACGGGATTCAGCGGTCAGATTAACGATAAATTAAATCATGAGAGATAGCTTCGAGGCAAGACGCATAGATTTACCTTGCATATTGGTGGGAACCTTCGTGTCTTGAACACCGGAGCAGGTCAGGCTGCCTTCCAGACTGAAAGGGCACCTGACTTGCCCGACAAACCAGACAAACCCACCGAGCAACTAGAACACCACCTGCGACTTCTTCCGTTTCTCGGTCTCTTCAGACTACGAATAAGTCATAGAGATCCCCTTTGTCGAGCAGGGGCTATACATGGACAGATCTGGGGGACCCTTGTTCAAACCACGCAGTATCACAGCGCACCTTGGGTAATGACCCCATCCGCATGCCCTGGAGCCCTCTCGGTTTGTCCGGACACCCGTGTATCTGGTTAACTCGCATGCCATACTGATAGGACATCGTGTCTCTATAGAATGCGGGTCTATGCTGGTCCGTTGGGATACCGTCGGCCAAGAATCTGGCAACCCGGCTAAAACCAGCTCGACATGAGGCAGAGGTGATATCCAGAGGGGTAGCAGTGGAGAGTGCACCACCATATTGATAGCCTCAAAGGGTTTAACCTCGGTGCACAATGGTCGTATTTTGACATGATTGATGCTAAATCGATTCACATCAAACGCACTCTTGCATTAGTTCAACGCCCATCAACCGCTATTGTAAGTGACATGACCAACCCCGCAGGGAAATACACTTCGCCTCGGTGGCAATTTGGCAAGTGATATTATATTCTATCTCAATATAGGTGGGATTATCTATCATTCGTCGAAATCACACGCTAACGTATGGCATACGGAAAGTACTGCATATCACTGTCGATCAATCCGTCTTATCCGCTTCCGCATATCCTTCAGATAATACCTCATCGGGATTGTCCGAATATAGGTCGGAATCAGAGGATAAATCGCCCTGGTCATTTCCAAGACGATACGATACGTCATCCTTTGCAGCACCGTGCTTTCGAACCCATATGCCCGTCGGATCCGCGGAGGAAGCATCTCCACCGTGATCAGCCGAATCAATGGCATAAGCATCGCCACCAGCAGCGGAAGCCTTGCATTGTATAGCAGATCATAGGCCACATGTTTCGCCTCTGGAGTGACCTCCAAGCTTTCGATATGCTGGTTCCAGTACGCCCAAATGTCCCTTCGATCGGCCGGCCACATCTCCGCCGGTACGCGCAGCGATACCGCAAAGATAGCGTACTCCTGATACAGGACTTCGGCGGCTACTGGCTCCATCGATCCAAAAATATCCTCATACATACTAACAGCAACGGCATAGAGCGTTGCTGCCACCCAGAGTTGGAGATGCGCCTCGTCGGCCGAGTAACCAGCCCCCTTGACTGAAGCATGCGCGCGATGAACCATATCGACGATGATGCGTTTCTCCTGCGGAGTACCGAAAGTCATGCATTAAAGAAAGGTCATCGTCGTGCGCAGCCGGTCAAGTGGTCGGTAGACGAAGTTGCTATGACGGTCAACAGCTTTACCGATTCCCGGCATGGCAACCTGAAGAAGAATGGCAACTCCATCTCCAGCAAGAATGAGGCCTTCACGGATGACTTTCTGGATGTGTTGAGAATTATTGAGAGAGGGCTTCTCGAAATCCACTGCTGATGCAGACAATGCTGCAAGCACCGATGAATATCTGCCATGTGGCCACAGCCTGATAGAAAGAATAATAAAGGCTGCCAGGACAGCTACGACGAAGTGGCTCAATATCATCCTGAAGACTGTATCTGGAAAATGTCTACGAGAAAGTCCCTACGAATGTCCGATTTTCATCCGGCGCAGGTTCCAGGTCAGCCGCACAAAAGCAAACATGACTAGCTCCGACTAGCAAATTGCACCTGAAGGTCTTGTGCGCGCTAAGGAGGTCAGGCGGGACCGGAGGATGGCGGAATTAAGGTCATGATGTCAAGACGGCATGACGGAACAATCTCTCCGGCTTACGAGCTAGTAGAGGACTATCAGCCCAATGATTGGACATTCGTCTCACAATAAGAAGATTGGCAGTGCAGGTTCAGGAACAGCTGAGGTTATATTGTCAAAGGGAGGTAGGACACGGGGTATCGAGTATGTACTGACTACGTCCTAGATACAAGAAATCAACAACGCCAAAGATAGACACAGATACACTACAACTTTGGCCTCAACGTGGCCTCTTTAACCTCCCTTCGGCTCTCCTCCCTCAACACCCTCTTCAAGATCTTCCCGCTCGCCGTCTTCGGGATCGCCTCTACAAACTTGACACCTCCCGTGAGTGCCTTGTATCCCGCTAACCTCTCCCCCATCCACCTCTTGACGGTCTCCTCTGTCAACATCTGCTCCTCCGTTCCTGGCCGTCTGACCACATACGCCCGTGGGAGTTCCGTCCCGGGCACCACATCTCGCAACCCAATGACAGCGGCATCCACAATCAACGGATGCGCCAACAACACGGCCTCCAGTTCTGGCGGAGCAACCTGGAACCCTCGGACCTTGATAAGCTCCTTCTTCCGGTCCACGATGTACCATTTCTTCGTAGCCTCATCACAATACGCGATATCCCCTGTATGGAACCAGCCATCTTGGTCAAAGGACTCCGCGTTGGCAGCCGGGTTGTTAAAGTATCCTGGCGTGACCGTAGGACCGCGCACGCAGAGCTCGCCTCGTACTCCGTAGTCGGAAATATTCGTACCAGCGTCATCGACTAACCTATACATCTATTAGCCCTGCACTAGCAAAGACGGCAGAAACCTGGGGGAATCATACTTAGCCTCCAAATTCGGCACCAATCTCCCCACCGACCCCGTCTCATCCTCCTCATCCCACCGAAGCATCGTCGCGATACAACACGTCTCCGTCATCCCCCAGACCTGCGTACAGTTTGCACCCGGCCCCAGCAGATCCTGAAACCGCTTCTGGGCGTTCTTATCCATCGGTGCCGCGCCCAGGTTACTCGCGCGGACCGAGCGGAGATAGCCCCGTTCGTAGGACATGGGGTGCATGATGATGGCGATGGCAATAGGCGGGACGACGGTTATCTCAGTGACCTTGTACTTTTCCATGGTCTCGAGGAACAAAGTGAGGTCGAAGCGTCGCATGACGTAGTTGATGTGGCCGGCTTTGAGACTCCCAAAGTGGCTGCTCGGAGCGGCAGCGGCGTGGAAGAGTGGCATGGGCATGACTCTGCTGACCTTCACATACCCTCAGCGCATATCCCATCGAGCGATATAAATAGAACGAGAAATAGAGGGTATGTACGTACCCGCCACGGCCTTGGATTCAACTCAAACACGAGCTCATGTTCCGCCACAAAATTCATATGCGTGATATTCGTCGCCTTCGGAAGCCCCGTCGTCCCACTACTAAACAGCCTCGCAGCGGTAGTCATACTCGCAAGCACCTCATCGTCAAACCTCACCCAATCCTCTTCCCCGTGCTCGAGTAATTCCGTCCAGGACACCGTTCCCTCCGGTACTGACTGGCCCAGAATGTTGAAGATCCGGATATGTTGTGCCGGGATGGACACCTCTTTCGCAGCCACCGTAATCGGACCGAGAAGCTCTGGCTCGGTGATGATAAATTTCGTATCCGAGGCGCGGAAATGATGGCTGAGTTCGAGGGTGGTATATGATGGATTCGAGCCCGTGAAGATCCCGCCTGCACCGACGATGGCGAGGACTAGCATGGTGTAGTAGATCTGTCATGTTATTTATTAGATTAGGTTGGTCTTTGATGTTGGATAGAGCGGTATACATCATTGAAAGAGTGGATGGCGACACAGTCGCCCTTTTGCACGCCCCAGGCGCGTAAGCCCGCGATGAGTTGGCGGATGATGCTTCGAGCTTGATTGTAAGATATCGTGCGCGTCGGATTATGTACATCAATGTAGATCTATGCCCAGCCGTTAGAGGAGGCATTGTTTGACGAGGAAAAGTATGGAGCTGAGATTACCGGCTCATCGTGGTCGTAAGGCGGGTCGGAGAAGATATACGAAATTACATCGGTGCAAGGCACTGGGGCCGTCGCTGCAGGGTGGAAAATCATGCTGGAAGAGACAAGGAAGGGTGGACAAGGAAATGCGAGGAGACAAGGATGCAGGGGCTGGGAAGACGCATGATGCCTGGCGAACTTATAGGATGATCAGGACTGCACGAGTCAGGATGTTCGAATAGGGTTTCTATGGAGTGTGCTTCATATGTATGGACGGCATGTCAGGCGGACTGGGGCCATGGGCCGTGCGACGCATGGATGGCATGAATGGCATGGTGTGTGCCGTACACCCCCCGCTTGCAAGACAACGATATTGTTGACGGCAGGTCGGAAGACGAGGAAAACGCCAGGGCTTCTGCAGGTCGGAGAATATCCAGGAATCAGCGGGGAAAATGGTCGGTCGGGGGCTCAGATTTTAGTGTCGCGCGCCGTTTGAATTAGGCCGTCGAGACCAATGGGGATGAGGCTGGCTGATAACCAGCAGAGTAGGCAGGCCACGGACCCGCTGGGTTGCAGCAGAGCAGGCCAATGGCTAAGCTGCTGGGCCCGCGAAGCTCGCCAACGGCCGTGGGCTGGCAGATAGTGGCTCCGGCCGATGCTCATCACCGATCAGAGCCGAAGCTGGAACCGAGGATGCGTCCGGATCCGTTCGCCATACCGCCAGAACAGGCCCGGGCACACGCACGGTGTCAGCGCCATAAATGCCAGCAGCGAATTACCCCAGCCTACCCCGAGCCTATCATACAACGCTGGTCCGCCTAGTGGCAGCACCGCTCCCACCAGCGACCGCAGCACCGTGCTGGCGGCCGTTACTGATGCCGCTTCTTTTAGGTACCCTTCCACCAGATACGCGTTGGTCGCGATGAAGACCATCATCAGCCCCAGTGCAAACACCCCCGTGCCGATGATGGGCACGATCCAGTGTGTCTGGGCCTGCGCGGCCAATCCGTACTAAACCAGGCCGATCGGGACGAACCAGCAGCCAACTGCCATGGGCGGCAGACGACATTCAGGCGTGAACGTGCCGCGTGCCGCGTGCTTGACGGCAAGCCGGTAGGACACTACCCCGTACGAGGCCAGGCCGGTGACGCTCCCAAGTCCAAAGCCCAGATAGAGAGACCGACCACCCCGGTGGACCACCCGTAGGTGCTTGAAGATTAGTGGGATGGTCGTGAACATCAGATACAGATAGCCATATGTGATGGCGGCGAACAACGACAGTATTAGAACGATGGACAAGAACGCCAGGAGCTTCATCGGCCGGGCTAATATGTTTAGGTAGGAGTGCGTCGTGAATGGGCTGGTATAATACTTGGACTGCAGATTCGGGCTGCCTGTCTCCTTGCGCAGCCGCGCTGCCTTGCGTTCCAACAACACAAGGGCATACGACTCGTGGTAGCATAAGATACATCCGATTGTGATGACCCCGGTCTGCAAGTGTTATTTGTCACCTCATGCACTGTGAAGTGTGCTTACAGCAATGGCAATCACCCAGAATACCCATCGCCAACCCTCGGCCTCGGAAAGGAATCCGCCTGCGACTGAGCCAACGACTGGCCCCAGGATAGGGCCTAGAGCCCATGCCGCCATGATGCCTGCGCGCGTTTCTAGAGGCACCATATCTGCCACAGTGCCCGATCCGATCGTGAGCGGGCAGGCGCCACCAACACCGGCTAACAAGCGAAAGACGATCAGCTGCGGCAGGGTCTGCGCCACCGCGCATACAACGGTGAAGACATAGAACAAAACATTGCAGACGTGGTAAACGGGGACGCGACCGTAGATCTCGGACAACGGCGCGATCACAAAGGGGCCGACCATGTAGCCCAAAACAAACACGGTCACGACGGAGCCCAGCGTGGCATTCGTGGTATGGAAGTCGGACATGACGCCTCTGAGTCCTGGGGTGAACATGGACGACGCCAGGGGTCTGCTTGGTTAGCTGCCAGACTCTACTTGATGCAGATATTGAGGCTCACGTTATGACTGTGTTACAGGACACCAAGATCAACTGACGCACGTCTTGCTCGTGGGCCAGTTCAAGGGATTCTCCGGGTCGTCAGGTCTGTCCCAATCGACCGTGGCACCGGCACTTCTCTTAGAGAGGAGTCCCTGTGATCTATTCGACTCGTGCACCTGCAAGATCTGCCTCCCTGCCTGCTTTTCCACATCAGTTGTACTCGAGTGCAGCAACATCTCCGACTGTAACAGTAGTATGATGTGGAAGGAAGCTAGGAATATGGTGCAATGGCATTCGGAGGGGCTTTTATGAGAGTCACGTCGGTCTTGATTGAAATCCTACATTGCTTTTGGCAACCGTGAATAACCCGAGCGGTGCATGGGATGTCCAGATATGGAAGCTCCTCGGCTGCCAACCCATGGTTGAGCCTGTTGTTACGCGACGGTTTCATCCAGTTTATGAGGGCAGTTATGCATTTTGTTATTAATAATGTAGGACAGGCGTCCCTTGGCACATGCAGCTGCGGGTTGCAGCTGGTTGAGCCTGGCTGGTCTCAATCTGTCATAGTTGGAGGACCGGGATGGCCTCAATCAAGTCCCTGGTCGACTCGGGGGTTTCCCTCGGTCGCACCCTCGATCCAGTTTCCTTTGTTCCGATCTAGGAGCCGGCTTTCAGCTGGGGTCTCCATTGCTCCGAGCAGCAAGGCCACGAGCGATGTTGACGTATGCCTTACAATCCAATCCAGATCATCCCTGAACGTGCAGAGAAGAGGGTCCTATTGCAGGGAGGCGAATGATGGATACCTGCGGCCGTCCCGATAAGCAATTCCAGGGTGGTACGTGTATCGTGCAAGGATCCCCACCCCAAGAAGAGATAGATTGCGAGACTGCGAGGTTATGAAAATCCAGGGAGTCTTGCAGAACCCTGGTCGACGCAGGGTCTACCACGGCTTCACCCCGAAGGTCCTCGTTTACCTCCGTCCATGTCGAATCAACGAACAATGCGTTGAAGACCGCGGGTTGATGTATATCTCAAAGGGAGAAGGATATGGTGCGAAGGTCGCACAGTCCAGCAAGACGCCAAGAGATGCTGCGTGGGTTAGCGTTCGGCAGGCTTCAGGTTTGCGAAATTCGCCGGGGTCCCTCCGGCAGACGATCCCAAACCCACCCGGTCAAACAGGAAGCTATTCCGCTCATAACGGTCGCGATGCAACATCGGAGCTGGTGTTGTCTTGCCGTCTTAAGACGATGATTTGGAGGTCCCTGGTGGATTCCCGGCCTGGATGCAGTCAACTGGTGAGCTAGTCTCATGGCAGTATCGATCTTCCCGCCCTATGAAAGCTGTTTCGTGATTGGAGTCTAGACCCAAAGTATATTCAGAGACAGAATGAGACCTGATGAATAAGAGAGGCATAATCGACTAGAGCCTAGTGCCTGCTGGGATGTTTGCGAAAACGCCACCAACTCCTCAGGTCGTGGTGACTGGCTGACGCTGCTGTGGTCATATTTTAGTCGGTGGGTCCGGATTAGGGGGACGCGGTGCCGTAATAAATTGCAGAAAGATTAACGGAATGCTCAATTGGCAGGACCCCGTATCGACTGCTCTAGAGTGGCTTTCCTCATCCGGGGATTGTCTGTAAGCCGGACGTTATTCGGACTCCGTTGCGTGCAGATGTGTAGCCACTCGGTGGGTGGTCCTACCAGTAGTGGTGGCTGAGTAGCCTCTGAGAGTGTCCGCAAGCAACGATGCGAAGCATGCGGCGATCTGCGCGGGAAAGAGCACGGAGTCCTGTGGTGTTTCTTATCCATGCGAGACAAGCCTTGAGCGCCGAGAGCCTGCAGAGTGCAAAGGCAACGGTTTCTTGGCACCGAACACCAAGGTGGGTGCAATAGATGCCTGATTAGGTTGCGAAAGTCGTCTCTGACGTTTCCACGGACAGCCGTCACTGAAATCCTTGATTGTATAAACATACGGGATATAGGATGATCAGCTTGCCCGTGGCTTCCGGAGAGTACTCAAATGGAAGGGTTGGCTCGCTGGAACAGCAAGACCTGACCATTCCTGACCTTTCCAGAACGAGTAAATTAGACGGTAGGCTTACTCCGAGCTCCGGGGACAGGGGCTGTTTGATTATTATCTCGTTCTGGTTTGCTCCTGGCCAGGACGTACAGTAGCGTGGGAACCTGGACTGGGATGGTTGGTAGGCCGATCGTATCAGTTTGATATTCACTATCACGATATCTTTCGTCGGAATGATCATTGTTTGCTTCGAGGTTGCAAGGACGTCGTACGGAGGAGTCGCATGAACCTCCTTCTGGGCACGGCTGATCCACCTCTTGACAACTCTCGGCATATCCGAGCGTTCAGACCACCTGCAGGAAATAATCTTCAAGATGCCTAGGGTGAAGGGCGACCGCCCCTGCATTTCTCCCGGGTCGTCCCTGAGGCTGTGCAGAGACAAAGACCTGTCCCCTGCAGCCACGCTAGACACCCGAGATGTCTATCCTGCCTTGCACCTAAAGTACAGATACTTTAGACGAAACCGCAGGTTGCCGGGTTTGACCCCGGTTCTAGGTGGAGCGGCAAGCAGGTTGGAGACGTGCGGACTCCGGCTTGACGGCTGTCAGTGTTCAACTGATAACATCTGCTCGGCATATGGCAAATAGGCGCATGCGGCGCTACGACAGTGCTACTGCACGACACGCATTGCTTCTCCCCGAGCCTGCCAGCAGGACATCTCCTCGCCTTCATAGGCATCCGGTGAAGTGGGACACCGATTTCGTGCCCAGCGGGTGTTACGGAGTCAGCTTATGGATCGTCCAGCCATAAGGCTGACTGTATGTGGCGGCGCCTCTCGAAACCTAGAAAACGGGCGAGTGTCAGCCAATACTTGGATGGATCGGCGGAGGGGGATGGGACGGCACAGTTCAAGATCATGGAAGAGCTCAGACCTGGCAGAGAGGGAGGAGGAAGGCTGATCTGGTGACTACCAGATGGATGAAGTCTTCGATGGGCTTCGAATTGTTCCGCGCTGGGGTCTCTGCATGCAGAGTGGCAGCGTCTTCAGCGCCGGTGCAGAACGAGGCGTTTAACCTTCCGCAGAGACCAATGGGCGTGTGGGCGTGGTCAGATGATCCCGCGGCAATAGGCAATAGCAGGCCACAGGCAACCAAGCCTCGTACTTCCCTCTTCCCCCTCACTCCAATCCCCTTTCACCATTCCAACGCATCTCGCCCTCTTTGCCTGGTCGACACCTGAGCACTGCCAAGTTGGTATCCTCCATGTCACTCCACCGGTGATCATCATCTCACTCTTGTTCCCCCTGATCCGCCGCCACATGGGAATGTTCGTATTGCCCTCCACCTCAAGGTTTGGCCCCCAGAACACCAGCTGGCAAGCCCCACTAACCAAATCGAGTCTGAAGATCGACGTCGCGTGTGTGATCAGAGAACGTCATATTCTATTTTCTACTGCCGCGGTTCCGAGTTTTTAGCTGACGGTCTACTCCGTACATGACTCGTGGTATTTCCTGAGGCTCCGGGTACGAGGGTCGGGAATTGGCCGCCGCTAACCCGAGATACGGAGGTTTTAGACGCGTGGAGACTCCGTCGGATCCTAGTATGGATGGGTGTTGGGGACGGTGCCGGTCGTCATGGTCCATGCATCGGGGCCCAGCGGAGTGCGTTGCAGTCCCCATCTATCCCCTTATCGGCCTGCACCCCTCCTTCTTTATCTTGCACCAGGCTTAATAAAGTACATCTGCAGCAAAGGCGCCAACAAGAAGACTAGTACATATTCGCATCATGTCCGATGCAACTGTCCCTGTTGTGGTGACGGGGAAAAATACCCTTTGACTAGTTCTTCCACGGATAACATCAGGGATCCCCCCGACATACGTGATCGAATCAGGAAATTGGCTAATTCGTATTCAATGGTCCAGGATCGACCTCGTATCTGTGGATTACGCTGAACTCCAGTCTGACCAAGACGGAAGCACCATATTCGCGCCGTCGACTAAGAGTCTAGTTCCAGCAAGGCTCTGGTCCACTGTGGCACGCGCGGTGCTCGTGTGAATTTACCGGCCCCAGGAACCACGTTTCCTTCAGGAATCGATGGCTCTGGATCAGTGGATTCATCATTGCTGAAGACCTGGGTGGAGTGTTGGGAGGGGGGGGGGGGGAGCCTAAGACTTAGCGCGGTAATCCTGCGACAGCACTAACTTGCGGGCCATTCCGCTGCCAACGTGCAAGATACAGGAAAGACAGTCCCCGTTTTAGCCTGCAATCAATATCGTAGGGGGCTCCTGATATGCCACACTCAGCAGTCTGGCCAACGGCAGCCCCGTGAAAGGAGGGTCAGGCTAACCGGGCGCCCAGCAAATTAGAGTGTGGCGAGGAAATACGGGATGACGGGATTGCCAATCATCAGGCGGATGGGAGCCGGGTGGGAGCGCTAAACCCGTTAATCAGCGGTGGATAATGCAGCCAGAAGGGACGGCCGTGGAATTACACCAACCTGACCTTGCAAGTTGCAAAAGGACGTGGCCCTCCGCGGTTACATCCGAACAGGAAAGGCACTGCAGCACACGGATCAATCAGGACTAGACGGCGACCGTGGCCGGCGCATGACTGGCTGAACGGTGCATGCGATATCTTGGCTAACGCGGATGGCTTGGGCTTGGGCGATCGCCGCCTGGCGTGGCGTCGCGTTCTGGATTGTCAGCGGGAGATCGATTCCAAGACATTCAACCCATTGAGGGACCAGGAGCCGAGGACGAGACACGCGCCCGATGATTGGCGGCGCACCCTCCACGGGCCAGAATAATATCAGGGATGCAGGGCAACATCAGATTAAGCCATGCAGGAGACGACCCCTCCCAATTTGCTGCAACACCTATCTGAGGAGGAACTAGAGCAGCCATGGCTAGGGCGGGCGAATCTTAAGGAATCCATCCCAGGCTAAAATTATGATTTCCAAGCTACATGCGATGGATTCGGCGGATTTCCGCAGTCTGCACGCAGAACGGGGTGTATCCAACCGTCTCGAGTCGGGTCAGATGTGCAAAGAAAAGGATCAGGATCCTTTCAGTCGCGTCCCGATCGATCGTTAGGGCAGTTTGAGCGAGCCTTGACTAATCTGGCCGATTGTTTCCCCTCAACAGTCGCCCCGGATCCGAATTGGGTGGCCCGGATGTACTTATCGACTCGGTTCCCTCGGGGTCCTTTCTTCCTGGGGTTCTATATTCGCTCATCGTGGATAATTATATCTGATGCTCCTCCCGTCTGACCCACGACTTTTTTTCTTCTTCCTTCGTCCCCTTTGACATTCCCACCTTGTACCATTTGTTGCGTGCGGCTTACCGCGATGCCCGCTATGACCGTCTCGCCGGGTGATCAAACGTCCATTGACGTTTCGGAAGTCTCATCAGAAAGAAGTCGTGTTTCTATAACGGAATCCAAAAAGTCGAGTCCACGCAGTCAAGCATTGCCGCCGCCTCCGTCGCAGCCCACGGCTGATGGGGAGTACCGATGCGGTATCTGCAACAAGACGTACAGTCGACGTAGGCTCCCTTTCTTCCTACACAGATTGACCATATGTGGATGTCTCCTGAACACTGTTAACGGGCAATAGGTGATCTGCGGGACCGTCATCGCCGCCGTTGTATTAAAAACATCGGCCAGGAACGCCAGTCCAAGCGCAAATCCTGCGACGCCTGTGCGCAAAAGAAGCTGCGGTGCTCCATGACCCGGCCATCCTGTAGCCGGTGTCTCCAAAGCCGACGGCCTTGCGTTTATCCGCAATCGTCTGTTCCTGTGCTAGGAGCCACTCTGAACGACGCTCCGGAGTCACTTGATTCGTCCGCCGGATCTATCCACGCGGTTCCGGCCTGTGCTGGCCTGATCCCCGGTAGTACGCCATGGCCCCTGCCCGTGTACCCCTTTGACCCCTCTTCTACCTGCGATGAACTCAACGAAGTCCCGGGCTCCTGGAGTCCGGAGACCCCATCGCATGCCGACTTTGCCATTCATGGCGTGAACGACAGCACCATGTTTCCTATGCAGGATGTCTCGATGATCAACTCACCGCCCTGGAATGACGACTTTCATGAACAGGCAGAGACCTTTGGGCTTGAGGAATATTTTCCCGGGTCCATTGACACCTGTTCCAGCCACTCGATGTACATGCCACCACATGGGTCGATGGGGTCTTCGCCGGTGACCATGGTCCCGCCGACTCCAGCGGGTCTTCCGGGGGACTCGTACGCGGCGCGTACACTAAATCTGGCGTCGCTCTCGACCGGCTACTTTGATAATGTCTGGGTCGATGGCATGGCTCCTAACGAGGAGGAAGACGATCCGTGGCGGCTCAATACATACTCGGTTAGCCGGACCGGGTCGGCGTTTGGCCAAAGCTTCCTCCCCAAGACCAGCCACCACACTCCAGGCGACATCAGTGATCTCTATCAAGAGCTGTTTAGCTTGCTACGAGAATATCCCGGTCTAACTCTACAACGGCAGTTTTACTCGCCGTTTCTCCATCATCAACTGCAGGGGTATGCGATGCAATCGATGGGAGAGCCGCTGAGCACCACGCTCAACTCGATATCGTCATATGCGAGTTACATGGAATCGTGTGACACGTTTGACCTCACAATGCACAACGAGGATCGCCTCGCGGCGGCCGAAGGCTGCGTGGTCGCGCTCCATGGGGTTTGTGTCAATCAGATCCTCAGCATTTTCGGGGACAATTTCTCCGTGGCCCCCTGGGGAAAGCTGCCAAGTCCGGCTGAGGACCTTGGACCGGCCGAGGACCCGGTTTCATTTCTCTTGAGGGTACGTCGTTCGCTCCGATTGAGTCATGTCCTGCAGAACTCCCACTGACCGTGCATAGATGATCCAGCGCGTGTACAAGCTGCACGAAGACATCCTCCGCACGCCCCACGAGGATGAAACGGATTGGAAGCGATGGAAATTTACCGAATCGCTGCGGCGGAGCATCTTCTTCGCCAACATCATCAGCATGCTGGCTAGCAAAGCGCGGCGTTTCAACGGGGCATACATCGACCCGCTGGATAGCGCGATCCTTCTGCAGCTGCCGTTGCCGGCACCGGAGGAGATGTGGCGAGCCCGCAGCGAGGGGGAGTGGATGATTGCGCGTGCCCAGACGCTACGGTCGTGGACGCGGGGCCTGGACGGCGGCATGCTGCCAGCTCCGCGGACCCTGCAGCAGTTGCTGGTGCTAGAGGAGATGGGCAGTATGAGTGTTACGTTATTGCTTCCCATCACACGAATGATCCTGGCGTGTGCCAAGCTAAACGGGGCGTCTTATGGTTAAGCTGTCTGGGCTGTGATGATTGATGTTTGTTTAATACCCTGAGCCTTGCTGGTTGCCCCTGCTCTTGCAAGGATGTATGCGTACTGCCTAGATTAGATGGCTAGTTACAATGATGTGATTGATGACCTACGGGAATCGGGAATTCAATTCCGCAAAACAATGTAGGATGGCGAGATGACAACCCTCAGTGGCGACACTGTTAACAATTACGACATTGCTCGTGGATGCATTGCTCGTGGATGCCACCGGACGTGAGGATGAGGGTCAGCCAGCCGCGTGTAGATCCCGAAGTCTCGACCAGCCAGGACCGGCGACCGTAGGGTCCAAACCGACGAAGTAGGGGACTAAGAGGAGAGCAGGTAGCAGGTTAGGTTCAACGAGCCGAACCCGTAGCTTCCCGGGCGCTACGGGGAGTGGCAGCCAGCGGCAGCGGGCGGGCATCTCCGGCGGGGGTCCGTCCGGCCGCATGTATTTTTTCCGGATACCACAGCTACCCTACACAAGTCCGCCAGATAATCCCTCGGTATCCCACATCTTCCTGTTTCTCTACATCCCCGCGGATAACCCCACTATCCTTCAACGTCTCGGCACCTCACCTCCCAAGTCTGGACTGAAAGAAAGTCTTGGACGGGTTCTTGGACTCTTGGTATGTCAGTCTATAATCTAATCCAATCGCCACCGATAACCACTACCCAACAGGTAAAATCCATACATCCGAACACGGACACACACAGTACGCACATACATTAGCGGCATCCACATCCCAATCCCTCTCTTTTACCCGACCAATCTTGCACTCGCTACAACTGAGGGGGTTCATTTCCCCCCGAACCTAATCTCGATAAGCGCTCGCCAAGCCTGCAGGTTAATATATCCTTATGAGGGTGCATTTTCACATGTGTCTCGAGGGCCTGTTAGTGGTTGGGGTCCCGGTGGAGGTGACGAGCTGGGTATATGTTCGGCTTGGCGGGGGGGGGGTTGTTCCTTGAGGGTTGGAGGGTTGCATTGGGGAGGGGTGTCTGGGTTTGATTCTAGATTGCAGACTCTTGGGAGTGGGTTGGCGTGGTTGGCGTGGGTGGCTTGCTTGGGTTACTTGTTGGTTTGAGGAGGCTTAGACTTGGTTTTGTCTTGGTTGTGGTTGTGTTGTGTGTGGCCAAGGGATGGTAGATTAGTAGGTGGTAGTAGTGGTAGCAGCAGCAGCAGCAGCAGGAGGAGGTACTTGAGTTGTGGAGTGTTACGTATGTAGATACAGTAGTGTTGGGGATAGAGTGGTGCCAAGAGAGGGGTACAGATTCCTGTCGCTTTCGGTGTCTCCTCGCCACTCATTTTTGTCTGGTGTTGTATTGCGGGCTGTTGTATCTGCAGTATCATGCAGAGTCCATTTTTTAAAGTCTTTTTCTGTCTCAGCTACGTAGTAGCTAACTAGTACTTACCTAGGAGGTAGGAGGTAGAAGGTAGCATACGGAGTAGGACGTATCTCCGGAGTGGGTATGACTGAAGAGATATGGAGACGTTTCCCCGTGAATACTCCGGAGGGAAGTGGAGGTGCGTCGAGTGGTGGAGACACCGTGATTCCTCGATTCAGCATCCATCCATCCCATCGCGACTCATGGTGTTGATGTCATACCATCGCTGATCGAAACAATACCAAGAATAATGATCATCATAAGGGTGATGCATAATGAAGAGTAACTAGGGATCTTATGTCGATTAGTCAGATATAATATGATTTGATAACTATGAGATGGGATGGGATATCCATATCTACCCTTCTCTAACCCCCTCCCTCTTTTTTCTCCCTCAACCCTATCTCTGGCTACTTGCTCGTTATCTGGAGAGTATCTGCACGACCCCATGCCACAGTAAGTAACCTGCACGTCCCAACACCAACTACCCACTAATTCCTAAGAAGACCAGCTAACACCCAAAGAGTATCTATCCCCAGTCCCCGAATTCCCGACTTTCAATCCCGATAAACGCCGACGGATGGATGCAGTCATATCGGAGATTATGCATCTCCTATCTGGCAGTTTGACAGGTCGGGTTATCCGGGTGGTTAGGTGGGTTTGTCAGCGGGACTGAGTAGTGAGTTGGCTACGGAATATCGGGGAGGTGGTTATCGTATGGACTAGCTAGGTGCTAGGGGGTTGCTAAGTCCACTAGCACTCTCCGTAGGTGTAGTCATACATGCAGCGGCGCAGATTCACCTACACCAATCAATGGCCAACTGGCTAATGGGTTGGTATGTGTGCTGATAGGTGTCCTGCATGGATGCAATGATAGATAGATAGGTAGGGAGGTAGGTAGATGGGAGATAGATAACGCAGCGCGACAGGAGCCCCGACGGAGGGAATCATTCCTTGCACGGTGGAAGTGTCCAGTGCGCTGCCAGAAGAAATTAAGTTTATTTTATCCGGATAATATCAGTATGCGATGAGGTGATATTTGCCACTTATTGGTATTGACTATGCACGTTAAATGAAGGCATGGATGAATGGTTGGTTGCTGGTGGCGATGCTGAGTAATACGACATTGCACTGCATCCGAATATATTAATGCCAGTTTTGATAAGGAATTCTAGGAAGGGAGGGATACTGCGCTGGTTCATGCATGTATACTGCATTGACATAATAGAAATCCAACGAAAAGAGATGAATCAAGTATGTCATGTGTAATGCAAGTATCGCAAAGTCACCCTATTTTTGGGTTCGGTGTGTAGATCTCTATTTCTGTGTATATGTGTTGGTGTGTGCGGGTTGTGCATGTGGTGGTAGGATAGAGAGGAGGTTCGTTCGGTCCCGGACACCGCGTCCGAAATCCCTGTTGGAGTCGGAAATAGAGCTGGCTTTAGTGGAAGATGAATTTCCGACATCCCTGCACAATGGAAACTACCCGAAGGTGATAACCGGACCGAATCCAGCGATCGATTGGGAGGGGAGGGGGATGTTGGTGGTTTGTGCGTGGTTACGATGTATCTAGACAGGTTTTTTTATGCTAGGATGGTGCGAGGCTACGTTCTGATTGGATGATTTGTAATATATTGTTATTTTTGGAAGAGAACATTGTCATATGTAGAAACGTACATGTTGGGCAGGTCTGGCGGCGACAGAGGACAACTAGTGGACATGCACCGTGAGAAAGATAGGAAGACGCAGCCGGGCCATACTATCGGTGCTTTGCTTGTACTCGAATATTTTGAGAAATTCCAGAGATGTCCAGATGGCATTGAGATAGATACCAAGGACGACACAAGTAAAGCAAAAATCTAGAAGGAAACTTCCTCGCGTGGGAACTAGTATGAAGACTGAACTCGTTGATTGCGGCATAGTCCAGGCCCAGGTAGCAACACCTTATACCCTTCCCCGGTGTGGAACATAAGGAAATGAATTCCTTCGATTACCCACGGTCTTTGATCTTTGATCTTTGAAAGAATGATATAACCTGCAATAAGAGCAACATATGAAGAACCTGTCGAAACCATTCTGGCTTCTCATATGGCCTTTACGACCGCAAAGACGATGTCTCTTTCTGGCGAACACGCCAGCAAGCATTTTGTATAATGTTCCATTGTGCCTTTCCCCGGGGTATTTGCTCGTTGAGACAATATCTGTTCTCCTCGGTGTGCTTTTCTTTTTGCGGTTGGGAAAATGTATTCTCTTCTTGCTGTTTCATCTTCCGTCCCTGGTCGTTCTTTCGAGTCGCATTTGGTATATTGACCCCGATGAAATTAGGGTTCATGGATATACCCTGTTTGGGAGGGATTCCGAGGTGTCTGGGGTATTGTGGGTTCTATCACCGAAGATATGAGCGTCGCTCCTTTCTGCTCTGCGGTAGATGTCCGTATTCTGTGGGATTTCACTATGCTAGTACGCCTTGTTTCTTCACCTGAAGATGGTTTCCATTTGAAACTAAGGGGTCCATTTTGGCTTCATAGGAAGATCCTTTGCTGATTCTCTCGCTTGACCGAGACTTGAGGTCTTCTTTGCTTCTCTGCTAGGGGTGGCGAGTATGGTTGATATCGTAATATAGTTCGATGATGATATTTGCATTAGCAACGGCCGAGATACACTGACAAGCATCTGGCACCCATCCGAGGAACATCCGGTGACATTCTCGTTGTTCTCCCAAGGAAACCACTGTACTAGAAGCTTGAGTTCATCGAAGCAATGTTTCGGTTTCCGCTTGGTCGACAGGCGCTTGTGGCTGCTCTCCTAGTGGTCCAGAGATATCACCATCCAGCTGCCGGGCTTTGATCGACGATTATTCATCCCATCTCGTATATGGTAGTCTGGATATTATCTGTCTCCTTCTCTTTCTGCGTATATTCTCCGTCACTTCTCTCCTTGTTACCTGCTCGTGGATATTGCTTCCAACACACTGGAGATGGCATCCGGTAGCGTAGCTGATTGATCAATGAGAGTCTCCTTCACGTATCACTCACTCATTAGCTTTAATATAGACCCTTGGGATTTAATCTTGACCCTGGTGATGATGACTTCTTGTCATGTTCCAGGAAGGGATATCGATGGTCTTTGATGGGTAAGTGTCTGGAATGGCAGAAGGCGAGTATACACCATATCACCACCTGCACGTTGAGTGGGTTATTTGCTGTCCATATCATTTTCCGCTGGTAATGGAAAGGTTATGCTCCCAAGATCTGGGCAATATTGAGAAACATGGTTCTCCATGGTAACTCGGCACCGTTGTGAGAATTATACCCGCTCCTTCCGCATAGGTTGTAAAAGATTGACCGCATGAATCCGGTACCACCAGTGGAAAAGCTGACCGACTTAGCCACAACACACGGATTTTATCATCGGAATGGATTGATGCCGGTGATGCATAGCGCATGCGTCAAGGAAGGGCTCTACCTGAAGAGTCACCTCTGCATCATCTATGCATGTCATCATGAAGTAGAAGTGGGACTTCCTTGGATATATCCAGCGAGAATGGGAAGATGGCAGATGCGAAGGGTACATCGGATACCAAAATTTGCATAGAGACCCTAACTCATAATCCTCTGACGGCACTGTGCCAACATGCATCGTGGACAGATATGGGTGACTCAGACTGGAGGACAGGATATTTCCAAGATATCACATGGCAGTCCAATCAGAGCAGTTAAAACATCATCGAGTCGATTATGCTCGCGGCACTCACAAGAGGGTTCCGGTCGAGTATCGTATCTGCAATGTGGATAAAATGGCTCATTTACCTAACTGGATGCTGCGATGACGGTCACGGTGATGATCTTACTGTTGATATAACCAGAGTCTGAGCAACCTAGTTGGTAATGGTATGTGTCAGGGTGCTTTAATAGACGAGGGTCTGGACCTAGGAAGGATTATTCTTAAACGATCGGGACCGACAATGGTCGTGTGATCGAATATTGTGCCGATAGTGACTTAACGGGGGTGTTTAGCCTTCTGCACACATTAATATGCGGTCATTTGTAGTCGACACGGTATCTGTAGCCCGTGATTTTCCATCGATACCACAGTAAGAGGTACTGGATTCGATCATCTAGCCGACTATTCTCGAATGCTTGCATGCATACCACACTGGGCACTGTCTATCTCGACACTGCTATGTATCTTCATTTTCGATTATTCTTGTGGTCTTGCTGTAGATATTTCCATCGGAATACCAGACATAAATGTCCCAGTAGTTTGAATTCTTTACGTCCTTGGTCCCCTTGTGACCCTATAAGAATCGCAGCCGCAATTCACGGCATTACCGAGATGCTGCAGGACGATTGCTTATCCCTTCAAACGGACAATATTCCCCATACCGGTACAGGACGATTCCTTTCCATATTTGAATGTCAGAAACATTGTTAGCTCAGAATGTATCTGATTATCAACCGGACAGTCAGCCGCATGATTCAATTAGGCTTCTGGCAGGGTCAGTGCATGCATCGATAGTCACATTCTGAGTTTGTTTATCGCCAGGATGATGAATGACACGCTAGTCGAGTGAGGTATCTTTGCCGCAGCATCTGCCGACTCGATATGTTCATAGCTTATAGATGGAGGTCAGCTTTGTGCCAAGACGATCGTGCTTTGTTTCCGTATGAATGACCGTTAAATGGTGATAACAATTCCTTGTCTTCCGTTGACTCAACAGGTCATAAATCCTCGGTAAGTCCCCAATGCCTCTCTTGCTTCAAGCGAGGTTGATAACAGGAATACCAACCTTTATGTGTCATGCATCTGGTATTCTTCCGATGTATCACCACATTTCCTGTTGAAGAAGCCATCCCAACCAGGCTAACTCTGCCACCATGATGCCCACTCCATAGACAGAGAACACCATGTACTGGCTGTAATGATATAGCCCCGAGTCGAGGGCACGAATAATCGATCGACCCCACCAACCCGTCAGTTGCACACAACCATCCTATAATACGCTTATATCACGATAAGTATCTATTAATCACACCCCTGAAACAGGGCTATCTCCATTCGGTCCCTGCCTTCTAGGACTAATCATCGTCAATCGCTGTAACCCTACCCATTCTCAAGTTCTCGTTGAACCTACAGACACCAAGTAAATTCCCCCCTCCACGATAATCCGGGCGGTTCGCAACGTTGGGCTTGATACTGTCATGCCATGCGTATAGTATACCCCGGCCATCATTCCTGGCTATCCACAGCTCAGTCTACAAAGAGACAGATACCATCGGTGACTATCCCGTCGTGTCAAATCGGATGATTTGGCAGGCGCTGATTCTCCCCTCTTGGTGAGACATACCATCAACGATCTCAATCAAGACCACTGGTATTACCTGCCCTTCTTGGAGGATTAGGCCATGTTTGGGGGTTTCTCCAATAGTAGCATCGTGCAAGGGTCAGTACCAATCAATCGCGATAGCAGAAATCACGACAGAAATGCTAGGTCTTAGTTATTATTAGTCTCCAGAAGCCCTGATAATCCCCTTTCTCTCGGGGGTCATGGTGTGAAGCGATATCTGATCCTGATGTTGAAGAAAGGGTCTTACCCTGTCGAATACCCCGCCGTATTCGTTTCCATGATATCAATCTATAACTGAAGTTTATGTCTTTTCTGACCAGAGTGAAGTCCAAGAATAATTTCACGCTAAGTTAAACGGCTGGTTTCTGTCTGGCCATCCTTTTCTCGATGATATGCCCGGATGTGGAAATTGAGTAAGCGCATGAGAATATCGATGTTAGGATTCATCCCTCGGATTACTTTCCAGAGAATCTATATCTCCCTCTTCAAGATTCGAGCGAGGGATTCATTAAAAGGATGGCGATTTAATCATGGACGAAGCGTAGGATGGATAGATACTAGGGGAATATGCTGCGCTGTCTTCAATTTTGATATCAGGGGTATGTAGAGTAGATCTCAAGTATTTGTCCGAAGTATAGGAGAAGGGGGAGATCTCATGCATGATGCTTGATTGCGCTGTATTCCAGGTTCTGAGATGGATGATCGATTAGGAGAAGGAGTGTGGGGACATTCTGGATTTGATCGCTATATTTATCCGGGGGTGAATTGTGGGGATCGAGTGGTTGAATGGTTTGGTCCACGGGGAATTGGGGGGAAAATCAGGGGTGAATCGTCCTCCCTTCCCTTCTTTTCCCAGTGACAATACCACTACCATTCATCATCCCCACTCCATAAGTAATTATTACATAGAAAATCTATTAAATAACGTAATCGATCGCTAACCCAACAAACACAAAAGCCACCCAGGTATAAGGAAAGGTATAATCATGCATGATAATCACCATGATGGCTCTCATTAGTACTCGCATTCGTGACCATTTCCACCGTCTGCGACACATCCACCGTCTTATGAATCCCCCCGATATCTGCACCGGTATCCATGTCCACCGTCCCTGCGAAGGTGATCAGATGCGACTGGTCGCAGGCGGATTCGGTGCCGTCGGCGCGACGGGATGTTCCGAGTGAGAACCGCTTGTTGCTGTTTTTCAGTTTGCTTAGGTTGACGGAGGAGTCGGGTTCGTAGTAGCGTTGGGAGCTGTATTCTTTCTTGCGGAGCTTGTTGATTAGGATGTTCACGGTCGGGAGACAGGCGCAGATCATGGCGACGCCGCCTTCGGCGTTTCTGCAGGGGTTAGAGAGGTACGGACTATGGTGAATGGAGACTCACCCTGAGAGGATGACAATCGTAAAGACGATTGTCTGGTCGTTGGAACTGCCATCGCGCAGGACGAGCACTAATCGGTACAGACTGAACGCTGTGGCCAGACCACCCGCCGATAACATGCCAATCACGCGCAGTTTCTTGCTCCGGGACATTTGCAGCGACCAGGTCAGTGGCAGCGGCAGGATCAGGATGATAAAGTCGGTCACCACACTGATGACGGAGTCGGCAATCAATGCAGCCCGTTGGTTCAGACACGATGCCTTCGGATCGAGGGTCCAGTAGCCCGGAACCGGATCGCACATGCGGATCTTGATGATTTCCGCAATCACATAGTATACACAGAGACAGCCGAGGAGGATGTAGATGAACAGAACTTTGGATCGGTAGGGACTGAAGATGCGGATGAGGATGGAAAGGAGGGCGATTTTGACGAAGAGGGCCATGGGGCAGTAGAGCACGGTGGCGACGTAGCAGAACTGTCTCATTAATAAGATTCCATATACTGCAGTGACTGAGTATACCTTTCGGAAAAGCACCTGATGTGCTGGCGAGACATCATCGATGTGGTAACCTCCGCCATAATGGCCCACTGACACTGTTAGACAAGTTGGGGCGATGGAGTAACGAACATACCTGCTATGGCAATGCCACAATATCCCATGAATAATACCCATGCGATCAGACAGGACCCTATTCCAGTTAGTATGTATGTATGCCATCGAGAATAGAACGTACAGTCTTCCACCCCCACAAACTGCTTATAGTAGATGCGAATCGAAAATCGCAGCAGCACAAACACGCTCACGATCGGAATACACAAACATTGCGTGACAAAGTTGATGGTATTGAGCACATTGTGAGGATCGCTGAGTGACATTGCGTCGGGTCAATGCGGCCTCTTCCCAGGCACAACATGGAGAACATATGGATCCTGACCGTGGGGAGACCAGAGATTTATAAATAGGCTTATTGCAAGTTCAACACGCTAAGACTGCGAATCGTGCCCGTCTAGCCAAGCACACAACTGCATTGTCCGGCGGAGCCGCCTAGAGAAGCTCATTCTTGGGTCGGAAGCTGGGAGACGACTCCGAGAAATGACTTCAATGGCGCTGGCCCATGATCGTCCCGCCCAGGTGTAGATGGAAAAACCTTAACAGGGGACAGCACCCCCCCGATGCAGTTGGTCTGGGAGGCGACGATGGAGCATCCGAAAGACCCGATCGTGATAGGCCCCAGCCGGTCAAACGTCTACCTGTTTTGGGACATGATGGACAGGGAGAAGCAAACATGCAGCTTGCATTCGACCATCGTGTTTAAGCTTGCCACTGGGGCGTCGCACGCGAGCTTCTATCCTCTTGTAGGTTACTCTGTACAGTCGGGGGACTCCGGCCCCAACCATGGTTCGAGAAAGTGACACCTGTCGGCGGGGTCGGGCTATCTGAATGTCTCATTGACCTGATTGACGGCTTTGATTTCATTATCTAATTAGCGCTGGACCAACCCCGATGAATGCGTAGGGCGTCGGAGATATCACGGACCTGGGAACAGGAGTAATAACATGTCGATTATTCCCCCAGGCGCTCGTTCCACTGCCAATAGCTCGTCAAACTACTTATGCACCAGATCCTGCCGCAGATAGGCCGTGGCAACATGCACTATCTGTCATGGCTGCAGACGAGGGATCGGCGCGACCTGAGCCAAACCGAACCAGGGAACTCGGTGCCGGGAACTTGGGATGGGTCGTGCACTGCAAGAGTCGAGAACTCAAGCTCCATAATATTCTCCCATCATGGATTCTCACAAGCCTAGCAATGAATCTATCGAGTTACCGCGGAAGTTGTTCTCCGGCTGAGACGCCGACCCGTGCCTTAGTGCGCCCTAAGCAGCCGCCAAGAGACGCGATAGGGGGAATTTGACTTTCGCTTGCTTTCCCAGTGGAGCCCCTGATCTCGACCATCCCAATTATTCTCTGGTCAATGTGATGGCTCACATTCCTCGGCTTATCCGTATGCCTGGTCAGAATTCGCCCCAGATCATGTATTCAGCAGGTGGCGGATTTAGCTCTGTTGGCTTCCATCCTTCCAGGAGATATCCCTGCTTCCGATCAGCAAGGCTGCAGGAGGCTTATAACCCACGCGGTTGCCACGCGAGTGCAGAAATCAACAGTGAGGCAGAGGCAGAGGCACTAAACGATTAACTAATCCGTTATGCAATCGCTGGTGACTGGTGGCCGCGCCTCCACTTCTCAAGGTTCAGCCCGTCTCGCCATTTAATTTCTCGTGTCCTGGACGCTCTGGTTGGGTTCCAGGAACTGTCAGGCTCCATCTGTCACCCCTTCGGGCAATGGGTCCATCACTCGTTTCAGTCCGGCGGAAAGGAGTGGACATGGTCAACGATGAAGCGAGTGAGGGGGGACGCGACAGCCCGTGTGACCCAGGGGTCATACCCTGCGGCCTGCGTGTCTTCGCTTCTCACTGCCCCTTCAGGAGTCATCGATTGAACTCAACGAGATCACAATGACCGTGGACCAGGTCCCAGGAGCAAACTCCAGGCTGTTCCAGCCCCTTGCCATTGCCAATGGCAAGCTCATCCTCAGTCACCGAGTGGTGCATGCCCCTCTAACTCGTAACCGGGGCGAGCCGTTGAACCCAAAAAGCACCGCCGAGAACCCCAATCAGATCTGGTATCCTGGGGATCTGGTGGCTGAATATTATCGTCAACGGGCCACTCCAGGTGGGTTAATCATTTCGGAGGGCATTCCTCCATCGCTGGAGGTAAATCCCCATCCCGCTGATGTGTTATCGTCGGTTAACCACAGCAGAGCAATGGAATGCCCGGTGTCCCCGGTCTGTTCACGGACGAGCAGGCGGCCGGATGGAAAAGGGTCGTCGACACCGTTCATGCCCAGGGCGGTTACATCTACTGCCAGTTGTGGCACGCCGGTCGTGCTACCATCCCTCAGATGACCGGATCTCCGCCCGTGTCTGCCTCCGCCAGTGTCTGGGATGACCCGAACGAATGCTACAGCCATCCCCCGGTGGGATCATCCAAGCCGGTTCGCTATGCCGACCACCCCCCGATCGAATTGACCGTGGCACACATCCAGCAGACCATCCAGGACTACTGTCGGGCGGCCAAGACCGCCATGGACATCGGCTTTGATGGAATCGAACTTCACGCCGGCAACGGATACCTCCCCGAACAATTCCTCAACTCGAACATCAACCAGCGGACGGACGAATATGGTGGCACCCCCGAGAAGCGTTGTCGCTTTGTGCTCGAGTTGATGGAAGAGCTGGCCCAGACGGTGGGCGAGGAGAACCTGGCAATTCGACTCACTCCTTTCGGACTGTTCAACCAGGCGCGTGGCGAGCAGCGCGTGGAAACCTGGACGTTTCTGTGCGAGTCGCTGAAGCAGGCACACCCTCATCTGTCCTATGTCAGCTTCGTTGAGCCGGTAAGCATGTCCGCGAATAAGCTCCTCCGCTTGCTAATGTTGTCAGCGCTACGAGCAAATCTTTAGTTACGAAGAAAAGGATGCGTTCCTCCGCAGCTGGGGCCTTCCGAACGTCGACCTGACCTCCTTCCGCAAGATCTTCGGTTCCACACCCTTCTTCTCGGCCGGTGGCTGGGACCAAACCAACTCGTGGGGAGTCCTGGAGGAGGGCAAATACGACGCCCTGTTGTACGGACGGTACTTCACCAGCAACCCGGATCTGGTGGACCGACTGCGCAAGGGCATCCCGTTGGCCCCGTACGATCGCACCCGGTTCTATGGGCCGTTTGAGGATAATGCGTTCCACTATGTGGACTATGAGCCGGCCGCGGAGAACTCGACGTCTTTCAAAGTCCAGAGCCAACTATGATTGTTGCACATCCTCATGATGCCATGCTGATTCAGTAGAATTAATAGAATAGTTTCGCTTCCATCTGGGTATGTCGTGCGAAGATCATTGATATACATAAATTTGCTCAAGCCGTATAGCCGCCGTCCACCACCAGGGCCGAGCCGACCATGTAACTGCTCATGGGGGAGGCCAGGAAGAGGATGGCATCGCCAATTTCCTCGGGTTGGGCCTGGCGACCGATGACGGCGCGCAGCTGCAATTCGATGTCCAGATAGCCTTTCTCGTACCAGTTGCGGGTCATGCCGGTGTCCGTATATCTAAATCATTAGCTGGGTTTGCAGTGGGCAGGAGAAACGTACCCAGGGCAAATGGCGTTGATGCGGATTTCCTTCTGAATGTATGCTTTGGCGTCCTACTCCGATTAGCTTACGATCGGGGAGTTCATCGATGCGACCGACCAATTTCGAGATGGCCACCACCGCTGCACACATTAGCAACAGTCATTGTTTGAATATCAGGGATAAGCAACTCACCGTGCTTCGCAGCCGTGTATGCCATCAGTCCTGATGCTCCAAGCGGGGCCGTGAGTCCAAACATCGAAGCGACATTCACGATCGTTCCCCGACCGAGTCGCTGGCCGCGCGATCTACAACATTAGCCAGCAGTCCCTCCATCGGGCGGATGAACATACTCCTGTGTCAGCATCTGTCGGATGACGGCTTTCTCGCAGAGCAGCACGCCAGTCTGGTTGATATCAATGACTCTCTGCCATTCCTGGACGGAGAGCTTATGTGTGGGGATGCCCATACTGCCCGAGATGCCGGCGCAGTGGACGGAAATGTCGATGCGTCCGAACCGCTCAACGGTGCGACGGACGGCCTCGTCGACGGCTTCTTCCTTGGAGACATCCCCGGCGGTGGTCTCGACGGCGACCTTGGGATGCGCGGTCTGGAGTTCGTCCTTGGTGGATTGGAGGAGGGCGGGGTCGAGATCGAAGAGCGACAGGTTCTCGATGCCGTTCTTGGCCAGCGTGAAGGCGGTCGTGCGCCCGATGCCTGAGGCTGTTAGTGCCCCGCGATGCATGGATGGGATGGGATGGTTGGGTTGGTACCTGCTCCGGCGCCAGTGATGAATGCGGTTCCGCTCACGTTGCAAGCCATGGTGTATAGCAATGGTGTATTCTAACCTTCTTGCTCATCACCCTGACTGTGACAGGGACACCCTTTTATTTCTTTCTGTAGTCAGACTGTTGGGCGGGGTATTCGCTGGATAATCCTTGATCCGGTGTGTTGGTGAGCTGCCAAGGCTGTCATCCTGGCGATGCGAGGGATGTGGAGTCAGCGACGATGCTGAGGTGGGGTCCAATCCTCGGATGGGAGGATTCCGAGCAAAGGATTGCCTCACGGACACTTGATGGCTGATGCACATATCCATGCCTGTTATGGCACTGTACATGCTACCTTTGGGGATACTAACATTGCTGTTTGATCCCTTGGGTAAAAGGTAGGCTTCAGTCAAGATGGCCCTCCGTCATACGTACCCCTCCGGCTCTCCGTTTTGGCCCCCATGCTACTAAGCTGGCCAGACCGGTCTCAGCTGAAGTGTTGGGATCGGCGCCTTGCACAAGTGCATATTCAGGCATAAGACGCGCAAGGCTGATTCCTGCCATTAATAATGGAGAGGCAGTAGCTGTCGGATGCTCTCGTGGAAACTTCCGTCAAAGAAATAGATCATATTCTCATACACCATAAGCCATGATATAAGCATAATCCATAAGCCGAACACGCCAAACCATATCTCATATCCAAACATAAAAGACGTCCAGAAAATCAAAACCCATCAAACAAATACATCCCTATCCCCATCACCATCATTAGCGCCGTCTCAAATATCAATCAACAAGTGAGCACAACTTACCAGCCATGAACCCAACCACCCACCCCCAGTGACGAATTCAAACCACATCCCCCGGATGCATCATCCCCTGCTGCTGCACCGGATACACCACCGCCTCCGGCTTCTTCATCATCCCCTCTTTATATTCCTGTCCATTCTGAGTCCTACTCTCCTGCCCCGGAAAATACTGATACGGCGGCACCCACTCTCCCCCACCCTGCTGCAGCTGTTGTTGTTGCAGCTGTTGCTGATGCGGATACATGAACTGCTGCTGCTGATACTGCTGTCGATAATACTGCGCGCGGGCTTTATCTTCGCGCCGCTCGCGACGTTTTCCGTGCAAGTGGCGGATGACGAGGAAGATGCAGACGCCGACGAAGATGATGAAGAGGATCGGGATGATGATGATTTTGCCGATGAGTTTGCCGACGCCCATTTTGATTCCTTTGCCTTAGATGGAAATGAGATGGGGGTGGTTGGAGTAGAGGTGGAGGTGGAGAAGGATTGGAAAAATGGAGGATGGAGGGTTGGTTGTCTTGTAGTGTGATTTAGGTGTAGATATGTCTGAATGTAGGTAGACAGGTAAAAGACAACGTTCGTAGATAGTAGTAGGGTGTAGTAGGGTGTAGTAGGGTGTAGTAGTAGTAGTAGTAGTAGTAGTAGCAGTAGTAGGCGGTAAAACAAGCACCAGCCAAGCCCTTCCACAACTTATATATCTCTTCCAGACCAGCCCTACCCGAGCCCATCCCGTAGGCAATCACATTAAAAACCCCCTCCCTTCAGCACGGGGTGCGCACATCCACGAGTCCTCACCACAGTGCTCAACGAGCGCTTCATCGAGCACGCTGATTTGACAGCAATCAGCCCTGAGGTGACATGCAAGCGGGTTCACCTGCGCCGGGCTGATCACATTGCAGCGGGGATGATGATTGGTGCATCCCAGCAAAGCTTGGTTTGGGAGGAGGATTGTCGTGGATGAGGGAAGGGCCAATCAGAGGGCCGAGGTTAGCGCTGCGGGTGGGAAAGTCGCGCACGGAAGGTGGTCCATAGGGCTGGAGGGCCCGTGGAGGAGGATTTGGGATGAGAGGGGTAGGTGGTATTCTTGATTTCTTGGAGGTTATTGGGTTGGTTTGGTGGTGGTGGTGAGCTATTTTTATGTTGGGTGGGATTGGGGGTGCTTTTGGTCGGGGCCCTGGTGAAAGTATACGGTTTGGACAACGGGCAAGGTGGACAGGATGTTAGCCAACAAAGAGGCGGAAATGAGGGGAATAGGGCTATCAGAGAGATAATGTGTAAAATTTGACGGATTTGCCAAGAAGGAAACTCCTGGTTGTACCACTCATAAAGCATCACTTCAACCAATCAGAAGGTGTTATTGTGAAAACCGTCGATGAATAGATATGCATAACCTTAGTCAGCGTAAATGGTGTTATGCAACATATACTGAAGAGCGAACAAAGCTTGCTTCTCTTGCTTAGCATACTGTCCCACGCCTATTTCTTTGCTTTGATAGTACATGGAGCCGATGGCACAATGGATCTTCCAATCTAAGCCGATCTGTGAGAGATTACTTCTCGCGATAATTGGCAGGGGTTTGGTCGCAGCCACAATACCTCACAAGTCCTCATCCTTTCCTTTAAACCATGCTATGCCATGAATTATGCCACAACGATTAGATTATGAGTCCCCTGCGGAATACTTCATAATGCTGAATAAAGCCATGAATGGATTATCTATCCTACTAAGAAGGGGTCGTAGCTCCTATGAATAGCACAACGAGCCATTGCCGAGATTTCCGGACCCGCCGCGGACTCCGCGGCGAACACGGCGGGCGCGGGTCTCGGAGCATAGCTATACAATTTGCCAGCAACGGGGTCATTTTAAATGCTGCGATTGCCTGTATGTATGAGAATATCATGTCCAATGCTATCGGCTTGCAAGACAGGATGGCTGCTAGAAGTTCGGCGACAAGGTGAGTCATTGTTGCAAGTGTGATTTTGCTAATATATATTGACTAGGGATGAATGCAGCCACCCAACAACAATGACTTCGAAGGATGCGCTCGAGACCTCCCATGACCAGCACGGCGATGAGAAAATCACCTTCGAGTTTGGCGGCGCCCCTGGGGTGACCCTCGTGATGCTCGGGTTCCCCATCATCATGTACTACATGTTCATCGGAGCGACTCTGTATGACGGTCACCTCCCGTTGCCAGAGGAAAATCAGTCCATTACCGAGTTCCTCTCCCATCTCGTTGACCTCGCATATACCCACGCCTATCCCCATCGCAAAGCCTGGATCATATACTGGACCTTTCTGGTCTTAGAAGGAGTCGGATACCTCTACCTTCCCGGGGTATACGGAAAGGGAAAATGCCTGCCTCATTTGAACGGCAAGCAATTGGACTATTACTGCTCCGCGGCGGCATCATGGTATGTCACCATAGTTGCTGCCTTGGCCCTTCACTTCTCCGGACTCTTCCGTTTGAGCACACTCGTCGATGAGTTTGGCCCGTTGATGACCGTGGCTATCTGTTCGGGTTTCTTGGTATCGATCATTGCGTACGTGTCTGCATTCGCAAGAGGCGCACAACACCGGATGACGGGGTCTCATATTTATGACTTCTTCATGGGCGCGGAGCTGAACCCCCGGTTGTTCGGGTGGCTCGATATGAAGATGTTCTTCGAAGTTCGCATTCCCTGGTATATTCTCTTTCTCTTGACGCTCGGCACTGCGCTGAAGCAGTGGGAAGATTATGGATATGTGTCTGGGCCGGTGTCGTTCCTGCTCATGGCGCACTTTCTTTACGCGAATGCCTGTGCCAAGGGTGAAGAGCTCATCATCACTAGTTGGTATGTACTGAGCTCGGTGGATGGACGAAACTGACTGATTCAGGGATATGTATTATGAGAAATGGGGCTTCATGCTCATCTTTTGGAACCTAGCTGGTGTGCCCATGAGTTATTGCCACTGTACACTGTACTTGGCAAACCATGATCCGGCAACATACAAGTGGAATCCCATGGCACTGGGACTTTTATTCATTATGTACCTCTTCGCATACTGGGTGTGGGATACCTGCAACAGCCAGAAGAACATTTTCCGAGCCCAAGAGAGAGGAAAGCCGGTGAACCGCAAGACGTTCCCTCAGCTACCGTGGAGGTCGGTGAAGAACCCTGTCTCTATCAAGACGAAAACAGGAGACTCAATCTTATGTGATGGATGGTGTAAGTACCTCACCCGTGTTTTGAATCAGACTAACGAGGTATAGATGGCATGGCACGAAAGGTCCATTATAGCTGCGACTGGTTTTTCGCCCTTTCCTGGGGTCTCATAACCGGCTTCAACTCGCCCTTCCCGTGGTTCTACTCGTGGTTTTTCACCGTGATGATAATCCATCGTGCTCATCGGGACATCGAGCGGTGCCGTGAGAGATATGGAGAAGCCTGGCGCGAGTATGAGCGGAGAGTTCCATATTTATTCATCCCGGTGAGTTTCCTGACTCTGCTTCTGATTCAAGCTAACGTGAAAAGTATGTCTTTTGAGATCATGACTAGACGGTTTTCCACGACACAAGGACACGTTTAGAGGTATCGCGGAATAGGTGCCCCTTATCCGGCAAATAATAGAACCGTATCTATGGTCAGCCATGCATCACCTATATACCTGTTGCCAGATCCTATAATTCATGGTTTAGATGATAAGTTTGGTGACATGGATCAGAGGATTTGTATCACTAAGAGGCCTTGTCATTTACCTCATCTTTGCATGTACATAGCGATGATCTTATTAATGATCTAATCAGATTTGATATCCTTTGTCACTAAACCACGGTTCATCGACGCGTCCTAGGACGCGTCGCTCATTGGTGTTCCTCGAAAGCGGATTTTCGCGATTGTTTAACATGTCGGAAGTTTGGCCATTCTGATTGGGAGGCACCGACGTAGTGAATGCGCAACAGTGACAAGACATGATGTAATCATTGCACCGCATAGTCGGAACTCAGGATATCCATCACCGACCGGTTGGTACCAATAAAGTCATTCAGGAACATGGAAATGTCCGTCTGGTTCATGGTAGATTCAAACGTATTCTCCGGCCACGGAACATCGGGCAAGGCGATATTGCCCAGCCCATTAGTTGTAGGCATCACGAGGGACCCGTCTTGGTGTCGTTCCAATCCAGTCAGTGTCTGCTGTGAATTGACAAGAATCTGCGCTGCCCGGACAAAAGCCTCACAGACAGTGTACAGGTGCATGGATCCACGAGAAAGACCTTTGATCATCTCCAGGGAAGTCGTAGTATCTTGTAACAGAGCCAGGTCAGCTGTGCTGGCTGTCGTAATGGCGTGAGTGAAGACGATGACAAAGGGAGTAAAGGATGGGTAGAGAAGAATCCTAATTTGTTAGTATTTCCAGTTACCGGTGCAAGGCGACGTACCAGGTGACATATTCGGTCTGCTTGTGCGTCTGACGACCACGGAAGTAGGTAAAGCACTTCAAATGACTCTGTAAGGCGGCAGTTGCCGATTCGTAACAACGAGATGAAATTGCCATGACATCACGTGGACGTGTCTGCGCACGATAAATGACAGTCAACACAGAGTACGCTATGAAATCTGCGCAGGCTGCCATTCCATGTAGAGAGTCGGCATAAAGACCCTGGCTAACATCGATCTAAATACGTCAGTGAAAGAACTGCTAATCTAGAAGGAGGCATACCGCGAGAAGTTTGTCTCGTACGGCCATCAAGTCCAAAGACAATCGCTCTATCGAAGCCGACCTTTGCTCATCGACCGCTCGACATGCCGAAGTAGAGTACAGTTGATCATAGACCCTGCCCTGAACACCAGCAAATTCAACAATCACGAGTCCCATCAAGTCCCATGGTCGATGCTTGGGATCGTTTGATGGGGTAAATAGATCAGCATCTATGTCGTGGTCTTGGAAATGGGACGTCACTCCAATGTTGAGAGAAATGTTCTTGTCTATTGTGTAGAGTGCCCAGAACGCACGACGTTTTGCTTCGGCGACAACGAAATCGTCTTTTTCCAATGTCGAACGTCGATGTAGACCCAAGCTCTGGCACATGTTGAATGCTAATGAGAGGTAGGACCAGCACCGCTGGATGTCAAATCCCTCTTGTGCTTTCGTAACCTACAAGGGTCAGAATCAATAGACATCGAAAGATTTGACGTACCCCGAGCAGCAGTGCCTGCATTTTCTCCAGCGTCGGATCGATCATGATTTCAGGCATGCTCAAGCCAGCAGCAAACGAACGCTCACAAAGCTCGAGGCCAGACTGAAGGTCGAAGCGTGCGAGATCCGAATCACCCGCATGAAGATAGCCGCGGATGATATAATAAAGGAGGCCATAGAAAAGGGTCGACGACCCGGCGGGCACAGGATTTAGTGGAAAGTATATCGACTGGCATAATGATTCGACCCGGGAGGAGTCTATCCATGATTGGCTGACCAGGAAGAAGGGAGGTTGGGCTATGCGCGTCAGTGGGGTAGAGTGACGGAGAGGAAATGCATACATTTGACCTTCTTGACTACAGCTACGACCAGATCAACCGGAAGTAGCTGTTCTTTCGCTTGCACGGGCGATTGTTCACCACTTTGAGCCACGGAGGCGTGGTGCCTATCGAGGCTGGTCTTCAAAGATGAGAGCGCAGCAGAAACATAGTCACCTAGTTGTCCATCTCGGGAAGTATTCGCGGCAGAGTAAGCTGCGTCTCTAGCTACAAGAGTCTCATGATGGAATGACGACTGTCCCTCAAATGGAGGAGCTGTTGGGCTGGCGGAAATTGGAGGAGCCGGCTGTACGGAGGGTTGTGCTGAAGCCGGTGGCTGTGCTATCTGCTGGAGCGCTTTCTGGATGACCGTCAACTGTTCTTGAAGTGCTGAAAATCGTTGCTCACTAATGAATATTCAGTTTGAGATATGGCAACCAAGCAGACAAGGCACTTACTAGTCATCAGGATCACCTCGTCGCGACGGGCCCGAAGAACCCACTGGGGTACCGGCTGGCCCACAGGCGATCCCAAGAGCACTGCAGCTCGAACAAGGGACTACTTTGTCACACTTGATCTAAATCAATTAATCAGCCAGTGTGGGATACAGAAGTATAGGAGGGGTTTGGACCTTGCGGAGTCGACAATTGTCGCACTGGACTGCATCAGTTGTGAATCATTGCGATGACAATGAGGCCATACCGCGCGGGCTCGGAAGGAATTGCGGGCGATGGTGGGAGTTCTGGCAGCCATTGTCACACCTGACTATACAAGCCCATTAGAACGGATTCTGCCGGACTGAGAGGCAATTGTGCCTACACTTATGCAAGGAGGTTGAATGGAAGTAAATGAGGGACGGAAGTAAGCTCAAGTCCCAAGTCCGTTGAAGGGACACCATTCCCGTTTAGGCTAGACATCCCGTTTGGGATTAGCGTGTCTCGTGATGCTCGCTCCTCAGGCATGTCAGGGTTTCCTGATCGGGAGGTGTGGCACCTTGAATTGAACAACCTGGATCGTGCGGAGATTCTCCGAGCCACTGCCATCACTGAATTTCATCAAGCAATCAAGCATGCGGCTTTTCGGCAAAAGACACTCTACGTGCAGAGTATACGTCCACGAACGGGCCCCTTTACCCCGAGCGCGATAATAGCCTGAATGCAAGTTTAGCATGAATGCTTCCCCACGTTGGTGGCCCGACAATGCGGGGAGATTTGCACGATAATGCATATATGGGTGAACCAGGATCGGGGTCAGTCTCAATTGCCATGGAATTCTCAGCAGAAATCTTGCAGCATGAGGGGTTTGCTTTTCGCTTCACTGGTGTTAGCCCCTATACTATCGCCGACAGCGGCTGAAGATGGGTACAATGGCTGGCTGCGATATGCGCCTGTTGCTTGCGATCGGAGCTGTCAGCAAGCCTTACCGTCGCACGTTGTGCTGCTGAACAGCACCAGAGGAAGTCCAATTGAGACGGCTGGGCGGGAACTGAAAGCAGGCTTCCAATCTATTCTTTCAAAGAACCTGTCATCGGTATCGCTGCAGTGCGACAGTCCCGCGATACTGGTGGCTACTGTGGACGAATACCGGCAACGATGCGACAGCCACATCGACATACCTGTACTCGATGACGATGGTTTCTGGTTACAATCCCAAGGGGATACCGTTCGAATCCTAGGCCAGAATGCTCGAGGAGCCTTGTATGGAGCTTACGAATATCTCTCCATGCTAGCACAGGGCAATTTCTCCAACGTCGCTTATGCCAGCAACCCGCACGCCCCCATCCGTTGGGTGAACCAGTGGGATAATATGGACGGAAGCATTGAGAGAGGATACGGCGGGGCGTCGATATTCTTCAAAGACGGCACAGTGGTCGATGACTTGGCGCTAGTGGAGCAGTATGCTCGATTGCTTGCATCCATCCGGGTCAATGCCATTGTCGTCAACAACGTCAATGCCAACGCAACTCTCCTCTTACCCGAGAACATGAAGGGACTGGGCCGCATAGCAGACGTCTGTCGACCATACGGCGTACAGATTGGCATATCACTGAACTTTGCCTCCCCGGAAGACGTAGGCGGCCTCGACACGTATGATCCGCTCGATTCCGGTGTCATTTCATGGTGGCAGAATATCACCGATAGCCTCTATACATACGTACCAGACATGGCTGGCTATCTTGTCAAAGCTGACTCTGAGGGCCAGCCCGGCCCTGACACGTACAATCGCACCTTAGCCCAAGGGGCTAACCTTTTTGCACGGGCCCTGCATCCGCATGGTGGCGTGCTCATGTTCCGCGCTTTTGTCTACGATGACAACCTCAACGAATCCGACTGGAAGGCCGATCGGGCTAAAGCTGCCGTGGAATACTTCAAAGACCTCGACGGTCAATTCGAAGACAACGTCGTGGTACAAATCAAGTACGGTCCAATCGACTTTCAAGTCCGCGAACCTACTTCCCCCCTGTTCGCCAACCTCTTTCACACCAACACAGCTATCGAACTCGAAGTCACCCAGGAGTACCTAGGCCAGCAATGCCACCTAGTCTACCTCCCACCCCTCTGGAAGACCGTTCTCAACTTCGACCTGCGTGTCGACCACCAACCATCAGTAGTCCACAACATCATCTCCGGCGAACGATTCAACCGCTCCCTCGGCGGCTGGGCAGCAGTCGTCAACGTCGGCACCAACCGAACCTGGCTAGGCAGCCACCTCGCTATGTCCAACCTCTACGCATACGGCCGCCTCGCCTGGACCCCAACCGACAATTCCGAGCGTATCCTCGAAGACTGGACCCGCCTCACATTCGGCTCATCCCCCCAAGTCCTCAACACCATCAGCGACCTATCCATGTCCTCCTGGCCCGCCTACGAAAACTACACCGGCAACCTCGGCATCCAAACCCTCACCGACATCCTCTACACCCACTACGGACCCAACCCCGCCACCCAAGACAACAACGGCTGGGGACAATGGACCCGCGCCGACCACTTCTCCGTGGGCATGGACCGCACCATCTCCAACGGAACCGGCTACACAGCCCAATACCCGTCGGAAATCGCCGAGATCTACGAATCCCTCGAAACTACCCCGGACAACCTCATCCTCTGGTTCCACCACGTCCCATGGACCCATCAACTGCACTCGGGCGAAACCATCATCCAACACTTCTACAACGCGCACTACGCCGGCGCAGAAACCGTCCAAGCCTTCATCCCGCGATGGGAATCCCTACAGCACCTCATCGACCCGGATCGATACAACGCTATCCGCTCCCGACTGGTCTACCAGGCCGGCCACGCCATCGTCTGGCGCGACGCCATCACAAACTTCTACTATAACATGACCGAAATCCCCGACGACAAGGGCCGCGTAGCTCACCACCCCTGGCGCATCGAAGCCGAGAGTATGCTTTTGGACGGATACCAGATCTACGCCGTTAGTCCATTCGAGGCTGCATCGAACACCACGGCGATTGTCACGACATCGAATTCAACCACCGGGACAGCGAGAACCACGCTCAACTTCCCACCCGGAACGTACGATATTGGTGTGAATTACTATGATCTGTATGGGGGACAATCTCACTATACGTTGTTGCTGAATGGGAAGGCGGTGGGTCAGTGGGTGGGGGATATGGAACATCATTCTCTGGGTCATACGCCGTCGATTTACTTGGACGGACACTCGGCGACGAGGGTTACGTTTCGGGGGGTGGAGATTCGGCGGGGCGATGAGCTGGAGATTGTTGGTCGGGCGGATGGGGATGAGCCGGCGCCGTTGGATTATGTTGTTCTTCTGCCTCCGGGGGTGATTGACTGATTGGATGGTTGATGTCGAGTTGGCCAGATGGCTTGTTAATAATTGCTTCACTGAAGAGACTATCGTAAATCTATTGTTGCAAGCCTTTCGTCCAACAACTACCTATATGATTGGTCGTAAGTATCCATCAGTCATCCAGTCCAAAAAACTGCAGTCACAGTCCCCATTGAAGAAAAGTCTCTCTCCCCTCAAGCCTCAAGCCTCAAGCCTCTTGTACGACAATCCGTAAAGGATCACGATGACCACAGCTTCAAACCCATTTCCCCCCGCTAGTGACAACGGGGTTCATCCATCATCATCATGACAATCAACATCAACACCATCGATAGCGAATAGCAGGGTATATATCCACAAGCGTCCCGGGCAATCAGATCGATACGATATCTTTGCCAGCAAGCGATAATTCGACGACTTCCTTGCGGCCCTCTGCAGCTGTCCGTATTAATGGCCTTCCGCCATCACTGTCGGTATCCTTGGCATTGGGACAGACGCCCGCGTCAATCAGTATTTAAACCACATTTTCACGCCCAGCTGATGCCGCTATCGAGAGGACAGTCAGTCTATCGGAATCCTGGGACTCGATGTTAGGTTTAGCTATAAGTAATTTCCTGACGATTGCCTTGTGCCTGCCGCCTGCCGCCTACGATAGAGCTGTGTGGCTGCCCCGTGCGCGATGGTTTGTGCTTAACATCTCCATCTAGTGGCAGACGGACTATGGTATGACTCTGAGTGTTGTCTATAGGAAGAGCAACATGGAAGTAAAAAGGATACAGGCCGGACCGAAGAACTTCCGGTTAGATTGAGAGGAAGCATCCAAAGCTCTAGCTGGCACAACAGCAATATTCACTCAAATCCCGCCATATGGGCGAATGGCGCTTGACCCGTGGCGTTGGAACGAGGGCCAGGCGGAACATGCGTCCCTCAGACACAGCGACCACGTAACCAAGCTATGAGTGGGAAGTAACCTGTGGAGCGCGGATAGTCTAGCCGATAATCTTATACGACAGGCATCCAGGCTGTGAGCGTCGGGCTGAGAGAGATGTCTATATTTAGCCTAGCATGACATAGCTCTTTGTTATATTGGCTCAGAGACGTGCGACAAAGCAATAAAGGCAGAACAAACCATTAAACCAAGCGCCTACTTCCATCCCTATTGTCTAGGCCGAGGCTCAGCAGCCACCATACTATGCTGTAAATCGCACGAGAGCATCTCGCAGGCTCTTCAAGTGAGTCGGATCACTTAGTACACCGTTCTCGCTTACACAGTGAATAATACACAGTTGTGGTTCAGACATAGTTCCCTTTGACTCGTTCCTTCGACGAATTGGCTGGTTTCGGCTTGCTGTCAAAAAAGCGTCGCAGACTGCATATCGCTTGCCGATCCATCACTGCCACATCGACATAGGCCTCCGGGATCGGGCCATCGACAAGTGTGTTGGTGGCAACTATAGTATATCGCCGGCTGAAAGTAAAGGTGTAAGATCCGTGACCTCCGTATTCGTAGGCTGAGCCCGATGAACAGCCACGGATGACCTGATCCACAATTTGTGCAAGGCTCGCATCGTGCTCCATTGACTGCAAATAGATCCAGTTCTGCACGTCAAATGGGGTACTGTCGAGCCTTCGCGGTGATAAGTGAAATACCACACCGACAGGTTTGCCGGACGGATTTCTCAACTTGACAGCTGCCCAGGTTTCAAAAGAGGACGAGTCCTTGCCAGTCAGCCGTAAGGTGCAGCTTTCTGTATCCCAGACCCGTGACGGATAGAAGTCCTCGATGCTGAAAGACAGCGCTGCTGTATCTCCTCGATCGAGATTGAATCGACATGTGAGTCCTGGGCGAGGTTCAGGGACACTGGGCTGTAACCTGATATAGAGATCACGAGCCGTGGCGATTGCCTCCATTCCCAAGTCTACTCGCACCACCCGTCCGCGCGAAGTGTCATTAGCAAGGTCATAGGTCCTGTCCGGCCTTGGAGCCAGTGGAAGGGCCAATATGCCTGTGACATCATTTTCGTAGTGGCAATCCAAAAGGGCGAGGCAAGCCTTCCCGTGTCCGGCTTGATCTATGACTGGAAGTGAGATGTGGAGGCCTCGGTTGGTCATTGAATAGGGTCCGGTGCTTCGGGGACATGACCACTGCACGGCGTTCTTGAGAAAGCAGGAGGGAGAGGGAGCCAGGACTGTATATTGTCGCTCGCTCTCAATGTCACAATAGTTCCACGCAAAAAGGGTCTGATCATCTGACGTCCTAATAATCTCTTCTTGGAGCCTGATAAATGCCGCATTGCCTTCACCATATAGAATAGGCATGTGGACGCTGAAAAGGCCGAGAAGACAGTATGCCGCATCCTCCATCCTGGACGTTCGCCTCGTAGCTGCCCATGACATTTTCTGTGCGACGCAAATCGATCGTAAGGACTCCTTGTTCTCTGTGATATCCTGTAGAACTCGTTGATCTATCCCAGTAATGACATAGATCAGGGTCGATAGTGATCGTTTGGTACCAAGGAAGTTCCAGCCGGACCCGTAAAAGGCCAGGTCACTGGGCGCGATCAGCTCTGGCAATGTCCATCCTCGTGTGAACCAGCGGCATCTTGAAAAAGGGCCATCCATTACCGTGTCCGAGTTACCGGAGCTGCGCCCTTTGACAGATATAGTTGATCTGCCGCCAACACTGACCTTTCTGACTTTCTCATCGGGCACAACCTCCGGATGATCTGCTGGGACGTCGGCCAGATACACGTAGCATTTGCTCGACCGTAGGTACCACTGGTACATGGAGTTGACGGCTTCTGAAAGTTCAACACTGCTGCTTTTGTCGATACAGCAGGTATCGATCCAGACATACTCCAGGTTGTCCCTGGCCGCTTGTTGACAAGCATACTTGATTTTGCAGAACCCTTCCTTGTCTGTGACCTGACCCTGGTACCCGGACCTTGCGAACACCTGGATATCCTGCAAAGTCACTTCATTCTTCCCCCAAGTATGGGATAGAATCGCATAATCGGGGATGTCACTATCGAAGTATTCCTTCAGCCGATATGTTCTCACGTTGAGCAGCCTCATATTGCCATTCAATGCTGAGTGAAGACTGGCCTAAGACGACTGACCTTCTACCGGCCCTATTTCTCTTCATAAAGGGTGGGTGACAAGGTCGTCCCGAGCCAGTTGGCTGCTACGTGTCGGGCAATATGTCGAACATGTTTCCATTAGGTACCTACCTGGGTGGAACCACGCATGTTCCCAAAGCGATCGGTTGCCAAGGTGTCGCTAAATATACCAAGACAGCGGGGCGCCATTTCAGCTGTCTGACTTCTTCGTGGCCCTTGTTGGCAACGAAAGACCGATGCGATCAAGGAGATGAAGCAAAGACGAAGCGAGAGGACGACAGTCAAGAGCACATACCCACCGCCTTTTTCTGCCGCGTACGGCCAACGATAGAGACATCGGGCAAAGCGACTCTTCCAACACTACATCTCGATAGCTTGCGAAAGCCTGATCGTCCTGATCGGCAAATTCCAATCTTCGCGGATGATTGAAGCGTCATATCTAGTCTATAAACGCATCATGATTGGTCACAGTCTCTCATCCCAAAGGCAGTTTAGGCATCCTTGAAATTTTGTTGCGGTCCAAGGAAGTCGGCAACGAGGCTAGGCTGGAATAAAGCTGACGCATTTTTCATCTTCTGATCAGGGTCTGTCGCGGGCTGTAGTTTCCGGCACTACTTGAATGATGTGAAGACAACATCACATCCTGCCTGGTTGTTAACGACGAATCCGGATTTCCAGCCACCGCCACTAACCCCGACCAATCGCCTGACTAGCAATCCAAGGGAGCTTGATAGCAAGTGGATGGCGATCGTAGTAGTAGGCATAGCGAAAATCAAGCCGCATATATATCGTTCCTAGTGCTGTTCGCTATGAAAAGCTCGATCAGAATTCAGAATCGCGATCTCATCCCAAAATAACATGGAATCATTCACACAACGAATGGTCTATTGGGCCTCTAACCTGGCAACTCTAGGAACAATAATTACCACTCGAATTCTGCACCTTAGCCCTATGGACATTGAATGGCAGCCGATTATCATCATCGCTTTAGACTGGTTGGAGGGTGCCGTTGTGACGATCTTAACGCTATGCCCTGAGGTCTTTAAATGACTTTGTCTCACAGATTATGAGCCGGTCGACATTTCTCAAGAATGTTACATTGTCTGTAGCATACAAATTATGACGAATTGATAAATGATGTTAAGAGAATACTTTTTGCAGTAACTTGCGGGTGTTTAGGAACATATAATCGCAGTAACCCCACCTCTCTAGCTGTTTGATGAGCAAGATACTATAATTACACCTCCTTTCCCCAGAAACCTTGTTCAATCGCGATCAGAATTGTGTCCATTACGGCCAGTATGTAGGGGGATTGATCCACTTTCAGCATATGTTTTTTTTCAAAACTCCTGGGCTTGTAGGAGATCGGGTTCTTGTCTTGACAGTATACTTAGCTCCATAAGTGAAAGTCCAGCAAAATTAACCTTACCATTCGTTTTGGTAACATAGGAAAGGGTGGCCAATGCAAGCAGGCCTGAATCACCTGACCGGCGTCGGGTTCGGCTTCACGCTGGCGTGTCTGCTCTCGCCTCTCTCTCTCATCTAATCATTCCATCAAGCACTATCATTGATGATATTCACTTAGGGGGTCTCCGTCCAAGCACGTGCTCGATACTCAACTCCTTTTCGGATCCCTTCGTTCCACTTTCTGCGCACACAGCCGCTGGCTACGAATGAAAAGGATGATTTGAATGACAATTGCCTCAGTGACCAGGTACTGCACCTATCTCAGCGCGCTGCATTGATCTAATTACTCATAGCATACTTCTACTGGGTTCAACAGGGTCTTTCACCTCAGCTTCAATGATGCTCTGTCCGTCTCCAGGGGGAGCCCAGAACTTGACTACACGGAACCCAGCCGAATCCAACACCTTGGTCCACTGGCTGGCAGTCCGTTCCATGCTGTTGCAGAAAACCAACATCTCCCAGTCCCACATGGCCGGCAGCATCGCACAATCCTTGTCGGCCAAAACGAACTCTTCGATAATCAGCTTGGAATATCCCGCCTTCATGGCTGCAGCGAGATGGGTAAGAATCTGGCGGCTTTCCTCGTCTGACCAGTCATGCAAAATGAATTTCATGTAATAGGCCCGCGCGCCTACATGACAACTGCATTAGAAGACAACCATTGCGAATGAGCAGGATGTGGTAAAACTGACCTTGAACCGGCTGAGGTTTGAACAAGTCAAATGCTAAATGCTCAATCTTCGAATGTTGAGTAGCCTCAGCGACCACATGAGGCAAATCTTCCAAGATGAGACGTCCTGGTGCGCCAGAGAATTTGCTCTGGAGTGCGGCCAGATCATGGCCTCGTCCACCAGCTACATCCACAATAAGAACATCACTTTCACTCTCGCTGAAGCCATCGATGATTTGCTCCTGCACGGGAAACCACTCCAGCCAGCTGGGGCGACTGCCCCGATCCGCCTCCATGAACGTATTGGTGGCGTCCACATAACCAGGCTTTGTGAGCACCCAATCCCACAACGCCATGTCTGTCTTCTCTGCATATTGTAGCGCACCATTCAGGGCTCCGGATGGGTTCCGGAATTTGGTGGTGCGCAGAAACTCGGGCACCTTGGCCAAAGTGGGCATGCCGACATCGAAACTGTATGGACGCTTCGTTAGCCATGCAGGCTGGCAAGGTATGTGGCCGACTTACATAAAGCGTACCACTGCCCCACTCAATCTGTCCGTCATCTGCCGGGTCATTGTTGTGGGGATGTACACCCTGACATCCTGCTCCGCAACGTACCCGATTCCTGCCAAGATGCGCAACACGCGCTCTATTATCTGGCTTTAGCATGGCACTCGGGATTACTACCAGGGTGTTCACCTGTAAGCGTTAAATCAGCTCCCTTGACAGCCGCCAGTTCCTCCAGGGACACTGGTCCATTTCGCTCGCTCAGGGTCGAGAAAATCTCCAGATCCATTGCGATCCGCACACACATAACGTGGGTGGGCTGGTATGGTCAGTGCTCCAGGCCAACTCTAGCGACATGCAGGGACATAATACCGAATAAGCTAGATTATACACTGCATCTTGTGGTTTTTGAAACACCGTCACTAGCCTCTGCGCCGCCTGGAGTGCGGCTAAGCGATCCGCTTCGTTGTGGCTATTCTGAAATGCATCTGCAGCTTGCGTGACCTGTCCGACGAGATGATCGATCGGCTCCCGAGCGGCGCCGTTGGTATGGATGCTATTGGTGGACATGATGGAGATGGGAGGTATGCTGCAGTGACAGGGAACAAGGAAGGAGGAATACGGGGCCTTTTGTAAGGGAATTGATGGTGCCGAATCAAGGCCCCGAAACCACGCGACGGCCTCTTGCTGTAAGTGGAAGGAGGCACAGGACGGCGGGCACTGCCGGTGGACCTGTCATCTCGTCCCCGGTAAGGGGAAGTTATACTTGGGGAGTTAAGTACTTCTGGCTCGCAACGGCGCTGACTAGTCGCTCCATGGTGGATTTAGCTTTGGATAGCGGGAGCGACCCGCTCCTGGCTGTCAGTTCCGCGATTAAGGCGCCGTCCTCCCCAGCGCCATCAGCACTGGCCGCATTAGTGCGGCGCCGGTGCGTCGCGGAACCGGTTGGATCATCCGAGCGTCGGGTGCCTTGGACGGATGTCTGAGTCTCTGAGAGGCTCAGAGCAGGCGGAAGATCCCGATGCAACCTGATAGGGTGCCTAACCTTGGATACCTAGTAGTGTCCCGTTTCCAGTTTGTGGCCACTGGTCAGCGAAAGCCCGGACGGATCCCGGCGGCCCGCTCCAGGTAAGCATTGACAGTTCCCATTACACATATGACAGTCGATTCAATTCCCTATTTTCTATCCGCGAATTGATGGGCAGAGCCTGGAAAATGATAGTCCCGGATGCCGGGGGTAGTCTATGCATCGTCCGCAAGCTAGACAGGGATTTTCTTTGTTTGTCGTTATTGTTTAATTTAAAATCAACCGCTACTCCCTTGGTCAGGTTTCAGCGGCACCTAGCTTCAAGTTGCTTTAAATAATCCCCCAAACGCTGCTCGCACTTCCCGACAAAGAATGAACCATTGAATCGGAGCAGCATGTCTGCCGACAAAGGCACTCAGATCACCGCCGTGTCATGGAGTTTCGGCAGCATGGCAATCATTGTGGTCGGTATTCGATTGTATACCCGGCTGCTCCTGACTCGGAAAGCGGGCTGGGATGACTTTTTCATCCTTCTCTCACTGGTAAACCCCTCTGGAGGTATTTGTGTTAACGCCAGTCTAACCTCTGCGCTACATACAGTTAAGCGCGATTGTATGTTCAGGACTGGCTCAAACCGGCGTCCACTATGGGCTGGGGAAGCACATGTCGGACATTCCCAACGCGGAATGGAGAATCGAGGCCTACAAGTACACCGTCATTGCACCCAACTTCTCCATGGTCAGCACCACAACTGGCAAACTATCGGTAGCTGTCTTCCTGCTGCGATTGATGGGACAGGCGGCCACTCCGGCGAAACGATGGTTCTTATACATTTTCAGTCTGATTTCCATTGCTTGGAATGTGTTGGCTTTTGTTGCCATCATGGGTTTCTGTCGCCCCCCAGAGAAGATCTGGCGGCCTGAGGTTCCTGGTTCCTGTTTTAGCGTGGAATTTCAGTTGGTAGCTGGCATATCCCAAGCATGTGAGTACCTGGCCTTTATGATGTGCGATCAAGCTGATTGTGGCAGCGTTCAACGCTTTCGCCGATCTTACCTTGGCTTTATTCCCGATCATTATCTTCTGGTCTGTACAGCTGCCCTGGAGGATGAAGGTAGGTGTTATAGCGGTTATGGGCGCGGGTATTCTGGCAGCGGCAGCGACACTAGTCAAGGCCGTTCTGCTGAAGAATCTCCCTGCCCACTCGGATATAACATGTAAGTGCTGCTCATACAGGGTTTGGGCTGTCTAACGGTGGAGCCAGGGTCATGGGCCGACATCACAACCTGGTACTCGTAAGTCAACGTTCTATATACGAACTGACACCCACTAACATCTACTCCTATACTATAGTATTGAGGTAAGACTCTTGAGGTTACAACCATTTTCGCGCTAAGTGAGGCCCCAGATGTACGTGATCATCATATGCGCGACTCTTCCCACGCTGCGACAATCCTACAATTTCGTCCTGCATCGCACTCGCTACACCGGGTCGTACTATAAGGGCTCTCACTCCGGCCCGAAACAAAAGCCCATTCCTCTTGCCCGTCGGGCACCTGACCAGTCGTTGTTTGACACGTTCGCGGATGAAACCGTCTTGGTGAATGTCGCTTCTCACGAGAACACGTTCACGCCCGGCTCAAACCACACCTCCATTACCAAAACCACCGAGATCGAAGTCCACGAGGAAAGCAAGTCTCGGAAAGAGTCTTGGAATCCGCATTTTCCTCGAGACAATCCGTTCAGGAGCGGACGCCACTAGGCGGCCGAAGGATTTTAGTGTAGTTTAGGTTGAGCTTCTTCAAAATGGGTCTAAGCATGTACGATGGTCGTTGCTCTGATACCGTCCATGCGTTAGTAGCGGATAAAATGAAAATCGTTCAAGGGAAGGCGCTACTCGTCGGGGCGCCTCCCTTGTTTTCAAATTGTCAGACCCAACAGGCAGTCGCAAAAGCATGGGAACCCCGAGTGTCCAACAGCGTCATCTGACATTTTCTCCATGCAACAGACGTTATAATACCATATCTATCATTATAAAGAGATAGACACCCACACTCGTTCATATATATTTCAACAACTCTCCATAGGCATTCTTGTGGAAAGCACTCATGACATGCTCGCTACAGTCTTACCCCCCGCTGAACCGAAATCCCCTATCACTGGAAGTCATGGCAAATTTGACGAGAAGTATGGAAGTGACTGGCGCCATATTGAGGTCACCAGGAGAATGGTCGACCACATTGAGGATGTGTCCCATATGGAAGGGCTCTCTAAGCCGAGTGACCCATTCACCGACAAGAGATATCTGACGGTACCTAGTTCCGTGAGAATCGCACCCGGAGACGAGCAGCGTACCTTACAGCCACTGGTAGATGAAGACGCAATCACCCCGGCTCCGGTAAAACCCGCGGGTCCCATCAATCCTGGGCAACATTTGGGTCTGAAACGGCCAACGGCACCGGCTCCTCGACTTGTACGCAGTGGTCCCGGGTCTAATGCGGACCAGCTACTTCAATCCCAGGACAAGGGGAATCCGAGGGTGTCGATTCCTGAGCGAAAAGCAGCATATAGTGGACATCGATCCCATGCGGAATCATCCGCCGCTGCGGAGCGGAGAGGGGCCGCTGAGGGCAATGGCCAAGGCGGGGAGATTATGACCGGACAAATTGTTTTACCTGCCCCTGGACAGACTGGGCCGAGTCTGGGTGATGGAAACGGGGGGAAAGACAATCCTCCCAGCCAGGCGGAGCCCAAGCCTCGTAAAGTTCGGCTCCGTCCTATGCGACCTGGCATTCTGACCGACGATGGACTTCCTGTGCGCGACAGTTTGTGGGGTGAGAATGGCAAGGAAGAAGATGAGAACGTGATTCCTACCAACATCGAGCTACCCTGGCATATCCGGCTTATGAACGAGACGGATGATTTGAACACGATTGCAGTTCATATCGCCGCGTTTCGACGCAATTTAAAAGACTGTGGGGTGGACTTTGCTGTGAACCACCGTCCCCTATGTTTTTTGGATGATGCGGATCGGAACAGAAAGGTCAGGAAATTCACCAACTCGGACAAGCGGAATGGCCACCATCTTGTCAACCTTTATTTTCACACCGGACAGCAGAATTGGGCAACGCTCTGTGTCACAAGAGAGCACCGTATCACGGGAAGTGTCTGGCATCACTGGGCTCTGGCTGCGATCTCGGAGCCCAGGACCTTGCCTACAGACTCCCTTCATCAGGCAGGAATACACCTGCTCATGTATGATCCCATACCGCCCGAGGACCCGACTACCAGGCAGCGCAGGGAATACTTTGGGAACTATGTCAGCGACGATCAGAAAGAAATGTTATTGAGATTCGCCAGGAAGTTCAGGAATCTGGACTTTGCGATTAACCGGACCCGAATCCCTATACAGGGTGAGACAGATCCCTTGCGCGAGACCATGTGGTGGATCTGGAATGTGGCTCGCTACGGGGGAAGGTTCTACGAGGGGACCGATCAGCTGGATGACCCGCGCTGGGCGCTGACGAACTCAAGATATTTCACCCTTGAGAGAAACCGGCGCCGAGATCTGGACAGATCTCTGCGACCGAAGCGTCTTCGTCATATAATGCGTTGGTCGCCGAGGGGAGCACGGCAACTGCCGGGTCCGGGGCCTCAGGCGGCGATTACGGGGGGGAATTGAATCCTGTTGAAGATAGAGTAGCCGAGTTGCGTTCTCTCAGTATAGCCAAAATGTGATGTTGCTTGCCTAGGGCAGCTGCGTCGGGTGCTTCCATCTGCGAACAAGACTGGTAAATGGTGATAATTAGTGATGACCATTCCAGCCCTCTGACAAGTTGTACTATCAATATGTCAGATTAGATAGGCGAGATCCTGCAAATCAATACCTGACTATCCGACAGGGTCTTCAAAAGACAATCCGATCCTCTGGAACTCGATCAACTTGTCAAGGATACTGTATGCTCTCCTTCTCAAACGGACCAGTTATTTTCACTGTTGCTGTTTTTCGTGTATCATCTATGAATGTAAGCCAGTCGTTTGCTCAGTGAGTGTCATTATGCAATGATGTTGGCCATGATACCTGGCCCTTTCACAACCCACCTGTAAAAGGATAACTTTTGTAAGGATATCTCACCAGGGGAAATCACCAAGGACAGTGGTTCTCTGGTTCATCGCAGAGACTTTTCTGTGTTAAACGTCCTGCAAAATTTTGTCACTAGCATTAATATTCTCGTCTTCCTGCAACATATCCTGCACTTATGACGTTTTGGAGAAAGGTGCAGCCTCACTACCATCCCTAGCCGGCGATATATCCTGGTGATGGTCTTCACGGGATCTCTGTGTTGATCAAGATGGTAGATAGGTGGAGGTATGTATGGCCAGAAGACGGTTTATGCTGTTATTCGTTGCTCTTGGTGCCACGGTAGTACACGGGAGGTATATTCGATTCATCTTCAGGTTGTGTGTGTGGTGTGGTCATGGTCGTGGCTGTTGTCGTAGCAATGTCTGTGACTAGTGACTGGTGACTGGTGACGTCTGCGGGGATTGGGTCATGCACGAGGCATCGAGGCAAGGAGGTGCTTGGGTGTGTTATTCAGCTGTGTGCGGGAACATAGGGGATGACTGTGAATCAGTAAGGGGGATGGATCGCGTGGTTGAGGGATGGATTAATTAGAAGTGAGAGGGAGGGTGGAGATGGAGACTATGGATTTTTGTGGTGAGAGCACATGACTTGTGATGGGAATGCCTAGGGTGTCAGCGTATATTATAGAGAATGCATTACCCATTTCCTGTGATCGTTTGTGACGTATAGTCACTTGAACGATGGTCATATTGATCACATCATTTTTGTCATGCTATGTGGCGGAGCTACTGCATGACTGGTTTGGTATGTAGATGCTGGATGGAGTTGTTTAACATGGGCCACATTGTCATCAAATGAGGGCATACAATTAGAGAAGTTGTGTAGGGAGGCATAAGGGTAGGAATGAAGTCAAGGGCTAATAGTTTCTTCGTTTAGCTATACGCCTTATGCGTAAGCCTTGTAGGAGAGCGTTAAAAGGCCGTTAGCAGGTATATCAGGTGGAATAGCATAACAAGGATTAATGCCTATAAGAGCCCTTTGCTTGTGCAATTTATGAAAGCATATGTTCATTGGTTTGCAGATCAGCCCGTCTATAGAATACGTCAAATACGACACCCCCGGCAGATACAGCGTCTCATACGCTGCAGCTGTCTCCACCATCGTGACTGATAGGCTTCACACAATCCATCATACGATATGAAGTTGTCCTTTCCGGGCAGAATATTCCAACCTATGCACACCCTCTGCATATCCTCGGCTATGGCTTCCACGCAGCGCATTCCCCACTGGATCTGGGCTGAAGGATCGGCCAAATGATCGACACCCCGCCCCTCATCCTCGGTCCGTTGTCGATCAGGCATATGAACATCATGAACTGTCTAGGTATACTATGAAGCAGTCTGGGTGTAGTAATTAGCATAGGGCCGGGTGGCTGCAATGTACGACACCGGGCACTCCCTGTATCGAGCGAGTATATAAGCTCCACCTCTTACGTCTCTGTTTCTCTTCAGCAACATCAGCAATTCACCATGTCAGCATACCACGGCTCTCTCGCAGCTATCTCCTCATACCTTCATCGAATTCCCTCCCCTCGCCTCACCATTGCCCTTAGTCTGTTTCTAAGCTATCTCCTCCTCGTCTCCACTCTCCGCTTCCAGCGCGTCCGCCAACTCCGCCGCCAGTACCCTCACTATGCCACCCGAGCATCCATGGCCCAGATGACCGACCATGACGCCTGGGCCATTCAGAAAAACATCGTGCAGCTCGAGTTCCCTACCACAGCCATCAAGGCGCTACAGTTCGCACTGTTCCGGGTACCCCTTGCCTTCCACCCCGCTCGCTCGAGGGACTAACATGTGATCGTACAGACCTACGGCATCCCCACCATCTCGTCGCTGCTACTCCAAACCTCCCAGTTCTCCAATACGACCACATCCTTCAAACGCTATGCAGATACCGGCGCCCTCATTGGCCAATTCGTGACCTACCCTCCCACCGCCCCCCGTGCCCGCACCGCCATTGCCCGTACTAAATTCCTCCACGCCGGATACCGCGCCAGCGGCAAGATCCTCGAGTCGGATATGCTTTATACGCTGAGCTTATTCGCGACGGAGCCAATCCGCTTTGTGCAACGGTTTGAGTGGAGGGAGATGACGGAGTTGGAACAGTGTGCTATCGGCACGTACTGGAAGAGTCTAGGCGATGCCTTGGGAATTGACTACCATGTGTTACCCTCAGGTGACAAAGGATTCCGGGATGGGTTGCATTTCTTGGAGGAGATACGGGAGTGGAGTGCAAAGTATGAAATGGAGAAGATGAGGCCGGATCCGAGCAATCGCCTCGTTGCCGACAAGACCATGGATGTTATTGTCTATGGGTTTCCAGCTTGGGTGAGAGGCGTCGCGGTTGGGTTGGCCACTTGTGTGATGGATGATAGGTTGCGCGAAGCAATGATGTGAGCCTTCTTTCTGATACCTCTGGCTCAGGATCACTGATGGATCAGGTATGACGTGCCACCCGTGCCGCATCAGAAAATCTTTGCGGGAATTGTCGCCATCCGGAGATTTGTTCTACGATATCTCGCGCTCCCTCGTCCGGAATTTCTCCGACTCGAGGTCTTCAGCACAGCTCCCAATGAAGAAGGTCGGTATTATGTCCGGGTTTGGAAGGGAATGCCATATTACGTGCAGCCAACGGTGTGGAACCGATGGGGCCCGGCGGGGTGGTTGACCTGGGCCCTCGGGCTGCCACTTCCCGGCGACAAGGGCGACACTTTCTACCCCCAGGGATTTAATCTGGCAGACCTGGGACCGAGGTACTTTGAAGGGAGGGGCCGCATGTCCGTGCGAGAGATTGAGGATGTGTTGGACAAGGAACGCAGGGGACAATGCCCATTTGGCGAGAGCCAAGGGTACCGAGAGAAGCCGGAAAACTCTTCCAGCCACTAGCTCTAGATTCACGCTTAGGTGAGCTTCTGGCAAGAGATTAGCCGCACGAATTCAACTACTATCTCATATGAATCATTGTGTCATCAGCGTGGGCCTAGCCGGGCTGAACCATGGTTCGGCACCCCTGACAGGCAGGAAGTCGTTGAGCCCTGACATCAGAAACCTTCCGCCACCATCAGATTGGGCCAGAACGTGCGAGACATGCTTAGCATATAATCCTGGTACCTCCTCTGCTGTCCTAGCCAGTAGACCATCGCCATCATGTCCTCCTCTTCGATACCGCTTACTCCACCCCCTGAGCGCCGCCATCCGGATGGCATGGACGCGTGGATCCTAGGCGCCGGCATCACTTCGCTTACGGCAGCCGTCCATCTCATTCAAGAGGCACAATTACCCCCTGAGCGCATCCACATCCTCGAAACCCTTAGCCAGGCCGGCGGCGGGACCGTCAGTGCTGGCGATCATGTGAATGGCTACGACTACCGCGCCGGGGGGATGCCCCCATTTAACGACGTCTGCATGGAAGAGCTTGTCGAATTGGTCCCTTCCAAGACCAATCCAGACCAGACCGTGTTAGCGGAGCTCAACGAGTACTGGGCCACCCATGCTGTTCATGATACACCGCACACGCGCTTCCTAACCCGCCACAAGTCCGGCGTCGATCGTATCAGTGCCAAGGAAGCGAGTGTGGGCCTGCGCGACCGCGTGGACCTGTTCATGATGTCCTCGAAAGCGGAAAAGTCGCTTGGACGCAGCCGTATCTGTGATCATTTCAGCAAAAGCTTCTTCAAGAGCGGCTACTGGCTGATCCTATCTACGACGTGAGCCGTACCATACCCTGCACCGTGATCTGCACCTGACCGCATCACCAGCTTCGGTATCAAGCCTACGCACAGTGCCGCCGAATTCCGGCGCTATCTACAGCATTATATGCATGACATTCATGAACTCAACGGGTGTCGACGGCTGGATGGTGGGCGCTTCAATCGACACGAGTCCATTGTCTCGCCGATTGCGCAGTTTCTGAGCTCTCAAGGGGTTGACTTTCGCTTCCACACTACCGTCACCGATATCATCACTTCACCGTCCAGTAGTGAACCGCATCGCGTCTCTGCCATCAAAGCTATTCACGAAAACGAACCCGAGCACACGATATCCTTGGGCGAATGGGATATAGTGCTCGTCTCATTAGGCTCCGTCATGTCCGGCACCACCACCGGGACCAACACATCTCCACCATCGCTGGAGCTGATGGAGATTGAAAAGGACCTGGACGAGAATTGGCTCTTGTGGCTGGAGCTCTCGACGAAGAATCCCATCTTCGGAAATGCCTACAACTTCTGCACGCGAATGTGCGAATCCCGGCTCGAATCCTTCACCGTTACTCTGTCGACCCCCGACTTTTTCAATCGATTCATCGCCCTCACCAAGGACCAACCTGGTAGCAGCACATTTGTCACCCTCAAAGACACCCCCTGGCTGATTAGCCTCAGTCTCCCCCAGCAACCCTTATTCCCGGACCAACCCTCCAACATCCAAGTCCTCTGGGGCTACGCCATGTATCCCGACCGAGACGGCGAATTCATCAAGAAACCGATGCTCGAATGTTCCGGGCGAGAAATCCTCGAGGAGATCCTGCACCAGCTCAAATTCCCTGTACAAGGGATCCTCGACCACTCGATCACCATTCCGTGCGTGGTGCCGCGCATGGCGGCCACCCTCTTGCCCCGCACGGGTGGGGATCGGCCGCGGGTGATTCCTCCGGGGATCGACAATCTGGGGCTGATCGGCCAATTTGTGGAGATTCCGAGCGAGGTGGCGGTGACGATGGATTATGGGGTGCGGGGGGCGCAAATGGCCGTGCGGCAGTTGATGGGACTGGATATGCGGAAACCGTCGTCGAAGCGCAGTTCGGCGATTAATTTGTTGGGACTGTAATGTCGATCTCGATTTGCATGGTGAACTGTTTCAGGCCGTAGTCAGCTTTCAAATAACAAACCCATCCTGCTTTATATTTCTTATCATTTCGATCATATTTATCACCACACCCGCAGAGCGGTATACTCGAATAGTACCCAGTGGGTTCTAAGTGGTCCTGATATGAATTTAAAGTGTATCATTTGTGCGCACCAGACCTGGAATGCTAGTTGAGATAGCGAGGCGATGGCCGCCGTCGGCTATCGGGCCCGATACCGCCAGGCGGCTGCCCGGGCTCGGGGCCAATCACCAGCAATCGAGGGATCCTGATCCACATTTATCTCCTCTTCACCTCAACGTCCTCTTCCTTCTTCATCTACTCCGTGTTCATTCTTCTTTGCGTGCATCCCCATGGCGGACCTCTCGGCCTACTGCCCAACCAATCTCCTCTACACTCAGGAAAAGTTCACCCGGTATCAGCCGGGTGGCTACCATCCCGTCAGTCTGGGCGATACCTTCAAAGACGGTCGCTATGAAGTCCACCATAAGCTGGGATGGGGCGGGTACTCGACGGTGTGGCTGGTATATGATCTGATGTGACCATTCCCTTTGTAGATACATAGATCCTTTGATCATTAGCTAACAATCGAAGGCAAAAGCAATGGGTATCTTTGAAAATCATGACGGCAGACCGCACAGATCATTCTCACGAACTGGAGATTCTTCAACGGCTAGCGAGGCATTCTGGGGATTCTCTGAGAGGATTATCTTATTATATTGTTCAGTTATTGGATACGTTTTTCCACCCAGGACCTAATGGCGTCCATCAGTGTCTTGTGTTTGAGTTGCTGGGGCCTTCGGTGATTCACGTTTTGAAGGATTATTATGATTCTGGGGATGTTCTGGAACCTGAGACAATAATGAGAATGTCAGAACAGCTTCTTAAAGGGGTGGGGTTTATTCATCGTGCCGGTCTGGGGCACGGCGGTAGGGCACATCCCATTTTCTGCTTCTTCGTCTCGGCATACTAATACGATAACAGATATAAGCGGTGCAAATGTTGCCTTCAGTGCAAGTCATTTGTCCAAGGCATCCAAGGAAGTGCTCCTTGAGGTCATTGGAGCTCCGGAGGCGGAAGAAGTGACTCGAATTGATGGCGAGCCGTTGGACCAAGGACTTCCGAAGCATCTGATCAAAGCCGCGAGTTGGGTGGACTGGATTGATGAAGACGAGGAGGATCTCCGGATACTTGACTTTGGAGAAAGTTTCCTCCAAGGTAAGGAGCCGACAAAGCTGGCGCAACCAGGGCATTTGCGCGTGCCGGAGACTATTTTCACGGAATGCTTTGATTACCGAGTCGATTTATGGCGGGCAGGGTGTATGGTGAGGATTCAATATTTGTAAGGGAGATGCAAGCTGATATCCAGTGTCTAGATCTACTCTTTCGCCTTTGCAGCATATCCATTTTCATACTGGGGCAGTGTTGAAGCCTTGGCGGCTCAGATGATAGGCTTCGTGGAGAAGTTGCCGGTGGAATGGCAGCCTCAGTGGCAGCGCATGTTGTCCAACTCTGGTTCTGGACTGCAGGTGAATGAAAGTAAGAGCCAACATGTCCACAACAGGCCTGTTTGACTGTCTTACTGACTCCTTGCAAGGTTGTTCCCCATCACGACTAGACGAACGGTTCAACACAAAGCTTCCCGATCCAGCCCTTGAACCCCTTCGGCCAGTCATCAAGGGATTGATGCGATTCCTGCCATCCGATCGTATGGAGGCATCCGAAGCACTTGACCTACTGAGGTCGAGTGTCAGATCATGAAGACGGCTAGACTCGGTCGCGACGATGGCACCTAACCCTCTTGGATGTTAGCCTGGCTTAGATGAGTGGTCGACTAAGAGAATGCACTCTCTTTTCTAGATCAGAGAAATCCCGCTCATAGACACCCGCCTATCATAAGCAGTGACCGCTGGGCAGTCCGACATCTCATAGATTGATCATGACTCACAGCCCTGCCTCGAGCCAGACCCTTATCATTAATATCTGTATCAGCCACTAACAATGCTTGCTAGCTGATAGCCTGGAACCATACCCAGGCAGCAACCCTAATCCCTGCATCAGTTAATCTATCCAACGCACGTGTCGGTTTCTCAGGAACACGCATACCCACCAGCCCTGTCACCATCAACATCACCAATTGCAACTTTCCCGCTTAAAAACCCAGCCATCCTATCCCTCACCATTAACCTCCAACCCACACTCCCCGCCATCAACTCTCTAACCCTCCCCATCCATCCAAAATGACCACCCCCCAACGCCCCCCTCATCATCGTCGAACCCGGCATGGGCGACAGCCACCTGAGCTGGAAACACCTCCAACAACTCATCACCACCGCCGGCCTGGCCCAAGTCCTCCTCTACGACCGCGCCGGACTCGGCCGCAGCGATTCCCCATCCACATCCCCATCCACCCCCCGAACCGCCACCACCATGGCCCACGAACTCGACCTCCTCCTCACAGCCGCCAACATCCCCGGCCCATACATCATCGTCACGCATTCCTACGGGGGCATCATTGCGCGGGAATTCCTCGCTCTCCGCGAGCCCGATATCGCAGGGATGGTCTTTGTGGATGCTGAACAGGAAGATACCTCGCTTGTTATGGATGTTCCTTGGGAAACATTACATTCGCTGCTCGGAGAGATGGATTACTACTCCATCGTGGCCTTAGACACCGAACATGTTTTCTCAAATACCGACTGGGAAGAAATCAAAGCCGAAAGTAGCCGCCCATCAACCAAAAACACAAGTGACTTGGAAGGCGCAGAGAGCAAGTCCTCATGTGCCGCATTACGTGAAAAACAACAACTACAGAAAAGAGTGCTGGGGCGAAAACCAGTCGGCGTGCTCAAAGGCAACTCGGTACGGGATTATCAGCGGATTTATGAGGCGGTGGTTACGGCGGGGAGGGGGACGGAGGCGGAGAGGGCGTTGATGAGGGGGGTGATTGAGCGGTTGAGGACGAAGGAGGAAGGGTTGCAGAGGGGGGTTTTGGAGTTGTCGGAGGTGAGGAGGTTTGAGGTTGTCGAGACGGGACATAATGTGCAGTTGACGAGGCCGGAGAGTATTATGGAGATGGTGAGGTGGGTTTTGGAGAGGTGCAATGGAGGGTACTAATTAGGATAAAGTTGGTTGTGGTGCCGATGGGTATATGCAGATTGCTGAGTTTACTATGTTTTCATTCGATCTCACAGTTTGGAATATGCCAAGTATCCAATATAGTTATTTCTTGAAATGACCCCACAGTACAGTATTGCGTGTCATGACTTCTACCATAGCAGGCTATCAATACCCCTTTCCTTCTCTTCTAGTAGGACCTCTTCATTCCCCCACTTCTCTCTCTCCCTACGATCATCCAAAATATGACACATAAGATGTTCAACTATACACTCACTCACTTCTCATCTAGTCCACTCAGCCCTGATATCCCCCATCACTAATTCAGACAGTCATCGATAGTCCATCCCCTTCTCCCTATAAAACAACACAGTATGTATATACCACCAGGTCCCCAACTAAACCCACCTCTACCAACCCCCACTACTTAAGCCAGCAATCCTCCATCCCGTCATTCTGCTATCTTCACTCCAGATTCAACATGATACCAATTCTCTAAGCAGGAGATATCTTCCACCATGCCTAAATCTAACCCTGGGGTATCTTTATCTTCATCTTCCATTTAAGGACATCCTCTGCCCAGATTACCTTCCTCCTTTCTCCAGTTTGCTGATTCTAGGAATTCCTTATGTATTTCCCCCAGAATCCGACTTCCTCTGATAGAACCGTAGCCTTGTAGGTTCGCAGGAGCATTTGCAAACCATGCAGCGGCCACACGCTTCGTATATGTATTATTGGTATTCACCAATATAACGGTAGTATAGTTTGCCTCTGATGCAGCTGAACAGGACAGGCCACAATCTCAGAACTCATACTCTCGCCATCAGGTGTCTAGCTCGGGTCTGATGGCGTCATATCACTGGCAAGTTTGGTGTTGGCCATGCGTGGTGTTTGACGGAGATTAGATGACTGGGTTTGGATATTGGCGGGGAGGTTAACTGGTGTGTGTGGTTGGTTGCATTTCGTTGTGATGACGGGAGAAGTGGATAAGGTTGCTAGGATGAATTGACCAGCTGGGAACGGAAAGTATAAGCCGTAGACATGAAGCACCAAGGTCTAGATCGAATCGCTCCATCCTCTTCTCAGCTCCTTCTTGCGTCCAGAGGTATATATCGAAACTTCCAGGCTTGCATACACATAGACATTTAGTGCACTAAACCGATGATTTATAGGGGTCATTTCAGTTTCATCGATTTGCTGTCGGTCAAGCCTATCGCATGCATCGATATATCGCCTGCCTTTATTGGGCTTAAAAACCTTTGAGTGTTGTGTACGCGTTCGCTGCGCTGTCAAAGAAGAATGTATGCTGTACAGTGCTGGTCTTGACATGCATAACTCTTGACATGGAGTGGCAAAGACAGGGATTAGATCGGAGAGTTCCATCCCTTCTCAGTCCTTTTTGCATCCGGGAAGATATCGTAATTCAGAGGTGGTGTCTAGCTGTATGTACTTGGCCATCGGTATCGGGTCTCCTTGTCTCGTTTGGTTGGCTGACAAGTAATAGAGTGTTGAGTTCTGGAGAGTAGTATATGGTGTTGTGATGGCGCGAACTTCAGGTATTTTGCTTTTGTTCATGTTTGGTCCAGCACGGTAGAAGGACGGTGGATCCACCTCGATTGAGTTGTTCTGCTCGGATGCTGATACATTCCTTGCTTGCTGCGGTTGTGAGATGGATTCATTAGGTATTGAAAAAGGCATGATATATAGTCTTCCATCGGTTTACACAGGAAACCTGATCATGAGGTTTTTGATTATTGAGTCCACATATGTTCCATGTGCTTTGGAGATAGGCAGAGTCCATCATCAAACAAATATACTTGGCCTTCATATCGTTTTCGTCATCTTAGATGGGGTTAAATTGGTCTGTCTGCGGACGAGCCGATGCTATATCGATGGCTGAGCTCCAGTGATATTAAATAGTTCGGAGGATCGTTCTCGCGATGCAATTGAGACGCGTAGGTTCGGTGTGTTGATTATATAGAGAACCGTAGGAAGAAGAGGAATAGATGGCAGCTGAGACGTGTCCACAGACGTGAAGAATCCCCAACAAGCTCATTGAATCTTGACAGGGTTGATAGACTTGGGGTTGAACCTGGATGTCAACTTCGGTAATGTATGCCACGCCATCGCGATGTGAGTGATATGCCCATTCACATTAGCAACGCAGTGTTTATTCTTCGATAAGACCACTCTGTGGGATCTCAACGGTGGACATTCGAACTTTGTGTGCCAATCAAGTGACGGTTGCATCAAACAGGACATTCCTTGAAGTATTTCTCCCGAGTTCGGGTCAAGCCAACTGATGTGGCAGTTCCACATACTGGCATGGATGCTTGTTGGTAGGTCACCTAGAACAGGAATTGATGTGTAGGCTGCATCAAGCCGACTAGCTGCTCGAGACATTCGATGAGAATGTAGCCCACAGGACTGACACTCCTTTTCCCGCATAAAACATGCAGAGCACACGGTGTTGGGAGTTGCTTCGGAAAGCATGAAAACCATTGTCCCACGCAGTTCCAGGAGTGTTGTCGATCCCACCCAAAATCCTCATGGCGACGAGTGTGATGGTCGCAAACGACATACCACTGCTGCTGCTGATCAAAGAGAGACGACCAGCATTCAGTGCAGCTGCTTCCCTCGAAACCATCCCAGAGCTCAATATACTTGCACAGCACACCACAAGCCCCAAGCCTAACTCTTGGACCAGCGACGCATATTAGCAATCAATATTGGCCTGATCGACCAGCACCAGATGGTGGAAAGCGATCCCGACAACAACCCACGACGAGCAATTATAATCACCAATTGATCCCGTTGCTTCCATCTCGAGATTATCCTGGTCATTTTGTGCACCAAACTTGCAGCTTCCATGTCTAAGAGGTATTGGGGCTTGGACATCACTTCATCGCTGCCTTCAGGGTTTGCACTTTCCTGTCTCTTGTGCTTCAGTTGAGACCGGAAGGTATGGGACGGTAGCTGAGCCCGCGGTGATTACCGCCATTGGCTGTGTGTATGATGAGAGGTTTGGTATACATTCGGTTGTATATATAACCGGTCAGCCTGTATCAGCTGTATTAGTGGTGGCTAGGTTGGAGGTTAGAGATCTCGAGCCGAGCCCCTTGGAGATGGCAGATGCCAAGGAATGGAGGCATCTGGATCGATCTGGGTGTTCCTGATGATGAGGAGGAGAAGCGGAATACAGGAGAGAAGGCCTTTAAGTAGACTCAAGTTCGTTAGTATGAAGTTGCATCTCAAGGAGGCATTATCCGTATGTAACTCTGCAATCTCCGATGTTGATCATAGTATAACCCTCTATACTCCGTACCAATGACATGTACCAATATACTCCAGTCAACTCCCTTCTCCGCAGCATGAAGATGCCAAGAAAGTATGCAAAATACCGATATCCACGGCCAACTCCAATAATCATAGACGGACAATCCCCTCCATGGAGGTCAACTAAACTTCAGTAGACGATGGGTCCAATCCCATAAACACTTTGTATAAGCGCCGGCTTGCAGCAGGCCCAATACGCGAGTCCGTGAGAGCGCCGTTTTTATTCGCCGATTTCTGCAGACAAGTCAGTCCACAACAACAACATACCAATTACACTGAATCATAACTCACCTTAACATCTTCCAACAACCCCAGTCCGTCTTTTCTCATTGCATTTACCAAATCCATAGCACTTGGATATCGTGTTGCAATACCGTACGCCATCGACGCGGTAACCCGGTTCACCTCCTGTAGCATCTTTATAAAGGTATCGGATCGATTCTCGCCAGGCTTGACCTGTCCACCATCCATACAGAAAGCTGAGTCATTCAAATCCATACGTTCACGGCGGTATGGCACGGTGGAAATGTGCTCGGTGAAATTCTTGATCCATTCAGCAGACTCCATCGGACTAGTGGTGTGGTGAATAAGACAGCCGTGGGTGATCTGTAAATCGAGAAGGGCGTCTTCGATCGTGTCATCACCGACAGGTGGTGTTTCCGATTGTTGCTGTTTCTTGCGGGACGGACGAGTTGAGGTTTCTTCATATTGTTGACGCACGGCAGCTTGGTAGGCTCGGTTGCGGGAATTGTTGTTCTTGCGCATCAAGGCTGTCAGGCCTTCGATGAGGTATATCGGGGTACACTTAGGATAGGCAGACTTGAGCTGTTTGACATGGTCGCTTACGGAGTTGCTTGCTGCAGCTGAGGCACTGGCCATGCTGACGAAGTCCAGGGCCGTGATCAGACACAGCACATAATCCTCTTCGTCGCGGATGTGAAGTGCGCACGGCTCCCAATGCCCGAGGGACTCATTATATGTAGCGCGGACCTTGCGACGCCATTTGACGGTGTTGGGAATGGGACTAGAGAAGAATGAGAGATCCACCTTGATAAGGCGCATGTATTCGGCTGTTGCGTTGCCGACGCTGCTATGTTTGAAAGTATCGGCGAGATCAATCAGCATTTCAGTTGTGGATTCTTTCTTGTCCACCTTCAGTTTATTGACCTCGGCAATATCAGCTGCGAGTTGCTTCTCGCGAGCCTTCTCTTCCTTGGCTTTCTGTTTGCGTTCCTTTTCCAATTGTTTATCGCGTTCTCGCTGTGCCTTGGCTTCCTCTCGTGCTCTAGCTTTGGCTTCCTTTTCTTCGGTTGTCATTTTTGTGGTCCTGCGCTGGGGCTTCCGTGGAGAGGGAATTTCCTCGACTTCAATATCGTCGTGTTCCTTTTGCTTGCGACCTCGCGTCGTCTTGGATATTGGCCCGTCATTGCTTGCTTTGGGGCGATCATCGAGACTCGCTAGTATAGTTGCAGTCCTGCTAGAGAAAGCCGTCGATTCAATTCTCTTTGACACATTCAGTAAGTCGTCGATGTCCGGAAATTCAGGCAGGTCGCTGAAATCTTGGATTGCCTCCCTCCGACTTCGAGTGTTGCCGATAGCGTTGTTGTCTCCATCATCGATTTCGATCGCATTCCCAGCACGCGAGCTTATCCCTCGTCTAACCGGCGTTTTGGTAGGCTCTGGTGCGGAGGAGGTAAATATGATGGGGTCTGATTCTTCGTTCCAGGCCGGAGGTTTGGGAAGGGCGGGGCCGTCCGAAGAGAGGATTATATCGTCATCGGAGAAGAGAAACAGAGGATTCTTAGGAGGAAGCGGTACATCTCTCGGGGGCGTGATTTCATGGCTTAAGCGGCGTCGTTTCGCGGGTTGCTCGACATCCTGGTAGGCTGCGATATCGATCTCATCGGAGAAGATCGACTCCGCGGGTAAAGCGGCCGGATGTGAATGAGCTCGCCGGATGGAGAGCTGCTCACGTCTTTCTGCGGGTGGCGGAGGGGTCGAGGAGAGGAGACTGATGATTTCTGGCATGTTGCCCAAGACTCCAAAAGCCAGCCCAATCTGGGTGTTTTGGAACTGCACAGCAACGGAGAGTTGATAAAGCACGTGTCGCGACGCCACCGCGTCAAGGCGCGTGGTCACGTGTGTTTATCTTATAGATTGGCGACAAATGATCACAGTAAGTCGAATATATTACACGCAAAAGGGTATTGTCTAAGAATCAAAACAGCCTCAAAAGCAATGCAACCGCTAGGGAAAGCACCGCCCCCACCAATGCAAGCAAGATCACAATCTGCTGGAAGCCATGGAACGGCCGTTTCTCCCGGCTGAGCATCTCCTCGATCTCCTGCTCGAGCTTCTCACCCATGGCCGTGAGGGAAAACTCTTGCTCCACGCGCTTTTTGGCTGCCACAGACATCCGGTTCAGCTCTTCCTGCTCCATCCCATACAGCACCTTATCCATCACCGCCGTCCACTCGGCGTCCACCTTGGCATCACGGAGCCAGCCCGTTTCGCCCTCCACGATCGTCTCCAACGGCCCCCCAGTATTCGACGCAAGCACCGGGACTCCCGCGCGCATCGCCTCAACCGGCACAATACCAAAGTGTTCGTTAATCGGTGTGTAAAGGAGCAGCTTCGCTTGCAGCAAAAGGGTATCCCGGAAGGCAGTCGGCACAGACAACAGGAAGAGCACGTCGATGGAATCGGGGATCGAAAGCGCCGAAATAACTGTCTTGGACGTCGCCGTCTGCAGACCCAACCCAGTCGCCAATTCGTCCAGGTCCCGATGATACTGCACATTCTCCTGAACGCGATTATCATACCCACCTACCCAGTAACCGATTAGCAACGCATCATCACCCAACAGCACCCAACAAGCACAGGGAACACTCACCAGCAACAACCAACCTGGTCCCCCTCCTCTTCTCCTCCCCAAGACCATGATACGCGCGAATTGCCAGCGCTAGATCCTTCTTCCTCTCAAACCGATTCACACTCAGAAGAATCTTCTTCCCACCCCACAACTTCTCCCCCTCATCACCATCCCCACCCCCACCACCAGCCGCCGTATCAACACACGGATAAACCACACTCAACTCCCCCAACTTCTCCCTCCCAAAAACCCCCGTAACCACTCCCCTCGTAAACCTCGAATTCGCAACCACCTTATCCGACGCACTCATCGCCCACCCCTCAAACCAATCAAACGGATACCGATACACCCCTTTCACAACCTGCAACAACGATCCCCCCTCATCGCGCCTCGCCAACAACTGATCCGGAAAATGACAATAAAACAACGTCCGCTGTCTCTTCCCCCCACCGAACGATTTCAAAAACGGCACGCAAGCAGGAACCTGATCCACGATGAATATCTCCTCCTCTCCATCTGCCGTTGTAGTATTCGTGCCAATCTCCCTCAACAAATCAACCGTTAAATGCAGCTGGCGCAATATAGCCATCAGGACGTAGAATCGCCCGCCCACGTGCGCGGGAAAGATGGTATTTCCCCGTACTCGAACATCGAGGGTGCCGTCGCGCGCTTCTTCGAAACAGTGCGATTTGTCGCGGTGCGAGGTGTACACGGTGACGGGGTGACCGCGGGATTGGAGCGCGAGGGCCACGTCGATGATCAGTCGTTCCGCGCCGCCGATGCCGAGATCGGGGTGGATGATGGTGATTTTGGCGGGTTTGGCGGTCGGCATGGTGCTTTTTTTCCGGAAGGTATATTGACAATAAGAGAGAGGCGCTTTGTGAGAGGTTAGGTGAGAACCTTTGGCTTGGAGAGGATTGGGGAGCGCATTGGTGGCTTGGTTGGAGTGTAGGTGTTAAAGACGAAAGAGACACGCGGCCGGTTGACATTGCGTCATGTGATGCCCGTCCCGACTCGGCCAGCAGGTGACAACGTTTCTACGATGCGCTTTCAATAAGTGATGTGATGATGTCAGATACTCTCACTATAGTTCTTAAATGCATCAATTGCTGTCTAGGTAATCCGTATATGGATAAGCAAAGTTGGCGGGAAAGCATAATTCTACGTCCCGGCCAAGATAACAAGTTCATACCGACAATTCTAAACGAAGCAAAAAGTAAGCTGGCTGCCCATGCTAGATGCCTGCAAAGTGGTCTGAAACACATCAAGGTAGAGCGAGTATGGTCAGGGTAGTCAGAATGTACAATCACGGGCCATACTTGAGGTCATAAAATCAGAATTCATCAGGCGGGGTAGAAGTAAAGGCCAAGATGCACGAGAAAGCCGTGAAGGAAATGAAGGAAATACACACAAGAGAATCGAAAGGGAGGTATCAACGGGGCAAGGGGAATCGACGTCGAGTTCATAATACAAGGTGACTAAACATCGTAGCAAAAGGGCATGAAACAAATCGAGACAACGGACCCGCGGATGTTGCGTGGTCGGGTTTAGAAGCAGTTGAGGGTGCTCTTCTTCTTCTTCTTATTGAGCGCATTCATGCGCTCCTCAAGTTGCGCGCGGGCGGCTTCAGCCTCCCGACGAGCATTTCTTTCCTCTTCGACGGCCTGTAACGACAGGCGCTGGGAGGCGCGCTCCTTGCGGAGCGTGGTCATCTCTTCTTCTAGCTCGCGTGCCTTCTTCTTCCAGGCATCACAGTCCGACTTGACCTTGTTGCTCTGCGCCTCGAGATCCCCGAGGGCTTCTTCCAGGGTCGCCGTGAGCTGTTTCTCGGCGTTGAGGTGCTTCTCGATGGTACGAATGCGGGCCTCCTGGTCCTCGACGATCTGCGTGTTTGCCAGGTCCTTGCTAGTGTGGCGCGAACTGGGAGGGGAGATGCTGCCGGTGCCGTTGGCGGCGGAAGCGATGGACGGCAGAGGAGGCAGGGGAATCGCGGGAGGAGGGGAAGGAAGAGAGGTTGCCGACGAGCTCTTACGGAGATTGGACGTGATCGAGCTGCTGCGATCATGCGAGCTGTCCTGGTTCTTAATCTGAAGCTGCAAGGCCGTTAGTGGTGACAATAGCGGTGTTCAGCATAACACTTACCTCGAGCTGCTCGATCCGCAGGCGATACGTTTCGATATCCTTCTCGTAAGTCGCAATCTTCACCTTGGCATCCTCCAGAGCCTGGTCGCGCTCCTGTTGAATGACAGAAAGACGGTTGTGGTGTTGATCGAAGCTATTGGTAATCTGTTCCTCGAGCTCCTCCACTAAGCGGACGCTCTTCTCCTTCTCGGCCTGGACCTCCGCGATGATCGCATCCTTCTTCTTGACCTGTTCTTCCTTCTGCAGCAGAGTATCCTCGAGTGTGGCAACCAACAGAGCCAGTTCGTTCACCTTGGCTTCTTTGGTGGAGTTGCTCTTCAAGAGTTCGTCCAGGCGGCCATCATCCGATCCCTTAGTCTCAAGCTGCTTGCGGAGATCCTCATTCGCATCCATGAGCTCGGCGTACTTGTCGGAGAAATACTGCTTCTGCGTCAAAACCTCCTGGATCTGGTCTGCCATATTGTCGGCGGTAACATTGGAGTTGAGAAGGTTGGAGACCATAGTGAGCATCTTCGTCAGCTCGTCCCGCGACTCGACGATCTCCGATCTTAAAGTCTTCATAGCCTCGTCATGCTCCGAGTTAACCGCAGTGAAATGCGATTCATACCCAGCCTGCGCCGCAGCCGTGGCCCGGGCTTCCAGCTCAGTCAATTCTTGCTTGTGGGACTCCTGCAAGGACTCCAGGTCCTTCTTATACGAGTCAGCAAGTGACTTGTGGGCCTCGATCTCTTTCTCCAGCTCAACCACATGGGACTGGTGCACTTCAACTGCATTGCTATCGTTATCCTTAGCGGCGAGGATGTCGGCCAGCTGTTGCTGGGCTTCGTTGTACGATTTTTCAAGAGACGCAATTTTCTCGAGATGGGCTGCAGAAGTCGCCTTGTGTTCGTCGATAACATGGTGCAGCTTGGCAACAAGCTCCTCCTGCTCTGCCCGTTCAGCCTCCAACTCGCGAGCAGCAGCCTCCTTGGATGCAGATGCTTCACCGGCAGCTTCTTGTTCGGAGCGCATGGCATCGACGGAGGCCAAGGCACTGTCAAGATCGGCCAATGTCGCGCTCAGCTGCTGTTCGGACGACTGGAGAGATTCAAGGGCGTTCTGGTGTTTGCTCTTCAAATCCGTCACTTCGCCCGCTAGAGCAATGATCTTCCGATCCTGCTCTTCAGCGCCTGCATCTTGGGCCTTAGCAGCTGCTTCCTGGCTCTTGAGCAGACTCTTCAACTCTTCGATCTCAGCGAGAAGCTGCTTCTCTCTCGTGTCGTGGGCTTCCTTCATCTCATTGATGATGTTCTCCTGCTGCACCACTTGGTCACGCAGCTGAGAGACCAGTCCCATGTCGACCGAAGGTGCACCTCCCTGCAAGCTGGACCTCTCGCGCGTCAGTCCGGAGATGATGGTGGATTTCACTTCCATCTCCTTCTTGACGCTCATATTTTCGGCTTCCAGGGACTGAATTCGCTCCATGCGGTTGTGTAGCTCGTGCATAGCCGAGTCGAGGTGCACTTCGAAGTTCTGCATCGTATCGGGGCGACTGTCGAATTCCTCAACTGCAATATTACGCAAGGCGGCGAGGGAGCGGTGAGCCCGATCGACAGTGCCTATCAAACTTTGGCTTGTCTTTCTTCGGATCACAGGGGACTTGAAGCCTGGCGTGGTCGGCGGTGAAGCACTCTTCGATCGCTGCAGTTCAGCCTTGAGTGTCTCGATGAGGCTGAGAGTTCCCTCATGCTCCGATTGCAATTGGGCATACTTCTGCGACATGATACTAACGCCTTCCTGATGTTCCGAGAGCAGCCGGCGCATCTGCTCGACCTCTAGGGCCTTCGCCTCGTCCAGCGCCCGAGTATCAACGGTGTTCTGTGAAACCTCATTATTACTCAGATCAGATGACACGTGCGAAGACGCAGGCTCCCCGGCCGAGGATAACTCCGAAGAGAGTGATGGCGAGGACGACAGTTGTTCTCCATCGTTCAAGCCGGGGGCCTTCGCATCCTCTAAAAAAGACACCGGACGAGAAGGGGCGTTTGCGGAGAGGTGGTCCTGAACATTTGAGGCCGGATGGCGCGCTTCGTCTTCTGCATCCCGCTGGAGCTCCGCAAGGGCTTTCATAGCCTCCTCATACTTGGCCTCGAGGGCTTCGTACTCAGTCATGGTAGACTCGTGCTGCATCCGCAAATCGAAAAGCTCCTGCGTAACAGTCTCGAGCTTATCAGCAACAACATTAGATTGAGTCGGACTAGAGGCTCGACTCTCGACGACACCGTTCACTTTGGGCTCCAGGCTGTCGGTAGCTGATTCCAGTGCCTTCAGATCAGTCTCATCCGTTTCAGCACCTGGTACTGCTCCCACGGATGCCTCCTTTTCAGTCTCCGAGACCGGTTCAGCCAGACCCTCGTCAGACTCGGGAATGGCAGTTTCAACTGCCTCGGTCAGAACATCGAGCGAGAGAGACGTTGCGCGTGTGCGGGGGTTGTAGGCACCCTTGACGGGAACTGGCGTATGAGCCTCGAATTCTTCGTCAGACTGGTCCCTCTGGGTGCCGTTCTGCTGGACGTGGTCGAGCTCATACAGCAGGTTATCGAGCTTCCCTAGGCTCCGCTGGCGCTCAATGACATGCTCCATGCGTTCCATCTCCCGTTGCATCAGTTCCATGTCTTGATCTGCTTCCGCCAGACGCTCCTCTAGTGTAGAGATGTAGTCTTCGCAGTTCGCTTCACTTTCACGGGCACGACTCAGTTCTTTACGCAGTTCCGACACAATGGCCGCTTGCTTTTCTTCACCAGTGGACTGGCCGTCGAGTCGCGACTCCAGCTCATGCAGGTAGGTTTCTGTGCTGTTCTCGCGATCTAGGAGCTTCTGAATGCGAGACTGCAGTTGGGAGTTGACGGTTTCAACGTAGGCGCATTTGGTCTCGCGTTCTAGAAGCGTGCTTTCTGTTACAGACAGAGAGGATCTGGTGTTGGACAGCGATGACTCGAGACTCTGGATGGTCTTCTCGTACTCAAGGACGACCTGTTCGATCGACTCCGCAAATGACTGCGACCGCTTGAGTCTCTCGACGGAGCTCTTCCCGACTAGGCTGGCCACATCCTCAGGGTCTGTCTCACCAGCTTGTTCGGAGCCCCTGGCGATCTCTGAGATTAATTTTGCGTGACGCTGGCTAAGCGCATTGTAACTCTCCTGAACGTCAAGGAGCTGGTTCTGGATCTCAAGTTCCCTCTCATTCTGCCGCTCCGCCCGGTCTTGTGGGGCGGCACTTCGACGGCCGTTCTCTTCTGCGTTACGGAGCTGTTGACGCAAGAAAGCGACTTCGGCTTTCAATCGCTCGATGACTGCGTGTTTGTCGCTTTCGTCGGCAATTTGTTGAATGCGAGGTTTGCTCTGGATCGCTCGGGCTCGCTGCGCGTATTGAACCGTGTTGACAGTTTCGCTGAGATGGAACTCTGCAGGGTTAACACAAGCGATCATGTACGTATAGGCATTCCCACCCAGCGAATCCTGGAGCAGACGGGTGAGCTTCGAGTCGCGATAGGAAACGTGAGCCCCGGCCTGACGAGAGGAAAGCTGTGATATGACCTTGCCTAATGCGGCAAGACCGGCGTTGATCGAAATACCCTCTCTGGCCCGTTCTCCAGATGCCCCGGTGTTTTTCAATCTTTCACTTCCGGCCAAATCAACGAAATGCAGCTTGCTATCCACCATGACGGAGGCGTCAGATCCGGACAACATCTCCACTGGCATCGACATCCGCTTATCCTTGGGCGTCGGGGACATGACCCCATTGGCTGACTTCCGTTGAACGAGGTTAAGGCTAAATACGGCGTGCGATCGAGAAGACTTGGCGTTGATGGCGGTAGAATCGGTCTGCCGGATAGAGGAGCCGAAGCTCAGAGCGCCCATCAAGTCCTCGATTGAGTTGATGTTCACCTGGTGTAAGCCAGTGAGAATAATGCGGCCTTTCGCATCTTCGCGGATCGTGACCGTACCACGGTCGCTCTGAGGTGTCGAATCGGGGACGAGGAGATCTCTCAAGTGTTCATTATAAATCTAAAATCGTCAGTATTTTCTAGTCGCGCGCAGTGATATGCCATGTTCATGTCTCATACTTCAACGTAAGTGGCTTTCAACTGCCAATTCTTCTCCGCGCTGGCCTTTCCGAAACTGGAGGTGGAGCTGATGGAATATCGAGAGGGGGTACGAAGGCCCGTACCGCTGTTGCGATTCGGTTTCGGTGGCCCCTCTAGTTTCTCGAAGAGAAGTTGGGCAGCGCGGGGAATAATTCCTGTGTCCGTCAGCAGCTGCACCAAAACACGTACACTTGTCGTGGGATGAGAGAACCAACCCATAGATCTCGGGTCATGTTGTTCGCTAGGACCGGAAGTTCCCATCGTATAAGACTTTCCCGCGCCGGACTGGCCATAGGCCAGGATGGAGACGTTGTACCCCTGTAAGAACGAGCTCACACTATCGCTGAGGTAGTCCCAAACACCGTCCTGGTCGACCGTCTCGGCGAACACTCGATCAAAGACGAACAGTTTCCGGCCCTGAGGAACATCGATGGCAACACTGGTTGGGTTCATGACGTGCACCATCGGGCGCTGAAACCGTTGGGGAACCAATTCGTACCCTGGGTCGTCTGGCTTCAGCGGCGGGCGCACACGGACGGCTATAAAATTGATTAGCATGCAGACCAACAATGATCCCTTGCACGTGGGCCGTTTGGAGTGCCGAGAGAAGCGGTATCCGCAATAATGCATGCAAGCCAGTTCTCCCCCGAACGGTCGCACACCGTGCACGCCGTGAAGGTCACAACGCACCAACTTTGACCGCAGTCTTGCCATCCTCATCCGATGCCCGACTTCCTCCGCCATGTTTACTACTCATGCTCAAGCGACTGTTGCTTCTGGGTGTACGCATGATGCCGCTAAAGGGGCGCTGGGGCGCATCCGTTGGTGATTCAGGCTGGGAGCCCGTCATGGCCCTTTATATGATTGATTCCACACCAGGAAAAAACTGGTTGGGCCAAGAGATCGACGAGTTGCGGACAGGAGTGGATGATTGGTCAGAGATCAGAGGCGGTCGTCATCAGTAATGGATCAGTGCTCCAGGAGTGCAAATGTTCACACTCTGTGGTGTCCTTCGGTTATTAGGATTATTATTTATTTGAGGGGGTTCGTCGCGTGAGTTGGCGGCCTGCGGCACTCTGCGACGTCAAAGCGGTCTCTAACCTGCAGGGTCGATGAAGCGGATGGTTCCTGGCGAACGAGACTATTGATTAGAAAAGTGGACAAAAGGCGGGAAAGGCAGCGAACAGGTGAAAGAAAAAAAAAAGGATAGTTACAGGAAAGCGTCCCAACAACGGTGAGAACAAAGGAGCCAACAGAGGTGACTGGGAGAGACACTGAGGAGGGAGAGCAAGCAACCGCACCAGCACCCACCACGGAGGAACTAAAGCGACGGCAGAAGGAGTGACAGGATGAGAGGAGCTCCAGGCCGGTAGAAAGGTAGGTAGATAGGACTCCTAGGGTCCGAGAAAACACCCAGGCGGGAAAAGCTGTCGCGGAGAAGAAGATGGAAGAACTCCTGAGCGGCGAGCAAAGTTAATTGGTGGCATCAAGGTTGAAGCGAACCGGGATGGGGCTGGGCTGGGGCGTTGGACCGAGTCGGCCGCTGGACTGCGGTGGACGGTGGACGGTGCACTGTGGAAAGTGGAAGGTGGAAAAGGAGGGCCGGCCAGCAACGGCGGCGCGGTAAATCATGGCCTAGAGAGGGGTTCATTTGAAGGCACGGGGACCGATCTTGAAAGTTGAAACAGCCATAAAAAGCAGCCGGGTAAAAATAGCAAACGCGAAGCCCGTGGTTCCTGTCCATCTCCCACGGCCGATCCAGTCAACTAGATACTTACATCGGACTAGGTCCAGACTGCATGACACCCACAGCAAGCTGAAGAACAATTGTCAGGCACAGGAATGCCAGGGACGACTATAAACTATGGAGATGGCCCTCAGGCACAGGCCGACTGTCCGGATTCCGGTATGGCGGTTACGACGCCAGGGGGGAAACCCACTCTCCAGGCCAAACCCACCCGCCACCAGCCCAGCGTTCGGGGTCCAGAACACACCACACCAGTTTCTATCTACTGCATCGTCGTCCCTTGATTTCACGCCTCGGACTCTCTGATCGTGCGACATTGCGATCGGTGGCAATTTGATAGACCGCAAAAGCAAACATATCGGCTTCCAAATCAGCCCCATCCATTTGACACTGAACTGCGCTGCGACTCGCGGGCAGTTCCCGTATTGCCGACCGGGCTGTTCCACGGGTCGCGGCGGATGGATGCAATTCAGGAACCGAACGGAGTCGGAGTGCCACCCTTCACCACATGGTTGATGAACTCCATTCTTCGGTCGGGTGGGTGGTTCTTGTCAGCTTTGAATGTTTCAGAGTTGCTCAGAATCGGCTGGAGGCTGGATGCCAAACTTCAACTTATTCACTGCTCGTCTGTTTGCGTGAAAATTCAATTAGCCAGATTGCGAAGCATTAACCCCAGAGCAGGAAAAAAAGAAAAGAGAAAGTGCAAAGAAATCAATAAAATATTCAATCTAACATGTAAACGCAGAGAACCCCGAAAAAAGAAACTAAGAAACCCCCAAACAGCAAAGCGTAGACCAAGCGACCAGGCTGAGTACCTAACCTTAACCCATCATCTCGTCGACACCTGCAATCAAGCGGGAAGCGGCATCCCCCATCACTTCCTTCCAGCCCCCTGACGCCAGTGTCAGATGTTTTACCTTGGAGATTAAACTACTGGAGACCGTCAAAAGTGACCGCCAAACTCAGGAACCATCTGCATCGGAACACCGCATCGTATGCGCAGTCCACCCCCAACCTGGTATAGTCACAAGCAAGCGAAATGAGGAGCGACCGGTCGAACCTCCAGGCCTGCGTCTGGTGCGCATCCTCCAGTGGTCAGTCAGTCGGGATGGAGAAGCTTGACCCGCAGGTGTTACAGTCTGCTCCTTGAGTGCGGGTCAGCATGGTGCCATGGAGGGCGTGCGACAATCGATTCCCATTTGGAGGGTGGGTTAATTGGCGGTCCAACTGTCGAGTGGACACCAGCTAGAGGACTGGGCCAGTTAGGCCTCCACTCGCGATAGATGAAGGCTGCGCTTTAGCAGCCATCATTAACGGTCGAGCGATCGCAGTGGAAGAGGAAGCGATTAGCGTATGTCTTTGGCCAGCAGGTTACTGCTAATAACGCATGGCATCCTTCATCTCGGTCGGCCTACGTAAGTCACCCTGGCCGCCTATCAGCATGGCTCCGCGAAATTAATCCGGATCCCCAATATTAGGCACAGCCAGCAACCCCGACCTGAACGTGGGAGCTGACCCCAAACATGGATCATGGACGGTGTTTCGTTTCTCTGATTGATCAATCGGCCAGCCACCCTATCAAGTTACCTCTGTCGAAGCGTAGCTCATAATTAGCACCAGGTGGCATGGAGAATACCAGGAAGGGAAGATCTGCTTACTCACAGAGCCCAGACAAAGTAGTCATTTCACATCCCCTAGCCCTACTGCTCATAATTTGTGACTATGGCTTAGCACATCCTGAGAGGCGAGATGCAATATGCTTCAGGCTCCAGCTGCTTCGGATGAAGAATAAGCGTGAGGGAGTCTTTCGTGCCGAAGGCCACAATGATGCTTGCCTGTTGTTGGCGCTAAGCCATATCGGGAAAGCCAGGCTATAGTCCAGGAAAGAACACTCGTGACAATGATTATGACTTCTCCCTGCCAGGCGGTAAATCGCCACAGCAAACATGAGGAGTAACTTGATCTTCATAGGTCATACTCTTTGCTTTCAACCACTCACCCACAGCTGCACCATGGTATCCCCGGGTCTTTATACTCTTCATGAACCAATCTCGGGGATTCCGTGCACGCCTCACATTGGTATTCCTTCTATCAGGTTATTGATCCACATGGTATTTTCTAGATACTTCTCCCCTTACTCTCATTAATTTAAACTCCAGGTCCACATGTATTAACAACTATCGCGAAATAGGCTCTTGAGTTCTCATCCGATAGGTTCTTGTCAACAATTTACGACTCTTGTCACGCGCTGTGATCTGCATCCAACCATACTTGAGACTTAATCTCTGAGAAAGCGAATATTACCTTGATGAAGTTGTCCCAGGCCGACTGCGGATCTCCCTGGCTGGAAGCCACTTACACAAGCCAACCAGGATCAAGCCTTACAAGTTCGAACATCACGATAGTCACCTACATTGGTAATGAACCCATAATGCTGAAAGGCAATGCTATTATAAGTCGACGTTGAGGACCAATCTAGCTAGTATCATCTCTGGAAGCTCCTCGGAAATATCAAAATCGAATGTCACTCCTGTTGATGATGAATTTAAGGTCAAACATGACTTGGATCAAAAACACAATACTCTTTAGTTGCCAGAGATGGCACTATACAGAGGCATCCAACAGCGGCTTTGTGAGCCAGGCAGTCGAAGAGTACGTATGGGGAAAGGGTCGTTATCTTGGGATGAAAGAACCTACTGTGAGAGACGCACCAGGAGACTTTCCGCCCGCATCACGTTTGGCATGGGAAGCTAGGATCGAGCACTATACCGACTCCAGTTCCTGCTACGCTGACGTAACTGTCTCCCTTGGCTTGCTTGACTTTGAACTTCTGTAACCGAAATGCGACTTTTTCCGGAATTTCCAGACATCACTATCCGCTAAGGCTCCAGGTGGCTATACCAGGGCTTATATATACGGGGGTACAATGTACCCGGCTGGTTGTGTCTTCAGCCTCCGGTCATGCTGATTTCATCAACTTTTACGAGGGTAGGTAGCTCGAGGATAGAGCACTTTTCTACATGAATGAGGAACCACTATCATTCTTTCTGCTCTTTGCTCTTCACAAGCATCTGACTAACAAGGCATGTAGGACAAAATTGATAACTCTCAGGCTCCCTATCCGGTTTCTAAGTCTATATTGCATTAGCCTTAGGAGGCTCGCTGGTCACAGTGAGTTCAAAAAAAAGGCTCCGTCTCGACACATGATTACTAACTAAGGTAAGGTACTGCCTGACCTATAGAGTAGTCGGTACCGACTATCATGGCACCTTATCTCGAAGGATACTATCCAAACTAGTCAAGAACTAGAGCTTTTTGACAACTCCATACCGGTGTTCCCGAACACTTAGAGAATGCAAATCGTCGACCTCCTGGATCCATCTGGAGTCCAGTACTGTATATTTAGATATAATTTCTATATGGGAAAACTTCGGCACACAATTTCGCATCATCACGTTGCGGGCAAAGTGGATGTCTGATCTCTGGCCAAGCCGATGGATTGACCGATCTAGCTATCAATAGCAGGGTAGTCCACAAATTAGGATTCAACAGTCTATCATTGCCGACGGACCAGGGGAACCTAAATAGGGGAGATAGGACGTGTTGATCGGTTGAATACTAAGCGGGAAAGTCTTGTTTCCTGTTCTCCACCGCGAAAGAATATTTCACTAATATCATGTGAAGTTTCGCTAGAAGATTTCGAATCAAGGTGAGTTGTGTTTCCACGTTATTGGTGACCTGAAATATAGTAACTGAAGTTTTCCCAGCTATTGACTCAACAATTCGCACAGACATGTCCCGTCCATGATATATAAAAGGCCTCCACACTTCGACCTCCACAAGGAGGTTATTAGAATCGATATTTACCAATAACCTCCTCACCGGACATACTCCCGATGTTAATAATTGATCGAATAACCCGATATAACGCCCAATAGTGCATCAGCAACCGCCTATCCTAATGACATGCACGGACGACCTCAAGGACGATTGGTTGGCCCCTGAATCCAACGACCGATCTTCAGCCAGCAACGCGAATCCATTCCGGTAACGATCGTCGGAATCCCCACACTACCCCGATCCCATCGAAAACAGTCATACTCAATTTTCAAGGGTCGCTACGGGGATTATTGCCAGCCATTCGATTAATTTTATCCCTATGTCTGATGGATGGTTTGATGTCTCGAAGTCGAGATGAACCACAGTACGAAGTATATCCAAGTCCAAATAAAGTACCCTTAGCCCAACCATAACCTGTTACCTACTGTACTGTGTACGCAGCTGACAACAAACAGGAAGTGAAGTGGATCTGGGACTGTCCTGTCACATCCATACTCTATCTGATACCCCTAACCCCTAATCTCCAACGATCAGCATTGTCAACTACTCTGACACGAGCATCTAGAATCAATCCTCGCGACCCTCGTATCGAGTCAATTACCCATCCATCGCGATGCTTCCTGAGGCTCAAAACCTGGCATAACCTATCTCCGCTTACAAAATCTTATTGGATTTATGATCCCCACGGCGAATACAATAATCTAATCAGGTATTACAGATATGAAAATGTGATAAAAAGCGCAAATTCCACTCTTTCCGTAGAGTTAATGCAAGGGGAATCTGCAGATACCAGTGGCCTCGACAAGTATTGGGGAGCTGTAGAAAGTCGAACTAACAGATCGCGATCTCTTGTACATCGGTAGGCAAGATCTATCGGAAAATAAGAGACTAGCTCAAGTGTAGGTATGCAGCCACAGCGCTGCTAAGGCGCAACTAGTACTGCGCCAGCGCGTTAATGGATCCCTGAGCGTTTGGCGATAGGGAGTGGAGGATCGATGACGATTGAGGATGCGATGGGATAGATAGATCGCATCTTATCTATGATCAGTCGACTCGTTTCAGATGTGGCGTTATTTATGCAAGGGATGAATTAGATCTATCTAGACTAGATCGAATACAGCTAAGTGGATACCTGCACTGTCTGATGTCACTATAAACTTGCTTTCCTACATAGCAACTTTCCTTGATCGACTACCTCAGTGTAGTAGCAATATATACATACTAGACAACACATTGACATACATAAGACATACAAGTATCCCCGTCAAACCAATACATCCGGTGCTGAATCTTGCATGGTGATGTCCTCTTCTTCTCTACCTTCCGGGACCTCCTCGTTCGGTTCCTCTTCGGGTGGGCTGACAAGTTCCCAGGGCAGCTCAATCTCCGAAGGTAGGAAGAAGGCCGGATACCCCTTAACCTGAGCCTCAGTGTACTGGAGCCCATTGAGACACAAACATCCAATGAACTGCCATAGCCTATGGCACTTGTTATACATAGGCCCTCGCGGAATTCGCACTTGCAGATCGTTCAAAACTTCACGTATCTGCTTATAGTACCCTACCGAGTTCATGTTGCGCCCATTCAGGCCAGTGACGTTATCCACCGTGTCTGTTAATTGCTTGAGCAAGTAGTTCGGAATCCGTCGCGGCTTCTGCACCGTCATCGTCTGAATAAAGGTATGGAGGGCGACATCCGCTTTCTCGATGATTTGCCGTTGACTCGCGACGTGATGGATCAAGGAGGCATAGGCACTCGGGCTGAGCATATTCTCGGCATGATGGAAGTCACTTCTCCCCCAGTATTGCGCCATTCCGATCAGATGAATAAAACATTCGCGGTATAGCCGGGCACACTGAATGTCTTGTGCCAACTTGGTGTTGGTGAGGATGTCGTCGGTGAGACCATCGAGCGGGGAAGCCGTAAGGGTCCAAGGTAGAATAATCTTTTCAATGTATTCGCGCACTCGAGGCACTGCCTGGAAGCGTATCCCTAGCGTGACCATACGCCGCCAACCTCTGACGCCGATGTATGGCACAGGCTTCAGATACAATGCTTGCAGGAAGCAATGAAAGGTCTCAATGGCAGTCGGTATGCGGTCTTCAGACAATGCCGGGTATTCGCGATAGTACTTCTATGAAACAACGGCATGTGGTCAGCCTTCAGTAACCCTCAATCAGATAACCTGGCATGACATACCGCCCCCTTCCGGTAGATTCCCCATCCACCATCCTTCTCTGTTCTGGCCTCAAAGTGGTGTCCATGACGCGCAGGGAACTCGCCATGCTGCCGGTCTTTCCAGATCCGTGTGTACTGCTTGAGCAGACTCGAATGCGTCCGGAACTCTTGTCCGAAGATGTTAATGTACGTATCCGTGGGACCCTGCTCATGTGGACCGCAAAGGACGGGGACTCTGATCTTGCGATCTCTCAATGACTTGAAGGGATTGTCAGCAAAGATCTGGGCCAACTCCGGGACGATATCGTCGGCAATGGCCGGACTCAAACGAGGGATATCCATTACTGGGTTGGTGAGGTAAAGAATGGAGGGTTGCGTCTATATTAATTAACATCGACAATGAAAAGAGAGTGACCGATTGAAGTAGGCTAGGACTAGCAGATCCCCGCGTTAGAAAAGCTGGAGATCCTGGCAGCCTGGGGATGGCACGAACCATGGAATGGTTGACCGGGCAGGGCAGCTGACTGCCTATTCGAGTAGGCGGCGCCCTCTAGCTTTCTCTTGCCTCTGCCAGGGTATCCATGAGAAGCTGCCCGGCCTCGCTGCCATACGCCGCTGTGGTCATTCGCCCACTCGGGACATGATCTACAGTCGTGATACCTCGATAATTGCCTCTGCAGGTTAGAAATTTCCTGCCATGTCATACCTGAGGTGGTGCTAGTTTTGTTCCTTGGACACTCGGTGTACATAGGAGACATTATGCTGATATTTCCGACATCCAAGCCCTCTGGTGTGATGAGCTGGCTTGCAGAAAGATAGGAATTGTCAATAGAACTTGCCTAGTAGACAGACCGCGACATTCTGGCTGGCCACAAAACCTGAGTACATCCATTTTCCTCTGGAACTTACTGCCCAAAGATGAGCTTGTGTAGTACTCCAGTCGTGCTTGGTATTCAATGAGCAGAGAATTCGATGGCACTCCAGAATACATTGTATGTAGGTAGTGTCTGGTTTCCAGGATATCGTGGGCATTTGGCTCCGCTACAAGCACGTGTCGCAGAGACTACACCCACGTGATCATGGCCTTAATGTTTTCATCTCCTTGACAATGTCACAGAGAGACTCCTTCCCGGGTTCTAATCATGACGGTCACTTGGGGTTTGACGTTCCAAAAAGGGGAAATTAATGCAACTGCCAAATACAACTCGCTGTTCCAGAATACAATCACATTCCTGCTCGTCCATCTTGGAGTCATCTCTGCTTTGACACCTTATTCCCAACAAGATGAAGGACTGCCAGGATGCTATCGATCAAAGGTGGCTTGTAAATTACGCTTCATGCAGCTAGAGACGCTCCCAAGATGCCTGGGGCAGAAGATACGTGTATATATTCCACAACTGACTTCAACAATGTGCACAAGGCTAATACTCCTATCGTCTAGCCATTACTTGGCTGTGATTGCGTGCCCCAAAGTCGAAGTAACTGGTGAGGCAATAGGGTACTGTCGATCAAAGAAAAACCAGCATTGCTTTGACAGGCCACGAAAATCGTGATACCGACAAAGCTCTCACTTACGACCCGGTTAAGCGGAGGAAATAGACCTTTAGAGTAATTTCATAGATCAGAGAAAATGAGGTTACTTGTACTGCACGAAGATTGGGATCTGATAGACGGATTCCAGGTTGGTATTAATGGGAAAATGCGAAATATCACCAAATGCTATTGTGTAGGCCTTGCAATCCAACTTAGATACAAACTACCCGCCTTGTGGGGTGTTTTGGCTAGATTAAGCGCATCTGCTTCCAGTCAAAAGTCACGAGACATAAAAGTGCCGTAGACAAGCCACTGCCATCTCCACGATGCAGTACATCGTCTACATCTCGTCCGAACGACTAGCAGATAGCGGACCCTTCTTGACCATGATGGTCAGAACCTCGTAAAGGACGTCGGAAGCAGCCCTATATGCACACCCATCAGTTATGATAAAGACGCGGACAGTGCAGGATTGTCATACATGGTCGAAAGTTCAGCATTTGTATCATAAGCTGGAGCGACTTCTACTATGTCCGCCCCGATGAAGTTCAACCCATCCAATCCGCGAATGATGGTGCGGAGCTCACGCGTCGACCAGCCGCCCGTCTCGGGTGTACCTGTCGCTGGGGCATCTGATACCATCATTAGAGGATCCAAGAGAATTGTTGAGACCAAGGACATACAAGCGGGATCAAGAGTATCGATATCGATGGAGAGGTAAACAAGGTTCTCGGTGCCGACCCTGTCCCTGATTTTCTTGATGATTCCTTCCGTTCCTATGATATGGTAGTTAGTCGAGTACATAGACGGGATTCTACTTATGTACCGATAGTATCAATTTCTCTGGCCTCGACGATCTCAAACCCGCAGTACCCGTCGTTTTCGTAGTCCGAAGGACCAGAAAGCGTAGTGCGAATACCAGCGTGGATATTCGTATCATTCTTGAGCAGGCCTTCCATCGCAGCATGGTAGAAGTAGGTTCCATGATTGATTGCGGCGACCTGGCTAGGTGAGCCGCCGAAGACCTTTGGCTTCCATGAATCTCTGAAGTTGGTTAGTAGGGGCTTTTTCTAATGAGAACACACTTACAGATGGCTGTCAAAGTGAATAACAGTAACAGGCCCATAGGCCCTGTTAATACTGCGCAGTAAGGGAAGGGTGATGGTGTGATCTCCTCCCAGAGTAATTATACGTGGAAGAGTCTTGCCGGCCTTGGAGAGCCCGAGCTCATCGGCATCGGTAAATGGCTTGCGCATCAAGGCGCTATTGTGACCTTCCTCAATCTGCTGGATGGCCCAAGCATTGTCATAGCTGTCTGTCTTAGCATTTTCTTTGGCCCTCCCTGAGAGGGAACATACGAAGTGACTGGGATATCTCCACAGTCTAAGATCTTCAAGTCGCTGACGAAAGGGTTCGCTTGCAGCGGCACATTGTAGCCACCACTAATACAGCCTTAGTAAGATCCAAAATTGCCAGCTACAATCATGGTAGAGCATGGCATACTAAAGATTGAGACGACGAGATCCTTGCCTAATTCCACTAGGTCCAAATCTCGCCCCAGGTCTGTAAGAAGTGCCAGTATCAAAGGGAGCGCCTAAAGATTGGAGTTAGTATGAAGGCAATATGGCAGAACGTGAACCTACCTAAGAAAGCAATGTCGTATCGCTCCTCTTCGCTGGAAAGACAGGGGAAGTAAGGCAAACGGCCAAAGGTCGAGATACCGGAGAAGACGGAGTCGGCCTGTACCATTAGGCAAACAGTGAGCAGATGGGCAAGCGACATTTACTAACCTGAGTGCCACCGTCGCCAGGGAGAGTGTTGTACCACAGCCTTTGATGCGGTCCCGCCAATGGAGTCTGACCATGATCGCTATGGGCAGAAGCGATAGCAGAGAGAGCGAGGAAGGTCACAACCGAAAGATACATACTAGAGATATCTTGGTGCAAAGGATACAAACAGTCACTTCACTGGTAAATGAGCAGAACGTCAGTTGGACTGCAGAAAGGGGCTTGTTATATGCTCCCACTGGCGGCTCTGCTTCTCGCCTTCCCCAATTCTCTCTCCCCTGCATTCTGTTCGACTCGGGCGACCCTCAATTCCCACCAACCTTCACTGGCTAGATGCTGCAAGTACCGGATGGAAGGTGCCATAAACTTGCGACATGATATGACAACCTGGTGTGTGTACGCGCAAATCTGTTGGTTACTCATCGAACCGAGCCTCGTTCCTTATCAATCCCTTTCTCCCGCGACCTTCCATAACGAGTAGCAAATTCGAGAAGTACAGTGGGGGTGCAACAGCGTTTGAGAAGACATCCACACGATGATGTACAACCTAAATTGGAACTCCTAGAGCAAAGTGAGGTCCAAAGCCATGATATGGGTGATTATCGGGCATTAAATCCGTCATGGATCTCCAACCGCATCGATGACCAAATAGGAAGGCCGGAGGAGAAGGCAGTGGATATCTCGATCGAAAACAAGAATTCGCCAGCGATGTCGGGGACTAGCCTCATGCACGAACCTGATCCACCAAGCCTTATCGTCGTGATTGTGCCACGGAGATGGCGGCCGACACTCCTTATCAGCGACGCCGATCCTCTTCGCTCTGTGTGGTGGGGATCACTCGGCTTGCAGAACACTTCTCTCAGACTGAGAAAACCAGATAGTGGGGTAAGTGTTTTACTATGGTATTTGATCTGGAGTGGAGCAATGAATACAAACTGATGACTTCGGGCTACTTCATACAGTCACTCTACCGACCTTCCTATTGCGATGCTAGATGGAGACACTGCGTGGATTCTAGCAAACATCACATCTAACGCACCCTATACCTACTATCTATCATTACGCCTCCGTCGCAACACCATTGGTAGTAACTCCAGTCTCCAATCGGTCGTGGATGTCCATGCGCAGGAATGCCTTGTCGACCTCCTTGTCCCAGTTACTGAAGGTCACGATCATCCACTCCAGTGCCCCCACAAGATACAACGCGATGCATTGTCCCACCCAGAGCCCTTTTAGTCCCCAACCATGAAAAGCCATCCAGACACCTAGGGGCAAAGCACCGCAGTAGTAACTGACCAGGTTGACTAACGCGCCGATATGCTGTTTTCCCATCCCCCGAAGGCTCCCACCACAGCTCCCGTTGAGCCCGTCGGCGATCTGGAACAGCGCCACCCATGGCAGCACCTCTGCAGTGAGATGTACAACTCTTTCATCGGGATTGAAGATCTTCGCAAACTCGTGTCGAGTGCCCATCAGCACGGCCGATACGGCCCCTCCCAGAATCATACTCAGCCACGCCGCTGTATAGGCCGCTCTCGATGCCCCAGCTGCATCCCGGGATCCTAGTAAGTTTCCGACGCGTGACGACGTGGCGACGCCTACACCAAATGGAATTGTATTGAGCACTTGGTCTGCGGTCATGATGACGCTCTGTGCAGCCAACGGGATGGTCCCCAATCTGCCAGCTGCGAGCGCCACTATCTCAAAGGCCCACCACTCGGTTCCCACATGCACCACGCCCAGAATAGCCAACCGGGCGAAGGTTCCGAGGTTTTGGAACGACTCGCGGGACCAGCCACCCCAGCACTCGGAACCGGCGACAAATCGGGAGTACAGAATGAGCAGTACAAAAGACAACCAGTAAGAGATACCCATGGCAAATGGCGCACCGAGTAATCCCAGTCGAAACGTGTAACAGAAAAGGTAATTGAGCAATGCATTGAATGGTACCGTTATCAGCAGCACATATGTACCAGGACGCATGATACCTGCATACAATTCGTTAGCGCGGGTTTCTTGGGAGCAAACACCCTAGAGCTCTAAGTCAGGGTACGGAAAAATTGCTTACCCTGTGCCTGCAGGTACTTCTTCATGGCCTCGAAATAGATGTATCCGAGGCCCCCAGGGATCAAGCACGTCAGAAAGCGCGCGCTATCTCTGGAGAGCTGGGCATCTTGACCAAGCATAATAAACACGGGCTCAGAGCAAGCCCACAGAATGGCGACGGGCACATAGAAGAGCCCAAGGACCACGAATCCTCGCTGTAGCAGAATGCCCAAGTCGTGCTTATTTGAGCTTCCTGTGAACGTTGACGAGGCTAACGTGTCCAGCGCGGTTGTTCCGCCCAAGGCAATCATCCACGCAGTGACCATGGCGAACATGAGCGAGAAAGCTGTTGTCGCTAGATTTTCAGGTGAAGTCCTTCCTACAATCAATACCGATGTAGTCTGAAGGCTGTTCTGGAGCGTGTATGCTAGAATGACCGGGACAGAATCCTTCACCAGCCGGACAAGTTCGGTCAAGAAGGGTGCACAGATTTTCGTGCTCTTGCAGGCATGATCGTCGTGCTTAGAGAGTAGGATGGTATGCTCTGTGGGCTCTCCCCGAACGCCTATGGAAGGGCTCTCGCTGTAATTAGGGAGAGTGTCGTACATATTGAAGTGGGTAAAAGGCACGCCGAGCTCAGCACTTTGAGAAGACAGATATTTGTCTATTTCAGCAGAATGATATGGACACAAGATAGTATATAACGGCTCCTAACATGGACGGCTAGGCTGATTATTTCGGTCAGAAACAATCCCACCCCTTGCCTCAAGCAAACATCACCGGCTATTCAAGTGTACGCAACAGCACAGGCCAACGAGATGATCCACCACTAGCTCGTCCAGATCCGCACCACCGACCCACCCCGAGAGCTTATGCGAGACGCACGTCCGCGCCAACTGATCACTAGAAGTGGCCGTCCCATTCTCGAGATATTCGCCTGATATGGAAGGCGTGGGGGCGGGACAGATGACCTCAGGTTCCCCATAATCGCTTATGTTTATATCGATGTATGGATACTAGTCATACCCGCATTGGAGACAGACACCGCGGGCATATTGTGGAGTCGACGTTCGGTGCCCAACCTAGCCAACCATGACCTTATCCAGATAAAATCTCCTTATCATGAATCCTTGGCAAGGATACTAATCAGGATCGGAGTTGACTGGTTTCCACAAAGCTACGAATCATGGGGATGCCAGTCAAAGAAGGTCTGGCTCGCACAGCAGCGTAGTCGTCTAACGAGCGGTAAAACTGCTCCATATAGATTACAATGCACTCAGACTGCTTTACAGGATGATGAGGCAAGTATGGAGCAGAGAGAATTCCAACTGAACACCAGGTTGCCGGACGAATCCAAGATACGGAGTGAAGATGGAGCCATTTCACTCTACGATGGTAATGGCACGGGCTCCGACGGTTACCATGCATTGGGCAGTTAACCAGCCAGGCCTTGAGCTTGGTAGAGAGGGGCAAAGGTAAGAGTACCAAACAATATTAGGTGATTTAATAGGCAGCTTATCATGCCCCTAGCCGCTTCAGTGAGTTCCTCGAATCAAAATTAAGGGTGAAAGAATCCCGTCTCAAATCAACATAGATCCGGGGCAGGGATCAACCCTATAGTTGACTCGTTAAGAGCCCTGATCTGACAGGTCCGCGGCCCTGTCTTGCAGCCTTGCATCCGGGCCTTGACACCAATGATAAGAACTAAAGATATCGTCCGGCCATATGATTTGATGCTGGTCTGGGGTTCCAACTGATAAGCCTCGTCCTCGTCAGGGATGTAACATCATCAATGAAGCCCCATAGACTCATGGATTATATATGCACCCCAACCAAGGCAGGCTTGACACGGCGTCATCAAACGGCGTACACAATTTTGAGAGTGAGCATTGTATACAATGGATCTTAAGCTCCCTACCCAGTCAGATATTGTTGCTGTTTTGGAAAAGCAAACTCAGTCTTCTACTGAGGCCAACGATTTACCTATCGAGCAACATGGAACGCATGTCCATCCCACGCCAACTTCTGATCCACTGGACCCCCTGAATTGGTCTCAATGGCGGAAACACACCGTCCTAGGAATTGTCATGTTCAAGCACGTCCCTCACTTGCCTAGAATAGCCAGGCTGCTAACACCGAGCACAGATACTTCCTTTTCACCTACATCACAACCACCACTGTTCCATCTTTCGCTGAAATCCAACTCCAGTATGACATCAACTATTCACAGGTGAACTGGACCGTCGCCATCCCCGCTCTGGGGCTATCTCTCGGACCGCTCTTCTGGTCCTCGCTTGCCGACATCTATGGCCGACGCATTGTCTTCATCGTCGGGTCGATCATCGCTCTCGTCTCAACCATTGGAGTCGCAGTGGCAGGTAACTATAGTGGGTACATGGCTGGTCGGTTTTTCCAGGGGATTGGGGTGAGTCCGGCGTCCTCAGTAGGAATGGCGATTGGTAAGCTTTCCTTCATTGGATATAACTTGAAGTGAGCAAAACACTAACAACCCACCTAGTAACGGACCTCTTCTTCGACTATGAACGCGGCCAAAAGCTCGGTCTATGGGTTCTTGCCATCGACTCGGGCTTACTTCTTGGTCCTCCCTGTAAGTGCATCCCGTTCCATCAAACTGATCTTGAGTAACAAGCCTGATCAAAAGTCGGCGGTTTCCTTAATCTCGTCAGCGCACAATGGACAAATTGGTTCAATGCGATCCTTTTTGCCACTCTGCTAGTCCTCGAACTAGCTCTTATGCCTGAAACCCTCTACCCACGCGCAATGATGCTTCAGCGCTTATCGGCTACTGAGAAGCCAAGTGTAAACGGTCCATGTGCCGAGGAAACCGGGGTAAAACGCACCAAATCTCTGCCATTCCTCAACATCACTCCAATCCCGGGCCTTGCTCATCCGCCAATCTATGCTTCCCTGACCAGATTCTTCCTTACATTCCGCTTCTCCGTCATCCCAGTGGCTGTCCTTGGGTACTCATTCACATGGTACTGGTGGATGATGTCTGTGATCACGATGGTGCCGTCTGCGTATGCATCGGACTCGCCTCTCATCCAGGGACTACTGTTTCTGGGCCTTTTGATAGGGTCGCTAATTGCGGAGGTGGGCTGCTCGGGACGACTGAGCGATGCCATCGTGGAGAGATTGGCAAAGCGCAATGGCGGTATCCGAGCACCTGAGATGAGGCTGTGGTTGGCCTATCCGGCAATTGGACTGACTGTTGGTGCGTATCCCGGTGTCGAACTTAATACGAGGATGACGCTAACAGGTGTGCATGGATCAGTGGGCTTGATCGTGTGGGGTATTAGTGTTGATAAAGCGTACCACTGGATCGTGGGACAGATGGCTTTCTTTTTATGTTCGTTATCCCATTCTATCTCGTCATCGTTGTCCCTTTCTAGGGAAATGACATGGAGCCTCACTAACCAGTCCACACCGTAAGTCTCCGCTGGAATCCAAATCGGCAATACCGTCACGAGCAGCTACATCATAGATGCCTATCCGCTCCAGTCAAGTAGTGTGGTCATTTTCTATGCGGTATTTCTGAACCTGAGTGCATTTGCGAATCCGGTATGTCGTTTTCATCTTCGCTTTCCTCTATATACCTAACATGGCTAACATGACATAGTTCTTCATTGCCCAATGGGAAGCCGCAGTCGGCTGGACCTGGACGTTCACCACACAAGCATTGATTACCCTTGTGGCTGGGACAGGTATATTCGTTTCCTTACATGTTTTTGGGCCGTCCTGGAGGGCCAGGGCGGTGCCGGGGTGGGTGAACCCGGAATTCGATTCCTGATCCCTCTTGGAGGTGTATATAGCTCCAGATAATATGTGAGAGCTCGGTTGATCTCACAGTTGGCCAGAAGCTGGACTCCATTGGTTGAATGCTCAAACGTATCAGATTTCTCACTAAAGGTCAGTGCAGTTTCCATTATAATGATCAGTCCAGCTTTATCAAATAATAGGTCTCTCATTTGAATTAATCAATTCAGTATTATATGGTTTAATCCACTAGATTCATTAAGACTATAGAATCAAGTGCTCCTCGATAATCGCGGTGCCCTCGGTGGCTGAAGTTCATCATTGAGCTCCTCACATCCCACTAAACCTCTCTGCGACTCACCGTCCCATTCTAGATCCTGCAACCCAGTCAAGTCTCTATTGATATGATTAGAGCCCTTTCTCCGCCCTTGATCCGCAAATTCATCGTAATCATTCGACCTCGGCCACGCTACATCGCTCACGCGCTGGTCACTGTTGGTATCGCTGCACAACCCAAATTTCCTCGCAGTTTTGCGGTTGAATACTGCTTCGAGAATTACTCGCATTGTGGGAAGACAGGTGCAGAGGATGCCGATTGATACCTCAATGATGGACCACATAAATCCCGGAGCATAATCCCACGTTATGTCAGAGTTGTCCAAGATAAGCATCGAGAGACATAGGCGAGCCACGGCAGCTCCGCAATCACTTGGGTGAAGTATACGTTAGCCAGAATAGATGTTCTGACCGTCAAGGAATAGGAGGGAGGTGCTTACAATAACCCCAACGCAAAGATGAAAGATAGAGCTATCTTCTGCTGAATCGGCATCTGAATCTTCCAGACAATAGGAATAGGCATCAACCAGATAGCGAGGTCCGTGACGATGTTGACCACGGCATATCCAAGCGCGAAAAATTTGAAGTCGAAGCATTTTCCCTTGCTCGTCCAAAAGGCGCTGATCGGAGTGCAGTTGAAAATCGCCATGAAGGTCACGACGATGCCGAATACAACAATCAAGCCCATCATGCCGTATACTAAGCGAAGGAACTTGGAACGCTCGAAGACGCGTCGGTAGAGGAATAAAAGTGATAGTTTCACGCTTGCTGGTCCGAGGACATAGAAGATTTGGAAAACATAGAGGAGCTCAACTATCCCTGCGATGTTGTCGGTTGGGACGTCATCGATATGCTTGCCCAGTCCATTATGGCTACCTAAGCGATGAGAGAGAGACATTAGCTGAAGATATGGATAAATAGCAGTGGTGGTGACCGTATGCCGGTCACCTGATCCTCCTGTGCCTTCCCCTCCTCCGAGCTCACTCCTGTTCTCCTCCACCATCATTGATGAAATTGACATACTCACACCCCACGAATAATCCATACATTGCCCAGTCGCAAGCCTTGGGAATATCGTCAGTTCTCCAACCCTTCATCAGTCAGCCCTACACATACCAAGGAAAAGGAAATGATCCAATCATCCGGCCCAAGACGTAGGTGTCTGAGCCGTCTCGCACAAAGCCGCCCGATAACAGCGAAAGTGGCCAGCACTACGAAGACTGTGCTGACAATTGTTAGGGTTGGTCCTTGGTCCTCATGAGTACTCTCCATCATCGAAAGTATTGATGATGGTTATCTCCCAAGGGCGGCATGCCCCTCGTGTATCTGACAGATTGCATTCGCATCGTTGTCGCGCAGATCACACACGGCTCTCATCATGAAATCATTTGGCCTATAAAGGCCCAGTTCACCGGTCACAACCGCCACCGGCGATATCCGTGACTGACGTGGGGCCGCAGGCCTTCCCGACCTTGTATAGGTTGTGCACGTTGCACAGGAACTTCGGGATGTAACCTTGGGACAGCCGGTACGACGAACCGAGGTCGGAGGCGGACAGCTGAGGACGCAAGGAATGGCCCGATCGCATCGAAGGGAATTGACCCACGTCATGCAAGTACATAAACTCGACTGGACGCCTTATCCCACGGCGTTCGCCGCTTCATTCACTTGCGTGGTGGAGGAAACCGGGGAGAAAGACCGCAACCCAATTCGAACTTGTCCACGTCTGGAAGCTACATACCGCCTCTAGAAGCTGGGTGGCCTAACGCAATTTTGCCTATACCCTTCCCTTGAACGCAAACAGGGAATATCTCAAATAGGGGGCTTCAGTCTCCATTCCAAGGCCTAGCCGGATCGCAATCTGATCTGACCTGTTGACTGTGCTCATACCCTCTGATATATAAGTTGCTCGAGAGATATCCAATGCTGCGTTTATCGTGGCTTATTCCTTATCTCCGTGTATCCAAATGAACTTACCAATCACCATAAACCTCTGACAAAGACATCATGACCATCGAACAAGAAAGGCCTTCATGACAGGGTCTCGCTCAGCAATTTCAAGCGGACCGCGACCGTTCCATTGCTCAAGTCGAGCCCGCCATCCTTGTACTACCAGAGATGCTTCCAAGCAGGGTTATTGATATTCCTAGGCAGCACCTGACCCCGTTGGAGCTTGCGATCACAGAGAGCAGTCCCGAAGCGCTTGTGGTTTCACTTGCGGCAGGAAAATGGACTGCAACTTCTGTGACAAAAGCATTTCTTCGACGCGCGGCAATGGCCCAAAGGCTTGTGAGCGATTCATCGAATACCATGCTCATGATCACCCGCTGATCTTACAATTTTATGCAAGACCAATTGTATCTACGAGCTTTTGCCCGACCAAGCCATTTCGCAGGCCAGAAATCTCGATGACTATTTTGCAGAGCACGGAAAGCCCTCAGGGCCTCTGCACGGACTGCCGATCAGTGTCGAAGCACACACAGGGCTCAAGGGACGCGATAAGGCTGCAGGATTTGTCGGCTGGCTAGGTCGCAAGAGCACAGAGGATGCAAGCGTGGTGAAAATCCCCTTGGAGGCGGGTGCGGTCATCTATGCGAGAACCACTGAGCCACAAGGACTGGTAAGCGACCACATTTAGGCCCTGAATCTTGAAACTTGAATATGCTGAGACGCATCATCCCTTTCTGCAGATGGCGCTTGAGTCTCGCAGCAATATCACTGGAACCACCACCAACCCTCATAACACGGCTACCTCGGCCGGTGGTCCATCAGGGGGAGAATCGGCGTTGATCGCCCTTCGCGGTAGTCCCCTCGGAATCGGCTCGGACATCGGTATGTCTTGAACTCTCTTGTATGTGTTCTACCTCGCACTCGTCATCCTTATCTTGGGACAGGTGGGAGTATTCGTTCTCCTGCTGCGAACTGTGGTCTCTATGGCCTCAAGCCTTCAACCGGTCGACTGCCGTTCATTGGCATTTCCGCATATGCCATCGGCTGTGAAACCATTTTGGGAGCGATTGGCCCTATGTCTTCGACCCTTGGTGGAATCGATCTATTCACGAAGACCGTGCTCGGGTCAAAGCCCTGGCTCAGCGACCCACTCCTTCATCCAATTCCCTGGCGAGACCATGAGTCCCATATACATCAGGATGGAAGGAATCTTGTTGTTGGAGTCATGTGGAGTGATGGCACAGTCACCCCTGCACCAGCAGTGACAAGAGGCCTAACAGAGGTTGTTGAGCGATTGAAGTTGGTCCCTGGAATTGGAGTCATCGAGTGGAAGCCATTTCAGCAGAAGGCAGCTCTTGAGATCCTGGTGGGTACCTCGATATGATGATCATGAATATGTTTGGATTGACTAACAATTTTGGACTAAGCTCTATACTCCAGATGGCGGCGAGGCATTCAGGCGCCATCTTGAGCTCTCCGGCGAACCCTATGCACCACTCACAGCCTGGACCATGCGCGATGCCCCTGGTATCGAGAAGCTCAGTTTCCAGGGCGTGTGGGACTGGACCTTTAAGCGCGAAGTCTTCCGCTACACGTATTTGCAGGGTATGTCAAACCAGATTGCTTTTCTTGATAATAGGGGTAATGATCTCGCATAGAATGGAATTCCGTAGCTCCAGAGATGGACGTCATCCTATGCCCTGCGTACCCCATCCCTGCACCTCTACATGACACTTCTCGATACTGGGGTTATACCTCCATCTGGAATCTGCTAGATTACCCAGGAGTCGTGTTCCCGGTGACCAAGCTTGATCCGGAGAGAGACGACAAGGACATCACATATATACCTCGGAACGAATTTGACAGCTGGTGCTATGAAAATTACAACCCGCAAAGGCAGAGGGACGTCCCTGTCTCCTTGCAGTTGGTTGCAAAGCGACTGGAAGAAGAGAAACTTTTGCAAGCTTTGAAGGAGATCAAGCATAAGATTGGGTTGCCCTTCGTGGACTGCCTGGCTTGATCAGGAGTTCCCCAATGGTCCAGGGTTAACTAGGGTTTTCGGAAAGACATTCGACTCAGTCTACTAGAGCTATTCCAGACTGCGTGCAACCGTAGATCACGCAGGAGGCACACCGCGTAGGCCTACAGCCAAACGGCCTTACGAAGTCCTCATTCAGAAGCGTTTGCAGGTGAACAATATCACGTTTTTAGTAGCCTACTGTCTCACCGGGCATAGAGAAAGTGGCTTGAGTGGCTGATGGCATCGCAGCCATCATGGGGCGCGGGGAATATCGCCACTGGCATGAAACGGAACAAGAGGCTCAGTTCAGCCAAAAGTTATCCCAGAAGTCAGGTCAGCCTATTGGCATCAGTGGATAGCTTCGTTACATGGTTGCAGCGTATGTCAGATCCAGGGATAAACCTAGTACGAATCACCCTTTCTGACCACAGACAGTCTGTCTCGGGAAACAGCCCTACGGTCCTCAGGCCCCCAGTTTCCAATAATAGGATCTACCAGTTGATGGTAATGTCAGGAACGATTCATCCTAGCCTTGTTTGATTGACTGACTTCCCCTGATTGGTAAATGCGGGACTAAATCGCGATTGTCATCCCCTTGCTTGATCTCTACAAACAATAAAGCCCGTCTTCGGATATATCATTAACCCTTGGCCCCTGTGTCCGTAATACAGACATGAGAGGAGAGCCTAACCCTTGGTATGCTGGCCTCTATATAACTTGACGCGGAATTGAATTGGCAGGCTACGTTCGAATTGGCAGGTCTAACCCTCACGAACCAAATGGCTTAATGTTGGAGCACGCAGATCAAGCCCTGCGACAACTGCGACGCAACGCCTTATTCCAGCAATTGCATGCCGCCTAAAATGCAGAACGGCCAATCATTATGCCACCCTGAAAGTGGTTTGAATGAGTCACCTGGTCTTGGAACAGGGCCTCCTAATTATTACAGATATTGAGGCTGCTGGGCTGACAAAACACCCTAGCAAGGCTGGGTACTATACGATATGGTCAGGCAATACATGCCCCTTTCCAATGGCTATGGATGGTGTGGAAAGCCTGATAACGGGGCTCAGTCTAGCTTTGGGGCAGTTCACAACTGTCTCTAAAGAGCCTCGTGAAATAGTTCCTGTCCGTTGGAGCTCGGGTATAAAAACGAGTCTTCTCTGGGGGCCATCACTGAACCTGAGATTTGCCATGCTCTCTTTCATACGAAACAGCATTCGTTGGATTCTATCAAAGCTTTCATTAACCACAGAGACTCCCCATCATGGAATGGCCTTTTCTATACCCAGGCCTCTCGCCGTCTGTCTGGGCAATTACTGCAGTTTTTGCCATCGTCATCTACGCTTTTTTGGATGGATCTCGGAGGGACAGCAATGGCAACCGAATTCCGAAGGGGCCGTGTGGACTTCCTATACTGGGTATGCTGATGTGCTTCCCTTGTGTATGATGCTATATCTAGCTGACCGGGTTCGGCTTAGGCTCCTTTCCTTTCTTGACTAAATACCCCGAACTGACCTTGGATTATTGGGCCCGGAGATATGGCTCCTTATATTCAGTCTGGCTGGGGAATCAGCTTTTTGTCATCGTGTCTGATCCCAAGGTTGCCAAGGACTTGATGGTCACTCATGGCAATGTGTTCTCGTCTCGCAAGCAATCATACATCAAGAGCCAAACCGTCTTTGCTGGTCGTGGCATCACAACTACCCCATATAATGACCGATGGTGAGTGTTTGAAAATGCATTCTGGCACAGGATCTGACTATGGATACTTAGGCGCAAGCATCGTCGCATTGCAAACACGTGGTTGAATCAGCGTGCTGTTGACTCGTACTCTCCTAATCTAGATCGTGAATCCAAGTCCCTCCTCAAAGCTCTGCTTGACGAGGGCCAAGCAGGGTCAGCCCCCATTAACCCTCAGGTATGTGGGCTTACTCGTGCATCTTGGTCACCCACTTACTCTGACAGCCACATGTCGGTCGTTGTATCCTCAATGGCATGACGACAATCAGCTTCGGCTTTCGTTTTAACAGCATAGATCATACTTTCGTCAGACGTGCCTTGAGAATCAATCGGGAGTACATGTGCGTATCGCTACCCTATAAGCCTGATGTCAAATACTTACGCCTAGCCAAGGAATTGCACTGCGTCCATGTCCAACCTAGTCGACTTTATTTCGATCCTTCAAGTTCTACCTTCTTCGATGCATAGGCGCGGAAAGAGGCTCCATAGTGAGTTGATCGAAACTTATGGAGGGCTACTTCATGAGATCGACCAGAGGATGCAGCAAGGTGCAGACGTACCTAATTGTCTCGCGAAGACTATAGTTGAGGTCCGCGAGAAAGAAGGCCTAGATAGTCTGGACATGGCTATGCTCGCCTCTGCGTTCATGATCGGTGGTGTGGAAACAGTAAGATAACCCCATGGAAGACATCAGGTATGTTATCAGCCTCTAACCTGTCATAGACGGCTGCTATTATGCAATGGTTCTGCGCTTTGATTCCAGCCTATCCCGAGATTCAGGCTGAGGCTCAGGCTGAACTTGATCGTGTGGTTGGGCGTGACCGCCTGCCTACTATCGAAGATCAGAAGAACCTCCCCTACTGTCGTGCCATTATCAAGGAAGTCGAACGTCTTTACAACCCCCTCTGGCTGGGCACTCCGCATTCAACAAGTCAAGACTTCGTCTACCGCGGCCATTATATCCCGAAAGATACTGTAGTCGTCCTGAATACCTGGACCATGCACCACGATCCAGCCCGCCACTGCAGCCCCGATGAGTTCAAGGTACGTCTCTACAGCATCATATCACAATCTCCTCTTAAGAAGATTACTAACAACCAATAGCCTGAGCGCTACATCAACGATGCTTTAACCTCCGCGGAGAGCGCAAACATTGCTGATCCAATGCAACGAGACCACTGGATATTCGGTGTCGGGTTGGTCCCTCCCCCCCACTTTCCCTCCCCTTTCCCCCCCTCTTCATCAAAGTAATACCTACTAACATCTACTTATCAGTCGTAGAATATGTCCCGGAATGCTTGTCGCCGAGCGCGAGCTCTGGCTTAACATTTCCCGAATGCTGTGGGCCTTCAACATGCACGAAATCCCTGAAGAACCGATCGATTTGACAAAGTACGACGGTCTCTCAGGGCGTTCTCCCGCGCCGTTCCGGATTCGGCTGACGCCACGAGATGAGAATGTGGCTAGGGTTCTGGAGGGCGTTGAGCTGTGATTATGGTTCGGTGCTTCGGATGATGGTTTATAGCATTCGGGGGTATTAGATGTGGAGGTGTTGGATGTAACATAGAGTATCAGAATGGATTAACAACTTAGAGATATATGATATTAATGGTCATATCCAGAAGACACAATGAACAATAGATTGAGGATTAGGGGGGAGTTTTACCTAGTATCTGTACCGACAATGAAGCAAAGCAGGTCATCAACAAGTAACATACTCTGACCTCTCCCTCTTCTCTTCTCTTCTCCTTCGATGGACCATTTAGGTAGACAAAGATGAGTAGGTAGGTAGACACCGAAAGAGGAAGGAGGAACGGGATGAGATCACATGACATAGGAATCGGTCAGTCGGGACTATGTACTCTGTAGGAGATTATGGTAAAGAGTGAATGGTGAGGTGTTAGGAGTGGTCATTCTTGCGAATCACTAATTTGAAACAAGTACCGGTCCTGGTCATGTGCTGTTTTCTTTCTTATCATCAGGGAATACCTCAGTCGAGACAGTGGACATCATCATATCATTGATTGTATGCAAGGATTCCATAGTCATAGTAATAGAGGGAAAGCTGTCCAAAACACCGTATAAACAGACGGCCTAAAACTATTATGTCCGATTGCCTGGTATCTTCCCACCAAACGCCACAGATGTTGAAAATCTCAGAACGAACGCTCTACGCTACCGGCCCATCCCACGCAAAAGCAGTGTTATCTGACAAGAATGAAGAAAAAAAGATTACATATGCCCGTATAGCCGCAGCCGATACAGACATGTATGATCTCCGCCCCAGTTGGATTTGACGCGGAACACGACCTTGTCTACTCGCACCTCCGGGGAATCAATCACCGTGTCTAATTCGAATCGCTGCACGTGATGCGAGCCGTGGATGTCATACGTGAATTTGCCCACTCGATAGAAGGACGGCCCCAGAAGCTTATCATCCGAGTAAGCGGTCTGCGGCTCGGTCGGCCATGTGGCACGGAGGGCGTTCATGATCGGCTCGTGGAATGAGGATTGTTTTGCCGAACCGGGAAAGACTGTTTGCCAGACTTTTCGCACGTATTGAAACCTCGGAGGAGGGCCAGGCTTGTTTCGGGCATCAACAAACCGGGCCCATAGTTCCATCTCTTTGGGGGCGTTTTCAGGCATCAACGAAGCCGGCCCTGGGATGTGCTCGACTACCACTTCCTCCGGCACAATCAGTTGGCCCAGATAAATACCAATCTGCGACATGCCGTCCCGAGGTGTGTTGCACCAGCAATCTCCGTAGTCCTCCCAGGGGGCTAAAGCCGCAAGCGGCGGCTGTGATGGTCGATAATGTTCTCCTTTCCAGTATGTCGCGTAGAGAGTCTGGAGGTAGTCGAGCTTGCGCCCGGCGGTTGGGTTCGTAAGCTCCGGGTCGACAATCACACCCAGCCCAATGCTCAGGAAGTTGGTCTTCCGTTCCACTGGCGGACTAAGGGCGACGCTTCCAGTGGCCGGCGTCGCTTTGGGGGTTTGTACGGCTCGCACCTCCGATCGGACGGTTTTGATGTCTGAATTGACTGTTTTCATCTCCTTTGCCAATGACGACACCTGTGCCCCGAGTCGCGACATCTGGTCTGTGAGGCTGCTGACAGCTATCATGTTGCTCTCATCCATCGGAATGTAATGTATGGGCCGGCCAAGAGAGATAACCCCGGCAATTGTAAAGAGGTAAAAAATTGCCGCTATCAATGCTATTCCAGAAAGGATGCGGGCCACAACAGACTTGCTGGGTAGGACTTCTGATAAGCGTTCGTTCCAAGAGAGGCTTTCGTTCGGGCGATCGCCCGCTCGTTGGTGGCCGTGCATTGGCATTTCTGGTGATGAGACCCCGGGTGGATATTTATCAGGGATGAGTGTTTTAGTTGGCGCAGAAAACTGAACTGCAGGAGACTTTTCTCTGACGATTTCCGGCTCTGGTGAGGGTGAAGGTTCAAGCGAAGGTGAAAGTGAAGGCGAAGGCTCCGCTGAGAATTTCGCGGAAGATTCTGATGAAGCTTCCGGTTGAAAATCTTCGTCACTCAGCTCCGAAGAGGGCTCTCGTGAGGGCTCTCGGGAGGGCTGCAGGGAGGGCTGCAGGGAGGGCTGTAGGGAAGGTTGTCGGGAGGAGTGCCGGGAAGAGTGCCTGGAAGAGTGCCTGGAAGAGTGCCTGGAAGAGTGCCGGGAAGAGTGCCGGGAAGGTTGCGGAGATGGCTGCGGGGAGAGTTGCGGGGTAAGATGTAGAGAGGGCTGTAGCGAGGGCGACTTCGACTTTCTGTGTAACAGTCTGGAGTCCGGCTCCTCCTCTTCATGGATAGTCTCGTTGGCAAAGGCAAGCCCTGAAAACCGACGGGGGGGTGCCTTGATGTTCTTTCCATCGGAAAGTGTCCGCCTCAAGTCATCATCGTTCACATCTCGCTCCACGGAAAATGAGATGACTGACGAGTCATCGACAAGCGGGGAGCTTCCTAATGGGAGCTCGTCGTTCATTCGCGGGCCAAACCGCAGCATAGGCGATGGGTACAGATTCTCGGCTGGCACATGCGGATATCGTGCTTCAGGAGGGGGTTGAATAGCGGGGCTGGAAGCGGAGGAAATACTATGTGGTATCGGAGGCGTGGGAGTAGCAGTAGATTGATCGTTGGTGTCAAACGAAGCCCGTACCGGGCTAGGAGTCTTGGTTGCCTCGCGTAGAGTATCGAAAAGCTGCAGTTCATCCGGAGTTGGCTCACGTCGTTTCCGTCGAACCGGCGAACGGCTAACGGAGGACGACTTCTGGCGACGGCGGGTGTCCTTGGACTTTTCATTTTCCCTCATCTGTCGATCCTTGGCATCTTCAATTCCCTTGTCGATCGCGACTGCCATCTCTGCCAGATCCATATGAGGCTGAAGTACTAGTTCTCGAGGCAGGATTGGCGTCTCAGCCGAGCCATAGGCAAACGACTGTTTGGTGGGAAGATTTGGCAGAGCCTGTGTCTTTTTCTCCGTACCCAACTTGGTCTGGAAAAAGGTCAAAGGGCTATCTGCCTCAGAGCGAGGTGTAGAACCCGTGCGCCTAACGGCGCCGCGTCTAGGAGGCATTGAGTTCAATGCTGAGTAAGGTCGACTTGTGTCTGCGTTAGTTGGGGTGAAAACAACAAGCCTCTGCGCACCGCGAAAAGAAGCGCCAGAAAGCTGGAATACTGAGTGGAAGCTGTCGACTCAATGAGATGACGTTTATCGAGCCGGCTGCGGCCTCAGGCAGAAATTGAGAGCGGCGCTGGGACGCGGCAATGAAGCAGAAGAGATCAGACTCAGAGGAGTGATTGCGACAGAAGTTGGATATGAGTTTGCACTAAAGTAAGTGTTACTCTAATGCTGAGACCAGGATGCCCGAGTCAAATGTATCCTGCGCGGGTTTGTCAGAGACTAGGATGACAAAAGGATAAGAAAAAGGATGTATCTCATGTCCTTTGTCCTCGACTGGCAATTGGGCAGCTTGAAAGGCCCCAGGACTTCAGGCGATCAGGTAAAACTGGTACCAACTTACGGTGACAATCCAGGATGGCCGTTGACCTTCATGCGCGAAGGAGACACGGCGCGAGAAGACGCGGGCGGAATGCCAATCCACGTCGTCGCGGGGGCGGCGGAAGGGTCAAGCGGTTGGATTTTATGATAGATTAGGTCGCGCATATGAGCTGCGCGTCATGCGCGGTGGTTATTGAGGAGTGATGGGGGTGAAGAGTGAGAATGCTGAAGCAGAGGACAATGCAAGCTGGAGGATGGAGGATGGATGGGGTCGATGCCGCCGGTATCATTGATACACCCCGTTACCCGCTGCAATACATTCTGCCCTGATGCGGTAAGGCGGCTTTCAGCCTCCATTCAGTCGATCGCTACGGACTAGACCAGTCAATGACCCTCTCAACAGATGAAGGTAATTCTTGCACTATTCGAATAATACATTCATCATAAGACCATTTCTTTGCCATCCCAGCTGGTCATGATACATACAGCCCAGCCATCCTTTATATCGCGCTATTTTTATGCACCGTTTCATCTAAACAAAGAATGCTCCATTTACACGGCTGCCCACCCAGGACGCCCATCCTTCTATATTGCCAACGTAAGAATAATATACAGTCGCTGAGGCAAGCAGTCACAAATACAAAACATGGTGCTAGCATGTACGTGGCGGGTCTTGCAGGTCATATAGCATCGTTCAACAAGTCCATGCCGCAACGATACCGTCCTTGCGGCCCTCGACAAGGAAGCCGTCCTTGAGTCGAACGCGCTCAACGGTGGCCGGCATCGGCCCGGCTTCGTCGGCGCCAACCCCGGCACCACAGTCCCAGTGGTTGCCATCCGCCTTGTCGTATACCTTGACAACGCTCTCGCCGGCCGCTGCAACAATGCGCTTGGTGTCGAACATCATGCTGGTAATGGGTTTGTCGTAAGCATATGCATCGAAGATAGATCCGGTTCGGAGATCCCATATCTGGTCACGTTAGCTCGGGCGTTCAAGAAACTCTGGACGGAGACATACTCTAATGCTGCGGTCCTGACTTCCCGTCACCAAGTGAACATCGTCAAACTGTAGGCATGTAATGGGGCCGGTATGGCCGACCAGGCTCCGGTGGACCTGGCCGCTGCGGAGATCCCACAGACGCACCATACCATCCGCCGTACCACAGGCCAGAGCCGCATCGAAACACTGAAGCGCACCAACAAAGTCTGCAGAAGCGTCCGGCAGGCGTCCGGATGGGCGCCATGCCGAGTCTCCTCCCAGCGTAGATGCCTGCGCTGCTGCCCACAGGACATCCAGCGTCTGCACACAGCGCCCTTTTACCAAATCCCACTGTCGCAACGTCTTGTCGGCAGATCCGGAGATCAGGGTGTCCCCTTTGAAGTGGAGCGCGGTGATTTCGTCGACATGCGCATCCAGCGAGTATGTGAAGCAGTCTTCCAGGGTAGTGGAGTGAGACGCCATCGAGGCGTCGTCGGCTTGCGCGGAATCTTCGTCTTCCTCGCGCCGGGTGATACGGTTGTCGCGAGTGGTGGACCGGGCACGGCTCAAGTCCCAGAGCTTGACGGAAGCGTCCATAGATCCCGTGGCGACAATGTTGTCCTCAATCTGCAGACACCGGACGGACGCATTGTGTCCCTCCAAGAAACCCATGCAGCGACCGACGTTGAGATCCCACACCCGCACCGTATCATCCAAGGCGGCACTGATCATGGTGCCAAACGGATAGTCGAAGTCGATGGCAGTAACGATGTCGGAATGCGCCTGCATCTCCTTGATCTCCGAACCGGGGGCGAAGTGTTCGTGCAAAACCGGCATAGATCGTTTCCCTAAACCATTAGTACTCGACAATACAGTAGGGGGCCAAGCATACTTATAGATCGCTGCTTCACGCTCTTCGGCGAGGGGATCTTCTGATAGATGGACTCTGACATGAACGAGGTACCCATGGCCGGATCTTCTGAGACAACCGAATCGTCGTTCGCTTCCGATGACTTCGGAGTTGCCGGAGGCTGCACCTCGGCTTCCTCTTCTTGTAGATCCTCCAGTTTGTTCTCAACCTCAGTCACTGTATCCTGTTAGCGCCGTCCTCCAACGTATCATAAGTCCAAGTCACCCACGCTCATGTTCCAGCTCCGCCTCCTCCATCTCCAGGCCCGCCAGCCGGTCCAGCACAATCTTGCGCATGTTATGAAGGTTGGCAATCTTGTTGTCTATATCGTGTATTTCCGAGCTGCACATGTTTTTGCGAACGCCCATCAGTTCCATCCGGCGGCTCAACAGATCCCGTTCCTTCTTCAACTCCGACGGGGCGGATGGCAAGGCGCCGCGGGTCTCCCCATCTTTCAGCAGCTTCTTACTCTTCGAGGAGCGTCGGCGATGGGCGCGTCGATACTCAATGTCATCTTGGGAGGCCTGGAACCCTTGGAAGAGAGAATAGGAGCTGGTATCGTCGGGGATGTTGGCGAGAAGGTCGTCGGGAAGGGAGGAGATGGCCCGGGACTGAATTTCGGTGGTAGAGAGCTTGGAGCGAACCAGGTCGGTCGGGGTGGTCTGGGTGAGGGAGAAGACTTTGCGCTGAGTGTTGGGATGGCGTAATTCGCGCTGGATGTCGACCATGGCACTATGGTAGTGGCCACCGCTGGAGGAGTCGGCCGGTCCCATCAAATGGCCAGCAGTCGATGTGACTTTGCGCCCGAAGGCCTCGATATGGCGAGACTGGGGGAAGACGAAGTCAGCGGAACAGATTTAGGCAGGCGAGACCGCCCACAGGCAGGTGTCAAGGCTGCAAGAGCATACCGTGATGCCGGTCCCTAGGAGCCCGTCCGGCTCGACAATATCTGATAGACCGGAGGGAGACTCATCACGACGGCGGTGTCTGTCCATGACACCGACGGGGAGCGAAGAGTGAGCTAAGCACACACTCCCATCCGGGAATTAACAACAAGGGAACAAGGATGGCGGAGGGAGGAGCTGGGTGCTCGTCGGCAGTTGGTCGGCTTCAGACTGGGATGGAAAAAGAATGGCGGATGGAGTTGCACGCGATGAATTACCGTGTTTCGGCTGTATTTTACTGGCTGCGCCTGCGCACGGCTTCCACGGGCCCCAGCTGGCTGTCTTACACGAAGTCAGAGCGTAATCATAAAGAACAATCTCCTCCTCCAAATCAGTGACTTAAATATCCAAGGTCTCTGCTTCTATCCCCAGCCTCGCCCACTTTCCACCTGATGAGTCCCGTCCGCACATGACAGCATCACCAGCCACGGAACCTGCCGTCGGTCGGTACCAGACGGTAATGTTACCTCCGGGGGCCGCCAGCATCATGAATCACCACCAGGCATTCCTGCAAACCTGACTGATTGCGGCCTCGATTACTGCATCTCTCGTGAGATTCCTTGCTTCTCACAGCGCCGACCAGTCCGCATTGAAACGGACTCTGGAATCCCAATTGGGCCGATCTGCATGTTAGCGCTGGGCCAGCGTACATAAGGTGCTCTCAGATCGCCCCGAAAGCGGAGGATTTTCATCTCGCTTTTGCCAGACCCTCATCGATTGCTTCTCTTCTTCGACCCTCCGTGCAACTGGACTACAATTTCAACAGACCCGATTCTTTCACCATGGACACCGCCATTGATCTCTCGGACGCCTCCAAGGCGCTGGACCTCGCCAACATCCGGTTCCAGCTGATGTAAGTCCCCTTATTAGTCTCATTAATCTATTTAGCCTGGTCAGATCGGCCGGAGATCGGTCGACCTCATCCTCATCCCTGCCTCAAGCTCACCCCGCATCCCCTCCTCCCCTAAGCTCCCAACTATCATCACCCACCAACCCTAAACCCATATACCAACCATGTAACTAACTAACTAACCCCCCCCCTCCCAGCCGTCTCGAAGACACCATCACCTTCCACCTAATCGAACGGGTTCAATTCCCCCTCAACAAACCCGTCTACACCCCAGGCGGGGTAAAAATCCCCGGCACCTCGCTCAGCCTCCTCGACTACTTTCTCCGCGAACAAGAGCGCCTCGAATCGCGCGTCCGTCGCTACCAATCCCCCGACGAATACCCCTTCTTCCCGGACGCCCTGGAAGAGCCGATCCTCAGCCCGATCTCCTACCCCAAGATCCTGCACGACAACGACGTCAACGTCAACGGGATCCTGAAACAGCGCTACATCGAGGACATCCTGCCCGCGGTATGTGCGCAGTTCGGCCGGGAGGATCGCGGCGAGGCGCAGGAGAATTACGGCTCCGCGGCGACGTGCGATGTTAGATGTTTGCAGGCGTTGTCGAGGAGAATTCATTTCGGGAAGTTTGTGGCCGAGGCGAAGTTTCAGAAGGAGCCCGAGCGGTTTGTGAAGATGATTAAGGAGAATGATCGTGTGGGGATTGATGCTGCGATTACGGATAGTAAGGTCGAGCAGAAGGTGTTGGAGAGGTTGGCGCTCAAGGCCAAGACTTATGGTACTGATCCGGGGTTTCAGTCGGAGAATGGACCCAAGATTAATGTGGAGGCGGTGGTCGCTATGTACAAGGTGAGTTTTATCCCACTGTGGAGGTGAAGGAGTGCGGGTGCTAACGAGTCTAGGAATATGTTATTCCTCTTACCAAGGTCGTCGAGGTGGATTACCTGATGCAGCGACTGAAGGGCACGAAATGGGAGTAAGTTGCAGTAGACGCTACTATCTCCCTACCACAGTAAATGAGACGCGTGATGAAACTTCTATAGAGTGATCATAGTCATAAGAATGATAATAGACCGCAACCAACCCAAACTTTTAAGTCTATACCAAGTATAATAAACAATACCGTCGTAACCACCATCCAACCCACCTCATGCCGCCGACCCCTGAATATACTCCGCCATCGCCTTAACCGCGCCCTCCAACCTCCCCGCCTCCAAAAGAATCAAACTCCCCATCGTCCGAATCCCCAACTCCTGAAACGCGCGCTTCGAATCCGACAACCCCTCATCCGCCTTATGCGTATACTCCACAGACCCGACACAAACCGCATGTTTCTCCAACACCTCATCCTCGGGATGAAAGAAGAACCGCTCGGCCTTCTCCCCCCCAGCCGCCTTCTTCTTCTTCTTCTGCGGCCGAGATTCCTCGGCATCCAACTTCGATTCCACTTCCTCGTACGTCTTCGACACGATCAGGTAGTGCGAGAAATTGTACGGCTCTTTGTCTTGGATCGCCCAGGCGATTTCTTCTTGCAGCATGGTGTACATGGGGGGGACGACTTCGGCGGGCATGTTGATTAGGCGTTCGGTGAGGATTAGCCCGATGGGTGGGATGGGGGTTTGGGTGAGGAGTTGGGCGAGGGGGGTGAGGGTGGGGGTCGCGCTGGCTTTGCGGTGGAGGTAGGTTATTAGGTCTTTGATTACGGGTTTGTCCTGGGTTTTTATTAGTGGGTTGGTAAAGAGAAAGGGGGGCGGGAGGGGGAATACCTTGTGTTCTTGGAGGTTAATCACGGTGAGAAAAGCATACGGGTCCGATTCCATCCCGTCGACTTTCACGGTCGAGCCGAGCAGAGGCTGCGCGAGGATCAGGTCGGCGAGGGCCGACATGTCGAAGGTCTGGGCGTCGGTGTCGAAGAGCTGACGGAGGAGGTTCTTCAACCCGTGGAAGTCGACGGGCTGGGGGTCGAACCATTCGAAGTCGACGTTGACCATGTCCATGTCCTGGAGGGTATTATGTTGGTGATTGTGCTATGCGTTGTCTGGGGGAAAAGAGGGGTACCTCGTCGGACTCGTCGCCGTCGACGCGGGGATCGGTCCCCGACATCTTGACATCGTTGTCTTTGAGTTCCTTGCGCTTGACCATTGCGACGGTGTGTAGAGGTGGCTGGGTGGTGTTGGGTAGCTGAGGTGGGATCCGTTCGCGGAGGAGAGTCGGGAAGAGACGACAAAAGTTGCTCCTCCGCTAACCGCTTTTGATTATCGATAGCTTATCGGTACTAATCAGTGACCACCCATCTATCCGAAGTGATATGTCCAGATCTATACGGAGTACACCTATCTATATACACCCTACAACCACACTAAGGATCAAACATCATACTCCACCTCCTCTACAGTCGGCACCTTATCCAACTTCCCCCCATAAAACCCCGCCACATACTGCACCTGATCCCACAACACCTGCACATCCTCCTTACTCACCCCCAACCGTCTCGTGCCCCGAATATGCCAATGCGTCTCAGTCCTCAAATTCTGGCTCATAATGGCCGGCAACACCACGAGCTGGGTATCCAAATCATCCAACACACTCCGATCACTCAAAAACAACCCGTAGGTGATTTCCTTCGACAACCACGCAAAGTCCTTATGCGCGGCGAACAAATCCAACGTGTTGGAGGTATTCCGTGCGTAGAGTTTCTCCAACCATGCGGTGCCTCGTGCCAGATTGGCCTCGTCGCATTGCCAGCTCTCCCGCGTGAATGTGTAGTCTTTGTCCTCCGGGGCTTCGAGTTTACTGATTGCGAGGATCGCTTCGAGGGGTTTGCAGACTCCCACGATGATGACGGATTTGAAGAGCGCTTCGCGGATGCGTCGAGAGAGGGCTTGTCGGGACTGTGGGGTTTGGTAGGCGGCTTGTGAGGTGAGGTAGAGGTAGAGCTGGTCGACGCGTTCGGGGTCCGGGCCGGCAACGATCGTTGCGATCGCTAGGATGTACCATTTCTCTGCGGGGAGGGCGGTGGTTTGGAATTGGTGTTCCAGGTCGCGGAAGAGTTGGTCGTAGCGGGGGTCAAGGGTGCTCATTGTGGTGGGGATGATGCTTGTAGTACTTGTAGTAAGGTGTCGAGAGGGGACAATAGGAGGGTGATGGGCTGGATGGACAGATGGTCGGAGAGGGGAGTATCGGGGCGGGGAAAGACGAGCAACGCAGAGGAACGGGCCGGGGCTGAGTGGCCGGCGAGTCAATTGCAGACTACGGGCCAGACGAGAGGGATTGCGGGACATGGTGCACCGGTCTCAGAGCAGTCGTGTGCATGTGCCTCTGTTCACACGCCTTAGCCTTAGCCCTTCACGGAGATGGATTCCAGCCGATATCGGTTTATGTAAGTCGACTCCCCTCCAGCGATTAGTTAACTAGTGATTCAGGTACGTACGTACCTCTAGCTGCTAGCTCACCACCCACGCCGACGATTGCAACACCGGACCACCAACTACATCATCAAAGAAGAGGTTCCGAGCGCGACGATGCTGTTCCAGCCAAGGGGACAGGATGAAAGGCACTGGAGGTTGGAGGATGACCCACCGGTTATGATCTCAGAGACTGGCCGATGACATCACAACTACCCCGAGCCAGATCCGGCCATCTATAAATCCTGCCCTTTCTCAGGCAGTGTCTCTCTTTCAGACACATTTCAATTCATCTCAATTCTACTTATCTCTACTTCACGGACACCACTCAATTCACACCCTCTAAATATTGCAACATGTCTTCCGGTTCGGGTCAGTCCAGCGTCGGCAACCGTGCTCTCTACGAGGCAGGCGACCAGCGCAACGTGCCCCAGTCCGTTCTCAACGAGCAGAACCGCTACGCAGAGGGTCAGAAGAACAGCCACAGGAACCTCGATTCGAGTATGTCATTCTCTTTCACTACAATCAGCAATAGATGGATAGTCTAACCAAAGCAGAGGACCAACGCTCCATCGGCAACAAGCTCGCCTCCCAAGAACAGAAGCCGGAAAGCGATCACCACCACAACTTCGTCCAGAACCCCGAAGCCGAGCTCAGCAAGCAGGATCCTACCAAGCCGGTATGTTGTGATTTCCTTTCGGGAGGTGGTGGGCATGACTGACTGTCGCAGGCCAAGGTGCACGGTAACGAACCCTCCAAGGGAGCCAAGATTGATGCCGATCTGCAGGCAGAGGATGAGCAGCGTCTCCGGGAGAAGGGCATCAAGAAATAAACGATGTAATGATGGGCTATGAAAAGTAGTAATATGTCGTGTGTTTATGATAGCATGATGACGCCTGGGGCGGTTATATATAACTTCAATCAATATTCACACTTTTTCTATCATGATGATTTTGAGATGTAAACATTGCACTGCCCTCAAGTGCTTTTCTGCGCATGACTGGTCCTGTTCTCGCATTTTTATACTGCAGTGGCCGAGCTGGTTGATGTTGTTCGCGTACAAGACAGGTAATACGTAACCAAACGGGACATTGATGCGGCATGGTATAATGCTATGGGTGTATAAATAATATACAGAGTGGTAATAGGCATATAAACAGAGAATTATATACAATAAGCTGACAAGCAGCCGTCTCGATCATAAACAGCATGGCGCAACGCCCGGCGGTTAATCTTCATGACTGTTCCATCACTGCACTCAGCAACATGGAAATTAAGTGTCGTCGGTAAATTCAGGGTCGTCACTATGGGGTTCTGCAAAAACATTCGCCCAGTAGCTCTGCACCCGTTCGCAAATCTCATCTTTTCTCTCCCACGTCCGGAAGCTGATGGCAGGGTCGCAGCTGACGTTCTTGATCTCCTCCCAGTAGGCTTTCTCCACGTCGTATCCAAATCGCTTGACCGTAGACTCGGCTACCAGCCACGCCCGTCCGTCCGTGCCGTCGGGCCGGAGCGTAGGCGTAGTCTCCCACTTCATGCCAAATACCTTGTCGCCGGGGTTGAACTTGGGGTAATTGGCATGGATGAAGAAAGCACGGGGAGCTTTGGCTACAGAAGGATCTTGCACGCGCCATTTGCCCGCACTGGTCAAGGCGTAGTCCTCAACCGGGTCCGTCTGCACCATGGCAGAGCCCGCAATCCCACCCGGTTTCGTGTGGCCGACCGCCTGAACCCGCTCACTGACCGCGTAAAAAGGCTCCCCAACGGCCGTGGCAGCGTGGAGGAAAGTTTCCTTATCGCCCTCACCCGGTGCCCCTTGCGACAACAGCCGGAAATAGTGCGACGGACCGTGATAGTTGTAATATGCCGCGAGGAGCAGGGTCAGCTGGTGCGTCTTTTTGGACACCAGGAAGACGCCCGCTTCTGACGATGCGCGCTCCGATAGAGCCGGCATTTCCTGCTGAGAGATGTTGAAGTAGAGCGGAGACGCCGAGGAGATCCAAAAGTCCGGCCATGTGACTAACCCTTTGGAAGTAAACGGCTCCGACTCCAGCAGGATTTCAGGCTTGTGGAGCGGGAAGCAGTCCGCGTCCATCCATATGACCTCCTCGAATGAAGAGAACAGAACGGCAAAGATTTTGAGTTGATAATGCTCAATCGCGCCCTTGCCGACAATGTCCGAAAGAACAAGGCAGCGCGCTCCCAGACCAGGCAGGATCTCATCACAAATATGTTTCTCGTATTCACTCTTGTCTTTCATATACACTTCCACTGGCAACGTCGACCCCAGCCGTCGGAGCATCCGCAGGGATGACAAGAATACCGGGAAATAGGAGGCGCCCGCCGTCGACACGATGCCCCGCGTGCCCGGGGTGTGCACGGGTCGCAGGCGTTCGGAATTACGACACTCCTCCACATAAGTCGCATGCGCCTCTTCCATCGCCTGTAGATCCGCATCACTGATTATGGTCAAATCGGGACGGAGGTCGGTCGTGGTGGCATTGAAGCCAATTGCGCTGACGTCGGCCAAGCGCTTGGGAGTAGGGCTGTTCGGTGCGTGCGCTTGTAGAATCGGGTTCAAGACTTTCCAAAAGGCATTCTGTCGTTCAGCGAGGGGGACTTCGAAGGCGGTGCTGGGAACTACTGAGGCCGGAGGCGGAGCCCAATACACGTACACCGTGCAGATGAGTAACAACGCTCCGGTTGCCGACAGGATTGTCTTGAGTCGACCTGGTCGAAGAACCGGCATGACTATGATTGCTGCCGGGCAGCTCTAGCGTATGGCTTGATCGCAGGGCAGGCAATATCGGCTCCCTATCAAGGAGTGAGACACTTCGGCAGTCGGGCCGTCAAAGCGAGGAATCAGAGATGGATGCTCAGAAATACATCAGCATGACAGGCAAGATCGGAGCGGCGCTGAAGCGGGAGGATCTGGTTCACGGCAGATGCGAATGACGGAGGAGCGGCAAGGCCGAAATGTACGCAAACACACACAATTGAGTTTGGAAGGATTGGAGATGCTAGAATCCCGGAGTGGTCAAGCCAAGCAACTTCCCCGCGTCCATCGAGGCTTGTTCAACGTGGTCCAGCAGTCGAGCAGTCCAGCAGGCAGCGATGGAGGCGATAGAGACGTGGATGCTTTTCCGGAAGGCGGTGGCAGAAGAGGACTTACGTTGCCCGCCGCTATAAATAACGCGCGGCATCATCGTGCATAACCAATTATGCACTGGCTCCAAAGTCGATCTTTACCAGCCAGCAAAGCGTGCACGATGTTCGTTCGCCATGCTCCTGATCGGAAATACTCCGACCACGTTCGCTCATCTCCCCAACCTTCAGCCTATTTGGGATCACCGCGCATCGGGACTGGAATCTTGAGCAGGCCAGGGGAAAAGGAGAGGTGCGGATTGTATGTGGTCCATCCGAGAGTAGGTCAGATCCACCGAACCGACAGACTGGAAAGGGAGTGGGCAGTGGATCCGCGTAGTTCATTCGACCGAAACCTTAAGAGGTAAAGAGAGAGAGTCTGGATCGTCTCGGAGGGGAAGAAATGGGAGAGGATCGGAGGCCTTGATGAGGATGGACGACGACTGAGTCGCAGTTGATTTCCTGCTGGGGAACCCCCCTGGCCACTAGTCCCGTTGCAGCGCTAGCGGGCGAGCCTCTTTGTTCGTTTCGAATTTCGTGACTTCCAGTCTTTGACGTCTTCCTCTCTAGTCATTCCTTTGCATCATCACAGCCCGCATGGCTGGCTCCGTCGTGCATTAGCCATCACTCACTATACCACTCTGGCACGCCTCGGCTCCATCTGAAACGGTGGCTCGATTTCGCCGACTCTCCTCCGTCGTCAAGTCAGAGGCCTTCGAAATGCGGGTTCGAACACTCGCCACTCCCCGGTTGGCTGAACCGTCAGTACTACACCGCGCTAAAGAGTTAAATGCTGGTCTAATCTCCGGCTGTGCTCACCTAACGGCGGATGATGCCGCAACGATCGTCGCTTATCATCATCTCCAGTCCGCTGCCCGCCGCCCACTGCCCAGGTTCTGCGCGAACTAGAATGATCCCCAATGGGTATCGATTATAAACGACCCTAAGCGTGTCCCCCTCTCCGGCGTTAGCCTGCCTTCGTTGCTTTTTCCATAACCTGTCTTCCACAACGCTTCTGCGTCCCTTCGGTGGCCCTGTTAGCCTGCTACTTGCCTTGTCGACTGTCGCACCACTTACGGGACCCCGCACCCCGGGTCATCTCCACCGTATTTGCTAGGACCAGCTGGTACCTGCACCCGTGAGTTGGCTGACCGTTGCTTCGGATCAAGTATGGAGCCTCCCTCGAAGAATCGCACCCGCAAAACCCCGCCGGTTTCCGCCGCAGCTCCGCGGAAAAGGCGCAAGAGGACGGTCGTGAGTCAAGCGGCAGATGATTGCTTCACCTGCGCCCGACAGGGTACCCCATGCGACCGACGGCGCCCGTTTTGTTCTCAGTGCTTGGATGGCGGCCGCAGTTGCGCAGGATATAAGACGGCGTTGACATGGGGCGTCGGAGTGGCCAGTCGGGGAAAGCTCCGCGGATTGTCTCTCCCGGTGACTGGGGCGCAGCCTGCGGTCGCTCCGCCAAAGCCTCATCGTGCGACGACGCCACGAGCCGGGGTCCAGTCGAAGCAAGGTACCAATTCAGCCGCAGATAAGTCCCGACTTGGGAAACGGCGTTCTGGGACTACCTCCATGATCGCGCCCCCTTCGCCAGTGAGATCGTGCTCTCCCGTTAACGCAGCCATCTGCGATCCTTTCTTAGCATACTCATCGCCGGGTTCGATGACACAGCGCCATTCAACTCCGACTGTATCGAATATCGACACAACAGAAACATGGATGAGTTCAGTAGAATCCCCGGGAACCACACAGTGCTTCTGGCCTGCACCTATTTCAAAGCAAGAATCGGAGAGCGGGTCGGACGAACCCTTATGTCCAGAAGGCGTTCCCCCGTGGACTGCCTTTCAGCCGCCATCGTTGTCTCAGCAGCTGTTGGCGCGTTCTGTGGGGCGTACACCACGCCTGCGGTACCTGATTAGCTATTACGCTGAAGTCATTGCTCCGATGATCGTGGCATTTGATAGTCCAACCAACCCTTTCCGGACGTATATCCTTCGCTTGGCGCAAGAAAGCATATCCCTCCAGGAGGCCATCGCCACGCTAGCCAGTTGCAATCTGCGACAGCGACGTCAGCGGGGAATTAGGTCAACAGAGCGGACTATGCCAGCGCGCATGTCCTCCCTGGCCCACCAAGCTCTGACTGATGAAGCCTTTCAAGATCGCTCCGGTAGTTCTGTTCCTGGAGGGCCGGCTCAGGAGGAACAGTATCATCGGGGCATGGCAGTCACGGCGCTGAATCGGGAATTGGCGGACTCGCGCCAGAGGCTCTCTGATTCGGTCCTTGCCACCTTACTCATCCTCTGCCTCTTTCACGGCTGTGATACCGGCGTCGCGCAGTTCAAAACGCAGTTTGCCGGGGTGACCAAGTTGCTGGCCATCCGACTGTGCAATTCGCCTTGTATGACGGACGAACTGAAGTGGTTCGTTCGCATGTTCACTTGGTTTGATACGATGACCGCTACCACGAATGACCGCGAGGTGCAGCTTCGTGGCGCTTGCTTAGATATCACTGCCGTCTCCGATGGCGAATGGGGTCTGGAGAATGTGGCGGGATGCGATGCCGGCCTGTTCAGATTCGTGGCGCAGCTAGGCCGTTTGAACCTCCTGAGTCAGAATCAAGAGGTCCGCACCTCCACGCCACCAGACATCCAGATGCCATCGACTACACTTCCGCCCTCGATGGCGTTCTGCTCGCCGGATATGCCGGGCCTCTCTTCCGTACCTTGTGCGTTTCCGTTGCCACCGTCTAGTGGTTGTGACCGGGTACCACTGTCACCAGCATTTTGGGCTGAATGGTATTCGCTCCGACAGAAGCTGGAGTCCTGGCGGTTTGTCCCCGGCCGCCAACACGCGGGATCCCCGTTTTCCAGTTACCCCTACATCTCGCCACCCTCGTCACCGTCGGATCAGTCAGTGGTCGCGCCTCACCATCTGAAAGACGTCATTCACACCTCCGAGTCATTCCGCCATTCGGCGATCCTGTACAGTGAGCGACTGGCCTATCCAGATCTGCCGTCCAGTCACCCTCGTATCCAGACCATTGTGCAACGCGCCATGAGTCACATTCTCTCTGTCCAATGCGACGCGTATCTCCTATGGCCACTGTTTGTGACAGGGTCCGAGTGCGTGCTTGCCGATCACCGCGCCATTATCCGCCAGCGCTGCAAAGACCTGTCCAGAGACTCTGGGTTCTTCAACAACCTCTCGTGTCTAGAGCTACTGGAGAGGATCTGGGCCGAGAACCCTGGCACTCCCGATCTGCAAGTAGCCGACAGGCCTGTGAATGATGCAGGATTAGTTTCGCCCGAAGGCTGGGCTCTCCCGGATGAGGCTTTTATGTCGATCGCACAGGCCACTGTCTCGCGGAAGCAGGGCTTCCGCTGGCACGACGCCATGCAGACCAAACGAGAGCAGGGCGAGTACATGACGGTATGAGATGATGCCTGCGATGCAGCACCGATTGCGACACCTAGCCGTGGACGATAAGCGATTGTATAGTGGACACGATAAGCGATGTACATACACACATACATAATAATACCAACCTGATCGGGCACAATCAACCCTACGAGCCCCACTACAAGTTAACCATCGTTCCCACAACCAACCACTCCACTACTCCTACCTAGTAGTATTTAGATCCTGCGGGAAATTCTCCGTAACCTAAATACCGCCCATCAATCTGTCAACCTGCACCTCCACCTCCAAATCCAGACCGACATACATCAAACCCACCCATCCCTGTAGCAACGCTAACACCTAACCCACCTAAACAATCCATGAACCAATCATCCATCACTCTATGTAGGTAAATACCATGTAGGATGGTAGGTATGGATCATGATCCGGTCCATGAGTAAGGATGTACCGAAGGTTTGGGCGCGTGTCAAGCGCTCATTTGTGGGGTTGGCTGAGGGAAGTGAGTTGGGTTGGGTCTTTCCTTGTATTATCTCGAGTGTAGATAGTGGGAGGGAGTCGGTGTGGTAGTCTAGTGGGACTGGTTTGGGTTTGTGGCTTTGATGAAAGTACTCCGTACATACTTTTGTGATTTTTACTATGTATGTATATGTGTCTGCTTATGCTTACTACTATTGCTTAGTGATGGTGGTAAAATAACTAGAGAAGGGGTATGTCATCATCAGACCAATACAGTAGGCTACATAGTAGTAGGGTCATGTCAGCGTATCGCCGAACGTGACAATCTTCCCTTCCCTTCCCTTCACTTCCCATCCCTTAGCTTACCTTGTGACTATCACCTCTATAACAAGAAGAGGGGGTAACCCAACAATTAACCTATTCTAATCCCCATCTCCAGCCCCTCTAGATATTAAACCTAGTACAGATGAAGTAACTAACCAGTAGATGAAATGTGATAGTGATAGAAATCCCATCTTCATCACTTCTGGCGGCTATTCGGGGGTGGTTACTCGTGGATTTGGGATTGAGGGGTCTGGGTGGTGTTGGTGTTGGGGTTTGGGTTGGCGCGAGATTTATTGGGTTGGAGTACGAGGTACTCCATATTCTATAGACGGTTGTTGTAGCTTAGCGGTTAAATGTACTATAGTATACTCCGTAGTCATGTAGTGTAGTGTAGTGAAGGAAGGAGGGGAGAGAGGGGAGGAGGATGTGCATGGAAAGAGGGGTAGATGGGTGATGGGGATGGGTAGATAGATGACATGGGGTATTTGCGTACTCCGAGCTCCATTTCTCTACGGAGTACGGAGGGAGTGCTGGGTAGATGCACACTTGGTACTGGAATACGGTATGTACATGATTTTCTTAGTGGTATTTATCAATACTTTGTATTGGAGTTGGGAGTGTTAGTGAGATAAGGTTGTTGGGTTGTAGACTCTAAGAGATGGTTGTGTTTGTTTAATGTTGTAGTATTATTTCTATGTAGAGAGACCTGTTCAGCGATATCTTGTTTTAGATACTCCGTAATAGTAGCAAGGATGTAGCATTCCGTATAGTGGTGTAGGTTTGCTCTGGTTATGTCTGAGTCATTCTTTATTTTTGTAATTATATGGGACGTAGAGGCTGTGCTTGTGAATACTTGAAGATCTATTTGGAAGATGGGTTGTGGACATGGATGGTGTTACTATACTCTTTTCCTGGGTGGGATTCCAAAGAATGATGAATCATATCAAAGCACGCATATATCCATGCCAACACATGTTGTACAATTTATAGCAAGTAAGATTGAGTTGACATTATAGAGTCCAGGAAGTCCAGCAGCTTTGCCAATGAGAACATAGACCGAATCTAAGGTAAACACTCATGCCACGGTATCGATGCTATGCAACAGGCTATTGACATCATTGTGTCATGTACAAGTTACATCTACCACACAAACCCAAATCCATCGGACTATCTACGGAGTAAAGTACGAAACCCACCAACAGATCACCGACGGAAACCTGCAGGATCTACTCCATCGTGTTGGTGGTCAGTCTGAGACTCGCAATATTTAATCATCAACCATGTGGGCACTAGGAATGTACGGTGTTGGACTAGTATGATCCTCCGCGGCATGCATCGACCGTAAGGCATCAATCCAACATCTCCCCAGGCAGATCAAATCGCTTAGGGCTCAGGGCAAGGGCTGAGTCAGGCGCACAATCCAGTCAGACAGGATGGCTATCCTGGAAGCACGGAAATGAGACTCAAATTCCGGCCGCGCGATCGGCATGCGGCTGGGAGGACTAGGATATGCAGGGGTTCTCGTGCGGAAAGGGTGGCCAAAAAAGGCCAGAGGCACCGTCGTGTGCCATCGGACTCGTTTGGATGGAAATGGCTTGTGTTTGCAGTTGGGTGGCCATCCGCGGTTGCTGGGAATAATGCGGGTTTGTTTATTGGTGCTGAGGGTCCATCGCGAAAGGCTGGAGGCATTCTAACATTCTATGGATGGGTCTGGAGGGATGAATGTGATCCAACGCCAAATATTTCAATAATTTCCAGACAAAGGTACGCGGGCGGTCGTATGTACCGTACCATACCGCAGGTACACTACGCCATGTTCCAGAAGAAGGAATCCCCAGCTGAACAGCCAGTCTAGATCATCGGTTCCCGAGCAAGGGACGGTGAAAACTCTGCGGGTGGGACTGCCCTGTGGGGGTGCGCTGAATATCCTTTCTGGAGGCCTTCCAGATTGGGCGTGGTGATGAGAAGAGTGTACATGGTCGTAGTACCAAGTACTAGTAGGATGTAGTAAGATCATCTCCATGCCGTGTAGCCTTTACTGGGAGAGACCGCTATGCTGGCGTACGATAGGTCGGTCAGATCATTCGAGCAATGATATAGATTGGCGGGACGTATCTCCCCTCCCAATCACCGCCAGGGATGCATTTACACCGTTGACGCCGTGCGGAGCTCCAGCGGCGCCGGGCCTGATCCCGCGGCCGGCAGGGCTCGTCCAATGGTGGCCAACACAATCAGTACGGAGTATCTTGGTGCTAAGGTGCGAACTGCGAGGGTTTCTGATATGGTTCAGAGGGTCTGATGGCAGTGACTCCTCCCGTCCCAGGCTGACGCCACCACGTAACCATGATCACATACGTCGCTGACCGGCCTGAACCCAGAGCGCCATGTGCGACCTGACAAAATCCCATCCACCCAGCGTCGAAAAAGGGTTGCCTATCTGCCAGGGGCTGCGGAAATCTCTGCTTTCCGGCCGCTGATTGCGTGGGAGTCCGACCCCGGGGAAGCCCCGGCATTTCATTGGGGCACTGACCCTACGGAATCGAACCGGACTAGTAGTAGCCAGGCCTTCCTTTGCTTTTCTTTGCTTTTCGGTCTGCCTGTATGCAACCTTCAATAGTCCAGGGCCCAGAACAGATGGCTTCTGGAGTCTCACACCATCGTTGACCAGATAAACGCCAGATCCGGATTCTACACATTTTTAGACTACCGCGCTCGACTCGCAAATTGCGGTCTGTCCAACGGGCGTGGTCCGATATCTCAAGGTGTGGTTGCTGCCCAGCTGGTCGGCAGCGGTAACGCCCATCATCTGTTGCCCAACAACCCTGCTCGCGCTCGTGGCCCGGAGGTCAGATATCCATGCCTTATGGTTCCACTGGTTCCAGGCAGGCAAGCTTGGTCTCGGCTTCCGGATAGCAACCATGGATCCCCGACGGATTCATCCGCGCCAGTCCATGGAACCGACCGTCGACAATCGGTGCCGCCAGATCAGCTATCTATTGATGTACGGTACTTTGGAACCATCCCATGTTGGAGGTAGCTCCGTAGATTGGGACATCCTGGTAGGATTCAGCATGGTCCGTCCAGCTACGGAGTAGAAGCCGCGAAATGAGATTTGCGCAACCTCGCCACCGTGCTAGGCATCTAGGGTAGGACAGCTGTATAAGAGGGTGAGCATCCATCTCACGATGACTGCCTTGAGGAGATATTAATATCGCTTACTCACGACTGAGCCACCTGTGGCAGCGTGACCATGACTCACATTCCTTCGCTTGGAAACGTGATCTGCTCCTCGCCATACGGCAGGCTTCCCTTGTAGGTACGCACGCCGGCTGGTAAACGCCGCTGCGTGATGAGTTGCCAATCGTGATGTAGGGACATGTTGAAGAAGATGACTGGATTTGGCACCGAGGATCCTCACTGCGCATTATTCGCCGTACCGAGTCTGCCGTTGCCTGTTTCATGGCGGCACCAGTCAGGGAGCCACCGCGGGATGCCCGACAGAGCGGTTCAGATGACTCTTGCAATGGGGCCCAGCAATCGGATGATTCATCCCAGAAGATGGGAATCTGCGATCGGGCCTGGGTATATTTAAGCAAACACCAGTCGCAGCCGCTCCTGGGTTCCCTGCGGTGATTTCTCTAAAGTTGAGCCTATCTTGTCTTACTCGAACGGATGTTCCAGTGTGTCTGATGGGATGAGACCTTGCCAATAGTCGGTCGCTCTAGTGCCTTTCTCTGCCTGCCTGGTTTCACCCTCCCTGGCCTGGCTCTTCTACTGGGTGGTTGGGCCTGAAACCAGACGTACTTTACCGTATGGTCACGCTCACAACCGAACGTGACGGTAACCGTTGATGTGACTTGACTTGACTTACATATCTCCAGGCACTAAGCGAACTCCCCCCACTAAGCCACTAGCGTGGCTCCGCCGCAACCTCTGGAAAAGAGCGAGGAAGATTACTTTTAATTACCGACCGGACTGTGCCAGGCCCCACTCCATACCTGGGCCTTGCCAGAATCCCAGGTTCCTTCCGTCCCGTACAAAACCGGTTGTTCTGCTCAGGGCCCCCCGTCGCCGTCGCCATCACCATTTCACACACCCTTCTTGGGTTCTTCTTACTACCACCACTCTCCACTCACCACCACTCCTATACCTTTCCGCCAGTCGTGTCTTTTCCTTGCACTCGGTGTCTCCGCTTATCGCTTTCATCTTCAGCGGTCATCCCGGTCGTTTGATTCCTGTTTGCCCGGGGATCCAGGCCTCCTCGCACAGCCAGCCGCCGCCTCCTCCCGTCCAACGTTCGGTTGAGCGACAACGTTCAAATGCACTCTTACCACATACAATTCGCCTCCTCCTCTCCCCTAGAAACCGTGCCTCGGTGACGGTCCTCAGCCTTGACCTTATTCCGTTGTCCTTTGAACCGGCGTCGATCGGCTTGTTAAACGATATCCTGTATAATATACCTGGGTTGTGCTTTGCTGCTTTGTGTTGTTTGCTTTTATACCTTTAGCGATTGCTGTGCTTCCAGGAGGAGTTTCCCATCCAAAAGTTGTCGTTTCGTCCCGTCGCGATTTATCAGCATCGAGATCTATGCGCCTTTCGCGATAATGTACCATTACAACAGTCCGCACCCCGGGTGGTCTTCCTACGACTACATGACCTCCCCGCCCACCTCGCCTCACTACGCCTTTTACGCCACTCAGTTTGCCAGCCCCTACGCCTCCCCGCGCGGTCCGTCGAAGCGTCATAACCGCAAAGCCAGTTACGCTGGCACCAAGGAAACGGCAGGATGGTACTCTGGGTATGGACAGGGTGTCTATGAAGCGATGCCCGAGCATGGCACGCCGCCGCGCAAACACGATCCTGTAAGTGCTTCTTTTGGTGGCTATCACCGTCGCCGTAGTACCATGTCAGGTGCGCCCGCCGGTCCGTGGGATGCCGCCGGTCCCCACCCATCGCAGCCGTCGCACAAGCCCTCCATCTACGTGGAGGTGGTCGACGATGTATTCGATGACGCCCCCCGATACGCCGTTCGCGAGGAACCCAGTCCTCCCCGTCGCAAACCGACGACGCCTCCGCGCAAGCCGAAGCCACCCACTGATCAATACTTTTACTATAACCAGGCCCCTGCCCATGAAGACGTTGATTCCGCGAAGCGCTCGCGCGCGCGCCGCCAGTCCACCTCTACCCGGACCCCGTCGAAACCCAAGCCGGAACCTGCGGCCAAGCCTCCACCCAAGGCCACGGAAGAGGACGCTGCGCGTGCGGGAATCCCTCCGGGTTATTCGATCAAGAACTGGGATCCGACCGAAATGCCCATCATCCTGCTGGGAAGTGTGTTTGATGCCAACTCGCTCGGCAAGTGGATCTACGACTGGACGGTGTTTCACCATGGCGCGTCGACCCCGATGGCGGATGTGGCCGGAGATTTGTGGTTGTTACTGATCAAGCTGGCCGGTAAGGTGAAGCGAGCGGACGAGTGTGTGGACCGGATCAAGCGCCGGGATGCGCACGAAGTGGTGGAGGATTTTCTGGAAAGTGGCGAACGGCTGTGGGCGCGATTCAAGAAGCTGCTGAAAACGTGCGAACAGTTCATGTGGAAGGCCGCTAAACGCGAAGGCGGCAAGACGGTGTCGATGGGCCGCAATGCCGGCTGCGAATTTGTGGAGACGATCTTTGGTCGCGACCGCGAGCTGGAAAGCACGGAGAAGTTGATGAACAGCATTCGACTGTGGAACATGCGTTTTGACGCCAACTGCGAAGAGATTCTTCGCCGCCCGTCCGCGGCGTAAGCGGATATACCACAGGACTCAAAAAGTAATACTTTGATTTACTCAAGCGACGGGATGCATCTTTCGCATCGCACCGGAATACAGGCGCGTGAGCGTTGGCTTGATTTATTTTAATCGGATTGCATTTAAGCGCGTTTGGTTTGGCTCGGCTTGTCTGACTGGATTGCTGCTGCGTGTGATGAACCTCGAATACACCGCTATCAGCGCGGGAGGCATTATTTTTATTATTACCTTTCCTTTGTGATACATTTTCTTTCTGCTTTCTTCTGGGACGGGAATGTGCTTGTGGCAGCCGCAACATGCAAGTGGCTTCGCTTCGTTCTGTCTTTATGATACCATTCTGCGACGCACTCGGTTGTCTCGTCCGTCGGCTCGGTTGGATGATTCTTTCTTTTTCTTTTGTTTGTGCGGATGTGATCATCACCTGTTGGCATTCTAGGGAATTCCCGCGTACATACTAGACCCACTACATCACCACCGATAGACCATATATCATATACCATCTATCATATACCATCTATCATATACCATATACCACATACCACATCTCATATCTCAGTCTGACCCCACTCAGTACATCGTAATAACATACCCCGAATACATCAGCAGCTGATGTCACCACCACCACCACCACCATGACGACCCCTCCTACTCCTACTAGTCTACCTAGATATCTACCACTAAAATCCCTCGCATATGCACGCGCCCAACGCGCCCATGTGGACACCAAAGCAATCCCTACCCGATCCGTCCCGTCAGAGGGGTCATTACCCCCCTGAGTCAACGAATCAGCCCCTCTCCGACGCATGCACGGTTATGTTCGCACTGGCATTCGTTCGATTCCCCCCCTATTATTGGGGATGTATGTATGATGGTGGTTCGTTTTGGGGTACGTGCAGGGTGTTAGGTTCGGTCTCGTGGTGGGGGCGGAGGGGTCGGGTTGGTTTCGTACTGGTTGGGGTATGTGTATTATCTGGCTCTGATTTGGGTGGTGTCTGTATTAATAGAGAGAATATATAAAGTGTATCCTTTTAATCGTTGTTTGGGGTTGTTTTGGGTGTTGGGTGTTGGGTAGTTTGCTAGTGGGTGGTAGGTAGTATTCTGGGTTTCTTTGGTATTGTATCGTATTGTCTTGTATTGTTGACGTGGGTTGTGGTGAGGCTGATTTCTGATCGTAGTTACTATTAGTTAGCTTATAGGGTGGTTAGTGACGTGTAGTGTACTGAGTTATCGATTGGTATTGAGTAGTACTAAGTAGGGATGTATATTTGGGTAGGGAAGGTTGGGATGGAAGTACTAGTGTATAGAGAGCAAAGCGTCTGTGTATATAATTGGTTCTTATTGATAAGTACACATTAGTAGATTGAATAGTTCGAGGAGGAGGTGTAGAGGTGCTTGTATGTAGTAAGGTGGGGCATGAATCTACTCAGTTATGTATACTAAAAACTAGTGGTAGGGTTGGTGTACATATTGGCGTTGCGTGGGGTATGGTTCCTTGATTTGGTGTATCATGTAAGGTAAGATGGAGATTGGTATTCGATCTGCTGGGAATATTCTGCAGGAAGACTTAAATTAGTGGTTGTAGGAGGGTACTTTTCGAGATTTATGCTCTAATCGGATGAGATATACTATGCGCAGATCTTCGGGTTTGAACTTGGTATGTGATTGATTGGATATCTTCGCTACTGGTTACTCTTATTGTAGAAGATCAATGTATTTGTTGCCATTTGTTATATTGATATTGGGGTTGGGGGATAAATTTGTCCACACATTTCATAACCCCTCCTACGTGCGATCAAGTTGTAAAAGCACTTGACACTCCTGGACATGCTTTCTTTTATTCCCCCTTTTCTAATGGTATTGGACAGACCTGGATGAACCGGGCAGTCTGTCTCGGATAGAGCTGTCTCCCACTGCTGACTAGGCAAGAGGAAGACCTTCCGTGATCGCAAAACACCACCCGCTAAGGATCATATCTATGTGTCAGTGATGAGTTGTTGAATCGTTGCAGATTGACTCACGCCATCTCATTCAGGATAACTGGAAGACAGAGGGTTAGATCGCTCTATCAGGTCGAAGCTTCTTGACCAACCTCGCTCCCATCTCTGGGCAATGCGTGAAGGGTGATGAGCTTTACTCCGCGCTGATCCAACACATGTCATGCTGTAAACCAAATATGTGGCGTAGTGCTGTCACCAACCTCATTGATCTGCAGGAACATGCCAATCGAACCCAGTTAGCCGAAGCAGAAGAGGATCATCCAATGGAAGAAGAGTGCCATACAGGAGCATGACCGTGAAGTCTCACCCAAATATCTTACTAGTTCACCTGGATAGCAATATGCTCAAGTCTCGAGATTGCTTGCCTCAGTATCATTCTCCCCTCGACGATAGGCCTGTATCACACTGACTTTTGCTTCCCCACTCAGGAGGTACCGAAAAAGCCGTGATAGAGCGCGCATTGCCTCCAGCCAGTCTTTCTTGAGGTATAAATTGTAACTCCGAGAAAATCTCATATCAAACACCTCTTCCGAAGAAAACCCCTTTATATGCACTCTCTTGATCGTGTCGGCCGGGAAAAGCCCATGGCCGATATGGAGATAGGACCCGTGAAACCCCACTGTATAAACCTCCTGATCCTGGAGCTCACCACTACGGGGCAGGTTTCTAGCGAGATGTCCAAGCATTATGCTCAGGGTTTCCATGAGAAATTGATCCCAAGTTTGCCCCTCAAACCACTGCACATGTCAGAAGCGTGATTTGTAGTAAGCAAGGTCAGCAACTTACTCCAGTAAACGAGATGATTGGTATGAAACTGTCTTTGAGCATTACTGTCGCCGCACCTGCTGTTTTAGAGGCAAATCGCTTGCCACCAATCACATACTTCTGTACCGTTGGCAATTCAAGGCTTCCAGAATCATCAGAAAGAGGTGACACGGGTGTAGGTCTCAGAACTCACCGAACCTTCGGACCGTGCTCACAAATACCCTCGAGTTTCATGTAAATCATATTTATCAGGGAATATAACATCATCCCTTGCGATTGTATAGGACCCCGGAGATATTCTTGTGCAGGCACCTTCCAGCTCTTTCTAGGTAGAATGATTGTTTCGTTTGCTTTCAAGGCAGCTGTAATTCCCGTGTTGGGCGTGCTCTCTTCGTTAAAGTCATATGTATAGCCTTCGAGAGAGTAAAAGAAGTGCCTGAATTGCCAATCCTCTCCTGACCAATCATCAGCGCAGTCCCTTGGCGCAACATCGGCGTTCCAGAACACCCAAGGGATGAGTGCGGCCACATCAGCGTCTATGAATATCCCAGTCAGTAATACAGACGATGAGAAGGCTTCCAGGATCGCAATAGGATCGACTTCTCATACCTTCACGTTCAGCGTCAACAGCTCGGGGAATTAATCTATCCAGATCAACGATCTCGGCGCGGATAGTTACGGACATGCTGAGGCTCATTGTCAGTTTAAATAAGCCACGTTACTCTGCTTAGGGGAAGCATCTAAAATGGGGGTTTCTCAGCACGACGGTGTCTCATAAGGATAAGTAGAGCCGTCTGTAGTATAAAACGAAGGGGCCATCTGAGAACGCCGCTTGCCTGAGCCACTCTTGGCGCGGGCGATTGTTCTTCCACACCGGCAGGAGCAAATCACGGGTTCACGCCAGATGATTGGCCGGTAGTGTGGGTTGTGCTAATGCTGCCTTATTTAGGCAGTCACACCACAGATGGATGGAAGTCGGAGCCTGGGGCCGTAGTGACGCTCAACTTTCAACAGTCCGTCAAAGCTGGATCAACTCAAGCGAGGAGATATGAGTGTCTCATCCTACACAATTCAACGCGCCCCATTAATTTGCGAATCTGCCCCCGTGAAGCATCCAACTGGTGGAATGCACAGAGTGGCTGCGATGGTATCGACAATTGCGCTTGTCTCATCATTGTAACAAGGCCCGAGAGCACTAATGTCGCCGAGAGACATGCCTTCCCAGGATGAGGGGCGGGGTTAATGACCGTGGACACATCTCTTATCCTTCATTCATCCCTCATACGGACGATTTTTGCTGTCTTGTGTTACCGAACATGGATGCATTTCTGCCTTTTATGCCCACAGATACAGACCTACAGGACCCCTTAGCTTCAGAGTACATGAGAAATGCAGGCCACCTTGCAACTGCCGATTTTCAAGCGAATGGGACCAGTCGCGGTGCTTCCGGCTCCCACTGGACCGACAAAGAGGTGAACGCTGTTCGAGCTATCCCTTTGATCAATATCGACCCTAAACGCATTGTTCCCGAAAGGTTTTTTCCAGGGGACAATAATGAAGGTAGAGTGGTCGGATGTGAATACCATCACACATTCCAGGAATTCATGTACAGTTCCAGTGTTCATCTTCCTTCGCAACGCTCTCCGGGCAGCATCGTATGACGATATTCGACAATACAACTCAGGCAAATTTGCCCAAAATAGGTATCAGCAACTTTTCGACTCGCTTTCAAACTTAAGTACAACTAAAGGTTCTGAAGATGCAATCATAAAACAGCACCGGCGATGCGGCAGCTCTAGCTCGGAGCTCTCTTCATCGAGCTATGAAGAGAGCCCTGAACCCGCGTCAACCTTAGCTCTAATTGAATTCCTCAAAACTACCATGCTAAACATGGGAGATTATAAATTGCTGGGCATGGTACCGCAAAACAGTGACATGTTCCTGAAAAGGTGAACAGAAACAGTAAACAACTACTCCGTATCAATTTATAAAACCTAATTCGGTTTATAGCGCTCTCAATCCCATCCGGTTTGTTTGGAGGATGGCTGGTGTACCATTTGAGGCCACAAATGACGGAGGAATTTTCGTTAACTTCCGCGGCCCCTATAGTCACTCGGACAGGTATTCTAAAGTGCCTGTGGTCAGCATGGAGGTTAGTAGTTGCGCAAACTAGGCATGGTCCCAAGCTAACAGTGGCATCACTCACTGGACAGTGTAAACCGAGACATGCTGGCGGTATCAAGCGAGGTTCAGGGGAGGCTGAAGCCTTCATTCCTTCAATCTTTGCTCAGGAAGTCGCGGAGCTGATTGGAGGCATGGTTGCTCAAAGACGCATGCCAATGAAACACCCAGATCAGGAGACATTTGTGCTCAGCATGCACGGGACGCTTTTCTATATCAGCACAGCATATTTCTCGCCTGATTATATTCACTACATCGAGGCGAACCACCCCGCAAACACCGACAATGCAGATGTTGCAAATCTCTTTCTCTGGGTCCGAAGGTCGGTCCAGTTCGACCTCAAGATTGTCACACAAAGGATCGAGGCCCTCAAATTTGTGTGGGCCTTGATTACTTACATCGCAAGTGGGGAAGCCAAGGTCAATATTGTTCTCTCAGCATTGAACGCACCCCGAGACTAAGTGGTTTCCATCATCATTCCATCATCCATCATAGTCAGCCTAGATTCACGAGGACAAAGCAGTCCGCAGGCAGGTATAATCAGCCCGGATATCCACTCCCATCCACGTTGATTGCATACGGGTCAACTGGTCCGCTCGGCGCTTCGCCTGTATCTACTCTCCTAGCGAGAGGTTATAAATATCTTCAAAACTTTGATGCCTTTGACACACTCTGTCATGGAGCGTATATGGTAACTATTAGAAGCTTCACTTTTGCCCACTCAAACCCATTCTGGTCAACTATCGCATGTCCTTTCTCAGCAATCCAAGATTGATATGTGCCCCTGCTATATCAGCCCCAAATACGGCATACCGGCTAAATACGAAGTCTAGCACGAACCGGAGAGACCGGGTCATGTAACGGTGAAATGTTAGACACATTAAACTACGGTTTCAGCTCTGCGTATTTCATGACATGGAATTGACCTTAGGGAGGAGGGGTTACCAATGGGGGAAGGTGTATGCCATTATATCGCTGTGTAAGACTAGTATATATATGTTCGAGTCGCCTTCTCCCTGTACACATCTACCGGACTCTCCGAATGGGGGAATTCCATTCAATCTGCCTTCAAATTTGTGCTACTGGCAAAGGTCACTTACACCATTTCCGTCCTGAGTCATTCCCTACAAGGGTTCGGTGTAACTCACAGACCTACATGTAATGGAGCCACAGGCGGAAAGCATGAAGACTATCATCATTGCAAGGTTCGGAAGTCCCGAGTCTTTTGTCATGAAGGTTATTCCCATCCCAGAACCTAATACTGGTGAAGCCTTGATCCAAATCAAGGCCTTCGGAGTAAACCATGCGGAGATGCACATGCAGAAGGGGGAAGGGGCCGAGCGTGAGGAGTGAGATTGAATGCGTTGGTATTGTCGCCGCCTGTCCAGGCGGAGAGTTCAAACAAGGGACCCCCGTGGCCAGTCTGATGGGCGGCCTCGGGCGCATCATGAATGGCAGCTACGCCCAGTTTACAAAGGCGCGGGTGTCCAACGTATTTGGTCTAAGACCTGCAGCTTCATCGCTAGAATGGCGTCAACTGGCTGCTATCCAGTAATCTTACCCTATTGCCTAGACGTGTTTACTTCGGAACCTCAACCTCATGAGCGGCCAGAGGTTACTGATCCGTGGGGCAACTTCGGCCTTCGGTCAAGCAGCGTTGTACCTGGCAGTGGACAAGGGAGCACATGTGTCTGCGACAAGCCGTAACGCTAGTTGCTTCGCTCTTTTACAGTCCCTAGGCGCTGGCAGTACAGCGATAGAGGGCCCGGAGCTGTCAGCGCGATTGCCGGAACGCTTCGATGCTATTCTGGACCTCGTTGGGAATAGCACAATTGTGGAGTCGCTGAACATGGTGCGTCGGGACGGCAGAGTGCGTTTGGCAGGTTTTCTAGGAGTGCTGGCGCCGATTCAAGGCTTCAACCCGCTCCTACAGGTGGCCAGTGGAGTGCACTTCAGCTTCTTTGAGAGCTTTGTCTTTGGAACCCCGGGTGTCCCTTGTCAGATGTTCCCTTGCAAACGATTGTCAAAGTGATTGCCGACAAGAAATTCAAAGCAGAGCCCTCGTGAGTCTTCAATTTCAAGGAGATTCAAGAGGCACGTCGTGTGAGGGAGGCGAACGAAGCCTCTGGGAAGATGGTCGTGATGATTGATAGCGGCTAGTTTCAACGATCTTGGCAAAAAATGACCAAAATGGAATGAGGCATCTCTGTCTGTGCTTGTCATGACAGGTTCTAGAAGCGTAGTACCATCAAACACCATATAAATATCAGGTGTCAGTCATCTCTTAACCCTTCGACCTGCGTGATGCTAGGATAGTTACTGCCCAGAGGTACCTGCGGTTATGCTAAAGTTGACGGGGATCGACCGATAAGGACCCACCCTGGCGGCCGTGATAGCGGATAAGGAAATTAGTGCTGTAACGGGTCCACTGGATCCGACGACCTGGTTAGCTTTGTTTTCCTTTGAGATGGATGGTTTGCTATGTGCATTCTATTCTCAGCCATTGGCCATGGATTGGGCGAAGAGTGGCAAAGATTGGGTTTCTGTCCCTGGGAGACTCAGGCCGGGATTAACCATTGTTCCGACCCAGGCCATTTGCCAATTCTCCCTCCATCCCCGCCTTGCTCGGAATGCTGCTCGGAACTTCCCTCGAGATTCCTGACTAACTTCCGGTCCAGTTGATCGCATATAATCCCGGTCTGCTCTGGAGACTACCCCATCGTTTCTACATACTCCAAACCACGCTGTCAAACCTGAGGTGGTCTTCTGGCACGGTCCGCGCATCATGGATCCCGAGGCTCAGGCGCGCTTCGACCTCATCAGCGAAAACCTCGCCGAGGTCCTCAACCCCGAATTGATTGAGACTATTCTGGTCGAAAAGAAAAGCCCACGAGTGTACTGGGGGGTAATGATTCATTCAACATATCTTATTTCGCGACTCACAAGCTAATGTGTTTCAATCCCTTTAGACTGCAACAACTGGCCGGCCTCATACTGGCTATTTCGTCCCCGCATTGAAGATCGCCCAACTCCTTCGGGCTGGATGCCGCGTCATTGTCTTGTTGGCTGATATTCACGGATTCCTCGACAACCTCAAGGCGCCGCTCGAGCTTGTTGAGAGCCGTGCACAGTACTATAGCAAGGTTATTACCGCAATTCTCGAGTCTGTGGGGGTGCCTACGGAAGAGCTTGAATTTGTTCTTGGTAGTTCTTACCAGAAAAGTCCCGAGTATGTCATGGACGTTTACCGGCTGTCCTCTTTGACTTCGGAGCATGACGGTAAAGCCCTGCCCTCTTGAATGCGGCCACTCGGGTATGCTAATGTTACTAGCCAAACGAGCTGGGGCGGAAGTCGTCAAGCAGTCCAGCAATGCTCCTCTGAGCGGTCTTTTGTATCCTATTCTGCAAGGTAGATGTCATCATGTATTTTTGCTGTTCTACTCTGCTAACAACTATGCAGTGCTTGATGAGGAGCATCTGAACGTCGATGCGCAACTAGGAGGTATGGACCAGAGAAAGCTATTTGTAGCTGCGACGGAATGGCTACCCAAGCTTGGATATCGGAAGGTAATTCCTACAAGGGCTCGACTCTCACCACATTAAGCTTACGTGCTTATAGCGTTGTCACCTTGTCAACAAGATGGTAGCTGGGCTCCAGGGAGGCAAGATGAGCTCTAGCGATCAAGGTATGTTTCTACCTTCTTCCGACCATGTGGTCTTCTGTACTAACAGTTTTCCAGATAGCAAAATTGATCTTCTTGACCCTCCGGAAAGCGTTTCAAAGAAGATTCGCAAAGCAGAAGCGGCCCCTCGTGTCGTTGAAGATAACGGTGTTCTTGCGCTAGTCGAGTTTATCCTGCTCCCCGCTGCCGCTCTGAAAGGAAATAAAGAGTTCCGAGTTGAGCGTAGAGATGCAGAGCCCTTAGTTTACACTGATATTCAACAGCTCCATGATGATTACATGAAGGATATCGTACGTATATGATACCGGATATTCTCAAGTTAGTCAACTAACCTCAATCAACTCTAGTTAACGCCACAGCTTCTTAAGCCCGCCGTTGCAGGCGCCTTGGTTAACCTTATGGCACCCATCCAGAAGGCATACCAGGATTCACCTGAATGGCAAGAAATCACCTTGAAGGCTTACCCGCCAGCGGTGCAAAAGAAACAAAAGAAGGTCAAAGACAAGGGCTCTCGTTACCCAGGTGCGACTAAGAATCTAAACCAGGAGGTCGCCGAACCTCAAGATCAGCAGACCGTGTCCGCCTAGCAGCCCGTGGACAGGAGGAGTCCTGAAGTCAGTGTGATAAATCTTCGTGCTGGCTTACTTAATTAAACAGAGGAAATCGACCATTTCAGAATGATCAAGTCTGTCGTGATTCATTGCAAATACGATTGGACCTACCATTCTGTGAATGATGCCCATTCCGATTTCTTTGTCAACTTTCATGGCGAAGACATGCAATCGAGGTACGGTCTAAATCGTCGAATAAAGATAAGAGGAAATCAAACGACGAAGAGGAAGCCACCCGAGCAACTACACTAAATCATTGACTCTGCATGCACTGCAAGAAATTTCGGTTCTTTTCAAATATAAATTTGCGTCAGATTCCTGATCTCAAATGCTTTGCTTTGAATACCAGTGATAAAGCCATTTAGTCTTGATACAAATCCCAGCATGAGATCGGGATAGCAGAGTTTCTTTCTTATCCTGCCACAGCCGCCAAAGCCTCCTGTCGGTAAGATTAATAGTGACAGTACTGATAGTAGTATTGGGGTTGTATCAAACATCGCCATACGTGGGATGAAACGGCTTACCAAGCTGGGTGGCTGGCTAGAATAACTCCGGCAACTATAGAAGGATATGCAGATGGTCTATATAACGGGCATGGTCTACACTCAATCACGCAACCACTCCACTCAATCCAAACACCTTTATTCTTCCTATCTCCTACAGCGATGGCTTTCATGAGTCGCCTCAAAGCTACCTGGGGCGAAGCAGAAGGTAATACGCTCTCCAATTTGAACAGGATCGTCCTTTTTCATTGTATACCTTGGCATACATAGTATGGCCTTCACTTTGTAGCCCACAGCTGACATTGCTCACTAGTATGCTACTCCCTGAAATGGCAGGTTTCACCACCTACTAAATGGTGGCAAAACGTTGGTATAACACTACAACCGGAATCAACGACCCCTAATGTGCCGGCGTGGCCTGAAGACTCACTATCCATACACCTCTGGTTATGGGATTCTTCCTGGAGGGAGCTGGGGTTCCAGGAGTGGGGATCCTCGTCCACATTGGCGTTCTTATTCCAGGAATTGAAATGTGCCAACAACACGAGCACGACAAGCGCCATCCGACTAGTCTTCCCTTCCGAAACTGGATACCTAGTTCGATCGGACATTCTGTCATTGCGCATGGTGGACCTGGACCTAGTTCAGTCGGCCGTGTCATTTGCCGCCACACCAGCAGGAAAGCCGTTCAAACCTCTTCTGATCGACCCAGACACAGCGTCCATCTCTTTGCCTTCTCTCTTCAATAGTGCGGTAGGTGGTCTTTTACTTCAAGCATCATCGGCCAGTCAGGACCACCAAAGTCTCCTCCGTCAGCTTGATAGTGAAATCACAAACCGGCTATCATTCCCGTGGTTCTTGACCTCCCCACCGCAGCGCAAGACGCTGGCGATAGTGGAAGGGGCCCGCAGTAGCCCTGATCATGGAGGCCTCGCGACGGGCATCTATGCGGCAGCCGATGCGTTAACCATTGAGATGATTGTCCTTTGATGTCCCCGGGCACTGGCTCGAGGGCCCTGAGTATGCCCACTGGCGCAAAGAATTTCTGCCAGTCGAGCTGGAGCCCCCATCAGCATTGGCAGATCGTATAGTTGATGCCTTATCCGGTTTTAGTGTTGACGGCATTGTTACCTTCTGCGATTCATTCCAGGTCCCTGTCGCTCAGGCAGCGAATCGTCTGGGACTACCCACTCACCCGCCGGAGGCATACGAGATTGCAACAGACAAGTATCGTACAGCTGTGTCGGAGGGTCGTGCTGCCTATCGTGCTCATAATGTTCAAGAAGCCCTCGAGATTGTGGATCGAGAGAACCTTGAATACCCCTTCATCGTCAAACCCTGCCAGGGCTTCTTATCTGAGGGGGTGTTTAAGGTTTATAACCCTGAAGAGCTGGTACATGCAATCAGCAACATCCATTTCGATCGCCATGGGACTGAGGTCGTGCTAGAACCTTACTGTGACGGCCCCGAAGTGGACGTCAACTTCGTCCTGTCCGAGAGAGAGCTCGTCTTCTGCGAAGTTACCGATGACTTCCCCAAGACTGCAGACGAGGATACGCAAACAATGGAACCGCAGCAGGGTTCTACCGACCAGCTGAAATCTTTCCTGGAGCTGACGTGTGTTATGCCATCGAAGCTTCCAACCCACGAGATTGATCTTCTGCGCAACTCGCTGCATATGAGCCTGCTCCGTCTGGGCTTCATCACTGGCATCTATCATGTAGAAGCTCGAGTGCAACACTTCTCAATGGAATATGGCCAACTCGCTCCAGATACAACACTAGTCGACTTAATTCCTCGACCCAACCCCACTGGCAAAAACCCATCCGTATGGTTAATCGAAATCAACCCTCGCTTCCCAGGAATTCAGGAAACCGCAGCCGTGGAGTCTGCTTACGGAGTAGATTACTGTGCGATTGGACTTCTAGCAGGTCTTGGCGATCACGAACGTCTTCGTGCCCTAGCACATCCATTCCAGCAGAGGCCCCGTACTGGACCGAGATCGTCTGTATTCCAGTACCTATCAGTGGCATCTTCGACTCGGACGATGTTTGCGCGGAGTTGAAACAGCGACGTCCAGACCTTGCCAAGCAGATCTCCAGATGTGCCTGCTTCGCGAAAAGGGGAGATAAGGTCTATGGACCGGAATCAGGGATCAACTCTTGGGTTGCGTACTTCAACGTCTTTTCGAGAACTAGTCGCCAGCATGTTTTGGGAACTGGGGGAGATAATCCGTCGCGAAACTCGATTTCTTGTCATCTAGGATTTGCTGTCAATTATATGTTAATTAAATCCGGGGCGTGTCCCTCGCATGACTTCATCTGTAGAGGCCCGACTTATAGTCGCGTATCTAAAACATCTACATCTCTATTTCCCTTTGGCCTCGATTCATATCTCCACCAGCATTATGAAGTGCTACTAGGTCCCAGGCATCCTAGCCTAGGTACTTCCACAACACCGAAAATACCCCATCTAATACTGTATCGTACATACATACATACATACATTCATTCATCCGTCCACCATAACGATACTAGATCCACGTATAAGGTATTAGCAGGTAGTACGGAGTACTCCATCCTCCGTAGAAATTAGCCTAATACCACCATGCAGGTAAGCCGATTCCGCTTACGCCGCTTATGCCGACTCCGCGGTGGCCCAAGTCCATCTATATCCGGCTTTCCAGCTACGCCAGCATGGTACTATGATCCTGCTATGAGCGAAGGGGTCTTAGGCACATCGGATATAGTAGCGGAATTTGTAATGCACTCGGGGAAGGTGTCGGGGTAGATGAGGCTGTTAGCTAGATGGGATGTGGTTTGGTACTTGGCTTTTGGGATGGAATGGGGGGGGGTTTAGGGATAGCTCGATAGGGCAGTGAAGTGGGGCGTTGGGGTGCGATGGTGGTTTTCTGTCGATGTGTGTTCTACTTGTGACTTCTGTGTGATACGGTGTGGTGGTATGAGTGTGGGATTGATATTGTTTTATCGAATTGTCTCCTTAGACACCTTGAATGGACTGGTTGGGACTAGCGAAAACTGGCATTAGATGTGATACCCACATATATTCGCTGTCCCTGTTCATGGGAAGAATGTTCTGCATGTTAAATCTTGACAGTATAACCAACTTGTGTCTATCCAAATCTTCTTCTTTCCAGGCTCTGTCCCTCCTAGATCTATCTAGCTGATGCTAATATAGTATCTTATTTCTGCAAAGCAGTATACAGCCTTTTAAAGGCCGAATCATGCTGCGCCAGCAGTGTCCGAGGTGCGTCAAACTCCACCACCTGTCCCTGCTGCAGAACCGCCACTCGATCAAACCAGTCAATGTGTCCGAGACGATGAACCACTGCGATCACGGTCTGTTTGGCGCATTCCTTGGCGATAATCTCATACATGAGAGATTCGGTCTCCCGATCCACGCTAGTTGAGGTCAGCATCAAAGTGTGAATTGACGGGTAATGGAGAGTCGGGAGAATATACCTGCTCGTTGCTTCATCCAGGACGAGAATATGGTTATCTCTCACAGCCAAAGCCCTGGCAAGGGCTAGGAGTTGTCTTTCTCCATAGGACCAATCAAGGGTATCGATTGTGGTGTCTAGTCCACCGTTCGTGCTTACGCGGCTCCATAGACCTACTTTCTGGACTGCGGAGATTATATCCTCATCTGAGAGGGCTCCCTTGGGGTCGAGGTTGAAACGTAGCGTACCGGGCATGAAGAAAGGGTCTTGTGGAATGACGTTGATCTGAGATCGAAGTGACATAGGGTCAATGGTGGACAGGTCCACCCCATCGATCGAAACGCGTCCCTCCTGGACCTGGATCATTCGAAGAAGGGCCATAATCAGGGATGTTTTTCCACTGCCTGAAGGACCGCACACGGCTATCCGTTCGCCGGGTTTGAGGTTTATGGTCAGATTCTTCAGGATTGGCTCGGCTTCAGGGCTAAAGACGGGGTTTCTCGTTAGAACAGGTTTGACGTCTTTATAGATGTGCTCACCTGTAGCCTGCAGTAACATGGTCAAACACAATTGTACCTTCCGGCAGCCGGCCTTCGGAATCACGCAAAGAGCAACCTGTCTCCTCGGAAGGCATATCCTCAACAAACCGCCGCACCCGAGACACGGCTCCAATCGAAAGCTCCATTTGTGTCCATGATTCGACGGTCCTGTTCAAAGATTGACTGAAGGTAAGTGTCAGGTTCAATGCCACACCAACACTTCCCGGGCTAAATTTATCTTTCAGTGAGACTATGATTGCCACCAGAATCACCGCAAATACCATCACCACAAGATCCAAGGCAAGCTGTAGACCTTGTTGGATGCAGTATAGCATATAGAATGGTTTTTGTGATTGGTCCAGCTTAGCGATGCATTGTTGATGGAAGTTTTGTTGCCACCGGAAAGCCTGGATGACTGAGATACCACTAACAGTCTCGTTGAAATGCGAGTAGAGAGGAGCTTTGGCTTCAATGTCCAGAAGTCGCACCTGTCGGGAAGTGCGAAGATACCCGAGCTGGATTGCCCACAAAGTGAGCAATATAAAGGGGACGGTGATCGTGATGTATTTTCCGATGACACAAAGAATAACAAGGCACACTGCACAAACACTGATACCTGTATCGGCCAAGTTAGTGACACTATCATGGCACTGAAGGAGGATATTCCGTGCCTTCCATAAAGTTCAAGAAAACCAACGGGAGCGAGAAATCGATCAACTCCATGTCTTGGCTAAATCTGGTTTTAGTTAGCATCTGTACCTTTGTTTTGTTCTGGGACTGTAGAGATCGCCATACCTGTTGATAATCGACCCGGTATCGGTTTGCTGGAAGAACCTGAAGGGTGCGCTGAATCCCGAGTGAGTAGGTCGCTGTGGGATGTAGCATGCATGCCTCACCTACCTAAGTGTAGCTTGCAGAAGATGTGAATGCAGACTCAGGGCCGTGTTACCAATGATATTCACCAGTAGCGTCCTGTTTCACATTAGCTTCGAACCATAATAGTTGAAGTTAGCGCCTTACCAGCAGGCTGCCCAAAGCGATACACATGATACGATAAAGATGACAGTATAAACACCGAGATACTTGCCAACGTCGCTGTTCGGATGCTTCTCATTGGCAGCGGACCACCACTGCAACCATAGCGCTGGATTGCTGTGTTAGCTCCGTCAATTCAAGATAAGGTAGCCATACTGGAGAATTGGCCGGCAAACCCATAGGCAAGATTAGCGGCCACTAAAATTATCACCGGGGTGAACCCTGCGTTTCGGAAGTAGTACTTGTATACCGACCAGCTTCCGTCCCGTCGAACGAGGTCTCTCTTCAAGTCATCCGATTCATCGGCGTCGAGGGTGGCCTCAGACGGCTTTTGCGTGTCCTCTTCTGTACCTGCATCACCAGATGCATCACGCGGGCTTTCTTCCGTCTTGACCTGGACGTACTCGGGATGCCGAATCAAGAATTCCTGGTATGTGCCTTGGTCCACCATTTTGCCGTCGCTCAGAAGGATGATCTCATCCGCATAAGGAAGGAGGAACTCTAAGGCTTCGTATTAGGTCACGGCATACAGTAAGAGTGCAGCGAGTACTTACGAGTATGAGTTGCGAGGACCACTGTTTTGCCCGTCCTCCGAAAGAGGCCTGTCTGGCCAAACAGACTCTCGCCGATTTTGCGGATGCTATGAGAATCAAGCCCACTAAATATATCGTCAAGAACGACGGTAGGAAGTCGGGAATACACTGCCCGCGCAAGAGCCTTGTTACAGGAACGATCAGCTTTATATTTGAATGGATCGTTGATGCCATGATACTTACCACTCTCTGCTTCTGTCCTCCGCTAAGGGAGACCCCGTTACTCCCGGCCATATGCTTATCACCATCAGGAAGAATGCTCAGATCACCTGTAAGCGCGCAGGCCGAGATAGTAGAGTCATACCACTTTTTATCCAATTCGGTTTCGCCTGTAATATTGAACCTGATGGAACTGTTCATGATCCAGGGGGTCTGAGGGCAATACGCAACACTTGCTTCCGGAGAGTGCATATTACCGTCCTGGATAATCATCCGACCCATGATGCTCTCCAAGAGGGCTGATTTCCCACAGCCGATGGGGCCAATTATCATCACAATCTTGTTCCTAGGAATTGACAAGGTCAAGTGACGCAGAACAGTCTCGCTATCTGTTGCCCAGGATATTTTCGCATTCTGAAATGATACGAAAGATCCATGCAATGGCGAACTCCCAAAGTGCTTATCTTGTTTCGCTAGCGCGGTCATTTCAACTTCATCCGATGTTTTACGTGAATCTGTCGTAGCCGGGTAGAGATCGCTTGAGCGTTCTCTTAAACAATAATCTTGAATCCGCTCAAAGCAACCCATTGATTGCGTTATTTGGGGAAGGGTTTGCACGAATGAGAGCAACGGTGATGTCAGGATCGATATCAAAGACACAGTTGTAAATGCCTGTGTTGTGAGAAGCGCTTGATCGTTCCGAGCCAAAGCAATGATCGTGTAGACCACGAAAACCGCGTACGGGGCAAAATCAGCAGGTACACACGCTATGAATTAAGAAGGTCAGCCAATGCCTCATATCCAGGGCATACTCCTTACATAGCATCACAATTCCCACAAGGAGCTTTCGGAAGCGCTTGGAGGCTTCAAGTTCAGTCTTCCTGTATGTGGTAATCACGTCGAGCAATATCGTCTCAAGACCCAGCATCTTGACTGCTTTCATATCCTTCAACACTGTGGAGGTAATTGCAAGCCTTTTCTGAACCTGTCCTATCCAGTATGCCTGGGCAGAGCCGTATCTACTGGAAATTGGCGTCGTTCCAAGGATGCATACAAGAGCAATAATAGCAGGCATAACACAAGCAATATAGACTTGCAGTTCCAGAAGCCAAATTGCCACTCCAACTGACAAGACGGATGCCCATGTATCATGTAAGGTTCGTACCGTCGCGACAATTCGTTGCATATCTGTTCCCATCAGCGTCACAGCTTCAGCCTTGGTTGAGTTGGTTGTTTTGAGGGCAATTGTTTGCTCATAAATCATTGCCACAAGGCCGGACCGTACAACGGTTGCCGTTCGATTGGCCTGGCGGTAGTAGACAGCGGTGGAGATTGCCATTCCAGAATACACCAATGCAAAGGCTCCTATCAAAGCCTGTCTGTATCTTTTATTCTCCGGGGTACTCGGTGCGCTGATATAGTTTATCGTCGCCGTGATGAGAAATGGTTGGCAGAAAGTGAAAACGGCTACCAAAGCCCGTGGTATGACTGCAGAGAGGAAAGGGCCATAATAAGCACGCAAGGTTGCTTTGATCAATCGGTGTTTTCCACGTGTCTTTTGCCAGGCTTGTAGAAGGCGTGCTTCTGCATACTCGGCTCTTAGTCGGGGATCAATAGCAGGTAGATCGTCGACTCCTATGACATTGGTATATGCATTGCGAAACACCGGAAAAAGCCAAAGGAAGAAATTGCGGCCCCAGAACCCGTAGATTTGCTCAACTGCCACATGTTTGTAGAGAGGACGAAGGATCCGTGATTTTCTTGCGGACTCCGAGATCGCAGCCAAGACGATGCCAATGTAGATGGCCGTAAAGAGTCCCCGGGGCACATAGACTGGAATCTGCCATAGCGTGCGAAGCCGAGGGATGTACAATATGCTCAAAGCTGAAAAGTAGAGAACGAGAGTATCGGATGGATTGACCAGGCGCTGGTCCTCAAAGAAGGACAGGATGACTGCTGCGAGAGTTGCAGTCAAGCTGAGTACTGCCGATGGAGTTGAAATTCGGGTGTGCAGAGCTGGCGTCTGGACTTGGTATACTGTAAACACAATCTGCAAGAGAAAGAGAATAGCCAGAATACTCTGTTGCCAGTATTAGATCAGTAATTCGTCCCAATTGTAGCTACCCATACCAATTTATAGACAGCAAGCTTGATCGAGTTCAACTTTACGGATGCGCGCCTCAGGATCTCGAATCGAGGCAATAACAGGAGTAGAAGAATGGTCGACGGTAGAATGCTGAAGAATGCATCTTCAAATATCAACGTGAAGTCAAAAGGACGACATGCGCTATTGACTCGAGGACCAAATAGATTCTCGCTATTACTTGGACAGCTTGAGGCACTCATGGTGGTGTCAAACTGTTGGCCCCTTCTGAGTCAGGGCCAAGAATAGCATCATGCACCTTTTAATAGTCAATTAGCCCTGTGGCATTAGCACCAGATAGCGGATGCCTGACCATTAGGTGCATGGCTTTTAGCGTTATCAGCACCGGAGCGGACAGCCGACGGGAGTCGGGCAATCGGAGGTCCCAGCATTCGTATTGAGAACTGCCATTTCGGCAGTAGATACCTTTTCTGATCATATGTGCTATTCCTGTTCATTTTCGACTTTCTTCACTGGCGAAGAGCGATATTCCATCCAATTCCGATAACTATTGGCGGATTATATGCTTATCTCCGGGTGAGAGAACACCTATTACTCATCCCAGGCGTGGATTTGTTTTTTGGTACGGGACAAGTGATCCTTTGCTACCCTGTGCTTATTGGGAATGAGGATGCGATGGTGTGTTCTATCTAGTTGATCTTAGGTTAGCAGAGGACCTAGGGTCTGTATGGGTGGATACCAGTTCTAGTGTCTAGACTCTGGAACCCCGTCCAGTGCCTCGTCCAGTCATCTTACCAAGTTATGGTAGGTGTAAGTAGTAAGCACTAACTCAATAGTTGATTCCGATAAGCCTGCAAGTAGAGAGTTGGCAGTACGGAGAGCAGAGTGTTATTGCCACGCGAGAGCGGAGGAAGAGGCGCTGCAATCTTGCCCCGCAGTGGTGCAATGATGAGGCTAATAGCGGCGGAGAATGGAAGGCTCCATGGAATAATAGTACACGGTTTGCCATCCCAGTAATTAAGCCAGCCATGACAGTCGTCGTTCAAGCAGCTGCTAGAGTGAGAATCATGATGGTCGTTACCCCACGCGATCTGGGCCCCGCGGAGATAAGGCGGTGACCTCAGCCATCTACATGTCTCGATTCCAGATGACCTACAGATGCTAGCCGACAGATACAGTGCAGCATTGTGGTTTTGTGCAACCGCTTAGCAGCAATTTTCTACCTTGTCGACATTGGGCTATAAAATTGATGGATGCATGGACAAGAAGGGTGACCAAAGCACTCGGTATATGAAACCACGTAGAAGGGTCACCAACTGACATCAGATAGGATACCTTATCTGACATGTCATGCTGTCCATGGGAATCGAGTGACTGACATTGAAAGAAACGCTGAAACCTGGGACTGCCGACCATGGACGCAGTGCCGCCTTGTACGAAGGCTCGACCAATATTGATGGCCCAAACAGACTGATGACCTCACCCAGTCATGACCGCGCAATCACATCGCTCTCCCCCGCATCAAAGGACGGAGAAACGCCCGCATAATGCTGCCACCATCATCGTAACGAGTCCCGGCGTCATCATCTCATCATTAACGCCACCATTCAACCATATAACAGGCCGGCCCGTGCCCCAGGCAGACCATCCTGTTGGACTTGATTTACACAGATCTAAATGTAACCACATCATCCAAGTCCAACTCCAGAGCAATTGTCTACCATTCGGTACGCTTGCTGCTTTCCTTGGTTACGAGTACGGATGTACTCGATTGCCGCGGAGATGCCAGCGTTTCAAATCTGATGACAAACTAATCGATTACAGAATCGCACGCAGTTCATCATGTCCTCAAGAACAAATCCCATTTCGCGCTTTGCAGAAACCGCCAAGGAGAAGGTGGCGCCTAGTACTACCTCCAGCACCAAGGCCAAGGATCCCACTGAGAATTGGAGTCCTGAGGAGATGTTTGAGACCACCCTCGACAAGGACGGCAACCCGGTCCCCGAACCCTACTCGTTCATCGATGGAGAAAGAATGACCCGAGGAACGAAAGGTGGTAACGATGAGGGAGATGTGTATGCCGCGGCAAATGATGACTTCGATTAATTCGCCGGTCCAGCATAATTACGATGCTCGAGGCATCGGGTGAAAAGACGCTATGATATGAGACCATCTTGAATGTTGAATGCTGTGCGTCAATCCTGGCGGAGGGATACATGTATGTGTAAATGTGGATAGCAGTAATATCCCCGTGGGGCACTCCTTGACCACGGGCCAAACCGAAACAATCAGATTGTATGCGCGAAACAAGTTTGTCTCTAATGTACGACGTAGTTCGCATGCAAATGATGGTGGTGGGTGAATCGCCATGGCAACGGCTTCCCGCCGGGAGGCCTCTGCGCTGCCTCAGGCCGTGTCCTATACCCGATGGGGCAATCCCCAAACGAGGCCATGGCGATAGAATCATCTCCAACTTCCCCCGGTTTTCGCTTCTGGATCCTCCCCGACCGCTGCTTCTGTGGTCTTCTCCGACAGGGGGTGCGCTGTCTTCCATCTCCTTGCTTACTACTGCATGTTTCTCTCTTTCACCTTCCATAGCAGGAGCCCCCGATACCCCCTCCCCGAGTCCCGGCTGTTTACCCCATGTCGAGAGTGGAATCAGTCAGTTGTCTAGTGCCGGATGTCAATTAACCTGCAGACGGACGGTCCGCGCAAGCATATACTTTAGATATCCTCCTAGTTCCCACCGAGGGAAAGCACTCCGGCCGTTCCTGGGTCCACTAACCAGCAGCCACGACCCATACCGTGATATCCCCCCGATACCCGCCTCTCGGCCCTTGCCTACCGGTGGTACAGTTGCCTGTATGTACCTTAATCTACTTCAACGCCAGCGTGAGCACCTCACTCAGATTGTACAGTTGTTGAGGGATCACGGCCACGGAATGTCCCTGGACCCCCGTTTTTACCACCACATAGGCCACGGCTCCGGGCCTGGCTCCCAATCCTCCGCGTCATCCTCCGGTCTCTCCGCAATCACCAACATTACCAGTCCTTCTACTCACTCAATGACTGCTTCCGCCGCCGCCCTGCGATCCGACGCGTCTAGTCCGTCGCTGCGCGCACGAGAGGGCGTGGCTGTGCCTGCGCACCGTGTCGACAGCATGTCCAGTCCTTCCGGCGGCGGCAATGTGCGCGTTGTCGTCCGAGTGAGGAAGTTCCTTCCTAGAGGTGCGTCTGACTGGCCAGATAATTGGGGGGAAATTTGTAGTAAATGCTAATTGCGATTCCTTTATTTGGGAATTATAGAGACCAACCGCAATGCCGAATGTCTGATCAGCATGGACCCATATACCCAGACGACCAAGCTTAGAGCGCCTCGGCTATGCCCCGGCGACGAAGGAAAACCCAAATCACAGGCGCGTGGAAAGGTTTTGGAGGATAAGTCCTTCGTCTTCGATAACTCGTTCTGGTCACATAACGAGAAAGACGACCACTATGCCCATCAGGAAGACGTATACAATTGTCTGGGAGAAGAGTTTCTGGACCACAATTTCGAGGGGTATCATACCTGCATTTTCGCCTATGGCCAGACGGGCTCTGGCAAGAGTTACACCATGATGGGCACTGGGGAACAGCCTGGGCTGATTCCAAGGACCTGTGAAGATCTATTTCAACGCATCGAGAGCGCTGAGTCACCGGATGTCAGTTTTAACGTTCGCGTCTCCTATTTCGAGGTCTACAACGAACATGTGCGCGATCTACTGGTCCCCCGGACTGAACCGCCGAACTATCTCCGCATCCGCGAGTCTCCTTTGGAAGGCCCATATGTTAAGGATCTGACCGAAGTGACGGTGAAGAATTTTGAGGAGCTCATGAAGTTCATGCGCAAAGGCGATGTGTCTCGTACTGTAGCCAGTACCAAGATGAACGATACGTCTTCCCGATCACACGCGGTGTTTACCATCACTTTGAAGCAGATTCATCACGACCTTTCGACCGATGAAACAACCGAGCGCACAGCGCGGATACGTCTCGTCGATCTGGCGGGCTCTGAGCGAGCCAAGTCCACCGAAGCGACCGGTCAACGACTCCGCGAGGGGTCCAATATCAACAAATCCCTGACGACGCTCGGCCGAGTCATCGCCGCACTAGCTGATCCTAAGCCGGGTCGCACAGGCAAGCGCAAGGGCAAGGACGTCGTCCCGTATCGTGATTCGATCTTGACCTGGCTGCTAAAGGATAGCCTCGGGGGTAACTCGAAAACGGCGATGATCGCGTGCATCTCCCCCAGTGATTACGACGAAACTCTCTCTACCCTACGATATGCGGACCAGGCCAAGCGCATTCGCACGCGCGCCCGGGTCAACCAAGACCACCTCTCCGCTGCAGAACGGGACAAGCAAATTGCAGAGATGGCTGAGACAATCCGCACGCTACAGCTGAGTGTCAGCCTCGCCACTGCCAACCGGCGGGAGAATGAAATGCAGAACGAACGGCTCGAGGAGTACCAGCAGAAGGTGGAAAAGCTTCAGAGACTGATGGAAGAGACGAAGATGGTTAGTGAGTGCAAGATCAGGCAGCTACAGACGGAGAATGAGGCCATGCGCAATCACCTGAAGCTCGCCCTGGATAGTATCCGAAACCCAATTCCTCCGGTGGTTGTCCATCGACGCCGGAGTAGCCTGTACAGTGTGAATGAAAACAACGGATCCCCGACCAATCGCAAGCGGCGCGGTCGCGCCCGGTCACCTCCGTCCGACATCGAGCTGGATCCAGAGCCAGACCTCATCTGGGAGGATGAAGATACGATCGAAAGCGACACTAGTCACGTTGAGGCGCAGGACATGCAGGCGCACATGGAAAACCTCCTCGACGACTTGAGCATGTTCAAGCGCAAGCTGGCAACGGATCATGAGCGATTCCGACCTACTTGGAAGCCAGAAGGCCGGAAGCGACGGCGAGCGCTGGGCGATGTTTGGACCAATACCCGATAGACTTGGAGGGATTTGACTCGGTAGCGTGGGTGGCTCTGTGATACGGCGTTTGGGAGGGTCTAACTTGGATGCACATAATTGGAGGCCACTGGTCTATACCTTGGACTGGGGTTTATTGCGATGATATCTGGTTTTGTTTCTATTTTGGACTTTGTTCCATTTTCTTCGATGATGACATGATTGTATGGTAGGATGACAAGTGACACATGATGGATGCTTGATGCCCAAATACCATGAGACCGTTTAAGATTGGTCGCTGCAGGCCCATGCAGCTGAAGTGCCTTGTATGATGTCTGCCCAGCTAAGGTCAGGTACATACTTCGACCAGGATTCAATACATAAGCCAAGTATAGCTCGGAAATCCGTGACTTCAAGGAAAACGTCGGCCTCATCAGGTCACCGTCCAGGTCGAGGGCGGCCAGACCTTCACGGACTTCATCCGTACCACTCTGGGTAGGGGCCGTACCAGCGTCTACGCTCGTCGATGCAGCTAGACGTGGTGGACGTGTTGTGCGCCGTGGTGCAGGCAGTAGTGTACCTGGTCGGGGCTGCTTATGGCATCATCGACGGGCGATCGGGAAGGGAACCAAAACTAGTGACTCAACCTCCGTCCACCCCCACAATAACCACCACCAGTTCCGAAAAAGTCTCCAATGCCCCTCCCAACTGCCGCTATCGCCTCTCTCCTCTCCCTCCTTCCATGATGGCCAATCCCGTCGACCCTGCGCTGACCTCGTCCGTATCCGCGTCACAACCCCCAGCCCCCGAGATGCAACCAGCCGTCCAGCAACCACCGCAGGGCGCCTCAGCCTCCAAACCCGCCAAACAGCAACCCCCCAAGCAACCCGCCAAGGGCAAAGATGGCGCCGCTGCAGCTCCCGCCGCCTCGGGTGACGGCGCCGCGCTCACCCCCGCCGAGTTGAAAAAGAAAGCCAAGGCCGAAAAGGCCGCCCGTCGGGCCCGCGAACGCGCAGAGAGAGATACGACCGGTGGCGGTGCGCCGGGCGGTCCCGGTGGCCAGCATGCTGCGTCGGCCAAGAAAGGCGCGTCTGGGCCGGGTGGTGCTGGTGGGAAAGATTCTGCGGCCGCGGCGCAGCAGAAGGGACAGAAACAGCAGCCCCGTCGGGGTTCTGCGCAGGCGACCCCCCAGGTCGGCGCTGCGGAGCTGAAAAAGAAGCAGGAGGAGAAGAATGTGTCGGTCTTTGGTCATCTCTATGGCCAGCAGCGGAGGACTACGATTGCAGGAGCTGGAAAGGAAGTGCATCCGGCGGTTTTGGCCCTGGGGTTGCAGATGAGAGATTATGTGGTCTGTGGAAGTAGTGCGCGCTGTGTTGCGACATTGTTGGCGTTCAAGAGGGTGCGTTTCGTCCTATCCTACCTTATCCTCGCATTGTTCTAGGCCTTGCGGGATGTCTCTGGGGTCTCGGGGTTACTGATAACATGTTCTAGGTCATCGAAGCTTATACCACCCCCCTGGGTACCTCTCTCGCCCGCCACTTGACTACGCACCTGTCCCACCAGATCACCTACCTCTCTACGTGCCGCCCGCTGTCCATCAGTCAGGGTAACGCCATTCGCGCCCTCAAACTCGCCATCTCCTCCATCGACCCGTCCGTCCCCGAAGCTACCGCTAAGTCATCGCTGTGCGACTTTATCGACAGCTTTATCCGCGAGAAGATCACTGTTGCCGACCAGGTGATCGCCGGCAGCGCGGCACAAAAGATCCAGGATGGCGACGTGATCGTGACGTTTGCGGGTAGCTCGATCGTGAAGCAGACGCTGCTCACGGCGCACAAGCAGGGCAAGCAATTCCGCGTGTCCATCATCGACTCGCGTCCGCTGTTCGAGGGCAAGAACCTGGCACGCACGCTCGCCAACGCCGGTCTGGACGTGCAATACTCCCTTATGAACGGTATCAGCCACGCCATCAAGGACGCCACGAAGGTGTTCCTGGGCGCCCACGCCATGACGAGTAACGGACGGCTGTACTCGCGCGTCGGCACAGCGCTGGTCGCGATGTCGGCTAAAGAGCGCGCCGGGGGTGTTGAAGTGCCAGTCATTGTGTGCTGCGAGACGGTCAAATTCACCGATAGGGTCGCCCTGGACAGTATCGTGGTCAACGAAATTGCGGATGCGGACGAGCTGGTCACCATCGAGCCGGTGCAGCAACTGACCGGGTTGCCGGATCCGGCAGCCCCGGCCCCAGCGGAGACCAAGAAGGGCGGCAAGGCGGCGGCCAGCGCGCCGGTGGAGTCCAGCACGGCATCACAGAGCACGGCGTCGCCGCTGGAGGACTGGAAGGAGTCGGCGAATCTACAGCTGCTGAACATCATGTACGATGTGACGCCGGCAGAGTATGTGGACATGGTGGTGACGGAGATGGGCAGTCTGCCGCCGAGTGCGGTGCCGATTGTGCATCGGATGAGTACGAATCTGTAGTTTCTTTAGGCTTAGGTATGGACTGGAATTTCGGCTGCGTTGTATTCTTAGATAAAAGTCTATGAAATTGGGTATGGTGTAGGCGGTCACGCTCATGTAGCCATCACTTTCCGTGTCTGACCTTTACAACACCAACACCAACACCACAACACTATCTTTCCTATCACCACCTTTACTACCACAACCTTTACTACCACCAACGCGCTACCAACACATCACTACCACCAACACACTACTACCAATCAAACAACCAAACGCGCGCAACCCAACTTACCCTTCAGAATGGTACTTCCCCCCTCCCCCTCTCCTCCCCTCCCATCCCCATCCCCATCCCCCCTTCACCCAAAGCTAACAGCAAAAAAGAGCAAAGACTCCACCCCCACCCAAATCCACATGCACCACCCCCGCCTAGCAGACTACTTCGAAGACTTCACGCGCCCACACCACACCACCAGCACCTCCTCCTCCTCCCCCGGCACCATCCCAACCAGCACCTCCACCACCGCCCTCGCCACAACCACCACCCACACCACCTCCACGCACGCAATAACCTACGGCTCCTCATCCTCCCCCTCGCTCGTACCGAGTTACCTCCCCATTGAAGAAATCTATATCCTGCCGCAGTATCAGCCCCCGAACCCGGAAGACGAGGATGATGTGGTTCCGGATCAACATGCTGCGTTTGGGATTACGAGGGCTATGAGGGCGGGGAGGGAGGCGGTTTGGAGGGATTTGGGGCTTGAGGGGTTGGTTAGTGGGGTTGCTTTGGGGGTTGGGGGGAGTGGGGATGGGGTTGGGGGAAAGGGGGGCTTGGGGAAGGGGGTGAGGGTTAGAGGGGAAGGGAGGTTGATGGGGGGGAGGAGGGTGGTTTGTTTGAGGTGATTGTTTCTTTTTTTTACACGCTGTGGAGGGTCTTTGGGGGGGGGGTAGGAGGGGATATGGGCAGAGGGGATGGGGTGTATGGAGGGTTTGTTTCCTGGGGCGACTGGTGTTGAGTTATGGTTATCGTTATGGGAAAGGATGATACGGTCATGGTTATACCCACGCGCTTGGTGCTTATCATATGTTATCTGGGATGAACGTGTACGGATAGAGAATGAAGGGGATCATCTCATCATTACTATATGGAGTATGGGACTACTATATCCGGATTATGTCCACACGCGCCCGCTCGTATAACTTGTGGCTCACCTGTTTCTGCTCGCGCTCGTCTTCGGCTATCGTTCGCGCGTGGATCGCCATCTGTGCGTAGGTCCCTGCGCCGCGTCGCTTCGAGAGCGTCCCTGGGTTGATAACAGTCACGCTGTCGACCACCTAGACTCAGTCAGATTTTGGAATATTTGGAAGCTCATGCATAGGTCGTACCTTCACAAATGGTGGCAGCATGCTCGGCGTTATCAACACGTCTGGCCGCACGTTCCACCACTCGCCCAGCTTCGAATAGCTCACGTCCACCATGGCCCCCGTGGCCAGCCCGCTCTCCGTCCCTGCCCTCGGCAGCATCTCCCGCGCTGATGACGGGAACATCGGCTGGAAGTGTCGCTGCTCGATCAGATACTTCGGTAGCCGCGTCAGCAGGTTTCCCTCCGTCGGCTTGCCGTGCAGCACCTCCTCCCGACGTAGCTCATACAGCACGTCGTGAGAGCACATCCCGATCACCGTCTCGTTGAGCGACAGCGTCACCGGATTTGACACCATGCGCACCTGCTTGGGCAGTCCCAGCTCCTTCTTGGGTAGCTGCTCCTGCGGCCATGAGACGTGTTTGCTCACCGCGTCACGCACCGACGGCACCAGCACGATCGTGATGCTGGGCACCGCCGCCACGAGCCGCTGCAACGGCGCCGTGATACAGTGTCGGAAGACCGTCGCAAGCGTTGCCGTGTCTGGGTCCAAACCGTTGATCTCTGGCAGGTCGAAATCACCCGAGGCCAGCACGGGATGCTCGATGTCCAGGAACGGGCCCAGCAGGATGACGCCGTCCGCATAACTGTCAGCAGCCTTGCGGCAAATCTCTTTCAGAGGCTCAAAGTCGAGGTTGTCGTCAGCCGTGTATGGCCCGGACGCAATGAGGATGTTCAAGGGCGCCGGACCCGCTTCTTCGAGTCTCTCGTTGATGCTTTCGATGTTGACCACCGACGAGGCGGCTGGCGGGAGGAGAGGGGCGGGGAGGACCTCTTTGACTGAAAAGTAGTTCCCGGATGCGTTGATGCCACGCAGCGCCACGATCTGCCCCGGGAAGAAGTTGGCTGACGGCACCGATTCCAGCTTCAATGGAACCCGGACACCTGCTCCTGTCCGTCTCGACGTCTCCAGCACGAGTGACGCTGTGTTGAGCTTGCCTTCCATACTGTCGGATGCGATGCGTCCGACGGCGACGATCTCGCTGGTACTCTGTGTGGCTGCGCTGCCGAATGTGATCTCGTCCGCATCGTACTGCTTCTCAAACAGAGCCATGAATTCGTCGATGCGGTCATCGAGGATCTCAGATGCCTCGGACAGTCGCATCGCAAGGGGTTTGTATCCGAACTTCTTGAGATCTGTGTTCGCGGTCGGTCGTATACGTGCCTCGGAGTAGGGCGCCAGAGGGGTCTCTGCTTGTGATAGGTGGGAATTGATGGTTTCGAGTGTCTCGCCGGGGTTCGGGCGTTGAGAGAATGGAATAGATCTGTCGGTCAGCTGCGGTTCATCTGCCATGTGTCAAACACATACTGTAATCCATCCCCGCTCTGTTTCACCGAGGCATTGACTCTCATTGGGGATCCATTCTGATCGGTTCTCCCGATCTTGGACATGGAAGGCGAAGCAAAGTCGGATTTCCGCTTCGCCGATCCGGGATTGCTCCGACCAGATGCTCCGGGTGTGAGTCCATCCAACCTGGGCCGTTAGTCCTTATCCCTCACTCGACATTATACACTCACATGCCAAACACATCCGACGTCGCAGCAGCCCGCGGGGTAGCCGTCACTACGGCTCTCTTGTCCGTCTGTCGTCCGGCTTTGCCTCGGGCGTCTCGCTCCAATGTATCCTGCACATCTTTCTTGAACAGTCGCACGGTGCCCAGATCGAGTTTCAGCTCGTCCGGGCCCATTTTCAGGCAGTAAGACTCCCATTTGTAAAACAGCTCCTGCGCGGAGATCGAGTGGATGCGCAGGATCGACTGCAGTTCCACGAGAACATCCTTGGAGAGTCCACCTGGAGCAGCGCCAGCAAAGAGCTCATTGAGCTCTGCAACGGGGTCCTCCATGGTGACTTGGACCGGTGGCTTGGTGATAATATGATCCTGAAAGACAGACGGCTATCGGAACTGCTATCGCTGGACGGCGACGCGACGCGCGCGACGCGCAAACAGTGACCGCCTTCCGGACTAGGGCTCGGCAGACGACCCGCCGACCACGTAGGCGCCGTCGATTTAATTGATTTCTCTGGCCGTGTTGGTGGCCATCGGAGCATTGCAGCTGACGATCGGTGGGCCCGTCGATCAAGATTACGGCCTGCTCAATCTTACCGACGTGAAAAGGACACCCGGAACCATTTCTGCCGTTGTGTCGGCCCCCCCCCCTATATTTGTTGATGTCTCGCAGTCTATAAGTTGGTTGCGGGATCCATACACACCTCCTACTTCCGATCTACCTCCGCCTCTAGCTCAACCTAGCTCAACTGACACATCATGAGCGCTCCCTCAGATCTCCCGGCGGCCGTTTCTGCGCCAGCCGACAATACTCCAGCTGTCAATACCTCACAGACCACCCCTTCTGACCCGTCACCTTCGAACCCCGCGGAAGTTGAAGCTGCCCCTGAAACTACCACTCAACCCGCAGAACCCACCGAGCCAGCCAAGAAAGATGACAGCTTCGAGTCCCAGCTGCCATTGTCCGCCGCAGACGGTCTCATCCAGAAGCCTTTCCCCCGCCCCCTTGACTCGGCGAAACCAACACCCCCCGCGCAGCTCACTCCCGATCAGCAAGCGAAATACAAGGATGTCTTGAAGGCGGTATTGGAATGGACTACCGTGCCGACGACGTCGGCTAAGAATTCCCCGACCGCTCCTATCACCGAGGACGAGCACATGTTCCTGACCCGGGAGTGTCTGTTGCGGTACCTGCGTGCGACAAAATGGAATGTCGCTGATGCAATTGCGCGACTCCAGCGCACGCTCACCTGGCGCCGGGAGTACGGCGTCGCGAAGCTGACAGCCGATTACATCTCGGTGGAGAATGAGACAGGAAAGCAGGTCATTCTTGGATACGACATCCACGGACGGCCCTGTCTGTACCTCCTGCCTTCGAACCAGAACACGGAAACAAGCGACCGTCAGATCCAGCACCTGGTCTTCATGCTGGAACGTGTCATCGACCTCATGGGCCCGGATCAGGAGACCTTGGCGCTCATTGTGAACTACAAGGAAACGAAATCGGGTCAAAATGCTAGTATCGGTCAGGCCAAGCAAACCCTCAACTTCCTTCAGAACCATTACCCCGAAAGAATGGGTCGGGCCTTGGTTATCAATAGTGAGTATCCTCTCCGGATTACAAAGCTCTTTCTCTAACAATGACTAGTGCCCTTCATGATCCTCGGGTTCTTCAAGATGATCACTCCGTTCATTGACCCACAAACCCGCCAGAAGCTCAAGTTCAACGAGGACCTGTGTCAGCATGTGCCTGCAGGCCACCTGATGAAATCCATGGGCGGCGATGTCGAGTTCCGGTACGATCATTCGGTCTACTGGCCGACGTTGAACAAGCTCGCGGACCAGCGGAGGGCGGCATACAAGGAGCGATGGATCCAGGGTGGTAAACGCATTGGCGAGTTCGAAAACTATCTGAAAACAGGAACCAGTCCGAGTCTCTCTCAGACGGAGGGGCTGTCGAACGGGGAGTCGCAGCCAACAGCATGAAGTGTGGGCCTGCCAAAGTTCGTTGTCCAACGGCATTGTGCGATTTCTGGGTAAAATCATCTTCTTCCATTACTTTCCGAGCGTCCTGCGATTGCATGACTGGCATATAGCGCATAGATACGCCTCTATTAATATGTTGCATTACTTGCCTTCGGGCTTTTCTCATGATTCTCCGGGTCCTAATCATAAATCTGTTTTTATCAAACATATTATGCTGGCTTGTTTCGACTTGTCTCGCTTTGTTTGGCGAGCATGAAAATGTTGGTCTGGATAATACTAGTAGGTCGGAAGCTACGGCGGCCTCTAGTCCGGATTGGCCCTCGAGCTTTCTCCGCAGTGCGTTGTCACGTGTGGGGATGGCGGGGCATGTTGATGCCTCAGGCATAATATCACCGCTGCCCACGATGAAACGAAGATGTGTGATTGGCAACATGCTGGAGAATAATGGGCCTGCGAAGCAGTAGCATAGCATCACTTTCGGAAGTTCTGATTCTCAATAGACCAACTTACCGCTCTGCTTCCTTTTGTACGGGCTTCGGATGTTCCTCCCTCTAGCACCGTCCTTAGGCAGTAATATCCGACATCCTTGCGGTATAGGATTGTGGGCAAATTAATACTTAACCAATGTGATACATCCTAGACCTCCTGTACATGATCGTCGCAGCCTCTTGTCTCATATGATCTTTTTTTGACTTCCAGGTTCATCGGTTCTGCCACCATCCACTTGTTCAGACTGTCATCTCCCTCCCTCCCCCGCTTATCCATATCAATAGAATCCCCATGCGGTCCCAGCGGTAGTGAACCCTGTCAGCAGTATTGTCCCTGGGCATTATTGATCCTACCCCGTTGCCGCTTTCATGCCGCCGGTGAACATCTTCCTCTTCCTTCTGAATGTGGTTTTGCGGTCTCCACGAGCGTCACGGCCTCGGGCAATCAAGATGGAGGAAGCTCCCCAGCGGGTACAAGCCCCCACGGGCAGAATGAGCCCTTCCGGGCTGCCGCCCTCGACCGACGACACCACCAGCGCCAGCACCACCACGACCACGGCGACTGCTCCTCCTGCTACTGTGACTGCTGCTACTTCCCCTCCCTCCACTCCGACCACCGTCGTTCAATCTCAATCTCTCCCTCGACCGCCCTCCTCCACCGGTTCCTATCCCTCCCCCATCCCCTCCCCTGTTCCAGACCGTCGTCCTGCCCGCGGTCACGAGGGAGTATTCGTCCATCCCGCCTCCTTTCTCCGGCCGCGAGGTCTATCACACCCAATGCCACCCGCTCAGCCCGAAAGGGCGATCGACCGGGAAGAGCGTCGCGCCTTAGTGAGTGGCCTCTCTTTGCCTTTGTCCGTTGCTGTTTTTCAACTCCCCCCTGGTCGTCCCCGTTGCTTTCCATCCCGCAGCCCCTCCTTGGCCCGCATCGCTCCCCGTACATAAGCCGTGGTTTTGTTTGGCAGAATCCTCGGTCTGTTCAAATCGCGGTCAATGTACTGTCATCAGACTGGTGTTTGTTTGCTTGTAATCGTGCAGTCAATTCGGGTGAAACCTTGACTAATAGAGATCCTGGTCTATCTTAATCACTGTAGCGCGCCATTCGCAACTTCCTCAAAGTCCGTACCAGCTATGATGTCCTTCCGCTTAGTTTTCGACTGATCATCTTCGATACCTCTCTGTCCGTCAAAGAGAGCTTGAATATCCTGATACAGAACGGCATGTCTTCCCTCCGAGCCACCTGCCGCCGCTCCGCGGAGTCTGCGCACCTGAGAATACATTTCGCTGACTGAAGCCGACATGCGGTGCGCAATACAGGCATTGTTTCGGCGCCATTATGGGATTCCAAGTCCTCAACCTTTGCAGGTCTCTTGACCACATCCGATTACATCAACGTAATCCAGTACTACTTCCAAAACCCCGCAGCCTTGAACCAAATCGATCAATTCCGGCTGGATAGTCTCCGAGGTGCGTCTCGGATCCAATCTCGAGTGGTCGCGTACAAAGCTGATATGTGTTTAGAGGTGGAAAAGGCACTGGGCGTCGCTCCTCCCGAAACGATATCCATTGACCCGGAGCGGCCGCTCTACGAGGCCTGTCGGCGCATGCTCGAGTCTCGAGCCAGAAGGATCCCTTTGGTCACGCACGACAGCCAAACAGACCGCGCCCTCGTTCTGAGTGTTGTCACCCAATACCGCATTTTGAAGTTCGTTGCCGTCAACGTCAGCGATACCCAGAAGCTTCGGAAACCCTTGGGCGAACTCCTGTTGGGCTCATATCACAACATCGCAACCGCATCGATGGATACCCCTGTCATTGATGTCATCCACATCCTGGTGGAGCGAAGCATATCAAGCGTCCCTATCCTAAATTCGGAAGGTAGGAGTTCTGCATTGGGAAACGCACATCCGTATATTAATCAAGCGGCTGTCCACAGGTGTTGTGTACAACGTCTTCGAGGCTGTTGACGTGATCACTCTAATCAAGGGGGGCGTATATGACGACTTGAGTCTCACAGTAGGCGAGGCATTGAAGAAGCGGTCTCCGGTATGCTCCTGGTACACGTCTTCCGATCTCCTTGGCTAAAACTTATTCCTAGGACTTCCCCGGTATCTATACATGCTCTTTGAACGATGGTCTGGATACCATCTTCGACACGATTCGCAAATCTCGTGTGCACCGCCTGGTTGTTGTGGATGAGAACTTCCGACTAAAGGGTGTCCTAACGTTGAGTGACATCCTGCAGTACATTCTCCTGGAAGGCGAGACTGATGAGTTATCATGATTCAATGTATTCTGCGACAACTTGCATGGATGGCGTTCGTTTCCTTACATGATCTGTGTTTTCCTATGGTTTCATTCTCTAAATTCCCTCTTGGCTATGTGATCACTTGGGCTTGTTTCAATGCAAAAGTAGACGGATTTTACGGCGCGATAGGTCACAATATCCCACATGTACACAATACATCTTCATCTCGACAGTGGCTTTCAGGCATGGCAGGTGGTGATAGCATCGTCTACTGGGTTGTGGTATACCACCGATGCTTTGACATATGTAGCAGCTCCTCAAGGCGCCTGGGTCCATCCAGGTCGGTTCTGACCCAGACAGCGGCGAAAATCGGTGATTCTGTCTCCTTTTGAGGATATCCGAGATACCACGAATGAGATGATTCGGACATTACCTGTCGACCGGCAAGCCCCATGCGGGCTTGGCTTGACTTTATTGTCTTCACCTCGAAACCCTGCGGGATAGACGAATTCTCTCGAAAAAAGGAAATCGTTATCTCTGCTAATTCCCTTCACTGGGCATCTTGATAATATGCAAGCAGAGTCCGGTATCATCAGACAGACCACACTATATTAAAAAAAAAAAAAAAAAAGGCTATCTTAATCACTTTTAGAACTCATGAGGTTGTGACACACAAACAAAATGCTCTCGCAGCTAAGAGGATTCTTAAAAAAAAATCCTTGCTAGACAAGAGACGCGGTCAAGCAAGAGTGAAACTGAAACGTACCCCCAGCGGGTGTATTCCGTTGTCAATAGATGGATAAATGAATCCTCCAACCTCCCTAAGATGAGAACAGCTTCAACTTTTGTAATGGGCTTTTTCATGCCCTCTACTTGTAAGTACTACATCAATCCTGAAATCTGATCAGACCGCTACAAGCCTGGGCTACCTTTTATTTAGCACCCAAGATTTCTATAGCTGGCACTATCACAAAGACCTAATAGTTTTTTACTATATATATCTTCTCTCTCGCATTAGCCGCGTTAGTATTCAGTCACTTCTTCTCCGACGTGGTTCCCTAATAGAATAATCAGGCTCAATGAGCAAGGGGTTAACAATATAAATGGATGTATTCAGCTGTCCTCAACCAATCCCATCATGATCCTTTCCATTCCTGGAGAAATTGTTGCACCACTGTGCTTCCCGGTGAAACTACCCGATCAGGAAATTTTCCACGTCCTGCGAAACCTCATCTGCCCTGTCCACTGAGAGCCAGACTTACTAAATACCGGTCGCGTGTCCGCTTTCCGGCATTTATCTAGGTTCTGTGCTCGTAGCCCGACGAGGTGGAAATCATCGTCCATCGTCGCTCCACAACCTCAGATCTTTCCTTATATATGGGGCTCGGAATCTAAGAACTTGTCGGTGAATAGGAAGGGGAAGTGACGATCTACAAAGATTGAATTCTGACTCATCTGGATATTTAGGCAACCGGATGGTTGAATCCAAGGCATCAAAAGGTAACCTAGATTACCGCATTCCGTAGGGATAACTCCTATGGAATGCAATTTAAGAGAAAAAATCCTTCGTATAAAGATCGTGCAGCGCAGTCAGAGTTCGAGGTTTGGAGGACTATGTGTAATCTGGGGCCTGTTCTTAATAATGAGTATATGTCTGTTTAATCTTTGTTAATGACATTATGCTTGTTTCGTGACTGTTACTGGTTTTTATCAAACTTACGCTGCTTTAGTGAATGAATGTTGCCTGCCTCATCAGGTGATATCAGTGGAACTGAATAGGAAGGAGCGAACCTCACTGACAGAGAACTCACACCTCGCATCTCCAACTGAGCTTTCGACCATCACCTCATCCTCATGACCTACCATCCTGTGTTTCTTTCTCGGGGTCCTTCTCTCTCGCTTTTATCGCTATGGAGACCTCTGAAGCTATCAGCAACAGACAGCGACTCGCAGACCGAGGAGTTCCAGATTTCGCACCTTTGTCGAATGAGCTATACTGTGCTTCACTCGCGGCAAGAGACACAGCAGCCAAACGTGCGAGTGTGAGTACTGCATGCTTTGCACAAAAGGATGTGGCAGCTCTTGATCATGAAGGACTTTCACCTGTCAAGAGTCCGGCACGTTCAAAGTCTCTAGGGAAAAGCTCTAGGTTTGCTAGCTTCAGAACACTTTTCCGCTCCCGCAAGTCGCAGCATCTTCGCCTCATGTCAGAGTCATCAATACAGTCTGATAAGCCCACCATCGTGATTGAGGAGGGCTGTGAGAGTGGCTCTCAAGACCAGCAGCAGCCCGTGGGACTTCAGGTCGGCCAATGCAGCAGCTTTCTGAACGAAGATCTGGAGGCAAGGAAAGTCAGTGATAAGACTGTGTACTCGCTTCATTCGGACCTAACTAGCGTGACCGTTTGTCATAATCCATCGAAACGAAAGTCGATGCCCATTGCCCTAGTGGACCAAGACTGCCTCTATCATGATCTCTACAGTGATAATCAGGAGAATACCCATGCCACCCCGCGCTCCAGCACCAATTTCGGGGATAACCCCAAGTCTACGACACGCTCTGCCCGACAGCAGGGTTCCGAGTGCAGTGGTGCGAGTGGCTTGTCCACCTGCCCGATTCGGACTCTCGAGAAGCCGGAGAATCCCTTTGCCCAGGCTAGGTCCGGTAGATCGCGAGGCTCATCAAGGCAAAGCTCGGATTTGTCTACCACATTGGATGATAGTTACTCATTGGCACAAGGTGATCGCCGCGCGGCTGTTATAGCGTTCAATGAGCTGGCCGGCAGGTTGCATCTCGAACTGCTGGGCTTAGACGAGGCTGGAGGTGGTCATGGGGAAGATGAATGGAGTCCTGTATCAGGTTAGTGCCCTGGGGGATAGGATCGGCGGGTGATACCCCTGACTCTGACGAAATAGGCGCTGGAAGATGTCCTGGTAGTCGCCAATCTCACGCAACCAGCGGAGAGGATCATCCAAAGCGCTGGGATAGGTTCTACGGACGCATACGAACCATGCGGTCGACGCTTCAGCTCGGGTCATCAGATGCACCCCGCAAACGAACTTTACGTCGGATGAGAACGTTTGCCAGCGTTTCGCGCCGATCCTACGAGATGACCTCATTGAAGGGCAAGCCGTTAGGTCATCTGGCTCGGCTGGGGGGCTACAATCTGCTGGCGCTTCCAGCCGATTTCGCTCCTACGAAGCTGAGGCTACCCGTTTGTTTCGTGGCGATTATCACCTATCTGGGATGTTTTGGTAGGAACCCACCATGCTCCACCAAGGATACTCTTTCCGGCTCGAACTACTTGCTCATTGACGTCATTTCACAGCTCCCACCGTACGAAATGTCTTCATCGATCCCGGCAATCCGAAGATAGCCACGCGAACGTATGACTACTTTGCCAATCAGGTGCTATCGGTGGAGAAGCAGCATGATCAAATCCAGATGACGATCGGGAGTAGCGCAATGCCTCTGGATGTAGTCGACCCTCTGCACCACGACGGTGATAGCGGCGACACCGTCCAGGTGCTGAGTGTCGCGTGGACATTCAAGGCTCTGCTGGCGGGGCTCCCTGGCGGCATCCTAGGATCGGCCCGGCTCTATCAAGTGCTGGTCCAGATCTGCCACGGCCACATCATGGACGAACCAATTGAACGGCGGCGGAGCTGTTATGGGGGACTCTCGCCCCGGGGCTACGTCAAGATCAAGGCCATCAGCCTGGCGATTCTAGCGCTCAGCGACTCGATGCAGTTGAACCTTATCTGTGGAGTGTTCGGGCTCAGCGCGCTGTTGCTGCATGAGACGCAGCGCCTGATCGAGCTGGAACGCCAAGGATATCGAGGCAGCGTATGCCGGGCCAGTGTCGGGTCGGGGCTGCTGAACCTAGACCGACTTAGTGGAGTGCTGGCGCCACTCCTGATGGAGCGCGCTGGGGAGGAGCATGATGATACGTTCGGAGCCATTGAGCGCGAAATTGAAAGCCAGCGGGTGGCGGCGATGCTCATTAGGAGCTGGCGGGGGGTGAGTCGGCAGCTGCGGATCTGGGAGCATCGGGGAGCCATTCAACACCACCGTGCTCGTTCGCGAACCTTCAGCGGGGGGCGGTCGTCAGTGGAAGACTGACGGGTCGAGGGTACTGAGTATTGCAAGTTAGCCGCAGGCCGGTCGAAGCAGGCAGCTGGAAGTACTACGATGGGGACAGGTACAGACCCGGGGCGCCTGAGGTGACCGGTCATGGGTGAAGTGGGCAGGAGAGGGCCGGGCAAGCACGCAGCACATGGTTACGAGTCCCAGGGGAAACATACTGGGTAGAGGAAAGTGTATCTATGCAGCAAAGCAACGAGGCCGTTTGACGTGCAGCAGGAACCTGAAAGTATCCCTGTTGGATGTTGGCAGGCGCCATCTAGTAGGCCAGAGTCCAGACGCATCAGGCCCCGAAACGGGGGGTGATTCGCGAGGCGGCAGCGATGCCAGGGCCAGACCAGCAATACCGTTTACCGGATCTAGCATCCAGTACGGAATACTGTGTATAATTCAGGGCGATGTAGGAAGTGGGGAAGGGCATCAGGATTCCGGACCAGAATCCGACACGGGACGCGCAGGACGGGAGGAGCTGAGGCGCTGCCTTGGAAAGGGCGTGGGCCGCGAAGCCTGCGACTGGGCCATGGAAGGAAAGATCGGTGGTCCAGTCCGGGCGGGAAGTCGGCATGGAAGGGATTGAAGGAGGGGGGGAAAGCATGGCAGCAGGCGGGCTAGGGGACGTGGAATGGCTTCCGGAGGAAGTACTAGTACAGAGGACGGAGTACTCCGTACCTCCTGTACAGACCTCCAGAGTCCAGCAGTCCCAGGAATCCAGCTCAGTCCCTCGGGGGGGTGGGGCCTAAGGCCCGGCCAGCACCGCCCTGACAGGCTGCCAACCCAGCAACTCTGCACTTAAGCTCGGTCGATCGAGCTCCGATGACTCGTTGGATGAGAAAGCCGGCCTCTGGGGGGGAACTTTTGCTCCTCAGCTTGGCCAGTTTGTTTTCTGTCATCTGTCTCGATTTGCTTTTGATTCTCTATTTATTTTTTACTTTTCTTATTCGGATTTCTCCTGTCGATACTTACTTGATACCTACCTACGTCACAGTGGACTCGGGGCGTAGGTAGCTCCTCGATAGATCGGCCGTGCACAGCACCACCGTTACGTACATAGTATGACGGAACTAAGCCCGAGTGCACCACACCTTTTTTCAACCTTGGGATGGTTTAATAGAGGGAAGGGATCAGATTGGCCTGGGTGAGGTTCGGTTGGGGGGCAAGTAATTTCGCGATGAGTATCCGACGTGACTCAATAAGACCGACCGAAAGTCCGGGTCCTTTGTCCTTTCGTTGAAGGGGGGTGCGGAGCGGATTGAGTGGTGGTTTGGACTTGCCTTGGCAGAGTCCAGAAAAACCAGATACTGGGTTTTGGGAGGGGAAGGGAGGGTTAATTAAATAAATTAGGGGGAATTATCGGCCGGGATGATTGTTTGGCAGTTGGCTAGACTTACGATATCTACTTTGTGAGGGGCTACCTGGAGGGGGACTGTGCGCTTCCGTTTGGGGACGATTACATGTGAAGAATTAACGCGATAAATCACAAAATGAATAAACGAAGAGAAGAAGTACGACGACTCCTCAGATTTAGTGTTTAATCTTAAGATTGAGGAATTAGCATTTTCTTCTAAACTCCGTAGGGACTCTGGAGTCCTCCGTACGGAGTAGTATCCGGAAAATTAACCAAGGTGCGGTGCGCCAGCCTGCCAGGAGTGTTGCAGCAAGCAACGGACGCGACCAAGTGGATCTTCCGCTAGCCACGGAGTCCATAGTCCATAGTATTAGTAGCCGATAGATAGCGACTGCTGCATCCGTCCGATCTCTAACCTAGAACTTTACTCTGTTACGGAGGATGTACTCCGGATCTACTCCGTAGGGAATGAATAGATAGGTAGGTATGGTATGGTATGTAATCCATTTACATGAGATCTTACATCTTACATCCTGGACGTTCAGTCCATGACCAGACCATAACCATCCATTAGCAAGGAAACCCCCTCTCACTGGCTGGGCGGGTTCAGTTCCACCCGAGTTAGGTTTACCAAGTATCTACTGTCGGTACAGTACGTCGTACTTTTCCCCCGTCATAGTACTATTTCTCATCGGGAACTTCTAACCACCAACCAGAAGCCCCGCTGAGCGGCGGGTACGGGTAGGTTGCTTTGCCTTGTTCCCTGAATCCGGGACACTTAACTTAACCTACCTCCTCTACCAGTATCTACTCCCCTACTCCCCTACCTCAACGGCCGAGCGACCGACCGGCCGGATGGCGGTGGTATGGTGGTATGGTGGTATGGGAACTGTAACCGGGCAAAGTTACCATACCGATTTGCTCTGCGGGAAAGCATAGGATGGGGAGTCTGGTTTGTTCCATAGTTGGCAGTTCCTGGCGTTGGACCTGATCCGGTGGGTGTGGGTGGATGGATGGGGATGGTGGAAATGGGAGTGGGAGTGGGAGTGGAACCGGACGGGGAAGGTTACTTGCTAGTTTACTATTCACTAGTAATTGGGTATGGACTTTGGAGTACTACTGAGTAGGAACTAAGTAGGAAGAAAGTTGGCTGGGTTGCGATGGAATGGCTGGGGCATGGTGTTGGATGACGTTGTCGGCCGGGTCCGAGGTGCTGATGATATCACAGCTGGGGGATTTTCGGCCCCGGAGAAGAATCGGAGAAGTCTGTTGTGGGAGATGTTTGGAATTGATTGTGTGGTACGGAGTGGTGGGCTGATTTGAGTGAGATTTCTTTGTTTGGTGGTGATGAGGTGGTACAGGTATTGACTGGGAGGTGCTAGTGGTCGGGTTGTTGAGTATCAAGTAACTCTAGTATGTATCAAGTATCTGGAGCTAGTGTGGAAGGGAGCTACCTACGCAGCATGTACCGGGGAGGTAGCTTCACCGCTGTCAAGGGTCAAGGTACCAAAGCTACAAAGATCTTAAGTCAAGGTTCGGGAGCATTCTGGGTGCGTCTGGAGGTATCTTCCATCTTCCTGGATCAATCAGAATCATTGGCTAGTCTTGGGTGAGCTGTCAGGCCGTCGGGACCGGATGGACTGGCGTAATCGTGCAGCATCGTGACTTGCAAGGTACCTCTGCACTGGTCCCTGCGGTTTGCCCCTGATCGGCCTGCCGGGCTGCCTCAGGCTGAGATTCTACACCCTCTCTGTACTCCATCGTCGGGTGTCTCCCATCCATCAAACAATCCTTTTGATAAACTATGACCGCTCCCTCCATGATGTCAACCTGCGGGATTCTGGACCCTTCCAGGGCATCCAGCCTTGGGCGGCCTTCCCCTCTTGGCTTCCCAACGGAAGTCGGCCTATCCAATCAAGCCACCCGGGGAGTTGAAGCTTCTGACTTGGTCCTTCGTGAAATACTTGCGAGATACTACGACAATGGGCAGTCAGTCTTTTGCCCATCCCCGACCAATCACTGCCCCTGGGACTGTGACTCGATCGTTCCCTGCCACTTGCGCAACCATTTCCGGGGGTGGGACTTGATCCATGCCATTCATCTGCCCATTATCAACGCGCGTTTCATCCTGTCTGTCCTCCCTCGTATCACTTCCCATATTGACTTTGATCCGGATTCCCCTCACCCTCTGATTCCTCTGGTACCCCATCACTTGACTGCAGCCGGATCTCCCCCTTCTTCTTCCTTCTCCTCTTCTGCTGCTTCTGCTGCTTCTTCTACTTCTTCTTCTTCTTCCCATCCTTCCTTGTTTCCCTTTCTACAATAACTCCGATTATCGTTTGGGTCTGCCGACTCTTCCGTTCCGTGGACTTACTGTTGCATTTCCAAATCCCCCCACCTCCTCCTCCTCCTTCGAACTCTGTACGGCCAAACTCTACTTCTGGATCTCGCCAGGCTCTGCCGATTACCTGACGAGGCCTCTACTCCACTCCTCCAGTCTTGTGCCCTGCTTTTGGCCGGTTCAGTTCGCGGCTAGCTCCAGAGGACCCTTTCGCCGGCGCGGTTCTGGACACCCTCGCCGTCTCCACTTCTATACTGTCAGGATATAATTTCCCAATCAACCTCCTGAAGCAGCTTTTTGCTGTTTTTTTCCCCTCTTGGGTCCTCCCGTCGTTTACCTTCCCGTCTGTCTGGCCACTACATTGTGTGTCCTTTGTTGCTCAATCTCCCGCACCTCAACCGTGGTAGCTAGGACGACTGCACTCGTGCCTGCCGTGGTTAAGACAACGTACAGTGCGCCTGGTCCTATCTAGCTTGACAGGATCCCCAGGCAGCTGATCTAGGAGTCAGAGGGGGTTACGGTCGACAGTTGCACTTTTTGCATCTTGGCCGGCTATTTAAGAAGAACCCGTCCTCCCACGACACGACCCGACCTTCTTCTCACCCCACAACAGGCCCCCCCCAACCCCCAGGACACCCCCACTTATCTACTCCAGACCTTCTCACTCACACAGGCTGCTCTCACGGTTCTACTCTTGGTCTCCATTCGGACTGGACCATGTCCACTTTCGAGATGGAGGACCAGGCCTCCTTTGGCCAGCCAGGTGTTCCCGGTGCCACCGGTGCAACTCCCTCGCAGTTTACCAATGCCAATAGCGTGGTTGCATCCGGATACCTGACCATGCCTCTCGCCCCAGATGACAGTATTTGGCCATTCGTCACTCCGACTTGGCAGGAGAAGAGCGAACCTCAAGCCTTCACCAATTCCGGCCTGGAACAAAGCCTCAAGAACTCGCATCTTCGCAACGGCCAGCCCACGCCTCCGCCGCTCGAGGGTATGTATCAATCTTCTCAATACGACGCATACAACGACCCGACATATGCTCAGCCGACTCCTCGCGGAAGCTTCAGCCAGCAGGTCCAGCCTAGCGAGGTCCAGCCTAGCGAGGAGAGGCCGCCGAAGCGTCGCAGACCCAACGCACCGAAGTCGTCCTCGCCCGATCCAAACGACGGAGAGGCTGAGCGATTAAAGCGGGAGAAATTCCTGGAGCGCAACCGCGTAGCGGCGAGCAAGTGTCGGCAAAAGAAAAAGCAACATACCGAGCAACTCATGAGCCAGCATGATGAGCTTGCGTTGCAAAAGAGCCAGCTACTCAGCGAGGCTGACAGACTCCGCAGCGAATTGCTAAGCCTCAAGAATGAGTTGTTGCGGCACTCTCGTTGTGGTGACGAGGCGATAAACCTGCACCTCTCCCAGATGGTGAGAAATATCACCTATCAGGACACGGCGGCATCCGAAATGAGGTCGGGGCCGGATTCTTTGACATCGGGCAGCCCGAACATGGCAGCCCCGCCCCAGAGCTTGTCCTTTGGCTTCGACAGTCCCATCCAGATGCCATCGACCTCGGACTCGCTGGATGCCCCTTCCCACCAGGATTCGGAGCAAACCCTGGCCAGCGATGGGTCTTACTCGTTCACCGACGATACCTTTGAGGCTTTGATCGATGCCTAGATCGCCCATATATCTGTTTCTTTACATGAGTCAGCCGTCCTTGCACGATGGCGGCTGGACTCTACAGTGTCTTTCACCGTTGAACCTCAATGGTGGCTGCTGTCTACAGTTTCTGTCGCCGTTGGACCTCGACTGGTGTCCCCAGTGTCTTTCACCGTCAAACCTTAATGGCGGGCAATCTCTTTGCATGGTGGCGTACAGTTTGGCTTATATCTATCTAGTTGCACAAAAAGGCGGTCGAGTCCCTCCTCGATACGGTATTTCCTTCTGTTTGGGCGTTTGCGATTTTAGTGTACGTTGGGTGGAGTGATCTGGCGGTGGCGTGTTTGGCTTTGGGCAAGGAACATGAAATGCTATGAGAACACGACTATACGCTAGTTGCTCTATGAGTTTAGGTAGCTAATCATAATAGTAACCTCGCCTGGATAGGCGAGTGATCCATCTCGAACTTTGCTTCTTGCTCGCTTGCAATGAATCATATCAAGCCGTAGGACATTGATCCCGACGGACTAGTACACAGTACACCTCAGTAAAAAAGTAAGAACAACACGTTCTCAACTCCTGTAGATCAACCGTCATGGTAGTATCCACCCTAACCCGTAACCGTGGTTCACATCCTCAACAAAAACCACATACTTAGTACTATGTACATAATACCTACGTTTAATGTTCGTCGTTCAGGAGCACGTCGCCGCAAGTCTAATTCCAGGCTAACGGACTTGGCAGCGGCCGAATGTCGTCATTTGTCTTAGCCAGTCAGTCCGCTGGCAGCTTACTTACTTTTCGCAAAGCTAGTCCTGGGAAGTTTATAGGGTTGTAGGGGAAGTTGAAGATGAATATTTGTGTGTATGTGTATGGATATGGATATGAACTTTATTATGATTGGGATTTTAAATATGATTATTAATTGTAATTGTTTTGGGAACATGTCTCTGTTCAGTGTAGTAAGCTCTATGTGTGCTTGTATGCATGTGATGAGAGGATGAATGTCACGTGGACTATGTCGAGTATGGGTTCCAGAAGGAACAAGTCTGGGCAAGAGATACGGAGTGGATTGGATATGACTAGACCGCCTCTCGCTCCTCGCTCGGTTTACCTAGACAGGGAACCTCTTCACCGTTCTGTTCCTGCTCCTGTTCCTCTTCACCGACCAGCGGGGAGGCAGAGAGTAAGTCTTGGTGGTGATAACCGCGGGATCTATCGTCGCCGAATAAAGCGTCGATTTCCTCGAGGGCTCGGCCCCGTGTCTCGGGGAGGAATACCCAGACGAAGACGGCAAAGGTGGCGTCGAGGATACCAAAGATTAAAAAGGTAGCCCATTTGGCGCCGGCGAGGACGTACGGGGTTGAGAAGGACCAGATGAAGTTGGTGAGCCATTGGGCGGCGACGCCGATGGCGACGCCCGGTTCGCGGATCCGGGCGTTGAAGAGCTCGGCGGTGCAGGGCCAGGGGAGGGGTCCCCAGGAGAGGTTGTAGCAGATGATGGCGAGGTAGATGAGGGAGACGGTGGTGATGCCGCTCTGGGAGATGCGGGGGGAGTCCGGGTTTGCGGTATTGGTGGATGGGTGTGGGGTGGGAACTGAGGTAGATTTTACTACGGCCGAGGTGGTGATCATGCAGACGGACATGGCGAGGGCGCCGAGGATGAGCAGTGGGCGTCGGCCGAACCGGTCCGCGACCCAGACGATGAAGGTTAGGCAGCTGATTACTTTGAGTGCGCCGAAGATACCGGTAAGCAGGAGGGTGAGCTGGGCGTCGTTGCCGACCAAAAGGGAGAAGAACTGCGGGCCGAAGTAAGCCAGGGCCGTGGCTCCCGTTGATTGTTGGCAGATAAAGAGGGAGATCCCGAGGGCGAGTCGATGGCTGTTGGATCGAGTGAGCAGTTCCTTCGGGGAGAAGTCGGCGGTTGCGTGCACGTCGCTTTCAATGCTGGATTTCATCTGCTGGAACTCGAAGCGTACGTCCGGCCCACTCGAAGAGCGAATCCAGGTCAAGCTGTCCCAGGCTCTGGCCTCGTTCTTGTCATGGTCGTGCGAGAGGAGCCAGCGTACGCTTTCGCGGAGAGTGAGCATCCCCAAGCCCATGAGCGCACCTGGGATGAGCTGCACGGCCAGCGGGATCTGCCATTGCAGGGCATTGGCGGGGGCAAACTGCATGCCGTAGTCGATCCAGTAGGAGACGAAGATGCCGATCGTGAAGGTGAACTGGTAGCAACTACCGAGGCGGGCGCGCTGGTCTGTGGGACTCATCTCCGACAGGTAGATGGGGATGACGGTTGCGGAGCCGCCGATCCCCAGGCCGCAGATGACGCGGCCCACGTAGAAGACGGTTAAGGAGTGGGTATCGGGGACTTCGAAGAGCACCCCGGTGCAAAAAATGAGGGAGCAGAGGGCCATAGCTGGGCGGCGACCATGGCGGTTCGTCAAAGGCCAGATGAGCAGGCTTCCGAGCAGCGCGGAGGCTTGCTGGATACCTACTGCTATGGAGCTAACCCGGGTTTCATCGGCGGTGGTATATCGGAAAGAACGGTGGAAGGAGTCAAAGGTGAGGACTCCGCCTGGATCAATTGATGAATATAGTGTTGAATAACGCCTCAAGAGCTCACGTACCAATCACCCCCGAGTCATAACCGAAGAGAAGGCCGCCGCAGCAGACGATCGCCGTGAGCCAGTAGAGGCGGAAGACGGCATGGCTGTCGGGTGGCGGCGGATGGCGGGGATGGGAATCCCGACGCTCAGGATCCTGGGGTAGTTCGGTGTAAGATCTCATTGTGGGCCATGTCGCGAGGAATGGAATGCGACAGCCACAATGGGGGGAGGGGAAGAGAAGGGATGACCGAAGGGATGAAGGGAGAAGGGGAAATGGGCCACAAGTAAAAATACCGCCCGATGGAGACTGGGTGCGAGTCAGATGACGACGGCTTACGTGGTCAGGAGATTTGCTGCGTTCCGAGTGAAGGGCCGTCTCGCCTCTATCTAGATCATCACGAAAAAGTCGGTAAACAACTCCCGTCGCACACATCGCGAGTCCGCCCACGTCCGCGACGCATCCTGTCGTCGTGTCATCTCCTCCAGCAGCAGCAGCGCCTTGCCCGCATGCGGATGTCGCGCGGTCCGAGAGGTTCCAAGGATACGCTCAGCATCCGGACTGCGACTACTCCCGCTGCCTGTGATCCGCTGCATCTCCTTGACGATCCATCGTCGCTGCTCCATCGATCCCTCCAGGCCAGCCACAAACAACGGCCATACAAAGCTGGCGGGCAGATGTTGCTGGTCGCTCCCGGACGACTCCACCTCCACCGTCGCCAACTGAATAATCCGATCCACAGCCCGGTGCACCCGGTCTGTTCGCGGGTAGATGGCAAATGCAACTCGGTGCAAGTAGATAAAAATCGCTAGAAAGTTGGCAATATACTGTCGGAATGTTCGGCAGACCTCAAACGCGATGGCAGGCTGTAGAGTTTGAACGAGGTCCTCGGGCGTGCTGTAGACATCCAGTACACGCGGGCGCCGGTTCCAGAGCGTCTCGAGGTCGGCGCCAACCTGGTGTGCGATCTGAAGCACCTCAAATTCATCGCTGACCGTGCCGCGACTGCGGTGGTGCAGGTCGATACAGACGATCCGGCGAATAACCTGCTGTGTTTGCACGAAGAAGCGAAACGCCGGACCGGTGATGGCTTCACGGATAAGGTATGAGGGGTTTGGTGGCTCATTCTCCTCGTCTTTGTCTTCGGTGGACATTTCAGGCGTGGTGCTGGGCTTGGACGAAAGACAGCCCAACTCAATGAGCGGATCGCCGTCGCGGCCAGCGATCAGTGCTCTGACATCCAGCAGTGACACCCATGATACTATCACATGGCTCACACCTGTCCACAACTTGGTCCGGGGGTGGAACCGCTGCAGTAGGAGATATGCGGAGTGAAGGAAGGATGTTCCTGAACCCCATAGGTCAGGAGTGGACAGGAGCTGTCTCGTCAGCGTCTCTAGCCACGGCACTTCGAAGAAAACCTACCTCAGCTAGCATCAACAACAGCACCGTAGTAAACACTCTCTTCAGCATCGTCTCCCCTACCTCGCCTAGCAAGCACGACTGAATCTCCGAGCATGCCAGCTGGTGATACTTCGATGCCAATTTCCACGCCTTTCCCTCGATCGACGCCTCATGTATCTCCGCGTAGCAGTATATCCCATGCAAGATCGCCCGACTGTCGCGGGACTGTCCAACAATATTCGCCCGCACGTACTCCCATTCCAAGGTCACCGGCCCAAAGATTGTCGGCGGCGGGTCACTCATGACGAAATGCGCAAACAGCTCATCCTCGTATGTCATCCGACTCCCACTTGAATCAGAGGAACCCTGATCCGAAGAGTCGCCCTGGATGGCCGGAACCGAGCCCGCCCCCCAGCTGATCGGCTGTTCATTGTGATCGAGTTCCTCATTCGCAATAGCCGCCGGTGCCGAGCCCGCTGGAAACCCCGCCAGTCCATTCGTCGTCAGATCGAGGTGTTTCTGCTGAAAGTCGGACGTGATCTCGCCGATGAAACTGAGGATATCGAACGAGGTAATATCCGTACTCAGGGATTGTGGCGAGCGGCCAGGGCCCGCCTGCTGCGGCGACCCTGACGCCGACGCGGTCAGCCGGTCATTGCAGAGGACCGTGTGGAAGAAGTTCACATCTGAACGGTCGGCGGTAGTGGGGTGGCCTGGCGCTGTGGTTGTGTTCCCATGGTGGCTGGGATGTCGCGACACGACCCCCGGGATGATGGTTTTGTAGGCGCATTGGAGACGCAGGCGAGTGCAATTGGCACAGGTGGGTTTGGCTTCGTCGCAGCGGACCTTGCGTGCCCGGCAGGTCAGACAGCCGGTTCGGCGCCGGGGACCCGATCGGCCCATTCCGCGAGCTCTAGGAGCCTTTGAGGGGTTAGCAAATCCTTGTAGGGTGTCTGGCGAGGGGGCTGGGAAAGCAAGATACCTCCATGATGGGTATGGAGTAGGCATGGTTGAGAAAGAAGCTGGGAAGGCGAAGCTCGATGGTGTGATTATTGATGGGGAGGATCAATCAGGGACGCTCTCGTGCTCGGCTCCCCGCAACGGTCCGCCTCGTCTTATGTATGTATCTCCCAGGCACTACTACGTCAGGAACTATGTATTGCTCACGTCACATTGCACTACACTACATCTCATCATGCGCTGTGCATGATTTCATCCTGAGGGGTCGATATCTTCTTCTCTCCCCCAAAGCACTTGGAGGTATGCAGCAGATGCCCCCGTTCCTTGCGGACATATGTCGCAAAGCAGATGGCGGCCATGCCAATCCCTCCGTAACTGATATAGACGGGATATTTGAATTGTTCCGGCAGGGGAAAGGCGATGGTGGTGGCAAAGGAGAAAAGCTCGAAGATGTTTTGGAGCGCCATTTCCGTGGATGAGAACCGCGCACGAGCATGTTCGTCAACACCCTGTCACAGTCAGCTAAGCTTGAGTAGGAGAATCGATCCAGGGTATCTCACCTCTTGTACCAGAAACTGCACCGACAGATCGAACCCCCACAGTCCAATTCGGCTGAGTGCCACGCCAACGATCAGACTCACGGCCACCACCTGAGACTGGTTATCAAGGAAAGCAAATACCGCCACTGCAGCGGCCAGGCAGCCAAACTGCCAGTTGAGAAACCACAGGCCTGACCGGATGGGCCCAATTCTGTCCATGATGAAGGGGGCTGCCCACGTCCCAGATAGCTCTGCAATGACGGCGCCGATCCTCATCGCGCTGACCTGCAGCGGGGTAAATCCGGTGTGGAGCAGATACGTAACCATGGTAGTGCCAAACGAGAGTACGGTGAGGTAAAGCAGGCTCAGGGCAAGGGAGGCCAGAAATACGGAGCTGGCCACATACTCTTGCCATGGGGCAGCAACCTTGGCGATGTACTGGGGTATCCGACAGGCTGCGTCACTCGCCTGACCGGACTCAGGTTCATCTTCGATTCCATTGTCCCGACCTTGACAACGCTCCAATTCAGGGATGGACGTATACACCTGGAGGTGGTGAGTAAAGGTCACTTCAGCTGAGACGAATATACCTGAGCAATTGCAATATATTCAACCACAACAGAAGAGACATTGACTCCCAAGACGGTCCAGATAGCAATCCTGGTTGAGAACCCGTCAATCAAGGATATGACAACCGGAGCTAAGAGCTTGCAGAAAAGGTCAATTCGTCTCATGGATGCATTGAGGTCTGTCTAATTAGTATGACGCACAGCTCGCATCTTACCAGCCACATACCTTGTCGGGGGATGTCCAGAGCACGCGACACAACAATCGCCTATCGATTAGCAAACTCCAGTAGCAGCAGGGCAGTGAACAACTCACCCAATCTCTCTCAACCGCCACCGTGTTCGCTGTAGCAGCCAGCTTTTCCACGCAAGCGAGCAGAACCACGGCCACAAAGATCAGGGACGTAACCGTGGCTGTAGACGGCGCAAGTAGAGCCACAAAACATGCGCAGGAGGCAGCCACGGGGAGTCGCTGCCAGACTGGACGATGTCAGTTTATTCTATCTTTCCGTCCAGCACTGCAACGTACTAATGGAATGCCGAATTGCACGCAGCCGGTTCGATCGGTCCACCACCGATCCGAGCCAGGATGACAAGACTACCGCGGATAGGGACCGCACCAGAGCATAGACCGAGGCGTACAGCAATGTCCCGGGAAAGATGGTGGCCAGGAACAAGACGGCCCCAAACTCAAACATGCGCGAGTTCCATGTTGACAGGAAATGGGAGATATACAGCCGGATCAGGACCCGAGCTGGACTCCGATGAGCTGAGGACCCGGATGACGACGGTCGGGACAGAAATGGTTCGATCGGGTCCAAAGAGTCGCCCGATGGTCGAGATTCCCCGTGGGTCGGGATCAATGCATAGGTCGCCATGATGGATCACTGTCCCGGACTTGGATCGGCTGGGATCTGAGAGAGGGACTCTACATAGTACATGGGAAGGAATGAACGGAGGTTAGGCTGGAGCGGAGCCGAGTGGGCTGAGGGTCGAACCCCATGTTTCTGGAGTCTGCCTACTATACCTATCGACACCAGCAATCACTATCTCATATAGATTCAGGTTAGATTCGAGGGCAGTCCCTACTACAATCTGTGCACGGTCAGGCTGAAAAAAAAAAAAAAAAACTTTGCATGCGTGTCTAGATTTATATGAAATACATGTTAATGATATTAACCCGATATACAAGAGACCCAACTAACACAACAGTAATCGATGGCTCCTTTTGCGTTCTTGTTCGCCTTCGCAATGAAATCAGTTCCAGATCAGACCTTGCTCGGTCCGAACGGTCCGTCTGGCCAGAACGTCAGCCACCTTCTCCTTCACACCTTCTTTGCCTTCGAACCGCGCGACAATGTCGCTGAGCTGCAACTCCTTGGCGCTCTCGTGGTTACGCACGATCTTCTCGATGTCTCCTTCGGTGGGCAGGCCGTAGGAGTAAGGAGCTTCCTCATAGTTTCTGTCGGGGTCGTTGTGGTAGAGCGCCATCCGGGACTCGTCCTCGGGAATCTCGAAGAAGGCATCGACAGCCTCGTCCGTGACCTCCTCCAGGGTGGCCGGCTGCCAGGATGCCTGGCGGGGCGGCTTCGACAGGAGACGTGCCTTCACGCCCTCGACGAAGTCGGGGTGTCTCATAAATTTGGAGGCAATCGCGTGCTCACGCTGGAAGGTCTCGGCGATGCCCCACTTCTTGCCTATACGTAGCTGACGGAGAGCAACCTTGAGCGAGGTAGGGGACCGCACCGAGAGAAGCTCCAGGGTTCTCTGGGCCCACTTGGCCATCTCAGTCTCCTGCTCCAGGGCCTGGATGATTTGCTCCACGGTATTGTGCTTGAAGCAGCGGTCAATGGCACTGCGTACCTTGCCCGATAGCCACATAGGCTCCTCGCGCAGCGATGGCACCCCCGTCGAGAATTCCGCCATGGTCTTGTTGACGAGGTCCAGGCGTTCCTTCAACAGAGAATTGTCGCGGAAGGCCAGTTCGGACAGACGAGCCGTCAAGTTCTGCAGCGCACTAGAATGTAGGTAGTGTGTGGCGACTCCGGCATACAGAGCCTGAACGCCGCTGAGGCGCTCCGACGTGAGGGCCAGATATGTTCCAAGTTCTCCATCCAGGCGAGGCAGGAAGTGGGAAGCACCAACGTCCGGGAAGAACCCAATGGTGGTCTCGGGCATGGCGAAGACGGTCCGTTCAGTGGCGATCCGGAAGGGGGCGTGGAGACTGAGACCGACACCGCCGCCCATGGTGATGCCGTCCATGACGGAGATGAAGGGCTTGGTGTAGGTGGCAATGTAATGGTCAAGGCGGTATTCCTGGGCGAAGAAGTCGGACGATGCCTGCTGACCCTCCGGGCCCTTTTCGTTCTCCAGAGCCAGGGCAAGCACATCTCCTCCGGCGCACAGAGCCTTGGAGCCTGCGCCGGAGAGCATGATCACATTGGCGAGGTCGGACTTTTCCCACTCCTAGATATCCCAACCGCTTAGCACATATCATCCACTAGTATCTCTCAAGGTAAGGACCACTAGCTGACCTTCAATCGGGGCGTAATCTTCCGAACCATCGAACCGTTCAAGGAATTGAGCTTCTTGGGGCGGTTAAGCTCAATCAACCGCACGCCGTAGTGCGAGTGAAATAGGACATCATCGGGCTCGTCGCCAGGGAGTTCTTTCGGGATCTCTGCGACAGACGACATCTGTAATCGTCAGTCAAGGCAGACCCCAAGCCATGAAGGGAGCGTACGCTAGCAGTCGCCCTAAAGGCTGGGTTTGTCACTTTGGCGCGGAGAGGCATGGTAGCTGGTGAAACCCGCGAGATCCAGCTCGACGGTGTTGGAAACCGGCAAAAACTGCGTCGGAGTAACATCAGGCAGACCACAGCCTGTTGTGGAGGAGGGAGACGGGGTAAAGGAATGGGGTGAGGGGATTAAGTATGAGGATGAGCAGCTTGTCGGTTCTCCGCTTGCTTTGACCTCGGAGTTTTTCGCGGAACGATTTTCCTCGCCGCCAACCAGCCGAGCTGCGCGGGTCTGCCACCACGCTGTAGACGATTCGAGTAAGACTCTCTGGGCAATTGATTTCCGCGGTTTTACGAAATACTCCATACGGGTTTCTCTTCGACATAAAGAGCTAAAGACCCTTGCTGGGGCACTCTGGAGGATCGCCATTCGGCACCCTCGCTCCGGCATGTGCTCGACCATACGAGTTACCGAGCACCTATCATGAAGCATGACGTTGTCCTTGAATGCAATGCCATCATACATATTTCGAATCTATTTATACAAATAAAACACTCACAACCCGAAGCTAACCAGTAAAAGACCCTATCGCCGAGTAAAAAGGAATTCAATACAAAGCCTTGGCCGGCTTGTTCTTCAGGTCCTTCGAGTGCTGAGACAGAATCCGGTCCAGTGCCTGCTTCTCAATGATCAACCGGCCCGTCTCCAGCAGGTCCTTGACATCCACATCACGGCGGTCCAGGATCTTGGCATGTTCGCCCACCTGACGCACCGTCTCGAACAGGCTCTCGTTCGGCTGGTCCGTGATCAATGTCGACCGTCCGAATGGCCGACCCCAGCGGTTGGCCTTGAAGATCTCTGTGATGAGATGGGGAGTGGCGTCTTCCGGAAGGGTGATTTCGTTGTCGACAATGATCAATTGGCCGCGCTTGTAACGGTAACTGAGGGCTATCCGCCACGCCTGGTCGTAGATCTTCTGGGGGAGTCCCGTGGAGAAATCACGGGGATGAGGACCAAAGGCAACACCTCCACCTCTCCGGATGGGGGACTTCTTGTCTCCAACACGGGCCCGACCAGTACCCTTCTGCGCATACAACTTCCTGCCACTTCCATGCACATCGTCTCTCCACTTGGTGCTTGCGGTACCTTGTCGAGTCATGTCACCCTCGTACACGACGGCGCGGTGTAGGATATCTTTGCGGAGCGGCATCAGGAGATGGTTGCGAGGGTATTCAACGAAACGCAGGGGCTCCATGGACGGGAATGAGTAGGTGGTCGCCTTGACGGGTTCGGGATTCCACACGGGCTTGGGAACCTCCCTCGTCAGGTTGTCAATGGGAGACTGGGCCTCGGTGGCCATCGATCGGGACAAAGGCTTCGCCAGGCATCGTTGCTATCAAAGCCATGAATCGTCAGTATTTCGCATTTGCCATGTGCCATGCAACGCCGGGATCAGAAAAAGACGACGTACCGTGGTTGTCTCAGCACCCGACAGCAGACCCCCCGAGCTCCGGGAAAGCCACTTGAGTGCGCGAAAAGCGTCACTTCCAGGCATTGTGTATAAATGGTGGAATACGCCCGAGAGGTAGCCTGGCTGGGGTGGAATCTCGGTGGTGCTTTGGGGGAGGAGGAGCAGCAAAAGTTCGGGTGGTCTGGCGCTAGCCTTCTGAGGCTTGGCCAACCCGACGAAAAAAGTTCCGTCGGCCAGGAACTACCTCGACTTCCCGACAACCTGGGGAATCTCGTCCATCCACTCCATCCACCCCCTCCTCCCCCAATTACTCGCATCATGGCTCACTGTGAGCGGGCCTCCAAGCCCCTGCTCCAATGCCTGCAGAAGACCTACACTAAGGCTCTGCCCGGTCTCCAGCTGCAGTCCACCCGCGCGTTCCAGTCCACCGCTCTGGCTCGCGAGGAAGCCCAGGCTGAAGCCAAGAGCGTCCCTTTTCACAAAGCACCTGATCCGGCTTTGGTCACAAGTCCCCAGCTGGAACGGAGACTGTTACGGCAAGGAATTGCCCCCATTGGATCTCGTCGACGTCGCGCCGCCCTCCAGAACGCATCCAACATCCCCTTCGAGCAACTGCCCTACCAATGTTTCCAGGAAGCTCGCAAGGTGCTGGTCGCGGACCGGGAGGAGAAGTTACGCGACATTACGGCGATGAGTGAGAAGATTGCCCGGCTTCAGGCTGTTCCGACCGAGGAGGCCGGCGGGGAGCAGGTCAAGAAGTCCAAGCTCCGGGCCATGGAACTCCATCTGGAGCATCTCAAGATTCTGGCTGATATCAACGACCCGCTCGTGAAGAAGAAGTTTGAGGATGGACAAGGTGAGACGGTCTACACTAGTTTATGTCTGTGTTCTAATAGATTGTTTGTTTAGGTGACTTGAGCAAGCCCATCTACCGCTATCTGGCCGATCGGAAATGGAGAGAATACCGTCGCAAGATCCTCGTCCAACGAATTACACAAATGAAGGTGATTCCCGACGTGCTGCCCCACTGCGATCCGACCGTGGACACCAAGCTCTACTTCAACCGGAACCAGATCCAGCCGGGCGAATTCGTCAACGCCCAGGTGAGCACGACGGCACCCAAACTCGACGTGCAGCTCTTCGAGGGCGGCGAGAAGCTCGTGACCATCGCCGTGGTCGACTCAGATGTGCCCAACGTGGAGAAGGATGGATTCGACTTCAAGATGCACTACCTGGCCGTCAACGTGCCCATCTCGGCCACGGCCACCAAGGTCGACCTGTCCCAGCTGTCGACCGATTCGCAGGTGGTCCTGCCATGGCTGCCTCCGGTGGCCCAGAAGGGCAGCCCGTACCACCGGCTGTCGCTGTTCATTCTCGAGCAGAAGGACTCGAAGCCGTTGGACTTTGCTGCGGTCAAGGCGAAGGAGACGGAGCGCGACAACCTGCTGCCGCGCACGCTGCAGGCTCGGTACCACCTGAAGGCGATTGGCGCGCACCTGTTCCGCAGCCAGTGGGATGAGACGACATATGAGGTGATGAAGCAGATTGGGTTCCCCGAAGCGGACATGGAGCTGCGCCGGAAGAGGGTCGAGCCTCTTCCTTACAAGCGGAGGAACCCGTCGACGTTCCGGTGATTGCTTTTTTTCCGTTAATTTTGAGCTTAGACTGTATTGTACAAGATGTATGAATATCAATCCTCCAACTCCAGACTCCTATATATACACCTATACCTATACCATTTTATTCCGAGAGGTTGGCCGGTTGCATTGTATTTTCCACCCACTCCATTTTCGACGGCGGCCAGACCCGAGCGATGATTTTCCCATTAATCAACCCCATAGGAATAGGACCATAATTTCTGGAATCCCTCGACCACGGCAAATTATCCCCGGCTAGATAGACATGCCCTTCGGGAACCTGTACATCATTAGCCCACACCCCCCCCAAAACCCCCAAAGGGGGAAACAAGAGAAAACAATCACAAACCTGAATCATCTCCCCCTCCCTCCCCACATCCCTACTAAACGCCAAATCCCGACAAACAAAATCCCCCGGCAACCCCACGACCCTCTTCGCCCCATTGACGCCCAAAAACGTCGGATGATAGAAGCGCACCACATCGCCGACCTTAATGCCCCGTCCATGTTTATGTACTCGCGAGATCATGAGGTAGTCGCCCCGTGGACTGAAGGTCGGGTACATTGAGGGCCCCTCGGAGAGTTGGATTGTGATGAGGTGTTCCCAGATGAGCGTGCAGGCGCAGAAGAGACCGGCGGATTTGAACCCGATTCGGAGGAGGTGGGTGGGGGTCGCGTGTTTGAGGGTTCGGCGGAGGAGAGCATCCATTGCATTCTTGTCTTTGGGCTGGTGATTGTTGGGTGGTTTGGGGGTGCTGTGGTGCTGGGTATTGCTTGATGATTGCGGAGATGGAACGGAGCTGCTTTGGATAGTGTCACGTGATGGGTGGGGGTATATAAACGGAGTTTTTTCTTGTTCTTTTTTCTCTTCGGAACATCACACACACACACACACACACACACACACACACACACACCACAACAAATGATCACATCGATGATCGATTGAATGTACCGTGTCAGGTCTACTGCTTAATGCTGCATCTAGACTTGTGACACTACATCCAATTGCCATCCCTGTTCTGCTCCGGCTTACTCCTCATGGATCTAAGCCCCTATCATATACATCGCTTCTAAAATAGCTAGAGCTCACCGCTGCCGAAATTCAACACCAGAGCGCGTGAGTGTGGACAGTGAAGCAAGATGAATTTACATCTCATCATTGGTGGGATTCCCTGAACGATAGCCTGGCTTGGACCCCATTTTGGTATGGGAATGGAAGGCTGGGTGGTAACGACGGGAGACACACATACCTTAGTTCTTAGATATTTGTTGCGTACAATATGAGGTTCATTTTGATTATTCTGTCGTATTACAATTTAGATATCATTGTGCATCACTCGTAAGTGATAGTCTGGACAGCAGAGACTAAGCCTTCTCATCCTCCCACATCTTATCCGCACCTACACACATTAGCATCCAATCCCCAATTCCAAACCACGGATCAATACTCCGTAGCAAGAAAAGGTATGAAAACTCACCATCAACCCTCTCCATCCCCCTCACAACCTCCTCCACCATCCCCTTCCTCCTCTCCGCCTTCTCTCTATGATCGACCCCAAACCTCTCATCCCTCTCCCTCAACAACTCCCCCAACCCCCCTTCCCCCTTCCCCCCAAGAACCCCCTTCACCCCCTCCTCATCCAAAAAACTCCCCATCAACACCGGCTCCCCCAACGGCACTTTATCCCCCCGATCGACTTGCCAAAAATGATACGTCTTGCCATACAACGGCACGATGTCTCGCATTTCAGACGTTTCGGCGACTTCCCATGCTGCATCTGGCACCAGGGAGGAAGCCGAGGTGGTGGTGGAAGGCTTCGGCATGATGAGCATCCCGCTGCTGACTTCGTAGATGTGGGTGTGCCAGAGGGCGCGTTCGGAGGGAGGTAACGTGGCGAAGAGTTTGGGGGTGATCATGTATTCGATTCCGATTAGGGGGGAGTTTGCGTGGGGGGTCGCGTAGATGAGGCATTGTCTTATGTCTGTACTTCTTTTTTAGTCTTTATTGGGGGTTGGTGTAGGTGTTTAGGGTATTGGAATTGGGATTGGGATTGGGATTAGGATTGGTGGAGGGAAGGGGGAGATACCCTCTGTGATATGTGAACAGTAGTGGTTGGCTTCCACGCAGCGGGTCTTGTCGGAGGCGTAAACGTGAAAGGCATTCAGGTGTGCGCAGATGTTGTTCACCGGTTTGAAGTCTTGGATGGCTTTGGCGCCGGTTTCGAGAACCGTGCTTTTGGTGGTTTTGCAAGTGCCGGGGAGGTTATTCTCTGTTTCGGTGGACATCGTTTTGTTGTGTGCTTGTAATGGGTATGGGTATGAGGGTAGGGATGAGGTATGGGTATGAGGGTATGAGGGTATGAGGGTATGAGGGTATGGTGGTGTTGATATACAAGATGGTTGGCTGACGTCACGATGATCTCTTGGGAGGGTGTACAGGTCATTGGATGAGCTACATTGCTACATTGCTACAGGGGGTTGGCTGATTTATATCCGTGCCATTAAGGTCGGTTGTGTTCCTGTATGGCATTACATGTTGTTCTTCATCTCTCTCAGAGCAGCCATCACCTCGACCGGGTCCGTCTTGCCCGTCTTCTTCTGGATCTCGGGGTCCTAAACAGTCAGCTTGATTCTTTGCATTGAGGAAGCACTTACATTGACACGCATGAACACATTATGCAGCTATATCAATTAGACTTGTACATTTAACGGTTGTTGAGGATCAACCTACCTTCTCATCGCCAATAGTGAACTTTCCCTGCGTCTCCTTGTTGGCATTGGCAAATGCCTCCAGCTTCTTGATCGGCTCGGACTCGGACACAGTCAGGCAGAACTGGACATTGCTCTTGGTGTATTCATGGCCAGGCTAGACAGTCAGTACAGAACCCACATCAGCGACTGGTACTCACATAAACCTTAGTATCATCCGGCAGCGCGGCCAACGTCTCATTCAACGCCTTGTGCATTTCCGGGGCCGTGCCCTCGAAGAACCGGCCACACCCTATTCCTTAGCTAAATACCTAGACTCAGAAAGTAAGACTCACCTCCGATAAACAAAGTATCACCCGTAAAGACAACCTTGTCATCCCCATCCTGCATGAAATAGCAAATACTATCCTGCGTATGGCACGGCGTATGCAGCGCCTTGACCGAGATGCGCTCTCCAATCTTAAACTCCTCCCCATGAGCCGGAGACTGAGTGACAGACTGGCAGTTCTTGCCTCCAATGACAGGGAGTTGACCAAAGGTTTTCAGCTTCTCACGTCAGTAGACGATCACCATACTTGGCCACATAGCATACCATTTCATTATTACCACCCGCATGATCCCAATGACTGTCATACACATTAGCATCCATACCCACCATCAATAGGGAAAACAACATACTGATGCGTATTCACAATCGCCGTAAGCTTAATCTTCCCGGCATCAATCTGCGACTGCAGCTCCGGAGCCACTCTACACAATCAGCTCTGCCCAGCCCAACCCAGCCCCCCCTTCACGAACAGGAAAACCTACTCAGGCGGATTCGCCGGATCAATAATCACCGACTGCTTCGTCGGCTCATCCGTCACCAGATAGGCATAATTATTGCCCTTCCCGGTCCCTGGCGGAGTTAGCCAGGAACAAGCAAATAGGAAGTACCTTGTGGGAATGGGAACATACACATCGGGATCGATTGTACATGCATGGCTCTGATTTGGCGCGACGGCGCAGATACTCTTGCTCTTACGGGTTGGAATCGCACGGATGACCAGACGGCTCTGGTAAGGCACATGGACATAGAGATTGTAAACCGAGGACCTGTGAATTCCTGCTGCCGGTTAGCTTTGCCGTGTTCGGAATAGCCGCCTTGGTAGAAGTTGGGAGACTTCAGGTGAAGGAGGAGCGAAGCTGCGAAGGAGAGGTGATCATCGATTATGTACTCAAAGTTACTATTGTTGGACTAGATACGGGTCTTGGCAAAATAGCCCCCCGACGGATTCTATTTCTGTTCCTCTGATGTCTTACCTCCCTCTATTCCTGTTGAAAGCCCCGCACTAGTTCGTCTCCGCCAAAATGGTTTAGCGCCTCACGCGAGATAGCTTCCAGTTTCGTTGTTCTTGAGGTTTTTTTTTTCTTCCTTCTCCAGCTACTCCGTACTAGATTGATAGATGAATTGATTGACTTCCTCATCATCTTCATCGGTTCCTTATTAATGACTTGCATCGTTCGCTTCCTAGTCGAAGTGTGAATTATATTTACTGTTCCCGTATTTACGCAAAAGCGACATAATGGGAGCGGCCAGGGGGGGAGCCCATCTCCCTATCGAACTTATCCTGCTTGCCGCCGAATATCTTATGCCTGTTGACCTGCTTTCTCTCTTATATGCGGCTCCTGGGCTCGCACGGGTCCTAACATATAAGCATACCACGCTTCAGGATGAAGGAGGGAGGACGATCATCCATCTACTCGCGAGGGAGGGCGAATTGATGAAGCTGCTGCTGGCAAACGACGGTATCCGGACAGACCGGAAGGATAATTTTGGTCGGACGCCGCTATCCTATGCAGCTGGAGGTGGGGATGAAGCAGTAGCCAGGCTACTGCTGGACCGACAAGATGTTGACGCGGATGTGAAGGATAATGATGGGCTAACTCCGCTATCCTATGCGGCTGGAGGTGGATATGAAGCAGTGGTCAGGCTATTGCTGGACCGACAAGATGTTGACGCGGATTCAAAGGACAACTTGGGTCGGACCCCATTATTATATGCAGCCTGGCGCGGACATGAAGCTGTAGTCAGGCTACTGCTAGACCGACAATATGTTAAGGCGGACTCAAAGACTAACTGGGGTCAGACACCATTATCCTTTGCAGCTGGGGGTGGACATGAAGCAGTGGTTAGGTTATTGCTGGACCGACAAGATGTTGAGGTAAATTCAAGGGATAACTCGGGTCGGACACCATTATTATACGCAGCCTGGCGCGGGCATGAAGCTGTGGTTCGGCTACTACTAGGCCAACAAGATATTAAAGCGGACTTAAAGGCTAACTGGGGTCGGACACCATTATCATGTGCAACTGAGGGTGGACATGAAGCAGTGGTCAGGCTACTACGGGACCGACAAGATATCCAGGCAAACTCGAAGGATACCTGTTGAAGATGGAAGCGCTTGATGGCAGCCTGACAAGCAGACCGGTCGAAATAGCGGAAGAATCGCACACTTCGGCACTGCTCAGCACCAAGGATACAGTAGGAGATATCAAAAGCAGGTTATAGCGAGGTACAGGAATGTGTATACAAAAATCGACTTTGTGGTCTTGGATGGGTGAGCTTTACTCCTAGACAGGTTGGAAAGCCCCAGGGTTGTTAACTGTTCTAGACTTCGCAACAACCCTCAATCCTTTCGACCCCATCTTTGGCATGGCCACTTGGTAATCATGCAAGAATGCCACATCATCAGCATCGGTTTCAAACAAGGTCATTTCAAATCCTTGAACCAAGGCTGCGACGACAAGGTAGAGCTCTGCACGCACCAGCTCAATACCAAGGCATCTCCGCCCACCCTTGCTAAAGGCCATCTGGAACTTCCGTCGCTCCTTCCCAGCATCACCAAGCCAATGGTCAGGATTGAAAACATAGGGCTTAGGGAACACACTTTCCGCCGTGTGTGTGCGGCGAGAGTTGTGATGCTCACTGGCGTGCCGGCTGGAATCGTGTATGATCTGGTTCTCGTGCTTGGTGGGCAAGACAAATGAAATGTGAGGAGAAGGTGTATAGATGAGCGGCTCGTGAGCGATACGGGCAGTTCTCGCTGTGACCCCAAAGGAAAGCCGCTTTTCCTTCTTCAATTACAGCTAACAGGTATGGAAATTGTTCGAGCTGGGTCCATGAGGCGGATGCAGCGACCGTACGGAGCTCATCGCGAAGCTTCTCTAGTAGGGTGGGTTTGGCAAGAAGATGGTAGAATATAATATTAAGTGTCTGAGTCGGCGATTCAGTTCCAGCTAATTCCAACAAGGCTCCCTCCTGCTCGAGACGCAAAAGAGTCTTCTCTGAGGGTGGCAGGCTCTGGCAGTCCAATACTGAATCATAAAACTGACTCCTTGCCTGTTGGTCCAACAGGCTTGATGGAGGTGATCCCTGACTCTTTGGCCCGCATGATAGCAAGTACCTCGTTTAGAACACGCTATATTTCAGGTTAATGATGATAGGACAAGGTTGAAAGCGTACAGTGTCTCACTTCAAAAAGATCAAGCATGTCAACGAGTCCCGGAGGCATTATCAGGCGGCTTATGGACGTTGGAAGCGACTTTAGTAAATCGGGGATCTGCGGAAAGTGCTTGTTAAGATTGATTCCCATCATTAATTCCTTGCTGTTGTGACGGAGCGTGGCAGCTTTCTGCTCATCTGAAAGTATGTCTGTCTAGATTTGTTAGCTCCATAATGTCAATAGAGTAGTGGGAACAACCTACTCATTTGAGAAGGCAAAAAAATAAACCTGAGAGGTTAATTGGCGTCTTGCTGGACGCATGGATTCGCGATCAATTGCTTTAGCTGGCCCACCTTGTCTGTAATCAGTCCCTCTAGGTAGTCTTCTTGCTAAAGAATTGCGTGAGAGCTTCCCGTCGGACTTTATGCAAGCTATAGTCGGCGATACGTGCTCACCCCACCAGGAACTCGAAGGCTTCTTAGCTGCCAGGCGTATTTGTCCCTTCGCGCCATTGACGGGGCATAGATCGTATCCAGAAAGCCAACATCGTTGATATGAATCTCGTCTGGGGTAACACGGATGATTGGGCATAGAGAGATGTTAACTGGGGGCTTGATAATGAAGCGGAAATTAGAGTACCATATTGCTTATGAAGCTCTTGAATCTTGAATACGTATTGACCAGGTCGGATGGCGTCATAATATAACTCATACCACCATGTGAGTGCTGCAAGGCGGGGGGCATGGAATGTGGGCTAGTGGGTGGAAGTAAAGGCGACGGATAGAAGACATCCACGTCCAGCGTATTCTTGTTCTTTATTCGTCTGGATATATTGCGCTCAGCAGGAAGTATATGTTCAAGGAACTATTGTTCTTATTAGCCCTCTATCTGCGAAGTCTAGAGAAATCTAGTATATACCTGTGCGAAACATACGGGGACAGTACGAAGGTGGCTCACCGCTTTGAGATTTGCGGGTGGAAATGCGGCCGTTTATGGCCTCAGTAGCTGTCACTTTCGGCGTCAATTTCACAGGTCCTCACATTCTAGTTGTAATTGTTGAGTGGTTGCAATAGCTGCCAGTGGTGCTATGCTGAGTGAGCCATAAGCGTTGATTGGCGATTACCTCATAGGCTCGTTGAGTGCTCAGCCACGTGTGGCGGGTACGCTAGCTTGTTATGGTTGAAACATTCATCATGGCACAGCTGGGTCAGATTTCTCTCTCCTACGGCATACAGGCTAGGCTATTCCTAAGGGCCGCGTATCCCAGCTATCTACGGTCTCCCAGCCGAATTTCGTCAGCTCTTTCAGATCTGCGTCAGTCTGCTTGAGTTCAGCGGTCTTGGACCGACTCGCTGAGACCTTTGCAGCGGACGGGTTCTTCTCCCGTATGCTCTCTCCCAAAAGCGTCGTCCAGTGGTTAGAACTCTGCTTGCAAACCGCGAGAATGTACGCGTGGGAAAGTAACCGCCCTCGAGATTCCCATTCCGGTGATCGAAGGATATGGTCCAGCCACATATAGGTTCCTTCGAGATGGGGATCACTGGTCAGGTTCTTCGAGCCTGAAAAGGCCAGCACGTTCACCATTTCCTCCGCCAGCGCTGCCAAAACTGAAGGATGGCCTTCCGCCAGCATCTGCAGTAATGGATCCCATTTGGAGAATGTTTCCGTCATGGAATCACCAATCCTGATACAAGCTTAACGTTAATACATAGACCATCAGAACAAGAGAACACTGACCTTCGTTCCGTAGGAACCAATATCGAGTCCTCCACAATAACCTGCGCTAACATAGACGCCCCATTACTAGAAGACTTGCATACAGATACCAAATGCGTAGACGCAGAAGACACACTCTGTTGGAACCGTCTCTTCTTCCGAGGCGGTTCTGACTCTTCTTCCGAAATCAACTGCTCGAAACTACTCCTCACAGCGGCCTTGATGGGCTCAACATCATCATCAGCCCCATCGAGCACTCCCGGCTCAGACACCCCAGGTACCATATCGGCACTCAGATCAGTCTTAGCCCAGTAGTAATCCCACAGCCACTCCAGAGACCGCTGCGTAGCATTCCGCAACACCGTCAGCGAAGGGAGTTCACGATGCGTAGCCTCGTGGCGCAGTTCCACGAATGAGGCCGGTAATCCCAGATCAATGGCTCGTTGGAACATGGTCTTTCGCTGGCCGTTGAGCTTGGAGTCCACGAGACCGGTCACGAATCTGAATTACATTAGTAAATACCATTCACAGCCAACAAAACATCCAAGTAAAAGCAAAGAAAAAGCACAACGTAACACTGGTAATAGAAACATACCGACAAAACGCCGCCGAATACGTAGCTCTAATCGAGAATATCGAATTTTTCCGAGCATCATCATGCAGAATCGCATCCGTCAACAAGGCCGTCGCCTCGACAGGATGAGGCAAATTCCCTCGGAGTTTCCACGCCCCAACCTATCATCATCCATGTTAGTGTCCGTCAGGATTGTCCCCTCCAAGGCAGATTTCGCATACAGTGGCGCAGGCCTTGGAGCGCATGTCCGGCCCATCGTAAATGGGCGCAGGGTAGAATTGGCCCCGCACGGCGAGTAATTGGGCATGTTCCTTCCAGGGGGTGAATATGACTTTTGCCATGGTGGTTCGATGGCTCTAGCAGTTGAAACTGCTATGGGTTTTCTCTCTGTGTACCGGTTGGGTAGGTTGTACATCTCGTCGCGGTGATTTTGAGTCTCGGAGTATGGTTGTTCCTGCCGGTGACATTTGATTTTCCCTTTGGGTTCAGGCCGTTTTGTCACTACTTTTACTGATGCTATGCTGGCTATGCTGGCTATGCTGGCTATGCTGGCTATGTGATTATTACAACTACTCATATCAATATGCTCGTTGAGTCTTGGTAGATTCTGGTCATTGTTACATTCACTTTCTTAATACATGTAGTTCAAGTTCAATCGTCCTCCCTGGGTATCCTGTAGTGTATGCTAAGCTGCAAACGCCTTCCGAAACGACAACTCCGTGCTATGCAATGCTGTAACCCGAAAATAAAAATAATGAAGACGCAAAAACAATGTGTTGAATCAAATCCATCCGTAGCCATAATTCATGCAAGGTTGACTCGCCATGTTCACAAACGGCTGAGGCTCGACCACGGCATGCTGCTCGAGCTCATCGTCCTCGAAGAAAAAGGATCGTTGCATCATGCTGCCAGGGGCTTTGACCGGTTGTTGCTGCTTCTGGTTCGAGTCAGAGTTGCGGTCGAGACCCTCATCCTGCTCCGGCTCGTCGCCGTCCTCTTCATCGTTGTCATCCTGGTCTTCCGCTTCGTTGTCCGACGACGGGGTGAAGGTCTCCTCCAATTTCAACCCTTTGCCTGAGAGACCAAGGAGGGAGCTTTCCAGTGAAGCTTCCGGGTTGCTGTAAAGACCCATTCCAACCAGCTCGTCCTCAGCCTTGGACTTCTCCGGCAGTGGCTCAACCTGCGCATGGAAATCATCGTCGGGCCGCTGGATGGGGAGAAAGTCGGGCGTAGGAGGCCCAGTCAAACAGCCGGATGATGGGGCACTTTCGTAGCCGGAGGCTGTGACATACGTCGAAGGGATGTTGTTGTGCATGGATGACATGTCGAAGGACCAACAATCCGAGATGGGCTCGGCCATGGTGGTCATGGGGTCCCAAGAAACTAGCTCAGCCTGCGAATCGTTCATCTGGAGGAAGGATTGTTGAAGCGGCATTGATTGTTGTGCGCCGGGAAGAGCATGGAGCCCCATATCCGATGGAGCATAGGATGGGAGCATAGAAGAGTCCTCGTAGGTGGCGGGGGCGGTGGGCAGTGGCTGAGGGCACACGCCAATGGCGGCGAAGTTATCCAGTGCGGTAGTAGCGGGCAGATACTGAGCAGTCGAGTAACCAACCGGCTCGACCGCTGGGTGCCAACTCGTCGGACGGGTTCGACCAGTCCTGGACAGGGCCGAGGCCACAAGGGTAGCATTGACGGGGGCCTGGTAGCCCTGGTACATGGGCGAACTGTAAGGGATGGTTGCTGTCCGCCGCCTACCAGCAGACGAAGGACTGTTCCCAGCACTGCGAGGTTTCGTCACTCGACCCGTGTGCTTCGGCCTAGGGAAAGCCTGAATCAAGTCCCGGAAGGTCGTTGAGCGCCAGCAGGACTGGTTGCCTTGCACCCAGGTCGGGTTAGCAAAGGCCGGTTGAGGTTGCCAGCAGTCGGCCATTGAGAAGATGAGTAGTATTGAGAGAAGAGTCTGGTGGATGGATGGAAGGACTGAGAGGAGAGAATGGTCAATTGAAAGGTAGAGGAGGAAGGTGGGTGATATAAACATACATAGTAGTAGGTGGGAGGCTAAGGTCAGACGGAGGGAGGGTATAGATATATGGCGTATCAAGCACGGATAAGACCCATGGATGATGACTGCAGGAATATGTAAAGGATCTCCGAAGACTGGGGTTCGAGACTTATCATCTAAAGATGACACAGGGGGCGTGAGGGTCACAAGGCGTGGAGCAAGGTACGCGAAGCAAGTACGTGCGTCTTCAGTAGTCAAGTCATTGGCCCAGAGGGTTTAGATGAGTAGAATATTCGGTAAAGTCAGAGGAACTCTAAAAAAGGGGAGACAGAACAGTAATGGGAAAAAAAGGAAATACAATAAAAATAATTTCACAAATAATTAAAAAAAAATTAGGGAAGGCTCTAGCCGCCCTACATGAGGGTGATACACGGAGATGTGGAACGTATGTACATGGGCATTTCTTGATCTACCATCCGCCCCAGTTCCACGATCCATTACTGTAAGTGAGAACGCTAGTGGTCTAGTGGGCGCGGGCACATGTTGGGATTTGGGATGACACGACGTTGACACTAACGAAAACAGACTAGTAGTGGTGGGAACTCTAGGAGACTAGGAGACTGGAGTAGGGGCAGCAGCCAGCAGCCAGCAGGAGCCAGGAAGGGACCCAGGAAGGTGATGATTCAGACGGCCCCCTCCCATGCCACACACACGATGCCGCTCCACCCCAAGAACTTTGGGAACGGCAATCCTGTCTCGGACTCTACTGGCAAAACGACACTCTGGACCATGGGCCATGGGAATTGGGGCTGATTAGTGGTTTAACGGCGGATGACGATGGGGGGGAGGAGAGAGGGTAGAGTGGGGAGCAGAATGAATAATGTTGATGGTGGGGATGATCAGACCCATTGGCAAAGTTGAATTGATGCACTCCACTCCGAGGGTTGAAAAGGTGAAAAGAGGGAAAGGGAAAACGAGGGAGATGGGGAATGGGGCCGGATGATTGGATGGGAACCTGGAATCGGAGCTCCAGCCAGGGAAAGGCAGCAAAGATCATGGATGGAAGTTAAAGAAGGAATCAGAAAAAGACGGACCTGCCTGACTGCCTGGGACATGCCGAAACTAAACCACCCTAAACTTTCCACTGTAAGTCTAAGGCCCGTGTGAGAGCCCCATGGGAAGTCTGGGGCTAAACTGGGAACTACTGCATCATCATTACCGTACCGTACCAGGAAGGTCCCGCCCGCGGCTGCATTGCCTCCCCTGTCGGGTAGATACCATTTCCGTAACAAGGTACGAGATAGGTACGGTGATCGGTTACATTCGAGCTGCTCTCCATAGTGCTCATCAAAAGCAAGAAAGGGTAGCACTGGCACATTAGTAAATGAACTAATTCCCTCCCGACTCGATGACGCAGCCGGGCGATGGCTGACCAGCAGCTAGTGACCGGAGAGGGGATTCCTAGGTCGTTGGTACTACGACACCGGACATAGGACTGATCTCTAACGACCAGGGGTATACCTCGGATAGGTAGGTGGTAGTGAGAATTAAGGATCTAGGTACACCACGTATCCTGTCGGTACCTGCTCCTTTCGTCGAGGCTGCCCGTCCATGGATGGATCCTCGAGGTGATACACATTACACTGACGGTCTTCCTAGTTCCTTAGTCATGATGGGAATGCCGTGGTCAGGTCTGGTCAGGTATTAAGTAATAATGAACCTGCGAGACTCTACTCCGTAAGTAGGTAAGTAATGACCCACGATCCGACCCGATCGTCAACCCTGCGACCAACCCTCCAGTACGGATAGTCCATCATTCTTCCTCCGTATTACCTACACATTGCCCCCCTCCCCCCCTCTCTCCTCCTCCCTCGTTAAGTAACCCCTTCGAGTTCGGTGTCCCCACAAGTTCACCGTTTCCAACGCGTCACAACGCCCGTTACGCAAGGGTTACAATAATGCGGAAAGTTCCCAAGGGCCGATTGCTACTACTTGCTTGCTTCCCTTGTCCGGAGTACGTACATACTACAGACAGCCAGCGGGGGGGGAACAGCCTGGGCCCAGGCTAACAGACACATACTTGCACCCACATAGCAAGCAACACTTATCTGGTAGCAGTCGTATCGATGGATCGAACAAGGGCAGGGCAGAAGCATGCTGATGATGGTTGAACAACACCTGCCTTCCGCCCATTCCTGGTCATCGTCCATCATCCTTCGGCATCCCCGGGCGCGTATCCAATGACCCATCCGGCCATCGGTTTGATTCCCTAGATGCTTCTATTCCTGTCCAACCGCGCTCGGGTTGGAGGCATCACCGTTATTGCACCTTTGCTACCACTGAGACCAACCTAGATCAAACCGGACTACCGACAGGACCCTGACTCGGTGATCACTTGTCTCGTGAAGCGCTGGGTTGATGATCATTGTTCGCTATTAGCAATCCATTGGCCGACGAGTCGTGTTACTCAATACATCGGGGTGTGCACAAGAAGCTCAAATTGCCTTTCCACCTGGCCCTCAGGATAGGTTCTACTAGTACTACGGCTCTGACCTCACATCCCAAGTATGTCCGCCATATTCATCATTAATCTGGCTTATCGATTGCAATGCCGGTAGCCTGATTAATCTATTTGTTGTGGATCACATGTTTCATAGTCATACCTTACGTGTGACGAGACGGCTTAGATCAGATGGCTAGGTGGCTGAACGGTGGAAAGCCTACTGCCGTACGGACCATCTCTCGGTATAGGGGGGGGATGGGGGTGGAGAGAACGGAAAGTTCGGCTAGAGATGACAACACTTGGTCTGGGTTCAAGGATCGGAGGCGTTATACGGAGCCATCAGCAGCAGAATTTGCTCAGGGTCGGAGAGAGAGTGGGGGGGGGGGGATTGTGCACTACGCTAGTCGCCAGACACATTGGATTTTGAGGGAATCAGTAAACACGCATCGCGGTATCAGACTCCACCGGTTAGGCTGGCTCTTTCACAGTATCTAGCTTATCCGGGATAGGATGGGCTGGGCTGGGCGGGTGCCAATAATGTTTTATGACGAGTCCAGCTGCACCAGAATAGGTACCGCATATGGGATCCGCCTGGAGCACCACAGCCCCATCCGATGTAATCGACAAAGGAAATCGGGGCGGAGGATTATTCCATTGACATGGGGACCATTTCCAGAACCAGGGATGCGGCCGGAGGAGGACCGACAAGAGCTGAGCCCTACCCACTCCGGTTAGTCCCCGTACCTGAAGGCTGAGTAGTGATTCCTCGTTACTTGTGACTTGTTAGTGCTGGCGCCCCTCCTTTGAGTCCTGCTCGCCCGCCTTGAATTTGGTCCTGAAAGCGACGGGGCCTAATTCTGCATAGGGCCAAAGAAGGGGCGCAAAAGCAACCAGTATGGACTAGCTACGATGTACCATGTACTATGTACTATGTAGCAGGTCCTCCGTATGAGCAATCATGGCCACTACGCTCCGGCTACCACAGCCTGGTGATCGGATTTGTGGCACTGCACCCGTCACCCCCCGTTCTGGCCCAGTCGACACACCCATGGATGAGGTGAGAGGCTGTCATTCGAGGAACTTTGGGCAGAGCGATGCTTGTCCCTGTTGAAAACCCGGCTATTCGTGGAGGCGGATAGCCTTCCATTGTGCTCGAACAGCGCCAAAAAAAGGCGTTACAGGCCAGATCCAAAGGGCAACGAACTTCAGAAAACCTCCGTGCCGACGCCCTAGGCGGATGTAATCACTACCAAGCGACTAATCAGACAGTTGAGATCATCGTCCGGTTGCCCTACAAATCAGAGGCCGGAGATTACAGGAGGGGAACCATCGGAACGCATGTGCAGGCCCACCTGACGGCAGGGGACTGGAAGGAGGGAGCGAGAAGAACAAAATTCCAGAAGGCCAGGGGGCCAAGTCAGCGCTCGATTGGGCATGCGAAGGAGAAGGGGAGGCAAAAAGCAACCCAAGGGCGAGGGGGGGAAATGGAGAAGCCAAAAAAAAAAAAAAAAAAAAAAAAAAAACCCCGGGGGGGGGGGTTGTACAAAATTTCTTTTGGGGGAAAAAAAAAAGATTTAAAGGGGCTCAAACTTTCCTTTTTACTTTTTTTTTTTTTTTTTTTTTTTTTTTTTCTACGGGATTACGGAGTCTCCAAGAGTCGGACAGGGATCCTACCAGGGAGCAGGTAAGTAAGGTGAGCTACCAGCTAGCTCCGTATGGTACTACGGTAACCACTCAGCCTGTTCATTCACTTACCTCCCGGTCGCCTGCTGTAAATGGTGTTCTACACGCCCTCCAGTCGACCGAGGCTCGCAAACGGCATCGGTCGAGAGCCAATAGAAACCTTGAGTGCTGATCTGATGAGTTGAAAACAACGACGCATCAATAAATCCTGTACGGAGTACGGAGTCCTGGTTTGATTCCAACCTGCTGAATGGAGTATGACCAATTAATTCACCAGGGGTTGATGATCTCTCACGGTGGCCCTGCATCGTTGGACTCGTCCATCTCCTCGCCAGGGAAGTTCAGCCACCACTCTTTCGGGTTGACTGATCATCATCACACAGGGTCTACCCGGATCGTCTCTCACTCCTCGTGCCGCTGCGGCCACGGATATGACCCTCAAGATGTGTCTGCCTGTCTGAACAGCAAGGTTCAGCTAAGATGTCATTAGCTATTAGCTAATGGTAGATGAAAGGCTAAAGATTCACGCAGTGGGAATTGGGTTGGGATATTAGTGAGAGCCACTCAATATCAGATTTTAGTTTCTCGCCCGCTACCTAGCGCCACGGATCGAATACAAAGGTTGAGAGTGATGCTATATGAACCAAAGGCACCGGCTCGTGATATGAGAGGCCTAAGGATTTTAGCATGGCCCAAGCTCCAGCTAACCTGTCTCACTGCCCCTAGTCAATTTGAGTTAGAGTTGCTGTACTCCGTACTCCGTATTGAATGAATCCATCTCTGTACGACAGCAATCGGTCATAATCTGGCCCCATCATTGGGGGTGCCAAAAGCAATGTCGACCATTCGACCATTTGATAATATAGTGAAAACAACCGTGGTGCTCCATCAGGGGACATGGGGAGCGCCTGCATGGCAGGCACCCTGGCTGATGTATTCCGCTCGATCCAGCAACCGAGTAAGCGAAATGGCGGTCGCCGTCCGAGACAGGCCTAAGCACTGCGCTTCGGAGAAAGTCAACCATGTAGGGATCAACCAAGTTCACCCACTAGTCCGGTTTTAGTTCACGCCAGTGATCAACTCGCAACTCGCGACTCGCAACACGCCTTCAAATCTTAGATTTCTGTTTCCGAGCCCACTCCCCTCCAACATGTAAGCCGTCGTTCCGGCTTCTGGGCTCGGCGCCTCCGCCGCCGCCGCCGCCGCCGCATTCCTTCTTCTTACTTGACTCCCTGAGGATTAACGTGTCATCAGACCATGGTTAGGCCCGAGCGCTCAGTGGCCTCCTCAGACCTAAACAATGGAATCCTTGGATGCTAATTTAATTTGGCTTGCTTTAGTGGCATGTCACCATTCACCCAGCCCCTACTTTATGGCCCCGTGGGCATGGAAGCTGACCTTCAATATCACCGTATGGCAGCGGCGCCTGATCCTCATTGGCTGCCGGGGAAAATGCTTACATGCGTTGCGGTGCTACTTATCAGGGGCAGGTTCAGTCAACGTCCAAGCCTCATCCATATCACTGTCATCGTCATCAACCCATGCTTCCTGATGGAATCCCGCCTGCACCTTACTTCGCTGGGTTTAGAACTGTAGCTGGAGCGCCAGGCTGCAACCGATCGCGAAATCAAGCCATCGGCACAGGGTGGATGTGACACGGCATTCCAGATACCGCCCGCCTTGCTCTGGTGGTGCTTCTGATTGCCCCGGCTCAACCCAACCCACCGTGGCACTGTTGGTACGGGGTCTGGCAAAGCTTCTCCTCCTCGGTGACCTCAACTGAGAAGCATTGTGACGATAAAGTTACTAGCAGAAAGTGATTGACCGCGTGCCCTGACCGACGCCACAACGTCTGAGCTCCCCAGCAGATCGCGCGGCAGGGTACTCCGTCAGGACCGCCCGGTTACGTAGGAAGCATGAAGGAGAGCGCCCAAAACCACCCCCAACGTGGGTCATCAGTGAGCTGCATCAGCCATTGGCGACCGGGATGGACTCGCAAGGTGCGACATAATCTGGAGCAGTCCGTGGCATGGGCAGTTTACGCGATGAGCCTGGGGTTTGAGATGTTCGTAAGCCAGGCTCTTCCAGGCTGATGACTGCGTTGACCATCCAGCAGAGCATCAGCTGCGAATGCCCCTCGTCATCAAGGCTACAGGCTACTACGGAAGGCATCTGCAGGTGGCCATGAGTCAAATGGCGTACATACATACATAGTACATATACCGCCAGTAGGCCCATGCATGCATGCATGGGAACCAAAATAGGGTGCTGGCCCTCCCGACCAATGAGGGGCCTCGATCGGGCTCAATCTTTTGTCTCCGCGCACAGAGTCCGACAATAATACCACTTGGCCGTGTATTGCGGTAAGGTGGAGTCGGGCTGGGCAGCGGCGGGTACACCGTCCACCACAATCAGATCTCTCCAAATAACACGAAGGAACATGCAGGATCTGCTGTAGGCAGACGTGCTGGCTGGGCAGATGCGCGGTCGACACACCTATCTTCAGCTGCCACCGCAGACAAGCCGGCGTCCAGATACTGCAGCATTCTGGATTCTTGCATTGTTCAGATCTTAAGGTATCACACAGAATGTGGCCTGTGCTTAGGTTTGTCCTACATGTCATCCAACCAGAATGGCATAACCCAGGAATCCTGGTTGTCTACAGTATACTCCATACCGGCTATCTAGGTTCTCGATAGCTACACTACGTACACCATAGTAGTCTCTCCTGGGTCTGGAACACGACTCCTCCTTCTGGCTAATGGTGCCTCATGCCACCGCCATGCCCCCAAGAAGGTGCACTATACGGAACAGTCGGGGGCGCCTGGATACCGTACCATACAACACCAATTGGGTCTAGCCGTCAGGCCACCACAGTGTGACGGGGTCAGGCATGCATCTGGATGCAGACAGGGGATGGATTTGATATTACTCGGCGGGGGACGGACTTGCATTGCGCAAAGGCAATGGAACCACCTGACTGAAAGCCTCTCATCACATATTGATCGCCTCCTGTAGGCGTTGGTGAGGTTTTCCGGCGGCTGCTTCAGCCTATGACGCTACGAGAGGGGCTTGTACATATTAGTACCGAGCTCCGTACCATCAATCACCCTCATCATCGTCGCCCCCCTCAAAGGGTCTCCGCAAATGAGGACGATGCCCGAGCTGGCCTCGGGATACGAAGCGCCTGGAGAGTGGGATCGTTTCACTACCCCTGGCAATCCGATCCAGGCCGCATTGCCCTCCTAGCCCCTCCACCCTCGCTTGCCGACTGAGGAAAAGACTGAGGACATCCACCGACCGGGAGAATGCTACACTGAAACACCAACCGACGCAACGCAAAGGAAACTTCAAAGTAATAAGAGAGGGGCCGACCAGAAACGATCTCCCGTTGACAGACTCACTATTAGAAGATCGGCTGTAAATCGCACCAGACCCGACGCACCGTGCCCCAGTTGCGGTCAATGATAGTCGGCGGTCCACCGATGGGGATGACTGGAACCGGCAACCCAAGACTTGCCCGGTCCCAATATTGGGGATTAATCATCAGCGGTGGCTGAGATGCCTCTCTGGAGTCTTTGCAATGCTGCTCCTGGCTGCTGCTGGCTGCTGCACTGTCACGGCAGATCCATAGTGGGGTACCTACCCGATTTGCCGCAGCCAAATTTGCCCCGACCAAGGGAAATTAACCATTGAGCTGGCCGGCCGAATTTTCCTTTGCCCATCCCATTCCGGACTTCCCCCTTCTCCGTTCTTCGTCGTCGCCCCTAATCCACTCGCTGCCACTCTGCATGATGCTAATCGGCAAACAGCGGGTATTACCACAAGCCAGCAGCACAGCAACCGCCAATGAAGAATGTCGACGATGTCTGACCGTTGGTGGGTCAACCTAGTGCATTCCGTCGAGCAAATAACGCGCCCAGGATTCTGTCAAGCAGACGCTACTTTCCTATGGATCTGTAAAGGATCCTGCTCGGGGGGCTTGGTCTCATCATGCCTTAATCTAGCTGGATGTGTCGTGGCGGTATGCAGGCTGGCCACCCTCAAAAGGTAAAGTGTTGGCGATAGTCCTCCGTCCGGATGGAGTCACGCGTTGGAACCGTCGTCGACGTTGCGACTCAAGAAGATCCCCAACTATTATTCTCCGGTTCCGAGTTAACCTTTTACGTAGGCGGTTTCGCAGCTCGGCCGAGTCAAAGTGGTTAACGGCCCTCCTACGGAGTCAGTCTGTTGGCTTTTCACCAGGACTGGAGTTCGGAAAGCCACATGGCTGACTATTCGTTCCCGCTTCGATAGTCGCTACTTTGTCGGTACTTGGTCTCCTTCAGGCTTCATCTGGGGTACCACCGATGCACGCCATCCTCCGGTTCGGGGTCGCGGCTGGAACTTCATCGAGGCCTGGCTGAAAACGCAAAGTCCCCTTGCCGTGCTGGACCTGCACCCCCCGTGTGCGGGCCGGCGAGGTGCAAAACAAGTTTTGGGTGCCTATCGAAGGGCCCTCCTAATTCCCATTGCTCCCTCGCAAACTGTAAATAGATAGATGAGGGGCACAAACGGGAGTCGCGGGATTGTCGGGCGGCGGCAGTGGTGGTTATAATAGGGCGGTGGAGCCCGGATTATTCGGTGGCTGGCAGCATGGCACGTTGCCGGTGTCGAGGGCTGATCCCTCTCTCTTCATTGCTCCTAATTTAGCCTCGGCCACCGTCCATGGCTATGGAATATGGACCGCTGCTAACGCGCCTAGATCGAACTGGGCTCGGCGTGAATTATTGAACCTAGACAGATTGCCCCCGGGCCCAAGGCCAGCTAAGAAAGTCTGTTGTCAGCTTGTCTCATGTGCCACGCATCCTCTGCGCCCACCAACCTTGCCGCCTCATGACATCTTCGTACCGTCGGGGCTCGTTTTCTTGGATGTGTCACTCGGGGGGTGCCTGCCCCAGAACTACTGTCAAGTGTCACCTCCCTACTGCGTACTCCCTACTCCGCTCCGTACTGCTCCAACGCTCCTGGGTCTGCCGACCAGCCGACTCCGTTTCCGTTTTGGTGCAGTATCCAGATGGGAAACTCCCCGAGACCTTTGTCGGTAGATTTCTAATAATAAAACTGTCTCTTCGTAACCTTCCAGAAGAGCAACTGCCCGGGCTGTGTGATGGTCTCGGCTCTCTTGTCACATGTAGGACAGCGTCAGATGTCTCGGATGTGCGGCGTAGATACCCATAGTTCTTGGGGGCATGTGTACGGAGTAATGTTGGAGCTGGTGGTGGTCTAGTTACTAGGTAGTCTTTGTTTATTCGGTGGACATGTATGAGCAATTGAGCACATGGATATTCGTATCACCACATAGCAGTCTAGTTGATAGTAACCCGACCAATGAGGCTTGTCGAGATGGTTGTATACGAGGTCAACATCTGAAGTAACCATAGTACGTATTTCTCCTGAACCATTCGGAGATGCCGAATAATACTAGATACTGTCGAGTATATGGGAACTGTATCCTTTGGGTCTATCTGCCACGAACCAACGCGATGTTCGGCGAAAGACTGTAGTTCATGTACCCGATGTCTCGAAATATATATCCGAGTAACGGTACATACTAGATACCCCCAAGAACATAATCAAGGTACCACCAATCAAACCAAACAATTTATCCACTCCAATACATCTAGAAATACACCTGCTATTACATTCAACTACTCAATCAATTACCTACCAGATGAATCCATCATTCCCATCGACAATGAATCCAACTGCAACCCGAACGGTCCGAAACAAGCAAGTAGACAGCTGAGCAGACCGACGTCATACCCGCATTCATCCAGACCCGCGTTTTGCGACCCTCAATCCAGACGTCAATCCACCAACCAACCAACCTAATCCCCATTATCGACACACCATGCCCACGCCATAGTGGCATCATGACAACCGGCCCGTGAATCTCTAGATTCGGCCCCCAAGTACTACATATCTACATCATGGATGAACAACTATACCGTGACGGCTCCGTAGGTTGTCGAGCTGATTCTCAGTCTTCATGCCAAAGCTGACGTTGTGGAAGAGTCGGGGGGGAACAGATGATTCGGATGCGACGCATAATCAGTTAGAGGTATTGTTTTGTCGATGAGAGGAGATGATGAAGTAGATGTTTGTGAAGATGGCTAATCTATGGCTTTGTGTGTGGGATTGAATAGGTCGTGCTTTATCCTGAATGCAATCATCGTCGCAAGTCCTCCTTAGTGATGGCGGACGATCCCATGACGAGACCCGATTTATCGCATCCGGATCAAACGACTGCTTGTTTTGTCCACTCTTTGATAGCGGGGGAATGGGGGGATCCGAAACATAAGATTAAGGAGTTGGAGGGGGTGTTGAGAGGGTCGAAGGATGAGGAGAAGGAGGAGGCGATGGGCGATGAGGACGACAATCATACCTCCGTGGCGGAGGAGGCTATGGTGCAGTCGAGGCACCTGACGAAGAAGCAGTTGTCTGATATGGCGTGGAATGTGCGGAAACTGTCGAAGAAACTGGACAGTATTAAGCTTCGGCTTACGGTTAAGACGGTGTTCTTGGTGACCAAGGCGGGGGATCAGTCTGTGATCGGTTCGACGAGAGAGGTCGCGAGGTGGCTTCTGTCTAAGGAGCGCGCCACGCAGTATCATGTATATGTGGAAAAACGGCTGGAGACGGATCCCGAGTTTGGGGCTGCGCAGATCTTGCAGGAAGAGCCGTCGGCGAAGTCTCGGTTGAAGTACTGGGATCATGAGCTGGCCGCGGAGAGAGCCCATTTGTTTGATTTTGTGGTCACGCTGGGGGGTGATGGCACTGTGCTGTTCACGAGTTGGCTGTTTCAGCATGTGGTGCCGCCGGTGCTGTCGTTCTCGCTGGGATCGCTGGGGTTCTTGACGAAGTTTGACTTTAATGATTACCAGAAGACGCTCACGACTGCGTTTCGAGATGGGGTGGTTGTCAATCTGCGACTACGGTTTGAATGCACCATTATGAGGAGTAACCCACTTCCTAAAGGCTCGTCGGGTGCTGGAGGGAAACGGGATCTGGTGGAAGAGTTGATCGGGGAAGAATGCGATGATACGTTAACTCATAGGCCGGACAAGGTCCTCCAGATATTGAACGATGTTGTCCTTGATAGAGGGCCGAATCCTAGTACGTTGACTCCAGATACTTTGATGGAAACGATAGCTAACAGTCCTGTAGCAATGTCCTCGATTGAATTGTTTGGCGATGATGAACATTTTACTACACTTCTTGCCGATGGAGTCTGCATAGCGACGCCTACCGGCTCAACTGCGTATAATCTCGCGGCTGGAGGGTCGCTGTCTCATCCAGATAACCCAGTCATCCTTGTCACTGCAATCTGCGCCCATACACTCTCGTTCCGGCCCATCATTCTGCCAGATACGATTGTTCTCCGAATGGGAGTGCCGTACGATGCTCGGACGAGTTCATGGGCCAGCTTTGACGGCCGGGAGAGGTGAGCGCATTAGGTTGCCTGTATATACGAGTACTCAGATGGCTAACTTGAGCAGGATTGAGCTACACCCGGGTGACTATGTGACGGTTTCTGCATCGCGATATCCGTTTGCGAATGTTCTACCTCGGGGTCGACGTGGAGACGATTGGGTGCACAGTATTTCCAAGACACTGAATTGGAACTCTAGACAGCGACCGAAGAGCCTCGAACCAGTCGATGAGGAAAAGGGCAGCAAATAGAAGGATTGCTAAGATGAGTGCTGCAATTTTACGGTCCGACATAGAGGATCAATTCCACATTCCCAGTTATTGCCTATACAGTCTAAAATAGAACCATATTGTGGCGTTGGATATTGGATCGCCCCGACACAATATGTCGAGCTTGGCGACAATTTCGATGAGAAATGCCAACCGAATCGAACCTTCGATTTCTGCGTAGTGGAGGTTGGTGATGAATTTTTACCGTCCTCTAGAAGCTTCGTATGGGTCGGCCGTTTCCCGGGCAGCCTGGACCCGACTATAAAAGGCCTTCCCGCACCGAAAATTTTTTCTTCCTCTTCATGCTTCTCAACAAGAGACAATTCTCTCCATGTTGACATTTTCGCCAACCGGAATTTTATGATGATTCCTCTCGAATACTGAGCACTTGGAATTGGGACAACAATATCAGTTGGTTCTCTTTTCCAAGTGCTGTGCGATTGAATTGGTAAGTTTATGAATTTTTTTTTTTTTGCTTCATCGACCACAGCCTTCGGGCTGGCTGCTCTTATGATGAAAACTTTCCTACATTCGCAGTTTCCACGCTAGTCGTCGCTTGAACCCATCATAGACGACACTGTGCGCATTACTTCCTTGGATGTCTGACTTGGTCATTCTCATATGATTTGCATATCATTGTTTGGTCGCAAGCATGTGCTAATTGCTTGTTTAGTGCAGGTTTAATCGCATCGCTCTGGTGTTTAAGCGGCTTTATAGAGAGCTGGGATTGCTGAGGATTGGCCTTGGCTGCTGGGGTCGTTAGTTTATATCATAATGGATTTTTTTTTTGAACGAGGAATTTTTCTTGAAGTCTTCTGTAGAAATTTGTAGATTAGGGAGTAACAAGCTCTTTGGCTTCGGGGAGCCTCAGTCCACGTATGGCAGCCTTATAGACAATCATGTAATTGTACGGAGTACAAGTGACATGCGTACAGAGTTCTTGAACGTGAGATGATGCTTGTATGCAATTGAGGCTATCCAAAACTGCGTTCCTGAGCTTGTGCCTCCCCGTACATCCCATGCCGCCCGCTTGCCAGGGACATTCACAGCTCGCTCACTGCTCACCCCCCAATTCTACACAGTCAAGTCATGAACCAGCATAACAAACTCGCCTGATCTTCCACTGAAACCAAATCAGCATGTCCGACTATCTCAACTGAATTAGAGCCTATCCATTGTCGCTGATCTTGATCCCGACCTCACTTCACCAGCATACACATCCAACATGACGCAACCTGCACGACACGCCGCGATGCTATCGATTAGCAATAGCGGGCCAAATACGATGGCCGGGGAGAAGCAGCAATCCACACAACACATGCACACTCAATCCCAGCCGAGCCAGGGGCTACGCGTGCCGTCGAATCGCAAGACCATCTATGACAGACATCTGAATCGGAGCCGCAGCGCGGAACTGAGCCGGGCCAGCTTCGCCTTTCTATTCGCAGAGATGGTGACTTACGCCCAAAGACGAGTCACCGGGATCCAAGATCTAGAACGACGGTATGGCTTGTCCTTGACGTAGAATTCCAACCCCCGGCTGATCTCTCTCAGCTTGAACGAACAAGGCTACCCCCTGGGTCTCCGATTGCTCGACCTCCTATATTACCGCACCATGTCCAGTTCCACTTCCTCTTCTCTATCCAGTTCCTCGACTTCCGCATCGCCCCCGAATAGACCTCTTCGCATTCTCCCTCTCCTTCATCTCATCCACGGACCCCTATGGCGACTCCTCTTCAACCGGCCGGCCGATGCCCTGGAACACTCGGTGTCTCCCGAAACCCCCAATGAATATATGATTACGGATAATGATCCCCTCGTCAATACATACATCAGTGTTCCCAAGGAGATGAGCATGCTCAATTGCGCGGCATTCGTGGCCGGCATCATCGAGGGTGTTTGCGACGGATGCGGTTTCGAGGCCAAGGTTACGGCTCATAATCAGCCTACGGAAATGTGGCCTGGTCGGACGATTTTCTTATTGCGCTTTGGAGAGAGCGTGATGGAACGGGAGAAAGTGTTGGAAAGGGCCGGAGTCAAATAAACTTGACGCTTGATACGACAGCCACGTGCAGCGGTCTACGGATGGTCGGCGATTGTTCTTTGCAGCGATTTCTTTCAGTATACTAGATACGAACGGGTTCACACTCATGTGCCGCGCGGGTTATGGGGCCAGGCTATTTGATTACTTGGTATACGATCGATCCACGAGCCGTTACTGTTGAGCGAGATGGAAGGGAACGCGATGACTCGCGCGGACATCTTTGATTCTTGTATATGCAAGCAAGATGTGTGATTTATGTACGTTGAGTCCATCGACCCAACGTGCAGATATATTCGTCTCGAGGCCACATTAATGCAGGAGAAAGGAACAACGGTTCCCAATGCAACCCTGATCCAAGATACCCAACAACGCCGATAGAAATAGAATGAATTTTACATGTCTCATTTAGCGTTCTCGCGAAACACTCACGCGCCTCCGTTTCTCTCGATCCTCATAAGGCGAGGGGCTTCGCTTCCTGCGACTGCTTGTATCAGGCCGGTACCGGTCTGCCGAACGATCGCGACTGCGGTCTCGTCGCGGGGAGCGTGATCGAGATCGAGATCTCCGTCTCTCGCGCACCGCAGAAGCATTGGCCCCCGTAGGACCTCTCGGTCTGTCGTCGCCCCGGTCAGGCATGAATCGTTCATCGGTAATACCTATGGGAGCACCGTCGCGATGCCGGGACCGGTTGTTGAACCCCTCGCCAAAACGACCAGTGTCCTCGGATTTGAGATCCCTATAGCGCGTGCGTCCTTTCTTGCCCAGCTTCGACATATCACGAATCTGCATGTACTGCGGTAGAGTTTCCCGAGAGACATCATCCACGAACTTGGCCCCCATGAGGTTTCTCTGCGCCAGTCCCTCGCGCTGCATGTCTTCGCTGAAAAAGGCACCCTTGTGGAAGTAACGCTGCATGTATCCGGCCTGACCGCGATTCGCCTCCTTCTCTTCCTCCTGCTTGGCGATGAATTCACGGTCTTCGCGCTCGCGCTCCTCGGCCGTCAGTCCTCTGCGTCGCTCGATCTCCTCGCGCTCCTTTTCTGCTTCCTCGATCGCCTCACGCTCGCGCTTGATGCGCTTCAGCTCTCGGAGCTTCCACGCTGCATATTCTGCCTCTGGGTCCTTTCCATCCGTGTCGTCAATGGCCTCTTCGTCGCCCACCTCCAACTCATCGTCATCCCAGGCCCGATTTGCCTCGCTCCGCGCAATGGCGTCTTTCTCTAGTTGCGCTCGAATCAAAGTATCTGCTTTTTCTTGTCGTTGTGCCCGACGAGCCTCTGTGTCGGCTGCCGAATCCACCGTAGTGCCTGCTCCGCCGTTCGTTGGTTGCGTGGTATTGCGCTTGTCTTTTTTGATGAACGTAGGTCGTAACAGCACCCTGCGGGGTGCTTCATCTTCCGAGCTGCTCTCTTCTTCCGAACTTTCTTCCTCTGATTCCTCCTCTTCCGATTCTTCATCTGCGGCAATCTGCGCCGGCTTAGCAGCCACCCTATCGCCCGCAACAGGGAGAGCCGTCTTCGAAGGTCGAACTTCTTCATCATCCTCATCCTCATCCTCCGTCACAAAACCCTCCTCATCTTCATCCTCATCCTCCTCAATCTTCACATCCTTGACCCCCTTGGCGATTTTCCCCGCTGCCGCCGCCGGAAACGAGCTCGCCTTAGGAGCCTGTCTCCTCTGCTGTTCAAGTCTGCGCCGTTCCTGCTCTCGGATCTTCTCCGCCTCGTTATCTTCTTCTTCTTCTTCTTCTTCCTCCTCTTCTTCAGATGAAGGCTCCTCGGCGACGGCTTTTCCGGGTCGGTGTCGGCTCGGTTTGAGGGGGTTTGCGGTCATGCCGCGATGGTAGGAGGGGAGGGGGGGGGGCATGTTGTGCTGCTGCTGCTGATGACGTCTAGCAAATTTGAAATAGGAGTGCTTGCAGCTGAATCGTTGGAAAGAAGGAATGCGCCCGTGGCGTGCGTTGACAGAAAAGAATTATTAGCTTCAGCTTCAGCTTCTGCGGTCCGGAGGTACCTCCGCTAACCACCGACCGACCGACCGCCGACCGGGCGATAGAATAATGCAGCTAGCCACAGTAGCTAGGGAAGTCAGGTGACTACGCGTCACGCGTGCCGCGCCTTTACTTTGATTCCGGAGTTGATATCAATATCACCACCATCACGATACCCCTCTCTCTCTCACTCTAATTCAATTCATCAATTCTCTCTCCTCCTAAATCTCTCATTCTGAACTACAGAACCAAAACCACCTCCAATACCTGAAAAACGAACAACCAACCCCAACCCAAAACATTAACAATGTCATTACAAACCCCCCGCATCCTCCCCTCCCACCTCCACGCCTTCCACTCCTCCTCTACCAGCACCAACACCTCCGGCCCTCGATCCTCCCATACCGTTCGTATCCTCGGCACCGTGACGGCTCTCCGGGGCGATACCGCCACCATCACATGTGGGAATCATGGCGATGTTACTCTCATCCTGAAACCGGATTCGCATCTTCAGATGGGGAAGTTGGTCGAGATTGTGGGGAAGGTTGCGGATTTGGAGGGGGGGGTATGTTCTTTTCCTTTACCTTGTTGGGGGTTTTGTTGCTGGGGGGAAGTGGTGGAGGGGGGTGGGATGAGATGGGATGAATTACTGACTTGGATTGAATACAGGGCGTTGGGATTCGTGTCCTTGGGTCGATGGATTGGGGGAATCCGGCGGATTGTGGTATGTCTTCTTTCATTCACTTCCTCTTTTCTTTTCAAGAGGCTTTGGCTTTCGCTTGGTGTGCTGTACTATACTATATCCCTTCTTAAAACAATCTCATATCACACTGAACTCAGAAAGAAAGAAACTAACTCTTCACTGCACCAGACTACAGAATCTACGAACAGGTCGTGAACGCTACGCATCGACTGAAGCCGATTTTTTATGATGAATGAGTTATTACATGTGTCCTATAAATTTCAATTGAATCGAGTTGTTCTATTTAAGGGATTAAAAGAAATTACTGGGTATTGTGGTTGTGTAGTCGGGGATATTTTGCTGGTAGGCATAGTCTGGAAATACTATATGGGTTCGGGTTGCTGTGCTGTCTGGCGGGTAGTGCTTCTTGGGTGTGGTTCATATGGGATGGGGATCTGGGATGGGAGATAATGCAGTGGATAATGGTTGTCGAGGCTGTAATCTGGTGCGTGTATGGGGTATCTGGGTGTGTGGCCTGCTCATGAGTGGACTTGACAGATGTTGAGACGTTGGCGTTTGGGCTGTTTCATTGATCGAATGGGTTGTGATTTGATTATGGATTAGATGATATTACATATTACTGACCACTGATCCCATGAATGAGTATCAGTAAAGGTGCTACATATTATTATAGATGTCTCATGCTACGTACTCGAGATATTATCACTAATGATATTATCAGCTTGATCTTAATTTATACTTATCTAATGCACACCAGTGCTGGTATCTAACTATATAATCCTCCCAAGTTATCTCTCGATCTTATTTCCGTCCTATTCCACCCTATTCCATTTATTCCATCCCATTCCCATCGGAACGAATTTGACCAAACATCGGCATAGCCGGAATCCATCCAACGCCATCGCTAAAGACACAAGGAAATCAAAAGATAGTCGGCTCGTCATAACAAAAAGGAACTCATTAAGCATCAGTAGGTTGTGGTGGCTTGTCCTTGGCGGATTCGCTCTTCTCTTTCACGCCCAGCGTCACGCTGTCCGCGTTGAGCGCATCCGAGCTGAAAAACCCCGAGTCCAGCACGGTCGTATCAACATAGTTGAAAATATCAAACTGCGGGTTCTTTTGGAGGTCCGGATCAGACAGCAGCGCATTGATGAGATCCCCCGAGTCTTCAGTAGGCTCGCCGTTCGGCTCGCCGTCGGTTCCCGTAGGAGACACATAATCCGAAGGAATCCAGTCGGGCCAATTGCCCTTGTTCGAATCCAGAGCAAACAGCGCGTCGGTATGCGCAGACGGTGCGTCCGAAAAGATATCCACAATCATATTGCCCATCTCCCCAAAGGCATCCGTGGTGAAAGCATCATCCACCAAAGCCGGAAGCCCAAGACCCTGCGAGCGCGACTGCTTCGACGTCGTGTTGTGGCGCGCCGGTCCTGGGCTGCTCTGGATCCGTTGGAGTCGTTGCGCAGTGATTCGAGTCGGGGTCGCATCCGAGCTGATCCCCTTCCGACTCCGCGACGGCGAATTGCTAGGCAGCGAGTGTCGCTTTTCGCCCAGAATGTTCGCGCGAGGGTTGCGACGCCGCGGCGTGGGACTCGTCGGCAGATCAAAGTCAAATTCAGGACTCTCGAAAAGCCCGTCCAAATCGGCAGAAGCCTGATTCTCCTTGTCGTCCGGTCGCTTGTCGGTTCCGCGTGAGATCCGAGGGCTGCGCCGGGGACTGTTCAGAGTGGCATCACCTAACGTTCGCAAAGGCCCGCCCTCATTGTGCGAATTAGGAAAAAGCACTCGTCTCACGGACTTGGGAGTCAGAGCATTCTCACCCGCAGCTGGAGCATTGCGGTGTTCAAGATTCCGAGCGGGGCTCGACTGGATCGCTGCGCGGAGGGCCGCTACCGGATCCTGCTCCTGCCAACGACTGCCCGCCGTATCGGACGACTTGCGTGGCTCCAGGCTGTTGGCACGGCGGCGCTTGGCCGGTAGCTCCCGGACATCGTCATTGTCGGGCACAGTGCTCGGCTCGTTCTCGTTGTTCTCCGTTTCCCCGCGGGGGGTGGTCCCATCGTCCACCGGAGGCGAGGATGCATCGGACGCCCCAGGCGACGAACCGTCGGGTTTGCTGGAATCAGCCCGGGCACGGTTTCTCGCTGACGCAGTGTTACTCGAGAGCGGACCGCCACCCTTGCGGTTCCTCGGAGGGCGCTTCCGCTTGTTGCTGCCAGACTTGTTCCACTTGTTCTCGGGTCGCATGGCCTTGAACTTGTGAAGCCACAGACCACAGGCTGGATGTTCATTAGCAAAGGGACCAAGGAATCAATGGGGACCACTTACGGTTGCAAAGCAGGACCTGGACAAAGTCCTTGTCCGCATCCACCAGGCTCTTCTTGTAGATCTTGAATTTCGTGACCTTTTCTTGGTCGTTGCGGTCCACAGCCTGCCAGAACAGCATCGTGGGGTCCTTAATCAGTTCATTGGCCTCCTCTTCACTGCCCACGATCTCCTTGGACCAAGCCCTACGCCAGGTAGGGGTCTCAATCGCACCGCAATTTTCACAATAAGGCGGAACCTGTCCGTTCTCGATACACTTGACCAGGCGGGCTTGAACCTGCCGCAGTCGTCGGGCACCGGCACCACTGCGAACCTTGCCATCCTCGGTGGGCGGCGGCGGAGCAGGCGTCTCAGCGACCGAAAAGTCACTCATCGGACCATTCCAGGACTGCGTGCCCTGCATATGCACATGGGAAGGCATGACTGGATCGCTGGCCGGGATCACACTCATAAGCTGCTCCAGCTCGCTCTGTGACATGGGCGCAGGGGCCAGGGGCTTGGGGGCTTGTCGGATACCCGCGCGAGATGATGGCCTCGATCCCGCCAGGCTGGCCGGAGCACGAGGGACTGCGGATGACTTCTCCTTACCTGCCTGGTCGGGCGCATCACTGGCGGGGTAGTTGTCATGGTTCATGGGTCCAACAGGCGAGCTCGCTGGCGCAGTCGGACGCACGCTTCGCTTGCCGCGAGTAGCATCGTGGGACACCGATCTGGGGCAATCATCCAAGGGAGTACCGATTTCCTCATCCAGGAGATCATCCATACCCCCGCTCATGAAGCCCGAATCCGGATCCGTGGCCATCGGCGGGAGAACCGGGCTGGAGCGACCAGGGAATCCGCAATCCAGAACAGGAGGGGAAGACGGCATATTGAAGGAGGGCTCAAAGAGGCCTTGATACCGGGACTCTTCCGGCGACTGAGTGTGATCCCCGGGTTGATGATCGTCGCTCATGGGGTAGGGGGATGTGTACTGCCCATGGCTGTGAGTCGACGACTCACGCAAGAGGCTATGCGGGGGGCGAGCGCGGCGAGGAAGGTCATTGCCGTGGGAGATTGGAGTTGGCGGCCGAACGGGCTCTTCATTCGAACTTTGAGCAGCCGCAATCGACGGGTTGACAGGGGTAGGGCGATGGATCCGGACAGAGGCAGCCGTGCTGGCGGCCACACGGAGGGAGCTGGGCTGTCTTTCAATGTTCAGATCGGACTTGCCGGGCCACTCGGTACGGTACAGCTTGGCTCTTTTCCGGGGTTGCTGCTCCGAGGATTCGTCACCGCTACCGTAGCCAGACTGCATGGATCCTCGGCGACTGGCATATCTCGCCTGGGAGGGGAGGTCGGACTCGCGCATGGAGGCGCTCGATGAGGGGCGAATGACATCGGTGTGGGATCGCTCCTGTGGCTGGTGCAGCTGCAGGGCTTGCTCCTGCTGCTGCCCCGAAGCCGGGCATCCAGGCGTGGTCATCCGGCTTGCATGACCCAGGACGGACTGTGCGGGCGATACCGAGCGAATGGAACCATTGGCGGCAAACGAGGGCAATTCTCTTGGGGTCGATCCTTCACTCAGCAAGCGATGGAAGCGTTCAATTCCGGCGTGGTCCACGGGTGATGCCGTTCGGTCGGGTTGCTGAAGGCGGGGGGCCAGCAGACCGGGGTTCTGGCGAAGGAAATTGGTCCAGGCCTGTGCGTCGAACTCGTGGGGGATGACATTGCTCAATTCGCGGTATCGCTGCATGCTGTCGAGGTACTCGCTTTGCATAACGGTGGGAACAGGGACCAGTCGCAATTTCACCTCCAATGTCTCCTGGGCACCCTTCGAAAATAAGCCTAGAACATTCTTGCACACCCGCCCGGTGACCATAGTTTCCGATTGATGTGCCGGTGCGTCAGGGGTCGGAGAAGCAGAAGCCAGAACCCAAGAGAGCATTCCCTGCCCGACGAGAGGCGTCTCATATTCCGAGTAATCGTAGGCGTACACCGTATAATCCTGCCCCAGTTTGGCAACGAGTTCCGGGCTATCACATGAAACCGTGGCCATAAGTATCCGTGGTTGACCCCTCCCTGAAAGGGGTACTCACCTTGCCGAGACGATGGCTTGAATGCATGTCTTCAATTCAATGACACCGATTTGTGTTTTCTCATCGAGGACAGCAGTCTGAATGTCGAGGAGATGGGGCCAGCGGGCCAGGCAATTCGTTTTGTTGGCATCATCGAATGTGTAGAGCACCTTGACTGCAAGATTCCGCGGAACGGTAAGCATTCATTGCAAAACTGACACCTCACACACAAAAATTCACTTACGCCTCATAGGCCGGACGGAAATTCCGTCCTGAGAGTCCATTCCACCAAGCAAAAAGAATCAACCATAAGCCAGTCAAAGTACCCAGGTGTGAAGGGAAAGTTCGTAAGGTTTTGACGAGAGGTGGAGGGTTGCACCCGGGTCGTTCGGAGGGAGGCTCGAAAAAAGGATTGTCGAAATGCAACCACAAAAGAGATCGAGAACGAAGCTCGGTAACTGGTGATATCTTTCAGTATGCGGGACTTGTCGTATCGGCCACTCAGAAAGGCCCGATTGGCGGTAGTGTCAGCCGGGAGAATGCAGAGGCCTGGACGTATGCAACGGGGGTCGCGGGGAAAGGGCTTGTGGAATGCCAACGCGGGACACGGAGCAACGACAGGAGGAGCAGATGCGGTGAGAAACCTGAGGCATGAGAAAAAGAAAGAGAAGAATAAAGATCCGAGGAAGGCTGGAGAACTGGCTCTTCAACCACAAGCCGATCAGGTGAGAAGAAGGGGGTGGTGGAGAGAGGGAGGGAGGTTGGGGGTTTCGAGGAAAAGGGCAGACGCCTTGCATTTGAAGAGTGAAGCTTGGACGAACTCGCATCCGAGCGTGTCGGACGCGACGTGACGCACAGCCAATCGCGACCTCGGGAAAGTCCGGCGCTCAAACACGGCAAACACGCGTGCCACGTGACAAGCACCCGCGCCAAGCCAGTGCTTCACGACCGACAGAAGCTGATTGATACAGTCTCCAACTTCACGGCATCCCCCATACTTATATCCTACGCCCACCATGTCGACCGATCCCAAGATCCAGTAATTACCCCTCTTTCTGGCTCCCCTCGGTCTGCCGATGACTCATCGCCTTCCGTCATGGTGTAATCGGCACCCCAACCTGTTGAACCTGTGCTAACCTCTTGTCCAATCCAGAGACCTGCTCAACAAGCCTAAGAGCGAGCTCACGTATGTCCCATCACCCCTCCTTTTCCGTTCTCGCACAGATCCACGAGGGCAGTGCCTTCTCGCAAGGCTTTATCCCGCGCCCCCTATCACATGATGCCCGACCTGGCACACTGTCGCTCGCTCCACCCGATCCCTAGCCGTTGTCGCCCGCGGTTATTATCATCATCGCGTCCATTCTTCCCACCCATACCCGTCCTCATCCTTGCGCTAACCTCGCCTCCCATCCAGTGAATACGAGGTCTCCCTCGTCGAGGAACATGAGCTGACCGCCGGTCCTCTCTCCCTCCTCCAAACCGCCACGCGCACACACACCCAGGTCCTGATCTCATGCCGGAACAACCGCAAGCTCCTGGCCCGCGTCAAGGCCTTTGACCGCCACTGCAACATGGTGCTGGAGAACGTCAAGGAGATGTGGACCGAGAAGCCCAAGGGTGGTAAGGGCAAGGGTGTCAACAAGGACCGGTTCATCAGTAAGATGTGAGTCGCATCCCCCCCAGACCACCCCAAACCACCTCAGCAGCATCGCTAACCACCCCCGAATTCCAGGTTCCTCCGTGGCGACTCCGTCATCCTCGTCCTGCTCAGCTGAGCTCCGTCCACGTGACGCGCTCAATCTCTCGACGGGCCCTTAGTCCAGCTTCTTCCCTTAGTTGATCGAGTGGAAGCCGACGGAGACGATTCATAGTTGACACAACGAACGATACCCTTTTAGTCGTGCGATTTCCTCCTTACCCTCCTCCTCCTCCAAAAAAGTCTCTCCACGTTCGATCATCATCGGGGATGGTAGAACACCCCTCCACCTCCCACCCCATTCCCCTTTCCAACTACCGGTCTGGTCTGGGCGGCTCTTCTTGTCGTTTTTTCTATAATGTTATCTTTCGATCGATTTCAATTCATCGTTCTCTTTATCATCTACGGCGGGCTGATTTGGCGTTCTCCGGACCTTTGTTTTAAAAGCTAGAAAAGGAATGAATCTCTGAAGTGGAGTGTGGAATGGATTGCTGTGGAGTATCTCTCGGGTTTGATGTATGAGGACGCATTCCTAATGCTGGGAATCGAATCTTTGGCTCGAGAGCTGGATTAGACAGGTAGGGGTGTCCGATCGGAGCTGAAGTGGCTGTTCGGTTGGATGGACCTGATGAATGTTAATTTTCAAACTTTCTTAAAAAAAAAAGAAAATGTAACTGTAGACGATCTTTAGAGACGGGGTTTCCAGCGCCTCCGCTAGGTGCTAATTACCACTACCATACTTCTACAACTACTACAAGACGGGGTGTCTTGCGCCTAGTAATGCTGCTATATATCATAGTATAGAGTTTGGCTACTATGTGCTGATCGCCCTTAGCTGATAAGTAAACCATAAGCCAGGCCGACTGGAGTAAGACAAAATCATCATCATTATCATAATTATATTAGAAGAATATCATCAGCTGATGCAATATTTGTATGTACCCTGGAAATGAACCCCATCCCTTACAGAGCCTCGGACAGACCGTTGAGGAACACACTGAGTCCATGAGCGCCCGGGTCAGGGATCTTGCCCACCCATTCCTCTTCGCCACCGACGTAGACGCTGCGGCCCAAGCTGGCCTTCATGTTCTTGGTCGAGTCGGTGCCTTGTTGCGCCGCCCGGGCGGCAACGTGCACGTCCTTGACCTTCTGGAGTTGCGTGCAGAAGGGAACAAGGGCGTCGAGCAGCGTACGGTCGCCGGGCTGGGCAGGGGTGTACCGGGAGAGTGCGGAGAGTGAGTACGAGAGCGCCGCGGCCCAAACCTCGACAGTAGCGGGGGTGGTTGTGCCGCGGTCCTGCTCACGGAGGCCGTGGGCGAGCGCGTTGAGGAAAATGGCATAGATGGCTCCGGAGGTGCCGTCCATGGTGTTCTCCACGACGCTGACAATGCGGTTCACAGCATTCACCACGTCGTCGGTGATCTTGGAGGATGGGTCCTCCAGGAGCTGAAGGACAGCCTCTGCACCACGCTTCAACCCTACACCGCAATCACCGTCACCGACGATAGTGTCGTAGCGTGTGACTTCGGGCTCGGCAGCAATGACGCGCTGGAGGGCAGTGCCCAGGACCTTCTTGAGAACGCTAACGTCCACTGATTCGAATGTTAGCCGTAGCCGAGCAAAAAGCAACGAGGCAGAAGAGGATGGGTGTTGAGATACTCACATGTCACGTTGCTGGGCTGATCTTCGGGCATCTTAGTCCTCTTCAGCTCAACAGGAGCATCCGACCGATGCTTCCAGGTTTCAGTGCGAATGGGAGCGGACCAGCCAACAGCCTCCGCGGGAGCGTCGAGAAGTTCCAGGAAGGACTTTCCTGAACCCAGTCCAGTGTCCACGAGTTTCAACAGAGAGATGCTGAAGCCCAGGCCATTCAGACTGGTGAGGAAAGTGCCTTGAATGACGCGGACTGGCTTGACGTTGTAATCCCTCTCCAGCTGGCGATGCACCTCATCGGTGATACCCGCCAATTCAAGGGTGCTCACACCACCCAAGTTGTTGATCAGCAGCACAAAGTCGTCCTCGGGCTTGCGGGTGACCCAGGCGCGGTCAGGATCGTTGTGGTCCAAAAGTTGAAGAAGCATAGTTGATACCAGATCGACCAATGTGAACTGAACCCGGTGAGATCCCGGCTCGTTGTGAATACCCATTCCAACCTCAACCTCGCCATCGGGGATCGTGTCTGTTGGCATAGCTCTGCCTGGGACGTGAACGTGCTCCAAAGAAGAGCCAACAGAGACGAGGTTCTTGTTTGCCAACTGGGCAGTGCGGTAAACATCCTCCAGAGATCCACTGATCCAGTCAGTCCATGAGCTTACGACCGTCGCATCCAAGAGGATTCAACTTACCCAGCTTCGGCCAGCGCGCTGACAATCTTCAGAATAAGGATACCACCAGCAATACCACGGCGGCCGACCTTTCCTCCCTTCTTCTTGCCGACACCAACGTCATCGTTGATGGCGAAGAATTCGGACTTGATTCCGGCGGCTCGGGCCTTCTCCGTAGCCATACCGAAGTTGAGCACATCACCCGTGTAATTCATGGGGATGACAAGAACACCCTTCTCGTGGTCGACACAGTCCATGATAGCCTTGCGAATCTGCTCCGCGGAGGGAGAGGCGAAAATGGTACCGGCGGCCGAAGCATCTAGGAAACCCTTGCCAACGAGGCCTGCAAAAGCAGGCTCGTGGCCAGAGCCTCCTCCCGAGATGATCGCAACCTTGGACTGTGATGCCGCATCTGGGCGACGGAAAATGATCTTATTTTCGGGGTCGTATGCAAGAGAAGGGTTTGTGAGGGTGAGGGAGTGCAGGGCGGTCTGGACCAGATGGGTTGGGTCCGAAAAGAAGTGTTTGGCTGATGGGCCGGCGTTAGCGCATGCATCGGACACAGCGGGTTCTGCGGAGGAGATCTGACTTCATGCCGGCCCTGGAACAGGATCTGGGACTGCATAGTCTGGCGCAAAAGCCAGAAAGATTGGGGCAACATAAAAACAGGAATGAAATCCTCTAGAAAAAATTGTGGAACATACTCTGCATAATGGAGGGAGATCTGGGGGTTGATCGCAGCAAGAAAACTGGGGACTCGGGGCGAGTATGACGTTTGGCGGACGCGTAGGAACACGAGCCGTCTGTAGAGTGGGGTAGGACGAAGTACGGCTCGACTATCGAGATCGCGGCTGTTCGTCCTCCAAAAAGGCGATTGCGTTTGGCTTTATATATACACCTCCCTTGCTAGGACAGTGTCGGTTTCGAGCGGCTTGCATTTGTCAGTCCTCTCTTCAGAAGCTTTCGGGTTGATTCGCAGCGACTGTACCAAAGACGGAGCGCAACCCTGGGGATGGGCGCGTAGGATCGGAATAGAGTCCGGACAAGGCGGGGAAAAGTGGGGAAGTTGGATTCGCTCGAGGCTGGCAGCTGTCAGTCCACTGATGTTTGTGCATCCAGAAAAATGGAGAATCGCAAGGCAGTAGGGATTCTCATTTGTCCATTTGCACTCACAGTCACTTGTCAGGTGGACGATCGGTCGATTGGCGAGAAGTCTCCAGACGCCTGGGATGACCTTGTAGATCGCAGGGAATTGGGTAAGCAGTTAGCAAATTGAGGACGACCGAGGTCAGACCCGTCTACTCAGAGTAGAATGAGGAGATGAAGAAGAGGAAGTGAGAATGAATCGTGATGGTCCAGGGAAACGATGAGCGAGAAACCGGGGCGAGCGCGCTGAGATAAATAAGAACCAGACGGAGTATGCTGTTGGGGGTAGTACTTCAGGATGTCGTAAGTCCCATCCCGACTAGTAACCTGATAATTGCATTTTCGAGCCGATTTGAATCGGAATCCTAATTTTTTTTGCAGCTCACATGAGCAGGTCGTTTTTCGCATGACCGACCCATCGACCATGCGGTGCTGGATAGGGAAACTCATGCTACTACAGTTGTCGTTACCGGTGGTAATCGACTCGTCCGTCCAGCCAGTCACATCCCGGCTGGCTTCCCCATGGGTCTGGAACCCGCCCCCATGGAAATTACCCGCCCACATTGGTGACTTTCGTTGACCCTGCCGGGGCGCTTCGGCTTACTCTCTGCGGGAATTCCGCCTTGCCGTTGAACCTGACGACCTGAACGGTTGACGGTACGGCTATCTTCGAGTTGTCTACGACTCCCTACGGTTTTGCGTTCAGTGCGTCCGCGGGATGGGACAGCGCTGTTCGCGGGTTCAGAGTGATAATCGAGTTATCGTATCATCACGGAACACTGCCAACAGAGACATACTTTACGGTGTACATATTGCTGCATCAATTGGACTATGTACATAGTAGACGGGATCGTCCACTCAAATCAACTAGTAGCAGTAGACGCAAGACAGGTTGGGGGATGGGCGATGTCACGGGTGCGTAACCCTTCCAGTTCCGGGTGCATCCTTGGCCGCTGGAAAAGCGCAACGATGTCTGGGAAACTGATCTTCAAACTGACGCCGCGGGGTGGCGGAGTGGTGGTGAATCGGATTCTTGATTTGGAGACCAGTGATGCTAGTGGTACATAGTATCTCCGATTGCGCCACACCATGGCAACCAACCCATCCCTTGTTTGAGAGATCACATACGATGTACGATGTAAGTATTAGGTCTTCTTGAAGACGGAGATCGAATTGGATTACAGGACGACAACCAGAAGACATGACCAGGACCCACTACTCTACGGGGAACGCGAATCCAGCCATCCTCAGCTTGATAACTCTGTTGCATACATATCAATCCTATTGAAGATAATTCCCTGACCACCGCATACATGCATGGGATCTAGGCTTGGCGGTCGTGCCGCAGCTTAGGCATCCGTCGCGGCATGTTTTGTGCCGTGCTGACAACTGTTATGCAGAATTCAGGCTTCCAGCATCAGGTAGGATTGGTAATGGACAGGTATGTGAATACCAGCATGGTCTCAACAAATAATCGACAACGCAATTCAATCCACCCTCCTGTCTGCACCGCATGGGGGGTGCGCAATGGATCGTCGAAAAAATAGACGGTCTCAATCCCCAACAGATGCGAAAGCGATCATGGGACCTTGCAAAAAAAAAAAAAAAAAAGAAAAAAAAAAGAAAAGAAACGCGAAGGAAGGGGGAGCCACCGGTCTCCGCTGTCAGATCTTTATGAAACCCACTATAGCAGCAATCGTTACTCGATCGGGAGGATGGTTGATAGGGAGGCGTGTCCGGTCTCGAAGACTGGAAGGAAGGAAGGAATTTCTCCTCCGATATCCTGCATACATACATAGTAGTATCGACTGCCCAGTACAGGGATCGTCCGTCCCTGAGAAAAGCTCAGACTTCCACGTGAACTCCCCCCTTAGCCGGCCCCCCGAGCCTAGACCGTTTCCCCATCCGTCTCGAGCGGTCATCGATGGGGGTTGCCGCCGGCTGACAACTCCCATTGCCTTTTTCCGGAGTTTCCAGGCGTTCGTGGGTTTGACTTTCGTTCTCTGCCGAGTCGTGTCGGTCTCTCGGGCGAGAGATACGCTGTGTAGTTCAACCCAATTTCAGCCGTGATGAATGAAACAATGCAGCTGTCCCGTCCAGACATGGTTGCTTATCCTTACGTGGGCGCCCCGGGTGTACCTTGCTGTCCAGCTCAGTGCATTCAGCGACAAGGACACGTGAGGCGCATTCAGTCCGTTTCCCAAGTCCCAACAGTCCCCGCGGTCCTGCGGGTGGAATGGGATGTGCTCGAACAGGCAAGTATACCGAGGACCTAAGAGTCGTTGCAGAGTCGAGGCTACCTTCCTTTTCCCGACGGAACGCGATGGAAGCTGTCTTAGGCTGGGAGTGGGACCGGCGCTCCTCCGCAACCATGCCAGGGATTCCCTCCCGGCATTCCGCCCACTCCACGGTCCACACACTATCTCTACCACTAGCGATGCGGAAAGTACCCCGGCCAGATCATTGCTACGCTGCCCGAGAGGGAAGGTCCCAAATCCCAAATCACTCAGGATGCACACCTGACTGAACTAGTGCATTCTTCATCATGCCATTCCAACTCTGTACGACCATAGTCTGACACCCGACACTAGCACGCTATTGCTGGAAAAACTCTAGGCCACATATTGGTACCGATTCCCTTCCTCTCGCTCCATGTAGTCCTTCTCGATCAGCCTGTGCAATTTCGTGTCAGTAACATTACTTCTAAATGAAAATTGGGAGCCGGAAGACCCACTTCTCAATGTTCTTCTTGATATCCGCCGGCTCCAGCACTCCCCGGCTTCGCGTCGCCTTGATAACCTCGGCCACAAGCTCCGCGTGCGTGATGGTCTTGCGGCTCTTCATAATCCGCACAATAGCCGCCTGCGTCTCATAGTGCCGGTCAGCAGCCACCCGCTCGTGCGTTGTCTTGTTTTCTTCCTTCGTCTCTTTCAGTTGGATCTGGTTGATTTTGATCCGCATCTTCGGGTCGGAAAATCCCGCGTTGTACGAAAACTCATCCGTGGTATTGACTTCGCGGCCCTTGGGCTTCTTGCTGAGGACACGATACCTGGCACAGGCGAGCGACTGAAGTGTTCGTTTCAATTCCTGGTCAGCTGTATCTGCAGTGTTAGCAGCAGTCCAATTGTCATCCAGCTAGACATGGGATAGGGAGGTGGGGCCACTGACACAGCATGGTCGCCTCTTGTATTTGTTGATATCCGAGGGTTCCACCCTCTGGGGCATCGTTGAACAGTAGCAACACGATCGCCTGGAAGGAGCTGACTACCAATTCCTTGTCTCCCTTGGGAAACCTTGCCCGCAGCTGACAATGGGCAAGCTGATGCTTCCAGTTGAGCTTCCGCCCATTGTATTTGGTGTTGTAGAATTTCTCGAAATCATCGACGGCAGTCGCGATCTCAGGTGGTATCCGCACCTGGACATCAGGGTACGTGGGCCATGCCGACGCCGACAGTACACTGACACTGAGATCCACCAGCAGGCGGTGCCGCCGTTCGCGTTGTATAGAGCTGTACGCCGCCATCTCATCCCGGGCAACGTCCATATCTTTGAACATGGACTCCAGATTGTGCGTAAAGCTTGATCCACATTCTAATTCCAATTATCAGTATAGGCCGGGAAAGCCAAGGATATAACAGTAATGCCAACCTGTCTTAAGCCTCGATAGCATGCTCTTCTCCGCATCGTCGCTGGCGCTTCTGCCCATTAACAGCCGACGAGCAAGGTCGTTCTTGTAGAATGCCTCAAACACCGCTTTGCCATGGACAAAGCGGAACAGGTCCAGAACCTGGTCTAATTGCCGGTTGATTTCGGCATCTTCGTCTGCAAGTGGCATGTCCTCTGCCGTACGCGCAGGCGCTAATTTCCATCCGCCTTTGAGAAGCCGGTCCACGTACTTGGCAATCATTTCGCCAGTCTTGGGGTTGTCAGTCCCGCCAGTAGCTGCCGACTTTCTTCCCTTGTTGATGAAGGTCTCAAAGGCTTCACGGAGTGTGTGACCCAGATCCTCGTTCCGGTGAAAAGAATTGAGCCAAACGTCATCGAGTTGCTGCTTAAATTCTAGTAGTCGAGCCACCATGTCCACCTCTTTCTCTTCATCAAAAACAATCCCGGAACCTTCCTCGACGATATAACCGCTGAAGGCGGTCTTCAGTTTCGCACCCAGACTCTTTCGCTGAAGGAGGGAATAGAGCCTTTCCAGTGCAATCTTGTTTCCCGCCCGCAGTAGGCCTAGGATATCGGTCTGGTTGAGCAAGACATCCTCTTGCTCCGTTACCAAGGCTCGATCCAGGAGCTCCGATAACTTCTGTTTGGTGCTTCGGTTGAGGGAAAACAGCTCACACCGATTCACTTCGCGCTCAATTAATCGATGGCTGTTTTCCGCAAAGGTGGCCAAATATCCTGTTGCTTCTCGCTGGGCCCACGAGGAAAAGTAGTCCCTGGATTCGGAAACGAGAAGCGGCTCGAAACCGCTCGTGTAGATATCAAGGCCGTGGAACAGTTCGATAGCATTCCGAAGTAATAAAGAATCCGCCACTACACTTTGTTCCTCACCACGATCCGCTTCGACCAGGTCACAAGCACCCTGCAGAATCTTCGGCTGTAATACGGCGTCGGAAAAGATGTGCTGACGAAACTGCATCAGACCCATTTCACGGATAATGGGGAACTCCTTGGAGTGGAGAAGGAACGATTGGTCGAGGTAGTAGAAGATCCAGCGAACAGTAACCTGCGATACAGTTAACATCGGTCTGTTATCTTTCGAGTGAACCAGTGACTCTGTACCAGCTTGGACTGCCATAGCGACCACGCCTCCACCACTGCCCGTAGTGTATCAACATTGGTTCCATCTGCAGCCTTTGCTGCCAATTTATCGCGCAATTGTCCAGACACATGATCTCGACATCGGTCCTGCAGCCGTTTGGCCAAAGCTGCGGCTCGTCCTTGGCGACACACATTTTCGGCGCCCTTGTAAAGCTCCTCCAACGATATCTCAGGCTTCCCCCCACTGAAGATTGCCGACAACGCTGCATCAAGCTGGCCCCATATCTTCTCGAAATACGAATCCTGATTCAATCGCGAACCCGTCCGGAGATTCTTCACGACTAACCGTTTCGCTCCAGTGTGGGGGGTGAAGTTGCTTTGCCGTGATGTGGCGTTGATGGTGCGAGGTTTGGATGTTGCATTGGGAAGACCAGCCCCGCTCGGACTCTGTCCCATCGGGCCGCCCGACCTGGTCTCTGCATTTGCGAAATTATACATCCTGTCGGAGGCGTTCGGTCCTTGCGAGATATTCGAAGGGACAGAGCCCGATGATGGTGGGGAGGTTCGTAGACGCTTGTTCGCCGGGGACGTCTGTTGCGGATGACCTCTGGCGGGGGTCGTATGGTTCCGAGAGAGAAGCTCGGAGATGGTCGCCTGCTGCTGTTGAGGTTGCTGCACCTCCCCCTCCTGCTGATCTGAGAGCTTCCTCTTGCCGATCGACTTGCGCTTACCGCTCCTCTGCTCGGTGGCACCTCTCGAGTTCTGCTGCATCTACCCGGTTTCGTCCGAGGAGAGGAGGTTGAGAGAAGGGCGCTCAGCGTTGGAAAGATCCCGGCAGTAGGAAAACTCTATCGAACATGGTAAGCTCGTCAACTGCTGGGGAGGGCCGATGGTGAGGACGAGACGGTGGTGGCCAGGCGGAGTGCGTCGATGAGCGTGAAGGTGAACGGGCAGCAGTGGTGAGTTGGGTGGTTGCTGGTTGCTGGTTGCTCTCCCGCCCAAGACGGAGATAAGATAATACGTCCGCCCCCGGTTCGTTGCATGATTGGATGGGAACGGCCTGCCCAGTAAGCATTGACTACGAGTCATGCCTTGGCAGCTGGAAAGCTCACGATCACAGCAGTAGCCAGGGACCGGCTGGGAGCAATCTAAATGAGTGGGGAGGCCCCAGCATGGCACGCTAGGAGAATGCATGGGGTTTGGGAGGCGTCTAGATAGTAATATAAATCAACGCCGCGGCGTCGCCTAACTATGCCGCTTCGTCACCCTGAGGCGTCACAGGCTGACAACGCAGATCCTCTAAATCCATGACTGAATACTTCAATATACATCATTCCAACCAGTTTACTCCATGCCTTATGCCTACCAACCTGCCTATCTCCTTCTCGCGTAGACCCGATCTCATGTAAAGAACTTCATGCCCGTCCGCTCCTTTACTTCTTGATCTTCGAACTATAACAAATCAGTTAGTATCATCGAGACGAGCAGTGGTGCCCAGGTGGAACATACCTCCAGGAAGTCTGTGGCTGTGATGAGTGCCATATATGACTTGGTCAGTTGCCGCAGGGCATCTTGATGGTTTGCGGCACCCCCGCCTCCAACCTTGGCAAATCTCTTGAATATGCCGACCATGCTTTGCCTGTTCTCGGCAAGGAAAGCCCGCGTTTGCTCCAGCATCTGTTCGTTGTGCAATCCACGAGAAAAGACAGCGGCGACGACGACACGGAGGACTGAGTCAAGCAGGTCGTAGTACTTTCGAAGAGCATCGGGGTTATCGATATCTAGGTCTGTTAGGTGCGGATTGCATCGTTGGAATGAGACCTTCACTCACCGATACCGAGGTCTGGGTCGGCTGCGAACAGTTGCGAGTCCCGTACTGCCTGGAAAAGGCCAGTTTTCAAGACACAAGTCGCACCATTCTTGGTCTGGCAGAGCTCCTGAAGTAGGCAGAGAAGCGATTGGTAGTAGGACAACAACAAAGGTGTATCTAATCAGATTACGGTCAGCCATGCGCGTTTACTAACGAATGAGACGACTCACCACTAGCTGGGGCGTTCCTCAATTCAACAGGTAGCGACCCGATAGCGTCCAAGAAGAGGCTCAGGTAGTTGGACTGAGCTATGGAATCGGCCAACTGACCATCTGCTTGCCTATCCAGAGCAGCCAAGAGATTAAGGAACAGAAGGGCGGATACTCGGCATGTTTCTTGGCCAGCGTACGCATCGTCGCAGACGGCCTCAATCAAGGCATGGCCGGCAGCTTTGATCACTTGCTGACTCTGGAGTCTCATGCTTTGATGCGTCGGTTCTGACGAGATGATGCCGGCGATATAGTGTGCGCAGGTGTTGTAAAAGGTCTCTCTGATGTTGACATTCCCGCTTGCCAAGATCACGCCTCGAATGCAAACCTGGAAGAGTTGATGGAGTTTCTCGTCGAGGACATCACCGCTCCTGCGAGCATGATTCGAACCGGGCTGCGTAGACTCCAGTCTGCTGACCAAGGTCTCAGCCAGTCGTGCCAATTCAACCCCCTCCGGTCGATCTTCTTCAATAGCAACCTCGAGTTTGGGGAGAATCAACTGAAGCGAGTGTAGTATGAAGGTAGCTCTCCTTCCGCCCTCAATTTCGGAACAAGTGAGAATTGTGGTAATGAGCTGTGTCCATGACCGCAGAGCCAAATAACGGTTAAACGCAATCAGGTTCGCTTGGTTCGTTGCCCGTATGAACAACATCAAGTTCTCGGATTCGGCCAGGAATACTTCTTCATCTTGGGGCCGTAGGTGCCCATCCAAGGTCAATTCCTCCTTCCTGACCTGGATCAGCTCCACGACCTCATCCAGATTGTAGACGACTGGAGAGCTTTCTGTTTCAGGTCTCGCACACACGTCAAACTCGATACCGTCAAGCAAGTTCAATGCCGGTAGTTGCAACCGATGCTGGATGTCTAAATCCGCAAAATCGAAGAGATCGAAGACAGAGGGATTCACGATCGTCTCCCCAGCCTCTGAGACCGAGTTTCCGAACAATGTTGCAACGATCTCCGCTTGAAGGGTCGGGGAAGCAAGCTTGGCAGCAGAGCGGATTTCTGTTGCAGCGTAGTCGAACAGATAGCTTCTATAGAGGAGAAATTCTGCAAGAGCAGTTGTGGATTCAGAGAGCCAGAACTCATCCGTGATGATCGGCAATCCATCCCACGGTGTGTTCGGACCAATTATCGACTGGCTTGCGAGCATGTTGAAAAGAAAGCGGCTGCCACGCATCTCGGCGAGTGTGAAGTAGGACGAGAGCTTAGAAGACCAGAGATGTTTCAAAACCCCAAATGCCATGCGCTTGACGTGCAACAACCATGGGAGAATATTTCCATCCAACCCGTCGGGATAGCTCTGCAGAAATCCAATGACAGCATGCAACAAAGACATCTTATCGGCGAATAGGCCATCTGGCGTGACATCAAGCATATTCCCGATGCTGCTGAAACCAAGAAGCAAGTGGGCTATGGTAGGTCGGTCATTAATCATGCCGAGACAGCTGTTCAGGAGCGCTAAAAGGCTTTCTCTGATAATGTATCCGGGCGATTGTGCGCCAGATTCTATCTCTCTCGATTCGGGTTGCATCTGAGATACAAATGGGCGTGCGACACTGTTGAGGTCTACCTCAGCACTTAGAACTTCGACGATCTTGTTCGGTGAACGCCACTTGGATAACTCCGGAGACGTAACCTTGTTCAGCTTTCTGGAGCTAGATAGCTTCTCCAGCAACGTCATCGAGGTAACTGTGAGTTGTTGATGTCCCGTGCTGCAATAGAGGCATAAGGCAGGTATTAACGATAAGTTGTTCAGAATGCTATCCTCAAAAGCCGAGAGCGAAGAATTGGCCACATTCGTCCTGCTCCCACCAGCCTGGGACCTGATCGCCGGCCTCACAATATTGAAATACGTCGATTGAAGGTCGATTATCATGTCCATAACTTCCAAGCTCCGAACCAAGGAAAGGACAAGGATAGAGTCTGACGAGGCTTTCGCAACCTCATTCACATCTTGATGGGCTGTAGCAAAAAGAGCTTTAATCACGTCTTCATTGAACAGCCATTCACAAACCCGTGCAAAAGGATGAAGACGAATGTAGGTGACAAATGTGGACGCTTTAATGACGCTATCGCCGGCAGATATTGCGGGTTGACTGAGGACGGTGACTAGGTTCTCGTTGAAAGATTTCAGACATGTCACGATGCAATCCAAGCAGTTGTAAGTTAACAAGCGGGTCTGGCGTTCGTTGAGGTCCGGAACCTTCCTGGAAAGAGCTTGACCCATAATGAAGTCGATATAAGGCTCAATGCCCGGCATACGGTAGGACGAACCAAGATTTTCGGGGAACGATAAGGAGAGGTGAAAATCTGCCGAATCGGGAGCAGGAGAGACGAGTGAATAAACGAGGCGAACAAAAGCATTAGCCTGGTCGAAGCTCTCACCAATCCTCTGGAAGGCCTGTTGCTCATGCCATACGAGCGGATTCGAAACCACCGGGACCTTGCCAAGGTTGGAAGCACTCATAGAGCCCCCCGAAATCCACTGATCAATTGCAAGCCACATTTCATTGCCGTTGTGAGACGACTTCTCTGTCATCAAGGCCGCAAGAGCCGCAAAGACGTTTGCGCGCAAATGCGTAGGGATTGGCCCGCTGCACAGCATCAACAACGTACCGACAACATTGAAAGAAGGGTGGTGAAGCAGCCAGTCTCTGATAGTGGCACTCTGTTTGCACAGATGCTCCAGTAGTCTGAGGTAGCAGGTCAACATCACAGGGCTCTCTGGTTCGCTCATGTCGGCCGGATCGGGTTTTCTTGATCGCAAAATCGCTTGTGATGTAGAAGGCTTTTCAGTAACTCTTGTGGCATACAGTTGGAGCTCAGCGAACATCTGGGACCAATTCATGGACGTGGATCGTTTGAATTTCGCGGACATGAATCTGTCTTCTTCCGACAGGAACCGATGGGCTGCGGTGGCATTGTCCTCCCCCACGGAGATGGAGCAGAGCAACTCGCAGAATGCACTGACTCTGGGAACCGTTTGCCGTTTGGATGCCCATTGAAGGAAGCCATACAGATTACCATCGGGATCGGCCCAGAATTCCTGCGCGGCATCTGGCCGACGTTCGAACGCAAAAGCCATGATCATTAAGAACGACTCGAGATGTGTCCGGGCCTCTACCAAGCCACGATGAAGGCTAGACGTCAGGCCATCTCTCAGAGCAGTAAGATGATCCAGTCTTTGGGAATCTTCTTCGGTTTTCAACATCCGAACCGCATCTGGCATGTTCGCAATGCACGCCTCGGCAAAGGCTTCGAAGTTCTCCATCAGAAGAACCTTCAGAAAGCCGGAGCAACAATCAGACTCGATCGTTGCTGATGCGCTATCTTTCAACAACAGTGTGACCAGTTCACTACGAGCTGGGTCAGCCCATTCTTCATCGTTCACACCATAGCAGACAGCGAGGATAAGTTCAAGGCCTCCCTCATCCAATGCCGTCATGAACATCTTGGTGCGCTCGTCGGCATCTTTCTCCAAGTCGACACCCTGAAGAGGAGAGGCAGGGGCATCGAAATCCCAGCCGCTGTAGATTGCGAGCCATAATGCAATGACTGCCGAATGAAATGCGGGCACCTTCCAGGGTTGACCGTCTTCGGAGGAAGTAATAGCTGTGTGCAGACTCCTGGCCTCTCGGTAGGAGCTCGAACTTTCAGGCGAGCCATGCTGAACGAAAGACGTGACAATGCAAGGGAGGTAATGAACAAGGAGCCCATCGAAGCGCTCGAGCTTTCGGAGATGGTCCAGTAGTAGGCGGAGATCTTCAGAACTGGTGTAAGGGCCCTTGAAAAGGTAGCAGAGCACTGCACCGAGTGATTCGTGTTGTTGCTGCAAGCTGCTGCGTTGGTATTCTAGAGCCTCTATGATGTCGAATTCTTCTGACTGGCCGACAATGGTCGCTTTCTGGACCTGCTCGCCAAGAAGGACAAGCCACTTCTCGATATCCTCCATTGACTTCATGCATTTCCGTGTGAACAACGACGCATTCCGCAAAGGCCCATCCTTTATCTCCACAACAAACGCCAGCATGTCCTGCATGATAACCTGGGTCATTTCCCGCTCCACTTCGAAAGATTCTTGGAAAATAAGTCGTAACGAGTCGAGCAAGAATTGCCGGCGCTCATGGAATCGCATGATCGCGGCGATGACGGGGGGCCTGTCCAGCACTTGAGCATCTTCCTGCGCCGCCAAAAACAGTACTGCCGCTTGCAATTCATCGATGTCTAGTGCATCTGCCAGCATCAACACCCCTTGTTGAAATTCCTCATTGATCGAGTATTCGAGATTGTCAACGGTAATTTTCCCTAGACGGGCGTCGCATTACAAGGTCAGCGCTTAGACTTGGGTCTCTGGACCCCCATCTAACAGGGGCGACGAAGGTTTAGCTCAGTCAGACTCACCTGAGAGGACAGCCTGGCGACTGCTGTTGTTTTTCGCGGGCTTGTCGAGGAGCTTCTTGAAATCGTCGATGTGAGCCTCCAGCTCAATGCGAAGCCGATCAATGTTCACAAACGACGAAGCTGAAAGAGCAGAGAGATCCTGGTACAGGCCACGAAGGCCAGTGGCCAGATCCCTATCCTCCATGTTCAGAGTGAGGTGAGTGCGCAAACTGCGAGAAGCGCCGGCAAGTCCGAAGTTCTGCTGTGTTTGTCCCGGCCAAAAAAGGTCCGGAGGACGCGATCAAACTTCCGGCGGTCTAAAGGCGGGCGGAGCTCACCTCCCGCCGCCCACCACATCAAGCGGAGCATCCCAGATGCCAACCCAGGATGGTTCCTTGGTCATGACGTTCGCGGGGGCTTTTGCTTCACCCAATTTTACCCTTAATATTCCTGAAATGGTTTTTTGACCATCTAGGTTCTTGCCACTGTTAATGGCATTTCGGCCGGCTCCGTAGCTCCCCGCCTCCATCATGGGCGAGATTACTTTGGATGGGGCCCTTGCGCTTCTAGCGTCAGAGAAGCTCAGGGAGCGTTCAGATGGGCTTGCTGGTTTGTCTTGCATATGCCGGACCCCCCTGACTGTGTGGTTCTGACACCTGATAGATCTAAAGCATATACTGCAGAAAAATAGAAGAAATTCAAAATTGTATGTAGAGAATCCAGATCGCTCTATGTCTGGCGGTACCTAACAGTTATTGACATGCGCGCGCATCTCTAGAAACTCGCTGAATGACAAAGCTTGCCACAAGATCTTTGAGTCTCTGTTTCGGTTTGTATCAGTCGAGAAATCTCTATACAGTCGGTCGAACTCCAAGAGAGCTTCAGCGGCTCGCTTGTCCACATGTGCATCTGTCCTGCGAACGGCTGTTGATGTTTTCTTGCGCAATCTGCGCACACGATCAGTTCGTGCACTAGTCGACCACATCACCGATACTCTGCTAGCCCCTGGAAGTGACTCTCTCTTTGAGCTTCTCGGTGTGGACTATGCCAAATGCTTGGTCAATCTCCTGCGTTATCCCCCCCATCTCGAGCATCTCTCATCGGGTGAGTGGGAGAAAGTGATAGACTTCTGCCTGAAAGGTATCAATGCCAAGGATGACGAGTTCAGTCCGACGAGTTCTCGAAACGGGCATGCATCCTTTTTGGATGAGTACCTTTCTACTGGGGGCAGGAGCTCAACACCTCTCAGGATAACGCCAATCCCTACTGCCAGTGAAAAGTCCAAAGGTGACACTAGTGCTGCCACAGAAGCTGTTGTATGTATTCAACTTCTAACTGGAAGCCCAAACGCTCCTATTCAGGAAGCAGCTGAGCGTGTTCTCCATGGATTAGCTAAATTCCTGGGCTCATCATCCATTGCTGGGAGTGGACATCAAGCTGCGTTTGCTAGCGTAAACACAGTCATCATGAAAGTTCTATTTGACCAGTCTGAACTGGCGAGGACGTCACTGCTAGATCTAATACCAGTAATTCGACGTTTGTGGGCCACTAAACTTATGGGGCTGAAAGATGAAATGCTTGTCACTGCCATGCTTTGTGTGGTAGTCTTAACTGATGCGGCTCGAAGAGAACCCTCAGAGTCAATTGCACGCCTGATAGAAGACCTCTTGGACACACTGCACATGGAGTATCTCAAGCGACCCGAGAAGGAGGTGCTACAACTAGATGAATTGGTTTTTCACAGCGCCGTTCCGGAACAACAGCAGAAATACTCAGCATGGCCTCGCTTTGAAAGTGCAAGAGCCGAGCACAACTGGACCACGCTGTGGCTTATAGCAAGGTTACTTGAACTATCAGACTACATATGTGGGAAATTATCGCCGCATTCTACGTCGGGAGAGACGGCGAATAAGAGGCAGCGCCTTGCTTCTCAGATAGACGATACGTTTCGTGACTCAACAGCGTCCTCTGGATCAAGGAGAGTTTGCTCTCTGCAGCTGATTCCGTTACTTCCCAGGAACTATGCAAATGTTGAGTCGAAGCTCTCCCTGCTTGAGAGGCTGCTTCCAAATATACTGGATGATAATAGCACAGTTTCTTGTTGGACAATGGTCGCGATTGCAAGGTAGGGGTTCATTGCAACTACCTCAAGTATATGACTAACAACGGTGCGATAATAGCATTGCTGGTAGTCCCAATGCAGGCTCGCATTCTTTGAAACCCTGCTGGCAGCGCGCTTGGGATTTGACTTCCCGGACTTCTACTTCTCAAACAACGGCAAGAGCTGCCTACAATCTGTTGAACCATATACTCCAGCATGATCTTTTAGACTACCCAGTAGTTGTGAAAGCAACAAGTTCCATGCTAGCATCCATCAATATGAACGGCCCCTCTGCTATTTCGGATTCGTGCTTGGCATTTTGGGCTACAATCCTTCGCATGACGGCACAGATAAACCCAGGCTTGGTGCCGGACGCTTCACATAAGATTTGCTCCTGGCTGAGGGAAACTTGGAGCATTGGTAAGTTTATCCCAATGCTGCTGCTATGATATTACCACTCATTAACAGGGCAATAGGATCGGTGACCGATCGGTTACAGATAGCACAAGTTGCTATGTTCGCTCGCCCCTTGGACCTTTTGAACATGTTGCTTGCTTGCACCAATAGGCGCTTCGTTTTGCCTAAGATTCGTTTCATAGGGCCAACAGGTCTCATTGCCAGAGGATGGCACTTTTACCATGAGAAAAAACGGCCCCTCAACTATCTCTTTGACCTTCAGGATATGTTGAATCCGGCCGAATACTGGGAGCCTGAAGGATCTCTGTGTTTGGAAAAGTTTGGCCGACTTGACTCCAATGACCATGTTGTCCTCGATCTGCTGCAAATAAAAGTTGATGGGTTCCTGCAGGCCTGGGATGCATTGTTTGAAGACAAATCACATCATATAACTGTGGATATAGTGCAAATTGTCACATGCTCCTGTGTCGCTATTGCATTATACACGGCATGCCTACCACAGCAAGCTACCACCCGCGTATCTAATATACAGGAGAGCAACGAACGTTTATGGAAACAGCTGTGCTATTTCCTAGCGTCTCGGGAACTCGTCTTTACTCATGCATGCCTGACGGTCTTAACACCTCTTCTGGCTCCCAAACTGTTCTTCTCCCACTCCCACACGGCTGTCATTGGTGCTGTCTCAAGTCTGGCTCCTCCCCTTGCCAATATCTTGGAGGGCTACCGAGAAAGGCAAAAAGAGAAATTGCGTTCTGACTGTGAAGAAGATATGGATTTGGATGATCCATTGCTCACGACGCATGATCAATCAGCTGAGCTCATTTCAATCTTCAGCAACAATCGAGAAGCGTCACCGGTGCTTCAGGATGCGGCCACATTACAACGCTGTATCACTATTCAACTATCGATCTTCCAGAGGATGCATGCTTCTGACTCTTCTCAGAGTGTGGTCGATGACGGTCTGCTCGAGTATCTGAGAAGCCTCGATGAAATGGACATTCTATCGGCGCGGGAATTCCTACCGCATGTGTATCTTGCATGTGCTGGAATGGAACGCTCTGCTTTGGTAGGAATACTCGAAGACCTTGGTGAGAAATGTTTGCAGACATATGAATTGGAACGCTGTGAAAATTCGCACATTCTTTGTCTTCGTATGATGGACAGCTTTGTTGGATTGTGGACTGGTCCAGAGACCGATCATCTTCACGATTCAGCTACCGACATCTACGCATGGTTTACAAAGGTTTTGTTGGCAAAGCGAATGGCCTCCACTCCAGTTCTCGTTGAGTTCACCCACCTTCTAGGGGATCTACTCACGCATAATGTCGCATATTCAAGCGGCCAATCCACTCCATCGCCTAGAACGAGTTTGTTCACGATCCTCCGAGAAGGGGACGCTCTAGTGAAGTTTAGTGCTGGAGAGCTGATCCCTCAGTTATTCGGCCAGTACTCGCTCACAGAGCATGATGCGATCTTCAACGACGTGCTGGACAGCCTTCCCCGAGACTCTGACTGGGACGAAGGTATCGCTCTGCGACTGATTGTACTAGCTCGGCTTGCCTCCAGGTGGCATACATTGCTCCGAAGAAGCATATACCATATGTTTGAGACCCCGGCCAAGGTGCCAAACTCCCTTCGGTACGCGGAAAAGTGCCTACACGATGTTGCACAGACACTTGGACTTGAGGATGCGAGACAGCTGTTCCGGCTCTTTTCCTCCCAGATTGTGTACACCTGGACCGAGGAGCAATCAATTAAATCTATGCCTTTCAGTGTCTTTGGTTACGCAACACTCAAAGAGATGCTGATGGATGTCCAGGACGAGATAATCGGACAGGTGATGATGCGCGGGATTGAAACTGAAGGGGCTGAGTTTTCAGCCTGTACTGGTATCCCATTCGATCACCTTGTAGTGGAGTCATTCTGCAAGGCAGAGGCGTACAGTATAGCCCGAGATATCAGCACCCCTGGGCGATCCAGTCAAACGAAAGGAGTAGAAAACAAAGTGAAGCTGTTGTTAGGGACCGATGAATTCGTGTCCTTGATTGAAGCTCAATTTCCGCAAATGATAGCGACCTTCTTTAGGGCCTTGGACCAATACGAGCAGATCGAGAGGGCGCTCCTCAAGCGCGATAACTTCCGGGAGGCCCTCAATGTTCTAGGGAGTATCGTGGGAAAGAGTTGCTCCAACATTCTGTTGCCTGCAAACCAACAACCGTCATTCAGAGCGCGCTACCTCCTTGATGAACTTGAATTCCTCTGCAAGCGGAGCGGATACGACCTTGAGACTATATGGACACCTACTTTGGCAACATATGTCTGCCGAACACTCCTGGAATCGATTCACCCCGCCCTTGGCTCTTTACATGCTTGCTCCGTTATTCGGAAGATTCGGATACTCGTGAGTATTGCTGGGCCTGTCATGTCAAGCGACTATCCGCTTGAAATGGTAATACACGCCCTTCAACCCTATTTGGTCGACATATTTTGCGCGGAAGACACTTTGGGTATCTTCTGGTACCTCCTGGAACAGGGGAAGCCCTACCTGACTGAGAGTCCTGGTCTTATGGCTGGGGTTGCAGTCACTACACTGCTGTCTTTGAGAAAGTTCCTCGCTTCCCCACCCCCGGAAATAGCGCAGGAAAATCTAGTGGAAACAGTCATGACGAAGACAAAACAATTCCTCGAATGGTTCGAAGACTATTTGGATTCGTATGAACCCTCTGCGCTCAGTCCTGAGAAACATGAGCTCTTCCGGCGTTTGGTCGGCTCTACCCAGCGCGTTTCCACTGCAGAAGAGGGCCCAAAAGGCAGCAGAGAGGGATATGAATTGCTTCTACAAGTTCTCGGTGATCAAAGTTCGAGGAGGAGTCTGTTAAGCAAACCGATCGCCGACCACGTCATATCAATGCTATGCACCGAGAGCAAACTTTCCCCTGGCTCCTACCACGATGGTTTCGAAGATGATGAGAACGTCATGTCTAGTGCTGTTGCTATCTGCCAAACCCTACAGAGATTTGACTCGGGAACTGAATATAAATTATGGGCAGCCAGAGTCATTGGGAGAGCATTTGCAGCTACTGGCAAGATTGGTGACGTTCTTCTAAGGGAACAGGATCCGGAATTGTTCGAAGTCCAGTCTCATCAGTCATATCTAAGTCCCTTTCACCGTTCCAAAGCTAGCATACTCATGATGCTTTGCAATATGCTACAGAATAGCAGTCATCTGGAAGTTGGACTTGTTGAACGTACCATGCAACTCATTATCAGCAACCTGGGCAATTTCCCGGAACTCCAGCACTGTGAAAGAACTGTGCCCCCTTCCCTCTTGAAAGCTCTCACATGGAGTCCTTACCAGTGTCCTGGTATGCCTACGCCAGTTTCCGCGACTGAAGCAGGAGCCACGATAATGTGGGACTCCACTGTTTCCGCTGGACAGTTTGCTCGGAGTGTCGGACTGTTCCTCTCAAACGCAGCTCCCGAAGACCCGGTGATTGGTCCACTGCGCACCATCCTCGATGTGATCCCTGATCTAGCAGTCCAAATTCTGCCGTACATCCTTCATGATGTTTTACTGGCGGAACTTCAAGGGGATGTGAACGTTCGTGGGACGGTTTCGGAGATCTTTGGGCGAGTGCTTCGCGAAGTCGATGACCGCACCATTCCCCATGCACGGCTCGTTATTAATTGCATCCTTTACTTGAGGAACCAGCCCAGACCAGATGAATCAACAATAGTGGAACGAGACGAGTGGCTCGACGTTGACTTTGCCGAAGCATCCTCAGCCGCCAACAAGTGCCGCCTGCCAAAGACAGGACTTCTTTTCCTCGAAATTTCTGCATCGCGTGTGGTCTCCACCTCACGCCGCTCATCCCTTGCGAGATACGAAGTGGCACCGGAGATATTGCATGGCATATTCCGAAATATAGATGACCCGGATTTCTTCTATGGCATTCAACAAGATTCATCGTTGGAGGCTGTCATGGACCGACTTGAGCATGAGAGCTCGGGAATCAAAAATCTTTTGTTCCAAAGCGCACGGTATGATAGCGAGATACAAATGGGGAGAGATGCCAACGTCCACGGCGTCCTTAATGCTCTTAATTCGACCAATCTCCAAGGCATCGCCAATTCGATCTTTGCCATCTCTGGTAACTCCAAAGATACGTCGGGATCGTTTGACAGCATGCTGCAAACCGCAAGGAGTTTAAGGCAATGGGACATTCCTGTTTCCCCATTGAGTTCTTCACCATCCGCGACCGTCTTCCGGACTTTCCAAAGCCTCAACATATCCGGGACGCTAACGGATGTCTATGCTTCCATTGACGAGTGTCTCTTGTCTAGTCTGGACCTACTAACTAGCACTAGCCGCTCAGCACTGTCCTTACGCAATGCAATGCGGACTTTGGGAGTCATGACAGAGGTTTGCGATGTCTTGAGTTCCAAATCAACTGATGAGCTCAATAACGAGTGGCAAAGAATTGCAAGCAGGGATTCGTGGCTCAAGACGACAAGGTAGGTTTCAAATTATAGCGTATTGCCCTCCAGTTGATTCTAACGTCTACAGTGTCAATGATGTTGGAGAGATCTTGACTTGCCATGAGGCCTTGTTCTCGTCCATCAAGAGCAAAGACTTCCTGAAGACCGCCATCAACTTGAGTGACCGCGACGCGCAATTACTAGAGGTGAAAGTTATCCGCCAATCCCTTGAGATCGCGCGAAACCATGGTATCTCGCAGGCTTCGTTGAAATCGGCTGTTTGTCTTTCAAAGCTCTCGCAGAATTGCGAATCCCTCGGCTTAAACATCGAAGGTGCAGCCAAGTTCGATTTGGCCAACGTTCTATGGGACCAAGGGGAGATGACAGTGTCAATCCAAATGCTACAGCAGCTTAGGGACCGAAACGATCTGCATAAGCAGGCTATCCCAATAAGCCGTGCGGAACTTCTGGTGACTCTGGTACGTCAAGCCGATAAATGACTTGATTCAGTACGTAATGCTGACACTTGCACAGGGCCATCACATTGCAGAAGCGCGTTTAGAAAAGCCGGATACAATCATTCAAGAGTATCTGTCCTCAGCAGTCAAAGAGCTCCGAAGTCGCTCGCGCGGGGAAGACGTTGGCCGGGTCTATCATGGATTCGCCATGTTCTGCGACCGACAGCTGCAGAATCCAGACGGGCTGGAAGACTTTCGACGGATAGAACAACTGCGTGACCGTAAGGAGAAGGAAGTACGTGCGCTAGAGGACATGATGAAAACGGCTCAAGGCAAGGAGAGGGAGGCTCTGAAATACCATCGGGCCAAAACCAAACAGTGGTTCGACCTGGATGATCGCGAATATCAGCGCCTGCGACGCAGCCGCGAAGCTTTCCTTCAACAATGTCTGGAAAACTACCTCATGTGCCTGAAGGAGAGCGAAAGCTATAACAACGACGCACTCCGTTTCTGTGCATTGTGGCTTGACAAGTCCGACAGTGCCATCGCGAACATGGCGGTTGCCAAATACCTCAGCCAAGTCCCCAGTCGCAAGTTTGCGCCCTTGATGAACCAACTGACATCTCGCCTGTTGGATGTTTCTGATGAGTTCCAGAAGATGCTCTTTGCGTTGATCTTCCGGATCTGTGTGGAGCATCCGTTCCATGGCATGTACCAGATCTTCGCGAGCAGCAAATACAAGGGGAGCAAAGACCAGTCGGCCCTGTCTCGAAACCGAGCAGCTGGAAATTTGGTGGAAGGCTTGAGGAACGACAAGCGCATGGGCCCAACATGGATTGCGATCCATAATACCAACATCAACTACGTGCGGTTTGCCATCGAAAAGCCGGCCGACAAGTTCAAGAGTGGCGCCAAAGTTCCTCTGAAAAAGCTACCCCATGGCGAACGGCTCGAACAAGATGCCGCAACCCTGAAGCTCCCACCACCTACGATGAAGATCGATATTCGCGTTGACTGTGACTACAGCGGTGTCCCCAAACTCGTCAAGTACAATCCTGAGTTCACCATTGCCTCCGGAGTCAGTGCGCCAAAGATTGTGACCGCCATTGCCAGCAACGGAGCACGCTACAAGCAATTGGTAAGTTGACCCCTCGATTCATGCCAAGGACCCAGCTAATCGCCTCACAGTTCAAAGGAGGCAACGATGATCTACGACAGGACGCGATCATGGAACAGGTCTTTGAGCAAGTCAGCAGCCTCCTCAAAGATCATCAGGTCACTCGGCAACGAGATTTGGGCATTCGCACCTATAAAGTGCTTCCCCTCACGTCGAATGCCGGAATCATCGAGTTTGTGCCTCATACGATTCCCTTGCACGATTTCTTGTTGCCAGCACATCAACGGTACTTTCCGAAGGACATGAAACCGAACGTGTGTCGGAAACACATCGCGGATGTTCAGACCCGGTCCTTTGAGCAGAGAGTCCGAACCTACCGGCAGGTGACCGAGCACTTTCATCCGGTCATGAGGTTCTTCTTCATGGAGAAGTTCAATAATCCGGATGATTGGTTCAGCAAGAGGCTGGCATACACGCGCAGTACCGCCGCGATCTCAATCCTGGGCCATGTTCTCGGGCTGGGAGATCGGCACGGCCACAATATTTTGCTAGACGAACGAACGGGTGAAGTGGTCCATATCGATCTGGGAGTGGCATTTGAACAAGGGCGAGTGCTGCCCGTGCCGGAGGTCGTTCCTTTCCGGCTGACGCGCGATTTGGTCGATGGCATGGGAATCAGCAAGACCGAAGGAGTGTTCCGACGTTGTTGTGAGTTTACGCTGGAGGCCATGCGCGAGGAGTCCTATAGCATCATGACGATCCTGGATGTGCTGCGGTACGATCCGCTGTATAGTTGGACGCTCTCGCCCCTCCGAATGAAGAGGATGCAGGATGCGCAAGAGGCTGATGGCGGGCCCCCGGTGATCCCTGGGGCCACGGACCAACGGTCGGCCAACGAGCCCAGTGAGGCCGATCGCGCATTGACAGTGGTAGCGAAGAAGTTGAGCAAGACGCTGAGTGTGACGGCGACGGTGAACGAATTGATCCAACAGGCCACCGATGAGAAGAATCTCGCGGTGCTGTACTGCGGTAAGTCTATTGATCTTTACTTAGAGGGTAGGGCTGACTCATGACAGGCTGGGCTGCATATGCATGACGAATTTTGTACTATCTGACCTGGCGCGGAGACTTCCTATGTGCGGTGAATGTGTATTTGTAGTGTAGTAAATTTTGTGATGTATAGAGGACGGACGGAGTCGTGTGGATATAGACCAGGGGCGTCGAACCATTGCCACTCTTCAATTGATGCCGTAGCTTTGATACTATTCCAGTAGGGAGTTCTCTGTAGCAGGTGCTGCGACGATGCCTTGAGCACACTGTACTCCTTAGCAGAGATCTGCCTGACGAACTCGGACTGGGAGGTACATGCCGTCGGCATATTCGCTGGAGGCTGGCAGTGGCAGTTGGTTGGCAGGCGTGGAAATAAATGCATTCACTGCATTCAACCTCCTGCCAGGTTGCCATCCAGAGGCAGCTCATGTGGTCGCGTGCAGCCATCTGGACCTCATCTGGGCTCCAAGCCACAATCCGCCGGGAAGTTTGAGACACGAAACGGTATCCGTGGCCTCTTCGTGAAACTTTTATAAAAGCATGTAGCCCGACCAATTCCCATCCTCGATCATCGGTCCCAACTACGAGTCGTAACCATGTCTGCCCCCGCCCCCAACCGAGGCCTGGTGGTCTTCTCCGGCGGCAGCGCCGCGAATAACCTCGTCGACGTCTTCCACGCCGTCCGCGAGAGCAAACACTGTCCCCTCAGCTACATCATCCCCATCAGCGACAATGGCGGCTCCTCGTCCGAGCTGATCCGTATCTTCGGCGGCCCTGGCATTGGCGACGTCCGCAGTAAAGCATCCCCCCCCCCTCCTCCTTTCCCCTTCTCAAGCCCATATCTAACCACCTGCCTCAGGTCGACTGGTCCGGTTAATCCCCGACTCGCCTCCTAATTCCGAACGCGCCGCCATCAAGGCTCTCTTCAACCATCGACTGCCCGCCGATGCCACGCGCGCCCATGCCGAATGGCACTCCATCGTCGATGGCACCTCCAGTCTCTGGACAGCCATCACCCCCGCCAAACGCGAACTCATCCGGTCCTTCTTCAACCTCTTGAACCTCGAGATCTTGAAGCGCGCGCGTCCCCCTTCCTCCACCTTCGACTTCACCTCCGCCAGCGTCGGCAATCTCTTCCTCACCGGCGCCCGTCTCTTCAGCGGTAGCTTCGAAAGCGCCATCTACCTCCTGGGGAGCATCTGCGGCGTCCCCTCCGACCTCGTCCGCGTCATCCCCGCCATCAACTCTAACTTCTCCCATCACATCTCCGCCTCCCTCGCCAACGGCACCATCATCGTCGGCCAAAACAGCATCTCTCATCCCAGCGAACCCACCGCCCTCCAACCCTCCCGCCGTCCCAGTCTGCTTCTCGCTGACGGCGCCCCAGACCCAGACTACCTCTCCTCCACCCCCAACCCAATCACCACCCCAACCCCAACCCCAACCCCCATAACAACCCCCTACCCCGACGACGAATCCCACCCCCCGGGCACGCTCCCCACCCTGCGCCACAAAAACATCCGCTTCAACAAATCCGACCCCGAGGACCTCCCCGCCCGCATCACCCGCATCTGGTACATCAACCCCTACGGCCAAGAAATCCGACCTCCCGCGAACCCCCGCGTCCTGGAATCCCTCCACGACGCACAAGCCATCATCTACAGTATCGGATCCCTGTATACGTCTATCATCCCGTCGTTGATTCTACGGGGGGTCGGGCAGGCGATTGCGATGGGGCCGGCGCGGCATAAGATTTTGATTCTGAATGGGTCGTTGGATCGGGAGACTGGGCCGAGGGGGGGTGCGTTCACGGCGGTGGATTTTGTGGATGCCATTGCTGGGGCGGGGGAGGAGAGTCGGGGGGTTGGTGTTGGTGGGGATGGGGAGGGAGGGGGTAGGTTGCCGTATTCGGCGTACGTGACGCATGTTTTGCATTTGGATGGGCCGGGGACGCCGCGGGTGGATCGGGAGCGGTTGGCGGAGATGGGGATTGAGACGTTACGGTTGTATGGGAGGAAGATTGTCTCGAATGAGGGGGAGGAGGAGGTGGCTCTGGGCATGAGGTATGATTCGACGGCGTTGGTGCAGGCGTTGGAGGTGGTGTTGGGGAAGAAGGGTGATGCGATTCTGCGCGGTGGGAGAGAGGGAACGGGGTTGAGTCGGAGGAATACTCTTGATCCGGGGAGGAAGAGAGGTGAATGATGGCTACTGCATACTATGTATTGGCTATCGAATTGGCATAGTATTTGCATTATTGATTGTATTGATGGTATTGGTTGGTAACATCATGAACATCCACCATATTTCCATACCTAGATAATGACATGACCGAGAATGCAGTACCCGGACGCCGTCCCAATGCTTTTTTCACCAACGATTTCGGGATAATACAACTCGTCGAAGAGATTCAACAAATGAAGTAATAGAGAAGAAGCCGTGCTGGCTTACTTCCAACACGGCAAGCAAGTTTATATACAAGACAAGAGAAATGAATAGTGGGAGGTGACATTAGGCTCGCGCAGTCGGTCTCGGTTTCCAGTTTTGACGGTTGAAGCCCACCTGGGGAGACCGGCTCCCGGGGGCGAGGTTCTTGAAATCAGGGTAAAGGCTGCTGGGTCCAATGTCCATCAAGATGGCTTTTTGGGGTCCGGCAGCCACGGAGCCCGTGGTTTTGGCGCGACTGCTCGGAGTCCGCGTGTTTGATGATGCCATGGTAGACCTCGTTTTGGTGACCTCGCGGATGATGTCGCGGAGTTCGCCGTCGTCTTTGGAGATCTGGGCCCGGATGAATGCCGGATTGTTTGACCCCTGCAGCGAGGACATGACGGACGGTCGTGGCGTGTATGGGTATTTCTGCGGGCTGGGCGGAGACAACGGCGTGATGGACGGATCGAGCCGCGCCTTTTCGTTCTTGTCCAGCAGCTGAGCAATATCGAGACTCTCGCCGTGAGGGATCTTGTGCGGATGGGACGGGGTCACACAGTCCATATCCACCTCCTTGCGTAGGACGTGGTCGATGTCGACGGCCGAAAAATAGGCGCAGGACTGAGGGAGGTCATTGATTCCGACTTGCTGCGAAAACATAGCGCGCGTCCACACATTAGCGACCTGCAAAGCCAGAGCCGCTCGGTATTTGTCCTCGTCTTTGACCAGATAGCGAATCTCATCGTGGACGGTGATGGCCAGACGAGCGGCGATGTTGAAGCGTCGGATCAGGTAGTCCATGGCCACAATCAACAGGTGAAGGTAGTCCACGCCGGACGACTGGATGGCCCAGTTGATCCGCGAGGTCATGAAGCTGCCTTTGTTGATGAAGCGTCGCATCAATGCCTCGGTGATGCCGGCACCCAGGGTCGGGGTTCGGGGTCTTTCTTGCTCCGCAAACTCTTCAAGTTTGTTGAACACGAAAGACTCTGTCCCGCCTCTCCAAAACGGCCCTTCACTCAGTATACGACGAGTCGTACGAGTACCCTTGGTTTCCTTATACAGTTTGGTTGCAACCTCCTGGGTCTCCCTTTCCGTCATCGACGGATTGAACTGACGCAGTAAAGTAGCAGCAAACTTGACGCCGGCACCGTAGATACGCCCATAGTTAAACACCTTGGCATCGTTGCGGGAGATGCCCAAAATCGAGGCTGTGCGGGAGTGCATATCCGTTCCTGCGGCCTTGGATCCTTCCAGAGTCATGAATCCGATGGCATTGCCACCGTGGATCTGAAACTGCGCGTCTCCAACGAGACTGGCGATCCAGAGCTCCTGGGAGTCGACGTCTGCGCCGACAAACACGTGGCCGGGTGGAGCTTTGATCATGGCCTTCAATTCCGACCCGACACGATTCCCCTTTGCGTTACTGGCTGTGAGCCAGGTGTTCTCCACGGCCCTTCGAGTAATGGTTCCCATCGGGATAATCTGGGGAAGAATGAAGCCGAGTCGATGATCAGCCTTCTCACTAGAGCTCGGCCCTCGCACTTGATCCTCGTACACTACCATCTGACCCATAATGCGATCGCGCGCACTGATCCAATAGGAACAAGACGCATTCATCTCGAGCGCCTCTTTAGCGAGGGCATACTGGGAAGAGAGAGTTCCGCGTTCAAAGTACTGCATATACCCTTTCGCCAGAGGATTTGTGCAGCGTGCTTGGGGCCCGTCTTTGTGTGGAAGCTTGAAAAACACATTCTTTCGGTCATTCTGAAGCTCAGGGTTCTTCTCCTCGGACATGTCGCATAGGACCACTGGCTGGTTTTCATAATTCTTGACAAGCTCGCGCGGGACTTTGAACGTCCATCCAAACTTGTCGGACCATGTCAAAGGGTGACCATCCCACGACAGCTTCAGGAGTATCGGCGCAATCCGAGTGCGCACCGTCAAATTGATATCGGCCGTGTTGGTAGCGAACAGATCCTTATACCACTTCGGCATGCCCGGCTTTTTCTGTCTGGCAGCTGGTCGTGGAGGGTCATCCTTCTTCTTCCCCTTCACCATCTTGATCTCCTGGCCAGACCAGTCCAGCTGTCGTAGCCAAGGGTCGTTCGTATAGATTTCCGGAGAGTCTTTGGCTTTCAGGGCTTCCTCGCAAAGTTCAATCAATTTTCGTTGGACATCGTCGAGGCGTTGATGGTAGGTCCCTTCTGCGTTGGTGATATACTCTTTCCACGTCTCATTTACAGGCAGAATTACCGAGGAAAGATGCCGAAGGGCGCCGAAGCTGACCGGATGCGGGCAGACTTCCAGGAAATTAGGAAAGACTTTCTTGTACACGCGGTGAGTAATTGCCACGTCCGCTGCACAGTAGTCGAGGAGCTCTTCCAGCTTCCCTAGTATTCCATTTCGGTCAAGTTCACCGAAGTAGTCGCGCTGTGCCTTGTCAATCGTAACATCGCAATGGAACTTGGCCACGTCGCGAAGGGAGTTGACAGAACTCCTTCCCACCCACAGTTCTTCCTCCTCATCACTGAGCATTTTACTTTCCAGCAGGGCTGCCAGCTCCACCGAATTATTTTCACTGGCGATCTTGTTCCTCAGGTCCCGGTTCTTCTTGTGTCGCATCCAGGTAGGCCTCTGCTGCGAACACATGCCGTTTACTGCCACGTGAAGTGACATGGTATCCAGGAAAAAATTACGAGATTGCGCCATATCATATTCCTCGAGAACACGAGCCCGATCATATCCGATATTGTGGCCGACGACAATTCGCGACTGGGTCGGATCTCCAAGCGGGATGAGCTGGACTTCGTTTTCCGACTCTCCCAGTAGCCAGGGCGATAACCAAGCATACCAAGCCGTAGGACTGACCGCGCAAGCCATGACTGCAAAAGAATGCTCCTTGTACATGACTTCGGTGTCGAAAGTCAACATGGCCTCATTTGGCGCGTCAACGGGTTCCCACGAGCCGTCGGCGCTGTACTTCGTCCATCCACTGCGTTTAATCCATTTGCGCGGCTTCTCCGGAGAGTTCACCACGGTGTATTGTTTCGCATATCCGAGGTACGGCTCCGATGAATCCATTCCCAGTTTGAAGAAATGTTCGTCAAGCGATTGCCCTTGAAGTTCGGGCATATCAAAGGCGATCGGCTCGGCGGCATCTTGAGATTTTCCTAGCAAGTCATGGCGCGACAGATGTTCCTTCGACAACGCAACTAATCCCGGATCTGGCGGATTCGCTTTCTGAAGAAACACTTGGGAGTAGACATGGTCACTCAATTGTTGGACTCCGATCTCGTTGAACCTAGCCGAAGCGGGAACTACGAAATCAGTATATGAAGCTGTCGCAAACCCGGGAAAACTGGAACCACTTACCCGCGAGAGACTCCCGTTGAGGGTTTTCATCAGCATTGTGCACTGAGGGCTGCGTAGCAAGATACCTTGCTAGCAATGATGAATGCTGTGAGCGGACGATGCGTGGCGAGCGCAATTTCTGCGAATAAAAGCGTACGACACCCCTATGAGAGGGAGTGCAGGGATGACCCCAAAGCATTTTCTGATTGGATTATAGGATGGAAATTATCCCCATGGCATGGTAACGTGGGCTTCGCAGCCAATGCTGCGTGATCAAGATTGCGACGAGATGAGCCAGGCGTTCCAGGAGCGCTCGTACTTTCTTTCCTATCGCGGAATAATCCCAGCGTCATGATCGAAGCCTTTCGGAAAATCTCCCTCCGCCGCGTGGTGACCGCCTACCACAATGGGGACTTCGACGGTTATCGGGCATCGATAAGCCACATTTGCCGGCCACATCCCGCTGTGATTATTGATTATTCTCCTATCGTCTTGCCTCCGTCGACTCGACTTATTTGCACTAGGAGCGTTTTCGGTGCCGTCTTTGGGATGACACAGCTTAGCTTACATATCGCCGCTGAATAGTTTTAGGTCCTTGATTATTTACTACGGCTCCGTTCTCGTCTCGTTGTCAACTGCGCTACCCCTCCCTCCCGCTCGCCCTTCCGACAATACAAAATCGGACCGACATCAGGCTTGTTCCATCATGGAGGACATGTCTCCCAGACATCGAGCTTCGGCCGCTCATCACATTTCAATAGTCTCTTCGCCATCAGAGCCTCGTCGGGCTTCTCGCGGGAGCATCGAGACCCCAGAGACTCCCGGCCATGAAAGGAAACGGCGTAGAACAAGTAACTCGGAGCGAAACGCAAATGAGATCGAGTCCGTCGATCTTACAGCAGGGGAGGATACAAACCCGGTTTCAAAAACACAGGCCAAGCAACGAGCAGATGTCATACTCGCGCAACAATCCCTAGATAATGGCGAGGGGCGTTCTGTTCTCACTGCGTACAAATGTCCGGTCTGCATGGACACTCCTGTTGATGCCACTAGCACTGCATGTGGTACGTTCTATGCTTGAGGATTGCAAAGAGGCTTTAGCTGACTGTTCACAAGGGCATCTTTTCTGTCATAAATGTATCATCGACACTTTAAAGTTTAGCGAAGAACAGCGCGCGGATACTTCTGGCAAAGGCCCTCGGGGCACTTGTCCTGTGTGCAGGAAACCGCTCTCCAGAAATGATTTACCCGGTCCGAAGAGGAACCTCATACCTTTACAGATCAAGCTCACTACTCGGAGGAGAAGAGAAGCGAATGAATAGGTGCAAACATTACACTGGTTCACTTTGTTGAGCCATCCTCCGCTATCCACTGCTTCACTGGTACAGAACTGAAGCAACCACCAGGGACGGAAGCCTGTGTCTCCCATCGTACTCTTTCTCTCGCCATATTGATCGGTCAGCCATATTTATGTCTTTCAGCCCATGCTGAGTGAGCTAGATCTACAGATCGCAATGCCTGTGACTCAGGTGTTGGACCTGAAAAGTATCTCACCCTCTGAGAGGCAAGGTCGAAGTAAATCCCGCAATCTCACGGTGATGCTTGAAATAGCTGAACCATTTCGGCACGGAAACGTGTTTTCAGCCTTCTGCCGCTTATTGTGCATGGAAGTACTGGGAATTTTCATGCGATGGATAAGAAAAGAGTTTGGGCATAGACTGCAGCGTCGCGCCATATCAGGGGCTCTATCTAATGGATAAGCTTACAGTAGCTAAGAATCACTAGTGGCTTGTCCATCCAATGAAGAACATATATCTTTCCCCGCAATAACCGGACGTTTTCTGTATCCGAGCTGGCTAATTCTCCCTTGTCAAATTCTTGCCCCTTGCTTGGATGTTCGCGCCCGGCGACGTCATACCCCGCGATAGCGATCTTCTTGAAGCGCTTTAGCGCTCCCAAGTGCCCACGTTCTTTCCACCCCAGCAGATCACTTCTCCCCGTCATAGTTACACCTACCTGAGCACCTTTGTAGGAAGAACGCTATCGTCCTCCAGTTTGCTCCTATCCTCTATTCTGACCACAGCATGGCAGTCTACCTCCATTTCTTTGCGCGCCGTTTTCTGATGGCACCGATTTAAGAATCCTACCATAAACCACAAGCCGAATCGAATACCCCATCACCGCAACCATGAGCATTCATTCGATAGACCATGCGCAGTTGGCGACGGAGTTGCACTCTTCTCAAGACATAGCCGATGTCGAGGCAAATCCGCGAGCCCCTAATCCACCGGTTTCGCCAACTACCAAGGAGCCCCCATCCCCTCCCCCCGAAACTTTCAGCACTGCTGCCAGGTTCAACTCCCGGGAAACCGTTCGGAACCGTATCAGGCGCTCCACAACCGCCCGCTCATACTATCGTGAAGATGGCGCCCACGATCCGAATTGGCAGCCCGGGACGGAGCCAGGCATTGACCCCAACCAGCCGCTCCCTGCGTACAGTACGGAATGGATGGCATCGACCCCCACAGACTTACATGGGAAAAGTGAGATTACTGTCGTGGATTTCTCGCAGCATGATATGAGACAGTATGTTCTGGATAATGATTCGCTGGAACCGTTTCTTGCAAGAGAGAAAGAGCCTTGGGTACAATGCAGATGGATCAATGTCAATGGGCTCAGCTGGGATGCCATCAGGGTTTTGGGTAATCACAAAGGTCTACACAGACTTGCAATTGAGGACCTGATTAATGCGACCAACCGCACCAAGGTTGACTGGTACTCCGATCATGCATATATCGTGCTCAAACTACAGAAGCTGATAAAGCTCAAAGAAGATGACAGTGATTCTGAGGGAGACAGTGATGACGGGCAAAATCCATGGATGAACGAACGAAAAGGCTCTGCGGCGAGCAGTGTCTCTTTGAGAAGGCCTACCAAACGAAAGCTGGTTTTGGAAGCCTTAAAGGACCTCTTTCGTCCGAAATCCCGGGAGGATGGCAGCCCGGATGGACCTTCTGGAATCAGTGTTTCTTCGGGCTTACGACAAACTCCATCGAAAGCATCTGACCTTGGAGATGCGTCAGACGTTAGGCTTATCCCTCGGAGCATCCAACGCTACCGAGGCGGCCCGAACGAGGACCGAATCGCCTTCATGGAGCGCCATGCTATTCTAGCGGCAAAAGGGCTTTGTGTCACTCTCGAGCAGGTCTCGATTTTCTTGCACGCGGATAATACGGTAACGTCATTCTTCGAGACGAGCGCAGATGATGTCGAAGGCCCGATCGTCCGGCGTCTCAGTTCTCCGGAGACAATGCTACGTCAGTCGTGTGATGCTAGTATGGTCGTACAGGCTATTTTAGATGCCATAATTGACCTGGCCATACCGGTGACTACAGCTTATCAGGATGTCATTGGTGACCTTGAGCTCGAGGTTTTGACAGATCCGGATGTGGATCAGTCCAAAAGTCTGTATGTACTCACCTCTGAGATAGCAATTCTGCGGAATTGTATGCAACCAATCGTGACCGTCATCAATGCGCTTCGTGACCATCGGTCTGAACCTGTCCATACCCCTGGCCTTGGAGTCTTGAGGAACGTCGGAACAGCGACCCCTACCAATGATTGGGGTCCGTACATTGGCACGGCCACTCCGAATCTCAAAAGTCTGGGTGGATCAAGCGTTTCTATCAGTACCATGTGTCATACCTACTTGGGAGATGCGTTGGATCATTGTATCACGATCGTCGAGGGATATGATCAGATGAGAAGGGCGGCCGATAATATGATTGACCTGATCTTCAATACAATCGGTGAGTTCAGCTTTTACCTCTTATATTGGCATTGAGCTGACAGTAATTAGGCGCATACCAGAACGAAAGTATGAAACAACTCACCCTTGTGACCTGTTTCTATCTTCCTCTAACTTTCTTGACTGTGAGTCATGACCGTCCCATCCTATACTACTTATCTGACTGTCATCAGGGTTACTTTGGGATGAACTTCGAGCAGTTCTCTGCTATCAAACATAGTGATGCGTCAGTCTATATGCCATCGCTTTCATCGTCGCTAACCCAGTGTGCAGATACTTTTGGATGATCGCGGTCCCTTTTGTGTTCGCAACGACCGCTTTCCTGATGTGAGTTTACTCTGCGTGAGCCAATGGCATCATTAACCATGTGCACAGGCGCGACAAACTCCAGCGTTACTTGGTGTTGCTCGCCCAGAAGCGGTTGATCACCAGCTCTCGGAGGAACAGACAGCGGAAGAGAGCCACGCAAAGAGCATAACCCACCGCATCGCCAAGATAGCATTGGATTGATTCCTAGCAGTATTCGCCAATAGATGACCATCCCTAGACAGACGATATGTATGAAGCTCATGTACATTACCACACCATTGTACCTCTATTATATAATACAATAATCGTACATTTTGAACAGGCCACAACGAGCCCACTCACGAGAGCGTCTTCCGCGTAAAAGACATATAAGCCTTCCAGGGCAGCTTCCAATCCGACCGGAGAAGTTCCGGTCTGAAGATATCAAAGTCCACACTCTCCAGCCTATCCAGCCACAGCCGTGTCCCAACGGCAGGCATGAAAACCCCAAAGGCACGATTCACCTCCTCCAAGGGAGTCTCATTACGATGCTCCTTAAACAGATCCTGCTCCGCACCATACTGATGTCCCTCCTCACCCTCATGCTCAAACTCATGACCCACATCCTGCCCCGCCCGCAGATTGCTCAGCATCTGCTGCACCGTAATGAGATGATCACTCGCCCGAGTCGCCACCGTGAACACCGCATCCCGCAACCCCGGCGCCTCCGCACCTAACCGAAACACATCCTCCTCCTTCACCCCCGTCTGCGCCATCACATCCAACGGTAACATCACCGCCCCCTGCTTCGCGCCCCCAGCCATCATACCAGAACCAGCCTGGTCCGGACGCTGACTACTCGACGCAGCCGGAAACGCCACGAGCGGTAGTCCGCGCAGCACGGCTGCAATCCCCGCTGCTTTTCCAATATGCGATGCGACATGGTCTGCCGTGACGGAGGTCATGGGTAACGCCGACAGAGTCAGATATAGCAGCGTCGAGTAGGTACTTTCAGCGTAGGACTCGAGGGCCGCGATATTGGTATAGGGATCGTTGGTGAGGGTTTGTTCGCGCGCGTTGATCATCCGGTTCAACCAGGCTTTGCTGATCCGGGCGCGGCCTTGGGTTCGTGCACTCAGGTCGAAGATGGCGGAGGCGAGGAGAATAGCGATGGGTTCTTTGGGCGGGGAGCCGGAGAGGGTCTTGGCGATGGCGTCGCGCCAGAATTGCAGACGCATGAGTCCGATTGTGTGGGAGGAGGTGGTGTCGGGGATCATGGAGAGGGAGACGTTGAGGGCGCGGAGGGCGATGTAGAAGGTGTGTGCGTTGCGGGGGATGAAGGTGCTGAGTGTGTATGAGGGACGGTCATATTTTCTGTAGTGAGGGTGGGTTAGATGGGGGAATGGGTTGATTGAGGGACTGGCGGTGTTTACAGGAGGAGATCTGAGCAGTATTTCTGGGCTGCTTGTACTTCGGCTTCTGCTGCGCCTGTCACGGAGCTGGCGGCGACGGGGCTGGATCGGCTGAAGTGGCGTTCTTGGGGTCGTTGCAGTCGTCGGTGGGATAGGGCGTATCGGCAGATTTGCTGGTTTGTGCGACATGGCCGGATGATGTTTTTGGAGAGAGACATTTTGGACCTGATTGACTATGGTGGTGGATGGTGATTTAGAAGGTTGTGGAGAGATGGCTCTGGCGCATCGCGCGTGGAAGTTCTTGACGGAAGCGGTCAGTCTAGAAATTCGGTACCAGGAAGAGAATGGGCATCACTGGCACATCACTTACCGGTCACGCGCGATCCACTGCCAGTATCGGGACTGGGGACTGGGAGGCTGTTCTGATAAGCTCGGCCGTGGAGAGCAAGCAATCCTCGTCTTTTTTCTTGTTCCTTTCGGAGACTTATGATTGGCCATTGGCTGCAGCGCGAAATGACGTCGGGCCGAAGGTCCATCGCGTCTCGGCGCGTCTTCCGGCCGCCCATTAATCTCGTCGATCTCTCCGGTCGTCCCTGGATTTTTCACCAAGGCCCGGACAGCAACGCTTAGGGACGGTGCCCATGCAGGATGAATCTCCATGATGCGGATGAGCGGCCCTTGAAGAAAAGGCGCTTTTTCGTGGATGAAGAAGATGTTGCCTCCCCACCGACTAACGATCCTATTCCCGCAAATCTCGACACCTCTGCTTCTTCGTCCTTGAACGAGAGCAATGGAGTTGAAACTCAAGATATAGCATCCGAGAACACTCAACTCAACGGATCGGTTTCTTTCCTCGATGGATCCTTGCGAAACGAGAGCCATGCCGTTCCCCGTGAGGAGAAAGATGTTGCACATGCAGAACGCCACACTGCGGATTTGACGGCGGAAACATGCGGGCAGGTCTCCGATGGATTTGATACAGCGACGTTCACAAGTATTGTCGGAGAACATCTCTCTGCAGACTCCTTGCAGAAGATTCGAAATGCAGCCGGCGGTGACCTCGAGAGGGCAGTCAACATCTATTTCGATGGTTCGTGGAAGAATTCCCCTGTCAATGGAGCTCGGAATCAGACAACCCTCACATCTCGCCAACGGTCGCTTCCTGTACAGCCACCAATGAACACAGAGCCCTCGCTGGCAGCATCGCAATTACACACCGAGAGTCCTGCAGCAGATAAGCCGCTTCGCCGTGCAACTCAGCCCTCGCAGAGATATATAGGTGCATTTGGCGTGGGAGGCTGGGCCACAAGGAGTGGAACAGGAATACTCAAACATGGGGATCATGTCAACATTGATCGTACACGATCTCAGCCGATCTCCAAGCGCAATCGCGCGGGGAAACTCATTGCCAATCAGAAAGGCGACGTTCTCACGCGGTTCACCACTAAATCCGGTCAGGAAATCGGAAGGCTGCCTCGGGAGACGGCTGAGTGGGTATCGACTCTATTAGACCAGAAGGTGTGCAAGTTCGACGCTGTATGTGTATACGCGCCTGACCGGATCCGAGTGAATGACACCATATATTTGCAATTGTGGTGCTATTTGCGCATCGAGGCATTTCAGCCTCGGATCCTTGATGAAGCAGTTGATGATAACAGATCGATCGCTTACTTCGAGGAGAAAGAAAGTACCGAGGAGAAGCGGTTGCGCCTTCGTCAAGTGGCTCTGGTGAAACTCTTCGATGAAATTGGCCTCCAACCGTCATCCATCAATGACATGACACGGAATCACAAGAAAGAAGGATTGCTTCGTGCGGCAGAGATGTCGGAACAGTACGAGCGAGTGAAAAAGGAAAACCAGACAAACAACGGCTCGTCAGAAGAGGAGGATACCCCGGAGCTCGAAGAAGACCAGCTTGATACGCTCTACAAGAAGGCTCAGTCTTTCGACTTCAACATGCCTGAGGCGGAACCTGCGTCATCGTTCACGATGAATCTTCGAAAATACCAGAAGCAAGCGCTGTACTGGATGCTCGCCAAGGAGAAGGACAATAAGTCTGGGAGGGAGACATCGCTGCATCCACTATGGGAAGAGTATACCTGGCCGTCTAAGGATGTTGACGACAAGGATCTCCCGGCTGTAGAGGGTGTTGACCAGTTTTATGTGAACCCGTACTCTGGAGAGTTGAGCATTGAGTTCCCAGTACAAGAACAGCATTGCCTCGGAGGTATCCTGGCAGACGAAATGGGCCTGGGTAAGACGATTGAGATGCTCAGCTTGGTCCACTCCCATCGAGTTGCCCCACAGAACCCTGGCGATTTGGTGAGGCTACCCCAGTCGTCTGCTGGGGTCGTCTCTGCTCCGCATACTACCCTCGTCATCGCACCCACGTCCCTCCTGGCACAGTGGGAGAGTGAGGCCTTGAAGGCTTCGCAGCCGGGAACGATGAAAGTGCTGATGTATTACGGGGCGGACAAGAACATTAATCTCAAGGAGCTGTGTGCTGCAGGCAATGCGGCTGCCACCAATCTGATCATCACCAGCTACGGGGTTGTCCTCGCGGAATACCGCCAGCATGTATCCACATTGTTCTCTTCCGTCGCCCCCGGTGGTCTGTTCTCAGTGGACTTCTTCCGTATTATCGTCGATGAAGCTCACATGATCAAGAACCGCCAGTCCAAGACAGCAAAGGCGTGCTACGAACTCAAGGCAACACACAGATGGGTGCTTACAGGAACCCCAATTGTCAATCGCCTTGAAGACCTGTTCAGCCTCGTGAGATTCCTCAAGGTCGAGCCCTGGAACAATTTCTCTTTCTGGAAGACGTTTATCACAGTTCCTTTCGAGTCCAAGGACTACGTGCGCGCTCTGAACGTAGTGCAAACCGTCCTTGAGCCTCTGGTGCTCCGACGTACTAAAACAATGAAAACCCCGGAGGGTGAGCCTCTGGTGCCTTTACCGCGTCGAACCATTACGATTGAGGAAGTCGAACTTCCAGAGCAGGAACGGGAGATTTACGATCTCATCTATACCCGGGCCAAGCAGACATTCAATCACAACGTTGAAGCCGGTACTTTGTTGAAGTCGTATTCCACCATTTTCGCACAGATCCTCCGTCTCCGGCAGACATGCTGTCATCCCATCCTCACTCGCAACAAAGCCATCGTTGCGGATGAGGAAGACGCGGCCGCGGCCGCCGATGCAACCGCCGACCTCAAAGACGACATGGACCTACAAGATCTCATCGACCGCTTCAAGGCAACCACAGAAGCAGTCGAATCCAACGAGCCCCAAGACCCCATGGCCAAATTCACCGCTCACGCGCTGAAGCAGATTCAGAACGAGTCCAGCGGCGAATGTCCTATCTGTGCCGAAGAACCCATGATCGATCCTGCAGTCACATCCTGCTGGCATAGCGCATGCAAGAAATGTCTAGAAGACTTTATCCGCCACCAGACCGACAAGGGCGTGCCCCCTCGATGCTTCTCATGCCGGGCGCCCATCACATCCCGGGACATTTTCGAGGTGATCCGCCATCAATCTAATTCATCACCCCCCGACAACGACATATACAACAGTACACCACCAACAGCCTCCCAAGCCTCTCCCCGAATCTCCCTCCGACGCGTCAACCCCCTCTCCCCCTCCTCACACACCTCCGCCAAGATCCACGCCCTCCTCGCCCACCTCACCCGCGTCCCCTCCAACACCAAATCCGTCGTCTTCTCCCAATTTACCAGCTTCCTCGACCTCATCGCCCCGCAACTCACCCGAGCCGGAATCCCGCACGTCCGTCTCGACGGCACAATGCCCCAAAAGGCCCGCGCCGAAACCCTCGCCCAATTCAACCGAGACAACACCTTCGACCAGGACGAGATCGACGCAGCAGAAGCCACAGATCTCCCTCGTCACTCGCGCACCAGACCCGCCCCCTCCACGCCCCCTCCCAAAGTCCTCCTCATCAGTCTCCGCGCCGGCGGCGTCGGCCTGAACCTCACAACAGCAAGTAATGTCTTCATGATGGATCCCTGGTGGAGTTTCGCGATCGAAGCTCAAGCTATTGACCGTGTTCATCGAATGGGTCAACTCCGGGATGTGAACGTGACGCGCTTCGTGGTGAAGGATTCCATTGAGGGTCGGATGCTGCGCGTCCAGGAACGGAAGATGAATATTGCGGGGTCGTTGGGGCTCCGGGTGGGTGGGGATGGATCGGAGGATGAGAAGAAGAAAGAGCGGATTGAGGAGTTGAGGTTGTTGTTTGAGTGAAGCAACTGGGTTGGAGTTTATTGTTGTTGGTATATGTATGATGATGATGATGATGATTGATACCTTGGTGGTTTCGGGTCAGGATTCTTTTGATATAGATTGGTGTATAGCATGCATATGATCGCGAGGTATGATTACTGATTGTATAGGTGATCGGTATAATTAGCTAATCCTACCATGCAGAGAGAGAAGTTTCAAGAATCTCTCTGCTCGATACGAAAGAAATAAAATATGGTCAAATCAATTGACATTCATTACCCAGATTAAACCCAAATCACAATTGAACCGGATATCAAACATCAATTAGTTACTAATAGAACACACTCATTCTACCAACTCATTATTCAAAAACGCATGATTGATTAACCTCGATTGTGAGGATAAGCCCAATTGATGTTTCTTCCCCTTCCCTGAGGGGTGATATAAGGTAGGTAGGTAGATAGGTAAATCATGACTTGTTGCTGCTGTTGTGATGCAAGACCTTGGACACCTTCTCCTTCAATGTGGTCATGGGGTTATGGCTATGAGAGCTCGAGCTCGAGCTTTCTTTGCCTTTGTTTTGGGCGCCTTCGTCGGAGGTTTTGCCGGCGTCGGTGCCTAAATATTACAATTACGTATTAGCTAGCTGTGTCTAGATATATGCTTAAAGGGGAAGAGAGAAGAGGGTGCTGACCTTGCTTCGAGCGACTCACTCGGCGCTGATCCAAGCGCTTCTCAAATTCGTATGGTTCCCTTGGAGCGGGAGTCTTGGGACCGCGGAGGGCTTCCTCGCTGACTTTGTTGTTCCGGGCGACTTCTTTAGTAGCGTTGTCGTCCGCGCTGGCGGTGTCTTTGCCTTTTTGCTCTGGAGACTTGGAATCCATTGTGCCGTCGGTGGTTTCTTCTTTGCTGCCTTTTTGGGTCGAGTCGACGATGCCTCCGGAGGTGGTGGATTTGTCCATCGATGGCTTCTCTGCTGCTGTCTTCTCTGTGGGTGACTTTGCTTTCTGCTGAAGTTGAGCCTCCTTGTCATCCATTGGGCTCTTGGAAGCTACGCCGTTGGCTCCATCGGGGATTGATTTGCTTGCGGACTCCTTGCCTTGTGGGAGTGTCGGGGCACTGTCAATCGTGCCCACCGCTCCCTGCTTGTCGACAGCGCCTTCGGCTGTCCTTGGGCTGAGAGATTTCTTTTCTTTCTGTAATGAGCCGGTAGCAGCGCTGTCTGTTGTACTCTTGACTCCCGGTTGGCTGGTGGTTCCTTCGGCCACGATTGGGCTGGCATATTCCTTTTCTTTTTGCAAAGAGCCGGCACCTGCACTGTCGATGTTGCTCTTGGCACCCTTGCCAGTGACTCCTGCAGTCATCACTGGACCAACGGAATCCCTTTCCTTCTGCAAAGACCCAGTACCCGCGTTATCAGGCATGCTCTGAACGACCCGTCCACTACTGGGGCTTGACTCTGCCTTGAGTCCCTGGTCCTTGGACGCGGGGTCTCGAACAGCAAGGGTATCCTGTGCTCCCTGGCCCGAGTAGGCATACGCACCACTAGTAGCCGAGGAGGTTCCAGCAAGATCTCTGCTCTTCTGAGGATACGCTCCTTCCTGGTCCGAGTAGACACTCGTAGCCGAGGAAGATTCGGCGAGATCCCCGCCCTTCTGTGCATAGGGATTTCCCAGACTGGTGTATGCATATGCACCACTAGTACCCGACGAGCCAGCATCTCCTCTGCCTTTCTGGGTCTGAGGATACGGGCTCCCTTGACCGTAAGTGGAACGCTGGGTGCGCTGCTCCGGGAGACCGCCGCTCTGGGACTGCCATTGCTTGGCACCCGAGGTGGTGGTGTTTCCCGTGGGGTAGTTCATCTTCTGTGTCCGGGAAGGTTCGTCGATGAAGACGTTCTTGGGGCCAAAGTCCGCGTTGCTGGGAGACTTGGGGTTGCGGGCGTGGTCAACATCAATCGATGCCAATGCTTCGGGGATCACGGCTGTGTTTTCTCTTGTGGTAGGGGCGCCAGGTTGTTCTAGATGAATGTCAACGTCAGCTATCTATCAAGTAAATGCTTTTGGTTCGTCGATTGAGCGTGCGTGGAAGGTCAAGGCGTGGGTCAGGACAGAAGATTGGAGCTTACCGTCGCGGTTTCCAGCATCATAGGGATCAGTAGCAGTTCCCTTGCCTTGAATGCCGGAGAGAGGCTCGTCGCCATGCTGTGCAGCAAGCGGGTTGTCTGGGGTCTGGGTGGGATGGACCTCACCCCAGAGAGAGTTTGAGGCATTGGTAAAGGTATTGTTTAAGGTCTCCATGATGATTGTGTTCAAATATTGTTAAAGTATGAATTGCAGCACACCAGAGAGGTCGGGGAGCTTGATTTATATGTGAATAGGAATGACGATCAAAGGTATCTGTCGTCAGAGTTGGGTCCTGAGTTTCCTGGAAGGCTGGTTAATCAGCGGGCTGCAGTTCTTCTAGAAGAACATGCGAACAGCACAGTATATAGTACGTCAGCGACAGGGAGAAATAGCACACAATGGCCCAGCAATGAGGCAGACTGCGGTGGCCATGGAGAGCTGATCGCCAACCCGCGATGTCATCACTTCCGGCCCGTGACGTCAAGGAACGTCACCTGTCACGTGGGTCCCTCAAGCAACCAACTGGCGGCAGCGAAAAGAGAGCAAGAGGACCAAAAACAAAGTCAATTGAAATTTTATGAACGGGAAAAAGACCCTGAGGGGCGCCTTAAACTTGAACATTGACTCGCACATAGAGCCATCCCTCCAACGCCACACAACGACAAGGTCACCGGTCACCGCCAGAATTAAATACTATGTGTCATTTCGCGAAAAGCCCAAGGTTCTTGTAGCCGAATATGAACTCCTGCCTAATCCTGGATTCGGCTCCATGGGGTAAGAGCACGGAACCGGTCACGCCTGTTTGCTACCCTCGGCTGTACTCTTCGCCTCAGGATTCAAAGGGTGTTTGGGGTCATATCCAACGCTCTTGACAATCCCCAGCCCCTTCGTCTTTCCCTCGCGGAAAAGCACACGATCTCCAGGGGCCAGAAATTCGGGACGTTGGACAAACCGGAACGCCACCATTGCACGATCCCCCGTCCGAATAAACGGGCGATCAATATCAATGACGGAGCATGTCTGGCTGACCGCACCGACGTGCAGCATTGCTTGGTATCGAGGCTTAATCGTGGTAGCATGGGAAAGAATGAGAACTATTCATCGTCAGCGAAACAGATCGAGTACATCGGACAAACGCGAGAAGACGCACCCTCGGCAACAAACTCTCTGTAGACTTTGGGAGGCTGGTCCAATTTCTTGAGAACAACCATCCCCTTGCGGACCTCCTTTCGTCGGACACGCTTCAAGGCGAACGAACCGGACTGGCCCGCAAAGCAAGCATTGACCTGGATCCGCTTGCGCTCAATGGACTTGATCGTAGTAGTCGTGAATTGACCCAGTGAGTCAGGCCCAACCAAAATTGTATCACCGGCGTGTATCACCCCTGACTTGGCCACTCCAGACACTACTGTGCCCACGTGAGGAACTGAGAACGTGTCGTTGATCAAAAGCTCGAACGGCGCGTCAACATTATATTGGCCGCGGTGAGGAAGGATGTTCAAGAACGTACGAACGAGCTCCAGATTCTCTCCGGTGACGTTGGATACTTGGAAGATCGGACAGATCCGCTGGCTCACGAACTGCGTCGCTGTGTTGATGGTTTCTTCCATATCTTTCACAAAGACGGGAATCTTGCGAGCACCGGGCGATTTGAGGATCTTGTTTAGCTGGGAAAGGGTCTCCTGTAGAATCTGAGGCGGGCAGATATCAATCTTGGTGACGATAACCATGACCGGAACATTCAAAGCCAATGCGATACCCAAATGCTCTTTGCTCATGCCAATGAGACCATTATTGGCTGCAACCATCAGCAGGCAGTAATTGGGGCTGCTGCTCAGCATGCCAAATACCGTAGTTCGCAGGTAACGCTCGTGGCCAGCCAGATCGGAGAAGGCGATGACCTTGGCAGAACGCCGTCCTATGTCTTCCCAGGACACCTTCCGCCCCTGGGCGCTGCCAACAATATCACCGCGGCTATCGAACCCCATGATCTCCATTCCCACAGAGCTGGTCCGACCGCTCTCGATTTCGTGCTTGTGACGGAACAGGTTGACCCGGGCCTTGCCGCGGCCATCATCCAGGCCTCCCTTTACGAGAACACCTAGCATGGTACTCTTACCTGCGTCGACATTGCCAACGACGGCCACTCGAATCTCCGCCATTTCCTCCACAGTACCCGCGGGCTGCCGGATAAGGAGCTTTCCCCAAGAGCCCTTGATGCGCTCATGTTTCACCCGCGATTCCTCAGGCCCACCGACATTGTAGGTCACAAGAATCCGACAGTGCGCTGGGAGCGTATCCGCCGCTTCCCGCAGGCGTCGGAGAGCCGTATTCCACTGGTCAAGGTCAAAGGACATAGACTCCCCACCATCCTCGAGGCCGAGATCGAAGAGCGTCTCTCCGTGTCCTTCATCAATGCGAGACTGCAGAATGCTGGCCAACGCCTGCAGGTGCTCCTCGGGTTGTTCGCCAGTGCCTAGCAACAAGTCCTTCAGCTTGAACGACTTCGGGGCGTCGGTTAGCTCCAACTGGTCAAGAATATCCAATTCAGCGTGGTCTTCATAGACTCGAGATGCCGTTTCATAGCCGCTGTCGCTAGGCACATACTGAGCAGAGCGTTGGGCCTGTTGCTTTTCAGCGTATTCCGCGAATTCGCTGAGTGCCTGCGTGTGGGCGGAGAGTTAGCGGGAAAGCCAGCTTGCTTCGCGGGGAGGATGCGCACAATCTCCCCTCTGCGTCGCTCTTCCAACGAGAGTTTCGGTCCCGTAGGAGGCATGTTGCTGGTTTAATTCGTGATAAGGTCAAAAGAAAATATGGAACAGGTCGTATATCAATATGCGAGGTGATGCGTCAGTCGGTCGGACGGAAGATGGATCGGATCGCCTCTTGGGCACTCAAACACGTATTCGCGTAATCATAATTCCTCGTATGGATAACAAAGAGAGAGAGGAGGGAATAACGAATGGAACTTAATAACAGTACGCTGAGGGGGCAGAAGTAAGACAGGTGAATGACAGCGGGTCGTGAACGGTGGCAGGGGGAAGCAAGAAGAATAGTGTCGAGGGTAGCGGAACCGGGGAAGCTTTATCGATAGCGAGTGCGAGTCATCGCCGCAGCCGCATTCTTGAGTCATACGGCCCCAAACAGTCATCGGTCTGCGGCAGCCGCGCCATGCTATTCGGGGCTCCCTAGCAGTCCTGTTAACTCGAGGCGACTCTACACTGGTCCACCGGTGCAGTCTACCGCTAGTTACGTATGCCAGCATGGCATGATGCCGTGCGCCTTGCACCCTTCTGAAGCCTCTATCCGAAACGCAACCTTGCAAGTCCAGGCTTGACCGAGTACATGACTACAATAGAGAATAAAATATAATCTGACAACCCTGTAACATCGCCTGGTCTTCGTGGTCTCGTATTTGTTCGTAGCTTGGGCGTGGTAACTTGGGCCTGGAAGCACCGGTTGCTATATGGCCTCAAAGGATGTCATATCTAACCCATTTCCTAGGTGTCGCCTCCCAAATCTTATGCCTGCGGGGAAATCAGAACGACCGAGTCTCCTATATGGCACAAAGTTAGTATACGAGCCCCGAGGCTCTACCGGAAAGTCGTCGCAAAACGCACCTCGGACAAAGAGCATCTCTTCTTGCTTCTTGATGGTCTAGAGCAAGACAACTGCATTAGCCCCGAGTCGCCCCGTTATCACCTTCCATCCGATTCTATTCTGAACGTACCCGAAGTGTTTCCTGCTCGTTCTCGTCATCCTCCACCACGTAGATGGTCTCCTCCACATCGCCTAGCACCAGGTTGCAGTGACTGTCGTATGCCTATCGGGCGCCATGCGTCAGTGGGAACAGCGTAGCTAGACGTCAGGGGGCGTGAGACTTACATGGAGCCGACCCTTGAGCTCGCGATCACCGCGGAGCTTCACAAAGACAATTTCATCGAGCGACAGGCGCACCAGATCTAAGGGCTCGGAGACGGGCGCAGTGCCGGCATCCTCCGTGTCGGCCATGTCGAGAAGGGAAAGGGGGGAGACTGGAGCCTTAAGCGAATGAAAGGGGGAGGGGGGAAGGATCCAAGCTGCAGCGTGGACAACAGCAGACGCGGGACATGGGTGGTGAAAAGAGACTGACAGGGATCTGGCCCGCCAAGACCACAACAAGCGGCACCTCCTCATTTCTCCGCTTTTATAGTCCCAGCTCGACTCCCCCCCCTCAAACGGCTGACGGCCTGACCCCAGGTTTGTTGTACACGCTGTCAGTTGTGTTGCCTTCAAGTACGTCCCCCAAGCTTCAATGTTGGGGTTTCTACGTGCCAGCGAGAGTCTAGGCTCCCAGTTGGTGTGTCCGTCATACCGTCGACATCGATTAACCGATCTTCATTCCTGTTCTCCACTTCTTATAGTTCGGGATCCTACGCGCCGGCTACGATCGTTCGCCACCACGAAGGTATATAATAGGGCTTGGAACAACAATGGGAACGGAGATAGAGACTGGCCTGCTGGGGGTCAGATGATTCCGCAGGGACTACGTCCCCCGAGCATCCTGGAGGCTGGTCATGTTGGCTCGGGCGGTTACGAACCTTCCAGGACTGACTCTCCTGTTGAGAGCTCGCATTCTCTTGAGGCAGAGTTCAATGCTATCCTCGGAGACGGCCAGCCAGATCAAGTGATGGATGCTCTCATTAATCCTCGCTTTGAGAGCCTAGTTTGGTCAATGCCGCAGAGTACCTTTGTCGAAGCCTTCCATTTGCTTTCCCCAGCTTACTTTATTGATCCTTATCGGGAGATCCATCGTCCACTCCACCCGTCAGCCGTTGATCTCAAGCAGTACCGATCGCTGGACTCGATTTTTGACGAGTTCACCAATAACCTTGCCGCAATCCTACATAAGAGACGGTCGGCAGGCCAACCCGTGGGCCTGGCTGAGTACACACACCTTCTCGATTGCGCACGCTCAATGGGCGATGCCATGATGGCAGACTATATCTGGCATGCGATCAGGGAGGAAGAACTTGTGCCCGACGCTCAGTGCTATAGCCTTTACATGGAGGCAAAGGTCTGGGACAAAGCCTATACCGGCCTGGAGAAGTATCGCACGAGACTGACCCCTTACCTTTATCGGAAAAGGCGGTTTTTCACTCCCAACACCGGATGGCAAGGGTACGGTACTGCTGGCCGGAGTGTGAGAAAGGAAGTGCTGCAAATATTCAACGAGATGACACTGGAGGGTACCCCAGGAAGTACAACCGCCTTCGTAAATGTCATCCTTGCGTCAAGCCGCGTTGGGCATCTGCAAGGAATCAAGAATGTGCTGCACACCGTCTGGAACATTGATGTCGACGCACTGCTGGAACAGGTCGATGAGTCGATACTCCCCGAGGTGGTCCCATACGACCGATCCTCGCCGCTGTACCCCACAAACCACCTCCTATTTGCGATAGCTCATGCGTTCGGCACGAATAACGACATCCCGGCTGCTCTGCGAACAATAGATTTCATCTCCAACAAATATGACATCCCTGTCCCAGAGAATGTTTGGCTTGAGCTGTTCGAGCGATCGTTTGTTTTGTCCCGTCCGAGATTTGGTCCAGATGCAGAAAGAAATGCGAAAGGCAAGGTTTCTTATGACTTTCTGAACACTATGTTCGAAACCATGACAGCCGAACCTTTCAACGTGCGTCCCACAATAGAGGTTCATCATATACTTGCTAAGACTGCATGGGATCGCGCCCGGTTGTCCGAGTTCCAACGTCATATGCGAGCTGCGTATGAGATTTTGAAAGAGACTAGAAGGAAACGAAGGACTGCGAGGTCGATAATAGAAGCCTACTTGGGACACTCCAAAGCACACAGAGTGGGGGTTCACCCGACACTTCTCAGGTCGCGAGCCTTTGCAGATGCTGTGCACGCATATGATATCCTTCGACTGCGCACATTTCAGCAGACTACTATCATGGAGCGTCTTGCAAGGCTCTTGCTGATCCACCATCGTTGGGTGGGTCGTGACAACCCAGCATGGGAACGAAGCATTCTTCCGCGGGCGCTTGAAGAATGGCGAGACTTCCTACCTGAATCTCTCTCATACGCCATGCGCGGGGGCCTTGTACAATTCCATGGTGCCACCTTCTGGGGCCAGCGTAATATAAGGCGCCATAGAAATGTACCGGTCCGGCGGCCAGCTTTGGATACCGATGTCGAGCTAGAAGATGAGGCAAACGAGCTTGACGATGATTCCTTCTGGGAGGATTATCGGCAATCTGCACCGCACCTTGACCTGACTTCCCCACCGCTGAAGCGGCTGTTTGGAGCGATGCAAGAGAGCGACGAAGCGAGTGGCTATATGGCTGATGAGCAAGACGAATTTCTGGCTGACGAGCTGGGTTACGAAGCTGAGGCCCCTGGTGCTAGGGAAGTTGTCAGGATGCCAAAACGAAAGCGCGCTACTACCAGAAAGCGCCAAACAAACGAAGTCGACGATGCCTTTGACACAACTCCTGGTTATCTCTCGTGGACTTGAGACCTTGGACCTTCACCCCTTTTCTTTGTTCTCTTGTCTTTTCAACTTCCATTTTCAAATTGCGTGCTTTTCATACCCTCTTACCTTGCAAGACTCCTGCAAAAGTCATCCGTTCCCAGAACTGCTTTTCTTCGATATCTTTCTTCACGTCCTGAGCCTTGGCTATGCGAGACCTGTGACGAGCTGCTTTCCGTTATGATACCTCATGTTTGCACATATTGTCGTACCTGAGCGGATACCCTGTCCATGGTGACATGTTACGAACTGAGTTTATGAGTGCTTCTGCACAGTTATATTACTTTGCGATTTATGCATCGGACATTGATATGGTTGCTATATTAGTTTAGGGTACAGTAGTCAGCAATGGCCTTCAAGACTAGCACTTAAACAAAGGTCAGGGGAGGCGAGAAGGAGCATACCTATACATTAGAGTCCTCAGCCCCCAGGCACGTCTCAGACGATATCAGTCCAACACGAAATAAGCAGAATCATATACATACAACTCGGGTATAATACAACAAATGCAGACACCTATCCAAACAATCACTCAAGAGCGACCACATCAATAGACAAGCATCAAGCATCAAATCTTCTCCGCCTTCAGATCATTCACAGCCATATACCGACCAATAGTGATCCAACCCCACCGGAACCACACCATCTGGCTTTTATGGGCATGGACCATAGCCGACTGCGCCGTCATCCATTCATTCACAGAACTAACGAACAACAATCTCGAAGGCAAGTCACTCTTAGAACCACGTCCAGTTCCAGAAAATATCGAATTCAACGCCCCCCGAACCATCGTGAACGGCGCGTCCAGTACCCCCGCATACTTGCGGAGCAGATTCGTCGTGGTAAGCGTATATAACGTGACCGGGCAGGTATAGCCGGGCTTGTCCTTCATCAAAGACCGCACGAAATGAAGCGCACCGTGGTACAGAGATCGGTGGTTAGGGTGGTTGCTGATTCCGCCTTTATCGAAGGTCAAGAGGACGTCGATGGTCGCGGTGGGTGCCCCGTCGCCATTACCACTGCCACTGCCACTGCCGGATCTGTTTGTTTTCTTGCGCGATTTGGAGCTGTCGAGTGATTCGGGCGCAAAGGCAGTCTCGAGAACAGCTGATACGTCACTTTCTGACCAGTGCGCTGACATGCTATCTGGGAAGCGGGAGGGGTCGTCGATGATGTACACGTCTGATTCGTTTCGTAGGCCGAGTTGCATGCCGCTTTTCACGAGCTCCTTTTTGCGGATGTGGCCGAGTCCGTCGGCGTCGCCTGGATTGAGGAAAAGATGGGGGGTTAGTGGTTGTGTATGGTGTGGCGCATTGGTGCTTGGGTGGGGGAGGTGCATACCACTGCTGAGACAGAGGATCTTCAGATGGTTCCCGTATTCTGGCTTTGTTAGGGCCAATACGGTGGGTGCGAAGAACATGGCTTCATCGTCGGGGTGAGCGATTAATAGGCATATGCGTTTGTTGTAGAGACGAGGGAATGCACCGGCGAATGGTGATGAGGTGGTCGAGGATAAGGTCCAGAAGAGGAACACGGCTAGAATGGCAGAACCGAGCGATAGTGCTGTTGAAGGAGACATGGCGCGATGATTATAGGAGATTTATTATAGTCGTATCAATCGGTTAAATTGCGGAGTAAAGCTAGAGTGGTATAGCTGTGTAATTGGAGCAATTGATCGTGGGAACTCGAGGAGGGTCTTCCAGTGGTATCCCACACCAATTCCCGCTGCGCCGAATGAACGCAGCTGACGTTCGATGTTAAGGTATATCCACTGATTAAGGAAGGTATTTGAGACGTGTAAGACTATTTGAGATTGTGCATCATGGAGGACACGGACACCTCAATAATTGGATAGCCAGGATTGATGAGGGAAGGGGATGTTGATTCCCAGGGTCCTGGGTTGATTATCTCCGAAGCTCCATGCCTCGTGGAGCTATCACCACGTGACTACTGATTATGTCGAGCGATTCAGCAAAACCAAAACTGTCAGCTTGTATTGGCTGCTGTACGGAATTGCTGCTGTGAGACATTGTTCAATGACTCGAGAATATTGCTGTTTATTGAACTCAGAGCATGTGGTATGCTGTGTGACTGCAGTGTTACATGCATAACCTTCAGAGAACTTATAAAACTCAAATATATATATCGGCAGGTTAGGCCACTACTACTCATTACGACTTCTCTTCTTTGGTATCGACTAATCACCCCCAAATGCAAAAATGCGACCAAGACCTTACGCTTATAGAACTAGCTACAGAGAGAGATTATTAGATTCCATTGTCTGGACTACCAAGATTCCAGCTGGTTGCATAGTCGAGACCGTTCGTTAGTATCATCAATGTAACATTGAATGATGTCACATTCAAGTTAGTTTACAGAACATTCCAGATCTTCATTCATATACGCCCACTCACCACAAGGGGCTGCATTTGTTTGAAGGGCATGCATGCTCTTTCAATTGCACACTGGGAGGTATAGCTATAGAATTCCTTTATGCATTTGGTGATACCGCCACAGCTTTCTGCTACGGCTACATGAGTCGGTGTTGTGCTATTGGCATCGACCTAGGTGCCTCTAAAGGACATAGAGATCTCTTTCTATAAGCAAGTCTTCAAGTAGTTGAATTGTCGATTCACCAGTAGCAGTGCCTTAGGTGCGTGTCCCTTAGAACCTCCAGACAATGGATCATGGACTGGGACGGCCAGCTGTCACCTTCCTAACTGGGCTTGGTCACAGCTTAGTAAGTTGTTGGACTAACTCAAAGCAGGAGACTCGTGGTTCCACCCAACCACTTGGAAGCGAACGCTTGCTTTGGCAGGCCTCACTTAGACTCATCAGGGCGAGGCGAAGGAGCAGGATGGAACATTGGAATTCTCCAGAAGATCCTTCATACTTCGTAGCTCATACCTCGGTCTTTGAGAGTGAATACCCACATGCCCCACGTGGAGAGACTAGTCCAGCGATTCGTCCTACTGGCAGTCTGGCCTAGTACAAGGCTGTTCTCGAAATAGGAGCACATTCTCTGCCTCTGATGCACAGACAGCCCTGGAGAGCATTGCTATTTTAGCGCCACGGCCCTCCGGATTCCGAAGTGGCTAGAAGCCATACTAGCAAAGACTTTCCTAATACGGAGTAGAAATATGAAGGATGGCACTAATCAGTAGCTAGTATAACTCACGCACAACGCATTTCCGAGGCTTGTTCCCCTCGCGGATAGAGTCGGCTGTAGCAAAACCGGCTGCTAGCTCAGATAGAGACGTCATTGCAGGCACTGCAAGGCATTGACCCGGGAATCCTTACGTCCGACAAAGAACTTTTGCCAGCGGGAGTCGGTATTTGATATGATTAAAGCAAGGTCGTAAGATCCACGTCAGGGGTTCAGGGGATGTTCTCGGCCCCAGTTGATCCAATATCAAATCTTCCTTTATCCACTGGTTTCAAACGGCCGCAGTACTTACAAATACCTTTCGAAGAGTAACCACAATAATTCAAACCCCCAGGATAGGGAGAGTATTAGCTCTGTCGAAGCCCCCAGCTGTTCCACTTAAGTTTCGGATTAGTTTGCAAGAAAATAACTCAGGATACGAGCCCATGAAAACCCAAGCTTAGGAGCTGTCGGGCTGCTGATAGCCGATATCGTAGGGCTGAACCGCAATTTTCCGTGCCCCTTACTGCCAGCATCATTCGGAATCCAATTACGTCGCAGCATGGAGAGGTCAGTAGGTAAAAATCTAATGACAGATATGCTTTCCCACAGTATGTACTATTGCGTACAGATGTCACAAACAACCATATCAAGGCTTAGCCCAAATCGAAGCAATCGAGAAAGCAACGAGTCAAACTCAAACCTGCGGGGTTCATGAGCTTGGCTGTAAGGAACAATAACCCTCCATATGGCCAGGAACCCAGGCAATGCAGAGGGCCTGCACTATAGCAATTAGCAACTGACTTGAGCGACGATATCCGATACTAGGCGACCGTTAGTCATGCAACAGTACATTATGACTAGTCACTTTTGAGGAACTATTCTTGCCGAAGTCGACGGCGTCAATCTGACCCGGAAAGGCGGTCCGCAGGTACGGCGTCAACCATGAACCGCATGTTGTGCTCCCACGGACCGATTAAACTTCCGTCGAGGACCTTACCGGGCAGGGAGTTGGGAATAACGGCAGTCGCCGAAGTCCTTGACTAAGGGGTCGAATTTCAGCTAAAAGAGCCCCATAGTGAGCGATTTAGCTCGCCGAACACTGTGGAGGAGAACGGAGCGAAAATTCTGAGGCGCTAGTGTCTAGCAGAACTCATAGGAGTCATCGCATGGGGTCCGCTAAAGCTAGCCATCAAAAAGATCCGGGCCGGTGGACAAGCTCCGTAAGATTAAACGGGGTACGGTGTACCACGTCCCCATCCGCCGAGGAGGGGTTTCCGCGGAAAAGACCCAATAGCAAGCGCGAAGGGGTGAACATGGCCTTGCAACCTGCAAGAAACAGTACTATAGAAAGGCTGGCATCATGGAGGTGGTTACTGACGACTCGTCATTATCAACTACCTGTTTTGCAGCTGCATCGAATGGGGCCCATGCTTCTGCACATTCAGGCTAAGAGGGGTTTCATGACGCCTTCGAGGCCTAGTCCGAATGATGGTTAATAACGCAGCCGCAGTGCGTGCTCAGGCAGGAGAAATCCCTCAGTCGGGGATCTGATGACTGAAGTCAGCTTACTGTACCGATGTACTCCGTACTCCGTATACTATATTATTAATAGATCGAGGTTTGAAAACGGCTTCGGTTCTGCGTAGATACTCCTTGGATAGTGAACGAAGATGCAATAACACTAGTAAATTTCCATGCTAAGTCAGGTACCCCGAGCCAAGACCAGCTGGATGGCGCAATTCGGCCCCAATTAGGAAAGAAAATGGCAGTGCGATGGACACTCGACCGCAGCCTTCAATGTCCGATAATCCATGTGTTGCGCAAGCAGTTTTGCATGGAATTCCAAGGCGGTAGGTACCCTTTGGACGCACGAGCTAAAACGTTCCAGCTGCTGGCGGAGTGCTCAGGTTCCGATTATGGATGTTCCAATGTAGCCTTGATGCTAGGTGAAGGCCATACTCCGTACACCAGGAAGACTTGGCATGCAGGCTGAAGCCGAAATCTTGTATAGCATCCGATCTCGTGGCGTGATCAAATCGGCCATCCGTAGCCGTCTTCACCAGCTCGTGCCGAAACTCTGCCACCCGGGACGGTCAAACCGACAGGAATCAGTCGAGTTGTCGTCCAGGGTACCTGGATCGTCAACGTTCAGACCGATCATCGCCTTCGCGCATGCTGTCGTCCGGGCATCTCAATGGGTGGCGGTGAAACTGTTAGGTAATGGGTATGGCGGCAATGGGTAGCTATTCGTCAGAGCAGAGGCGGTTCCTTGCCAGGTCACAGCACACGCCTCCAGTCTAGAACACGACAAACGTTGATATTGAGTTAGTCAATATCATATGTTGCCTTGTTATGAATGCCCCAGCTGTCCGACGCCCTCGTAATTGCTTTCCAAGCAACATGCCATCACGACCGGCCAACGACTTCGCTACACCGACCGACCGGCAACTGCAGCCGGATGATGTGATGATGCCCCGCAAAGGACGGAATTTTCTACAGTGCGGGGAAATTCGAACCTATCGCTATGCAGCGAGCGACAACGGAATCTTCCTCCTGCGTACAGGGTCCCTGTTAGCGCCGTGATGGCTGCCCTCAGACTTGGCCAAGAATGGCAACAACGAGGAGAAACCTAGTAGGCTACGTACCGGGCAGCGCATCGTCATTCTGGTTCTCAGTGCCTGGGACCTTGAAAGCGACGAGTCACAACCAGCGGACCAGGGGTAGACATGCCGTACCGTGCGGGTGAAAAGCAAGCCATAATCCCAATCAACAGTCCCAATCCAGAGCCGGTGGACTTCTTTTTGTTCGGGTCTCCGTAACTTTTTCTTTTTTGCCTTGTCGGGATGTGGAACCTGGCCGAGCTGTAACCCCAAGACTAAGAGACCTGTGATCGAATAAAACTCTGCAAAGAAATTTCTCAAATGATTCCCAATGCGTAGGCAAAACATCCGGTACGGATGGGGCTAGCTCTTCCCTCAGTCCGTGGTCTCTGCGCCTCGTTGGCTCAAACAGTAAAAGCGGCATCACGGATCCAGAGGATCTCCAATTAGCGTCGCAACGTGTTGCCGTATGGTACTGTACACCCGCGTCACGGTGCCGGTCACCGCTGGTACGGGCAAAACTTGCGCCAGACCGCCTTGAACCCCTCGGGCTTCCTACGCACTGAATGACGCCACGTGATGGTTTAATGACGGCAGCTGACCTTCCTGAATGAGCAAAGAAACCGCCCCCTTGTCAGGTGTCATTACGGTCTCTAGTCCCGGTTGTCCTGGACGGATATCCGGTGCCGTGAGTCGCACTCTGCTCACTGATGTGACAAGGCTGGATGACCTGTCATCGACTTGTGCGATGCGCCTTGTCTTTACCCTCTCCTCCCAGAGACTTTGGAGTCGCGATCCCCTACCTTGGCAGCCGAAGACGGTTTCGGTGTTGTTGTCGTGGCCGCCCTGGACCCAAGTATACAACGGCCCAATCGCATCGTGGCCTGACCAAGAGGGGTGACTGTCTAGAACTTTAGTCAGCCCTGTCATCCTTGGTTCGCATCTCGAACAAAGGACATGACAACATCTCTTAGCAATTTGGCATGATCTCGACGGAAGATCATTAGAGCCACGAGTTTCCCCCGAGTAATCGCCAGTAAATATTGCGTCAAATCACCACCGATGTCTGCCAGTATTACGTGCCTGGGTCACGCCAACAATTGGAAGCGAGAGATCGACAGCCAGGGATGGACATCGTTCCGGACCCAGGGACAGCTATAGTCGTTCCTAGCCCAGCCCTTTTCTATGGGGTAAGAGTGAGTCACTGCGCACGGCCTCAACGGACGTACATCGGGGAACTACGCTCTGAAGCTAGCGGAGTGCTTCTGCTACGCGGAGTAGTCAACTGATGCAGAAGTGAGTTTGATTAATACGAATCCACTGCACTTCTGCAGACCCCCTCGATGTATATACGTCTACTGCCAGAGCAGTGTGCATGAGCCCGGACTGCATCACATGCCGAGTGTGTCCGAGTGGGATTAATCCTGCTGGCAAAGCGTGCGTGTTGCGTTGATTGCGAAGCGAGTCAGAGGTCCCGTAGGATTTAGCCGAGGAATTGAGTGAGACTACATACGCCGTACGGAGTATTGTCCTGCCATATCTGCGGTGTAGCTGATCTGATGTTCCGAATCAAAGATCCGGGGATGGATCAGACTCTAAGAAAGTATGCCACGGGCCCATAAGCTGATTGGTGATATTCTAGAATGGAATAGATGACACACTAAGCAATCTAGACTGTCCCGAAGCTGATGTAATTCTCTCATCTAGATCACGCAAGCTAAGCAACATCCACGAGGACCGTCGGAGCGCCTGTCAACCCATCGCTTGTATGTCTCACCCTTCCTCCTCGGGGAAATCTTTACGCCAAGCACGATGGCAGGAACAATGCTTTCTCAGACACTGGCGCTTTCCGCCGGCGACAACCGTATTGTCAGGTATGGAAAACGTACGGTAAGACCCACTATGACGCTTTTTCTGCCGCGCCCCACCCGAACTCCATCGTCCGCCCGATGGGATGGAGCCTTCAGTGTGGCCAGACCAGGGATTGAATGGCACCTGTTACATGGTGTGGGCACGTCCGAGTAGCAACCATACTAAAAAAAAATGGGTGGAAAAAAATTCAGGAGCAAGAAAAAAGAATAGGAGTATATGGGCATCGATTGGGAACTAAAAGAAAAAAAAAGCTTGTTCGGGTTCATTCAAAGGCAGCTGCTCGCCCACCTCTTTCTCTTTCTCTGTCTTCTGCTTTTACAGTTTATCTCATTTTTCTTTCACCAACTCATAGGAACTCCAATCAAGCGGTGACATACACATCTATTACCTGCCTTTGTACCCTGTTCCGTGACTCACAACACCGGTGCTCGAATACTTCCACTTGACTATATGTAGTCAAACCCCTCTAGACGCATCTCAATACTACCAATTGCAAGTGGATTATGTACTTGATCGTCTACCATACATCTCAATTCTACCAATACCGAAGCACATCATAAACGGACTTCTATTGTTTGCAATTGCGGCATACCCCCTGTCTACTTCCGAACCACCCTCGTCGAGAACCTTCCAGACGCAGCTACACTAGGGGACCATATTTGACGCCCAGCGCTCCCACTCTCTTCCCCCCTGGCAAGGTCGTCATAAGCCGAAGTGTATACGCTCGACATCTGACAACATGCCTGGCCGTCTTCTCTCCAGTTTCGTTCGCCCCTCCATCTCCCACCATTCCTCCATCTCGCATTCCAACTCCTCATCCTCTTCCTCTGTGAACGAAATCCCACACCATACAATGGTCTCCAAGAAGCCATCCGCTCACGGCGGTGCGGAAAGACCCCGTTCTCCCGAGCGTCGCTTGTCTTTCGCGGTCGAGCACCTCATTCACCCCCACCGGGACCACAGCAAGGACAAGCGACGAAGCCATGGCCGGTCATCTCGTTCAAAGGAGCGTGCCGGACAGGAGGACGGTGCCCATGCTCATGCCAAGCTAGACGTCATCGTCGAATCGCCGCCGCTGGTGTGCTACGGATCCCCTGCCAACTCCACAGGCGCGCTGTTTTCGGGGCGTCTGAAGATCAGTGTCTCAGAACTGGCCGGCATGATCACCTTGGATACGTTTGATATGCGTCTGATGAGCAGGCTGACGACGAAGAAGCCGGTGTCCAGGGACTGCGCCAATTGCGCCGCGCGTACCGAAGAACTGACTCACTGGAACTTCCTGACAGAGCCAATTCACCTCAAGAATGGCGATCATGAATTCCCCTTCAGCTATCTGTTCCCCGGCAACCTTCCCGCCTCCTGCAACGGTTCGCTAGGCCAGGTCGAATATTTCCTATCTGCACGTGCTCACAACGTCAACGGTGAGGAATACACCTATAAGATGCCGGTGCACATTAAGCGTGCTATCCTTCCCGGCAATGACAAATCATCCATCCGCATCTTCCCGCCCACCAATCTCACCGGCCGCATCGTCCTTCCCTCGGTTGTGCACCCCATTGGCACTTTCCCCGTTCAGATGACTCTCAGTGGAGTTGTGGATAAGGGCGAAGAGACTCAGACTCGCTGGCGTCTGCGTAAGATGATGTGGCGCATCGAGGAGCACCAGAAGATCGTATCAACCGCCTGCACCAAGCATGCTCACAAGATTGGGGGCGAGGGCAAAGGAGTCCTGCACCAAGAAACACGCATCATTGGCCACAATGAAGAGAAGGAAGGCTGGAAAACCGATTTTGATACCGCCGGCGGCGAAATCAGCATGCAGTTCGAGGCGAACATCAACCCTTCTTGCAACCCCGTGTGCGATCTCGAGGCCCAAGGTGGCTTGGAAGCGCGACACAATCTCGTCATCGAATTGATTGTAGCAGAGGAGTTCTGCCCGAATCGCAACCCCCGGCTCATCACCCCCACTGGAGCGGCGCGCGTCTTGCGTATGCAGTTCCACCTGCATGTCACGGAGCGAAGCGGACTTGGTATCAGTTGGGATGAAGAAATGCCACCTGTGTATGAAGACGTTCCTGCTAGTCCTCCTGGATACACCATGCTGGATGGATCTAGCATTATGGAGGATTACCATGGGTCTCCCATCCACCTCCCGGAGTATGAGGAACTGGACCGCATGGAGTCCCTTCGATTGGACAGTGACTCAACTCACTCATCTCGGGGCCGATCTCGACTGACGACCGATGATCTGACTACTGAGCCGCTGGGACACGGAGTTGGCGATCGAGCCCCATCCGTGGATTCTCGAAGCTCCAGACATGCCTAACGCTTTCGTTACCACCATATTTTCTATTTATTATTTCTTCTTTTCAACACACGTGTGGACTGGACATGTCCATCCAACTCTACGCCACTTACGACGTTACGATTATTCACGAATTGAACGATGGTTAAATCAGAGGGATTCGGATCGATCCATCAGTTGCTCTCAACAGTCACTCAAACTCTTGCCAAGGCAAGCAGCCATTTCCTAATCAACTTTATAATTTTAATGGCATGGAAACACAGGGAAAACAAAAAGTTTGTCTACTAGAATTTTGTTCTGTATCACGGGGTGGGAATTTCTGTTTGCATGATACCCATATTCACTGTCACATCTCAACATCTCTTCTGTTATGCAACCTTATGTGTTGACAGTGTCAAGTTCACTACCGATATACCTGGTTAATAGAAAAAAACTTGTATCGTTTACTCTGTTCCACCTAGCCTGCTGCCAACGTACCGCCGTAAGGAAAGATCGCCCGTCAGCAGCACCGAGTTGGTGTGACTGGACGGGTACTTACTTGCCATGCCCCTCGCATTGGACATCTCACCACCTTCAAGGTAAGACAATTGGACCCTTACTTCCCGGACTCAACTGGGACCGCTCTGGTGGCTGTCGTACCGGAAAGACTATGTATATGGAATTTGAGATGGGAGCTGCAAGTACCCAGCGGCTGGCTACACAAGAACCCCTGCAGATCGGCCCTGCACATACGCCCCGAACAATGGTTGGTACACTCTAAAAGTCGAATGTTTGCATCGGATTCTTTCCCGTAGTACTAATAACACTTGGGCCAGTCGGCGACATCCAGCGATTCCCATATACAAGAGTGGAATCACCCTCTGTTCAGTCCCTTCCTGTCCAGTCTTTCCCTCGTGACGCCTCACCAACTTCCCCCCCCAAACCGGGCCTATCCTTTTCAAACTCCAACCAACGCCAACACCGGAACATTTTCACATCAGAACGCAAAACAAAAAACATATACAAAATGCCAAGGTCATGAATCGAATATAGGTCCGTATGCTGAAATCCCATGTGACTCTAACTCATACACGACCTTCTTGGTCACGAACGGGTTACTGATTACGCACACAGCTTCCGCATCAAACTCCTTTACGAGTTGTCGGATGATCGGAACCATGTCGACTCGTCCGGATTGATTCGTGTCGATAATCACGGGGTTCTTGTCCATCTCAGATACAAGGTTGAGGATGTTCTGCCCGTAAGTCTTCAGAGGCGCGCGGGTTTGCCAGATCACTCGCAGGTTGGGCCGATTGTCATCTCCCAGAAACGAGAGGCAGGGCCCGATGCCAGAGCCTGTCGTGACAACCACCACTCGCTTGAATACCCTCATCGCGTACCCAAAGCCATAGGTAAGGACACCCCGCTTCCATAGATGTGTTGGCTGGTCTTGGATGCAGGCTGACGTCCAGTCCCCGGCTTTAGAGACCAGAGCAGAGAAGCTTTTGCCCTCGGGATCGGGGAATGTGGCGAACCCATGCCAATCCTGAAGTGGGTGTCGGCATAATTGGATACCCTTTCCGAACGTCGTGGTCGTGTGGGTGAAGTGGAGCCTCACTGCATGGGATGAGAGGTATTCGGGTTGGACTTTGACCTTGCGCAGGAACACCCAGGGGTGGATGATGGCGACCACAGTCACCATCAAGAACCAGAAGGCCGGAAGAGTGAGCAGAAAGTGACCAAGCGACTCATTATATGCCGTGCTTGCCTGATCGGCAAAGATCATGAGCAGGACCACGAAGAGTGCCACGACCAGCCACCCGGAGAAGCGGTGGGTGAGCTCGAAGTAGTCATGCTTCTTGATCCGGAACGTGGGGTGAGCGACGATGATAATCGCGAGCAACAGGGCGAGAATAATGTACGCCAGGATAATTGGAGCCAGCGAAAGGGCGGACTGGCCCGACCAATACTCCCGAGACATGACACCCACAAAACCCACATACCATACGAACGCGGCAATGCCACATCCACTATGGACGCCCCCGTAGTGGTATACCTTGGCTGCCAGCCGCCGCATCCACAACGGAGCGGATCTGGGTATTGAGCACACGGAAACGAATATCGAATTCACAACCAGCGGCTGTCGTGCTAGACCACATGCAAGCAGGTTACCGGCGGTAGCATTCACGAGTGCTAACATCGTCCGGTCGGCCACCAGCACAGCCACGAAAACGGCGATGTTGGCGAAAAAGACGATGGTGAAGAGACGACGATAGATGTCGAGCAGGGCATAACGAATCAGAGCGAATCTTTTCTTGTGGGCTTGAGCCTCCAGATCAAAGGATGCATTGTCTGTCGGATACCGCGACTCTTCCAACTTTTCGGAAAGACTGTTTGCGAAAGTCTTCTCTGTCAATGTTGCTTCACTGGGGCTCGGTGGCCCAGACGCACATTTGGCGGGAGGGGGCACCGAGACAACGGTCTGCACCAGGTCTGACATGCTTTCTCGGACGATACAATAGAAAGAACCGAAGAGGGAAAAGCAGGTACCAGTAAGGTTATCTTCAGGGTCACTGGGGTCGTGCGTGGCAAGGACAGGAACAAGTACAATCAGATGCACCGACAAAGATAACGGCAGACTGAGTTCTACCACGGTGACTTCTCAGTCGACGAATGATTTTGGCCCGTCACCAACGTTTGTTTGACACTGCCGCAAGTGGGCTGCAGTGCAAGGGCACCTGCGTCTTTTGAATCTTTGTGGATGACGACATCTCACCACGATGCAGATGGCATATTTCCCGAAGCGTGGACCTACATTAAACACCGGAGTTACCTAGGCTATCGTCTATAGTCCATGCTTCCAGCAGCAGGACGCATACCGCATGCGGCATCTCTCGGCCCGGATTACCTATACATTTACTTTTCGTGCCATGTTTTCAGGTCCTCCCATCCTGATTCTCGCCACTATTGCACGGGATGAGTTCCGCCAGCCTAGATCCCAGAGTGGTCTGCCAATGAGCAGCGCAAAGTGGCAGTGTGCCTACCAGCCTCAGCTGTGCATTCCCCGAATCGAGAAAGAGGAGAGCCAATAGATGATCCTCAAGGAGGGGCCAGTCTCCCGTCCCAGATCTATGGCCCGTGAATTTAGTGACCGTGATGACTAGATAGAAGGGTCTAGAGATTAGGACGCTCCGGGTCTACCAGTCCGAGTGGCTCATGCAGGAGGGCCAGGGTTCCCTGGACCGACGCTAGCACTGAAGACTCGTGTTAAGACGCAATGGTGCTTGCCACGGAGGATCGTATTCCCCACCGCTCCATGGCCAGACAGGGAATGTTGAGGATCGGACAATCGGAGGGCTCAAAAGCGCGAGGGTCAAGAGGCAGGGCTTGACAGGCCCCGCTGGCATACAACGATCCATGCAGGACGCACAGATTCCTTGCTTTTTCCCTATTGCGACTGAGTCGATCAGTGGCAGCTGCAGATGGGCCCTAGCAAGGCCACAGAGGCGCCATGCTGGTGGGACTAGTGCGTCCCGAGGTCCTGGCCAGGAAACCCGACAATGAGTCGATGGCTTGGTATGATTACCCACCGGGGCGCATGTTCCATTAGCGGGCGGGGTACATCCAGCGGTGTCAGGACCTCGCATCATCTAATGGCTTGTCATGCCGGGTAGCTGAAGGACGATTAGCAGACGTCAGCCTAGCATGGGTCAGGCGAGTGGATACCGCTGATATCAGAAGGCCAGGCCGGGCAGGCGTCGTCGTCCATCATGGCGAACGCTAGTTAGGTTCCCAAGACGGAAGATCTAGCCGGGATTCAGCTGCACGAGGCGAGTCTGAAGAAGACATGATGGAGGCGTCATGACCGGGGGGGGAAGGTGGACGCTCCAATGGGAGGGACCCTGAGGGGGCATTGTTCAGGATCTGGTCGGGCTGAAGGGTGCCCAATATTGGTTTAAGTTATGGGGACTCTGGGGGGTGGGTAGGATGGGAGGAAGATCATGGAGGGCTGGAGGGAAGGGGAGCGAGTTCGTCTGCATGACGGGACCTGTTCGCCTGGAAGTTGCTTTTTGCCCACCCGGCGATGAAGAGGAGCCCCACCGGCCGAGATCTGAACTGCAATCGGCGACTGTCATTCGACCGAAGAGCGCAAGCGTCTCCCGTGGGCCGGAGAAGGATCAGCGACTCGATCTGAGCGGAGCCGGCTGGGCGCCACGCTGGAATGATTCCAAATCAACCCCCATCGCGTCGCCCGCGAAACTGGAATTCCTCTGCTGGCCCAGAATCCTTTTGACTTTTTGAAACCGCCAGCATGACAAAGGCGACGATTCTCGAGCACCATGGTGATATATTTATCGCCCCGGAATTCCCCTTCATTCGTTTCGGGGATATATTCTGGTGTCATTTTTTTACCTTCTGCTCGTCCCTGCCAGCGCCCAGCTATCCAAGCCCTGACTCGGGAAGGACTTCACCTGGCTGAGTGACTTGACTGACTCCTGTGCCCCCCCCAATTCCCTCCCCCTCTTCCCCCTTGGTTTCCACTCCTTTTTTCCCACCGATTCACCTACGGTCCTTCACGGACAACCAATTAATTCCCCAACGATGGGACTTTGGGAAGCGTGCCCCAATGTGGTGGGCAACCAGCACCACAACATTACCACCACTGCCAGCAACCCCAATGGCACCTACACCGACTTGTTGACCTTTGCGTTTCGGGGGCCTGTCCACTATGATCCCGAACGCCCATTGTTCATTGATGCCGAGAACCCGTCGCGGTCGTTCAACGCGCGGCAGTTTGAGACGCTGGTCCGGACGCTGATTGCTGGCCTGAAAGCCCACCATGTGCAGAGAGGCGATTGTGTTTTGGTCCACTTGGGAAACAGTGTAAGTTCAAGCTCCTGTCCCGTAGGGTCTGCGCCATACATTGTTCCTCCCCTGAACCATAGGCCTCCTTCCCCCTCCCCCCACCCACCCTCTCTTGTTCCCTTAATTTTATTTTATTTTATTATTAATGTTCGAGTTTAATTTACTCCTCCTACCCCTCCATGTCTCCTACTTCACTGACTCACTGACTCATGGATTAGATCATATACCCCGCACTCTTCTATAGTATCATCGGCGCCGGCGGCGTGTTTATGGGTTCGAACGCGCGCAGCCAACCGCAAGAGTTAGAACATATTCTGCAACTGGCAGAGCCGAAACTGATCATCACGTCCCGCGATGCATTGCCTACCGTCCTGAGCGTGTCAGCCGACCGGGGCATTCTGCCCAGCCAGGTGTGCCTGCTGGATGAATCTGCAGGTGATCATGTCGCCCAACATTTGCTGGCCAGTCCAATGGCCTATGCTGGTGCCGGCGCACCGTATCTCCCGAGCAGTGGGGATGGCTCTTTCATTAACTTCGCCCAGCTCCTTGCCTACGGCGAAAATGATTGGGTGGCCTTCAATGACGAGCATATCGCCAAATCCACTCCGGCCGCCATGTTCTCCACCAGCGGGACCGGAGGCCTGCCCAAGGCCGCCTTCATGTCCCACCATGCCATGGTATCACATCATCTCAGCATCCATTACGATGTGCCATACGAGGTGACCCGACTCATGTCCCTGCCCATGTTCCATATGTTTGGCGCCCTGTGGACCCACCTGTTCCCCATCCGATATGGCCAGCCCTTGTTTGTGCTGTCGCGATTCGAACTGACCCAGTTCGTGGCGGCGGTGTATCAGTATCGTATTACCGAAACCTACATGGTCCCGGCCATGATTCACACCTTCAATCGCTCCGCCTTGCCCGTGGCGGACTATCTGTCGTCGCTGCGTTACGTCGGAGTCGCCGGCGCCCCCATCGACGCCGCCGCCATGCAGCGCTTCGGGGAACTCCTCCCTCTCCACGCCTCCGCCTCCCAGCTGTGGGGAATGACCGAAGTGGGTGTCGTGTTCCAGAATCGGTACGGTGAGCAGGCCAATGCAGGCAGTATTGGCCGGCTGCTGGCGGGGTACGAGGTGCGGCTGGTCGGGCAGGATGGCAACCTGATACTCGGGGAAAACAGGCCCGGTGAGCTCTACGTCCGCGGGGGTGGACTTCTGAGTGGATATAAGGGCCGGTCGGACGCCAAAGACGAGCAAGGGTGGTTTCGCACTGGCGACGTTGCATATGTTAGTGGCGGGGTGTACTACATCTATGGCCGCACGAAGGAGCTGATCAAAGTGCGAGGGTAAGCCAACCCCTTCCTGCACAGTGCCTGCCACTAGGACCAAACTAACGTGAATGTGACATGCAGATGGCAGGTGGCCCCGGCGGAGGTCGAGGCGGTGCTCCTCAAACACCCGGAGATCGCAGACGCGGCGGTGATTGGGGTTACGTCGGGAGATGGCAGCACGGAATTGCCTCGGGCGTTCGTGGTGCGCGCCAAGGACCTAACGAGCAGCCGGTTGACGCCGGAGGACGTGTACATGTTCGCGCGGGGGCAATTGGCCAGCTACAAGGCGCTGGATGGGGGGGTGATTTTCGTGGAGGAGATCCCGCGGACGGCGAGTGGGAAGATTCAGCGGTTCAAGCTGGCGCAGATGAACACCTATCGGGAGATAGTGAGTTCGCTACTGGCGCGGTATAAGGGGACTAGTCTCCAGGCGGTCGGGATCATGCATAAAGGGCGCATCACGGTTTGAGTCATTCCACTTGGGGACGACGGTACATATGGCGTTAAGAATATAGGCGGGGTTGGCGTTGGGACAGACGCTGGTTCGTTTGACTCGTACATAATGGTATTATATGGATATTATATATATTCTATGGATATTATAATGGATATTGTCACATAGTCACATAAGGAAATTGTTAGAATACCGAGAATAATATGCCGCTGCCATCTGTGGCGCAGCACCAATCAACGCGCGGCCGTTGGTTGCGGTCGATGCAGGCGGCTAGTGCCATGTCCGTTTTTGTGTGACATTTACCAGTACAGAGTACAGAATACAGAGTATCTTACTTCAGGCTTACACGTGTATGTCATGTCACTACGCACTGACTGAGCGTTCACTAGGTCACTACTGTAAGTGGGTTAATTAGTTAATTAATAATTAGATTAGATTCAACCACACCCTCAGTTCTAGTCGTAGTCTTAGTCTAGTCTTCTTAGTTCTAGTTGTAGGTAATATCAATCCCTGTCAATGATTCAGTGAATTGGACAGAAAAGAGAGACTAAGAGAAACCAGTATAGGATGGGGTATGTCTCCCTCCCCCTCCCATCCATTATTCCCAGTCCTGCCCCTGTCCTTCCCCAGCCGCCCAAATTAAAATAACCGGCTCGGACAGGACGAACAAGACAGGGTATGATGTGATGTGATACTGGGGATGAATGCTAAGATACTAGGATATTGTTTGCTGTCAGAACTGAAAAGTTCTCTTTCTTCACGTTTGGTTTTGTGGAGTATTCTGGGGTGTATGTTGCTTGAGTAGGTAGTTAATGTTTGGGGTTGGGTATAGGTAAACTGGTATGGTAGGGATGGGTAGGGATGATTTACGCGGGCATACTTCCCATTCGCTCGGTAGGATAAATTTCATTTTCAGTCAGGGATAATATTATCAGAGTTGGGGTTGGGGCCATGGGGGGTAAGCTAAGATGGAGGGGTATACCTCCACCCAACCCATCCCAACCTAACCTGGTTCTTGGATTCCTACCTCTACCTCTACCTCTACCCCCTACCTAGCACTAGACTGCTGATTAGGTACCTACCTACCTACCTACCTACCTATCTAGTATCTAGTGGAATAAACGAAAGGCCCGTGTCCATTCCATATCCATATCCAAATCCATGTACATATCTGCCCATGATAATTTCACGGTATGGGAGGTACATCATACCCGCCTCGCCTACAAGGTCAGGTAATATACCCCAGGATAAATAATATAGACCAGGATACGGTATCCATTACATCCCCGCAGATACCCCCCCCCTACCTGGAGATGACTGGACCGGGCTGGTAGATAGGTAGCTGGGCTGGTTTGAAATGGCGGCGCCGCTGCCGTGAAGGGTTTGCTTCTGTTCCGTTCTGTAAGGGGTTCATACTTGGGAGTTTACTGTGGTGGATGAGGTGATGATACCGAGGTATATTACTTCTTCATGGGATGGTGATGGGATGCAGGATATGTCATGTAGTTGAGTCGAGAATTCACATGTGGTTTTGGTGGGATCGGGTGGTGGTGGTTGTGGTGGTGGAGTTTTCATTCGATCTACTTTCTGTACTCTTGTGCAGACTGCAGTGTAGGTGAGTGACAGATGCACTATAGGTACAGGTACAGGTACAGGTACTGATCATGCGGCAGTTCGTGTATGTATGTTGATGTAGGTGTACATTGTCTACACTGTACACTAACTAGGTCGGATGTAATGTTTGCTCCAAAAATCTTCTCTGTGTTATTTATGAAATCTGCTGAAAGACCTCAGCTGCGATGTATACACAAGGTTCAGCCAAAGATAAGTTGATAACCAGAATAAAGTTATCCTTTTCCTCATCCGGATTCCGTACCATGGTTGGGGAAATTCCTCATGCAAGGTGATAGCTTGTTCTTTTCCCTTCCTTTGTTTTATTTTTTTCTGGTTGTTTCTTTTTTGTATCTGTCTGCTGATGAGTTTGTAGTACGGAGTACTCTATTCTGTATGATGGGATCATATTCCGATCTGGGTCTGGGTCTGGTTTAGGTTTGTTGGGTGGGTGGGTTACTTGGGTGGGTTTGAACTCTGTCCGAGATGATCTGTTTCTTTAGTTTCTACTTCTTGGGATCGGGTTTTGGAGAAATGCGATCTTGTGATAATCCCCAATTTCCTCTATGATTTATTGATTTTAATATAATATACATTAATATAATATACCTTAAATTACTCCATTTTACCCTTTCTAATTTATTCCCCTTTCTATTGTGTTCTATCTAAATTCTAGCAGGAGCAACTCCGGAGTCCGAAGGAGGAAGAGCCAGACTCGAAACAGATAATGACAGCGTGGTTCGTGCGCCATGAATCCTTCAATTTTCCTCCAATCTACTTTGTACCCCGTCCCACTATTTCTGTTAATCTATTTCGAACCAGGGTTCGAGAAAATACTCCCTACTGTCTAGTATCCCCGCTGGAATAGGCTAGCCTGTTATGGAGTACTATCTAGTCTTTCCTTTCTTTACTTAGTATCTCGAACAAAAGTACTGCTAAGTCTGATCGCGTAGGTTACTATTTTCGTTATCATGACACCACGTATTCGACAAGAAAAGAAAAAAAAAGAAAAGGAAAGAAATCATGGGTTCTAGCTGGAATGTCTCCATGACCAATCTTGAGCTAAAGTTGAGCAAGTTGAGCCCAGCCGGACTAGTCTCGCAATAGTCGCGATTTAGTCCCCCCCATTTTCTCCTATCTGAACCCTGATAGTCAAGTCACCTCAGCTTTGCGCCACAACGTTGCCACAGTGGATGGGATAATGCGATGCGATGCTCGCTCGTTCTTAGGATTTCGGAGCACGTTCGGGTTATCGACGGATCTGCGCCTCATTCCCGTCGGTCTTCCTATGATCTTCGGAGAAATGGATGCCACTACGCCATGACGACACCACAGCCGAACTAGTACATAGTACATAGTACTCCATAGTTAGGCTTGGTCGGGGCTATACATCGCTGGCCGCACAATCGAATTGTCCTTCGAGACAGTCCTCTTGCGGAAGGTTACACCCAGCGGCTGTCATCCAGCTGGATCCGTCCCGACTATTGAACCGGATGGTTTTGCTTTGTCGGATCCCACGGCTTATTCCGACTTGCCTAACCAGGTTGATGCGTTCGTCAAGCTGGACCAGGAATCCGATCCTCATCGCTTCCATTTCCTGGATTCTCTCGCCCGGACACTCGGGTCTTGCCAGTTTGGGATTGATCCGGGTGGCACGGTGGCAGAGCCTCGTGCTGAACATCCTGGACGATCTAGATCCAATCCTTCCTGACCTGACCACTGGGTACTGGCGCTGGCAGTGACACCCGCCCGCTGATCGGCATGTCATCGGATTGGGTCCGCCGTCATGCTTTCCCAACCACGCAGGAGACTGTGGACAGGATCCAGGATATCCCCATCACCGGGATGCAATCCTATCCTCGGATCCTGGTCTGCTCGTCTCCTCGTCTCCTCGTCTCGTCTCTAGGCTGCATGTCATGTGACACCGCCAGTGACTAGCTGCAGCCGAAGAGCCACTAACGCCGCCATGTCACGCCAGGCCGGGATTCCTGGACCACCGCTTGTTCGTAGCTCCTCGCCTCGGTAATCTTCTCCCGGCCAGCTCCCCAACCTCATGGCCCAGCACCCATGCACCAACGGACCATCCTGCTGCCTGGATCCAGCCCAAGGGTTGCAGGGAGGAGACACTAGTCGCAACGGTCTCCCCCTCAACTGCAATGCCACGTCGGCCGACCGCCAGGAGGGGTAGGAGATCCAATTTACACCGTCGCAATGATAGTCATTCACTCACCCCGAGTCGAGGATCTAGCAAAGTATACTGCGGTGCGCAGCCCGAATCCAAGTAAATCCTGAAATGGACTGTTAATTGCATTTTCTCTGATTTTTTGGGTTCCCCCTCATTTAACTTCCATCTCCACTCAATCGACCCAATTGTGCAGGGTTGGCATCTTCACATGTAATGGGCCTCAACATCTAGTATGGCCATAACTGAAGCCCGGCGGGGATCACGGCTAAAAACTCATCGGCGATGTTCGCAAACTTGGTCACCGACTTCTGCGACACGTGCTGTGATGAAGCAACCAATGTCGCACAACATCGGCTCCGGCGCGTACCAATGTAGATCTAAGCAAATGTGATAGCCGTAGACATGGCGGTAAACAAGGACGATTCGGTCTGTGCCTGCCGTGACGTGATGAATTGGTCGGGCAGGACTCATACCCATCGCTGTGCAACTCGACCCCGACCGGTGATAGCGTCTCGACCATCGTAACCGAGGCACCGAATCCCGGACCAAGCATGTCGTACTAGGATGCAACTCCTTCCATGCGGCGATAGCGACGGCGTCACCTAACGGCCGCGCAAACCGCGCGATCCGGGCGTGAATCCATGATAACCCCCCAGCACGTCAGATTATCCCATAGCCTTTCCACCACACCCCCCACACAAGCGGCCCCAATGCCCCGATCGCGGCCGCCCCAAAGGGCACCTCCAACACGCTCCATATCCAGATGGTCCCCACGGCTGGGGCCCCTTTCATCACGGCGTAGTACGGGTCCTCGTTGGTGATGACCATCAGCTTACAGCCAAGCATCACGGCAAGCGGGAGGAAGATCGAGGTACGTAAGGTCGGCGGGAAGAGCAGTTTGCGGAAGAAGGCTAACGTCAGCTTGTCACTGTCCCAGGGGAACAGCGAGATCGTTTCGGACTTGGCTGTGCTGCCAATGAACGAGACGATGTGTCCGTGAGCGAGGTGGATGAGTAACGTCAGCATCGGAAAGGCGACGAATACGGACTCGCGCACGAGGTTTTCCAGTTCGATGGTCTCGGCATATTGATGGGCGGCGAGGTAGGCGAGAGTCAGATGGAGGGTGGTCAGGGGCACGGAGAGCAGCAGCGTGTCGATGACGGGCGGAATGGGATGATCGGAAGCCGTTCCCTTCCCCTCATCCAGCGTCTCATCGTTTGACGAGGTGTCTTCCGTGATCTCCTGGATTCTTCCCATGTCCGTAAGCTCTGATGCGTCGAGGCCGGAAATCTCCCCGGTCGCTGGGTCCATGGTCACCAGCCGGGTCCCTGGACCCAGGCCGGAGCCGCCAGCAGGCAGATTTCCTTGGCCCAGAAGCTCCTTTTGTCTCTCAGCGATGATATCCACCAAGGTCTTTCCTTTGGGTTTCGACGAAGGATTCGGGCGCGCGAGGGGGACCGAGGAGGGATCAAACGTGTCGCTGGGAGTAGTCGCGGCAGCTGCAGCTCGTCGCTGTTTTCGGTTTCTCGGGCCCTCCATGTTGCAGTATCCCGTAGATGCGGGTAAATATTTCGTTGCGATGGAAGGTGTAGGTTCGCGTTGGAAATGGGAGCAGGGAAATGCTTTGACGTGGGACAGCTCAGGTGTCCACTTCAAATGATGTATCACCGCCGGACTTAAGCGGGGTTAGCCGTCATGGTGTGTCCTGGCGCTACAAATTGCATTTCGCTACGAACATTCAGCTCCAAAATACCAGCATTGTAAACATCCTAGACATTATGATTATGAAGTAGTCCTCTCATTCCGCCTTCCATGACCAATTATCACCCCCTCCGCTGCTTTTGAGCAGCTGCATTATCCAGACTGGTAGAGAGCCGGCCCAGCAACCACATGAGGGTTCAACATGGTGATGTTAAACGGGGTCACATAGAGATCAGTATCTGTAATGGCAATGAACACGGTACCGTTGATGGCCGGATCCCCGGCGTAGGTCTCCACGCTGGGCTGGATGGTCGATCCTGCCCGCGAGCCATTGAGAGTCAACTCGGAGTAGGTCACGTTCAGCTGCGTCACCCACGCGACATATTTCGGCGCTCCAGCATTTGTCGAGGTGACATAGCTGTTGTTCGGTCCAACTGGCTGCCCGGGTGCTTCCCAGGACAGGTAGACCTCCCGGCCTGGCCACGACAGGGGGTTCGTGCGGTTGTGGGTGATGGCGGGCGAGCAGTCAACACCAACAGTGTCGGAGTTCAGGCAGGTTTGGGAGCTGGGAACGGCGGTGCTGTTCAGCGCGTTCGTCCCATTGCTGATGGTCTCCCTCCATGCCTCAGCGCCGTTGATCCGGACTGGGTTCGGCTGGTTCAGGATCGACAGCGCGGGGAAGTTCTGCCATGCCAGGCGCGTCTGGTTCTCCGGGCAGGAGCTGATATAGGGAGCAAGCAACGTCCACGCCCATGATTGTGGAACCCCGACCTCAAACCACACCGGCATCGGGAAGAGGCCCTCGAATTGCCGGAAGATCATCTGCTGGCGAGCTTCCGTGGTAATGGACAACGTCAGAAGCGTTGCAGCTTCGCGGGAGTCCAGATGAGACAGGAATCCATAGACACCAGCTTCCCCAAAGCGGGTAAGCTTCTGGCAGAAGTCCAGGAACTCTGAAACGGTGGTGTAGGGGTATATGTAGTTGCACTGCCGGGGGGCCTCGGCGCCCAAAATATTGGTCAACATGGTCGCATGGCCAACTTCTTGATCCGCCATGAACTCGATCAAAAAGCGATCTTCCGCCGTCAATCCAGCAGCAGTGAAGTCTTCCGCAGAGAAGCGAGCCAGTCCATCGTGAAAGAGGTCGAGTTCGATGTACTCCTGGTACAATGCGAGGGCCTGGTTCTGTTAGCAGAAGCATAGGGCAGAGAGTCAAGACGATATAGACCTACCAAAGATTCGTAGTCAAAGTCACTCTTTGCGTTGTACACAGGGGTCTCCCCGTTTGTTCCAACCCCTCCAGCTGGGATATACGGACCCGGCTGGGGATTATGGAGCTGTCCATCACTGGGATATGTGGTAGCCGTCGGGTTGATACCCTGGGGAGCAATACCAGGACCGACAGGGCCAGCGGTCAGTGCCCCAGTGGTGGTCGGCACTCCAGTGAATGGGGTATGGGCTTGGGTGGTAGAGTATGTCACCACCGGCGGGGCAGTGACATTGGCAGGAGCGGTGGCAGTGGCAGGGACAGTAGCATTAGATGCGACGCTCGGCCCAACGCTGGTCGTGTTCGCTGCTCGAACAATGTTGAGGCCGGGATGTGCCAGAGCCAAGGGCAGAGATCCCAGGGAGCTCAGCAGGAGAAATCGGTACGAAGCCATCCTGATCAACGGTTGTACTCCAGAAAGCTAAACATCCACAGCGTGTTGGGATTCGGAAGCAGACAGGCACCCGGCAGGTACATAAATACACGGCTAATCCGCACGTCGTGTTCGTCACGTCGCAACCCGTCTGTGACGCAATCGATCTATCGTCATAATCGAGGCCAGGATCCTGTTTGTACTCGACGAAACAGAGGGGCTGTTGTCGGAGTCCGGATGCGCGTGGATGTAACCTCCCAACAACCATGGCCTGACGGAAGGCGACGGAAGTGTGGGATACAATGAAAAACTCATTGCCAGGCCCACCATGTAATCACTCAAGAGGCAGGCTATTTCAATCGAGCCACAATGCGTGAAGGGTTCCTTGCAAGGGATCGATACGGTCATCACTTCCACCATGTGGCTCAAGGACATGTACAAAGCGGACTTGGTGGGACGACTGCCAAGGAGCTACTATGCGCCAACACCATTTTTCAAGATATTGGTACTCTGTAGATCCATCAGATAAGTCGGACTGGTGGTAGGATCGTAGCCCATTACTCTCGCAGACACCGGATCCGATTGGAAATGTCTATGGATGCATCCCTGGATATTCTGCAGATGTCAGGCCAAAAGCAGCACACCCAGAGCACCATCATCATGGTGCTTCGCACACAGGGAGATGTATAACAGGAACTCAATTAATTTACTCACCGCGACCACATTAGGTTGTTGGGGGACATCTGACATGCGGACCCTGTCTCGGTGATTGTGACGTCGCGCAGGTGGCCCTGGCGGAAATTGTTTCCCACGGATTCGGAGTCCGACCAGACAGTCGCACGACTTTGGAGCAAAAGACCTTGGAGACGGGGAGCTGATTGATAATGGACCGATGTTTGAACGCGGCCTGGCTAGGACAGGTAGCATCTAAGGCGTCGCGCCTCCTGTGCTGCAATGGACTCTCACCATAGACAGCCTCGATCGTAAAATTTGCACCGGAAGTGCTGCTCTCGGGATGCCCGCCAACTGTGCAAGTGCAACACTCCGTGGGTCGCAGAGATGGAGGAAAGCAGAGCAGATGGCAAGCAGGATAAAGATTGCCGGTATCGGTTGATCGGCGGTGCCCCGCGTGGGCACGCCGGAACAAGCAAGGAGCCGTCACCACGTCTCCGGTCTTCTCTGGCACACACATTCCCGCAAGCAAGCAAACAAGCAAGCAGCAAGATTGACGGGACTATACCATGTCGCATCTTCAATCCTCGCAGCTCTTCTCGGTCGACGGACTGGTGGCCATCGTTACCGGTGGTGGTAGCGGTACGTCCGGCCATACCTCTCTGGCAGCCCGATTCCATTTAGAACTGACTGCTTCCATCCGTAGGCCTGGGTCGGACCATGGCCCTCACTCTCGCCGAAAACGGGGCCTCCAAGGTCTTCATCCTGGGCCGTCGCGAGGAATCCTTGCGGGAGACAGCGGCCCTCAGCAAGAAAGACTCGATCATCCCAGTCCGGGCCGATATCTCATCAAAGGAGTCCTTACAGGCCGCCTATGATACGATTGCCGCACAGACAGATCATGTCAATCTGCTCATAGCAAACAGTGGAGTCGTGGGCGACACGACCATGCGTCCCCCCGGCCCCAAGCCCGACGGGTCGAGCCCAAGTCTTGCCGAGATTCGCGACCATCTGTGGTCCTTCCCCATGCAAGAGGTTTCGAGCGTCATGGATGTGAATGTCACGGGGACGTACTATACCGTCCTGGCATTTCTGCCCTTGCTCGACGCAGCGAATAAGAAGAGGCCGGCCCCGGTGAAGAACCAACCCGCCGCGCCAACGGCCCAGGTTATCATCACCAGTTCCATCGCGGCCTATAATCGGCGCGTGGCATTTAACGTCGCGTATAATCTCTCCAAGGCGGCGGTAAATCATCTGATCAAGATTCTGTCCACAACTCTGACGCCGTACCATATTCGTGTGAATGGCCTCGCCCCGGGTTTGTATCTGTCTGAGATGACAACGTCCAGTTTCGGATTCGAAGATCAGGGAGTCTCGGATGGATCCTTCCCCAAGGAAGTGGTGCCGCTGACTCGAGCTGGCAGCGAGCAAGAACTTGCCGGGATGGTTCTTTGGATGGCCAGTGCGTCGGGGGCCTATATCAATGGCAATATCACGGTGACCGATGGGGGCCGGTTGAGCACGGTGCCATGCACTTATTAGTGGTCGTCCCATAGATATGTATATAGATGATATGAAGGATATGAAGACCCATTACACGATGCTGTATGCATCATTGGACGTATGGATTATCGCGTGAATTCCCCTACTTCATGGTCAATGTTTGCACCAAATATTCAAGACTTAATATCATTTTGAATAACTGAAGTTGAAGCTGCAGCCAGTCTGCTTCCATTGTAGCACACCAGAACCAACATAATCAATCAGAAGAGCATGTATCCAGTGTGATTATATGTCTGCTAGCTTCCCTTTGTTTCTCCAAAGCCCTATTAGCTGCTGAGCATGCAAAATAACAGATAGAAAGATCAAAGCAAGCATGCAATCCAGCAAAGTGAGATCAAATTGTAGAACGAAAGAGTCAAACCAAAGCAAGCATTGCGCATATCCCGCTCCTTCAGAAGACACCGAACGAGGGTCGAAACCCTGTCTTCTTCCTTACGTTCCTTGACGATGTCGTTGCTTGAAGGTGAAGCACTCCATTGCCGTCCTTCTCCACATGTGCAAACATCCGAAGAAGGGTTTCGATTGTATCTCGATCCTTCAACACATCTTCACTCATTGTGCTGCTTATTCCCGCAGTCTTTCGCGTCTGCAAATCGAGAAGGTAATCGTCGATGGAGCTCTCAACAATAAGCTTAACGAATTGCACTGTACTTTCTTGTCCAATTCGGAACAACCGGCAAAAGGCCTGGGGCAAAAACCGTTAGCACCAGGGGACATGCCTAGTTATCACTAGAGCGTACACACCTGCTCTTGGATAGCTTCATTCCACCACAAGTCGACAAGAATGCACTTGTTGGCCGCAGATAGGTCGATTCCTATACCTCCAGCCTTCAGACTGGCTATTAGAACCCTCACTTGGCCCTCTTTGTCGCTGAAAACTCTCATATTCTCCTCGCGAGCTGCTAGACGCTGTTTCCCAGTCAACTGTATCACATTAGCCGGTCTTGATCTATGCAGCTTTGAGGGTCTGATTACTCACGCAGGCAGATGGCCATCCTTCCGTTTTGCACATGGTGACCAGGATCCGAACAAAATCCAGGAACTGAGTAAAGATCACTACCTTGCTTGAAGAATCCTCTGCAAGCCACGTAGCAAGAATATCACGTATCTTCGTAAGTTTAGCACTCGGCATGTGCTGGGCGCACGCCTTAATCCAATCCGTTTCCTCGTCAACATCCGACTCTTCGTCCGACTCGGTTTGTCCCCAGGTAATTCGACGCATGCCGCTTCCCGGTCCTTTCTTAGTCGACGTCTTCTTTTTCAGCCTTTTCTCCTTGTTCTTTGCTCCCGACGATGTGGACTGCACGGACTGCGCCTGCTTGGGCTGTTCTTCGAAGTAAGCGGCTTCCTCGATCAAATCGAGGCAACTTCCGCAGGTAGGCTTTCCAAGCATCGTGTTCTTGTCATTCAGCAGGGAGTAGTAACACTCCTCACAATATAAATGCTTGCATGATGTGATTACAGGGTTCACAGGTACGAATTCACAGCTCGGGCAATTCGTCCTTTCCAGTCTTTCATCCCAGTTCTCTTGCTCATGAAGCTCGCTCATGAATTGACGGAAATTTGCCGCCAATGCCATCTTGTCTCCATGGAGCTCTTCGAGACACTGGCCTACATCTTCATTCTCACGGTCATTGAGCACTGTCGTGTTCATTCGCACGGAGACCAGCCATTGCACTATTTTATAAGACGTGTCATTTCGGTCCCCGGTTCCCTTGGCAATTCTAGAAAGTTTCTTCATCAGATATCCCTCTGACAAGAGCCTCTTCACTATGTGCTGTGTTGTGAGTAGATGGCTACAAAACATGCGCAGCATCAAGATCATCGATAAGAAACATCGATATTGGGCCAATTTAGGCTGTTCAAGACGTGCACACCCTACATTATCGTCAGATGCGCGTTGCAGGGAACAGGTTATGGGGTCAAAAGAAAGTGAGTCTCACCGTTGATGTTTTCTATGAACACCTCTGATATTGCATTGTAGAGCTCCCTTTCGACAGTGCAGAATTTCACCTTGACAATTCTTTCGCCGACATCAGGCAGCTTGATTACAGGCAGTGAGAAAAGTCGGCTTTTGTGTGTTCGACGAAATAAGAAAGCTCGCAGCAAATTCACAAGGCGTCCATGGCCATCATCGTCCTACAGTAGGTCTTAGTAGATATCAATTGGTCAGGGTGAAATGCCGAGTGACGCACGCTGCAGAAATGTTTCATGAAATGACCCATGTTCCCGATTCGAGGGACACCAAGAAAGTCAAAAAGTGGATAGAACTCTTCCAGGTAGCTTCAAACAGCATATTAGCACTTGCATAATGGTGAAATCCAGCTGATAGCCGAGTAGTTCGATGTGGTCTTACTTATGCACTGGGGTACCACTTAGGATCCACTTATAACGGCCGGTCAGCGCGCGAACAGCAACAGACACTGACGAAAGGTGGTTTTTGATGATGTGGCCCTCTGTAAGCTGGCTGTCAGTTTGACCTTTGCCACGAATCCTGAAGAGATTTCTTTTACCGTCGAGGACGACCCGGTAGAATCTGATCTGATGTAGTGGGCCTATTCTTTCCTCGTAAAAGTCATTCCACCACTCCTGGATCTTGTCGTCGTTCGTATTGTCTGATGGGGCTTGTGTCGGTGGATAGGACCTCCTGACTTCATCGTAGGTAGTGATTCTAGCAATATTGTGAGCACAGCGCGTTAGCACCATAAGTAATTGCGTGGTATATACATAACGTCATATTTTTCCAAGCTACCCACTGTATCGAGAGTCTCAAGTCTCGAATTCGCTTTGTATATGAGAACTTCTCCTATCGCCTTCTTGTCACAATGCTTCGTAATCTGGGCTTTCCTGTTAAAGTTAGACAGAGAACTGAACACATAGCATCGGCTATACATACCAGTGACTGACTAGCTGTGAAGGAACAACGATGAGTGTTGTTCTCACAGGATCATCCGGATCAGATGGTTTTCCATCTACGATGTTTGCTAGAGCCAGATTAGACATGTCATTTTCTTACCGTGTGCACTTACCAAGGGCTTGGATTGTTTTCCCTAACCCCATTATATCACAGAACAGTCCACCCAAAGGACTCTGCTGTGAATTTTCGCGGTCACGCTGGTTGATTTAGCTACATCTCAATATGTACGGAGTACGTTGCTTACCATAAAAGCTGCCCCTAGAAGCTATTCCATCTGTCAGCTTACATCACTTGTAATGGAGCATGCGCTCACAGACCTGATAGTGATACAAGCTTGTATTGAGACCCTTGATCTTCCAGCCAAGCTTTCCATCACTCCTTGCACTGTTTGTGAACCTCCGAGTCGCTTCAAGGACTTTCCTCTTGTCGGATTTAGCCTCGTTTTGATCCGCGCTAGGAATGCTAGCAACAAGTCTTGTGAGTGCTTTCGTCTTATTTTTATCAATAGAATCAGGTATTGCGTCCAATGAAGCATTTTCGTGCGCGTCTGAGATAACACCTGAAGCAAGAAGTGCTTCTAGATACTTCTTTGCTTTTAAATCTCCTCCTCTTAGCCTTTTTTTTGGACCACTTCCACTGTCAAAGCCGGGACCCCTTTCCTTGCGTTTTCGAGGTCTCTTTGCGGGCGCCTCATGTTTCTTCCGACGTCCAAGAAGGAGTTCGAGACCTAGTGCCTTGCTCTTTCTTTTCTCATCGGCCGAAAGTCTGTTATGCCGTCTCCTTCTTGGTTGAGGCTTGTTAGTAGCCTTAGCGGAGCTTTCGGTCTTTTGCTCGGCGGGAAGCTGTCCGGCAGTTGAGACATCTGGCTCGTCCAAGTCCAAGTCGCTAGATTCTTCCTGTCTTTCCAGCGCTTTTCTGCTTTCGACCCTTTTCTTTCGGGCATATTCCTGTTGCTTCGCTGCCTCAAAGCGTATCACATCTTCCAAGGACTTTTTCTCAAGTCCCTTAAACCAGCGCTGAATAGCATGGAATCTAAGGAGATCAGCTATACTCACATTGAGGTGCATTGCCAGCATACGTACTTCGATTTCGTTAAGTCGCCCTTGGTGCTTGCTTCAAGCTCCTCGTCAGGCCACTCTGATGGACAATCTTGGTCTTCTGTGTCATCCGGAACATCCAGGAAATCGACTACTGAGGCTTTAGTGACCTCCAAAAGTGAACAAGAAGATGATGAAGAAGAAGATGAAGACGATGATGATATATGAACTGGTGGACATTTGGGTGACCCCTTATCTTCAGCTCTGTCGACAGGCCCTGCTGCGCTTCCAATTTGTATTTGCGATGTACTAGGAACCGGACTAAGTACACCTGGCGGTGGCGGACCAACATGAGATATTTCGCCATTCATTTGATTGTAGCCTTGAAGGATTTCGGCAATCTCTTGATCAGGAAGATTTGGTACTGCATCTGGAAATGGCAGACCCAAAGACAAATGGCCCGCCTCCGGGACAAATAAAGAGTCATCGCCATTGATATGTCCTGAATATGCTTGGTCATCTTGCGGCAAAGGACTTGGGAACGATAGGCTTTCAACCTTGTCCCCTAGTAGCAATCAGTCAGCATTACGGGTGAGTGTCATTGGTCTTCCTCATAGATAATCTCACTTGCGTTCATCTGCAGAGCCAGACAACTCAGAGCGAAGGCCTCTTTGTGGCCGATCGCCTCTCTGCGCCGATCAATTGAATCTAAGAGCGTTTGGCTCACGTCCAAGGTGTCTCGTTTGGGGGAAAGTTCTTGCGGATGATGCATCTGTACGTCTATAAGTCCTGTGGTATGACTCGCAGGGTCTGCTGGCAGCCCCGTATCCTCATGTGGGCTTTCCATGATTGGAAAATGGCTCGCTGAATGGGATGGGTATACCGGCGAAGGAGCTTTGTGTAAAGGTAGGTAGAACAAAAGACTGTGAGGAAGGAAGGAAGGAGCAAAGGGAAATTGTGGATCGTATGGAGAGGCTAAGAGGGAATAGGAAGAGAAATGGAGAGACGGGAGGGAAGATGGGGTTTATATAGTGGTAGGGAAAGAGAGGAAAGGGAGAAAGAGGAGCGAGAGGTGGAGGAAAGGTTTTATAGCAGCGGGAGAACAGGTGAGAGGAAGCAAGGTGATATCAGGAGAGGATAAAGCTAGAACAAATGTGAGTAAGTAGAGAAGCGAAAGTACGAGATGATGATCAGAACAGAGTAAGACAGGAGGTCTAGATCCGATACGGTTCAGAGATAAGAAAACAGTAAAAGAGGAACAGTAGAAGAGGAAGTGAAGCGAAGCTAGCATTTATAAAAGGCAGGAGAAGGAAATGAGACCAGGTGATCTGAGATGAGGAGAGTCAAAGTGAAAGGTAGAGGAGGAACAGATGAGAAAGGGAAGCGGAACAGAGAAGGAGGGGAGAGAAGTAAGGTCGTATAATAGCACACTTCAGAGAGAAAAAGAGTACGATGGGAAGGAACTGTAGCATATGTGCCATGAATAGTTAGGCAGCACCTCTCTGTTTCCGTTTCCTCGACAATGTAGGTACGACGTTCAACGGTACCTGACCGATTGTTATTAGTAGAATGGAGGTCAGGTTGGGTCAATGGTAACGGTTAGGATATTGTATGATGATAAGTATAGACCGTGGCAGTTCACCACGATGCATTGATCTGCCCGCTAGACAAAACTTCACTGAGAACTATCTGATCTGCCGCTGCTGTGAGGCCAGTTTGATACCGGCCCGCAAAGTACTTTTAAATCGTGGCTGATAGCCGTTGCATCAGATACTCACCCGCCGTGATTCCAGGGTACTTTGCAGGATGGGTTTCCTCTTCGTAAGTCCCAGGAATGGCTTCAATGAACTGATTACTGTTAGGATTGCAAAAGTACGCAATGCTGTACCGATCGGGGTAGAAATCGGACCCATCCCCTTCCTCTCCGACCGCTGTCGGTGGCTCGACAACCCGGTGTCGGGTACTCTTGATTATATCGTTGGACCATCGCGCCAGCAAATCGCCAGCATTAACAATTACCGTGTCGGCAATTGGTGTCGCATCCACAAAAGTGCCCTTGGGGCTGCGGACTTGTAGCCCTCCTCGGCTATCTTGGAAAAGAAGAGTGATGGAACCATAATCACTATGTTCCCCAGCTCGGACCTGCCCCGAATTTTGCTTGAAGACATCCTTGGGGACGGAAGGATAATGGAGCAGGCGAAGGTTATTATCACCCGCATCCACATATGTATCGAAGAAATGCTCCGGCAAATGCATCCCCAGCGCAATAGCCCGCATGACCAGCGTGTGTAGAGACTTGCACATGTCGAAGAACGACAGCATCACCTCTTTAAAGTCCTTCCCCTCCTCATCAATATGGTCCGGCCATTGATTATGAAGGTTATCGGCCCCTTCCCGACCAATCTCCATTGTCTCCTTTAGGTCGGGCGTGGTTCGAGTAGCCCCCGGGACGTCATCGGGCAGGCTTAGTTTCTCTTGCCCAGTCTTGACGTAACCACGGTTCGACTGTGGGGAAACCCAGCACAGACCATCTTTTTGATCCTGGGGTCGACTGAAGAAGCGGGCGGAGGAGCCGAATACGCGAGAAACCACGGATGGTGGAACGCCATGGCCTTTGAGATAAAGGAAGCCGGAGGATTTGAAGGCGTCTACGATGGACATGGCAACCTCGTGCTTATCGGCGGGGGTACCGTTAAGGAAGGGGCCGAAGTCGATGATCTACAGACAGACGATACGTCAGGATCAAGTAAAGAGGTTAAGACAAGACCCAGGCATTTGAAGGAGGACAGGTGAGACGAGAAACGGTGCCCGGAAATACTCACTGGGATGACCAGGTCATCCTTGTCCACGGCTGTGGAGGCCGGATGGCACTGCTGTTGGGGCAGATTGCCTTCCATTGCAACAATTCACGTTGTTCCCAAGACTGAGAAGATGATAGCGGAAACAAGAATGACCACGCAACGAGCCAGGTGCAGGAGATTAATAGCTGCTGGGACTGGGATGATAGACTTCCAGGGAAACGAGATGGTGCAAGGGCGGGGGTCCGGTAGAGGGCCGTGAGATCACTTATCAGCGCGGAACCAAGGATGAAGCTGGGGCAAGACCGTAGCAATTGGAGGGTGACTCTGGGTCAGTGATAAGACCAGACAATCAATCGCGGGGCAGGGGCAATAAATCCTGATAAAAGATTTGAAGATATGGCAATCTGGGGGAATCTCTCTTATCAGGCCACAGTACTAGTGACTTCGAGCCCCTCGCTAAATCTACCCGGCGGAGTCGGGGTGACTATCACCCAGATAGAACGGAGGACTCCTTTGAAGATTATGGTCGGATCCTGCAGCAGATAACAGATTAAGCTGCTTATCATGGTGGAGGGAGCGCCAGCGAGTAACTCGTTGACTGATCCCTGATAAGTCATCCCTGATGCATTCGTTCCACATGGCGCTTACCCCTCATTGGCATCTGCTCGTCAGAGGTCAAACCAACATAAAAAACCAACCTCTTCCTCTCTTGTCCACTCCTCAACTTCAATCCGACCGCCAATATGGCGCCTTTAATCGTTGACATCCATACTCATGTCTACCCTCCCTCGTATATGCAGATGCTTCGTGCGCGCAAAACCGTCCCCTATGTCCACGACCCAGCCAACAATGCTACTCCTCGTCTCATCATCCTCTCGTCCGATGATGACCCGTCTATCCCCATCGATGAGCGCGGTCGCCCGGTGGATTCTTCTTACTCAGACATCAATGTGAAACTGGCATTCATGCGGCGCCACGGAATCAACTCCAGCGTCATCTCATTAGCGAATCCTTGGCTAGATTTCCTTGAACCCGAAGAAGCGCAGACATGGGCGGAGCGAATCAACGATGACCTCGAGTCAACCTGTGCGCAAGTGAACAAGGACGCAGATCCAGACCAGACAAAGGCACTTCACGAGAAGGAGACGTTGTTTGCTTTCGGAGCACTTCCACTTAGTGCCCCGAGTCCCGATATTGTCGTGAATGAGATTAAAAGGTTGAAGACATTGCCACATCTACGAGGAGTGATTATGGGAACGACAGGACTGGGCAAAGGCTTAGATGACAATCGGCTGGATCCGGTCTGGGGGGCATTACAAGACACGGGGTCGATGTTGTTTCTACACCCGCACTACGGGCTCCCGGATGAAGCGTTTGGTGGTCCAGAGGTGATAAGCCGCTACGGTCATGTTCTTCCACTGGCTCTAGGATTCCCACTCGAGACAACCATTGCGGTGACGCGAATGTTTCTGGCGGGCGTATTCGATCGCTTTCCGCGGCTGAAGATCCTGTTGGCTCATTCTGGAGGCACGCTTCCCTTCCTTGCCGGTCGGATTGAGAGCTGCATTGTCCACGAACGCAAGTTTATCGCCAACGGGGGGGATGTGCCTGGTCCGCAACGGAGTGTGTGGGATGTTCTAAACACCAATATCTACCTGGATGCCGTTGTGTATGGTACTGCTGGGTTGAAGGCAGCGGTTACTGCGGCGGGCGGAACTGATCGTCTGCTCTTCGGTATGTTGCCATGATATGGTGCTATAATCTGTCATAATTAACTTAATTCTAGGTACTGATCACCCATTCTTTCCTCCTCTAGGTGATGATGAGGAAGAATGGCCTAGTGTAACGACTAATTACAAGGCAATCCACGCCGCATTCGACACGGATGGAGATGCTGCCGCGGGCGTCTTGGGTGGCAACGCTGCTCGTATCCTAGATTTGAAATAGGCTCTAAATCTGAGATGCTACCAGATTCAGCATCACATGGATATTATGTCTTATAATTTTCGTCGGGCGTCTCAGTGAGATTGCACGCTCTAATGAAGATAGCAATCAATGGATCATTCTTGTCAAGATCAGTAAGTCATACAGGCAGGTTCATCCGGTCATCGCACAAGCAGGCACAGATTGACCGCGTGAAACCGAAACCACTAAACCAGAGCCCTTGTTTTGAGCCCTACATCTCCAAAGGGTTGTCCTTAGCCAGCATCTCCCAGCCTATCAGCCTCCAAACCTCTTGTACAAACCAGTCGGGTACCGATTGCTCAGGGATCTGTGAGCAGGAGCGAAGTTTCTCCAGATCCCGGCCATCAGGCTGAACAGGAAGTTGTAGAACCTCTGGCCATAGCGAGTCTCTGCCGAAGACGGAGTGAAGGAGGGTACTTTGCAGCTTTTCCTTTACCTTTGTCGTAAATTGTGTGCTTTGACTTTGACTAGGATCCGAGGAGGATATGGATGGAACATCATCCAACACCTTCAAGATCCGTTCTAAAGGCCAAATGAGGAACTTGGCCTCCATTGCCGCCGCAGGCAATGAGCTCTCGTTCAATTCTGTTTCCTTCAGTCCTTCCGGAAGTGGGAACTTGGCAGCATCCATCCGTAGGTCAGGCCGTACACGCAGATCCTGGAAGACAAACAAGCATAGTAATTTCCCTATACGGTTAAGCAGAACAAGCAGAAATCCCTCCAGGACATTCCGCTCGCTTAAGCAGGTAGTGTCAAGCGAGAACGCCATCTTACTTAGCAACAAGCTCATATGAGTGGCTGATTCGTCGTCTGTGTTCTTCTGCATATCTGTTTTGGAACGCTTGGGTTTGGCCTTCTGTCTCTGCCGGGATGTTCGGGCATCTGTTCTATTCTCATGGAGTGACTGTTCGGACTTGAAATTGGAATATCCGCCCAGAGCTTCAATGATAACCTCATATAAGTGGACGATGTGATATGTGACATGTCCGACATCTTCCATGGTCCGCCCAGTCGCAGATAGTTTTCTCAGGGCTTGAATTAAAAGCCCGAAAGCGGCCTCTGTGCCGTTCAGAATAGCCAGTAAATCCGGCTTCTTGGGTTGTGGTGTGACCTTGGTCGAGGGTCGAGACATGGTCGGTTGCTCGACTGCACTGCGCACATTTCCGGCTGTGGTACTGCACAATTCGATGGCTGCTCTGACAATGTTAGAGTTGTTTGGTCGCTTCTGTAGGACCTTCTGAAGTATATAGAATTGTCTCATAAAAGGTGCGGTGACTACATTGAGAACCAGTCAGCAAGGCCTCGTCGGTAAGGGTGGGAGGGACAGCCAACATTGCTCGGGGCATTCTGGGTGATCAATAGCACCGCCACCGAGTACAGTAGATATATTACTGGCAAATATTGAGGGATTTGTTTGCTGCGTCTTTGCTCTCTTTCGCATCGGGGCATTATTCCCAGAAGCCGCCCTCTTCGCAGTGCCTTTGCGTTTCAGAGTCTCTTCTTCACCAGTGACGCCCGTACCCTGTAGCCGCGCGAGAAGTGACTCATTGCGTTGCTCCAACTCGAATATCCGCTCCAATAATTTACTCTGCTCGGCTTCGGACCGCTCATATGCTTGTTCCCAGAAGGAGACACTGTCGAGGTATTTGTCATGGGTGAAGAACCTGTCAGTCAGAGGTGTGCTTTTAATGTGGCGCCTTATCTGTAATAAGTGTTCTAGACTCCAATCAATATACATATCCGTCTTAGAGAAAGCAGATGCGGTTATGCCTTTGACATCCAGGCCCACTGGCTTCAGTTTAACAATGGCCATTGCGAGTGCTAGCTGGGCAGGTGAAGGTATCGGGGCTCTTTCCATTTTGCTCGGAGAGACTCAAGCAGAAGATGGCGGGTGTAAGGACATTCTGTATCGAGGCATTGAAAGGTGAGCTGATGAATTTCCCCTTCCATACGGGGCACGTGCCTGATATGGAGAAGGCAAGTCACGTCCTTCTACATCTGGCATTCTCTCTCAGTTCCCACGTGTAATTCCATACCTTTATGCAAAGAACTGCTCGCTACTCTGATAGAAATGAAGAAGTCGTTGCATCTTTTGAGTGGTTGAAATTGCCGAACAAACGAAGTTCACTGTGTTTCACAGAGTATTAAACTGAACCTACACTTCAAATATATATTTTCTATAGGGACTATAAGACCGGTTTAGGCATTATCACCATTCTGGGAGCCTGGAGACCCAGACTTCGATGCATTTGATAAAGAAATCCATTAGATCCATGGCCGACACCAATACTGACTACCTGAATAGATATGCTGGGGAATTGGTCGGGTTGCTGATAGAGGCATAGTTCTCCGGAGCCAGTTCCGCCACCCGGAGGGCCCTCCGCCAAGCCTGACGTGAAGCTTCATCTTCCCAGGCTAACATTTTCTGTTTTCTTCCACATCCTCGTTTACAGACCTCCAGGTGGCGTGTCGCACGCTCCTCACATACTACGGTAACCTAATTTCCCACCATTCAAAGGAAACACCCCTGCCTGAAATCAAAAACAAGAACGCGACGGCCAACGCCCTTTCCAAAGGCGCATCACCATGGCCTCGAACGACGACCTCAAGGCCCACGCGGCCTCAACCGAAGACTTCTACGGCCTTCTCGATATCTCACCTGCGGCTGCAGAGTCTGAAATTCGTCGCGCCTACCGTCGAACAGCACTGAAGTACCACCCGGATAAAATTGCGAACCCCACCCCGGCAGATATCGACAAGTTCCACGTCCTACAAATCGCCTACGATGTGCTATCCGACCCCTCGGTGCGACAGCTCTACGATAATGCGCGTGAGGCGCGCGAACGCAAGAAGCGCGAAAGGGATATGATGGATGCGGCGAAGAGGAAGATGAGGGAAGATTTGGAGGCCAGGGAGCGTGCTGGTGCTGCGGCGATGGGTGGCGCAGTGCCACGGGGTGTGAAGCGGCCATGGATGGGCGCTGATGCTGGTGGTGACGATGCTGAAGCCAAGTTGCAGAGAGAGATCGACCGGATTGCAGAGGATGGGCGTCGACGACGACGCGAGGCGGAGGAACGGTTGAAACAAGAAATGGAAGAGGAGGAGAAGTTGATGCGTCAGGAGGAAGAGGAGGCACAACGCGCGGCAGACAGGAGCAGCCAGAAGGTCGACCGCTCGAAGGAGGGCGGTGCAAATGTACCAGAGCTAGAACGGGGTGTGAAGGTGCGTTGGGTTCGTGAAGGACGCGGTTCAGACCTGGACAAAGACCGTTTGATGTCCCTGTTCGCTCCATTCGGCAACATCGAGAATGTCCTGCTGCTGAAGGACAAGCGACAACGTCTCGGTGATAGTCGCGAAAAGAAGACGGTCGCGACAGGTGTGGTGATCTTCGCCTCCATCGTCAGTGCCCACTCTGCTGTCCTGGACAGTGAGAAAAAGATCCATCAGAGCACTGGACAAGCAGACAGCGACTGGTCTGCTATCGAATCGGTCTTTTGGGCGTCAGGTAACCAACCCGACCTGAACGCGGAAGCCAACGGCCACTATACCACCACACCTTCAGAGCAACAAGCCAAGTCTCAAGAGCCAGCTCCTTCCGCCGCCCCATCAAAACCATCCTTCAATTTCCCGGGTCTGAAATCTGCATCGTCTGGAGCTGCCGGCAAACAACCTGGAAAAGCGCCGTCCTTCGGCTCCTTTGCTTCCGCAGCAGCAGCAAAGTCAGGAAAACCTGCGCCTGCTGGCCCCAATGGCTCGAGTACTCTGAGCTTGGAGGAAGTAACATTGATGCGATTGAAGAACGCTCAGCGTGAGAAGGAACGCAAAGCTCTCGAAGAACAGCTCAGAAAAGAAGACGAGGCTGCAGATGCCGCAGAGGCTGCAGCGGCCGAAGCCAAGGTGTAGTCGCTTTGGGCATCATTTGGGGAGATTTGGCCGAAAAAGCACTAGATTTTGAGTCATGTATTCATAGACAATTTTATAGCATAGATACCCTCGCATTTCATATCATCCTTTCACAGTGTTGTCGCTGAATGAGACACATCTATACAGATGCACATTTAACATATATTGTACAATTGTTCTAGGATACATTTTAAACAATTAATCATTCCGTCGTGACGATTCTTCTTCTTCTTCTTCCTCCAATTGCTCCAACAATTCCCTGGCCCGCTGACTGTCCACTTCATGGTTACGGCCATGATTCTTCTTCACTCCACCATTATAGATATGCTCCCTCGTCCAAGGTGGAACGATAGCCTTGATCTTCACTTCACCAGACCCAGACGAGCCATCTTCCGCCTCAGTCCATGACACCTTGAACTTCTGATCGGGGCTATACTGCGTACCCTCCCCAGTCAGAGCAACATCCGTCATCATCTCCAACCGACACAACGCAAGTCCGATATTCCCCACGCCACCCAAGAACTTTCCAGCACTACGGCCCTTGCGCGCGCTGATCTTCGAAATATTCGACCCGGATGGCGGCAACCCCACCTCCACAGAGGGATCATACACGGGCGTATCCGCCGACGCAAAACCCTCCTGACTCCCCTCGTACAACTGAACCGGTAGTATCCGCTTCCTCACAACACCCGTATGATGCGTCCGGATCGTCAGTTCCTGACCAACGTAGCAGCCCTTGCGGAAATCGATCCCCCCCATCATATCCATGTTACATTCTAACGGAAGTGATGACTCGCGAATGATCTCCGACTGCCCCTCCGCCACACCGTGCAGCATCCGTCGCACGGTATAGGTTCCCAGTTCGACTTCCGATCCAGAAACTTCCGCCTCCTCCGCGAGATGCGTCCTGAGATCTTCCGCCCCCGGCGTCACGAGTCGGGACCCGAACCCCGGTGCCCGGGTATCCACACAGCCGGTAACCGTTGCGGAGGCCGAGGCAAAAGGGGAAAGTGACTGCGAGTCGAGATTATATGCCGCCCATCGGGGCTCGCTGTGATCTTTCCATGAGGCCCACACGGTCCGTTCGCCGTCGTCAAGAGCACGTAGTTTCAGCTTCGCGCGGAGTTTGTGTTTCTTGAGATGTTTCATGAGGCTTGTGACTTCATCCTTGTCCACTTCGATTAGCCAGGCGAGTTCGTCTGGTGAGGTGCCCTCTGCTTGGGGAAGGGGGTAGATGAAGGCATCGTTGAGGATGCGGCCTTGGGAGTTCAGGAAGGCAGTGTAGGATCCGGTTCGGCGGGTGGAGCGGTTCGGGTCGTTGGTCACTAGCATGTTCTGGGTGATGAGGCCCTGGAGAAAGGAGGTGCTATCTATGCCTGTGATGGAGATTAATCCCCGGTTTGTGAGACGGGCATAGCCGGTTGCCGGCGGGGAGGGAGGGTTGGTAGTGCTGGATTGTTGAACGCGGGGCTGGATGGTCGTGGAAAAGTATCGCCCGCGGCTGAGGCAGCGCGCACATACTGTGCGTGTAGATGGGCTGGAGCGCATTATGTTTGTGAGATGACGCTGGGATTGATTCTGCGCAACGTTTACAAATCCGAGGCCCATGAATGACATCGTTTCAATGGCGGTGGCGGTGGGCAGAATACCCGACGTGACATAATCACCAATGACGGGCTTACGAGCTAGCCGAAAAGGGAAGAGGGTCTGATAGTAGGGGAGACATCGAGAGCATAGATAACATTCAATTGACTTCAGAATTATGAGATGGTCGGCCGCTATTTTCATCGTTGGCCAATACGGGAACAGCTGGCGGGAATATTAAGCAAAATTGACCGCGTTACTTGTTTCCTTTGGCAACTCCTTCCAGGAACCCAAGCAGGAAAGCCTTGTTGACAGGTGATGCAACCTTGTTGGCGCTGGACGTTTGGCTATCTTCCATGCCCAGGGCGGCCTGGCCACCTACAGGGAGATTAAGCGGCGAGAGTGGGCTAACGACGGAGGAAGTCTCCGACGGCTTTGGAATAGACGCGCTGAGTTCCGCAGGTGAAACGTTCGGGGAGGAAGATTGTCTGCCAAAAAGAGACAGAAGCATCTCCTTTTGCGCAACCGTCTGACTCGGTCGACGATCGAAGTTGGGCTGAGGCTGCGACTGCTGTGGGGAGCTAGTAGCACGTGTAATGCCCTGCTGATCGTGATTCTCATTGAGCTTAGTTCGGATAGGCAAAAGGTCGATGGCGTTCGGGTTGTCGGAGCGACGCAGAATTTGTGGTTGGAAAGGCTTCGGTGGTTCGGGAGTACTGGGCTTCGGGGGTCGTGTCTGCGAGGAGGGACGGGGCGATTGCGAAGTCGTGCGCACCGGAGGTTGGTCTTTCCTGGCTGTTGGTGGTCTGGACAGGATCGTTATCGGGGACGCAAGAGCCTGTGCCTGCTCATTTCGGTTGGCTTTACGAGCCGATCCATTCTGCGCTTTTCTGCCAGACGGTTTGGGTACTCCGTGTTGCGGTGTATTGACCGACTGGCCAGACACGGACGCAGAAGTCCAGGGATTGGCACCCTGCCAAGCCACATGCTGATTCGTACCGGAGTGACGTGCTGGGCTCTGGTCACCGCGGGCGCGCTGAAGGATTTGCTTCCTAGCGGGGGAAACTGGTTGGGCCGATAGTTCGACTGGCCCCGGACTAGCAGGAGCAGGTGACCCTCTCAGTAAGCTAAGAAGCTGATCCTGATGTTGTGATGGCTTTCGTTCTCTCGTCTGTGTCGTCTCAGACTGTGACACCAGGGTCGCCTTGGGTGTTTTGGGTGTTTTGATAGATTCATCCTTGAAAACACTCAACAAAGCCAGGGAGTGGCTGGTGAGCTTGGGTGGAGGCAGCTTGCTCGCGGGGGGCACTGTCGCCCCTTGAAGTTGGGAAGGTTGGCCAGAGTGCGAAAATTGAGGGTCGCCTGTTTGCTGATAGGGGGCCGGGCCAGTGGGTTGATTTTGCGGTGCAAGAGGGGGCGCCGACAGTAAAGATCTGTCCTTGTACGAGTCTAATGGCAGTTGCTGTTGAGGAGGGAACACCCCGTAGTAGTTGGCTGACGGCCCTGGACGAGCAGCAGAATGAGGTCCTTGATTCACTGGGCCATGAGGCATTGCATTGACAATGGAAGGCGGCAGGTGCGCTCCAGGGCCCTGATGAGGCTGTGGATACTGCGGCAGACCTGCAGGTAGCCCACCATGAGGGCCTTGTTGAGGGAAGCCTGGAAAGAAGCCAGGAGTGGGATGAGATCGACCACCTGCAAGAGGTGCTGGCGGCGAATTCTGGTCGGCTTCTGGAAGCTGAGGAACGGATTCGCGAGGCGAACCGGCCCTTAGCAGCTCTAGGAGAGCATTGGACTTCGAGGCATTAGCCCCAGAGTTCTGCAAAGCTGTGACAGGCGGGGGAAGAATCTGAGACGGAATGGCACTGTTGATGTTCAAGAGACGCTTGAGATGAACGGAGGCGTCCTGGGATGATGCAACTTCCGGCAAATCACTTGGAACAGCCACCTCCGCAGTAATCTGGTTTGGCGTAAAGCTGTGCATGGCATGAGAAGCCTCATCAATCGACATTTCGGCATCACTTGGCATGGGTAACTTCGGAGCCCCTTGCACCTTTCCTTCAAGCCTTTTCTGTTGAGCGATCCATTTCTTGAGAGGGTGCATGAACGGAGCCACCATATAGAACTTGTTTGCATTGGCGACAACGAAACCTTGATCTTGCTGCTTGCTCTTCTTCAAAGTCGGCAATTCCGAAAGCTTGTACCACTCTATTTTGCTGATCTCCTTGCGCGTTCGCGGCTCAAAATGAGCATCCTGCGGCACGCCACGGAAAACATACAGCCGCATATGCTGCTCTCGCATGGTAATCTCAATGAACTTGACGTCGTTCTCGTCTTTGACCAATCCGGCTTCTCGAACGTCATAGCCGGTCTCTTCATACACTTCACGAATGGCACAGTCGATGTCTTTCTCATCTTTGTTGATTTTGCCCCGGGGGAAACTCCAGTTAGCGCCCTTCTTCCAGCCCTTGACCAAGACTACCTCATCCATGTCCTGGTTGAGCATAATGGCACCGCGCACGGGTACCCGGGTCTTGTAGGCCAAGAATTCGGAAAACGCGGTGATATGATGGTAGTGCGACCATTGGGACATCAGTGGACAGTGCTGGAAGATGCGCAAGGCGAAGGCTTTGAGAGACAACGATGGAAGCGCCGGGTCCAAGGGTCGAATGAAGTCCTCGTAGAACCATTGTGCTTCCTCAACCTGAAAACAGATGCGTTCAACAGATTCAAGCTCCTCTCGAGGTAAGTTGATGATGAAGCGGACACACAGATCATCCAGCCCTGCCCGACGCCATCCAGGTTAGCACTGCCGAGGTCACCGTAGCCATCCGAGAGAGGGACGGACGGGTAGGAGAGATAGTGAAGGCCAGGACTTACAGTCTTCCAACTGCATCTTTGTTTCTGTCATACTGGACAACGTGCTCTAGCATTTCAACAGAGGGAAGGACAGGTGAGGAGCTCTCCAAGCGACAAGCGGAGAGAGCGCGAAGGCGAGCGAACGATGACTGAGGGGACAGCACAGCGCGCCGCTGCAGCTTCAAGGAAGGGTGCTTGGCAAGCGCCAACCCTGAAGCGTACTTTTGCGAGAGAACTAAAGAGGCAGGGATGAGAACAAGCCAATGGATGGTCTACCTGAAGCCAACTCAAGACGCGCTGATAGGTAGATAGAGAGTGAGGGAAGTGTGGCTCTTCTGGTTGACACCCGACGGCCTAACAATGGAGGCTAAGGGAGCTGCCGATGACTCTCGGTTCAGGTATTGGGACTCTGCGAGACCGGGCCAGCCGCGCCACATCCCGCCTGTGGCGCTGTGGCTTGTGCGCGTATCGCCGTTACGTAACTGGTGATGCCGGGTCATGCAATGACGTCGGCGGGCGGCTGGTGTTCCAGATATTCAGGTCATTGTCGACGTTGTCGCCCATGACTGGCCGCCGGGCTTTTCTACTCCAAGGCTTAAAACCTCCTGACCCCCTTTCATTGACATCCAGCGGCTACATCTTGAGTCCTTTGAAGGAAACGATTGCGCTAACATACACCTGCTGCTGAATGCTTGGCGGTTAAATAGGGAGCCGAGCGTCCCTCCTGGAAATTGACACTGACAGACCCGAAAAACCCAACACTGCTTTTCCCTTCAATTTTTCTTTTCACCTGGCCTACTCCTGTCTACCATCAATCAAACCTGCCAAGTGAGAAGCCATGTCGGCGCAACTTGCATCTCTAGTGGGCAAGAAGATTCTTGGAGAAACCGCACGGAACCATTTTGGACAAGAGGTAAAGCCCACTTCATTATCTGAACGGTACTACGGTCGGAACCTATAGACTAAGACACCTCAACTGGGTGTAGGACCCTTATTTCGAAGAAGTCCCTGCCTCGCGCTTGCACCGCGCCTTCGGGAAGAAGACACAGAAGCGGCGTAAAGCCATACCGCCTGGATTATCGGAGAATGACAGCAAAGTTCTGACTCAAGTCAAAAGAAGAGCGTACCGACTTGACTTGTGTTTATTCAGTCTGTGCGGAATTCGCTTTGGCTGGGGAAGTGTTATCGGACTGTTCCCTTTGTAAGTCGCTATCCTCGCACGTGCACCCTGATGAGGAACTTATGCACCCACTCAAATAGTATCGGTGATGGGGCGGATGCTGCACTCGCCTTGATGGTGGTGCACACCTGCGATAAGATCGACGGGGGCCTTCCATCGCGGCTGCGGATGATGATGCTTATGAATATCGTCATCGACTTTTTCATCGGCCTGGTCCCTTTCATCGGGGACGTTGCCGACGCTGTGTACAAGTGCAACACGCGAAATGCCGTCCTCTTAGAGAAACATTTGCGAGAAAAGGGGGCCAAGGCACTTGAGAGACAAGAGAGGAGGCACGATGTGGAGGACATGAGCTTGCCGGACGAGTTCGACCGGTATGATGAGGATGCATCGGGTGAGCCATCCAGGCACAAAGGCCAGCCGCATAGTAGGGACACTGATGGTCCAGCGAAGCCTCAAGCAGCACGGCATCCAAGGAGAAACCGGTCGCAAGGCCGATGGTTTGGCGGAGGAGCTCGTCGGGAGGAGGACCTGGAGAGAGGAGTGATTGATAATGCACAATCATCTCGGCGGACAAAATAATGCTGTTACATATGAACAACACGAGGACATCCAGCGGGCTTATGCCTCAGAATAACCTTAGCAGGTCAGTTGTGGCCGGGACCGAGCACAGGCGTAACAAAATTGAAGGTGCTCTTTTTCCTCTTCTCCGTTCGTGGTTTCTCCGCTCCTGGTCATATAAGCTCCGCAGAAGTCGCACTGTGGCCCACCAGTAGATGTAGCCGACGATTGTAACTTGCTGGCGGTTCTTGTCACGTTCAACATGACACCAGGATATTTCTCTCCCTGAGTACTGACATAACGTATCATCAGTTCGTCGATAGACAGGTTTTTGGTGAGTGTGTTCTCTGAGGGAGGCTCATCATGAATGATGATGGGAGTAAGTTCCGGAAAGAGACTGGCGTAGGTTTGCGTCTCCACCGTGAACACATCCCGGAGGGGAAAGTTGAATTCCAAGCCAAAAGGAGACATCCCATCGCACACCTGCCACGTCACTGCAGAACCACGTCCTTTCGCAACGTTGGCAAGAGTCTTGGCAGCGAGCTTGCTATCCGAGTCACCCCACACTATGCCCCGACATTCCATCTTCTTTGCGAAAGCAACGATGAGTTTGTTCAACAAGATACGGTCGACGTCCGACTTGGAAGTGGCCGTCGTGATCGATTGACGGAAGGCATTGAGCCGCTCCTCGTTCGGTAGACTCGTGTCATCCGTGAAACCCTCCCCAGCATACTGCGACATGATCTGTTGAACATCGGGGTCCAGTTCGAAGATACTGTGGAAAGGCAATTGGGTAAATGAGCAAAGCGGGAAGGTATTTGTCGCGAGTTCGAAGCCTTCGTTATGAGAAGCGACGGAAGAGATCGTGGACGGATCCACGACCAGGACGAGAATTTCGAAGCCCGCGGGGCCATGTTGCTTGGAGCGTAGCACCTCAATTTGCTTATGTAGCATGTGCAGTAGCACGGTGGACGAGACGCCGTATGAGAGAGGTAGCAACAATTTGCAGGGACCGGTCTTGGGCATATTTTTCCGGAGACGATAGGCCTCCATGCGCTTGAAGGGCTTGAGGCTCAAGAAGCGGATATAGCATTCTCTGCATGAGGGGCAACTGGTATCAGCATAGAGGAACGGCAGCGATATTGTGCACCTGGGACGGTGAAACGTACTGGCACACGCGACGACCCCGGAGGGTGAAGATCGGTGGCGCCTCATGGCAGTTCATGCAGCGATCAGGCAGCTCTTTTCCGGGCATCTTTGCGGTTGGGGATAAGGATGGCGCAGAAGGGAAGAATAATCGATGCGGTGGAGAGTGATTTTCGTCAGGCAGAATTTCTCGGCCGTGCCACTGGCAGGCACCACGGGCTTAGATAATAATTGGCGGGACCCCGTCAACAACACGCGGCTTCCCCGGTTTCAGGCAGTTGTAGCCACGATTCGTGAGATCGTCGCAAACATCGCTCGGTCACCACGCATTCCACGTTTGTTCAAGTCTTGGAGCCCCTCCCTAGGAAGTTCTCTTCCTTGTCGACTTGACCGCCATCCACTTCCTGGGACTTCTTATGATCCCGGGTTGCCACTAGACCCTGCTCTCGGCGACTCCGGAGCTTTGTTCTACTCGCAGGAACCTACCGCTTAGCTCCTATTCATGGTCAGAATGAGAGGCTGGCTTCGGACCCTCGGCTTTACTGCCCTGCTGGCAGGAAGTGTACTTGCAAATGAAGTTGAATTGGTGCGCATTTACTCGTCCTCGAACCTGTGGTCCGTGCCTCATTTTCCATGACTTCCAGACACAGGATGAAGCCCATCGACAGCGATGTTCGGGAATGTACAGTCGCAAAGCTTGGGGAGGGAGCGTCGATCCTTTCATCTTGACCAAATTCGTCCCCAAGTCCCAGACTGGTGACAGCGATCCCCTCGTCAGTCTCGTTATCTTCGAATGGACCGATGAGAACCTCATCGGCCGGCCCATACCCGGCGACTCCGGGGTACGTTCCCCCTGAGGATAGTTACGCTAGGATAGATTGACTTATACATGATGTCTTAGGAGAGGGAGACCATCTGCGATGAGGCTAGTGTCCAGGCAAATCTTTGCGAACAAGATCAGGTTGGCTCTTTTATCCTCGCTGCCAATGTCAGCGAGGCCGCCAACTTTCCCATCATCACCAAAGCCGTCCATCTGAATGACCCCGCCGCCGTCAACTACCCTATCAAAAAGACTGGATTCTACTGTGTGAGCACGTATGGATACTCCGGGGTGGATTATGAAGCTGTGATTGAATTCCGGAACTCGTACGGAGAACTTCCCGCTGCCCAGATTGCCAAGCTGCCATTCTATGGTGGTTTGACTATCGTCTACGCGGTGGTTGGCCTGTATGTCCCGCCCGATGAACTGTGGTGTATTGAGATGACTGACTGGAAATAGGTTCTGGGCTTTCCTATATGTGCAAAACCGCCACGATATCTGTAAGCACGAATTCTGGACACACCGTGCTCTTCGACTGATTATCTGCAGTGCCCGTACAAAACTACATCACCGCAATCCTGGTGTTCTTGATTGTTGAGCAATTGATGACTTGGGGTTTCTATGGTATGTTGAATGCCAGCATACGGCAAACGTTCCCTTGCTAATGGTCTCCAGACTACCAGAACCGGCACGGATTAAACGGCGGTGCTAAGGCATTGATGGTGATTGTCGCTGTGCTTAATGCAGGACGCAATGCTTTCTCGTTTTTTCTTCTGCTGATTGTGTGCATGGGGTATGGTGTTGTCAAGCCATCGCTCGGTCGAACGATGATCTACGTTCGCGTTCTTGCTATTACCCACTTCATCTTCGCCGTGATCTACGCTGTCGCCAGTTTATCGATTACTCCGGATAGCGCCGGTCCACTCGTCCTACTCATCGTGCTTCCCCTCGCCGGGACGCTGACGGCCTTCTACGTGTGGACCCTGAACTCTCTGAATGCGACAATGAAAGACCTCATCGACCGAAAGCAGAAGGTCAAAGCCTTGATGTACAAGAAGCTGTGGTGGTGCATCCTGGGCAGTATCATCGTGATCTTTGGCTTCTTCTTCATCAATTCTATTGCCTTTGCAGGACGCAGCGAGGCCAGCTTCGTACCCGAGCACTGGAAGTCCCGGTGGTTCGTGTTGGATGGCTGGTTGAATCTCGTGTACCTCTTCGATATTGGCTTCGTTGCCTATCTGTGGCGACCAACTGCCAACAACAGACGGTTCGCCATGAGTGACGAGGTAAGCCGATTGCCGTGAGGCCTAGGTCTTGAACACATGCTAATAGTTTGTAGATCGCGCAAGATGATGACGGATTTGAAATCCGATCCTTCGCCAGCGCTTTGGACGAGGAGGACGCTCTTGGCGGTCCCGAGGTACCTTCGGCTTCGCAGCAGCGTCGTGATTTGTCGCCGGTGCCTCCTAAGCCCGTTCCTGCGGCGCCGCACCAAAGGGAGTCCTTGGATGGGGAGACCATTTTCGCTGTTGGCGAAGACGGTGACAAATGGTCCGATGACGAGGACGAGTCGCCGCGTAACTCGGGCGAACGACAGCGGCTTACGGGCAAGGATTAGATCTAGCCGCAAGCTCATATGCCCTGTGTAGGGCATGTTGTCTAGACATCGTGTCTGCAACATCTGCTTTCACGGTGCTCTGATCCAACCAAGGCTGCCCTATTCTTTCGGGAAAATTGGAAGTGTTGGTGTTCTGTTGTGTTATTTGGCTTGCAGGCATATGATGGCGTTTGGCCTATGGTGGATTCCCGTCGATGAGCTTTCCTTGTACCTTTCTTCTGTTGCTTCTTTCACGACGGAGACTGGGGTATCTCTTGTGTTCTACTCTGTATAGATTCTTACCGTATGTAGCTCCAACTATGAAGCGATGTTTTAATTCTACCACCAATCATTCTGAATACGTCCGTACAAAATCCCATCAAGATCTTCCCACGGACCTTTCCGCAATCCTGTCCACCTATTTCTCACCTTCAATCCTGTGCCACCGCGTTCCCTGCATTGGATGCTCTTAGTCATAGCCCCAGCATCTCCGGAGCCTTGCCGCACTAGTTCATAGCACTCGAGAGCATGCGAGCAAGCACCTATCCGAAACATGATGAACAGCCCACCGAGCAGCGTCAACAATCCTCAATTCGCACGGCCTTAGCGATCCGATTGCCCAGCTCGCCCATGACTCACAGAATTCCGCCAGCTTCCATCATCTCCCATACCACATAAACAACCACCACCACAACACCTTTTCCCTCCCAATTCCTCCCACCAATCCACCCATTCTACCACCCCCATACTCACACCCCCTGACGCACGTGCGCATCGCGCATTCACGTGCCCGCCACGCAACTCAACAACCCACCATGTCACCCAACGTGAATGAACACTACTCCATCCACATCAACACCCCCAACGAGAACAACAATGACCCCCTCACCTCCCTCCCCGCAGACGAATCCCCCGCCCAAACCAGCCGCACCCTCGCAACCTCCCTCGTGACGCGCTGCCAATCCCTCCTCGCCGAAGTGACCGCCTTCCAGACCCTTCTCGTCGAAAGCCAACGCAACCCGCAAATTGTGGAAGTGCGATCCCTCAAATCCAACATCTTGTCGGAGCTTCGCACGTTGGAGAAACTACAGGCGCAGGTCGCGGCTATTCCGGCTGGTACGTGGACGGAAGACGATGGGGAGGGTGATGATGATGATGAGGCGGCGCGGAGATTAGTGCATGCGCTGAGGTCCTCGAATTTGCCTTTTTATGAGGCTGTTTGGGGGATTGCGAAGAATACGTGTCGTGGGCTGTTGGCGTTTGGGAAGAGGTTTTATTGGGGTGGGGAGGAGGGGGGTGCGCGTGGGAGTGGGGAGAAAAGAGCTGGGAAGGATAAACGCAAGAGTGTGTTTGTGGATATTATTGCGGATGATGGGGAGGAGTGGGTGAAGGTGTCTACTATCTCTGAATCTAGGCTGTTGTTTGAGATGGCTAAGAAGGGCTGGGAGGCGGATTCGGAGTCTGAGGATGAAGGTGAGGCTAGGACCGTTCTACGCAACTATGATGGCGACGAGGATGATAGTGATGATGACGATGAGATTGAGCTTGTCAAGTTGGCAAGTGATATGCGCAAGGCCGCCGATGCTACGAGAGTCCGATACAAACATCCTCGACTGCGATTTGTTATCCCGAAGATTGAAGAAGGCACCTCGGAGATTGATGGTCTTTTGAAAGTCATTAGAGGCTATGGGATCAAAGTGGATTGCGGAGAGAAAGCATATGTCGCTGGTACCCAGGAGGGCTTGTCCCATCTCCTGCCCAAGCCCTTCAAACGATTCACCTCCACTCTGAATGTCGACTGCACGTTGTTGCTGGCAGTGGTCTCGGACCTGTCGCATTACAAGAATATCACCCAATCTCCGCAACATCATAAAGCCATCAATCGACAGATTGCCGTTGAGCACGAGCGACCACTGTTGCCCACCGAGCTATGGCCCGCGATGGCTGCCAACGAGCTCGTGTGTGTCGAGGAAGCCGCGCAACGCATGAAAGAAATTGTGACCATCATCGGCACTGACACAGAAAAGCTGCGGATGCAGATTCTACTTGGCCAAGCTCCTTTCCATGACTGCAGCCGAGAAGAACTTGCCCAGAAGTACCAGGAGTTGTCGGATTATGAGATCCCGGCACAGTGGAAACTTCCGGTAAAGACGGTTGAAGCACAGTCGGTGATTGCAGCTGCATCAGAAAATGCAAAGCTGCCCCCTGTCTATCACAAAGTGGCGGAAAATCTCTCGGATATCAACTATAGTGTGTTTCTGTATGGATGGGCCGCGGGACTGGCAACCATCTCAAGCAATCGCACCGTGGTGAAAGAGATTGAGTCCATCGTTGAGACGCATCGGGATGGCGATGAACACCTAGAGGGGCCTTTGATCTGGGTGTGCGATACCGCCAGGAGCTTGATAGGCAAAGAGAAAGGCCGGAAAGATTAGACCGTTCACCTCGGAAAGACGATAGATCGAACATGACGACAGAAACGATCCATCCATTAGCGGCATTTGGAGTCATTCTAACCGGATTTTGTTTTCGATATTTGCTTTTCACAGGAACAGTCGAGGAGCATGTATGTGTTGTTGGCGTGGTCTTGAGTGCTGATATTGGGACTTGACGGCTCTTACTTTTCAAGAGACCGTGAGTTGTCCTCCGGAAGCCAGAAAACAATTTCTTTGTCTGCAGACGCGATCATGTTGTACCGTGGATTGTATTCGACGACGGCAGTCCGTCCTCGATGTGGCAGTCTAGTTAGAGGTTGCAATAGACCGTTTGACTCAGGAGGAGGCTGTTGTAGATCCCAGACTAGCATGTCGTGATGGTCTCCCGATCCTCCAACCACGTATCGCCCGTCTGGTGAGAAGCAGGCATCTCCCTGACCAAGGGGTTTTCCGGTTGTCGAAACTGGGGCAGCTCTCCCGGGCGATCCAGCCTTCCCCACTAAGAAAGCGCGAACGCCGCCTTCGAACGCATCCAGAACGAAATGCCCATGATAGTCTGTCCCAACAAGCAAGTGCTTCCCATCATTCGAAAACTCGAGACGAGTCCAGCCCCGGCCGCGCGTCGAAGGAGTGTATCGTTCCTCGTACGGTCCAAGATCAAACGTGGAGAAAGGCGCCTTGTCGTAGTTACGGAGGTCGTAGAGGAGGACCGACGCAGTGGACTGGGAGGCAATCGCAATGACCGAGCCGGAGGGGTCGAAGGCGACAAGATAAGGCGTCGCAAGCTTCAGCTTTCCTTGTGCATATCGTGAGCTCAAATCCCAGAGCGCAACTGTGTCGTCCTTGGAGCACGAGATGAAGGAGTCACTGCCCGGAGACAGCGCCAAGCAGGTGACTTTATCGGTATGGCCCTGGAAATAACGTACGTAGCCTTCATTGTGAAGATCCAGCAAGCGCAGCGAATCTGATTGGGTCAGTATTGAGGGGGAGGGTGGAAGCCTCAGCAGCAGACATACCGTCGACCTTGGTGCTCGCATGGAGGACTTGACGACTGTGGTGCGTGAATCTAGCCAGGTGGGCGCCGTATTTCTTGCTGGGAACCGACTTGGTGGATTTACCCTCCTTGATGTCAAAGACCTGGATGGTTTCATCGTCACCGGAGGCCACCAGAAATTCACCCTGGTCGTCGAAGTCCAACGACGTCACATAATTCGAGGTATCCTGCTTTGGAGGTCGGAACGCCTAGAGTAGAGCACGGTTAGATCAGTGGCCCAAGAAGGGGGAACAATAGCACGAACCTTTGTAGGACGGAAACTACGAACGATGTCCGAGACCTTCTGACATTGGAGGTTAGGCTGCTGGGGTTGCGGTTGCGCTGCCGGCTGCGGTTGACCTTCGGCCATACTTTGACTAGACGAGGAGCAACTGCGGGGAACGGGATGCAGTGTCAGAATGTCAGACCAGCCGAACCTTGCACGCCGGGTAGATCCTTCTTTCCCAGCTTCCGTCTGCAAGGCTTCTCGACCTGCAATGCTTCACCAGATATGTCCGAAGGAGGAGTCACTCTCATGGGTGACCGCACGCGCCTCATGGATTTTGACGCGTTTGACCGACTTCACCGAAACAATGTTGTTCCGGTCCGACGCTTACAGTCGGCAGAGCGTAGCCGATTGGCCGATGATCGGAGACGCCGGGGTTGAGCGGGCCACCTGGCCAATCACCGGCCGAGGAAATGAATCTGAGAGGCGTTGGAGAGATTGTCGATGAATCTCACGCATGAACACCTCAGCTCTCTCACACCGGCGGAGTCTCTGACATTCATCTGTCGTCAGCCTACAACGTGCTGTGGCGGAGTTGGGCATCTTTCCTCCTTAGGGCACTCAAATTTGCTGTCGCAACAGCCTGGTCATTCAGATTTTATCTGCGCTTCTGCCAGGCTCACCCTCGCCCTTCCGCGCAGTGTCGGTCCGCTCTCCTCCGTTAACGGAGACAATCTGAACAGCGACCATGTCCACAACAACAGGGTTTGTTATATTCTTGCCCGGATGTGAAAGGGTGGCGGTCGCGCTGACGAAGTAAACCGTTTTCTATAGAGCATTCATCGCTGGAGGTATCGCAGCATGCGGAGCAGTCACGGTCACCCATAGTTTCGAGACGGTGAAGATTCGGTATGGTACCCCTGCGTTCCCCCTCTCTGTTTCTCTATGCTGTACTTGTTTTTATCAGTGTCGCGCGATGCTAATTACTATCTGTATGATAGTCTGCAACTGCAGGGAGAACTTCAGTCCAAGAATGACGCCGTCAAGAAATATCGCGGTGTTTTACACGGCGTGAAGGTCATCTTGCAGAACGAGGGTCCTCGGGGTCTGTTTCGGGGAATTGGTTCAGCTGTATGCCTACGTGCCGGCTTGGAGACAGTTGGGTGCTAACACACGCTGCAGTATATTTACCAAGTTCTGCTCAACGGTTGCCGTCTTGGTTTCTATGAGCCATTGCGCAAAGGCCTCACCACCACGATATATAACGATCCCCAGGTGCAGTCGCTGGGTATCAACGTCTTTGCTGGCGCTGCATCGGGTATCATCGGTGCCGCTGCTGGGTCGCCCTTTTTCCTCGTCAAGACGCGCCTGCAATCGTTCTCCCCGTTCCTCCCCGTCGGTACGCAACACAACTACAAGAACTCGTTTGATGGACTGCGGAAGATCTATACCTCGGAGGGAATCAATGGTCTATACCGCGGTGTCGGCGCAGCCATGGTGCGCACTGGCTTTGGAAGCTCCGTCCAGCTGCCGACCTATTTCTTTGCCAAGCGTCGCTTGACCCAGCACCTGGGCATGGAAGATGGTCCAGGCTTGCACCTGGCCAGTAGCACGGCGTCTGGCTTTGTTGTCTGCTGTGTTATGCACCCGCCTGGTATGTTGCGCGCATTTCATTCAACACACCTAGCTAACCTGAATGTAGACACCATCATGTCGAGAATGTACAACCAGACTGGCAACCTTTACAAGGGCGTCTTCGACTGCCTCTACAAGACCATCAAGACGGAGGGTGTGTTGGCTATCTACAAGGGATACTTTGCCCATCTCGCACGTATCCTGCCTCACACGGTATGTATATTCCATCCCATACCAACTGCTGTTACTAACCTTCGTAGATCTTGACCCTCAGCTTGGCGGAACAGACCAACAAACTGATGCGCAGACTGGAGGACCGGTTCCTCTCCGAATCGCTCAAGGAGAACTTGTAATCACGACACTATAATAGCCACATTAGCATACCCTTGGATTTGCGGCACATAGAGATGTTTCGGGACATTGTTTTGGTTTTGCATGGTTGAACGTAGCCTGCGCCAGCTTGCTTTGGAGTGTATGTACATAGGGCGTTCTGCTTGGGCAACCATGCCGTGTCTTAGACTTGCCATATGAAAGATCGTTGAATAGATATGTTTGGGATGTTTAGCATATACTTGTTTTGGCAGATTTGAGGTGGGTGTGTGGGATCCGCAGTGCATATAACGTGTGGAGAGACGCGACGCGCGAAGCCTCACCGGACCGAGGATGCAGAAAGGATACACAGTACACAGTGTACCGCAGACGAGCCGCTTGAGACAGAAGGTGGATCTAATGGAGCTTTTGAAAATATACCTGCTCCGTACTCCATACTCCGTAATAGGTATGCCAATCTTGCCGAGATGACGCCTAGCCTGGTTTCTTCTGTCGGATCTGACCTCGGGCAGACGCGTCAGAAGTTCAGAACAAAGAACGTACAGGTCAGCTGTGAGAGTGAGAGCGTACTACTTTTTACAGTCAATGACAAGGCAAACTCAGTCGTAGTTACAAATCCAAATTTACTTTAACAAAGATACCAGTTTAAGCAGATCTACCACAGTCAATTCATGTTGCACCGACGCGTCGCGGACGTAACGTCATCATAGACAGAAGAAAACACTGATCAGCCTGGGTCCACCAGGGCAGCTAGCAGGACCGAGAATAGTAAAGTGGGATCAGAACAGGGATCCCGCATGGTGAGCTGAATGCAACTCCAACATCCGTAAATCCGCGGTGGGTGCGGAAATGTGCAGAAGCTGCCAATGTGATGGGGGGACCAGACGCGACGCGTTCAGCACAGACTCTCTTGGCCAGCGGACCAGCCCAACTGGGACTCGGCGATCAAGAATCTTTCAGCTCGGATTTAACCGGAGTGGGGATTGCCGATGAGCTCTGCTTATGGATGATGGCGTAAAGAGTACCTAAGCACTGCAGGGACCTGTAAGGTACGGTACGGAGTACAGGGGGGAGCAGACAGGAGTGTCACGAGGCATGTGCTGTGAGCCCATGATGGATTACACCAGACAAGAGATACTGTTTACTGCTCCGTAGTCATTGAGCAACATGTGCTGGGTAGACTACTCCGTAGAGACTAGGGGATCGAGGGGTAGATGATTCGATCAGATAAGATAGCAGGCGACGCGAGGTAGCGCATTCTAGGCATCTACATGCTACAGGCACCAGCCCTTCTGGGAATGTGGAGAGACAGCCTGCTACACAACTAGTGATGCAGTCATTTGGTTCAGTGGAGATCTAGAGCGTCGGATGGCACAGTGGCCGGTGGTCTGATAGCGCCGTCGTGGAGGAGGAATCCGCAGCAAGGGACGTGACGACGCGACGGCATCAACAACCCACCCGGATCAACAGTTGTTCCGCCAGCCACCGGGGCAAAAATCGCGCCAAATCACGTGCGCGACGTGACTAGCCCGTCGCGCTAAGGATCACGCTCCTCGTCTCAGAGAGTATTTCTGTCGCCTCGCCCTCCGTCACTGCAGCTCTTTTCTTCAGTCTCATCCACCAGCTCAGTTTTTGGAGTGTTTCTGTGTCTGTGTGATCAATTGTCATTACTGATTGTCTACACCACTCACACACATCCCAACACCATGTCTGTTCAACTCACTCCCTCCAAGCAGGTATGTGATGTCACGTCTCGCCTCCCACGCTCGACGCGTCTGTACAGTCAATTGAGCTAACAGAAGCTGTTTCCAGGCTGCGTCTTCCCTCGAGAACCTCAAGATGAGCGATTCGCCTGTTAAGAAGCTCAACTTCGGCGCTGCCGACAAGGAGAACACGCCCTCCACCTTCGACGTCACCGACAAGCCCGTCGAGAAGCCTACCGAAGCCCCAAAGGTCGCACCCGGCATCAAGGCAATGGAGGCCAACGAGCCTCTGCTTCAAGAGAACCCCCACCGTTTCGTCCTTTTCCCCATCAAGTACCACGAGGTGAGTGGCACGTCCACTACGCGTCACGCGTAAAGTGGAATTTTCGGATCCGCCCGCGACGAGCAACCGCGCTAACGACGGCTCGCACAGATCTGGCAGATGTACAAGAAGGCTGAGGCCTCTTTCTGGACCGCTGAAGAGATCGATCTGTCGAAGGATCTGCACGACTGGCACAACCGTCTGAACGACGATGAGCGCTACTTCATTTCCCACGTTCTTGCCTTCTTCGCGGCCTCGGATGGCATTGTCAACGAAAACCTGGTCGAGCGCTTCAGTGGCGAGGTTCAGGTGCCTGAGGCTCGTTGCTTCTACGGATTCCAGATCATGATGGAGAACATTCACTCCGAGACCTACTCTCTGCTCATCGACACCTACATCAAGGAGCCCAAGCAGCGCACCTACCTCTTCGACGCTATTGATACCAGTATGTACCGTGACCGGGGTTGTGATTGGACAATGGATGCTGACCTGCGCAGTTCCTTGCATTGCCAAGAAGGCCGAATGGGCCATCCGGTGGATCCAGGACCGCGAATCGACGTTCGCCCAGCGTCTGGTGGCCTTTGCCGCCGTGGAGGGTATCTTCTTCTCCGGTTCTTTTGCTTCCATCTTCTGGCTCAAGAAACGTGGTCTCATGCCCGGCTTGACCTTTTCCAACGAGCTCATCTCCCGTGATGAGGGTCTGCACACTGACTTTGCCTGCCTGCTGTTCTCGCACCTGAACAACCGCCCCAGCAAGCAGGTGGTTGAGGACATCATCGTCGAGGCTGTCGGCATTGAGCAGGAGTTCCTGACGGACGCGCTGCCCTGTGCTCTGCTGGGTATGAACTCCAAGTTGATGTGCCAGTACATTGAGTTCGTGGCCGACCGCCTGCTGGTGGCGCTGGGTAACAAGAAGTACTACAACGCGACCAACCCCTTCGACTTTATGGAGTCGATCTCGTTGGCGGGCAAGACCAACTTCTTCGAGAAGCGGGTGGGAGACTACCAGAAGGCTGGTGTCATGGCCAGCACGAAGAAGAAGGAAGAGGAGGAGACCAAGACGTCGTCGGGCGGTCTCAGCTTCGATGAGGACTTTTAGATGATGCCACTATACCCGGTCTGGCACAGCCACGATGTTTGCTTTGGTTTTACGAGGATATTTGAGTATACGCATGGGTTTGGCGTTGGAGGTTATTAATGGTTGTATTTAGATGAATGTACATTGGATATATGAGTACTCTACTGTTTCTGTTTTAGTATGCACGCACCGCTGCCTTGTCGATCTCCACGCTCTTCAGCGCCTAGATTGATTCCTCCCAAGTAATACCTCTACTCCGTACTCGTAATAGATTTTCCACCACAACACAACCCTCAATGATCTTAATCAACGAGAATAATAAATGAATTACCTCTTCCCCTTCCCCCCCTTCTTCTTCCCTCCTTTCCCACCCTTACCCGCACCCGCATTCCCACTCCCATTCCCCTCTCCCTCTGCATTCGCATTCCCAACCGGCGTCCCCAACCCACTACCACTCACATCCCCCATCTCTACATCCCCAGCACCAGCAGCACCCGGAAGAGTGGTATTCCCCAATCCTAGTCCCTCGACATCCGCCCCCGCCGCCAACTTCCCAAGAGAAGTAATCAACCGTCCCACTTCCGCCCCCTTATTCGTCTTGTATTTTAGACAGATTCCTGTGCCTGGGTGGAAGGTTTTGAGCTCGAGGGTTGCGATGGGGGGTTTGGCTTCTGCTGCTGCGGGGGTGGTTTCTGTGGGTGTGGTGGTGGGTTTGGGGGTTGTGTGGGGGAAGGTGTATTTTGTTGTTATTCTCTGTTGCAGCGGAGGGGTTAGCTTTGTGGAGAGGGAGGGGAGGGGTTGTTGGGTTTGGGTTTGGGTTTGGGGACAGAGGTAGGGAATGCATACCGTGTCTGGGTAGGCTTGGAGGAGGAGGGAGGATTGTTCGAGGTAGGATTGTGAGGTGGGGAGGTAGGGCATTTTGGTGGTGCGCTGGGGGGGGGGTAGTAGTCCTTGGTTGTCGGAGTAGGAAGTGTAAGTTGTAAAGGTGGAGGAGGTGAGGTAGGTGGTGGTGGTAATGTGATGGTGAGCTGGTATTTCTGATGGTGGTGTTTGCGGCGCCGCGCGGAGGTGAGCTAGCGGAGTGCGGGCGGTGTGCTGGCTCCGTTGCCAATGGCTTGGTCTACGGACATTGTGTCAAATGCTTCTATCTATACTCCGTTGCTAGGATTTATGGGATTATGGTGGTACCACCATCGAATCATTATTATTCATCAGTCGTCCCTCGTATAATGCCTACCCCTAGGCTATTGTACATACATACTGCTAATTACATGTCCTTATACACTGCGAGATCCACTATACAAACACAATGTTAGCTGATCGGTCGTGCACATCGCACACAGACCAGTCGCTGCTTGCCATTGCGTGCCTTGGTTGCTCGAAAGTTCGTGCCCCGGCAACTATCGCATTTTAATACCTCACCGTCCTCTCCGTCCCCGTTCGACGACGCATAGTCGCTGCTCAGTGCGCTGCCCAGGCTGAGCTGGCGCTCTCCTGGCACCGATAAGCGATGCGGACTGAGGAGTCTGTTGCTGTCGGTCCGTTTCCGGTTCTGGACCGCCATCGCGTCTTGTGCGATCTTGTTGTAGAACGCGTAGCTCTGGTCGCCCTGTAGCCAGAGCGGGTTCTCCTTGTCCCCCCCGCGAGGGAACCAGGTCGAGCCGGTCCCCCGGGGCGGGTCGGCGCTGTGGCCGTTATTTCGGGTCGTGTCGCCGCTCGACCGCTGGCTGTCCAGGGAGTTCTTATATGCAGAGGTGGGCGGGGAGGTGGTGAAGGCAGACCGCGAGTCGGGGCGCGGGGTCCGACCCGGACTGGAATAGCCGGGGAGGTCGCGCAACGACTTATGCGGAGACGGACTGCGGGTGCGTGGCGTGCGCATGCCGGAGCGATTGCCATGTCGGATGACCGAGTTGCGCCAGGAGATGATCCGTTCGGACGGCGTCTTGTTCAGCGAATCCTTGCCGATGGATGAGGCGATGCTGTGGCGCGCCGAGTTGGTGCGTCGGAGGATGCGGCGCGAGATGGTGGAATGCGTGTCCCAGCTGTCGTAGCGCCGTTTCTGGTATGCGCAGTCCTGTCGGAGCACCTTGATCTTCCCGGCATAGTCGGCCACAATGAGGATGTTACCGTCCGGATGCGTGGACCGCGACAAATACGTGGGAGATTGTTGGGCGAGTTTGCTGGCGCCGGAATTGCGATTTGTCCGTCCGTTCTCCTTGTCGGCTTGGCTGACTAGGGTCACCGGGGGCGGGTTGCAGATGTCGAAGATCGGATCCTCTGAAAAGGCCAGCACCTGCTTGGCTCGCGTTGGGGCCATGATGGCCGCGGTGACCAGGGCCGACTGGGTGTCGAAGATCTCCACCGCTCGTTTATCGGCATCCTTCTCCATGGGGCCCACCGGCCAGACGTAGGTGCGGCGATCTTCACTGCCGCAGATGATGTGTTTTCCATCGTTGCTGAATGACGCGCGGATCTGGCTGCACGAGTTCTCGTTGCCGCGGTATTTGGCCTCCAAGGTGCGGTCGCGAAAGTTGTAGAGCCGTATGCGGGAGTCATTGCTGGTGATGAGCAGCTTGACATCACCGTGCGGGTCGCCATGTGGCAGCGCCATCGTGTCAATCCCCGTAATCTTGCTGCCTTTGGCGTTGCGGCCACGTGCACTCCGCACGTGGATCTGCCCGACGGCCTTGAGCCCGTCGGTCTCGTAGATATTGCACAGTCCGTTCAAACTGCCCGAGATCGAGTAGCGGCCGTCGGGAGTGAAGGCCACCGCCGTAATCATGTCGGGCACCGTGGCCACAAAGGCCACGCTCTTGTCGGGGATGCTCCAGAGCCGCAGCTTGGTGTCCAATGACCCAGCCAGGAAGAACCGATCATCGCGCGGGTGAAACTGGATGGAGGTGACGAAATCGCTGTGCTTGAAGCAGCAGAGACACTCGGGCCGACTGACGTGCCACAGCCGGACGGTCTTGTCCATGGAGGAAGAGAGCAGGAAATTGTTCTATGGCCGCATTAGTGACCACCTTGCACCTATGTCAGTCATGGTACCTTGCTCCAGCTAAGATCCAGGATACTGCCAGTATGGCCCTCGTACACCTGGACCGGCTGACTTTTGAACACCTGCGCGTTGAGCCGGGGGGCCTCATCCGCGCCCTCAGCCTGACTAGGGTCACGATCCTCCGGAGACGCCACTACCTGCCAGACGCGCACCTTGCGGTCCTGGCCAGCCGCAGCCAAGTATTTGCCGTCATTTGAGAAGACCAGCGCCCAGATGGCCTTGCCCGTATACCGCTCGTTCTGCGGGCCGGCTGTAGAGATGGCCGCATCCCGTTCCGACACACTGGCGCCGTCGTCGGCCCCGTCCAGCTCCTGAGCCAGGAAGACCCGGTCAAACGTCTTCTCCTTCTTGTAGTTGGCGCGCACGCGGATGTATTTTGGGGGAGGAGGAAAACGCGGAACGAACCCTATCGGCTGGGCGGCGACGTCGGGATCCATGCGGCTGGTTTCGGGTTCGGAGACATCGTCGTCTTCAAGAAACTGGTCTTTCTTCTTACCGGGGATGATGCGACTGAGGAAAGAGACACCTTTCCTACGAAAACAGCACGAATTAGCAGGTGATGGGATGCCTGAAGAGCAGAAAAAGCAATGGCAGATGACCGGTGCGGGGTAAAAGCAAACCGGGAGGCCAGCTGGCTCTTACTTCTTCTCCTTGGGAGGCTTCGGGTGCAACACCGTCTCTCCCCGCGCGGAGCCACGGTCCAGAGACCCCCGGGGATCGCTTCCTCCCAACTCCGCCTCGGTCGATGCGCGCCCCAGGAGCTTCAGGGGGATGGTTTTCTGGGTGTTGGTGCGTTTGATGATATGCTGTCGCGCAGAGGTCAAGTCAGCCACGAGCGCGTGGATGCTCGGGAACGCAGGGGCTTACTTGAGACAAGGGATCAATGGCGCTGGAGTCGGCGCTGGACTGCACCAACGTCGGAGAGGAGGCCAGATTCTTGACAGAGCCGTTGCTCGCCGCCGGAAGCGTGCGGGAGTCCTTTCGGCCATGCTGTTGGTAGCCGCTCGACGCAGAGGCCAGATCGGACACCGAACCTGCACCGACCCGTGGCGGAGAGTCAGTCACATTCCTTATCACGGCAGCCTCAAACCGGGGTTGGGCCACGTACCGAACGGAAAACCTTGCGAGGAGCGGAGGAGGCCGGGACTGGGGGTGCTGGGACTGTGGTCGCCGCGATTGAAAAAGGTCGGGCTATTGGTGGCCGAGGTGGAGGGGTCGTGATGGACGATGGTCGAGGACGAGGCATTGGTGGTGATGATAGCCGGCACCGTCGACCGCGATTGCGAGCCTCGCTCGTCGCGCATTCCCTCCGCCATGGCTCGGGTGTCGCCGGGAACGGCGCATGGATCTGGTGGAAAATACACACAACAGGTCGGAGACCCGACGGGCTGGGAAGAAAGAAGGGATAAAGGGCAGCGCAGGGAGAAAGGGTTTATTAGGGCCGGGAGAACAGCGCGGGAGGAGATGAAGGCTGGAGTCACGGTCGTTGGCGTGGACTGGCATTAACTGGCACTGGGACTGGCTCTGCACTAACTTAGAGGCCGGTTATTAATATCCGAGTCCACCAGATGACATCAAACAGGGTCTGCCGATGAAACCCAACTCTGGGTCGGATGCCAGGGCCGACTGGTTCTGCCCGGATGAGGGCGGTCCCATGCATGTCAAGCTTTGCACCCATGCAGAGAAAAGCTTGGGACAAGCATCCCAGCTCCTCGAGTTCTCTAATGCATCCCATCTCGATCGATGCCCTTATGCGACCGGCGGGATTTAGCCAGCGTCACCGAGTGTCTCCCCACATGGCTCAGTGTCTCGCCACCAACCCTAATCGCGAACAGTCCAATGAACGGCCTCACAATGGCTCGGAGGGCCTGTGCTCATTCCTCCACCAATTGCTCCCCAGCCAAGCATCCCCAAGGTTGCAGTTGCATCAGTCCCTGGGCAGGAAATATCCGACAGTTCACCCGAGTGGAATATGGTGGAGGCTAATTTGATCACGGTTGGACTTGAAGCTACACAGTAACCAGGCACGTGTCGGCTGATTCTTCCATCTCCCCGACCATCTCCGACTTTCCCCGCTCGTGGATCGCCTGCACCTCCAGCTCGTCCTCCTCCTTTGCATATGCCACTAGATAGACGGTGTACCACGGCCGTTGGAATAGACCGTCCAGTGCCTCCAGCGACCGTCCGGTTGTGTCCTATGACCGTCAGCCACGCCGTGTTGTTATTCTCCGGGTCACTCACCGGCATCGCGAAAAACACATAAACTAGCGACACCAAGCAGATGCATGCGAAAAAGACAAACGCTCCCCATTCGTGGGTGACCTCGAGCAAATCGGGCGTCGCCCGTGCACAGCCAAACGCGAACAGCCAGTGCCACGCCATGCCCATCGACACCGCCAGCGATCGGATGCGAATGGGGAAAATTTCCGCCCCGATCAGAAAGGGCATCGAGAACCAGCCGATGACCCATCCGATTCCGTGCAGGAAGATGGCGGCAATCGCGCCCTTGGATGCCCGCCCGGCGCTCGGCATATGCAAAAGGGCTGTCGTCGTCATGCCGCGCGTAATGCCCAGGTAGCAGGCCAGATAGACCAGCGTGGTGATCTGGAGGCTGATGCCCGCCATCAGCGACCGCCGACGACCGACGAAATCGACGATCACTAGGGAGAAGATCAGCACGCAGGAAAACTTGACCGCTGCATAGATACCGGTGGTGAGGGATGCCGCATCCCCGGATGTCCCCAGGTACCCGAGAATGGTCGGCAGGTACTGGGTGATGGCATTGCCGCCCGACCATTGCGAGAAGAGATGCGCCATAAACACCAGGAAGAAGCGACGACGGTTCTCCACGGGGACAAATATCTCTTTGAGCAGACGCCATTGCGAGGCATCCGTGACCGCTTCCCGCTCCTGCAGGATCTGGTACTCCATGACTGCAATTTCTGTGACTACCGTGGGGTGGTTACTGGGTAGATGGCGGAGCCGAGCCAGCACCGACACGGCCTGTGTTCGCCGTCCAACGTAGAGCAGCCACCGCGGGGATTCTTCACAGATCAACATGCCCAAGCCCCAGACGGCGGCGGGAAGCAGCTGGATCAGGGTCGGAAACATCCACTGCATGTCCGTGCCGTCATCCTGCTTGGTGATGCTATAGTTGATGAAGAAGCCGAACACGACTCCGAGTTGCTGACAGGCCGTGTACTGGATAGCCAGGAGGCCTCGGATGGTTTTGGGTGCAATCTGCAGGGTCAGTCGGTTCTACTATGCTCATGGACAGCATACCTCGGAGATGTACATCGGGGGCGTGACGGTCATGCCGCCCACCCCGAGACCGGAGATGAGTCTGGATGCGTACAGTCCGGCTAGGTTGCCATTGCACAGGCCCTGCCCTAAGACACCACCCACATACACCAGGGTGGAGAGACGCATCGTCCACCGCCGTCCAATACGATCATTAAAGGGTAAGCACTGGATGACGACGTTTAGTTGGCTCAAGCACTTGGGGTGGCGAGCCTACCGCAAGACAGCCTAGAGCCATTCCGGCCGTGAAAATGGAGACAATCCATCCTTTGGTGTTGGCATACTGCTCGGGGGACTGCTGATCGAGTCCGAACTTGATCCGGAAGCGCGACTGCACGACCAGACATGCGACGTTTCCTGTCCAGTTGGCAATGTGCAGTGCAGATGAGTTGGTCTCTTACCCTCGTCGAAGCCCCTGCTGATACCAGACAGGGCAAAGATGGCGGTGTTGAATAGCAGATACCAATTAAAGACCCCACGAGGGGAGTCCCGGATGGCTTGACGGGTTTCTGCGATGAGGCCCATTTTTACTCGGCGGTTGCAGAGTTTCTAGGCTGCGGCGCTGAGATCCCTTATACATGGCGATAAGGCTATCGCGGACAAATCGCGCATGTGCGGCGTAAATATCTCATGACCAGCATCGAAGTAAGGAGCTCTCCCTCACGGATTCGTGCATTGGTGTGTGCGGTAGCGGTCGATCAAGGCCTATTGACAGGTTCCAGCAAGATCGGGGCGCATTCCATGAGGGATTTGTGTAACCTGGGTATGCACGACAGGGATAGCCCCGGACTGCATGGTGTTATCAGGTGGATGATTATGTCGATACGGTCTGTTGCAGGTTCTCGAGCGTTCGGTAGTATATGTTGGTGTGATCCTGGTCTTCCTTGCCGGTGCATCTTCTGCAAGGGTTAGCATGTTGCCCGATACGTCTCCAATCCAGCCATGCTTTCGCTACATGGCATGATAGGGCCATCTAAAACAGTGGATCCGGAAAGAGGCGAATAAACCGGCTCACACTCTACAGGTTTCAAAGGACCTAATGCCGACGGACATTACTTAACTCGTGCATCTACCACGATACTCACGCTGAACCCTCTTGGTAGATTGGGTTTGCTTTCCTATGCTCAACTGACAAGAACATCTTGCCGTGGCTTTGTGTCTATTGGTCCTGCCACTATCCGCTGGCAGTGATGTTGCTCCATCGTGGTTTCGATTCAATCGATGGGAGCGTCTCAATGGACTGTGAACACGAGAATGGTTTGTGGCCGAGACATATTGAATCTGTCTAGCTCGACGGTGTTCTCTCCTCTTACGACTTTTGGGGAACCGTTGAAAACCTGCGTGAGCGGGATGCGTGCCATGATATCTGGCCGAGTGTGAATCGCCTTATGAGATCCTTGGGATACTGATCTGTGAGAATTTGGAAGTGGCTATTTAGGTGGGATGAGTGCTCTAAATTCAGGGAAAATCAATCATGCTGGTCACACATAACCACTCCTACTACCGTTTGTGGCTCTGGACATCATGCTACTATTCAAAGCTAACCCGCATATCAACCTCCTGTCATGCACCCACATTGACCGCGACATCAATGCATATGTGTATAGATATAACCAATCAGTCTGATGAGAGACAGTGCGACATGTAAAACAAACATCATTTTCACCATGGCGATATTCTTTCTCTTCTCTTCTACCTTCTTTCTCGTGAGTTGTTGAGCCGGGGATTACATAAGGGGGACACGGTGGCTGGCCTATTCTTAGGCATTCGAGTTCTTCTTGCCTTTGTTGGTCAACCCCCCGCCAATTGGAATCGCATCACGTTCTTTTCTATATGAATGCCCCTGTCGCTCTCTTCTCCTACCCCCCTAACACACCTGGCTCATCGAGGTTGCCCTCCACAGCCATCCGCATGTCTACCCCTCCTCCTCCCCCACCACCTCCGCCGGAGGACCCTCGGTCCAAGATCTCCCCATTTGTTCTCAAGCTGAGGAGTGCTCCTCCCGGCTACTTTTATGAGGCACCCGAACCGTCTCCGGTGGTAGATTTGTTGGACGCCCCGACCGGCCCATACTTCTTATATGGTACCTTGACCGACCCCTCGATGATCTCGGAAATCCTCGGCCTGGACGAGGAACCCACTCTGCGACCCGCTTCCATCATGGGCTATCAATGTAAGCTGTGGGGTCAGTACCCGGCCCTACTGGATGCCCCTGGCTCGGTTGTTGAAGGTGCTGTGTACCACGTTCACAGTGTCGAGGATGGGGAAAAGCTGGCGGCGTATGAGACGAAAACCTATCGCGCTGACCCGTGTATCATCAGGTACACGGACGGCCAGGAGCCGAGGAGGGAATACGGCTCGACGTTTAAGTTTGTGGGGAATCAGAGGGATTTGACGGAGGGGGAGTTTGATTTGAGGGTGTGGTTGACGAGAATGGGGAGGCACGCTGCGGTGGAAAAGTTGGATGCTGCGAGACGGATTGCTGTGCTGGAGTAGTGCATGTATCTGATGACTTTATGTTGTTGGTGGGTGAACTGGGGTATTCGATGGAGTGGCTATTGTTGCGTGGGTTTGTGGTACTGGTGGGGATCTTTCAGTTGATGAAGAGAAAGAATGCGGACTGCATGTGCTGCATATACGTCTGTCTATGTTTGATTATACCAGACTGACCTGCTAGTCTGTTACTGGGATACCGGTATCCCGCTGTCTAGTTAGATACCCATTATACGAGGACAATATATTCAATATGCTCAATATTCACCTTACAGAAAGCACAATATCCCTTGGAGTATAAAGACACATGCCTAGAGCAGAAAGCCATGAGAACAGCACCGCATACCACGTCCACACCATAACATACGACCCATTCACTTCCCATACAACATCCATATTGCCCCCAGCAACCCATCCCTCTGCTCCTCAGCCGTCCAATCAATCCTACTCCCTCAACACGAAACCCCCAGGAAGCATTTCCCCGCACAAAATCCCTACCCCGAAACTTCCCCCAACTCCCCCAAATACTCCTCCCTTCTCTCCACTCCCACTCTCCCGCACCGCAACCCCCCACTAAACACCACCACCGACTGCACCACCGACTCATCAGTAATCGATTTATTGCGGTGGGTTTGATGATGGATGGATGAATGATTTAGTAAATCAAGATTGCAAAGAGGATGTGTGAAAAGGCGAAAAGATGTCATCCAAATTATATCCTGCTTCATGATTTAAATCTAGTCACCTAGACAGTCATTTTCATCTTCAATGCAGCTCGAAATGGAAGGTCAGGCATCAGGAACAGTGCAGGTAACATCATTGTAATAACAACCACGTTGGCTGATGCTAGTTGCTGGATGATACTAGTATAGGGCTTATGGCTTGGACTAGTGGCTATAAACATTGGGATGGAATGGTATCGCACTAACAGAGACCAGTCATGGTTCGTTATCAGGGGACTACCCTGTCTAGCTAGTGGCTTATCATGGGCAGGGATGACGCAGTCGGCATCAGCTAGTAACTACAGGGTTACATCGCCAGCTTACACCCTGCAGTATAAGCACAGCAGCAGGTCAGAACAGGTGATATTCCTTTGGTTACTACATTAGTGAAGGTCTAGCTGCTTACTTCGGGAAATGACTCATGAAATCATTATGTTGTGACAGACAGAGAAACAACCATAGCTGGATGCGCTATTCATAGTGGCGGTAGCTTCATAGCCAGTGTGGCCTTGCTGTGGTAGGTGTTGCCTGTGATAGAGCTCCAACATCAGAGGCAAATAGAAAGAAAGTCCTCTTCGCCTCGTATCTGCGCGAACATCAGGCCCATGAACCCCGGCATGGTGGATCCGTTAGCTCGGTGTAGCCAGAATAGATAGTCGGCGTAGTTGGGCTGGCTTGGTGGTACCACCAGACGTCCGTTTCCGTATTTGGCTAGGATGTAGTCGACGATGGCATGGTCTCGCCGAGCACGATGCCGTTGTCCTCGATGATCGGGGCCGTACCGGACCAGTGCAGTTTGCGGAACTCATCCGGGGCTTGGAGTGTGGGTTGTTGGCGGTCGTAGCATTTGAGGTTGTATGGGATTCCCAGTTCTTCGCAGAGCCAGATGATTCGCTCCGACTGAGATAGTCTCAGGTGATGGATGGTGAGGCCGGAAGACATGATGCGTGGAGACGGGTTATCGTCACGAGAGGTTTTGTTCTAATAAGCTCAACTGCAGGTTACAGGGATAAATTGCGCCCGGGTTGCCCAACCTTAAATAAGGATGGTTTACGCAGCAACTGGAATGCTGAATAAATCCCGCGGTGGGCCCTGTAACCCACATGGTAGAACCTCGGAGCCCGGATGTTACAGCTCGGATCGGGGTGTCGGTGCCGAATGTCGTCAGATCAAGACCGAGTGGAGCAGAGAGGATTTATGCATAATCCTCCACTTTGCTAGCGTCAGCTAGTTGATGTGGACTAGTTGGCTGAAATCAGGGTTTGCCACATCAGGCCACCTTATCCGTCGATGCCGAGCACAATCTGTGCAAAAGTAATTGATAACCAGCGGACAACGACTGTAGAACTACACAGCCATATGACTTGCATTTGGAATACTTTCTAATGAGAAGCACGTCCCAGAACCGGGGCTGCATGCCATCAAGCCCGGGTAAAGATTGTGTGTCCTGACAGTCGCTTGCCTCGTTGGCAAGGTGCGACCACGGATGAATGGGCTGTGAACAAACGAGTGAATTAGCAGCAGATTACAAGTCAGCAGACTGGTGATCTGACCGCTATTCTTTCCTCATCTAGCCCTTGTACATTCATCACACTCTGAATGAGTCGAGGAATTGTTGAAGGTTGAAATAATAGGAGAATTGATAATCGGTCATGCCAAGATTAGTATGAATGATCTCGGGCTTGATTTCAGCCCTGATGGCGGCTTTGACAAATCCAACCAGGACTATACCTATAAAAGATGGACGCGGTCGTAAGGCCAATATCAAGCACAACTCTGCTATCTGCTCTGTTCTTTTGAAGCATCACTATTATAATTTCCCTCTAACACTGCAATGAAGGTAGGAATCGCTGGCATCACTGGCAAGTTTGCCCGGCTTCTGGCCACGCACCTCCTCGCGCATGAAGGAGCCAGTATCAAGGGATATTGTCGCACTCCGTCCAAGGTGCCCGAGGCCATCCGCTCATCTCCCCGGGTCGAATTGACCCAAGGAGAAGCCTTTGACCGCGAGGCGGTGCGCTCCTTTGTCCAGGGCTGCGACGTCGTTGTCTGCTGCTACCTGGGTGACGACAAGCTGATGGTCGAGGGTCAAAAGCTGCTCATCGATGCCTGTGATGAGCTGCAGGTCACCCGTTACGTGGCGAGTGACTGGGCCCTGGATTATACGAAGCTGCAGCTGGGCTAGCTCTTCCTTAAGGATCCTATGATTCATGTCAAGGCATATCTGGAGACCAAGGCCAATGTTGCTGGGGTTCATATTCTCATTGGGGGCTTCATGGAGCCGGTATTGAGCCCTTTCTTCAACATCCTTGACCCTAGCACGATGACCTTTAGGTACTGGGGTGAGGGAGATGAAGTCATGGAGGGAACGACTTATGATGATGCGGCCCGCTTCACAGCTGCTGTTGCCTTGGATCCAAATGCTACCGGAGTCCTTCGTTGTGAGTATTCATGCAGTTTTGACGAGCCACGACTGACCTGTGTAGTTGTCAGTGGCCGTGCCAGCATCCGCGATATCGCTCGCTCTTTTGAAAAGGTATACGGCATAAAGCCTTCTCTGGAAAGGCGTGGCTCGTTAGACGAGCTCTATGAGCACATGCACAACCTGCGATCCGAAGACCCGCAAAATGTTTACGGATACATGGCCCTGTAATCATGTTGATTCCGCATTCAAATATTCCACTGACAACCGCACAGCTTCTTCTACTACTATTGGATCAACGGCCAGACATTTGTCGGGCCGCAGTTGGACAACGGCCGGTATTCCGACATCAAGCCTGTGGACTGGGAGGGATATATGTCCAAGTGGCCGATTGACCAGCTGCCCACATCATACTTTGCGCTGGGCATGTAAGAGGCGTGGCTTGAATCAGTCGTGGTGACGATGTATGTAAAGAAAAGTCAGAACCTAGATAGGGCATTAACGCGTCTCCAATGTCACGGAATAGCCATTATATAATGCCAGAAGAACGCTTCCGCGTTTGGATAGAGAATAGCAACAGACAATCCGGGTACAGATTGAAGCGCTAGGCGTTCTCTCCAGCTATAACATCATTGAAGTTCATTGGCGCCAAATTGTGCCGGTTCAGACGGGGAATTGCGCTCTCGCTCTCTTGGCGTCCCATTGTTATCTAGATAGGATGATTGTGTATCAATTAGCGACCTCTGTATCGGCTGTTTCGATCCCAAGGTGCTGTCTAGTTCATCGATACGCCCATGCACAGCCGCTCGCTCCATGAGACGTGAGATGGCGCTCATCATCACTCCCCCCTGATAGTCCCGGATTACCCACCGTCCAACAGGTTGATTCACTATAAGCCAGGCTTAATTCGTTTAGTGAGATAGGGACTGGCCACACATTGCGGCCAGGACAAAGGTCACGGCATGTCATTGCATGTAGCCTCCAAAGAGCCACGGCCATTTCGATGTCCTCAGATCCGTCTCTAAGAGATAGGCAAACTCTACCACCTCAACGGCAGCCAAGAACAACTGACTCGGCTTTGGGGATGCCACAAGACGGTTAAGCCTCCATCGTGGGAGATGAGTAACCAGTCACACCCGTGCCAAAGCCAGGCGGACGACGGTGGCCGTTATTTATTGGATGGGGATTGATACGTCACAGTGTCAAAGTTGTCACTCATTCAGCATCACATAGTATCCAATGCATGGAGACGCTTATTCTAAGTCCATTTTCCCATCTTAATCGCCCTAGGGCTCCGAGTTCTGGCGAACGAAGCAGTCATTTGGCGTCGGGTCAAGCAAAAGGTCATCACGGAACAACCGGCATACACCTCTGGTACGGCTGTAGACTTCAGTGCGATGTCAGAGTCCTTGATGTTTAATGATAGCCTCGTGTCATAGCTGTGCTCAGAAATGAGTGCCTGTGGGATAGGACTCGGACGACTGAGTGTCTAAGAGGTAGATCGACCACCAAAGCCGCCAACGCATTTCGGTTTCGAATGGGGCAAGTCCGAAGTGTGTTCCATCGCGATGTAGCCCAAGCCCTTGGGCTAGCCGATGTACGGCCGCCACCATGGTCCAGATAAAGTCGGCGTCGCCTGCATCTCGGAGACAGGTGAGGAAGGGCACGGCTGCCTGGATTACAGACAGACTCGGTGATTGAAGGAAACCCGCTCGTGATAGAGCATGCTGAGTAGCAAAGCGATATTGATGAGGAACACCCAAGGTCATGTAGACAATCCTCCGGTCTCATGCTTGTTGCTGCGGCGAAATAGACCGCAAAGACCACAGCTTCGGAAGATGGGTCGAGATGCTCTGAGTTAGTCGAAGTTCTGGTGATCATTCTATGAAGAGAGGGTCTATGAAATATGGTAACAACGGGTGCTACGTTCTGCTCGTAAGCCTGCCACAACCCCAGGCTGTGAGTTGTGGTGGGATGGTATTCGCGGAGAGAATCTGCGAGTGACAAGTAGCCAAAGACAAACTAGTTGCCGTCACTTCATTTCTCTCTTCCAGCGCCATAGCTACGGCAGCTTGCTCCTGTGTTTTCTGCAGACGAGGCCACAAGGTCTTGAAGCTTTTCATCTATCTGGGTGACCAGGTTCGAGTGCGAACCATAAACCGGACCGAAATAAAGAAAGTAGCAGGAAGCTTATCTGCCCACTCAGACCGAGAAGCGCCTCATGGTTTATGTATTGGCTGAATTTCCCATTCACAAGCAATGTCCCATGCTTATCTGCTGCACCGACCGGGGAAGCACGGTCGGTCCCGCGGGCGGCGGCAGGATTGGCCCCGCCTGAAGCTGGGAGAGCTCCTGCTTGAGGGATTTCAAGCGGGCCACCAGCTCGGCCTGCAAGGACCGCTTCTTTCTGCGCGGGGTATGACCGGCCTTGGGAGGATACAAGCTAGGCCAAGTCGAACACAATGGTTGCACGGCGTGGTTTTGCTGCAGCGGATCTTCTTCCGGTTGCACAGATGGCAGCTCCGCTCGCCGAGTGGTCCGTGCATGGGTGGAAGCCGATTCAACTACCTGCTGTGTCATTCCAAGTAAATAATGAATTCGTGAGCTCAGTTGAGCTGGCAACTCCTTGGTCAGGGTCCTGAGTCACCATGGTGCTGATGCTGCTGATGCTGCTGATGATGCTGATGATGCTGCTGATGCTGCTGATGCTGATTGCTAATCACTGAGTGCTGCGCCGATGACGAAGCGGATATGGAAATCGGCGTTAATTTCAGGGCCGAAGAGGTGGCTGTTAGTCAGCGCCGGGTGGGGCCGGTCCGTTTTCTGGCCGAGGCCGATATCTACTGAGCACTGACAGTCTGACACCCCAACTGAAGTCAGCACTGATCATACCCCGCAATCACCCAATAGACTCTGTAGTCTGTACTGGGATAGTTTATGCTAAGCTTGGAACCCGGTGGATGCTATCCTCCGCACGGTCTTGGTTTGATACCGAGCTCCGATGGCTGATCTAATGCTTCCAGAATGCCCGACCATCCTGGTGGTGTACATTGGGTAGCTGTAGATGATTTCGTCCTATATAGCTCGAGGCTGACCGGCAGGAATGAGATGGTATCTACAGAGTTATATCATTGCAGATTATTACCCTGATCTCATTCACAACGCATCGAATCGTCTTATTCTTCCGCCACAATGACCGCAGTGTTAATCACCGGCGCGACGGGGAAACAAGGAGGTGCTCTCATCAGAAACCTCATCGCCCGCAAAGCCCCCTTTGAGATTCTCGCCGTCACTCGAGACGCCACTTCCGCTTCCGCCCAACGACTCAAGCAGCTCTCCTCCAACATCAAACTGGTGGAAGGCAACCTCGATAACCCGGCGGGCATTTTCCGCAACGCTCACACTCAAACCGCATCTCCAATCTGGGGTGTCTTTAGCGTTCAGGTAGCGATCTCCCCACCATCTCAGCGACCATCACTAACTCGATCAAATAGTTGGCCATCGGTAGCAACGTCGCCGAGGAAGCACAAGGGAAAGCACTGGTCGACGAGTCCCTGAACCAAGATGTCAAATTCTTCGTCTATAGCTCGGTAGACCGTGGTGGAGAGGCCTCCTGGGACAACCCGACCAAGGTCCCGCACTTTTACAGGAAACATAACATCGAGCATCATCTGGCGGATCGAGCCAAGGGAAAGATGGATTGGACCATTCTGCGCCCGGTCGCGTTCATCGATAACCTGGTTCCGGGCTTCCTGGGCAAGGTCTTTGTCACGGCTTGGAAAATGGCCCTGAAGGGCAAGCCTCTTCAGGTGGTTGCGGTCAGCGATGTTGGATACTTTGCTGCAGAAGCTTTTCTCAATCCCGACAAGTATAAGGGGCAGGCGGTCTCGCTGGCTGGGGACGAACTGACGTACGACCAAATGGTGCAGGTCTTCCAGCAGAAGACTGGGCAGCATCTGCCTACTACTTACGAATTTCTTTGCTCTCTGATATTGTCCTATGTGAAGGAAATGGGTTCTATGTACAAGTGGTTCCATGATGAGGGCTTCAAGGTCAACATTGGTGAATTGAGAAAGCAGCATCCGGGTCTGAAGGATGTTGGGTCCTGGCTGGAACAAGAGAGTGAATTTGTGAAGCGCTAGGCAGGTTTGTGTTTCTTGTTTATAGACTAGATTTAATGTTTAATTCTCTATACTTTGATTGCTGTCATGTAGGCAGACTTTCTTCTGTTCGATCCCTTCCATATTCCAACATTACCTAGTTAGGTATCCATCATCAGGGGCATTTAGCTTTCAGCAGCCACGAAATACTGTTAAACTGGCCAACTACTTGAGCCACCACGACTCACACCAAATCAGACACATTCGCCATGAGGATCTCCTCCAGAGAAGTCCATCCCGACTTCCCCATCTCCCTCAACAACTCCTCAGATCGCTTATCAGGTTCAACCTCCAACAAGTTCACCTTCCGGTCCTGGTCAGGAAAATTGTCAGGAAATTCCCGGCCCGGGAACAGCTTCCGGAAAACAGCAATAACGTCGGACCAGAAGAAAGGCGTGCCGTATGCGAATAGACGCTCATTCTGAACCGTCGGATTGGTCAGGCCCGCGACGTGGAGGAGTCCGACGTCGCGAATGTCAACGCAGTATGCGCCTGGTATTGATTAGTATATGCGTATACTTTGGGGTGAATGGTGTTGGCTATTCTCACCGATAGGGATAAGGGCATCGATTGATGAACGGACCGACTCGAGTTCGTTCTTGAAGATGGCGGCTGGCCAGATCGATGTGGATGCGTGGCCTTGGTGTTCTGGGTCCACTGACGCGCCAAAGCACATTGATGGTAGAACTTGATATACATTAGTAGAGATCTCCCGAATTTCAGGGGGGGTGTTACCTGTGTTGATCGCAAATCCCGGCTTGTGCTGTTTCACCCAGTCCCAGACTCCCCGCTCGCTCAGGGCCTTGCTGGCACTATAGACATTGAAATATCTCTTGTGGTCGGAAGGTGATCCTGTTTCCGCTTTTTGGATTGCGACTTCATTCCATGAGTCGGACGTTACTGGCTTGTCCTCCAGATCATCGAGGGCGATCGTGGAAGCGGCTTGGGTGGAAGAGGTGTAGACAAAGCGCTTTACGCTGGGCTCAGCTGCGGCCGAGGTAAGGACATTGCGGTCCAACTGACTGATGGCAGCAAAGAGCTCTTTTGGATCGAGTCCTTCGAGGATAGTCGCGACATGCACGACGCCTGAAACACCTGTTGATATTGCGGAGTGAAGTACTTAGCCATTCGATTCTGTGCAAGACAAGACATGAAGATGAACGGACCCTTGATGGCTTCATCGAAAGCGCCGGGAATGGATAAATCTTCGACCTGGACTAGCTGGAATGCTTCATCCCCGTATTTGCGACAGAAAAGATCCCTGACCCATGCGCACCTCTGCGCATTGCGTACAGTTCCCCGCACGCGGTAGCCGTGGGCGAGCAATTGATCGGCGACGTGGGACCCCACTAGGCCGTTGATGCCGGTGACCAGCACCCAAGAGCCCAGGGGAATGGCAGGAGTTTCGGAAATTGCCATGGTTAGGGATTTATATCCGTTTAACGGGTTAGCAAGAATGCCGGGGCCTCTGCAGGGACGAGTGATTATATATGAAGTGCCACGTAACTATGTTTTGCAATGCGGTCCACTCCATCGTTAGCACGGGGTATCCAAACTAGCGCGACCTGTTTGACCCACCATGATTGGTAATCGAAGGCATTGAGCTCAAGACCGGCCGGGTGAGCTGACATTGGCGAAGCCCGGAGATGCAATTACTGTCATCTTCTTGACATCGTATCCTATAGAAGGTAGTAACAAAGATGACCTTGGATGCAAGGAGAGTCATCAGGGAGCATGTGTGCCACCTTCTGGAGCCTGAGTGCTCCAAGCATTGATGTGTTAACCTCATGCCTAACTCGAGCGACTTGTTTCATTAACTATGACACAGAGGGTAGAGGCAAGGACAATCAGCTTGATGAGCCCGTACATCGAGATCAGGTCGTGTGCATGTTCTTGGTTCATGTCAGTCATCGAAACAAAGTTGTCTGCTTATTACCCACCAGCACGTTTAGCCAAATAATGTCACCAGTAGTATGTTAACTTGACCGATCTGATCTTTTTTGAGATTTACTTGTATGGTCGTTCCCAGGTCGCAGACGAAGTCAAAGAAGCCGAGGAAGTATGCGGCTGTGGGCACTTGACCAGTCGCAGAGATATGCACATATCTCGTTCTTATGTCCTGCAACAGCATGCTGATGAACCAAGCTATTGGGGTCTTCAATAGAACAAAGTGTGGTAGGTTCTATGAGAAGAAATGAACAGCCATCATTCACATTCTCAAAACATATTGAGTTCCGTTCGTCCACGGTAGAAATTTATACTTCCAGACCCTAGGACCTTGTCAGTCAGACCCCTAATTTCAGCTCAGGCCATGCGTGCCGCGGTCTTTCTATACAAGAAAGCCTCATTAACATAGACCAGAGAGCTGCCGGGGTGTAGGTAAGGCTGGAGGATGAGTCAAGCGACTAGCCACGGCACTAGCCCACATCGGAGTTCCCCCGGAATCTCATCTTCCCTTCCCCGCAACCAACTCGGACGGAAACTTTTCCAGTTCAACCAACTCACCGATATGGCTGAGAGAGTCTCGGAACTTCGCTTCCGATCGGGAAATGTCCCGACGCGATATTTCAAGGCATGTCGCTGGTGCCGCAAGCAAAAAATGCGCTGCGATGCGCGCAACCAGGTTCCTTGCGCTCGGTGTCGCGCCGTTGGCCGCGATTGTATCCTCGACCCGGTCGAGCACGCAAGGCGTCGCACCGACCGGCCACCAACCCCGCCCACGCACCCAGCAAGGTGGATATCTCGCCCCTATACAGGTTCGCTGGTGGTCGAGGCTAATGAGATACATATAATTAGGCGACGGACGGCACGGTCCCCATGGACGGAACACCATGGTTTCGGTAGTCCCTCCCCCAGAGAACAAGACTATTCCACTGCGGCTGCAGTGCCCGAAGTCCCCATCGATGCCTCCATCGATTCGTTACCCGAATCTACTGCGGTGGGGAGTTTAGGCTCACCCGGTACTGCCGACCGACATGCACAAGAGCCCCAGCAACTTAGTCCCAATGATATGATCGCGCCAGTCTCTGTCATGCACTCCATGTCGGTCAACCTTCTGGGTTCTAGCAGTGTAAGCACCGACAGGAAATATGTTGGTATTTACTGAGTGGTTGGTAGATCTTCATGGACAGTTCAAGCAAAGCGGACCCTAAAAGCGACATCATCGCTCGAGGGATCATCAGTGAAGAACATGCTCGCGTCATGTATGACCGGTACGGTACCGCCCTCAGTAGACTGTCTACTCTTGCGGATATTGACATTGCTTAGGTTCATGGGTGGAAGTAAAAACTTTCTGGCACTGTTCGACCCCATCCGGGACACCTTTGACTCTATCCGCTCTCGTTCTTTGTTCTGCTTCTCCGTAATCATTTACTTGGCAAGTCGGGGAGTCATGGATTTGCGTAGCGATACCCATCTACAGCGCGTGCTGCAAGATGAAGCGCAGAGACTGGCCGAGGATAGCTTTTTCGAACGCCCAACCAAGGTGGAAACCGTCCAAGGAATGATCCTGCTCGCCGCCTACTCTGAAAAAACCTGGTTCTCAACCGCACTCATCCTGCGGACCGCGCTTGATTCCGGCCTAGAAAAATCGCTGGATGCTTTGCTCTCCCAGGAAAATGTGCCTCGCAGTTCTTTGTCGGCTTCGATGGCGGACCGTAAGCTGGTGTGGCAGACCAGGACCTGGCTAATCAGCTTCACACTGGAACTCGACGTAGCATCCGGTACCGGCCGCAAATCACGGATCGACGCAGTGGACACGATGAAGTTGCGGAAGTTTCTCGAGTACCCGCTCTCGCTGCCCTCTGATATGCGCACGATATCGATCATCGAGATTCATCAAATCAGAAGTAGAATTCTAAGTCTTGTTCGACTGACGGCATACTAATCGGACCCTAGGCCAATCTCGAATGTCCATTGAAAACTCCAAGACGACCAGCGAGATTGTATTGGTCGAACTCCCTGCGGTTATGGCAAGGCTGCAAGACTGGTGGAATACGTGGGATGAAATCCATGACAGTAAGCTGGCAACTGCGAACACCATGCGCAAGCGGGCGATGATACTGACCACGTCTGAAATCTAAAGACAATGCATTCCATGCAGGTGCCTTCCAACGCTGCAGCCTCAAGTTGATGCTCAACTATGGTAGAATATTCGTCTTGTGCGCTTCACTGGCTCGTATTCAGAAACTCCAATCAAACGCAGCCGTGTCCGACCCGGAAACCGATGGCAAGGATATTTCGCACTTATGGCGGTCTCTGGCCACGACAATCATGGAGCAATTGGCTTGCTTCATCAGGGAAAAGGCGTACCTTTGCCAACTCTCGTGGTCCCCGACATATCCAGCGCTAACGATTGCCTTTGTCAGTAAGTCAACCCACTACCCCGGAAAAAGGCATTATATGCGGCTTGGCGGGTTCGGCTAACATGGGGAAGCCACATTCGCTCTGAGAATCGCTCGGTGGCGTCCAGACCTAATCGACCAGGACCTCCTCCTGGAAAGAGCCCAGGTGATTTGCGATTTTCTCAAACAGCCGCCCTATCCGGATATCCACCGGACAGTATCGATCTTCGTCAATTACGGTCGTGCCCTGGTCGCTAGCCAACGAGAGCACGGGGAATATTGTGCAGAGGTCACCAAGAACGTGGAACAATCCAATGGGCAATTGTCAATAGGTAGGGAGGCCGACGGTGTCTCAATAGAGCTGTCAACTTCCTCGGGGCTGCCACCGGAGCAGGTGAGCTACCGCACTGGCGCCATGACCCCTCAGGCCGACAAAGACCCTGGTGGCGCTGGGGTGCCCAATCCCGACAGATCGGCCCCTGCCCGGCCGCCACCTGCTCGACTGCCGGGGCCTATGGAAGCTCCTAACTGGTCGCTGTGTAATCCAATCGCGGACTCGTTCGGCTTGTTTGAAGAGGAGCAGAACGACATCTTTGATTTCCTGCCTATGATGCCGTCCCTGCCACAATAGCCTTTGTATGACCCCGGCTAGGAATAGAACCCTAGTCTTCTATCGATCTGGTCTTCATCAGGTGGTGTGTCACGAATTGACCTGTAAGCGACGCAGAACTTGGGGACTTGGTGTCAATCCATGCTGGCAGTGATGACGACCGACCACATGCCGTAGGGGTGCGCGTGCTCGTGGAAGCTGGGGTAGGAGATAGGTCCAAGTTGAGTTGAATTCTGGAATTCGAAAACGGTCTGCTTTCAATGCTTGCAGCGCTGGAGTCGACCCGTCAAACATGACCGGCCGCTCTACTAGGAATGTCGCATTAGCGTCACGGCGATCGAACCTCCTGTGGATCACAGAATCTGATTCACCGACCTGGACCGAGTCGCCAAGGGCAGAGTTTTCAGGATACTGACCTTGAAAGCAAACCTGTGGACCGGCTCCTGTTCGGGGCCGTCGTCAGTATCCTTTTTTATTCCGGCGCCGGACCGGCCCCGATTTGGCGGGAGCAGCAGCCGAACTTCCAAGGCCGCCCATTGGGCCACGAGTCTATACTCGCGGTCCAGGTCTGAGTGGACTGTCGCCAAAGGCCTGCGAGATACGTCGGTGTTCATGAGTCACGGAATCCCACACTGCTCAGGATCACTATAAAACCCATAGGGTTCGTCAATGGATGAAATGGTCGAAGGGATACCAGAGAATCGTCGGACACGCCAAGGATTTGCTCAACACCAGGCAGACAGATAACAGCCATGGCCACAGAGCATTGCCCTAGTGCCTCCATCATAGATAGCGATCATCCAGGTATGACCTCATCCCAACACCTGTCCCTTGCGTCTCGCTAACCCTGTCTCCCTATCTCATCCTAGATCCCAGCTGGAACCGGGGCAAAGAGGCCATCCCCTCTAGTATCCCAATGGGAAGAATGGCTTTGGAAGACCGAGGATACCGGCTCACCAGACTGAGTGAAGACCATATACTGGTAGACTTTGACCATGGATCTCCTGAGAATCCGGTCAATTGGACTCACGTGAGTGATGCGCCCGCCGGACGATCAATGTCTTGACTGACCGTAACCCATCAATTGCAACAGACAAAGAAAATGTGCACGGTTTTCACGGCACTCTTCTTGGTCCTCAACTCCGGAATCTCGTCGTCTTTACCCAGCAATGTCGTTCCGTTGATGATGCAGGATTTCAATGTCACCGGAGACTCGCAGAAGGTTCTTCCAACGGCCTTGTTCCTTATCGGATATGTTGTGGGACCCTTGGTCTTCAGTCCCCTGAGTGAGACGATTGGAAGAAAGGCCGTTCTGCTATGGAGCTTCACTGTGTTTGTCTTGGCGACGCTGGGGTGTGCCTTTGCCCCCAACTGGCCGGCCATGCTGATATTCCGATTCATCTGTGGGGCCATGGGGGCGGCTCCCCAGACGGTGGTCGGTGGCGTCTATGCCGACATGTTTTCGACCCCACGAGCCCGTGGCCGGGTGATGACCTTTTATATGGCGGTATGCCGTCACTGTCCCTGTCTCCAGAGTCTTGTCTGACTGCCACAGGCTGCAAGCTTTGGTCCGATCATTGGGCCGATCATCTCCGGGTGTAGTTCTCAATACGGCTGGCGATGGACATTCCGCATCGACCTTATTCTTACCGGCTGTAGCTGGCTAGGCTCGCTTTTTATGCCAGGTGTGTAATGATGTACATAATAGGATTTGTATAATTGCAGCTGACATTGGTAAATAGAAACCTTCGGCCGCGTCATCCTCAAGAAGCATGTAGCAATGCTGAACAAGGGCTCGGCCACCTCTCCCTATGTCTCACAGCAGGAACTTCAGAGTGTCGTCGTCGACTGTAGCTTTACGCAGACCTTGACGCGACCCATCACGATGATGATCTTTGAGCCAATCATCGTGTTCACCGGAATCCACATCTCGCTTGCCTACGGTCTCATTTTCTTCTGTTTTCAAGCATATCCTATTATCTTTGAAGGTAACCCCCCCTGTTGAGGTTTTAAATCCCAAATATCCAACCATCAGGGCTTGCGTGTTTTGAACCCGGCTAACCGAAACAGACACCTACGGCTTCAGTGTCAAACAGACTTCGTTGTGCTTTCTACCCAGTAAGTGCGGGGATTGACTTCCTGCTCATGATTGATACTAAGTGGAGTAGTTGGCATCGGCGCTGCATCGTCAGGTCTTTTTTCACTCTACTACGACATCATTTATGAGCGAGCCAAAGCGCAAGGGAAAAGGTGGACGTCAGTCCCCGAGCTCCGGCGACTCCCAGTCGCGTGTATCGGTGGCCCTTGTCTCACCATCAGTCTCTTCTGGCTGGGATGGACCGCCAACCCCCAGATCTACTGGCTGGTTCCGGTGCTGTCGGGTCTGCTGTTCGGATTCGGATACCAAATTATCTTCATCTCGCTCTTGACGTATGTGACCGATGCGTACAAAATCTACTCGGCCAGCGCCCTTGCAGCATCGGTGATCATGCGGAGTATCCTGGGTGCGGTTTTCCCGCTGGCGGCGACTCCGATGTATTCAACCCTCGGAATAGGGTGGGGAACATCGGTGTTGGGGTTCGCGAGCCTGGCTTGTGTCCCCATCCCGCTGGTGTTTTTGTACACCGGGGCTTGGATGCGCAAGAAAAGCTCCTTCTGCCAGCGGCTACTGCAGGAAGAGTGTGCGAAAGAAGTGCAGGTGACACAGCCTGCCACGAAGGAGACAGTTTGATCACCGTGTCACCAAACCGGCCGCGCGCCCCTCCAAGATGGGATGCACTCCCGTCAACCAAAGATTGACTGTTTATTTCGGCCCGATTACAATATGACCCAACCTCTACGATCACTTCATTTTTCCATTCCTCCATCTGGACATGTCCAACAAATCAGAGCAATTGCTCTATCCTTTTCGACAGCCAGAACAACAAGCCGTATCACAGACCGGCCGTGGTCCCTCATTTGCGAGAGGTCACACCGCAGCTGGACCAGCGAGCGAGGACAGATGACCCCTCTAATTATGATTAATGATAACAACGGCATCCAGGACATGAGTTTAGACGATAGACATAGCTAGGAGTTTTGCTAGTTCGGATTTAGATACAAAGTAATAGACTGCTTCTTATCCAGAAAATGTGTGATTCACTAGGAAACCAAGATGAGTATTGATGGAGTGTCCAACGTGGAACACTGGACCTTTCCGCCTGAGGCCGCGAGATGGCGTGAATGACCCCGTTACATCCTGAGAGGGGCTTGTGACGCCTTTCCCCCTTTTCCCTCGCCATCTCTTCTTCACCTTCTCGTCAGCACTGTCTTCTCTCCATTCCTCATTCCAAACTCGTCCTTCGTATCCAGTTGTCATCCAAGCCTGCTAGACCTCTAATGTTGACGATGAAGCTCGCAGTTCTTCTCCTGGGCCTAGCTGCACTCGGGTCGGCCAGGGGACTGGTGACAACTGAGTTTCTTGATGCTTGGACAGTCAATAAGAAAGATAAACTTGCCTCAGTCTTGGGAAATGTGGGTTGTAAACATATCGTTCAGATCTGCATGGCTGATGAGCCGCCTAGGATGGCATCGAAACTACCTACAGTATGGCCTGTGCAGACAGTCAGGCCGCGTTTTGCGAGGTTGATGGACTGACCGTCATGGTTGGTGGGTCGCAAACCACGATTGTGGGACAGATCTCGGCCACTGATACGGTTGACATGTTTGACAAGGAGGGACTGTGAGGCTTTCTATGTCTTGCCCCTTGCTGGGAAACTTCAGCTAACTACTAGGTTTCCTCAGATCTCGAGCCGCAATGTGCGCCGTGGAAGATACAACTTCAGTCAGCTGCACTGTTACCGCAAGGCAAGAAACGCCCAGTCCGTATAGAGTGGTGGCCTTGGGTTTTATGGAGCACGATATATCTCAGGCTTTTATCCCGGTCACAGTCACGGCTGGAACAATCCCTCAACCGTCGGATACCGTTGTTACCATGCCGGGGAGCAGCTCAAGTCATCCTACTTCACATAGGGTCAGTCCTAGTATACCTTTGGGGTCTGGCAGTCACATCTCCAGTGCGGAGCCTCGTGTCAGCGGCGATCCAGGAAGCATGAGTATCATGACTACCAAGAGCCATACCTCCACCTCGTCATCCAGTTCATCGACTCGGAGCACTGGGGGAGCACCAATGGCCACTGGGGAAGTGGCCATAATGGCCGGGGGTGCTGCGATGGCTTTACTAATTGCAGTCCTGTGAGTCAAGCCAGGAAGCGATCGTGACTGTTGTGGTCGGCATAAGGTATTATGAGAGCACAAGTATGTACCATTTAAGATGCTTGGCAGTGGGGACGCTGCCAGCTAATAATGGAATGGCCCGTTCATCTGCGCCCCGCTCCTGCGTATCTGGCGAACAGCGCACATCTACTGTCATTGTCTGTCTTACAACCGGCAGACGATGGCTTGTTGTAAACGCCGGTTTCCGATCGGGCAGTCGGCAATAACGTCTTCCTCGGATGCGGCGGACCGCAAAGGAAGCCCATAAAAGTAAGCACCCCAAAATACTCCATACTCCCTCGCCAGATCAACAATGGCATCCGAGCAGCTGCAACCCGATTTCTCCGACAGGACCGATTTCGAAAACGCCTCTCGGGGCTTGATCGGTTCGCTTCAGCCGGGCATCATCCGAGCTGCCGATGGCCGACCGGTGTACAACAACGATGCGTATCACTTCCTGCACGATGCGGAATGCCCGCCGACCGCAAACCCGAAGCTATGGCAGCAGGGCCAATTGGCCTCGATGCAGGGGCTGTTCGAAGTGACTCCCGGAATCTACCAGATCCGGGGCCTTGATTTGGCCAACATGACCGTTGTCGAAGGCACTGAGGGGGTTATCATCATCGACCCCCTGACATCTGTGGAATGCGCCGCTGCTGCCCTAGCCCTGTATCGCAAACATCGCGGCGACAGGCCCGTCACCGGTGTCATCTACTCGCACTCCCATATCGACCATTTCGGGGGCGCTCAGGGGGTTCTCTCGGATACAGCCTCCATCCCACTGGTGGCGCCAGAAGGTTTCGTAGAGGAAGCCATGAGCGAGAACATCTACGTCGGGCCCGCCATGCGTCGTCGGGCGTTGTATATGTACGGATCTCAATTACCCCAGGCGCCAGATGGACAAATCGGTTGTGGAATCGGAATGACCGTCTCGACGGGGACAAACTCGTTTGTGCCGCCCAATACGATTGTCACCTCGACTGGCGAAGAACGGACGATCGATGGGGTCCGGGTCCAGTTCCAAATGGTTCCTGAATCGGAGGCGCCGTCTGAGATGAACTTCTTTTTTCCTGATCATCGTGCGCTGTACATTGCCGAGTGCGCGACGCATAGTCTGCACAATATCATTACGCTTCGCGGGGCTCTAGTCCGCGATGCGAAAGCGTGGGCATGGTACCTGGATGAGTCGCTGGTTCTATTTGGTCAAGATGCAGACGTCTTATTTGCCGGTCATAACTGGCCGACCTGGGGACAGAAAGACATTGCACGGCTGATATCCGAACAGCGTGATATGTATGCCTACTTGCACGACCAGACTGTGCGGATGATGAACCAAGGCTTGACCGGGATCGAAATCGCCGAGACCATGACCCTTCCGCCCGCGTTGCAAACAGCATGGCATGTCCAGGGGTTCTACGGATCAGTCAGCCACAACGTAAAGGGGATCTATCAACGGTACATGGGGTGGTTTGATGGAAACCCTGCACATCTGTGGGAGTACCCGCCGGTAGAAAACGCGAGGCGATACGTCGCCTGCATGGGTGGAATTGACGAAGTAGTCTGCAAGGCAGAGCGATTCGCGCAGGACGGGGATTTACGTTTCGCAGCCACCCTCCTGGGACATGCAGTCTCGCTCGATCCGAAACATGAGAAATCGAGACTCACGCTGGCCGGGGTGTTTGAGAAGTTAGGGTTCGGCGCGGAGAACGCCACCTGGCGCAACTTTTACTTGTCGGCAGCGCGGGACTTGCGCGCGGAGGCCCCAAGCCCAAAGAATCCAATGCCCCAGAGTCGGGAGTTGAACCGGGGGCAATCAGTGGAGCAGTGGCTCACCCTCCTGTCAGTCCGGCTGGATGGGCCCCAGGCGGCGAACGAGGCATTTACGATTGATATCAATGTGACCGATGGGCAGCGGTGGAGACTGATTCTCAGCAATGGGGTGTTGACGAGCCGGAAAGCCTCCGATCGGGCTGCTCCAGAGGCGGGCTTTACGATGTCTCTGGCGAAGCCCCGATTGCGCGAGATTCTGAGCGGACAGTCCGATCTCGATGGTGTGGAATATGAGGGCGACACAGCATTGCTCCACCGACTGCTTGCTTTGACAGCGTGATCCATTGATAACTTAATTATATGGCCCAAGCCATAAACAATCCTCCTAATCCAACATGTGCTGTTGCAAATGGGCAACCAACCGAACTGGCCATCCCGTGTCTCAGAAGCCCTAAGAATGAACGGAAGCGAAAACGAGCGCTAAGCGGCGAGGCGAAAACGTTGAGAACATGGAAAGCGTTGAAGTTAATTTTGTTCCAGAAAAGTCTAAGCGCCGAGCGTCGGCCGAGGCGCGTGAGAATAAGGGGCAGCAGGAGCTGCAGCAGCAACAGCAACAGCAGCCGGGCTGGTAGGGCTGCAGGGCGGCCAGCAATCATTACCCAAGCATGTACGGATAGAGTGTACGTATATCGGATCTTCCATGCAGATATAGCGAATGCCTTGTTTTCCACGGCATTTTGCGTCCACCTCCGAGCAATTCTCTTTGGCCATTTTGTTGGGAATTCCCCCCACAGCGAACGGGCGGATCCGTGGATGGGTCTCGACCTGTCCGTTTTTCGGGAGCCACTAGTGATCCCCTGGCCAGCCACTCGACGACTCAGCGACTGCGCATTCCTGAGGTTAATGCGAATAGCGTGTCGACCACGGGTCCACCTCTGATTCTGAGAATTTCAGGAACTGGTCGGGTCTGATTGGTTCCTGCGGGCAACGGTCAGGAGAGACCCTTGCCTTTGACAGAAAATTTAGATCCCAAAATGTACATAGGGAGCAGCGTCGGTCAGTTCTGTCACCTCTGCTGGCTTGTTCGTCTTCTACCACTATCCCACCATGGCTGAACTTCGCAAGCGGCCTGTCGAGGCAGCGGTATGTTCATCCACTCTGAATGCCTACATCCTGGCCTAGTTACTGATTGGTTCTCTTCTAGCAGCCCATCGACCAGGACAACGTCCCCAGCCTGCAATCCCTCAAAGATGCCATTCCCAAGGAATGCTTCGATTCGTCCGTCGTGACTTCGCTCCTCTACCTCGCCCGTGACATCCTGTACTGCGCCATCCTCGCCTACGGCGCGTTCCACATCCACCTTCTCCCTTCCCTGCCGCTTCGGATTCTCGCCTGGGCCGTCTACGGCTTCTTCCAGGGCTGTGTTGGAACTGGACTATGGATTCTCGCTCATGAGTGCGGCCACGGCGCCTTTTCCAAGCACCAGTCCTTCAACGATTTTGTCGGATGGGCCGCTCACTCGTTCCTCATGGTTCCCTACTTCTCCTGGAAGATCACCCACGCGCGTCACCACCGCTACACCGGCCACATGGAGAAGGACACGGTCTTTGTGCCCTGGACCGACGACCAGCTGGCCAAGAAGAAGAACGTCCGCATCGAGCAGCTCAAGCATCTCGCCGAGGAGACCCCGATTGTTTCCTTTGTGCAGCTGATCGGCCACCAGTTGATGGGCTGGCAGCTGTATCTGTTCCTGAACGTCACGGCCGGCCCTAAGAGTCTGCCCGACGGCGGCAGCCGCACCGGCATGTCCAGCCACTTCAACCCGTTTGGTGAGATCTTCAGCAAGTCGCAGGTGCTGAGCGTCGCCCTGTCGGATCTGGGACTGTTGATCATGGGATCGATTCTGTACTATGCGTCGACTCAGGTTGGCGTGTGGAATGTGGTTCTGTTGTACTTTATCCCGTACCTGTGGGTGCATCACTGGTTGAGTACGTGGCCCCCCACCTCTCCTCCCCACCGAGAATGCATGGAAAGTGCTAATTATCGCAGTTGCTATTACCTACCTTCAACACACCCACCCGGAAGTCCCGCACTACTCTGCTGAAACCTGGACCTACACCAAGGGTGCCTTGGCCACCATCGACCGCAGCATCGGTTTTATTGGTCGTCACTTTTTCCACGAGATCATTGACTATCACGTCGTGCACCACCTCTTCAGCCGTATTCCTTTCTACAAGGCCGAGGAGGCCACTCGTGCTATCCAGCCCCTGCTGGGCGAGAAGTACCGCGAGGAGAAGGAGGAGAGCTTCCTGTACTCGCTGATGACGACGTTCCGCAAGTGCATTTACGTGTCGGATGCGGGCAAGAAGAAAGGCGTGTTGCACTTTGTGCTGGCGGAGGAGGCTAAATGATGTACTCTGTTGTTGATTGTGGATTGATTGTATACATGGGTATGGTGTTTGGGTGGTGATTGCATGTATGATAGACATAGACTATAGACTTGCATAGAACAAACTTTCCTCGACTCGTTATTGCAGCAGTATGCGTGCAGTGGGTGAGGAGAGGCCCGTCAGGTGTGGTTCCATGTGAGATTTTACATTCGGATCCTCCCTTCTGGTCTGTGCTTTGACTCAGGAGAGACCTCGGAAATCGTCGAGATCATCGTCAAGAGTGGGCTGGATTGGTCTCCGTCAGCTGGCTAATTATTTAGGGTTCACCTTACCTCGGCTGTAAGAGGGCATGCATGACACCAACCATCCTAAACAATCAGTCCAACGGCATAGTCCATCCGAAATAGACAGTTGATCAATCATAAACCGAAACAGCCATCATGTACGCGTATTGCCATCCCAAACACGCAACTAACCGTTTAGACAAAGGAACCCTCCTATATGCCGAACCATGGAATGAAGTTCGTTTAAAGTTGTGCCAAGCAGGTTACTGTGTAACTGCCGTGAGGACAAAGAGCAATCAATCGATTCAATGGGGATTGATATACATATCCGCGTTAATATGCGTAGAATAGCAATGAGATATCCACGAAACACTATGGGATGCCCTCTATAAACCTCTACAGCATCGGACTCGTCCTCCAACTCAGTAACTCTACTCTCTTCACGATGTATAAATTGACATGGAACCACGGTGTCTGTCACCCTCCACCCATCTTCCCTCTCATCACCATCAGCACTACCACAGCATCATGTCCAACCCTCCCTCTGTTATCTCCCTCGGGAACCACCATCCCCTCCCACCACTTCCCTCCGACTCCCCCGCGAACCGCAATCCATACACACACCCAGACTCCCCCTCCTCATCTTCCTCCCCCATCTACTCCCCAATCTCCCCCACCACCCCACCCTCCTACCTCCACTACCACCACCACCCCCAAACCCCGCAATACCTCATCCCCCTCCCCCCACCATTCCACCCCCTACCATCTCCCTCTCCCCCACCCCTCCCAACCATCTACATCCTAGACGGCGACACCGCCCTCGCCCTCTCCATCCGGCACTTCATCCTCGAACGCGGCGGCGTCCGCATCCGCTCCGGCTTCCTCCCCGTCCAACAAACCCCGCATCTCGATCCCTCGGTGGTCGTCTCTGACCCAGAGACCGACTATGAAGGACACATTCCCGTCTTGTTTCTGGATAGTCCGACCGTTTACCCCGTCCGTAAGATTGTGGGGTTTGGGCCCATTAGTGAGTATGTGGATGCTGTGGCTGTTGGGGGGAGGAGGTTGTATGGCGAGGGGGAGGGGGAGAGGGCGGTTGTGAGGGCGTTGGTGGGCGTGCTTGGGAGGGAGGTGGTGCGGCCGTTGTATGAGTGGAATAATGTGGTTTATGGTGGGGTGGGTGGGGTGATGGAGGAGGAGGAGGAGGAAGAGTTGATGGGGAGGGTGGTGAGGGGGTTGGAGTGGGTGGAGGAGAAGTTGGAGGAGCGGGAAATGGAGTGGGAAGAAGAGGGGCGGATAGGGAGAAGGGGAAGGGAGGTGGAAGAGACGGGATATTTGTTGGGGAGGTTCTCCGCGGCGGATGTGTATTTCTTTGGTCTGGTGGTGGCGCATGTCGGTCGGTGGGAGTGGATTTTTGATGCCCATCGACGGCCGCGCGTGACGGAGTACTTTGCTCGGGTGCGTCAGCGGCCCATGACGGAGTTGGCGGGCGAGTTTTGGGATACCGAGGTGGCGACGGTGGTCGAGCCGGGGGAGCGATGGGGGTATATCTAGGTGCAGTGCCTTGGATTGATATATGTGGGAGATTGCGCGGATTCATGCCAGGGTGTTTTTACGACGATTTATCAAGGATACGGTCCTGTGTCGATTATAGGCAGAGTAGAAGGACATCGAGTGGCAGCGATTATACATGCATGAGGTTATTCATGAGGTGGAAAGATTCATTCCATTTATTATATGAACTTGATCATAGGCTGCATTGGATTGAATGGTGAACCACTTAATCAATAGGAAACGATACTGGTATAGAATGCATCAGGTATGAAATATCTGGTCATCTGCGAAAGTCGGTCTCATAAAGGGAGAAAGAAGTTCCTTAGGGCAAAGCCGTTAAACATAAATATATCACCTGGATACCACACAAATGTGCGTAGGTAATATGTGAGATGGCCTTTTTCATGTTATTAACCGGAACTAACAGGAGTCTGGAGTCCTGGCGGAGCTGACGTGGGTATGATCAGCTAGTGGTTATTTGTAGTGGAGACATCGCTCATGCATATAAGATGGATAATACTCCGTATCTACAAGGCGATCATCTTACTACATGGTATCCGACCCGCAGGCTGGGCATCGACAGGGGCCTCGGGGTTATTCCGATCGTGATTGGCTGCCTCCCGGACAATCGGACATAGGGATACCAGAACCCCGTAGTCATCACCATTCAGCTCGGATATTTAAACCTCGTAGCTACGTACTTTCCTTTCACTCTAACCCACCCACCAGATCAAGGAAAGCAGCCATGTCCCTTTCCGCATCCTCAACCAGCGAAGATGTCTGCCAGTATCTCGCGGACCAAATCAAGGGCAGCAAGGGTACATACCCTCCATTACATCGTGATAATAACAGGGCTATAATCTAACGAATCAGTCCTCATGACTGGTGTATCACCAGGGAGCATTGGCGCCCATGCGGCCCTACACCTCTCCCGACACCGTCCGGCTCTCCTCGTCCTCGCCGGTCGAACCCTCTCCGCCCTGCAAGCCACCGAGCACGCCATCAAATCTGAAACTCCAGATGCAAATACCCGTCTTCTCATCCTGGACCTGAGCTCCCAGGAAAGTGTCCGCAAAGCAGCCGCGGAAGTGAGCGAGTACCCCGAAGGCATTGACCGGATCATCAATAGTGCAGGGGTCATGGCCGCGCCATACGGGCTGACCCGGGAGGGAGTGGAGATGCAGTTCGGGATTAACCATATCGGACATTTTCTGCTTACGAATTTGATTCTCCCCGAATTGATGCGCAAGAGCGGCCGAGTGAGGGTGGTGAATGTCAGCAGCCTGGGGCATAAACGGGGCCCGGTGCGGTTCGAGGATCCTGGGTTCCATGTTGGTTCTCTTCTCTCTCGCTTTCCCTGACTGGAAGGGCTAGGGCTGACAAGTGCAGAACGGCAAGTGCTATGACAAGTGGCAGGCGTATGGCCAGAGCAAAACGGCCAACATACTCTTTTCGGTGTCCCTGGCGGAGAAGCTCGGTGGTAAAGGCGTGGAATCGTTCAGTCTCTATCCAGGTCGTATTGTCACTGGGATCGGGAGGCATTTGAAGCCAGAGGAATGGGTCAAGACTGGTATGTGATACCCTGCTGGCTTAGTGGCTGGACACTCATGGCTGCATAGGATGGAAACACGAAGATGGAAGCATCGTCGATGATCCCAAGTTGAACTGGAGAACCCCCACTCAGGCAGCCGCCACTTTGATCGTAGCAGCATACGATCGGACTATTTCCGGTAAGCCCTCTCACATCTGATCGATTGCGACTGATCAAAGCAGACAAAAATGGATCGTACATGGTCAACAACCAGGTTAACAACGACGAGGCCGCCGGTTATGCACTGGATCCAGACAACGCAGAGAGGCTCTGGAAGCTGAGTGAGGAGATTGTCGGCCAGAAGTTTGAGTATTGATCATTGTGGCGTGTTGAGAGGTGCTGTGTCGCTGAAGTATATCCATGGATAACCAATAGAGATCCCTGACATCTATTGCCAGGACACATGTTCAAGGCTAGCTCACTGCACGGACTGATTGCGCAGCTTGCCAGGCCGCTGCCGCCAATATAGCAGTTCCCGTCCCCTTGCCCGTACATCCTGACTGGCACTGGGCGAGGCGGGTAGCAAAGTGATGACAGAGCGCGTCAGCCTTGGTCAGTCGCTGCTGAATAGTTCTTGACCGAACCTGCTCCGAGGTCAATCCTCGCAGTGTCTCCGCTACCGTCGCGTAAAGTAATACCAGTCCCAACCAGTACAGTAGCAGGTGCGGTATTCCCGAGGGGTCCGTGAAAAACATCGTCTCTTCCGGCTGTCTTGGGTGCATTGCCGCGGGTGGCACTGTAGTCGATCTGATCGTGAAGAGGGGATGGTTGGTCTCCGACTGCCACTTGTGATACCAGCTCAAAAGCTGATTCTCCAGACACGCGGACGTCATTAGCAGGCAAGCAGTGGAGTCCCACGTGACACCGTTGCGAGCGATTTGATGTCGTAGACCGCTCCGTAGTTGACCAATTTCGGAGAGAATATCCAAAAGCAGGTCAAACCTGTCCGTGGACAGCCCCATAGGCGAGCGGTTGACCGCAGAAACCCCATCCGAGACATTGACACACTTGCGGAGAAACTGCACACTCAGTAACATCCACATACCGGACCTGAGAACCTACCTCGATTGTACGTAGTCGCTGTCGGTCCTGGTTGTTCAACATCGCCGCGCGATGTTCACGGGCCAAGTTGCAGGCGGCCGTGACATGGACATTCCATGCGTGGCCTTGACCTGGCGGCTGTGCGTAAAGCTCGTAGAGTGCGAGAATCATGGCCGTGCGAATGAGATGGCTGGGGTCATCCTTCCCTTTCAGCGCGCATATCTGCTGCACGGCTTGCCTGTAATGCTGTCGACTGCGATGAGCCAGCGCGTCGTCGTGTCGAGACTTGGCAAGGTGTATCAGGGTCAAAGCGGAGAGAGATGCCTTGATGACCGGGGACTGCGAGTGGAGAAAGGTCGGGAAGAGCTCCGCCCAGTAGACAGGGGATTGGTGCCTGGTGGGAACTGAGCCTTCTGGAGGGAGATAATCGCCCAGGAAATGGGCGACGAGTTGTGCTTGGTTCTGTTCCAGTAGTAGAGATCGCTCGTGCCATCCCACGAATGCCCCGGTGGGGAGGATACTGCGTCCCCTGTAACGTCAGTTCCGCTCCACCATGCCTGGACGTACTCACAGATCCGGATAACCCCCACAGTGGCGGGCGGAGGATTGGCAGCGCATACACGTCGGCCGGGCCCTGTCACACTGACAGCCCGGTCAGCCATCATGTCGTACTCCAACAACGGGTCATCCCACCTTGACCTTTCGCGTGAGGCACGTACGGCAGCTCTGGGCCGTCCAGGTGCTCCGTCCCATCTTGCGTCGGGGTGTGGCTTTTGTGGGATTCTCTGATCTTTGTTGTGTTCTGGTGTTGGTGTTCTGGAGGTGGAAGAAAGCCGGCGGCCGCCGGGCACATGACGGCGTGCGTCGACACGCGCAAGCCAATCAGATTGGCGTCCGGTGATACCACTAGTATGGAGTACTCCGGATGCAGTAGCATTGTTGCTAGCTATCTGCACTTCTCGGTGTTCCGAAAACACATCCATCAATTGTTGAGGTGCCTGGTTGGTTGATAGGTGAGGATCATATGCATTGATCACATTGGCCACTACTAGAGTGGTTGTCGGTCGGTTAATACAAGTCAGGTTTATCCACTCTAACTATATCCACCTATATGTGGCTTATATGCTATTGAGTCGTCAACAAGAAATGTCTTACCAATGCATTGATCTACACTGTATATTTTCAGCTATGACAAAATCAGTAGCGGCCGTAGTCGAACTTCTCTCATGCTTTGAATGTCAAGAAGTACCAGTTGAGGATAGATACAGAGCAAAAAGTGAACAGATGGTTGTACTGGAACCAGATTCTTTGATGCGCCATCCCTATACCCAGATTCCTTCAGAGCCCATCGTCAGTAGCCATCCAGTATTCATGAAGCTCTTTCCTGTAGTCCTCGTCACTGCTTGAGAAGGGCCAGATATTTCCAGAGCCCAGAACCGCTTCCGCCTAGGTTGATTGTCAGGTCAGTCAGCCTCTCGAGACACTCCATTTCTGCCAGACTTACCTCATCTTTGGTCAGAGCAGATTGGTAGACGTGAAAGTCGCGCGACCAAGTGTCAATACACGCATAGTGATGGGTGCTATACAGCCCGCTCCGGGCGGGACAGTCGCCCGCCCTGCCGCCATCCCCGTAACACCAGTAGTACTTGTCTCCTTGGAGCCGTAGGATTGCCCACTTCCCCATAGTCTTCTCCTGGGAGTCAGAACCACTTAGTACTGTCATTGTTGTATTGATCAGGATCGCTGGCAGGCTTCTGGTTTTGGTTGGGGGATAAAATGAGCTTGCAGATGATGAGTAAAGAAGAATTTTTCCTGCACATCGTACCCTCGAGGCGGGATTTATACGTACGCGACTGGCGAGTGCTGATCTGAACGGAACCATCCCGTGACATACGTAAATCCCAATCGCAAAAGGGGCGCAAGCTCTCCACATAATGCTGCAGATCTATCTCCATCTATCTACTCCTCCAGATGTCCCCGAAAACACGTCCATCAGTTGCAAAAGATCCCTCCATCGAGGGTCCTTTTGGAGCTCAATCCTTCCATCCGGGGTCATCACCTTGTGCTCGTCCGCAGTCCTCGTGCCATATGTGTAGCCCTCCTCATCATTCACAAAGGCCGCCAGATCCCGGATCCAGTCGTCCATCAAGGCCCGGTCCGCAGGGCTCGGTCCGTGCATGATCGAATAGCTGGTTGTGTCAGTGCTGGGATACACCGGGGTGGGGGGGTTCTTACTTCCATATCGGTCGATCCATGGCATGACTCACCCCGAACGACGCGGGGGCCACGTCTTCGGTGATGAAAGATAGCCGATGGGCGATCAGGTACCGCCAGACATCTTGAATATTCACTCCGTGCTCCAGAAGATTATTGACCAGAAACCTTGACGGCGCTCGGACCTGGCCGTCAGCGATGATCTGTCCAAACACCGACTGCCACTCGTGCTGATCGTGCGAATCCGGTAGGGTATAATGGCGCAATAACCGGTCAGTCGTAGCCGGGGAATAGTAATTCGACACTTGCAGTTTCAGCGACGCCAGATTGGCCTCGGGGCTATTCGTGACGGCATAAAGGGTATTTTCGTCGCGCACTTCCCCGATAAACAACCGCAGGCCCCGTCGCTGGAACTCTTTCGCAAAAGACCCGTCGCGATAGTAGTCGAAGATCCCCGGGTGGATGAAGACGCCATCCGTGACGGGCCGAAAGGTGTGGTGTTGGAGGATCATGATCGCGTCGCACAAGTCCTTGGCACTGATGGCTCGTAGCTGCTTCAGCTTTTCGGACCCCGGCAGATTAGTCGGGATGTCAAAGTGGTGGCACAGCTCGTCGAACTGCGGTTGACACTCTTCCGGAGTCTTGGGTTGGGTGGGAATGGCATTGGAGTACATGACCAGTCTCCGGAATCGGTTCCGCACTGCCTCGTGTATCTGCCCCCGGAAGTCGTACAACGCTTGGGCCTGGACTGCATATGCGCCTGCGCTCCGTCCCGCTAGGGTAATATTGTCCGGATCCCCCCCAAAAACCGCAATGTGGTGATACACCCATTCGATGGCCTGTCGCTGGTCCCAGAGACCATAATTGCCGACTGCCTGACCCCCCGACTCCTCCCGCAATGCCTCGCCCGCCAGGAAGCCAAACACATTCAGGCGGTAGCCCACGGCGATGAAGATGGCATTCAGCTTTCCGGTGGAAAGCAACTCGGTAGGGTCCATTCCCGGCTCCTGACTGGGGTCGCCGATTTGGAACCATCCCCCGTGGAACCAGATGACGACTGGCCATTTGGGATGAGGCACCGCGGGGTCAGGCACCGGGGTCCAGATGTTGAGGCGCAGGCAGTCCTCCTGGTAAGTGTGCCTGGGGGCATGTCCGCTCACGGCTTTGGAGTAGTGTGCCTGGGGGCAAACCGGGCCGAACCCGGTTGCGTCGTATGTCGCTCCCGGTTGGGCGGCTGCGAGCTGGTGGAGGGAGTACGGTTGAGGCTTCCGCCACCTCAAGTCGCCGACGGGGGGTTGAGCGTATGGAATGCCGGCGAAGCGTCGGGACTGCCTTCCGTTCTGCAAGCCTCGGATGGCACCCGCCCCGGGCACGTCCACGTGGCAGTCGGAGGTTTCGTAGGAGATGTGGTTTCCCATTTGATGTTTGTTGCTGGTTATTAGTACAGAGTAGAGAAAGCTACCTCACAAGAGGTCAACGTGGGCAGTCAACAGTTTATAGGGAAAGCCCGAGTGTTTGACCTCTAGTTCAAGACCCTCCTGACACCATACCCCGGAGTGGGCTCTCATTGGTCTGTTTAATCGACGGTCCCTCCGATCCGATAGGAAGAGATACGGACCGTCAATCTGAGACATGTGTGTGGACTGGGAAACTGGACACATTCATAGGGGCGACCGTGGTGCAGCGTCTCGTAGGCATCCACGATGCCCTCTAGTCTATTTTTGAACCGCCCATTCAACCTTGCCAGGGGTCGGTTTGATGCCGGGTTATGGAGTAGTAGTAGATATAGGACTGCCATAACGGCGAGCCACTGGATCCGGTTGGGCTGGGCAGGCAGCCATCTGCTGGAACCAAGGATCGGGGGGTGCCTCGCTTGTATCCTCACGTGATCGCATCCGTGGCTGCCTCAGGTGGCAACTCGAGACTCCCGTCGGCCCAAGGGGGCAAAACCAGAACGAATACGATCTTTGCCTGCCCCCCCAACAATGGCTGAGAATAATACGCCCATACAGATTCGCTCCAGGCGATCACACAACAAATCCCGCTTGGGCTGTCAGAATTGTAAGAAAAGACGCATCAAGGTAGCTTCTTCTCCTATGCCTCTTTTCTCTCGTCTGCCCGGAGGTCAAGGGTATATATATCCTGGCAGTTGCACCAGCACCACCAGCACCACCATCATGGTCAAGATGCGCTCTGCTCTGCGTGCCTTGGCTTGCTTTTGGCCCAATTCTGCTACCTACTCTACGCTTACCGACCATGCTAACCCCCTCCAGTGCGACGAGAAGAAACCACATTGCACCAACTGCGTGCGGCATTCGATCGAATGTGATTTCACCCACCCGGCGGCGGCCTCCGCCACGCCCCCGGCCTCCACGCGACGGTTTCGCTTTCGACCATCCAAATACCAGCCCGAGTCCCGGGCCTCCTCCTCCAAGGGTTCCAAGGATAGCACCCCTGAGGTCGGCCCCCGCGACCCTCCCGCCACCTCCACCGGCGTGCAATGTGATCTCGCCGCCAGCAGCGTGGCCGGCGGCATCTCGTTTGCCGACCTGAAACTCTACCACCACTACCTGACCAGGACGTACAAAACCCTGGCGGACGAGGTGATGGACATCCACCGTGTCTGGCCCGACCACGTCCCCCAATGGGGCATCACCTTCCCCTCCCTCATGCATCTGGTCCTCGCCCTCTCGGCGCTCCACTGGGCCCATGAGGACCCGGCTTCGGGCACGGAGTACATCGCGCAAGCCGACGACCACTTCACCTTTGGGGTCCGATCGGTCACGGCCGTCCTGTGTCTCCTCAATGCTGAGAACTGCCAGTTGATCTACATGGCCGCGGCACTGATCTGTCTGGTGTACTTCGGCCGCGGGCCCCGACCCGGCGAGTTTCTGGTCTTCAGTGAGCGCGGCCCGTCCGAGTGGCTGGTGCTGATGCGCGGGGTACACTCCATCGTCAAGGAGCATCATGCCCGCGTTTTCACGGGCGTGCTGTTGCCGATCCCGGATGATCGGATCGCCGGCGTGAGTGCCGAGCTGCAGCCCGAGCTGGACGAACATCTGCTCCGGATTGAGCGCGTGCGAGCGTTCATGCAGTCCCGGGTCCGAGAGACATCCCGACGGGCCATGTTTGGCACGGCCCTCGATGATCTGCGCGGGGGATTTGAAGAGGTGTATAAGATTCGCAGCGCCGGGCAGGATGGCATCAACCTGATGCACCTGGTGGTGGGGTGGGTGTATCGACTCCCGGAGGGGCTGATCAGTCTGTTGGGACAACGGGACAGTAGCGCGTTGGTGATGTTTGGCCATTGGAGCATTCTGTTGGTGTATATGCGGTCGGCGTGGCTGATGCGGGGGTGGGACGCGCATGTGCTGGAGGGCGCGCGGGCGGCCCTGCCGGAGGAGGACCGACACTGGCTGGACTGGCCGACCCAGGTGGTATATGCTTGACTATACCTCCTTGTATACTCCGTCCATGGGATTTACCAAACTTAATTGCGCAAATAGAACCGTAACCACGTTCTCATCTGGATTCACTACCTCATTGAACTGATCAACCTTGTACTCTCCACAACCCCTCCCCACCTAAACACCTCACTCACCTCTTCCCCAGACCTGACCATCCACAGCTTCTTTTACCGCTACACACCTATTATACATCTTCTGTCACCCCACCCAACTCACCCCACCATCCACGAACCAACAACCACAAGCACAATATCGTCTTCTCCCATATCCAACGTTCACCTCGTCCCCCATGCCTGCCATTGTAATTAACTGTGGGTCATGGAGCATGAGAGAAATGAGCAAGTGAGAGGCAGAGTGGGTGATATCAATCCGGGTGAATTATTGTGGCAAGTTTTTGGGTTGGATGGTTGTGGAATTGGAATTCCTTACAGTCGTGGTGAATGGAATATAGCGACGACGAGCTAGTACTTTCTGACACTACATCTGATACTTTCAATAGAAGGAGAAGAAGAACATATGACTACGCCGCACCCATCATCAGGCAGAAATGGATTCGCTCCGCGTAAACACATGATCCGGGTATTTCTCCAAGTCTAATCGGTCTATCGATCCCGCCAACGCCATCTTTCCCCCTGCCTCGCGTTTCCCCTCTATTTGCCAAACACCTTGAAGCGGTCCTCCAGGGGCGCAAACGCCTTCTCCCCGGGCTCTGAGGTCGGCACGCCAAAGACCAGCTGGGCGTCGAGCTTCCATGACGCCGGGAGGTTCCACTGCTTCTGCACCGCCTCGTCAATGAGCGGGCTGTAGTGCTGCAGGTTGGCGCCGAAGCCCTCGGACTGCAGAGCGGTCCACACTGGATGGGGTTAGCGTCAGAATTTCAGTGCCAGGAATGAGGGACAAACGTACCCAGGTACTGGGACATGGCGTTGGATTCCAGGGCAAAGGGGTCGAACTTGTCGGCGTAAATGGCAAACTTCTCCTTGATGCCGGCCAGGGAGTCGAAGTCGACGAAGAACAGAACCTAGATCGGGGGACGGTCAGAGAGGACCCAGAAGCGGGCAGGGGAGCTAGCAGCATACCGTTCCGTAGGCGGCGCGGAAGGCGTTCAGCTTGGGCTTGGTCTGGGTCTCAAAGGTCTCCTTGGGGAGGGTGCCAGCGGCGACGAGGCCCTCCATGGCGCTGATGGCCAGGTCCCAGACCTTGTGGTGCTCCTCCTTCAGCAACAGGACGACGCGGGAGGTCTGGGTGTTGAAGGAGCTGGGCACGTGCAGGACGGCGTTGGCGACGATGTGCTCAATGGCATCGTCGGTGATGGGACTCTCGCCCTTGAGGCCGTAGTAGGTGCGGCGGGCCTTGACCAGCTCCAGGAGGGAGGTGGTGGCGGGGTTTTTGAATTCCGGCTGTGTCGAACCCATGGTGAAAGAGGTGCAGAAGAGGTGCTGAAGAGGTCAGGAGGAATGGATAGGAGAACAATGGAGCAACGGTTGGGGCCGACGTGGTGGGTTATATATATACTAGGGCGAGGGGTCGTGGAGAGCCCCGCTAGCGGAGGGGTTGATGGATGATGGATTATGGATCCTCATGGCTAAGGATGGACGATTCTCCCATCTGTGGCGTGATTGCATAGGTCGGCCAATCAGCGCGACGAGCCGCCTCGGCAGAAGAAGCCAGGGACAATTTCTAAGCGGGAGGGGCCCCATTATTAAGCTCTTAGCAAGCGCGGAATTACAGAGCCATGAGAGAAGATGATTGGTAACAGCCGACGCAGCCGAGTACATACTACCTAGAAGTGCTCTGACCTATCTTCTCCCCGTCGCTATGGCTATGGTAGTAATTACGGTGTACATACTATAGTAGTTGACTTCGCTTGTGGGCATCAAGATCCCTACGTTCGGGGTCGGAGATAAGGCCCGTACGGTCTTGCCCGAGGCGGAATTATCCGGCCAGCACCATTGCTGCCCCAGGCACGAATACTCGGCAATGGCCCGCCGTCCGCCAACCGAGATGGCATCCTTCTTCTCCCCAGCCCATCCAGCCCATCCAGGGGGCATCCACAATCTGGGCCCAGGACATCGAACCGCGCTCCGGCAGATGATCCTGAACGTCTTGGCCACCCCGCTGGCCGACAACACCTTGGCACAGATTGCGGACGGGCTCCCCACCCGCCAGGTCTCCGAGCGGGATCGGCGCTTCTACGAGCCGGACATCAATGAGCACCTCCAAGTGAGCCCCCATGCCCGAGAGCAAGTTCGGGCCTGGCGGGCCACATTCGACCCCGATCTAGTTCCAGTTGACTCCACTGTGCGCTTGCTAACCCCCCGCCCCCCCCCTTTAATTTACTCTCTATGACAGGCAGCTTCGCAATCAAGATCTAACTGGGAAGGTTTCCCTCACAGGTGGTGCAAGCCTATCAAACCAGCGTCTTCGGCACTCGGCCCTTTCGTCTGCGTCTCATCGAGATCACGGCACTGGTCGTGCACACCGTGGCCGCGCACTGGTTCCGCCTCACTAATCAGCCTCCCTACAAGTGCCCTCCTCCGCTACAACACCTGGGGCCCATCCAGCAGGAGATGAAGGCGGCCGGAGATCGGACCTTCGACCCGATTCCGACGCACCTGTATCACACGCACTTTGTCGATCACGATCAATACCCCATGGGGGTGGCTGATGTGGTCGGCTATTGGGCCGAGTACCAGATCTTTGGGGGGGTCGTTCTCTTTGACCGCGGAGAGTCCGAGTTGGAGGTGAGTCCTTCGGCCCGCATCCCAGTACTGCCTCTCACCTCGGCCGACGTAGATGCGGGAAGTTTTCTTCCATCCGGATGCGCATTTCATGGTCTTCCAGCTATCCGAGGCGCAGATCGACCAGTTTGTTGCGTTCGGCCTGCCCCATCGCCCGTCCGAAACATGTCCCTTCCCCATGAAGGCGGAGCGAGATGCCCTGCGGATGGATGCGAATGACACCTTTGACCGACACATCTTTCGCAACCGGTATGAGCGCCGACGACCGGTGGTGATCCCGTGGATCACCCGTCCTCCCCGCCGCCGGGCGGAGGACTACCCCCAGCTCCTGGAGTATTTGGCCGAGATAAACAAGCCGGGATCAGACCATCCGTGATGCGGTTCACGCGGGCATGGTGGGCTCGCTTTTCGCAATCATCGTGACTATCGTAGCCGATCCGCCCCGTGGCTGTATCAGCCCGCCGGGGATCATGCCTGCCGCTTTCCGGTATCGACCCCTTCCCTCGGTACCGGGGCTCGTACCGCCTGAGACTGGTCGCCCATGCAGACCAGGGCTTAGCCAAGGGAATCACATATGTCAGGGTAGCCGGATGGCTAGTTTACAAAAGGAATGCCGGGGGATGCCGGGTGTGACCCCTGACCACAAACACATGCGCAATAGACACTGTTCTATTTGTTTATAACCAGCCCATTCTAAATTAAGGAACGTGAGGTTGAAGAAAGACAGTCCTACGGAAAAGAGAGATCTAGGGAAAGACCGAAGGAAACACAGGCGCATATACAGATGACTGACGAAGAAGAAAACAGAAGAGCATAAGGAAGAAAAGATTAAGAAAAAGAAGAAAAAAAAGAAAGGAAAAGCCTAATCCACTATACTGCCTGCAGTCTCCAGTCGCCTCCCGCGAGGTACTACCAGACGGGGAGGATGCCGTCGGCCACCGAGTGCTCGAGACAAGCCAAGGGCACCCGCGGCTCTGGCATCTCATCCCCTTCTCGGTGGTATACTTCCCAGGTCATGGTGAGGTCCCATTCATCCCTGATGCACCAGCAAACTCGCACTGTGCGCTGGTGCAGTTGGCTATTATCGGGAAATCGATGCTTTGTTTGGGCATTGTGTATGGACCTTTCTGCTGAGATATAACTCAGCAGCACATCTGTGAAGAAGATGTAAGTCGCAACGTCAAAGGGAGAGAGAGAGGGAGAGAGAGAGGGAGAGAGAGAGGGAGAGAGAGAGGGAGAGAGAGAGGGAGAGAGTCTCAGAGAGAAACTAACCTCGATTAGGGTTTGTTGGATCACCGCGCCGACAAGTAGCGATGTGAGGCCCCTGCTGGTTTGGCCGGAACCCCAGCACCGTGTCGAAGGAGCCCGAGAGAACACTGGAGTTGAAGGGGGGCAGACGACCCTTGGGGAGCAAGGCAAGTTAGCAAGTCCAGCGGACAGCTGTGGGGACAATCGAGATGACTCACTGGCGAGATGGCGATATGGAGCTGATGCGTCTCCTGGGGTCCCTGTGCGGCGGCCCAGTCGACTCGGGGAAGGGCGATGGTGTAGGTTCGGTGGCTCTGGAAATACCGCGGCCGGCCATGGTTCCGGCCCTGCAGCGCCGCCCCGGCAGAGACGGCTCCGATGCTAGTAGAGGGGATGAGCTGAGTTTGATCGAGTAGGGGAAAGAACAAATGACCTACGCATTCGGAAACGGGGGCAGCAAAGTCGGCAGCTGGTTTCCAAGGACGCGTCGAAGAGCGTCGAGGACTTGGTCCCGGAAGTACTGGGACGTAGCCACGCCGCCTAGGAGGATCAATTTCGTGATCCTTGTTCCCGCCTGGCTGATCTGATCCAGGATTTGGCCCACAACGTTCTCTACCACGACCTTGAATGCATTGCGGCACGCAGTCTTGGTGAATCGGTACGCCCGTGACATTCCAGGCCAGCCCTCCCTCGGCTGGGACGGGATCGGCACCGGCCCATCACCCGTGAAATGTTCTTTGGCCATGCGGACGGCCAGGCGGGCATCGGCGGCCTCGGCGGCATTGGCCGGGGGGTTGGTCCGGAGGGTGAGGTTGCGCAGGAGGGACAGATCAATGTCTGCCCCACCGCATCTCTCACTGGCCCGTTTCGCCTGGCCTTGGAGGTCAAACTGGTCGTTGGCGTCCATGACCAGGGTTGCCAGGTCTGTCGTGGCGCCGCCGCAGTCGCAGACCACCACTGCGTCCCCGGCTTGGATGAGGCCCCCGCCTCGGACAGAGAAAACACTCGGTGGCCCTCCCGTGCAAAGCCGGCCCGCTCTACCGCTGCGCGGAAGATGCCCTTGCCTTTCATCGACCAGCAGTTCGGCACGGCAACCCACCAGTCGACCTGAGGCTGAAGATCGTGCGCCTTCAGGTCGGCCACCACCCCGGCCCGCAAGGCGCCCAGGTAGTCCCCAATCACCGTCGTCAGGGACCGGTCGCCCAGGTCGTTGAAACGACCTCTCAGGATGTCCTGGAGGTTGCTGCCAGCCACATCGACGTCGGGGGACCCGTCCACCAACAACTTGGCCCACACAAGAGGGTTCGGCCGCTTCGTGGCTGGCTGGCCCCAAACTAGCCGACCCTCCTCGTCGTAGTCCATCACCGATGGAATGATCCAGCTTCCTCGGTTGGGCCGCCACCAGGTGGGATCCTGAGTTGATGTGGTGTGGGTATATGACACCACTGAGGACCACGTCCAAGTTAGCTCCAGGATCCAAGGAGATCGGGGACTGGGGGCAAGGGGAACGATTTCTGGCTTGCCTGATTTGGTGGTGCCAAAATCGACTCCAACGATGAAGCGGTTGTGGGCCATTGGTAATCCAGAAGCTCGACCAGCGAAACCAATGTTACTAAGAGAAGATGCACGTGAGAGAGAGGATGGCAACGACGGCTGTAAGCAAGATCAATCAGCGAAGCTATCAGGAAAGGGAGGGAAGCAAGATGCTGCCTGTCCTTTTATGCTGTGGCCCATGATGACTACTATCCAAATCAAATAAGAAACGGGACGATGCCCAGGCCCGGCCATCAGCCATGTCTCTCTCTGTGCCACCCGCTCGGACAAACTGAGTTTCCCGATGGCGAGCCGATGGATAGCCCGCAACAAAGAAGGTTTTGTCCAAATGAAACCCTCCAGCCCCAAAGCCTAAAATCGGGACGCGTGACGGATCCCGGACAAAGAGGGGGGAGCAGGAAAAGACCCCCAACTCCCCTGCCTGCCGCGTTTCTTCATGATTTTGTATCCTCGATACTCACCTGCCTCTCTCTCTCTCTCTCTCTCTCTCTCTTTTTTTTTGCCTTTTCACACTTCGCAAATCGTTTGCCCATCACCATGAACGTGACTACGCAACCCCACGAGGGCACGCCTGTTGAGGACGACATGGAGGGACCTTCTCAGCTGCACCCTCGTAAAAGCACTGAGACATGCTCTTCCAAGCATTCTTGCGACATCATAGAACCATCATCTCCCAAGCGTCCCTGTACTCACATGGAATCCTCTACCCCACCAGGTGGAGACGACGCGGAGGGATCATCTTCCCAGGACCCTTCTGACAGCGTGGCAACCCTGTCTTCCCCATCAGCCGGAAGTGATGCAGAGCATGTCCGTTGCCAGGACCCTCATGACGGCGTGGAAGCACCCTCTACCCCACCAAGTGGAGACAATGAGGGCGTCCCGTCCAAGGACCCCGATGACAGCGTGAAAACACACCCTAGCCAACCCGCTGGAAGTGACGCGGAGGGAGTCCCTAGCATAGAAGCACCCTCTGCCAAACCCGTCGATGCCGCCATGCAGGAGTCCTCGACTGAGGACGCCCTCTACCCCAACCAAGCTTTTCTGTGTCAACGCCAGGAATATCAGGCCATGATGCAGTATCACTACACCCGCTACAACACGCACAGTCCCGGTCTCGTGTCGAGGGATTCGGTCCGTCATCAACTCTTCCACTTGTGGATGAGAGTGCACATTTGGGTGGAGCTCTGGGTTGCCCCTGACGCGGCGTCTCGCCTATCCGCCGACGACAAACGGGAGATAATCGCCAGCTTGAACGGATTCTGCGTTCAGGAAGGTTGGGACAGCATCCATCGCCGCCTCCCACCCACCGCGCGCATTGAGATGGCCAAGGTGGTAGCTGAGACCATGATCAACCAGTTTATCTGCACCAAGTTCTTAGACAATTCCTTCTGGTTCATGGACGCGAAGCTCCACGCTACCGACCGGAATGGGGACGCCCACTTCCCCCAAAGATTCCAGTACCTCTACGAGAGGCTCAAAGCGGGTGAGTCAATGCCTCTCCTTCCCCGAGCAGATCCATTCAGTCGCTGACCGTAGCCCCCTCCCCCTCTGGTAGTCGAGCCCATGGACGCCGCCTGGTTGAAAACGCTCACGGTTCAGAAATGCAACGAGCTCAGCTTCTTTGGCTCGCCGCCCCCGCCCACTCAGCTCGCCCGGCACACTGCCGCGCACCGCACGGCTCTGCTCCGGTCCTACGGGAACGAACTGCTGGAGCGTCGCGTCTTCCAGCTGCTGCTCAAGGATGAGCCGAGAAAGGCCCAGCGGACCCAGCGCGATCAAGCGCTCCGCAGCCTCCTGGAACACGCGGCCCAGGAGATGATCGAGGCCGATGGCGGCCTCTACGCCAATCTCGTGGTCGAGCGGCTGTCCGACTTGCCCCGGACCTTCCAGCACGGCTCAGACCGGACGAGACTCCATGGGTTTCACCTGGGAGCCATGCCCGGGGATGGCGGTCGAATTCTGATGGTGACGCGTCCGGGTATCGTCTTCACCGACATGCAATCTCTCTCTCACTGGAATCAGCTCCCTCCCTGGCGGGCCAATGCTGCCGAGGTCCTGGTGGCCGCGAAGGGCAAAAAGGCCCAGGCGGAGTGGCTAGCCATCACCACCACCACCACCAACACCGCCAGCCATGCGGAAGACGATGAGGAAGACGCTGAGGAAGACGAGGAAGACGACGTGGAAGACGCTGAGGACGGTGATCCGGTCCAGGAGGAAACCTACGAGTCAGGAACTTCACCAGAGTGAATTAGTGTAGGGAGATGAAGATGGTTGTGCTAGCGGGAGGCTTTGTTTGATTTCATTCTGGAGTCATCCTCAATATTTTCTCCTCCTACTGCCGTACTTCCGCAACTTCCCCGTAGTCGGACCGTCCTGATGAATCGTAACCAAGACTACGAGGGAGACTTTAGTCCTATGGTAGAACTGAACGATGGCGATCGAACGCGCCGGGTCATCAGAGACCGTCATCACTATCTGTTCTGTTAGGGTATCCATGTTCCTCTAGTCATCTTACGGGGTCTTCTTCAGTTCCTCAGTTTGCTTCGTTTCTTGCATGCATTCTAGTCACCTACCCCCTCCCAATCCATCCATTCATCCAATCATCCCGATGATATAGGAACTAGTAGCCGTCTTGCTTCCCCGGGCTTCGCAGTCTTCCCCCCTCCCCCTTTTTCCCTCCGAGAGTTAAACCGCTCACCGGACTTCGCCGTGACTCTACCCTGTTTACAGTTGACAAGTAATGCGCGTTGTGAGCCACTGAGCTCAGAGTTCTAGTCTTTGCCGGGAAGTGGTATACTACCCCCTGGTGGAATTTGGGATTCAACTGGGAGGGATCAAGGGACTTGCCAGTGACAGCCCGCGCGGCCCTAGTGGAAAGTCAATTGCACATTTGTGTAGGAGATTGGCATGAGGAGGCGCTGGCCGGGCTGCGATGGGTGGCATGCCGCCTCACGGGAGGAAGAATAAGCTCGGATGACAGTTGGGCTGGTCATCTGTCTCATCTGGCTCTTTCGCGCTGGGCTGGGATTGATCATAACTGGATGTATCCACCCGGCTGCTGGGCCGGGGGTCTGGCCTACGGGGTCGGAGGGTTTCGTTGGGGATGCACCGAGTGCTTGGTGGAGATCATCCCCCGGCTCTGGAAAGGTCGCTGACGATTCATCGACAGGATGGCCCCTGAGGGAAGGGTTAGATGGATGGGTTTCACTGGCTCGGGGGATGAGGCGGCCGTTCCGACAAGGTTTGGCTGATACGGGGGCACTCGTGCTATTGACCCCGGGCGGTTGTGATGCATCACCTTTCCATTCTGGATGACGCGAGGCGGTGGTCTGTCCATTCTTAGGGTTGGGCAGATCGTTGAGGTCAATAAGACGGGGAGGCATCGTTGCTATTGTTGTTCCCGGTGGCTATTGTCGTTATTGAGCTCGCCTCGCTGACTCCTTGTGGTGTGTTGCTGTCCCCTTCTTTGCTGTTTCTTTTTGACCGTCTGGTTTATTTTCTTTCCTTTGCCCCTTTGAGACACCTGTCGGTCTGGCACACGCATTGCTTTGGTAGTGGTGGTAGTAGTGGTGGTGGAGGAGGAGGAGGTGGTGGTGGTGGTGGTGATGGTTTTGCATAGGGTAGGCTGAGGTAGTGAAGCCACGCACCCTCCCATCCATCAGGCTGACTGCTGCGAGGGACGTGCTCGTCGGCATGATAACAAGCAAGACGATCTGTTGATGGCGTCCTGCTCCAGGGATGCCGATGCGCTTGATTTCGTCTGGTCTTGCTGCCCGGATGACAGTGGTCAGCATCAACCAATCCCTAACGATCCCTTCCTTACATAACTCTGGTCGTACTAATCATTCCGATTCTTCTTTCTCTTCTCTCTGCCGGTCGGATACTCTGGTGGTCGTATCCCGTCAGCTGTATCGCGACCCTCCGCTGAGAGAGACCGTCTCCCCTAGTCCCCTGGCTGCGGCGCAGCGACTGACAGTGGCATCGACGAGACCCTCAATCGTGTCCAGCAAATCCGAGCCGACCGTGCATCACCCAGACGTCAATGCTCGCAATCGTGGGCCCCGACCACGGTCTTCAACGCGCCCGGTGCATCGACCCTCGCAGCCTCGACGACCCTAACCGACGCGTGGGTCCGCCATCGCCATCGCCATCTCCACAGCATGTCGAACTGCTAAGGGCATACAGCGAGTCGATGGCGACCAGGGAGAAAATCCCCGGCGAAGAACACGGGCTGGGACATGTTCCGATGGCGGCTCCGACCCCGGGCCCACGCGAGCAGGGGCCATCATGCGAGGCCAACGGTGGTGGTGGTGATCCTGCAGCCGCTGCAGCCGGGCTGATTGGGGCTGCATGACGAGCTCCCACGCGATTTTCCGTCAATCGGTAACCGGCCTGGCTGGACGATAACATCATCCGCGCGCCGATGATGCGAGCTCGCGCCCTTATCGCCGCGAGATAGGGCTACATAAGAACCGGCCCTGGGCCGGGAACCCTCCTCCCTGGCATCAGTCTATTTCCCCCTCCCCAAGCCTCTGTCCTCCTGCAGCATGTCAAATCCTCCGGACAAGAAGAAAGAGACGGTCGAGGTCAGGGCGGTGCCTACCACCACCGCCTCCTCGACCAATCCTCCCCCGGACGATCTGGCGGACCCGGCCGAGGCCCCGACCTCGCGCAGCATGTTCGCCGCGTTCGCCGCCTCCACCAAGAAGGTGGATCTGGATGCCATTGCCACGACGCGGAGTGTGTTCGACGATGCCAACCTGGCGCCCTACTACTGGCCGCATCCCCAGTACGAGAACCTGCACCGCTTCGACCCGGCGGCGCGGTGGACGCACCGGGAGGAGCGCGCCGTGCGGCGCAAGACGGACATCAAGATCTTTCTCTGGATCCTGGTCATGTTCTTCGGCCTCAACCTGGACCGGGGCAACCTGGGCAACGCGTCGGCGGATAACCTGCTGCCGGACCTCGGCATCAACACCAACGACTACAACAACGCCCAGAACATGTATCGCATCGGCTTCCTCATCTCCGAGATCCCCTCGCAGATGATCGGCAAACGGTTGGGCCCGGACCGCTGGATCCCCGTCCAGATCATCCTCTGGAGTCTGGCCTCGGGCGGCCAGTTCTTCATGACCAACCGCGCCGGCTTCTTCGCCTGTCGCTTCTTCATCGGCCTCTTCATGGGCGGCTTCATCCCCGACGCCATCCTCTACCTCTCCTACTTTTACACCAAGTCCGAGATGCCCCTGCGCCTGGCCTTCTTCTGGTTCGTCGACTCCCTCTCCGGCGTCATCGCCTCCTTCATCGCCTATGGCGTGCTGCACATGCGCGGCGTCCAGGGCCGCGCCGGCTGGCGCTGGCTGTTCCTCATCGAGGCCCTCATCAGCATCGTCATCGGGCTCGGCAGCTTTCTCTTCCTCGTGCCCGGGCCAACTCAGACGGCCACCTGGTGGAATCCCCGCGGCTACTTCACCGAGCGCGAGGAGACCATCATCGTCACCCGCGTGCTGCGCGACGACCCCTCCAAGGGCGACATGCACAACCGGCAGGCCCTGAGCCTGGGCATGCTGTGGCAGAGTCTGCGCGACTATGATCTCTGGCCCATCTACGTCATCGGCATGCTGTTCGAGATCCCCACCTCGCCGCCGAAATCGTATCTCAGCCTGTCCCTCCGCGCCATCGGCTTCTCCACCTTCCAGACCACCCTGCTGGGCATCCCCGTCACCGTCTTCGCCGCCATCAACCTGCTGCTGGTCACCGAGCTCTCCGAGCGCCTGCGCCAGATCTGCGCCGTGGGCATCCTCACGCAGCTGTGGTCGCTGCCCCTGCTCATCGTCCTCTTCCGGCACGCCAGCACCCTCTCCCACTGGGGCCTGTACGCCGTCACCTTCGTCCTGCTGGGCTGGCCCTCCCCCCACGCCGCGCACGTGGGCTGGTGCTCGCGTCTGAGCAACGCCGTGCGCACGCGCGCCGTCAGTGCTGCCATGTACAACATCACCATCCAGCTGTCCGGCATCGCCTCGTCCAACATCTACCGCAGTGACGACAAGCCCTACTACCACCGCGGCGACGGGCAGCTCATTGCCATCAACGTGGCCACCATCGTGGCCTACGTGCTGGCCAAGGCGTACTATGTGGCCCGGAACCGCTGGAAGCGCAACCGGTGGGAGGCGATGTCGGCCGAGGAGAAGGTGGAGTATCTGGCCACCACCACCGATCAGGGGAACAAGCGTCTGGATTTCCTGTTTGATAGTTAGCGGACCCCATTCCCGGTAGAACGTGCACCACTCCCGGCCCACGACAGGGTTGCTTAGATAGACCGACAGATTTAAAATTCATCTCCGTGCCCCTCCACCGTTCATCCTTCGTAGCAATCCCGCCCATGACTAGCCCGTCTCGGGGATCCTGCGCCGATGACGACGCATGGCGAGCTTCCCTCCCCCGACGACGTGCTGGATGCAGTAGAGATAAGGCACACCGGCCAGTCCCACGAGACCCTGAGGGCCCCGCCTGTCAGGGACGGAGCTCCACCCCGGTGCTAGGAGCAGGTCCGCGATGAGGTGCACCGCCCGGAGGCCCGACGGGATCATCTCAGACAGGGCTCGGATGGCGTCATGCCGATTAGTCCACCAACCCCACGGACGCAACGGCGCCTGGCCGCGGAATCCCGGTCGATGCTGATCGGCTGCCGATGGGCTGATCGGTCGGCTAGATGGCATCATAGCATCCTGGTCGCATCGCGGGGCTTCTTGAGCTGACCCCTCTGCTCTTTTCGTTGTCGCCCACGCGCAGCCGTAGCCTGCTTTGCTCTTGAGTCGATCGTCTCGTCCCGTCCCATCCTCCTCATCGCATCACCATGCCCTCTCTTCAGAAGCCTCTGCAGTTGCCCGAGCGTCCTCAGGGCCTGCCGCACCCGGAGTATGTCACGCCCCGCGGGGTCTCGCCGCTCGTGTCCGTCCGGGAGGCAGGCCTGCAATACCCCAACTACACGCCATTCACGCTGCCCAACTTGGAGGAGCAGCCCTTCGTGGATCGCGGGTTGAGCGCCGACCCGGGCAAGAGTCGTCTGCTCAGTGCCGCCCAGGACGTGATCCATCTGACGCCCGAAATCGGCACCGAGATTGTCGGCCTGCAGCTGACGGAGCTGACGGACGAGCAGAAAGATGATCTCGCCCGGCTGGTGGCCGAGCGTGGCGTGGTGTTCTTCCGGGATCAGACCATGGATGTGCATGAGCAGATCGCTTTTGGGGCGTACTACGGCCCCTTGCACATCCACCAGATGGCGGGCATCATCCCCGATCTGCCGTGGGTGCACCCCATCTACAAGGATGAGACGGCCGTCAACGGGCGCTCCCACCAGATCTGGCATTCGGATGTCAGCTATGAGATTCAGCCTCCGGGTCTGACGATGCTGAAGATGGACACGCTCCCCAACGCCGGGCCGGATGGCAGTGTGACCGGCGGGGATACCATCTGGGCCAGTGGCTATGGTCTGTATGAGTGTAGGTGCTCTTATGCTCCGGTTCCTATTACCGTACTGACGAGGCAGCTCTCTCGCCCAAACTCCGAACCTTCCTGGAGACGCTGGAGGCCCGACACAGTGGCCTGGAGCAGGCGGAAAAGGCCCGGCGTACCAACGGATGTCTGCGCCGCGATCCCATTGAAACCCTGGTAAGTGCGCCCCTGCCCGGGTTCCTGATGCCCTTCGGACTCAGTAGGTGGCTGACGAACCGGACGCTGGATAGCACCCGGTGGTTCGCACGCACCCCGTGACCGGATGGAAAACGCTGTATGTAAATGAAAACTTCACCAAGGAGATTGTCGGACTGGAAAAACGGTTGGGGGATAGCATTCTGGACCACCTGTACCGCACGGTGGCCGAGGGATATGAGTTCCAGGTGCGCTGGAAGTGGTCCCCGAATGCCGTTGCCATCTGGGACAACCGGGCCACGTTTCACACGGGCATTTTTGACTATTGTAAGTGCCTGTTGGGCCCTGGCTTCCCTTGAACCCCCTGACTGACCACGTCTAGTCCCGCATCTGCGCCACGGGTTGCGCGTGGCTCCCCAGGCCGAGAGACCGTACTTGGATCCCCAGTCGACGACCCGGCGGGAGGCTGCCGGCAAGTGAGAGTAATTAGCAAGAATAAAGTACTCCGTATTCGCGCATTGACGAGAGGTGTCGAGTAGGGGATACCCGGGGGTGTCCAGTGTAGTCTCCGCGGTCCATAACCGTAGCGTATGTTCTTCTCCGTTCCTTCATCCTTCATCCCAGAACCTTCCCTGTAGCCCCGATTCCGGAGCCCCAAGCAATCCCCTGCACCGGTAGTCGCGTTCCTTCCTTAGTAGTGGCAATATCAATCGAATCCTCCGGCGTGCTCTGACGGCACTAATGCACCTGCAGCCCCATTCATTTTCTTCACGCCATCACGTCAACGGTTCTCATCCCGCCGTGATATGGCGACTTGCAGCCGTTGGTGGAAGATACCCTCCTGGATCGGCGGGCCCTGGCCCTGGCCGCATCGCATAAAGACGCGCTGCCGACCACCCCCTGCCACTACACCTTCAGACCTCTCGAGGATCAGGACCCCGCAGTGAGACCCTGTTCCCCTGCTCGCGATGATGCTCTCTTCCCTTCTGCTGCTGCTCTGGTCCAGCGTCGCAGCCGGCCAGCTGATCGGCCCGGTTGGACCAACCACCCCGCTCGCCGAGAAGACGATCGAATGTAGCGTGCTGGACTATGGTGCCGTGGCCGACAACAGCACCGATCTTGCCCCAGCCCTCGAGTCGGCCTTTTCGGACTGCGTGCTGCCCAACCCGGGCAGTCGTCTCATCGTTCCCGCCGGCGACTACCTGATCCACCGCGGCGTGGTGCTCAGCAATGCCACCAATTGGGCCTTCCAGCTGGACGGGCTCATCACGGCCGCATACGGTGGGAATTGGACCATCGAGCGTGGGTTGATCCTCCAGGGGTTCGCGGGCGCGGACCTCCTGAATGCCACCATTAACGGCGAAGGTGACCATAAATTCTTGCTAGATGTCTTGGTGATTGTCAACGGTGAGTGTCGGCCTTTTTCCGCCTGTGGGTGGGGTGTGGATCTGACTGAGCCTGTTGTGTCGCAGCGGTGGACTTTGAGTTCTACTCCTCCAACGGCCTGGGTGCCTTCCAAGGCCAGGGATACCTGTACCGCAACCTCAACAAGTGAGTAACGCCCCCATGTCGGCTGCCAGGGCATCCCTAACCGGACATAGTACCGACCGTCCGCGCCTCGTCCGACTCGTTTCCTCCACGAATGCGACCGTCCACGACTTGATTCTCGTGGACAGCCCCAAGTTCCACCTCGTGTTGGACTTTGCCGTCAACGTCGAGGTCTACCACATCACCGTCCGCGGGGCCAACCTGGGCAGCTATGATGGCATCGATGCCATCGGCACCAATTACTATATCCACGACAATGAAGTGAGTCGTGCGTCCCCTCGTCGCGAACCGCATTGACCGGGTCCCCCGTAGGTGACCAACCGGGACGAATGCGTCTCCGTGAAAAGTCCCTCTCACCACGCCTTGATTGAGAACCTGGTGTGCAACCAGGCTGGGTCAGGCGTGTCCATCGGCAGTCTGAATGTGTCCGCCGAGATCTCCGACATTGTACGTCCCCGTCCCCATCTCGGCGGCCCGCCACTAACCGGCTCAGGTGGCCCAAAACATCAGCATCATCCAGGGCAACAATATTGCCTTCATCAAGACGTACCCCGGCGGATCCGGCTACGTGCGCAACGTGCAGTTCCTCAATTTCCGATCCAAGGCGAGCCTCTACGGCCTTGACATCGATCAGTACTGGCAGAACACGTTCGAGCCCGACACCGGCGCGGTGGCCCTCAGCAATCTGACCTTCCGGAATTTCTCCGGTACCTTCCCTTTCCCGGTGACTCTTTCAGACGCTCTTCACTAACGCGGTGGGTGCTCATAGGATCCGTGGCCAACGGGGCCCGTCGGCCTCCGTTGTACCTGATCGCGAATGACCTCTCCTATGCGACCGACGTCACCATTGAGGACTTCACGCTGTGGACCGAGTCCGGCGACTACGTCGTCAACAAGGTCAACAATATCTTCGGCACGGGGGATGACTCGTACGGCACCAACGACGGCATTGCCTCGCTGGCCCCCGGAGCGACCCCGACCACGTACACCAGCACCTACACCATCACGGCGTCGCCCACGGGATGGGTCGCCCCGACCTCTCCGGCGTGGGCCGCCCCCAGCACCGGATACGGCAGTGAGTTCTTTCGATGATTTTCGTTTCGGATGTGGTTCGGTGCTAACCCTGGATGCGCTTGCTAGCTGCCTCGCCGATCCCGGTGTACACGCCCGCGGCGCTGTGGCGGCCCGGCGGAGTCGATTATGACCTGCATTATTGGGGCAGCTTTTAGCGGGGGGACGATGTTGCCCTTGCGTCTGGGGCAGAGAAGGCATGTGGTTGGCATGATTGGACTGGCCACTTCTGGCAGCCCCCCGTTCCAGAGAACGTCCGTCTCTGGCTCCCTGCTGAAGCAATTCTGCGAATGCGGCAGAGTCAGTATCTCTAGTCTTGACAGATGTGTTATTAAATGCGACCCTCTCTTCGGTAGCCAGTGCTCCTGTACTTAGCAAGATCGTGCAGTGGTCTGGCATGGACCCAAGCGACCATAATTGACCGTAAAAACAGCGACCATCTTCAACTTCGCTACTGATCCATCTCCAGCCGTAGTCTCCATGTTTGATTTGTGGGCCAGTAAACATATGAACAGGGGCGAAGCGGTCGACTGGAGTTACCACGTAGGTAAGGTAGGGCAGAGTAGGGTAGATAGGGGCTGGGAGAGTAGGGAGGGGGGCTGGGGGTGCGTGTACCCCGTCGACCTCTCGTCGGGCTGGCCGATGGTCACGTAGACACCCCTCCTGGCGGCCGAGTGGTGGCTTGGACCCGGAGACCTTAGCCAGTGTTGCCCCGGATCCGAACCGGACGAGAATCCGGGGATTGGGCAGCTGCGCATGCACATTGGGGGCACACTGGGCGGGCGCCGAGGGACAGACAGTGACACCTGGGGTACATGGGCGGACCCGGAAAGCGTCACGTGATCACGGGGTGGCGTAATGGTTTTCCCGGGCAGGAGAGGATCTCCAGTTGACCGGGATAAATCGATGGGGAATGCTGCCAGATGATGTATGCTGGTCTCGTGGCGCTGCCTCGCGGACGACGTAAGGGACGGGAGTTGGAGGTGGGACCCTCCGAGGGGAGGGGGCCGCGGGGGTTGCAGGCCCAGGAGGAACATGCAGAAGGGCGAGATGACCCGTCCATTAGACTGGACCCTAGCCATTTTCCATCCGTAGGTGGGCGTCCAGAATGGCGGTTGGAAAAGTACTACTATCGGCTGGATCCCGCCGAAGCCAGTGGCCCATCACCAACCAAGGCAGGGGCAACTTCCATGACAGTCTGATCGCTTCTCGGGGCAAGCAAGATGCGACGTTGGGATGTCACATGCTCATCATATATTCCTGGATCAATGCCCTGGGGAGGTTCACCCGGCGTGTACTCTGAGCTTGTGGGTTAGGCCTCCGTGCGAGTGACTAATGGGAAGATTTACAGCGTGAAAGGTTCTAAGTTGACGCCGACCGGCAGGGGTGTACTAGACACACGAAGCACTGGTGATCTGACTTTACGACGCAGAAGACTGCATCATCCATACACGCTTGGTGGCGAGAGAGGAACTGCTGGTTCCTTGGTCGGTCTGCGGGAGCAGACGCGGCTTTCCTCGCATCGATAGACTCGAATCGAATCGAACAGCTGGCAGAAAGCCCTGGGTCAGATAGGAAGCGAGACCCATCTGAGATAGCTTTATCCGATAGCTGATACTGACGAGGGCATTCACGTAACCGACTGCAACCGATACCCGCCAGTCGCGTCCCCACGGAGCAATCCGGTCACGGAAGTTGGTCCACCGTGATGTCTCGGCAGTCAGCACCAACAAGATGCCAGTCCCTCTCTAGACTGATACTAGGTCGATAGGGCGGAAGCTGTACGTGGGAGACGCCCAGCCGCGGTTATCCGAGGGCGAGGCTCGGCATGGAGGCGCGTTCTCAGGACCAATGGGCCAGTGGGTCGCCTGCAACGACATGCACGACGAGCAGGGACAGGCAGGCTATGCTGCAGCCTCGCGGATGCGGTCGCCACCTTGATGAAACGGGTGGGCAAGGTTGTCGCTTTGGGTGCCTGTACCCCAGGCTTGAGGCGGGGGCCAACACCGTATACGATGGACTGCCCAGCACAGGGTAGCTGAGCCGATCGGGGAAATGCAGGGAGACGAACCTGGTTCCAGCGATGATCGCGCAGTATTACCAAGCACGCGCGAGAAGGGAGAGATACCGACTTCGATACAGAGTATACAGTAATCCGGATGTATCTATGTCGTATGGAGGGAGGAGGAGGAGGAGGAGAGGAGAGTGAGAGGAGATGGCGACTCGAGATCCACCGGCAGCGTCACCGGAGCCGGGCCGGGTCCTTCCCGGTGGTGGCTGATTCGGTGCTGGGATTCCCCAGAAGTGAGCCCCGGCGAAGGGAGATTCATTATTCCCCCCAGGCCTTTTCCCCTCCCCGTGTTGCTCCCCAGCTCCTGGCCGGAAATCAGCGATGGAGGATCCATCATGGTCTTTCTCTTCTAGCTTCCCCGATGATGCATGGCTAGGAGGCGGAAAGAGGCCAATTCGGGGCCACGGGCGAAGGATGACCCGGCTGAGTGCGCGCTTGAGGAAGCCAAGCAGGAATAAACTCGTTCTAGAAGGTTAGCAGGGGAGGCTAATAGCCTAAGACACCGTAGGGTCCGGCTCACCGGCCAGGAACCGGAATCCTTATCTGTTATCTATCGACTATCGCGATTCCAGACCAGGAGCAGCAGGCCTTCCCCGGAATCCTACCCTGGCCCTAACCCTAAGTGTCCACGTGGGAGATGGCAACCCATGGCCTTGGAGATTGAGAGATGGGATCCCCAATTGAGTGCTACGGTGAACCGTGAACTTGGACTGCGTATTCATTAGGCAATGGAAACTGACGGGTGAGTCAAAGGAGTGACAAACCGAAAGGCCGCCTGTCTGCCTGACTCAGCATCCCCGCTGCAAGCGTTTGTGTTGCCTGTTTCGGCTAGAGGATTGCCGTCTTCGGCTAGCCTTACAGGTGCCCCACTCGTTTCATTTCTTCGCGGGCTTTTTTTTTTCAATACCAACTTACAGACAGTTGAGTATCACTGACACAGTTGGATCACACCGTAGCCCTGGAAGGACAGGCGTCAGGCCAACAGGCAGCGACAAGCACCTTTCAGCCAGGCGGTGCCTCGGTTCCGAACCGACAGCTTATCATCCTCCCCCCTTCACCGTTTACCCAATCCTATTAGCCATCCCGATGCAGCATAGTAGTAGTAACCGGCTCCCATGCAAGGGACGGCCTCTCCTCCTCCTCCTCCACGATGGCAAAATTCCCGGCAAGTCCCCTGGGTGGCTCAAACTCTATCCTAGGCCAGAAAGACGGCGTCCCCGGCAGCACTATGCCATCATCTACCCCAGGACTAGTACCAGATAGGCTGACAGGATGGCCGCTGGACGATGGAGGGGATCGAGGAGGCGCAACCTCCCCCAAACTGATCATCGTCCACTTCCCCCGGGGGGGCCACTAAACTGCATAACCTCGCCATCCAGGCCACTGATTCGCTCTCCGATCCAGCCTGAACCACCGGGCGAGCGTCTTTCCCCCCAGGCTGTCCCGCCTTAGTCCAGGATAAACGTAAATTGATTGATTGATTATCAGCGTCTCCACCCCGCCGTGGCCACGACGATGCCACCCTCTCCTGCTCCCAAGCAAAGCACCCCACAATCCCATCGGTCTTTCCCCCAAGCGCAGAAAAAAAAGCTAAATCCCGCCCGCCAGATGCCCGGCCAATCGTCCATCCGCCATCCTGCCGTCCGGCCTTAATAGCCTTCTAGCTGCTGCTTGCCTTTCTTCGTCGCTCTCTCCTCTCCTCTCCCCTTCCCTTCCCTCTGCTTTCGACCCCCCGTTGGCCCTGAGACTCGACGGCCGTCCCCTCCGCTACAGCCTCATCACCATGACCGCCACTACCCGGGATGTCGAAGCCCTCGCCGTGCAGCATGAGGCCGGAGCTCTCGACGACATGATCGAGAAGAAGGTCTCCGCCAACGAGTCCCCCCCGGCGGATGACCCCTTTGGCAATGAGGAGTGCGGTGAGGTCAAGTACCGGGTCATGAAATGGTGGCACTGCGGTATACGTAAGGACACACACCCCATCAGCTCCCGGGGGACGACCCGCTAACCCAGCATGGTAGTGATGATTGCGGAGAACATCTCCCTGGGAATCTTGTCGCTGCCCTCCGCGGTGGCCACCCTCGGAATCGTCCCGTAAGTGGCTGTCGATGCATGCCCGATCGATGTACCTCAACTAAGTCCCCCCGTCCAGCTCCATTTTCCTCATCCTGGGTCTGTCGGGTATCTCCTGGTACACCGGATATGTCATCGGCCAGTTCAAGCTCCGCTACCCCCAGGTCCACAGCATGGGCGACGCTGGTGAATTGCTTTTTGGCCGCATCGGACGCGAGATCCTCTTCTTTGGCCAGCTGCTCTTCTGCATCTTCCTGATGTCCAGTCATCTGCTCACCTTCACCGTGCTGTTCAACACCATCACCAACCACGGCACCTGCACCATTGTCTTCGGAGTCGTGGGCTTGATCGTCAGCTTTATTGGTGCCCTGCCACGCACCATGGGAAAGGTGTACATCATGTCCCTTGCCTGTACGTCTCCATCGGACCCAATCCCCGCCTGATTCCGGGCCGACTAACCGCGCTCCAGCCTGCACCAGTATCACCATTGCGACCATCGTCACCATGGTGGCCATTGCCGTGCAAGCGCCCGACCATGTCCAGGTGGATATCACCACCCACCCCAGCTTCGCCAACGCCTTCCTCTCCGTGACCAACATCGTGTTTGCCTTCAGTATGTCTACCCTGCCCTGCCGTGTCCGGTATCGGTTTTCTGACCCGCTGGCAGTTGCCCATGTGGCCTTCTTTGGCTTCATCTCCGAGATGGAGGACCCCCGGGACTTCCCCAAGTCCCTGGCCATGCTGCAGGTCATGGACACGACCATGTACATCGTCACGGCTATGGTCATCTACCGCTATGCGGGCCCCGATGTCGCCTCCCCGGCCCTGTCCTCGGCCGGCCCGCTGATGAGCAAGGTTGCCTACGGCTTGGCTATTCCCACGGTACGTCTAGGCGGAGATGTCCCGCGTTGTTTACTTTCCAGATTCTGACCATCCTCAGGTCGTGATCGCCGGTGTTGTGTTCGGCCACGTCGCATCCAAGTACATCTACGTGCGCCTCTGGCGCGGCTCGCCTCAGATGCACACCAACAGCCCCGCCGCCGTCGGATCCTGGGTCGCCATTGCGCTGGGCGTGTGGGTCATTGCCTGGGTCATCGCCGAGTCGATCCCCGTCTTCAATGATCTGTTGAGTCTGATTGTAAGGATCCCCGATCCGCGGCCCCCATTTCCTACTGACCATCGGATGTGATCACAGAGCTCCCTGTTCGGCAGTTGGTTTAGTTGTACGTCCCTCCCTCTCTCGCTCTCGCCGTCCGGCACCCCGGCTAATCCCCGCAGATGGACTCCCCGCCATGTTCTGGCTGGTCATGAACAAGGGCCAATATACCGCCTCGCCCTCCAAGATCTTCCTGACCATCGTCAACCTCGTGATCTTTGGCATTGCCTGCGCGATTGTACGTCCCTGCCCTTGCCTCTTCCGTCGGTCTCACCCTCAACCGAATACTAACCCCCAACTTAGTGCGGTCTGGGACTTTACGTGTCGGGCAAATCCATCCACGACAGCTCCGCCTCGGCCAGCTGGACGTGCGCCAACAACGCCTAAGAGGCGTGGGCGTAGCGCCTCCCTGTACAGGACGTCCCCCACTGTGGGGATCTACCACACACAGTCTCCCCCAGATTAAGCTGGGCTGTCTGGGTTTTCTGCTCGACGGTGTTGGTGTTGATTGGTTGATGTGTTTGGGAAACGGGAAACGGATTTATGTCTTTGCCTTTTGTTCTTTCTAGCCGGCATCTGTTTGTGTTTTGTTAGCATCCACGATCCCCCATATATATATATATCTTTCCATAGAGTGGGTTAATACCCCCGGCGGATGCCTGTCTGCCGGGATGATCTTCTGCCGTGCATCGTATTTTCGGGATGAAGCCCTAATTCGTCTGCCTGCCGGCCCTCTCTCCACTCGGGGCCCAAGCCGAGCCCGGCCTGCCAATCAGCATCCGCGCGTGCCCTGCCAAGGTTCACTAGCCGCCGGGCCTGCAGAACGAGTTCGCCATCCGGGCCTGCGCACGTCGGATCGAGTGGCTTCGCGAGGATGGGAGCACCACGACCGCGTTCGGGGTCAAGGAGACATGCGGTTGGCAGCAGGGCGATGAAAAGGGTCACGGCGAGACAGGGAATCGAACACCCGGCCTCATGGCTTCCAGAGACCAGGGCATCCCGCCGCAGCCGGGCGTCCACCCCCCCCCCAATCGCCCGGGTCCGCCGGAAGACGTTGACTTGGTCTGGGCATTCCGCATCAGCCCTAGTCGGACCCAATTTGTCCCAGTCCCGCGGATACCGCATACGTACCTTGCACAAGAGCCCGGGTGGGTCAACTGTGCAGGAGGAAAAGTCCTGGGGCATAAATAGTCGCGACCGTCCCGGCCGCCATGCATCCGGACGCATGGATGCTGGCCATGAATGGTGAGGCTGGAGACTGACAAGGGACCACAGCGCGGCGACGGTCCAGAGCTCTCCTGACTCCGCGCGGACCCCATTCCGGAATTCCCGCTTCCTGCCTCGCGATGCGGACACGCCTCTTCTGGCTGATCCAGGCCGCCGTGCTGGTTGGCCTTTTCTTTCTGCTGCATCGCAATGCACGTTCCAGCACAACGGTGCCGCCACATGCCGCACGGGTGGTCCCGGACGAGATCGCCATCCCGCACACCGTCCATCAGCTCTTCGTGCCCATGGCGGGCCACGCGGTGTCCAGCTTCCATCCGGATGCGCATAGCATCTCCTGGCTACAATCGGGGTGGAAAGTGGAGTACTGGGGGGAGGACTCCTGTCTCGAGCTGGCCCGGGAACTCGACGTGTCCGGCTCCTACGCTAAAACATTCCAGGCCCTGCCGGTTCCCATTCTCAAGTCGGACTTCTGTCGCTATCTGATCCTGTTCGGGCGGGGCGGTGTCTACAATGATCTCGATGTCCACCTGCTCCAACCCTTGCCGTGGCCGATCATGGGCCCGGCCGCGAACGCCGACGAGGGAGCCCCGGCCGTGATTGTCGGGTTGGAAGGCGATGCGTCCACGACCGGACTCCCCCGATCTCCGCAGTTTGTCCAATGGACAATGGCATCGGTTCCCGGCCATCCCATCTTCCGCCAGGTGTTGCAATCCATCGTCGACCGGACAGCCCAGTATACCCCACCGACGCGGGAAGACGATGCGGAGGTCGACGTGATGGGCTGGACCGGCCCCAGTGTGTGGACCGACGCCGTGCTGGGGTATCTCAACTGCGCGGACGAGCAGGTGCAGCAGCTGCGGGATCTTCAGGAGATGGTCCGGATCCAAGACGTCCTCATCCTGCCCCGACGATCATTTGCGGTCCTTCAAGGCGAGGACCAGACGGCGCCTGACGTGCTGGTCAAACATTATTTCTCGGGGAGTTGGAAGACGTGCGCCCGCGAGTGGCTCCGCTGGCTCTGGCCCGGAGGGTGTTGAGGGGTGCCATTCGGGAGTTAGCAAGGACAGTCATGCGTAGCGTGGCTGCAGTATGTAATGGTATTCGTGGACTTCATTCGTTATGCTAGTCGTACAGGGGAGAAAACGATGGGAGCTATCGCAGCTCGCACCGATCCAGGGCCATCGATCCGGATATCGGAACCAGGGAGACCTCTGTGCCACGGGAACAGGACTGTTAGAACATCTGGTCGGATACATCCAGCCCGCGATCCAACTCATCCGCCTCCTTTCGCAGCACCTCTGCGCGGAACTTCCGGAACGCCGTCTCGATTCTTTGTCTTCTCTCGGGATCAGCGGTGATGCAGCGGCTTCCACTGCCCGCGCCTCCAAGGAACCCTAGAAAAGGGGGACCGGGTCAGCCACTCTTCTGGTCCGGAGCAGATGGTGTGGGGGCACAGAAAGACCTACCGAGTTCGCCGCCCAAGAACAGACCTCCCGCGCCGGCAAAGAAGTAGGTGGTGAAGTCCCCGAGCGTGGTGGGCTTCAACAGGGGGGTGATGTCCGGGATGGGCTCTGTGCGTTCGGCATTAGTGCATGGGATCCGGGATGAGGTCAATGACCGTACCGGTGCGACCGTCCGCGAAGACGACTTGGGTGGGCTTCTCGCGGGCGCGAAAGACCTCGAAGAAGGCCTTGCGCGAGCTTCTCAGACGGAAGGCGGCATAGAGACCGAGCCCCAGGCCAACAGCGGAGCCGACGGTGGTCCAGAAGGCGACCTTGTGGGATGCAGCCTTGAGGGCGTCGCGGTCCTGAGGGCGGAGGTCGTGCTGCAGATGCTGGTCGGCCAGACGGGCGAGGTCATTGCTGCGGCGATTGCGAAGGGCAGGATAGATGTCGGGCATGATGAGGATTAGCACGGGGGTGAATACTGTAGCGAGAGAGAGAGAGAGAGGGAGGGAGGGGAGGGAGAGAGAGGTGGTGGATGCAGCAAGAGGGAAGAAGTGAGAGGAAGAGCCGGGATGGGTATGACGTCATGAATGACCTCACGTGTCGCGTCCATACCACTTTACCCCCACCGTATTCTACTGTGTACTGTGTCTAGAGTATAGAGACATATAGATCACCCTTTTTATGTGATCCCGTAAACAGAGCCTGTAAGATCGGGGTGGTCTATCTTCTTTTTGTACTATCTAGATTGAATCGATTCCATTTCTCTTCCCAGAAGCGGGGAAATATATATACCATTCATCCCCAGATTTCAACCAGCACAATCTCTCTCCGGGGAACACAACGGATGCCGTATATGAAAGTAACTCTGATGTTGACAAGGCGATGGAGGACGTGGGTGTATCTCCCTCACTACTTCGTATTAGTACGATACTCTGTACTCACCCAATGGGGTCCTTGAGGCACTCAGGCACTCAGGCACCAGGCATCACCCCGGCAACCTCAGCGGTGAATGATTCTGCCGGGGAGCGACGCGTCGCCGGCACGCGCCGCCGCCTGGGGCATCCATCCGCCTTTCCAACAACGCCAACTCCATAAGTTTATCTCCATCTCCATCTCCACATCGAGGTAAGTACGTTGCATCCAATTCTCCACTGTTTTGCTAATTCCTTCCGTCCCCAGTGTCCGAAGCCATAGTTCACATCCAGGACCTCCCCCCCTGAGCTGCTGCTCCACATCTTCTCCTACGTCGCCGACTACGACCTCCCCGAGCCGACCAAGGACAAGGACAAGGACAAGAAGAAAACCACCGACTAGGCCAAACAGGATCCCCCCCACAACCACAATGACAGTGAGGACGATGACGAGGATGACGACGACGACGAGGAAGACGAGGGGGACGACAAATTTCTAGATGAACGCTCTTTTGACTTGGCCAGGTTGTGTCGGGTCTCCCGCCTGTTCCGGGAACTCGCCCAGCCGCTGCTGTTCGAGGACTTCGACAACTTCGGTCTGCCTGGGGACATGTCTCGCCTCGTCGCCTTTACCCGGGCCCTAATCCTCCGGCCGAGCCTGGCTGACCATGTCCACGATGTCACCGCCCAACCCTCCGACGGCCACATGTTCCTCCAGGCCCCGCCCACCGTCTCCCCCGAAGACCGGGAGCTCTTTGCCCGCACCATCCGTGACCTCCACGTGGGTGACGAGGAGAACAAGTGGATAGCGGCCATGGAGAAGATGGACTATACTGTCTTAGTGACCTTGCTGATCAGCCGGACCCCGAACCTGCGCCGCCTGGACCTTTGCGGCGGCCAGTTCTTCATGACGCCCCTCCGCCACGTCTTGGATCGGAAACCCGACCGTCTTGTCCAACCTGGAGGACCTGTGCTTGGACGGGACGACTTCTTTGCGGGCTATCCGCTCCCGTGCTGCGAAAAATTGATCGTCCGGCCCCGCCTGAGATCGCTGACGGTCGAATTCTGCCAGCTCAACGGTGCCCAGTTTCCCGCCGCCTGGGCCCCGCAGACCTTGGCTCTCGAGTGGATTGACCTCAACGTGTGCCATCTGGACGCCCCCGGCCTGAACAAGCTGCCCCGGGCCTGCCGCCAGGTGAAGTCGTTTAGTTACACCCGTTTCTCCGTCGATCCCTCGGAGCAGCCCGACATCACCCCCACTACCCGCGAGTTCACTGCCGCCGAGTGGCACAAAGCCCTCCTCCCCCACAAAGACACCCTCGCTTCGCTGGCGCTGGCCTTTACGCGGGACCCCTGGGAACGGGAGCACATCCAGGAATATGTGGACCGCCAGGCCAAGATCGGCTCGCTCCGCGACTTCCCTGTGCTCACCTGCCTCACCATTCAGCAGGCCCTGCTGCCCCCCCGGCCAGAATTCCCTCCCACTCTCGAGCTGCTGGTTGTGGAAGACTGCAACGTGTCCGTCCGGGAGCTGGCTTAACACCTAGCGAAGGAGCATCGACAGGGGCGCCTTCCCGCCCTCAAGCGCGTCCGGATGCTCGCCGTGGACATCACCGACCCCATCAAGCTTCCCGGGCAGCAGATTCCCCCGGGGAAAACCCCGCAGCAATGCTTCCTCAGTATTCGCGAGTTTTTCAAGGACACCCCGGTCGAGTTTGACATCTTCCCTTACCCCAATTGTCGTCAGCACATGATCGGCGACTCCGAGGACGACGAGGACTTGGACGACGAATCCTATATGGAGGTTGAGGACGAGTACGGCTACCCCCCGCTGGAGCTCTTGGCTGGGCCCGCGCCCATTCCCCGGGAGCTGTTTGGAGCGATGCTGATGCAGGCGATGCATGAGCAAGCCATGGTGGGGCGGGTGAAGCCAGTGACCACTCCTGGGTCACTGATGATGACGACTAAGATGACGACGATGATTGAGAACGAGGGTGTGGAGCATGATGACGATCAGGAAAATAAAAGTAATGTTGCTAATAACTGTATGACTGACTTGGCTGGATCAAGATTGGCACATGATTTTCACTTTCGGGGGATCCATGTACACTGCTACTGCTATCTAATGAGCCATTGTGCTGCTACTTGCGATTTCCCGCTCATCTGGCCGCTAAATGGTCTTCTCATAGATGCACTTTTACAGGGTCCACGCATGAACTATAATATCACTTTTGGCACTGCCAGAACATCTGCCAAGAGCTCACCTAGATGAAGTATTACCCAGGCCTCCTGCACAGCATCCCATGCCTCGCTCCTCACAGCGTGCGTGTCAACCATAGCAACAGCCCAGCGACCTACATCCCATAATCATCATCATCATCCTCCTCATACGCATCACAACTCACCCGCCGAAACAACACGTCAATGGTATCCTCATTATCCTGATTCCAGATATAATCCCCCGACACCTTCAACCCCTTATAATTCGCCATCGGACTCGGCGGCTCCACCCGCGCAATCCCCAACTTGACCGCGTGTCCCTCCCGACTCGACCCCTGCTCATATCCCTTGAAATGCACATAATACCAATACCCCCCATACCCGGGATACATGTATCCGCCGAGATTGGTCGCCACCCAACTCCCGCCGTTGGTCTGTGCGCTGCCTTTCGGATCCCAGAGGTAGAATTTCCCTCCGTCCGGGACGGGCGAGGTCTCGTCGATGTCGTGGGTGGGAAAGGCTCGCGTGTTCCAGATCTGAAAGGTGCGCGGGGAGCTTCCAAATTTGTAGTAGCTGTAGACTCCGCCGTCCGAGCCGAGGCTGCTTCCGTGGCGGTCTTTGATGGTGTAGCAGTTGCCGTAGTGGATGCCGAGGCTGGTGCTGTGCACTTCGGATGCGGAGTCGAGGTCGGGGACGACTGGTTGTTGGTGTTGGTTTAGCGGATCGATCGGGGGGGAGGGATGGCTGGTGACTCCGGTGAGGAGAGCCGTGGCCGTGAGGATGATCAGGATGAGATGGGTGAACGTGTGCATATTGAGTTACTGGTGGGCCCGATAGGGCTGTCCTTGCTTGGTAGAGATAGATTTCTCAGGGTTGTTTCTGCAACGAGAGCACAGTGGGTGATGGGGCTACGAACTGTGGCAGACTGTATGTATATATCGGAAGTCCCAGAGTCGCGGGACACTGTTATATCACCTGTCTTCTGATAACTCACAATTGTGGAGCAAGTCGTCTACGTCACGGCCTCGTTTTCGAACCACGGACAATGAATCGCGCCCAAGATAGGATGTCCTGCTTGCAGCAGTCCTGCTTTGCAGCAGTCCTGCTTGCAGCAGTCCAGATGGTGGATGAGGGATCTACCATGGTGCCAAGGAACGACTGATGGCCCAGAGTTCCGACGCGAATCAGGACGATTGACAGAGAGCTTAAACTCACTCCCGAGATTGTCGCTGGGTCTAGAAGGGAGCCGTAAGCTGCATACTCCCTTGACTGCGGCGAGAAAGCAGTATATGAAGATTTGACGCCGAGTCAAGCATGCCATGGGACTGTCAATCGATCTCAACTTTACGGAGCTAAGGCTACTTGGGTTCCCAGATTGCGGCAGGTCTCATGATGCTCCGGAGTGAAAGGCCATCCGAAAGCATTATGCACCCACTTGGAAGGACAAGCTTGGGAGCTGAGAAGAGCATCTGAAACTCAGAGCCAAATCCAAACAGTCTGGCGAGACCACCAGGACCGGGGTTCCTACAAAGTCACCAGCTCGGACAACGTCATCATTGAGACACCCCCGCAGTTGCACCGCTGGCCTATATGCCATGTAGTCCGGGAGGGGAGGGGACATGCACATGTCTACTAAGCGGACACCTATGGCGACGCCGGAAGCGTCCACTCCCAGGCCACCTTGAGATATGTCTGAGCGGCCACGGTGGCCAAACCATGAATCTGTTCGGTCTTGATCAAAATATTAAGGAGGGCCTCTTGCTCCCGACGGTCGGTCATGCGATCTCCACCTAGATGAAGAGGTCAGTCGGGATGTTTGCGACGGTCAGGGGCAGATGTACACATTGACACTCCCATGCACGCGGCGACAAGGGCCGGAGCGGTCTTATTGGATAGAGCAATCCCGCAGAGACTTAGACACATGGTGCTTGACCTCAGTCTGCAGTAGTCAGCCGCTAGGCCTTCGTATGTATAGCGTGGTCTGTACCTCTCTGCGTGCGATGGCTGCCTTGCGACCGGGGCCAAGGCGAGGAACCGTGGGATCAAACACCGTGAGCAGGAGGCGGGCCAGATGCCAGTGCTGGATTGCAGTGACTGAGAAATGATCAGCGTCTCGCTCCGCGGCAACGGAGGACATCGTACCAGTGCAGTCGTCCAAATACCCGAGCACGGGAAACACCTCCCCTTTGGATAGGTTGGGCGGTCGACAGTACAATGGATCGAATGTTGGCGGGGTGCGGGCCTGCCACTGGCGGCTGTACTCGCACAGCTGGTCATATCTCCAAGGCGTCTGACATCCATCGCCATAGCAATACGTGAGGGTATCGACGCAGTGCAGAACCGCCCGATTCGCCCAGGTGGCGTCGTCTGCCGGGTCGAGCTGCCGATAGATGGAGGTGTCGCAACAACTCAGATCGAGTTCGACGACGCGTTGTTCGAGGAATGCCTTGCGGAACTCCTGGCGAATGCCAATCCAGAAGGCTGCCAGCTGGAGGCCCCCTTGACGGAGTGCAGTGGCCCCTTGGGCGTTGAGAAAGACTTGGGTTCCACGAAGGTGAGTCCCAACGTCGCCACCAGCAAGAGCCGCTGCAACTCGTGCAGTCAGCGGTAGGGCAAATTATCCGGAAACGAAGCTACCGACCATTGAATTCCTCATAGAAGCGCAAGATGACGGACGCGGCGAGCAGGTCCTCGTTCTGGATCTCCGTGGGATCACCGGAGAGGGCTACCAGGTGGGAAATGCACAAAGTCTGGTAATCCAGGGCAGTGCCATCCCCAAGATCGGGCAGACGCCGGCCAGCAAATGCTACCGGTCGACTGCCTGTCGACTGACAGCGACTGAGATGCCGCGCGGAAGCCGAGTACACGGCATGCAGGAGGGCGGGACAACGGGCGGCGCGGTCCGGAACCACCAGGGCAAAGTGCTTGCCGGCATCACAGAAATCGAACTGCGGGGCATCAGCCAACGTCGTGTCGCCGACGGCCGCTGGCCATCCTCACCTAAGGGGGCCAGCTCTTCCACGAAATACCGCATCAAGCACGCCTCCTGGACGGCCCGATTGGACCAGATGGATGCGACCCCGGGGGAGATTGGGGGCGTGTTCAGTGCTTGGGTGGACATCTGCTTCACGGATCGAATCGTCGATGACAGGCTGACCGGCCAGAGTCAACATGGCGGTGGTTGAGAGTGAGAAGGAGACTCCGAGGAAGGCATCCCCACATTCCAAGGGTCCGAATCACGGGCAGTCACGGGACCCTACTCGAATACACAAACATACCAAACGATGCAAACCGAACAATTGCGCCAGATTCATCCGCGGTGTGATTCTATGGATTCTATGAACTCTATGGATTCTATCTCCTCCGTCGCGACCTCTACAAACGCGCACTGCCCTTCAGCTGTGCCTCCATCATCTGGCCAATCTGCGGCTCCACCCGGCTGAACATGGCGATCGTGGCCTGCTGGATCTCTGGCAGCACTCCCTCCAGCGATGCCGTCACGTTGGCCACCCACTTGCGACGCTCGGCCTCGTCGAACACGTTGTTCCACAGCGCGCGCGGCTGCACAAAGTCCTCGTCATCCACCAAAATCTCGTTGAATCCAAGCACGGCTCCTGAACGCAGCCACTCGTTGTGGCGCACTTCCTGCACCGACTGGCTGAAGACACCCGGGGTCAGGGTGCTGCGCACATAGTTCGGGTCGCCGCCATAGTTCCGACCCATCGTGGCCATGCCATCGCGCTCATACGGCGCATACACGGGGCAAATGGCCCGGTTGGGGGGCAACTGGGTGTAGTTGACACCCAGGCGGTACCGCTGGGCATCGGGGTAGGCGAACATACGCGCCTGGAGCACTACACGCGAACAAACCCATCGCGGTTAGCCATCGCCGTCGGTGCGGGAGACAACGGGAAACTTACTCGGGTCGGGCGTCATGGCAATACCGGGCACCAGGTTGGAAGGAGAGAAGGCTGCCTGCTCGATCTCGGCGAAGAAGTTCTCGGGCTGACGGGGGCGTTAGCTTCCCTCGCAAACCCGGCACGGACGGAAGGTCGACTCACATTGCGGTTCAGGGTCATCTCGCCGACTTCAATCAAGGGGAAGTCCTTGTGCGGCCAGACCTTGGTGATATCGAAGACGGCCCGGCCGTAGGTCTCGGCCTGCTCCGGCTCCATCACCTGGATGTACATCTTCCAGACGGGGTGCTCGCCGCGGGCAATGGCCAGCGACAGGTCCTGGTTGTGGAAATCGGCATTGACACCTGCCATGCGGGTGGCCTCATCGGGCGTCATGGTGCTGAAACCCAGCACGGGCTTGAAGTGGAACTTGCAGTAGCGGAAGCGTCCGTCGTGACCCACCAGCTTGAAGGTGTGGATGCCGAAGCCGGTCATGCTGCGCACCGACGTGGGCAGGCCGCGGGAGCCGAAGACATGCATCAGGGTGTGGACACTCTCCGGCTGGTTGCAGTGGAAATCCCAGTACTGCAGTCACCTGTTAGTCCCTGGCGCCATCTGCCTCCAAGAATCAATCCGCCGGGGTACAGGCACTTACCATGTTCATGTCCGGAAGACCGGTGGCAGGGTGCTTCTTGTGACTGCGGTTCAAGGAGGGGAAGCGAACGGGATCGCGGACGAAGAAGACGGGCTGCCTCGAGGTGAGAAGGTTGCGGAGAGCTCAAGCACGGACACGACCTACTACATGGTTGCCAACAATATCATGGTTACCCTCCTCGGTGAAAAACTTGACGGCAAAGCCGCGGACATCGCGCACGGTATCGGCACTGCCCTTCTCACCACCGGTGGTGCTAGAGCGGAAGAGCACCTTGGACGTCTTGCCAACGCCGTTGAGGAACTTGGCGCAGGTCAGGTGCGAGATGTCATTGGTGACCCGGAACTCTCCCCAGGCGCCGGATCCTTTGGCGTGGACAACTCTATCGATCGGGTCAGCGGGTTCGATCAGCGGCGGATCGGCGGGAGCGGGCAGTTGTACCTCTCCGGAATGCGTTCCCGGTTGAAATGTGTCAGGGTCTCGATCAGCAGGGTGTCTCCCAGGGTGGTGACGGCACCGCCACCAAAGGTCGGAAGGGTGGTGCTGAGGGAGGGGTTCGGCAGGGGCTGGCCTGCATTGTGACGTTAGAGGGAAGCCGAGTCGAGGCTGACAGGCAGGACAGGGGTCACCTACCCTCGGCGAGTGTGTAGACCGGCTTGGACATGATGATGATGGAAGATTAAAGTTTGGCAGATGCGCTAGTGATGCTATCCGGGAGGAGGAATCGAATGGGTCAATGTACTATCCACAGAGCCGGCTCTGGTGGTTCCTTTGCCTTGCACACGAAGAGAGTTACGGAGACAAAAGTTGGAGGACATCCTGACACGGGTTTCACTCCCGGTGCAAATTTTTTCTCCCTCCCAGCTGGCTTTAGCGCCAAAAGTGGATGAGGCCGTTGAAGCCCGCGGCTGGAGACACCGACACAGCTTAGGCTGAGGGGAAAATCCCATCTCACTCCCGGGCCGCCCCCTCATGAGGGGAAGCCCGTGAGGGGAAGCCCCGCCCGATTGCGTAAGTCCTTAACTGGCTGCCTCTCATTGGTTGTCACAATTAGCTTTCACGTGACAGCACATGACCTTATCCGACCTTCTGCCGCGGTTTTGCCGAACATCTCCCGTTGGAGATCAATCGTCACAGGGACCCGGCGTTTTCGACGGGGTGATCCAGGACATGGGCATGCTCATCGCAAGCATGGATTGATTCAGCTGGGCCGAAGTTGGAGTATAAGCATAAGGATCTGTGTTCAGCCCATCCTATCAGCTTCAAAGACGGATCTATGTGGCTTTTTCATTGTGATGCGAGCGGACAACCGAGATCGAGCATGGTCATCCTCTCCCCTGTAGAAACTCGCTCCTCGGCCATTCATGGCAGATGCATCAGACTGTCGTGTCCGGTGAGACCTGGAGAAACATTATACCATGAGGAAGGCATACCACTAAGCAGATCATCTTACGAATGGACCTCCTGGTAGAAGACATGGGGGATCTTTGTGCGCTTGTCTGTGGAGCTGTCTACTTAGGGCAGGGTTCATCCATCTCTCTGCACTATCAAAGGGACCCGCATCAATATGCGGCTCGTTCTCATGCAGACAGAGTACCAGTCACATCGACTGTCGGGCATTCTTCAATTCGGACCACTCGTTCCCGGATGTTCTTCTCAAGCATGTTCGTTTGCGGCAACTCTTGAGTTCTACCCGAGCAGCCAGCAAGGGCGATAAGGACTCTCCTCATTGATGACGTCGCCACCATTGGTTCCCCCTTACAATATTACGAGGTCCACGATAGCCTGGAGTGGAAGCGTTTCATCACCCAGTCCCTGCATCCGATCAGGGTAACGGCACCGTCGTGTTTGATGTCGCCAAAAACAACAGCAGCGGGGTTTGTGATATCGGTCGGTATGACAATGTGAGCATCGCCCCAGCGTCAGGAGGTAGTAATCACCCATCTCCAGACCTATTACCCGGACTGCAAGGCCGGGCTGCTGTCCGACACCAACCCCAGCCGAGCTGGCCCTCGTGCCGACGGGGCCTCGGCTCCACGTCGCGGACCAGCTGAGCCACCAAGGACTGTCATTCTTGGACTCCCTGGATGGAACCCCGCCTGAGCTTGCACAGGGTGCATCATCATTCCACTCGGATATCGTCGCGACGCTAACCTATGGTTCACTTCTCCGGGCTCGGACTTCTGTCCGACTGCTGCGAGCTGCTTCAACCCCGGGTGGAGCCGAGGAAGGGTTGTCTAGGTCTACACCCCAGCAATGCGGCACGCATGTTGGTGCCATCATCCCATCATAAAGAGAGTCATCTCTACACGCTGACCCAAAGGTCTTCCAGTCACTCCCTAGAATCCGAACTACGTGGCTGATTGAATCCGACGATGACGATCCGGTACCTCAAGAGCAGGTCGCAGACCTCCAACCAATCCACCTCAACCCAGGTCGACGTGAGCGCCGTGGTAAAGGGAGTGATTGACGATGTCCGCGCCAACGGCGATGTGGCCGTTCGTAAGTACTCGGAAAAGTTCGACAAATGGTCCCCGGCCTCGTTCAAGCTGTCTCAGGCCGACATCGATGCCGCCATTGCCGCTTGTCCACAACAAACGATTGACGATATCAAGGAGGTACAAAGAAACGTGCGCGCCTTTGCGCAGGCCCAGAGGGACTCTATCCGGGACTTTGAGTACGAGATCCAACCGGTACAGTCAACCTCCTTCCCACCAGGAACGTTACCCTTGGAACACGCACTGACACGTTGCAGGGAGTGTACCTGGGCCAGAAGAATCTCCCGATCAACAGCGTTGGCGCGTAAGTGATCCGCACCATACAGTGCACGGCAGTGCAGCTCACCGTGCGTTTCATGGATAGGTACATTCCCGGCGGGCGATACCCGTTGCTCGCCTCCGCCCATATGACCATCCTGACGGCCAAGGTGGCCGGAGTCCCTCACGTGGTCGGCTGCACTCCCCCCATTGCTGGGCAGATCCCCCATGCCACGGTGGCGGCCATGCATTTGGCCGGAGCCGACGAGATCCATCTCCTGGGCGGGGTGCAGGCGATCGCGGCGATGGCAGTCGGCACCGAGACCATCCGCAAGGTCGACTTCATCGCGGGCCCGGGCAATGCATTTGTCGCCGAGGGGAAACGCCAACTATTCGGCGAGGTGGGCATTGATCTGTTCGCCGGGCCGACCGAGATCCTGATCGTGGCCGACGAAACGGCGGATCCGTTCACGGTGGCGACCGACATTCTGTCCCAGGCTGAACACGGGCCCGATTCGCCCGCCGTGATTATCACCACCTCGGAACGTGTGGGCCAGGCGGCCATCGACATCATCGACCAGTTGCTCCCGAATCTGCCCACGGGTGAGCTGGCGGGGACGTCGTGGGACCGATTTGGGGAGGCGATCGTCGTGGACTCGCTGGACGATGCCTGGCAGTTGGCGGACGAGTATGCAAGTGAGCATGTGCAGATCCTGACCCGGCGCCCACGCGAGGCGCTGGAGAAGATGACGGCGTACGGCGCCCTGTTCCTGGGCGAGAAGACGTGCGTCTCCTACGGCGATAAGGTATTCCTCTTCCTCGATTGGAGTGACCTATCAATCTCTAATGCCCGTCGCAGGTGATCGGAACCAACCACGTGCTGCCCACCAAGAAGGCAGCGCGATACACCGGAGGCCTCTGGGTGGGCAAGTATCTCCGGACGGTCACGTATCAGGAGGTGACGAGCAGCACCGCCAGCGGCGAGTTGGGCCGGCTGTGTGGCCGGGCAGCCCGCGCGGAGAAATTCGAGGGCCATGCCCGGTCGGGGGATCTACGCGCGCAGAAGTATCTGGGCGACCGGTTTGCCTGGATTCCCTCATCCGACCAGGCCAATCTGTAGGTCGTGAACATGCGACCGGGATACTATTCTTCCAAGCAATTGTTCCCTGTTTATCGTGTAGTGCCGCAGCGGCGCAGCCGAGAAAGGCCCCAAACAAATCTTCCCGCCAAAGCATAAATATAGTAATTGCCAGCAATCCACTATATGCAGACTGTAAGACAGGCATACCTCCATCTACTGCATGTTACTCTTCTTTCTGAAGCTGTTTCAGATGCATACTCCGTACGAGTGATTTCACGCATCGGAAAGATCGATGGTCACGGGAGATTAGATAAGATAGCCGGCCGGGGACTCGGTCCGAGCAGCCAATCATCGCGGTCTGGGAGGATCGGTCATCCGGTACCGGAGTCCGGAAAACACCGTCTTCCATCACTAAGGCGCGGCAGGTTCCAGTTCAGCCTCAGACCAGTCGAGAAGCAATACGAAGAATAACCACCCCCACACTTTTCAGGAGACTCGAGTAGCACCCGGACCACTCCAGACCATTTCTGTGCCGAGCCATTCATTCGAGAGCCACGCGGGCACCGCCACACAGTCCCATCATGACGCAGGAGCACTTCCTGCCGGTGGACATGATAGAAACACAGCTGTCCACCATTGATCTCCTCACGGCCATGTTTCCCAATCCCGGCGAGCTGGATCTCCCGGCGTCCACAGCCCAATGCGTGGAGAAGCTCCGCGACTGGTGCCAGGATCCGGCCGGTGCACTCGCGGGTCTCCCGTCCAGCATCCTGCTGGGGGTTTGTTTGCCCCTGGCGGATGGGGAGCAGACCATTCAGGTGAATATTTCGATCCCCCTGTACAGTCCCACCCCAGAGCCGGACCTCCCGCCCCCGCCTAGCTATACCCTCCGACAGCCCGACTGGATGTCCAAAGCGGAGGTGGCGACGCTGGCCGCCGCCATGCCGCCGGAGGACGTGTTCGAGGCCTTGGAGTACGTGCGCGAAGCCGCCACGCGCTTTTTGGAGACCCGGCAGGCCGTGACGGCGGAGACTACGACGGGTGGCTCCGGGCCCCTCGTGCGGGTGTGGTTCTATTTCCCCTCGCTGTCGACGCGCAAGAAGCGGGATGATCTGGTGAACCATGCCGCGGGGTACGCGTTGACGGGGTTTGTGTTGGCGGGGAAACCGGGGGTGTTGTGTCTGGAGGGGACGTCGGGGGACATTGACGCGTATATGAGATTTATCAAGACGTATTCGTGGGGCGATATCCCGAGTCATCAGAAAAAGGTCAGCGAGCGGTATCGCGAGACGGACGGGGTGCAGCGGGTGTTTGCGGGGATGGAGGAGATTACGGATTCCCTGGGGGAACGCAGTGGACAGCGCGCCAACCGGGGGGATATGCAGGCGTTGGAGGCCTGGCTGGGGGCCCGGGGGCTCCATGAGGCGTTTGAGCAGGTGATCTTTTAGGTGTGTCGAGGCTGAGCTATTGACAAGGCAACAACATGCAACCCAGATATCCGGATCTGCTGGCCGTTACCCACATGCCGCGGCGGGAATTTGGACGACATCCATTCCAATCTCTCCGGTACGAAGTCCAGGCTTGCTACGGTGCCACCCTCTATCTCTGAACCCCTCCCTTCTCCCGCTATCAAAGCCCGGTGAGGAGCCTGATGGGATATATTGCCTCTAGGAGAGCCCCGAAGTTTATCTGAACGAATCAAGCGAGTGTTCCTACGTACTCTGACCAGGATCAAACCGGATTAGGGTTCCGCAGGCATCAAAATAAATGTTTCGGAGGCTCCACCTGCCGGACCGAATTGATATGGGCATCTTGAAACGGCAGCTGAACAGTTGACGATCGACTTTCAAAGGACCATAGTCATCCGAATTGATCATGATCTAAAGAGTGTGAGCTCCAGCCGAATGATACATATGAAGATGGTCCTCAATTACCGACCTATGTAGGGAAGAATCTTCGTGCTTGGTCTTAAGCTCACCGTCATAAATTGTAAATTCTCTCCCGCTATCTAATGCTAATGTACGATAACGACACGCGAAACAACAGTAACGATTGCCAAGCATAAAATCAGAAAGTCAACAGTCCGGGTATACGAGTACATATATCGCCACAACTCCAATGCCATCTCAACGACTCCTCGCGGATCCATTACATACCTGCGCCAACACCCCCAAGGCCTTTCCAATATGCGGACCCGTGTAGGTGACACCAATGACAGCAGTCCGGTCCGCTCCCGGGTCGGGAAGCCACCCGTGAACATCGGTCTCCAATTCAAACATACTCTTCTGCTGCAGCGGCAGATACTGAACCGGAGTAAAGCAGAACATGCCACTGGGACCGTGGATCATACTCAAGTCGATGGACACGAGGCGCGGGAAATGGCGATGATTCTGAGCGAGATACGACAACCACTGCGGGTCCAGGCCCGTGACCCCGCGCAGACTGAGCTTCTGGAGATTGGGTCGCGTCCGCGAGAGGAGGTCGATGAGATGGCCGGTGCGGATGGATGATCCCCAGATGGAGATCCGTTCCAAGTGCGCTAAGACATCGACGGATCGACTGAGCTGCTCGAAAAACTCGACGGCCAGGTCGGTGTAGCCGAGGCGGAGATGCAGTTTGCGAAGCGAGGTGGCGCTGAGGATCAGGTCCAAGAGAAAGGTATAGTTCTGGGGCGTCACCTCCAGTTCCAGATGCAGGTTCTCCAGGGCGCGCCAGCCGCATTGGAAGGACCCGCTCCGGAAGAGGGTCTTCGGGAGCCGGGCAATGTCCATGACGGGGGACGTGTAGTTCATGCCCTTGCCGTACCAGAAGAGCTTGACGGGCAACGCCGCCTCGGCGATGATGTCGAGCAGGATGCAGGCGACATCGTCCGGGTTGAAGGTCGGCCCATCGGTGACGGGCGGCTTGGTTTCGGGCTCGGACACGATGGGCGAGAGAATGAACGATCGACATTGGAGCAGGCGATCCGTGAGATCGTCCCGGAACCGACGGATCAGGGACATCCCCAGGGGATGGCGGAGATGCCCTGCTGCGGTCCATTCCCAGTCGAGATGCTGACCCAGCCGGGGCTCCGGCGTGAGGACGACGAGGTGTCGGATGTGACGTCGCACGAGCGGGTTCTGGGACAGGGCATGGAGGTGGTTCAGCGATCGCTCGGAGAAATCCGTGTGATACTCGGTATAACGCTGGGCAAAGCAGAGGTTGGTGGCATGGTAGGCTGCCCGGCCGGTGCCCCGGATCGCGGCCAGATCGCACGTCGGCAGCTCGCGGCAAATCAACTCGATGGTCTCCAGGGGGAGACCCAACAGGCCTGCTGGTGCCGGCTGGTCCTCCCGGATGTGCTGCGCAACGGACGCGAGCCCCATGGTGGTGTTACGGGGTTCTCAGAAAGCGATAATGCGTGGTGAAGATGTGAGGGCGAAGATGCAACGGCGGCCAGGGCCCGGGCTTTATGGTTCCCGGGGGCGGACTGCCCCAGGGGTCCTTGGAGTACCTTGGAGCCGGCGATCTTGCCCCCCAACCCAACCTCAAGGGAAATCCGAGGGGCGATCGAGAGGGTGACGGGATGGGATGGTGACCACAGAGTTCCAGGACTCGGGATGCTACATCGCCTGCGGTTCATAGTACATTCATCGCTGACCCACCAGGGTCCTAAGTACGCGTCGCCGATCATGATGCCCTCGGTGGTTACATTGTTAGGGCTTGGCATGGCAGGCTCGGCTGAAAGATGTATTCTGGGGGCAGTCCTCTCTGTCAAGAAATAGTAGTCTGTGCGACTGTGCGTAATACGGTTGGTGATACATGCTTAGGTGCTCGCCGCCGACTGCCGGCCTGGGTCCATTGCAGGATCCCCCTCCACATCCTCCACCGGCCCCATGACGGTCTCCAGACTCTTCTCCGCGGTCTCCCACGCTTCCTGGATGACCTCCCCGACCCACGGTCCGCGGGGGTTGAGCCTGACCCTCAGCTCCGAGGGCATCGTCATGAATCCCACCACCGTCATCGCCCAGGGATCCACCACCGCCCCCTCCGCGGGCTCGATCTCAAAGGCCCAGAGCAAACTGGCCACCTGCATGAACATCCCGTCCGTCGCCACGCGCTTCCCCTGGCAGATCCGTCGACCCTGCCCGAACACCGGCAAGGGGAGGTCCGTTCGGAGTTTTGCCGTCCCCGTGCCCTCGTCCGATCGCAGCCACCGGTCTGGCACGAAGTCGTCGAGGTCCCCACGCGCGGGGTCGAAGACGGATGCGTCCCGGCCGATGGCCCAGGCGTTCGCCATGACGGTCACGCCTTTCGCGATGGGTACCCCCTGGAAATCGTCGTCGCGGTCCGCCCGACGCGGAATGGAGCCCGGCGAGACGGGTCGCCAGCGAAAGAGCTCGTGCGCAATGGCGTCGATCATCGGGAGCCTCGCCCGATCCGCAAACCGGGGGAGGCGGTTGCGTCCGACCACGGCATCCAGCGCGGCGTGAGATCGGGCTAGCATCGTTGGCTGGTGCAGCATGGCAATGAACAACCACAGCAGCTGACGGGGGGAGGTCTCCATGCCCCCTTGGATGGACGTGGCGAGGGTAAAGGCGAGATCCAGGTCGGGGACCGGGGTGTACTTCTGGGCCGTCGAGAGGGCCTGCTTGGTGGCGTTCCAGCCCGGGGTGTCCCTGCCCTGCCGGAACAGCCGCAGATAGAGGTCCGTCTGGGTGGCGAAGAGCTGGTCCGCGGCTCGCTTCCAGGGGGACAGGAACGCGGGCAAGTGCCGCAGGGGCGGGAGGAGATCGGGCAGGCCGGGGTTGGCGGCCAGATGGGTCACCTTCGCTTGGGTCTCGAGGATCTCGTGCAACAGGGAGTCCTCGCCGCTCGAGACGCGCCGACCGTAGTGCAACGCCAGGATCACGCTCGACTGCGTGCGTTCCAGGAGCGGGTAGATGGTGGTGGTGGTGCTGATGGTGCCGTCGGCGGTCTGGCGCACGGCATGGCACAGGTCGAACAGCAGTTGTGTGGACTCCAGTTCCATCACCGGCTGGTACCGGGCGGCGGCGAGCGCCCCGAGACTGGGGGCCAGGATGCGGTGGTGCAGCTTGAGGTGCTCGTCATAGTCGTGCATCAAGGTAAACCGGGACCGGCCTGGCTCCGCCCCCGTAATCATCTCCATGCTCACCGAGGCCGGTCGGTTACTGTACCATGGGCTCCGGCGACTGAACAATTCCGTCGCGGCCTCGAACGAGTTCAGGACCACAATCGGAATGATTCCAAACAGCCGGGCAACCGTGACGGGCCCATGATGCCTGGTCCAGGCGTCCCAGTTGGCCAGCGGGGTCTCGAGGGGGGAGCGATGCAAATCGCCGATGAGGGGCAGTTTGAGCAGTCGCGGCTGGCGGCCCTTCTGCCAACGCGCGCGGTAGAAGAAGGTCAGCAAGCCGACGGCGACGGCGACTACAACAGACGTGAGGGCAGCCATGCTGGCGGCGGGATGGATGCTGAGGAGATGGGAGAAGGCCGGGGGAGGAGGGGAGAAGAACACGTCCAATGTCCGCCCTGGAAGTTCCAACTGGGTTTAGTTGGCAGGCTGGTAGCCGACTACACCGCATCCCGACGGGGCCCCGGGCAACCTGCTTACCTGTCACTTAGGGTTGCCCGGGCGGTTTCTCCACCAAGTGGGTCAGTCATTTGCGGCGTCTGGCTCGGGTCAGGGTTGGTGCGCCAGGAGAAATACACGAGATCAATCCCAGCAGATGGGATGGGTGCATCCAGATTGACGTCCCCGTCCCCAGTTCGTGGCTTAAGCCTCTCGGTATGAGGGACCCGTGTGGCATTCTCTGCGGCGGACAGCAGAACGTCCCCAATGGTCCACCGACCTTGCCCCGGCACGGACCAAGGATTCCCATCCCTGCTGCTCCTAATATCTAGTCTAGGCCCGTTTCCCCTAGCTTTCCCCCCCCCAGGGGTGCCGCGCAGGAGCCCTTAAGTAGCCCCAGGGGTCTGCTTTCTCCGGGGCCGCTGTGCACGGAAGAAGGCGAGATGGGGATCATCTTCCCCATCGTGACGCACGCCCAACAGGCCGTTTTGGGCGTGGCCATCACCTTCTCCATCTTGGCGGTCACCGCAGTGAGTCTGCGCCTGCTGGCTCACCGTCTTGCCCACCGATCCTGGTCGCCCAGCGACTATCTCATTATCGCAGCCGGTGTAAGTTCAAGGGCTCTGAAGTGGTCCGTTCCTCTCTGTTCTCCTGAATCTAACGGGACTCCTTGACCATGTCAGATCTTCGCGGTCGGTCTCCAATCCGTCACCATCACCGGGGTGTTCCAGGCCGGTATTGGATACGATCATGTCGCTGCGATCGTGGCCCGCTATGGGCTGGCGCCCATCACGAAACTGCTCCAGCTGATCATTCCCCTGCAGTTCCTGTGGGTTCTCAGTCTCAGCTGCACGAAATTCTCGGTTTTACTGCTGTACCTCCGCCTCTTCCCCGTCCCCTGGGTCACCCGCCTCGCGTGGACGACCATGGGGGTCATCCTGACCTGGGCCGTTGCGACCATCCTGGCCGGGTGTCTGATCTGTCGGCCGTTCGCCTTTAATTGGGACCAGAGCATCGCCGGGGGATCATGTGGCGACCAGGTCAGCTCCTTCACCGTCACGGGGGTCATCAATCTCATCACGGATATGGTGGTGCTTGCCATCCCCTGGCCGCTGCTCTCTCGGTTGCAAATGTCGAGATTCCGCAAGGTGACCCTGATATCTGTGTTTGGGTTGGGAGTAGTGTAAGCAGTGCCCCCTTCGTCGACCCGAGTCGCGATCGGAGTTCCGGGTCTGACGTTTCCCTGATATCCGTCATTGCATGATTTTCACTTTCCCCTGCCTGCTTGTCCCTTTGTTCCGCCCTCCACCGTGGCTTTTGAGTGGACCGGCGCGTGCTAATCGGCCCCTTCCAGTACCTGCGCCATCAGCGCCCTCCGCCTCTCCGTTCTCTCCACGATGAACTTCACCGATATCACCTTTACGCTCCCGCGGGCCAACATCTTCAGTGGCATCGAGCCCTGCCTGGCGGCCACCCTCGCTTGCATCCCACTGATGCGACCCTTGCTGGGGCGGTCGGGAAGAATCAAGTCCGCTCCTCCCCCCGCGGACCTGGAGGGGTGCACCGACCCCACCCAGCCCTGGATGCCACCAGAACCGCCTGCCGGTGTGGCCATGCATGATCTAATCCACAAGGCGGCAGCGGGCAGCGAGGAGGCACTCGTGGCGTAGGAGAGTGAGCTGGAAGACGAGAGGTAGGACCGTGGGGAGAACTAGATAGGCCTGGGGACTACAGGAGGGATCGAGAGAGAGAGAGAGAGAATTGAATGAAAACGCTTCCACCCGAGCATTGCCCACCATGAGGTAGGCCGAGTGCCATCGGTTCAGAAACTGGTGGTAAAGGGCCTCGCAGGAGTCAGCCGAGAACCAGGGCATCGGGCGACATCAACCCTACCAGGATCAGCAAGGCCTCGATGTGGACGATGGTCGGTCTCTCCGGCCAGACGGGCACCAGGCGCAGGGCCCGCGCATCGTAGTCCATCCCGGGCCCCCAGTTCCGATTGCGGCCGTCATGGGGGGTCGAGTACACTTCCCCCCGGGCGAAGAGAGCAAAGTATTTGCACGGGAGGACCGGATCGGTGACTGGTCTTGGCTCGTACATGGGTCTGCAGGTGGTCGAGCGACGCTTTTCGCAACGCGAGGTGGAAGAAGGGAGTGGCGTGCCCCAGGGCCGTCGGCACCAGCAATCGAGCGCGGATGTAACTGGGCCAGGGAATCCCCACCCCCAGCCAGGTGACAGCGCGTGCATGGTCGCTGGCCGGAACACTTGACCTTTTGGGCATGACATCTCTGGCACCTGAACCCTAATGTGCTTAGTGTTGCCCTGGCATGGCGGCAAGAGGGGGAGGATCGCCGGTGGGCGGTACTCACGCCACCGATCTCTTATAGATGGGAGCGCCCTCATCGTTCGTTTGAATCGCCTAGAGCGCATTGCTTGCACTATCGGTACCCGCCGGTACCCCCGGGTGCATGTCACATATTGTGGGACATGGTCTGTCTGAAAAAGGTAAGTCATGGATCCCTTTTCCCTCGCTCCGTCTTCATGTGCCTAGACTGATCATCGATAGCATTCCCATCTAGTTGGATTTCCCTCTCCCGTCCTCGGAAATCCGCTGGAGCGGATCATGGTATACTCCAAGACGCCTTTCTGTGAGGCGAGTCACCAACAGTCAATTACACCGCATCGGTGAGAATGTATTTTATACCCACCTGACCCGTTGTCGTGTAAGCCATGATCAACATACTAGATAGCGGAGTCATGTTCCTTCTATGCCATTTGAGCCAATCCGGACCGTTCTGGTACATCATCTCTTGATGAGTATCGGATCACTGGACATCACTTGACCCTTGCCCCTTTAGCTAGGCCCCAGCAACTATCATGACCCTGCAGTCTTTGGTGACTCTTAGGGTTTAAGTGCTTGGCTCTGTCCCGCGCATCCCTAGTATCGATCTGTATTAGTATCGACCTAGTATCACACAATACCAGATTAAGGTAATATATATAACCAGCATAGATTGATGAACATACTAGCCCACGGCAAGACCGCCGGGTCATACCCCATCCTCCCCATTGTGCTTGGTCTTGTCTGTTGCCCCTGCCTCCCACCATCAACGATTGCCAATATATATTTTTCTGTTCATGGGAGTTGACCTCCTCCAAGTGACGTCAGTACCCGAGGCACCAACTCAGATCCCCCGCGATTCCCATGGCGCCTCGTGTCTGGTTTGATGGGAGAACATGAAGTCCATCTGGTATGGGCCTTACGTAACATTTCCGAGGACCACAGACTGGACGAGCCTCCCACGTCATCCCTCGCTCATGGGTCACAGCATATTTGATGTGCAAAATGCCTGTCCTGTTCATGTCATAAGCACGCTGTAGAGAACTGCTACGGAAGCAACCATCATGGCCCTTGTCCTTCAAGGCGCAACCTTCTTGCACCAATACCTCGGGTCGCTGCTTCATACCCACCCGAGCAAGTCCGACACCGCACTGAAGTTGGGCGTCTTATCGTCCGCCCAGATCAATCCCGCTGCTAGTATGCCAGCCCTGATACCGTGCGTCGCACACACACTGACCCCCAGGTGCAGTCATCCGTCCCGTGGAGACGCACCCCGATGTGATCCTGTACCGCATTGCATCGCGGGATGCGTCCACCGCCGCCAAGGCCGCGAAGCAGTACCACTTTGCCAAATCCAGTGGCTCCTACCAGGAACTTCTGGATGACCCCGACGTCGATATCGTGTACATCTCCACCCCGAATGGCCTGCACTACGAGTGGGCATCCAAGGCCATTCAGGCCGGCAAGCACGTCCTCTGCGAGAAGCCGTTCACGGCGAATGCCTCCGAAGCTCGGGCGCTGATTGACCAGGCGGCGCAAAAGGGGGTCATCATTGAGGAAGCCGTAGGTCTCGTGGCTAGATACAATGTGGATGACACTAATAAGGGGTATTTTAGTTCCACTGGCAATTCCACCCCGCGGCGCATGTGTTCCGTCAGATCCTGGAAGCTGGTCCGCATGGCCAGATCCTCCGCACGGAGGCGATCATGACGGCGAGCCCGGGGGTACCCAAAGGGGATATCCGGTGGCAATATGACTTGGCGGGTGAGTAGGCCGTGGGAACAGGAGTCGTCCGGATCTAATGCTAGGCAGGTGGTTCCGCCATGGACATGACCTATGCGCTGTCCTTCACGCGGTACGCCCTCCGCGCCCAGCGCCCGCGCACCGTCCATTCCGTCACGGCGCGTCGATCGGCCGAGGATCCCCGCGTCGACGAGGCCATGTATGCGTATCTGACCTTTGCGGATCCCAGCGGCCACGAGGTCCACAGCCGCATCTACACGGACATGGCCCGCGACTGGGTGGGTGGGGTGGTGCCCCGGTTTTGGGAGCTGCCCTCCATCGAGGTGGAGACGGAGAAAGCCATCATCGTCTTCTACAATGCCATGATGCCGCATCTGTATCACTACATCGCCGTCACGGACAAGACGACCGGCAAGACCCGGTATCACCGGCAGTATCGTGGGGGGCCGCTGTGGGGGAGTGTCCTGACGAGCGTGGGCAAGGGCGGCCAGTCGCACTGGAGTACGTATCGCTGGCAACTGGAGGCGTTTGTGGATGCCGTGCGCGGCAAGGCCCCGGCGTATTGGATCCCGGGCGACGAGAGCATCTGTCAGATGGAGTGCATTGATACGATGTACCAGGCGGCAGGGTTGCCGGTGCGGGGGACGAATGCTGACAAGGGGGACTGACGAGGTTGAATGGGGAAGTGTTGAGACAGTCAGATGTAATGTTATTGGAAATAGCTTCAACTGCTCATCAATGAATCTTACAACTACATTTATACTGTGTCGTGGGCCGGCATGCTATGGCCTAGCAGCATCCGCCGACACCAATCGAATGTATCACGATTAGAAATGTAATCCGATTTGGGCTGCACAGGACATATTGGTCTCACATTCGATGAGCTTCAAGGGTCCAGACTATGAAGTGAACATCACCACCCGTGCCTTCAGAATGTTATTCGGGGTAGCAATCCATTGTACTTGGCAGCTACTTGGGGCTGCGTATTGCCATACTCTCCGGTATTGCCCCGACCGGGTATTTCTCTCGTACCGCGAAAGACATGCTGCCGACCGCGCTCGGCTACTTGTTCCTGTTTTCAACCCGAGCACGCGACCATACTCGACCGGACAGCGTCTTCTTCTACCCAATGGATCTCTGAGGACGGACTGAAATACAGATTCTCGCTCGGGAGGGGTCGTATGGTATATTACATCCTGGGTCCAGGCGCTGATGAAGTGCGACCAACAGAACAGTTGTTGTTCCCCAGGGGTGCGAGGTAAGTGGCCCATGTCGATCTGCAAGTCAGAGAGGGTCACCGTGGGAACCGAAGTAAGGACCATGGCGCCGGATCGGCGTCCGAACGGTCGGGGCGATTAAGTTGTCCCAAGATCTCGCGGAGATCCATGTGCTGTGGACGGAATTTAATACGGCTGGCACATTATCGCATTCGTTGGGCATAGGCACTGGAGAGGCGAGAGAATGGTTATACTGGTTTCCATATGCCGTCAGCACTGCCATCCTCCTGGAAAAAAAGTATCTGCCACGCGATGGCCGATGGTTTGTTGAACATGGTGAACCTCCCGATCGCGCACCGCTCCCCTCCAGATGACGTGACCGGTCAGCATCACTCTTTGGTGCCCTAAGGGTCCTCCATACACAGTACGCTGGAGTCCACATCACCCACGCCATGACGTAGGGAGACCCTGATGTGCCCTGCATCGCAATCGCTGGTTCGTCCGCTAGGGTGTTTTAATTAACTGTGGGGCAGGGTCTCGCACGGAACCACTGCAGGAGACTCCAGAGTGGCCTGCAGGGCTTTGGAGCTCTCCGACGATCTGCAGGGCCATGACGTCGGTGGGTGTCTCGGCAGGTATTTAAACATTGGGGACAGCCTCCTCCATAGTATCCCTACATTCAGCATCATCCTGCCAACATGAGGGGATCCACGTTTGCCGCGCAGGCCCTGGTGCCGGCCGTGCTGCTTTCACCAGTTGTCTCCGCCATCCCGGCTCCCACGGCCTTTGCTCCGGCGGTCGCCCCGCCCGCGCCCGTCATCACCCCTTCGCCCGTCCAGCATCCCCCGTCTCGCGTGGCGGGTCGCAACCTGTTAAGTGATGTAGATTCCGATGTCAACAGCGTCCTGTCGGGACTAGGATCGGATCTCCCGTCGTGGGTCGCATCCGGCGTGCCCAACTACTTCCAGGGGTTCCCCACGGGCGATGCCGTGGTGAGCTCCCTGGGCTTGAACAGCGCCGAGTTGGCCGCCTTGCCCACCAACGTGCTCAACATCGACCCCTACGCCAACTGGACCCGCTCCGGCTGGAATGTTCGCTTCCACGGCAATGTCTACAAGCAGCCCAACACCTCCGTCGCCGATCTGAACCAGTTGGCCGACGTCTTTCTCGGCAACACCAGCATCTCCGACCTGTCGGAGTCTGAGCAGGATCAAGCCCGGAACCTGACCGCGGAAATCCTGGTGGTCCAGCAACCGCACGTCGTCGTGAACACGATCCACCTGGAGCCGGCCCCCAGTCAGGGCTCCAGCGGACAGCCCGGCGGCGGGGGCGCCTCGAATACCACCGGGGGCACCCAAGACCTCACCCTGCCCTATAATACCACGGTCGAGGGCGACTTCGACACCTTCGTGCCGATTGCCGCCAACGGTCTGACGGCCGGCAATGAAACCACGGCCATCCAACGACTCAACACGTACGTCGAGGGGGCCACCCTTGGCAACAGCACGGCGTATCTGGTGCCGCCCACCGGGCTCACCATCATCTCGGACATTGACGACATCCTGCGGGTCACGAAGATCTACGAACCCGAGCAGGGGTTGCTCAATTCGTTTGCCCGTCCCTTTCGACCCTGGGAGAACATGCCCGACATCTACCGTAATTGGTCGATCAGCCTCCCCAACCTGCACTTCCACTACCTCGTCAGTCCCTGTTCGGTCCTTTGTTGCAGCAGCCATGTACTAACTATCCTGGGATAGACCACCACCCCCGAACAAGTCACCCGGAATTACATGCAATTCATCTACGACAACTACCCCGGCGGGTCCTTCGACACCCGCCCCCTCAACTTCAGCGATGTCTCGGCCACGCTGTCGATCCGCAAGTTCCTCCTGAACAAGATCTTTGAGACCTTCCCGCAGCGCCAATTCATTCTGGTCGCCGACACCAGCAACAGCGACGTGATGCGCGATTACCCGGAAATGGCCACCACCTTCCCCGGCCAGGTGCAGTGCATCTTCCTCCGCAACACGAGCGCCACGGACTCGGGGGACCGATTCCCCTACGATACCTCTGGCTTCAAGCATCTCAACCAGTCGAATTACATGTTCTTCCGACATCCGGATGACCTGACGAACTTGGATATCGCCAATGGCCAGTGTTACAATACCTCCATTCCGCAGAATCTGACCTTTAGTTACCAGGGGCTGCCGCTGGGACTGGGCGATGCGCCCACCTCGGTCAATGGGTCGGCGAATCATACGGCGGAGTCGGCCGGGGGACGGTCGATGACGGGTCCGGGGGGTGCGGAGATCCTCGCTTTGATCCTAGCGTTGGCCACGGTCCAGGGGATCCTCTTGTAGACCGTGCGATGAATCACGAGTGATAATTTATGTAAACTTATGATCCAGATAAAAAGCCTCGAGACTCCAAATGACTATCGCCGTTATGGTCGGACGATATATATCTCTCTCTCTCGCGGTCGTATTGATAGGTAGTACTGGATGAAATCTCCGACACTCCTGTATTAATTTCTGGCCCCGTCGCTCGATCTCTTCCATGAATATTCGTGAGGTTCGAGGGACGAGGATGTATTTTACTATCGGGGAGAATAATTCCTGACTCGACCCAGACCGTTGCCAGGATGTATCAGCGACAGGGGTGCATGCCCGGCCGTCAGCACTAAGCCATCTGTCTTCACAGAAACAGTGACAGACAGTCTGCAGACGAGCATCTGCAGATGGTGGTCGTTTCCGTGATCTTCAATCGACGCCCTCTACTTCTTGGCGTCCGCTAAGAATGATCCTGGTTATTGGCTTTGACAGTAAAGGAAGTATTCGGCAGAAGCATAGGACTATATATGTCTTCCTAGATGATATAATTATCACCACCACCATACGCTCCATCCATGTACTGAAGTTACCTGGTCACTAACCGAGCCCACTCACACCTCCTCTGCCGGCGGACAGACAACCAAACCGTCAAAGGCATCTACCAAACTCGAACCTGAGCGACCGGGCAAGCTCCGGCCGGGCCTCTGCCGAGCCGTCGGGCGACGTGAAGCACCGGAGACAGCACACCCCGTGTGACCCCGACCGGTCCGGTTCTTCCGTGAGACAGTCGGGAATCTCCTCACGCGACCGTCCCCGTACCGCCATCATGATCAGTTCCGATCGGGGACTCGCGAGCTTTTGGCTGCTTGGATCGGGTTCGCGCCGATTGTTATTCCTTCTGGGAAGTCTGTTCCGCTGCGACGCCTGGTCGGTCTGAGGCCGCGGATGGAGATGGATGGTTGGTGCCGGGGGCATCGACCGGAGGTGGGTGGTGAGGAGGCGGACTGATAAACGACGGTGCTGCCCTGAGTGATGTCGTCGTTCTTGGTGAACCACAGATAAATCAAAGATCAACCAAAGAGAACGAAAGAGAACCAAAGAGATAAAAAAAGAAGACAAAAAAGACATGCCCACCACGGTGGTAATACCCGTTTCGATCCCTTTATCCACCGGCGGATGTACAGCCCACCGAAGACGCTGGCTGTACCTCGACTCCTCGATCATGGGAAATCCTAATGTACACCGTAACCCCGAAAGCTCACCGAGCCTCCGCCGGATACGAAGACTCCACGTCCAGCGTGGTGCGCACCGAGATGACTGTGAGCGTCAGGGCCGTCTCATCCTCCTCTCCGAGGCGCTTGCCGCGCTTCCCGCTCGAATGCAGACTCCCGTAGCGCTGGTACCTGTCCGGCCGACTCTCGTCCCGGGAAGCACCGTGCGTGGTGGACACCTTCTTCTTCATGAGGGTGATGATCGGTCGGAGCGAGGGCAGGCAGGCTAGGGGATGTGGTTAGCTCGGAGGCACCATCTGGGGTCCGGGATCACTCAGGGGGCCACCGACCCGACACGATCCCGATGTTGGTCTCCACCGCCGTCCATTTGGAGGGACCGACGAAGACCCACGTTTCGTCCAGCGAGGGGACCTTGTATGCATTGAGCATGATGACGAGACGCACGATCGAGATGATGCAAATGCTGGGGGGCCCCAATCGGTTAGTTCGACCTGGCTGCCACGTTGGGGCGAGGGCGGGGGGGGAATCCGAAGGCACGTACAATCCACCCAACACAAACACGCCGGTCAGAGCTAATCTCTGCGAGGCACTGCGCTGCAGTTTCCAGATATAGGGCAGGGGGAGGGTCAGGAGCGCCCAGTCGGTGAGGATGTTGGGGACGGCGTTGCCGATGAAGAAGTTGCTGACATCCACGCCGCAGTGCGAGGGGATGGTCTTATCCCAAAAGCCATGCACCGGGAGACACTGGAAGATGGTGGTGAAGATCACCCCCAGGCCCCATCCCGTCACGATAAAGGCAATGAGATAGATCGGGTACCGGATGTTGCTCATGCTGAAGATGCGCCAGTAGAACATCAGGATCGAATACTTGGTGAAGCAGATCGACAGGGTGTACAGGATCTCGACGATGAAGAGGTTCAGCAGGAAGTGATGGAGGCCCGCCATGCCGTAGAGGTAGATGTGCTGCCCGACGCCGTGATTGACCCAGTCGATCATGACGGCGAAGTTGGCGGTTGCTGTGAGCTGGTGGCGTCGGGTTAGTGCACGGCATGCGGCATGCGGCATGCCATCTGACAAGCAAAAGAAAAGGCGGAGCCCGAGGGGAAATGCAGACATACCATGGCGATGCAAACCAGATAATCATCCCACCACAGACCCACTTTGGAGATCAGCATGCGCGACACCATGCGGAGGCCAAAGGCCCCGAGGGCCAGGCCATAGGTGGTGGAGTAGGCTCCATAGAGCTCGGGACGCTTGGATTCGGTCAGATCCAACCCGGCCGGAGGGGTGAAATCCATGGTATCGCGCTTCAGATCGATCAGTCCATCCGGCAGACGAACAAGGCAGCAGCAGTTCAGCGGGATTTGCGCGGTTTTATAAACAGGGGGGCGCGACTTTGGGGCTCCACGTAAGACCGAACCCGAAAGGGGAGAAAGGACCAGGACCAGTTTGCGCCGGAGTTGGACAGGGATTTCCTTGGGGGCGCGGAACTAAAATGTCCCCTCAGGGATCACAACCGACGGCGCTGCAAAGGTTCCAATACAAATACAGGCCGGACCCATTTGCTAATCACCGTCCATTCCCTCCTCTCCAATTAACCCCCCTCCAAACCCCCAAGATCCTCAGAATGACTACTGTCGTCGTGATTCCCGGTGCCTGGCTCACGCCGGACTTCTACCAGCCCTTCTTGACTGCCCTCACGCAAGCCGGGTATCGCGCGCACTTGGCCGGCTATCCCTCGCTCAATCCCTCCGATCCTGCCACAGCCGACTGCCAAGCCGATAGCGACGCCATCCAGCGGGAGCTGCGCACGTTGGTTGAGGATGACGGCCAGGACGTGGTGCTGTTGATGCACTCGTACGCCGGCATGCCTGGTGCCTCGGCGGCTCGTGGATTGTCCAAGCTGGAACGACAGCAGCAGGGCCTGGCGGGCGGCATTCTAGGGCTGATTTTCCTGGCGGCCTTCGTGGTGCCTGAAGGCCACAGTTGCGCCGGTCTGCAGGGCGGCAATCTCCCCCCTTGGATCCTTCTCGACCAGGTGAGTGAACCCATGCTACAATCCATCTCCCCTCCGTGTTTTTCTTTTCTCTGGGCCTCGCACACTGACTGCCATGACTTCTCCCTTCTCCCCCCCTCAGCCCTCCGCGCAACTCAACATCGTCGACGACCCGGTCGGCAACTTTGCTCCGGAAGTTGACCCGACGCTCCTGGGCGATCTCACCACCTTCCTGCAACCCCATTCTTCCTTGGCCTTCTTCTCGCCGCAGCCCGCGCCGGCTTGGGCGGACGTCGCCTACGCCGGACGGCTGGCCTTCATCGTCACGACGGCGGACAAGGCGGTGCCCAAGGAGGCGCAACACTATATGATCAGCAGCACCGGGAAGACGTTCATCGTCAAGGAGATGGAATGCAGTCATCTGGCCCCGTTCGTGGATCGCATCCCCGAGACCATTGGGTTGGTCCACGAGCTGCTCCCGGCGTTCCCGTCCAGTTGAGAAAAAATCTCGTCTGATTGAGTTTGTTGTATTATGATCATGATTTTCTGTTCCATTTGTTGGAGCTGCTAGTGGCTACGGACAAAGACAAACTCTATGCCGACTTGATCGGCGGGCATCCAGGCCACATCTTCCTCTTGCAAACCCCAATCGCGCCGTAGATCCACCTCGCGCACCTGCACGGTCCATTCGGTGGCCGTGTCGTGCTGGACCGATTCCCACAGTGCGACGAACGAGTCCCGACTATGAAAGAACATGGTGCCCCAGGGGCGTGCATCCGCGCGGGGCTGTCGCCGGGCCTGCTGGAATCCCACCACCATCGTGCCCGGGCGCGACAGCCCCATAATCCGCTGGATCACCTCCCGCTGATCGGCCTGGTCGAACAGGTGGATGAATTGATTCGCGATGATCAGGTCCACGTGGCCGCGGAGGGGGCCCAGCGGCGAGTCGCCGGTGAGGTCGAGCGTGCGAAAGTCGCCGGCCACAAAGTGCGCGGCCATGCGATCGCGGTCGCCGAACAGCTCGTAGCCCAGTTCCCACAGGCGGGGTTCCAGGTCCAGCGCCCACCAGCGCGCCGTCGGGGCCCCGTCGGCGTGGGCGGCGAGCAGCCGCAGGTCCTGGCCCAGTCCACACGCCAGGTCGAGCACGGTGGCCTCTCGTTGTCGCACGAGGTCGACCATCGAGGGGAATTCGGGGAAGCCTGCCAGCCCGGGCAGCAGAAACATCCATTGGCCGATGCAGGGGTATTGTCCGACGGGCCAAGCTCGATCGCGCTGCGGCGAGGAGATTTAGTCCTCACTGGCCCCCGGTGGGTGCATGGCAGCAGTGGGGTGCAGGAACCAAACTTACGACGCGGTGTAAGTGCGCAGGAAGGTCAGTGTCGGCGATGCCACTCCACCGATTATAGACTAACCGGCAGGCAGGCGACAAGCGGGGGCCAAAATCATCGCGGTACCAGACCGAAGGATGCATGGTTGTGACTAGGAAGGAAGGGGGAGGAGTGGCCGTGGCGGGAAAGGGATGGATGGCATGGCTGGATATATTAAGCGGGAGATTGCATTGCTATTAGATACCCTTTACCGCGTCCATTCCCCTCCACTTTGCGCCGAGGCTACTGCAGCGCTAAGCTTTTAGGCCCTGCATGGCCCTCGTATTCCCCCCGGCGGCCTCCTTCGTCGCTCTTGGCCCTGGCCCCCAAACCCCCTCCAACGCGCCCCGTTCGGCAACGTGGGTGCCGTACACCCGTTGCATGTACGCCAACCATTGCTCCTCGGTAAAATGATGGCCGGCCGTGCAGTCTTTCACCACCGTCGTCAACCACCCCCGCTGGAAGGCTCCGCGCACCGTGGCATCGACACACACATCCGTGAACAGTCCCACCACGACCAGGTGCGCCAAATTCCGCTCCAGCAGATAGTGTTCGAATCCCGGTGCCAGGAAGGGGTCATAGCAGGCACGTTTCTCGAACTGGCGTTCCGTGGCCCGCGGTTGCACCGCCCCAAACAGCTCGGCCCCCCAGGTTCCGCGCAGACACCACGGCTTACGCTGTTGCTCTTGGTTCCGTTGGCGCCAGCTCCGCGGCTGATATTCCGGATCTCCGACGAATCGGACCCAGATGACTTCGGTCTGGGCCTGGCGGGCTTGATCCACCAGCTGCGCGATGTTGGCACTGATCCGCTCCATCTCGCGTGGCGACCGATACTGCGTGACAAAGTCGTTTTGGAAATCCACCACAATCAGTGCGGTGTCGGATGCGACTGCTGCTAGACTGGCCGGAGACGTAGCCGATGTCACCGCCGAAGCAGCAGCAGCAGCAGCAGCAGCAGCATCCAAGAATCCTTCCACAAATGCCGCGGTGGTGGCCGAGCCGCCCTGGTCGGGGGTCTGTACGCCCTGGACGGCCAGCTGGTGGAGGGCCAGATCCGTGATGCGCTTGACTCCCACACAGAGCGCCTTCTCCTCCAAGATGGCCGCGACGGCCCGGATCGTGGCCGTGGGATTGACAATGCCCTGTCCGGTCAGATCATCGGCGGACCCATGCGCCGTCTGCCATTCGCTCAGCCCCTGCACCGTGGGATGCAGATAGATGTTTTCTGCACACGCCCCCTCCTGCGCCCCGAGCCCAAACCGGTCCAACAGCACGGTCTGCATCAGGTCCGCGTACTCATTGGCGGCGATAAGCACCTGGTGGCCCTCGATCCCTCCCGCCGCCAACAGGTTCCGGTTCATGGTGTCGCCCTGCACGCAGCGAACGGTGACCCCGTGGGTCTGCTCCCAATCGCGGGCCCACTGCAAGAAGAGCCCGTCAAACAGGTGAAACTTGTAGACGAGCGTGATCGTCTCGATCGCCACCCCCGTGGTTCGTTCCGCCAGGAGCTGTCGCGCGCGAGTCAGGCCGAAGGTGATGATTCGGTCGAAGATGGCCTTGCGAAACTGGACCGTGCGCGACACGGCCTGCCCATCCGCCTCCACCGTGTTAATCCCCCCGTAGAATCCCTGCGCCTGATCGCGGACCAGCACGAGCGATGCGGTCGGGCTCTGCCAGTAATGCTCGCACTTGACGGCCTCGAGCTGCTCGCGCACCAGATACAGCGCCTGGGCCGAGATCGAGGTGCGGAAGATAGCTCGCACGCCGCGCGCGGCGGCCTCCTCGCAGAACTGCCGGTAGTGGATGGTATCCTGTCGCGTCTCCTCGGTCACGACATCGGTCTCGTTGGCCGCCAGCAGGGAGGCGTACGAATGGTAGATCCGCGGGGAGCGGACGAAGTCGATCTTCGTCCCATACGGCGCGGCCAGGGCGTGGATCACTTGCTCGAACACCTCGGCCAGCTCCGGGCCTGTGCCCGCACCGACGGCAAGTCCCACCAGAAGGGATGACATGGCTGACATGATGTTGGGCTGTGGGTGGCTTTGTCCCGGTTGAGTCCCTCCGTGTTTTTCTTCGGAGAGGGGGGCGGAATTTATGGTGTTCCAGGCGGTTTGTCAGGCTTACTACGGACTGATAGTGGGTTCCCACATATCGCCGAGTAGTACTAGTAGTTTGGCCTCCACTTTCCTGAGAAGGATCGATGGACCGGTCATATATCCCTATCGTGTCACCCACTTCCGGTGCACTCCATTAACAAGTCAAGTCAGATACCCCCGACCACTCCAGCCCAGCCATGACCGGGTCTACTCCAGCGGCGGGCTTTCATCTCACCGACGGCAAAGGGTACAGCCTAGGCCAGGATTCCCCGGCCGTGTGCCGCCTGAACCTGCAGATCTTCCTGTGGAAGGCCTCACTGGGATTCACCCTGCATCCCTCGATCCCCGTCCCCACCACCGGCCGGATTGCCGACGTGGCCACGGGCACGGCGCTGTGGTTGACCGAGTTGGCGCAGACCCTGCCGGCCGACGCCGACGTGGCCCTGGACGGGCTGGACCTGGATCTCAGCAAGGCGCCGCCCCGCCCCTGGCTGCCCGCCAACGTGCACCTGCACCAGGCTGACATTCTGGCCCCCTTGCCGGACCCTCTGGTCGGACAATACGAGGTGGTGCATCTCCGCCTGCTCATCCTGGTGGTGGAGAACAGCGATCCCACCCCAATCATCCGCTACGCCCACCGCATGCTCAAACCGGGTGGTTACATCCAGTGGGACGACCTCAACTACCCCGACACCCACGTCCGTCGCATCGATCCCACGCATGCCACCCCCGCCTTCGACCGCTTGCGCGAGTTTGTCTATTCCAAGGGCCGCCACGACTGGGTCATGCGGCTGGACGAGATTCTCACCCGCGAGGGCTTCGTCGACGCCCACCTGCACCACTTCACCGATCGCCGGGACTTGATCATGGCCAACGGCCACCAACATCTGATGACCATGCTGGAGTTCGCCGGCAGTCTCAAGGCCAAGGGCATGGCACCGGAGGCCCGCGATCTGGAGGCGCTCTTGGCCGAGGTCAGCGTCGAGGCTGCCCGGGGAGCAGCGCTCTCGATGCCCCGCGTGGTCTGTGTCGCGCGCAAGCCCTAACCCCCCTCCTCCCCCTTGTTTATGTTCAACCCAGAATAGAAGCGTTCAATACCCTCTGATCCAGTGACCCGGAGATCCTTACTCCGCTCCTCCCTTTCTCTATCTTCTAAGACCTCATATTTCGCCGTCCATACCCAATAGTAAACAACCAAACTATACCTTCCCCTCGCGCAACCCCTCGCCCCCATCGAGCTGAACCACCAACCAAAGCATCTCTCCTCTGAGATACAATGCACTCCTACTCGGTACCTCTAAAGAATAAACCCCCTCCCTGAGAGCCGCTACCTGTCGCACCCGCCCTAATACTACCCTCGCTCCATTATTCCTAAACCCTAATCTCCCCGCCAGAGTAGCAGTATCCATGACCTCCGCCCGCAGCCCCCGCTTCCCAACCCACTTCGGATTCGCCGCCGCAATATTCCTGGAGGTTATCGCAGGAATAAGTGCAAGCACTGTCGTGCTGCTGAGGGTTAGTTTTTTCCTCTTGCCAACTCGGCCGGAAGTGCTGAATACCCTAAGGTTGAGCCAACGGAATAGAGTCTACTATCATTTATACTTAGGGAGGTCGCTGCTTTCCGGTTGACTGGTCCTTGCCCTTTTTGACCCACGTCTCGGAGGATCTTGAGCGCGCCGGGAGCCCTGATATACTAGAAAGTTGTGTGCATTAATCCAAATTATGCTAGGAGGACCGGCTGGCCGACCACCAGGAACCATTTATTACATCTCACGGTCGTTCCCAAGTGTTAGGGATTGGTTGCGTGCGTGTTTAGCACGCATCTCACGAGCCTAGCGTACATTGTAAGTAAGTGTTTAGCATGTTTGAGTGCATAACAGATACTAAGCGCGTGACAAAGATAGGAACTTGATTTGTCAAGAAAGTTCTTCTGACGTTTCTTGCGATAACTGACTTCCTGTGGTTAGATGAGGGTGAGAGAAGTGACAAGTGCGTTGGTTCTCTCTCTGTCTTCCAACCTTTGAGCTCCTTTCCGACCTCTTAGTATCACAGAGCACCCTCTGATCTGCGTCGCTCTCTCATGCATCCCGGCGCTATGACTGGAGCAATTAGACACAATGCTGGGCCTATGAATATGGGGGTTAAACCGCCCCCCCACCCCTACATTCTCTTCGGGAGACCCAGAAGTTGCAGGCAAAATGGCAAAGCAAAGCCGGAAATTTCGATTCGTCAGACTAACCGCCCCCGATCGAAATGGCGACAACGCTCTCGTCGAAAAAAGAAACGCTTTTCTTTGAATCCTTCGGATCTTCCCAAGAGTGCGATGCCGATGTCTACGTAATGATCCGGTTCAGGCATAATGGACAGATTGTACACTTCAACCTGAGCAAAGATTTATCACCCTCACAAGAGCGATTGCTAGGTCTGTCCCGAGTCCCGAGCTCTTTCCAAACTGCGAATGAGTGATGACTCGAGTAGTGGCGAGCGGAGCGCTAATTCCAGCCGGCTAGATATCGCAGCTCAGTTGAAGGGCCAACAGGGATGTATACCAGAACGAACTTCATTGTTCTCTCAAGAGGAATAGATATTATATAACAACCCTATTCATTCCAGGTCATATTTCCCAATCTAGAATTGCTATGACTAGACTATCCACAGAGACTTATCATCTGTTCCTGTAGGTTGACCTGGCTGAAAGGGTTGAAAAGCCTGCGCGCAAATGCTCATCGACTGGGGTATTTTTGATGGGGGTGAGTAACTGTGAGGCTTCAGCCCCTCATATAACTCACCTCCTGTGAATGGGGTTTATAAGTAATACGCGCTCTAAGCAAGTAACTGAAAGTTCTAATCTTTCACTAAATAACTTAGTTAGTAGTAACTAGAGCCTGGTATGATTCACTCTAAAAGCATATTTAGAGTAGATCATGATAGTAACACGGGCGGCAGTAGAAGATGGGTAGTTTATAAACTTTTTCTGGGGAGTAAAAGGAGGGCTCAATATCTTGACTCTCGGAGCTAGGAGGCTGGCTAAAATCTTCCAGTAGAATTTAGAAGAGCATGAACATGAGATTAACAATGGAGGAAACGGTCTAGTACGGGCTTCTACTTGCTGTGATCACCCCAAGTGAAGAAAAGAGGTGGTCGGACATCCCATGATCTGGGATGGGTATTAGAGGTCATTGGCCAAATACACCCTCATTTCCCACTGGATTCCTATTATCACGTGTATTTCTATTACCCTGGCACCCCCTGCTAGCTAGTAAGGGAAAAGGATTATAGCCTGCGGGGAGAAGCCGCTGTTCCATTAAACACTAGCCCTTTGTCACAGTACGACACGCGCCTGGTTAAGTAGCTGAGGGCTGAGCCAGGCAGAATAAGGGATGTCAATGACTTTGCTCCCCGCTCCCACCCGGCATATGGCTGGGTAGGGCTTATGATGAGCTTTTAGTGTTCTGAAGATATCTAGAACACTAGAAAGCAACTTACATTCTCAAGAATGTTTATTATGTTTCTAAGAAGTATTTGTGTGTTCTTTGGAACAGAATCCATGTTCTGCGGCATGCTACTGCTGTTATGATTTACAAAAGACACTTATAAAGGGAGAATATATTCCTTAGAGTCTGGCTCTAGCTTTTGTGAAGGGTTCGAGATATCCCAAGAGTACTGTCTTCCATATACTAACCAGTCTTGCTCCAATAAACCTAACATGCGTTACAGGAGAGTGTGTCTTGGAAGAAGACATGTCCTGGGCTTTGTAATCTGATGGTAATTACCAGTAGTAGTAGTTATCATTAGGTCTTCCCTTTTCCTAAGATCTTCCGTGCTTTAGGTATGTTTCTTTTCCGAGACTGATTGTTACAGGAATAAAATTTTCTTGGTACACATTCCGGGGTATGGCCGATTCTGGGACCACTTATTCCTGTGATGGATAGTCCTGTGCCTGCCGCACTCGATGTCATTAACCAATCAAGTTCCTATATTTGGTTTAGCGCTTATAGCCGTACTGGCAGGTCTTGACCTCAGTGATAAAGTAGAGATCATCGTATTAGACCTTATATTTAGAGAGGCTTTTCTTTTATTCTTGTATCATAGATTTATATCCTGTCCTTGCTATCTGTCAAATTTTAGATTTGTGTTTGCTATAAGGTCCATGAATATAACTTTTCCTTGTGGCTTGGCTTCATCTGTATGAAAAGGGCTAGGCCCTGTCAGCCATCTGGAATCGGAACATCTATATTCCAACCTGTCTGGTCCTGGACCTTAACCCGATGATATCTATAAAAAAGATAGGAATTGTGACGGCAGCCTCATTTAGGGCCTTGTTTAGGATCATGTGACTATGTTTATTTTATTTACTTTACTATTATTTTCTTCAAGTGAGTATTTATAATATTTTTTATTTTTTTTTCTTCCTTACACTTAAAGTTCTAGAGTAGTTAGCACTAATATAACCTTATTTTATTATATTAAATAGCTATCTTATAATTTTAAATATCATTCTTCATTTTTTTTTACTACTATATATAACTAGTTTTTATTAAACTATTAGCAGTCCCTATCTCACGTTCTTAGTAATATTTAATAATTAAAAAACCTACTTAATTAAATAAATAAATAAAATAGCTAGAGAAAATAATTAGACTTCTAGTTTTAAAAATAATTAATAACTTTCTATAATATTACCTGATGAACTAGACTGGAAAAATAGATTTAATTAAACTAAATTTAATAACTAATATAAAAAAGATCTAAAGCAGACTTTTAAAAATTTTTTAAAAATTTTTAATACTCTAGAGACCGAAAGAGATAATCTTCTTAATAAATAAAACTAATAAAACTAAAAAATAATTATTCTTACTTAAAAACAGGATAATATTGTTAAAAAATAAAATAATATTATTAAAAAATAAGATATCTTTGCGGTATAAATTATTTATTAAACTTTAATTAATTTTTAAAGTATAATTATCTCTAAATTTAAAAAAGTAATAAAAATTCCTAATCTATTTTTATTTAATAATAGAAAGAATATTTCCTTTAAAGACTAGGTACTAATTATATATTAAAAACTAGAAATTAATATAGATTAATTTATTACTCTAGTAATATATAAAACTTATATTATTAACTATTATAAAAATAATATAAGAAGATATTTAATACCTAGATTTTATCTAAGTATAACTAATTTTTATAATAATATTAAGAATATACTAGAATATCTAGAAACTATTTTTATTAATTTTTATAAAATTTATAATACCCACTGCCAGTACCGAGACTTATATATAAAAATTAAAAAAAAAAATTTATACTTTTATCTCTACTTTCTATTATCTCGCGGTAAAAATTAAAATTAATAAAAATTTCTAAAAAAAAGATTTATATAGTAAACTACTTTTTAAACTAAAAAAATCTACTATACATAGCTTCAATAATAAGTATTATTTTTTTAATAATTATATAGAGAAATATACAAACTTTATTAACTTAATTAAAAATTTAATAAAGAATTATATTAGAAGCAACACTACTACTACTAGTAATTATAATAAATCTTATAATTCTTATATCTTCTTTAATATTCTAAACTTTGAGAACACTATTTCTAAAACTTTAACTTATATTTTAAGTATGGAACTAGAGATTAAAGAAACTTTAATAAAAAATAAAAAGTATTTTTACTACAAGAAGCCCGGCCATAAAAATAAAAAATATTTTAAAAAGAAGACTATATAAGTAAAAACTTTAAAAACCTCTATAAAAAAACCTAAGTTAATAAAAAATAATATTTAGGAAAAATCTCTATTCTAAATAAATTAGAAACTTAAGTAAGTATAATAGACTTATAAAATCTATTAAAAAATAATAATAATAGTTTTATAATTACTATTCTATTTTTTAAAAATAGTATTATTATTTTTATTTATATATTTATTAATTCTAGAGCTAATACCTGAAAAGGGCTAGGCCCTGTCAGCCATCTGGAATCAGAACATCTATATTCTGACCTATCTGGTCCTAGACCTTAATCTGATAATATTTGAAGAAAGGATGGAAATCTCCAGAGAGAATAAAAATCTCTAAAATAATAAAGAAG